CGAGAYCTACACTTCCATAATCGACTCTATCCTCGCCGCCTCAGATCTCAATACAATATCCGCCAAACGCATTCGCAAAGGTCTCCAAGAACAAGTCTCCCACGACCTCGCTCCGCACAAAGCCGCCATAACGGCACTCATTATGGAGCGCTTTGACAAAGTGCAAAACGCCGCGAAAGCAAGCTCTACGGTCTCCAAGAGAAAGTCACCCGCATTGGAAGATTCCCCTGCGCCCAAGAAGAAGGTCAAGAAGAGCAAGCCAGCAGAGGAGACGGATGAGCAGATTGCCGCAAGGTTGCAGGCGGAGTTTGACACACAGAACAACGCACGGGCTACAAGAGGTGGAGGAAGGACCAAGAAGGCGCCCTTGAAGAAGGGTTCAGTGGTCAAGAAGAAGAAGAAGAGTTCTGCCAAGGTTACTGGGGAGGACGACAGCGATTTGGAAGGAGTCAGTGGGTCAGAAAAGCCGGAGAAGGAGAAGAAGGGAGGGTTTCACGTGAGTATTGTCAGCTGAGGCGTGATGGAGCCATGTGCTAATCTACTGTTCAGAAACCCATGAACCTCTCCCCAGCCCTTGCAGAAATGCTCGGCGAATCCCAGCTCTCCCGTCCGCAAACTGTCAAGAAGATCTGGGCATATGTCAAAGAACGCGACTTACAGAACCCTGCCGATAGACGACAGATCTTCTGCGATGACGCGATGCGCAAGGTGTTCAAGGGGGACAGTGTGCACATGTTCACGATGAACAAGTTACTGGTGCAGCATTTGAAACCTGCTGACGAGGTTGTGGGCGGGGAGGTGGCTGAGAATGACAAGGTGGTGGAGAGTGACGAGGAAGACACRAACCAGTATGTCAACGGAGGCGATTCAGAGCCCGTGCGGGAGAGCGAGACGGATGGTGGGAGCGAGGCTTGAGCCTGGTGCGATCGAGAGGCTTGGGACGGAGGAACCGATTCATGAGATCTTGTTCTGAAGATATGGGCAGATGATCTGGTTTCAATCCTTGTCGTATGAGGCCACAGAGGTGGCTGGCTAGAAAGTACAGCGCGGCGTTGTCCTCCGGTATTGCGAGGCGGATTAGCTTTGCCACTCTTTTGATTCAACCTATGCGGCAGGAGCACTCGCTGGGACGAAAGCTTATGAGAGAGGCGATGGTCTTGAATGAGACGCAGATCTACTCCATCCAGCTCATCATAATGCTGTAATCAAAAGGCTCACTATAGCTTTACTTGCCAGGCTCTTCACTTTGTATGGACACGATCTCCACGAGTCAGCGTTGGATGTGGCTCGGGACATGCTAAATGTAGTCCGTGAACTCAACGACTGACCATAGAAGTGCGGGAACTGACTGTGGCTGGAAAGTCGTCCTCAGCACGAGACGCGGTCAAACCATCCCAACAATGTGCGCATTCATTGGCGACCACGAGTGCCTTGTCAAAGTAGTTTGATAGCGGCATCGAACAACGTGTCTCTTCGCACTGCTTTAATCGTCAGGGTTGTTCACATTTCTAGAGCATAAGCGAAGCACAAGATACGTACTTCCCGTGACTCGAGAGCATCGAAGGACAAGGTGAAGTCGCAAAGGCAATCTCGCCGCCAAGCCACCACCGCAGAAAACTAAAGTGGTCCCCGCGACATCTCCTCTGGACTTCAGCACCGATAATATTTCCCCTCCACCAACCACCCAGCATGGCGCCATCCTTCGAGCATCTCGACCCGGAAACGGAGTTTGACGATGACGATGAAGAAATTGACTTTTCCGACCTACGAGAGCAATATGAGACACAAATGGAGGAGGGTTTGGACACATTCATCGTGATTGATGGCCTGCCCAAGGTGCCCGCCGATAGCAAGGGCAAGCTGGTCAAGTTCTTGTTGCGCAGCTTGACCAAGCAGGGCAAGACCAAGGAGGAGAATGTTTTCATGCCGCTGAACGAGGAGACTGGCAACACCGATGGCTACGCTTTTGTCGAATACGAAACTCCCGCCCAGGCCGCCGCCGCCGTCAAGGCCCTGCACGCAACTCCTCTTGACAAGAAGCACACCATGTCCGTCAACAAGCTGACGGATATTGAACGCTATGGACGTGAGGGCAAAATCGACGAGACCTACAACCCACCCAAGATTGACGAATTCGAGGAGAAGGAACATCTCCGCTGGTGGCTTGGAGATGAGGACGGCCGCGATCAGTTCGTCATGTACCGTGGTGATAACGTTGGCGTCTTCTGGAACGAACGCGATGGCCAGCCTGATCAAGTTGTGGACCGACAACATTGGACCGAGTCTTTCGTGCAGTGGTCGCCCAAGGGTACATATCTCACATCTATGCATGCGCAGGGTGTGCAGCTGTGGGGAGGCGAGAAGTGGTCGCGACAGAAGCGTTTCATGCACCCGGGCGTCAACCTCGTGGACTTCTCCCCCGACGAGCGCTACATCACTACCTGGTCGCACAGACCCATGCAGGTCGATGAGGGCAACCCCATCCTCTCAATCGAAGAGGACGGCAAGAACTACATCATCTGGGACGTCGCCACTGGCAAGCCTCTCCGTTCATTCGTTACCCTCGATGCGCCTGGCCCATCCGTCGACGTCGAAGGCAACCCGATCAAAAAGAAGATTCAATGGCCGGCATTCAAGTGGTCAGCGGATGCCAAATACGTCGCGCGCATGAATCAGGGTCAAAGCATCAGCGTCTACGAACTTCCTCGCATGAACCTCCTCGATAAGACTAGCATCAAGATTGAGGGCGTCGTCGACTTTGAGTGGTCACCAGCCACCTGCCAGCGCGAGGGCATCAAGGACTACGAGCAGCTCTTCTGCTACTGGACTCCCGAGATTGGATCCAACCCGGCAAAGGTTGGTTTGATGACTGTCCCCACAAAGGAAGTTGTGCGCACACGGAATCTTTTCAACGTCAGCGATGCCAAGTTACACTGGCAGTCCGAGGGAGCATACGTCTGTGTCAAGGTCGATAGACATAGCAAATCGAAGAAGTCGCTCGCCACTAACCTGGAAATCTTCCGCATCAAGGAGAAGGGTGTTCCTGTTGAGGTTGTCGACAACTTGAAGGAGACGGTGATCAACTTTGCCTGGGAACCCAAGGGTGCTCGTTTTGTCCTGATCACCACCGGTGAAATTCCAGCTGGTTCCGCGGTTCCTCCAAAGACATCTGTCTCCTTCTTCGCGCCGGAGAAGGTTCCCAAGGGCGTCGGTAACTTCAAGCTCATCCGCACCATCGACAAGAAGAACAACAACGCGATTCACTGGGCTCCCAATGGTCGCTTTGTCGTTGTTGCCACTGTCCTCAGCCAACAGAGCTTCGATTTGGACTTTTGGGATTTCGACTTTGAGGGCACTCCAGACGATCCGAATGAGGAGAAGCTCACAGCACACCTTCAGCTCATGAATACTGCGGATCATTATGGTGTGACTGACATTGAGTGGGATCCCAGCGGTCGATTCGTCGCAACCAGTGCTAGTGTGTGGAAGCACAGAGTATGTTGTTTTGACGCTTCCTCTCCATTTGATATGCTAACATGAAATTTAGATGGAAAACGGATACCACCTCTACAACTTCTCCGGACAGCTCCTCCGCGAGGAGCCTACGGAGCAATTCAAGCAATTCACCTGGCGCCCACGTCCCGAGCGTTTCCTCAGCAAAGAGGAGATGAAGACGATCCGCAAGAACCTCAAGGAGTACGCCAAGCAATTCGAAGAGCTCGACAATGCCAAGCGCAGCACAGCCGACAAGGCCATCATCGAGGAGCGGAGACAGAAACTCGACGAGTGGCTAGCATGGCGCGATCGGACGAGCCTGCAGCTCATCGAGGAGAGAGACGATGCAGGCTTGGAGGAGCTTTCAGAGGAGAGACAGGCGTTGGTCATCTCCGAGGAGGAGGGCGATGGCGATGGAGCAAAGGTTGTGGAGGAGATCTTCGAGGAGATTTTGGAGGAGACCGAGGAGATTATCGAGTAAAATGGAATGGAGGATCTTGGTGGCGAGTGGCGTTATCTACGAATTGCATGGATGGATGGATGTTCATGAGATTCATGATGATGGGATCAATACCTGTCCCGGATTTGATAGATGTGAAGCGAGCATGAAATCGAAAATTCGCTGGACATTGAACATGAAGCTTTGGCTGTGTTGAGAGTCGCATGGTACTTTCAGTGGCAAGCTTTATAACCAGCATGTATACAAGCTATATGCTCTCATCCACATACCCATCCACATCTCTAACTTCCCCGTCCTGTCAAATGGCATGTGAAAATGTAACCCGGTCCCAATCAATATAAGCATTTGTCCCCTCCCGCTCCCGCCAAAATTCAAGACTCCACTCTTTGCGACATTCCCAAAATTTCCCATCGACTCTCCAAACCGACAACATCCAACCGAAAGAACATTTCAATCTCTCCACAACTTCTTGGACATCTTCTCGCAAACATGGCACCACCACCCAAACGCCGCCGAATCGCCCCTCTAAAATCCATCCCACAAGAACTCACATTCGACCCTTCAGCGCGGCAAGAATACCTCTCAGGGTTCAGCAAACGCAAGACTGCCCGCAAGGAAGCCGCGCGGGAACAAGCCATCAAACGCGATAAAGAGGATCGTGTGAGGGAACGAGCGCAATTGAGACAGCAGAGAAAAGAGGACTTGAAAGCGCATGTGGAAGCCGTGGATGCAGAAGTCAGGAAGATGAGAGCGAATGTTCTCGATGATAGTTCCGACGACGACGATGTCGAATGGGGCGGTGTAGAAAATGGCAMAGAACAAGCAGGCGAGGGAGATGGGGAGGAAGAGGAGGAATATGTCGACGAAGAGAAATTCACCACCGTCACGGTGGAACCCATGGGATCTACTCTCGATGATATTGATGATGAATTGGAAGCCGAAGGGTTAGCGAAGAAATTGGCGGCGGAGGAAGCGGAGAAGGAGAAGCAGAGGGTGTTGAAGACGAGGAAATTGAAACCTTGGGAAAAGCCTCGATGGGATGGCAAGGAGAAGAAGAAGAAACCGAAGTTTAGATATGAGACGAAGGCGGAGAGGGCGGTGGGGAGGATGAAGCAGAAGAGTAAGAATAGTAAGGCGGCTAAAGCGAGGAGGGAGGAGTAGGTTGGGCTTGCTGAGATGAGAGAGCTGCACAATGTCGAAATCTGCGCTTTCGGTCAGAATGACCTGCACTTGATCCGTGAKGTCTATGACATTTGATCGAGGGACTCAAGTGGTCCACAGCATGATTCATCGCTCATCACGAACAAAAATGTACAGTCTAGCTGTATCATAAATGGGACTCTTGACCAGAAGCGGAAGATGATATTCAGCATCTATGAATGACCGCTTCGCCTCCTCAACCCTATCGTACAYCACCTCGTCATGAAGTGCCGCTCTGGCGTGGTATCTCTGTTTCGTAAAAGCGTCAAAAGAAAGCAAGTTGCATCCGGTCCTGTTCACCATTCAAACGTCCTCACTCAACGCCTCCAGCTGGAAGACCTCACCCTCTTCGTTCTCATCCTGAATCTCTTCTCCATTGTGACCACCAAGACCCAATGCCTCCGCCTCGGCATCATCGACATTCAGGTCTCCAAATCCCGTCAACAAGTCGTCCAACGTCGTCTTCCTCTCCTCTGGCTTCGCCATGGATGGGAGTCTAGGGCGCGAGACGACCCGACCTTTGGAGTAGCCGATTGTACTGTTGGAGGCCACCCTTGCAGCCGTGAAGCGTGGATTTCCAGGTGCAGGTCCACCTCTCATCGAAGAAGGYTTTCCAAGCGCGGTAGTTGATGTTTTTCTCTCCCTTGCCGCCGTCATTCCAGCAAGTGGCTTCCTCTCCCGTCCAGCGACACTGCCAACAGGAGTAGCCGTGGTAGTCCTCTTCGAAAGTGCACCGACAGCACTCCTCGCCTTGACGCTGCCCATAGCAGCCTCCTTTCTCTTCTTCTCCGCTTTCTTGAGCTTCTCACCAAAATCACTCAACTCTCCATCATCCTCCTTTGGCTCGGGCGCATACTCTGCCCACCATCCTCGTGTCAGGTTCTTTCCTTGCAAATAGCTCAGATCGCGGTCATGGGGGAATATCTCATCATCCAGTTCATGGTCTCTCATGGGGACTTCTCGAGGTGGCATGTATTCGATCTCTCGCTCGAGAACATTCTCCTCGGCCGGGACTGTGGTCGAAGCATGAACTATGATCTTCGGGTGGGCACGACGGGGCTTGGTGGCGCTGTTGGTTGGAGGAGGCTTCGTGACAGTGGGTTGGAGAGCAGCGGCTTTGACGTTTGTGGTTTTGTTGCCGAGAGGAGCACGGGTGCGAGGGTCTATTCTGTCAGTCAAATGTTGCTGTGTAGGAGAGTGGGTGATGTTGGTCGGGCATACTGGCTGGCGTCACAAAGGCATTACGGTCGGGTTTGCCTCCAGCTCCAGCTTTTCCAGGGAGTTGGAGGGCATTCTCGTCGCCATCCTTCTTGCCTGCACCTCGAAATGGAGTTTTGCCGCTGGGCGTTTTTGGAGCGAGGGATTTGATGTTTTGCGGTTGATGAATCGCGTTCTCTTGGTTGGCTCGCGCGGCAAACATGTTTGTCCTGTGCTGTGGAAATACACGAGGAAGATGTGTTGATGGAGACGGAGATGTTGCACGAAGCTCTGTTTACCGTTGCTTACTGCTTTGGGCCTTAGCGTGATGGGATTGGCGGGCGCGAACTGAACCCTGTCCCTGAAATGTGTGGGCGGGCACGAGCTGCACGAGATAATAGACAACTCCACCACGGAAGCATCCAACCCGCAGCAAACAAGCCACGCAATTCCAAAGTTCCGCCTGAACATCGCCCACAACACCCCAGCTCGCTTGCACTCCTCATTCTACATCCACACACACGGCAGCCATGGATCAGATCAAGAAGGTGCGATCCATCCCTCCCCACCGCCTCCCCTCCCCTGCCCCTCACCACTCCTCCCCTTCCCCCTCCGTTTCAGCACTAATTTCCCCCGCTCCAGCGCATGAATGCCCTCCGTATCGAGGCCGACGAGTCCGCAGGCAAGGTCGAGGAGTTGAGCGCCAAGGTCAAGACACTGGAGCAGGAGAACCTGTCCAAGGAGCAGGAAATCACCTCACTCCAACACAAGAACAGCATGCTCGAGCAGGAGGTGGAGAAGCTGGAGAAGATGCACGGCGAGGCCAAGAATGCCGCCGACGAATCCGCCCAGCACGGCACGCAAAACGACGCCTTGACCCGCAAGCTGCAGCTGCTCGAGGAGGAGGCCGAGGAGAACGACAAGAACCTGCGCGAGACAAACGAAAAGTACGTCGATCCTGCTGCAAGTGATGACCATCCCAGCAACGTGGTGTGGATGAGCGATGGACGGGGTGGAGTGAGGCATGTGCTGACCATTTCCCACGATAGGCTTCGCCAAACGGACGTCAAGGCGGGCCACTACGAGCGCAAGGTGCAGGCTCTTGAAGCTGCCCGCGACCAGTGGGAGACCAAGTACGAGGAAATGTCCAAGAAATACGCCGAGACGAAGAAGGAGTTGGATGACTTTGTCGCCGAGATTGGTAACATCTAGAACTCCTGAAATGCACCAATCTCCCAGCACATCCTCTTCCTCCCTTTTTCACCCCACCGACAATGCATTCATGACGACTTGGTGGCTGATGATGATGCTTTGGAGACTCGCACGCGGCTTCGCTTTCAGTCGGCTCGGCTGCCCGGCCCAAGGCGTCCATGGTCAAGAAGAAGTGATGAAGCGGGAAGGATGTGCTTCTTCTTTACCCTTTTCCACTTTCACGGAGATGGACACGCGGATAGACGCATGAGCATGGATGGGGCAAGCGAGTGGAAAGGCAGCTGTTAAATCGATCATGCATGCACAAAATACCCCAACACTACTGTCAACCTTTTCTGAAATCCGAACATAGCGCGTCATGTGCGTACATCATTCCGAGTGTGAGCGGCGAGACTTGTAAGATGGCTTGTAAGAGGACTGACAAGACGGAAGGCAAGGTAGAGTATAGATCGCCTCCCAATACCATCACAGTTTCGACCTTCCTCCTCATTAGATCGAAGACACCCGAACGCAGTCCGTCTCGTCAACTACTTCAAATTCCAGTCTCGATCGCTTCCATCGCAACAAAATTGCGACACTCCCACGCCAAAGGATTTCCTTTCACAAATCATCCCCTTAGGTTCTAATCAAACGGCAATTGACCGAATCATGCACCCTTGATCCATCACTGCAGAAGACACACTCCCAGGAGTAGTCCGCGGCATCGAAATGCATTGGTTCGAAAATCGTAGGATCCAACTCGAGCACTGGCGGAGAAGATTCCTTTCCGGACGGTGTGGAGGATCGCTTGCAGACGGTACGAGCACGGGAGCTGACTGTTGAGCGGATGCTGAGGCGGGATCTTTCGACACGGGTAGAGACGGTGCTTGGCTTAGTGGTACTCCCGTTCGAATGGTTTTGGGAAGGTTTTTTTGGCCGTGTGTGAAGATCTGGAGGGGAGTCAGTGTGAAGGGATTGAAGCTTGGGTTGGAGGAGGCGTACTTTTTGAAATGCATGGTGGTGATCTAACTGGAGTTTTCGCGGAGGAGGGGGTGGTGGTGGATGTATGGGTCAGCGTTTTGAGTTGAAGAGATGGAGATGATAGTTTTACATGTGGAAAATGCGAACTGACTTTCGCCAGATGTTCTCTATTCGTCCGGGACGTCCTGAAAGTCTACGTGGGCGAGATTTTGGGTACGGTGAGTGGCGGCCTTTTCAAGGGAGGCCTCCGTACATACGACGGAGCGCTCTACATATGGTCTTGGAAGTCACTGTATCGAGCAGGTGGACATAATTACCAGTATAGTCGTTTTCAGACATTTCTTGTGCCGAGACATGGACTTTCAGCTGAAAGCTTGGCGATCCAAGGAATCAAACACGAGTGAGCCATCCGCATCCTTCGTAACCTTTTGAACGAAAGACGGTTAGTTCAACATTATACCGCTGCGAGAGAAACCAACCAACTTTGAGAAAAATCTGGCAAACCATGCCTGAATCTCTTGCACATCCGAATATCCTCCCACTACCATCGTCTCTCTCTCTCCATCTCTCTTCACCCACATACCAAGGATTTTAAAATCAACTCCAAATACTTTCAAGATAGCATTATCAACATCCAACGACAAGAGGGTATCCCGCAACGACGCATACACACTCCCACAATCAAAATGGATTCCCAACCGTACCTCCGCTCCTCTACCCGCACCACTCCCTGCCAAGCATGTCTCGAAATCTACTACCACTCGAAATCAGTCTGGAGCCGATACATCTGGACAGCAACCCACATTCTAGATCATGGAGTCTCGCTCTGCTGTCCCGACACCACCACGACCAGCAACAACAACAGCAACAACAACAACCACGACGACTCTAGAAGCCCGTTCACTCGAGCGAGATCCATCACCTCGGAAATCTCAGAATTAGACCTCAACGAAAGTGGAGTTGGTCAGAATACCGTTTCGGATAGCCCGGAAGATGCGTCTGTCAATCCACAACAAGACACTGTGCTTGCCAAGGCGAAGAGAGAGGATAAAAGGTATACGTGGAAAGATTGGAATTGGTGGAAGAAACTAAGCAATTTCTGCGGTTGGATGTGGATGAAGAAGAATCAAAAGGTTGATGCCGTGAGGTCGAAGTCGGATGGGAAAGAAAGACGGAAGGAGGATGTGTGTGGAGATACGGGTGGTGCTGTTGAATTGGAGTGCTTTGGGGAGGGATATGATTCTATGGTTGTGTGTGGTGTTCATGGAAAGGAGACGGGGAAGTGTGATTTGTGATTTTGGAATGTATCGGTGGGATGTCGTGGAGTTGGGTAAGTAGATTGGCTTTGGGAGATGGTGTGAATTGCGATGTATGCTAGCTAGTATGGCTGTGATAGAATATTTGACGTTGAGAAAACTTTTTTTTCCGAACGAATTCATGTAGTTGACGTTGGTGCTTGTTACTGGAGCGGTGATCTCACATCGGGTGTCTTGGTTAGTATGAGCCGCCTTACATCCTTGTTGAAGCCAAGACGTGTATTGTGATGTGGAAGAGTCATGCATGAAGGCATTATTGTCGTATACAGCCCTGATTTCACATCTTCAGATTCTCCACCTCCTGTCTCAACTCCACGACAACTCCAGCATATACTTTACTCCGCAACTTGGCATCCCCAAGATCAGTAACCCGATGATCGAAATCACATCGTATACACCTCCGCACGACGTCTCCATATCGCGGTCCAGAGACGTGGTATACAACGTCGATCAGCCGATCTGCTGTAGTAAAGTCCGCATTGTCGATACCGAACCTTGCATCATCGTCGATCTTGAGCTCATCAAAAGAAGATTCGAGAGCAAGCTCAATCAACAGGATCCCGAGCGCGAAGATTGTCTCTTCTCGTATAGGTTGGCAGGGTTGGAAGTATGATCGTGCGGACGGAGATGCCGTTTGGATGATGGGTGCGACATCCGCCGAGATGAACACATTCTCGACATCAAGGTTCCCAGCGWGTTCAAACAAGAGAATCTCGCTTGTACCCCACTGCTTGCCTAGCCATGGTGTGTCGTACAGTCCCAGCATGCCCGCCGCTAGCCCAAAGGCGAGACTCCTTCTTTGCAGAAGGCTCAATGTGCGCTTACTTTGTTGCTTGATGATGTTGTCCAGAGTCAGCGCTGTTGCGGCTGGTTGGCTCAGAATAGGCTTGCGAGGCGAGAAAAATCCGTGCCGGCACATTCCGACGTTGTCGCAAATGTAACCCCAGCAAGTGTCATGATCGATCTGAGTACTACGCCATGCTTTGAGGCTTTGACAGAGATCCTTCACTTCCCGAGCCTGCGTAGGTGTAAGGGCTGGGTTGGACGTCGCGGCGGGGTCCGGAAGCTGGATCCGGATAGTTTTGTTGGGATGATGCGTAGGATTGGGCTGGGTAGAGAGTGTTCGAATCTCAGCCTCTTCTAGTAGCCATGGCGGTTGCGTCATCCCTGTGTGAGTCCCGTCGTGATGTAACATGATCCTAATGGATGCTGCTTTCGCCGGCCTTATGTACAGGCTCGCCTTATGTGCGACTAGACAAGAGCTTGTAAGCCCGTTCTGTAGTGCTTCGAACAGACTTCTCGCTTGCTCGCGATCTTTTTCAAGATCTGGCGCTTGTCTCTTGGCATCTCGCAGAGGCTCTAGGATGTGCGATTGCTGGGTGAGGCGGTGTATACGTTTGTTTTGAGCAGTGATCTCGTCCATGAGATCCATGTAGGAGCTAAACTTGAAGGTAAAACTTGCACGCTTGTATGAATCCTTGATCGACCACTGGTCCAGAGCAAACGGACCCTACTAATGTCAGCGAACATCGGCATATGACTGCCGAGCTGGCCCACCTTGCCGGCAGCATTGAGCTGCAATGCTTCGTGTAGATCCCTGACAGCTTGTGCCATGGCCTTCACGGCRCTCAAATAGGTAGTGTACGATCGACCGAGACGAGCCTGCAGACCAAGATCCAGCCGAGCGTCCTTCCATCCACTTGTGTTGTTGACATCGTTCAGCATGGTCGCTAAAAGCTGGTCCGAGACATCATCTTTCAGCAATATCTCGATGGAATTCAAGAATATGTCATTCTCGGTCTCCAGAATCCTCTTCAGTCGCGTGAACTCGCGTGAAGAATGCTTGAATTTGCGAATCAGTCTCACGCCCTCGCCATAGTGTTCTAGACCGGAAACAACAAGCGGTATAGCCCCGAGCACGAGGCCAGCTACCTCAATGCCGGACATCAACGCATGCGTCAAATGGTCTGCGTGCAATGTATTGGTAGCTTCTGCGATGCGCTATTCGCTTGACAGTTGGGAGGGAGGTGAGAAGTAAGAAGGTCTCGAATAGAGTTGGAGACGAAGCACGAATACCGGTAGCCTGCAGCGTGATCCTCCATGCAGTAGCCTCTACGAAGCTCCATTGACCTGCAGGTATAGTGCGGCTGAGGATCTCCACCTCGCCGAGATTGCCTTACGCCCTCGCATCTGCCTTGATCTTTCCATCGCCGACATGGACATTGCAGACAGTGTACAGCAGTGTTTGACAGCCTTTACGCAGCTGACCGACACCTTACAAGACGGCGATGTCTTTGAGCAGCTTCTCAAAGAGCATGGCCGATTCAAAATCTGGATGGGCAATCTCTCTGCGCAGAGGGCGTCCGGCACTCGCTCGCTAGAATATCGTCTGCGTGACTCGCAGAATCTCAAGAAGAGAGTGTTGAGCCTCCTGGAAGACCTCAGTGAAGAGTTGCGACGATGTGAGTGATGGCAAGTGATTGACCTCGAGTGAATGAATGGTTGCGAGGGCGAGAGAACAGAGGACTGACTGGAATGTGCAGTCGGGCAAGACGAGAGTTTCAGTTCTCCCGAAGATTCAGCGGATGACAGCGGCAGCGACGGCGACAGCCTGGAACTTCCTGACGACCAGCTCTTACTCCCAGCCAATGACCCGTTACGGGACATTCGTGATATTGTCGATCTGCTGTATCGGTTCGCGTTGACACTTCGCAACCCGGCAGGTCACTCTCGTATTCGCGATGCCTTTTCCAGCTCCGCTGTTGTACGTACGCCGAAACATCCTCCATGCAAGCATCACTGACCCTAGACTGTTAGGGATATCACCCATATGATGTGCGTCATCTGGAGAGCAAGTATCCTGCTGCGGAGTCATGGCTCTTAGAACGGCTGGCGCGGGCAATGTCCGTGTGGCGCCAGTATATCAGATATCGTGAGGATCATTACGATAAGAAAGCAGCCGACCCCGACGAACAGGATGGGACGACCACGCTAGCTACCTCCATCCCAGGACAATGGAGCTACATCAATGCTACTGGCAGAGGCCAATCTCCTTCCAAGACCAAGTCGATATACAGTGAGACTTCCTACGCCACTACAACGTCAGGAGTCGCACAGCTTCGGCCTCCACGTATGCCCGCGGCAGGGACCGATGGAAATCCATTCCAGTGCGAGATATGCTGTAGCATAGTCTCTGTTGACAACGAGAAATCTTGGAGGTAGGTCTGATGTAACCGCATGCACGTTTGGACGGCATTCTGAACTTTTCCGCAGAGCGCATGTCTTTGAAGACGTGCCTCCTTACGTATGCTTGCAGAAATCATGCGCCACAGGCAACACTCTGTTCTCTCGACGGAGAGATTGCCATAGGCATACAATGAAGACTCATCATCAGCTCTGGGCATGTCCGCTCGGCTGCAAGCTGGACTTCAAAGAACGAGAATCGCTGATGGAACACATCTCGTTTGCGCACAACCGTGACTACGAGCCGGAGGACTTGCATGGCTTACTAGAAAGCTGCGCAAAGTCAGATGAGACGACGTTCGACTTGCAGTGTCCACTATGTAAAGAAGCCTCTTGGTCACCACAGCTTTGGTTCAAGCACGTGGGTCATCACTTGGAAGAGCTTGCATGCTACACTTTACCCGCGAGAGTTTATAGCGATGAGGCTGAGATGGATGTTGGGTCGGAAGAGGAATCGCAGCCCAGTCTTGAGGGTGAAATGTCAGAGCAGCGTTCAGCAAGGCGAGACAGCCCGCCACATAGTCAAGGTCTTCAGGAGGCTCTCAGTGGACATCAACCCGTACTCAAACAGGCTGCGCCGCCTGTCCTAGACGGAGATGAGGACTATCGTCGTCGCATGGATCAGCTCCGAATTGGAATGGAACCATCCGGACATCATGACTCAGTCGTTCACTTCGACCGAGAAAGGCGTCGAAGAGAGCAGTATCAAGACGAACGATCAATGCGGAGCGATGATACGACACACATGGTTCACGACTCGGGAGAAGCGCTCCACTCGGTCCCACTACCGACCATCGTTATACAACCTCACACGCCAAGAAGTCGCGTGCACGTTGATTATGACAATTATGGTGGTCGCCCGCGCCGTGATAATGAAGCAAATCACGAGAGACAAGAGAGCAGAAAGCCGAAGGGCATTCTCAAAAAGCCAACTGCGAAGTTCAGTGAAGATTAGAACGATGTTCGCGAACCAGTCGCTCCACCGAAAGAGGTACGTGGCCCTCACCGACCGCAAGATCATGCTGACTTTCTGAAGAAGCAAGGAATTCCACCCGGAGCGCGCTGGACCAAGATCGACCGTCGACTAGTGAATCCCGAGGCTCTTGATGCAGCCGGCGAACGCTACGAGGAGCGCCTAGACTGTGTTGTCGTACTCCGCACCTTGACCAAGGAAGAAATACAGGCATTAGCAGACCGCACGATGGAAATTGAGGGTAGGTCGCATCTACTCTCCCTTGTAACTTTTGCTGATTTGGTCGACGATAGAGCTTCGCGAGAGATCAGAGGATCTGACAGCAAAGAAGCACTCACCTGAGGATGAGGAGCCAAGTACTTGACTGCCTGGAAATCATGGCGAGAACAGTAGGTCTGAGGTATACATTCCGGCTTTACAGCACACCTGAGATGAAGGTTCTGGAGGGAAGACACAGTAGCCTCAGCTTGGCTGTAGGAGGTACTCCAAAGCATAGAGACTTCCATACATAATGCGCTGGCAAATTACAGGATCGAATGACAAGGACTATGTCTTCTTGTAATATTTATCAATGCATGCTACACATACATGTACACCATACTTTACATCTACTCCCTAGTTGAGACCTCTAATGTATGCTGTATCGTTGCCCAGGTGCAGGTGCATTAATTGATTGATTGGTGGAAACCCACGCGACGCTAGCCAATGTCAAGAAAACCGCTCGTAACCGTTGAAATGGTGTGAACGGTTGTGTTGTGTCAAACCGTAGAACAACGGTTGAGTTGTGTAAACGGTTGATGAACCGTTGCTTGCGTATCAACGGTCGATGAACGGTTTATTTTGATTTAGGGGTTTATAGGATTTATTAAGTGTCTTGCCCTATTACCTCCGGACCTCCGCACTTTTATCTTAATTAATTACCACTATATTAAACAATTCAGAACACTACTACTACGCACTTAAATTACGCTCTAAATAGCTTAAAATCACCGTAATGCCTAGTAAACTTCCCCTACCGAAGCTTAATAAGTTGCTCCGCCGTCTAGAGGATATAGAGAAGGGGCTAGTAGCTATATTAGAAGCCCTTAAAATTAACCGTAAAACTATCTACCGGATACGCACCTCTATAGACCTATTCGGATAACTATATACACCTAAGAGCATGTTTAAAGGTCTAGTACTACTTCTAAGTTAATATTTCGTTGCTTAGTTGCTTAATTACCTTATAGAATAGCTAACGGCCTACCTCGATAAGATGTAGTACTTCCTATACGACACCTTCGATATATAGGCTTCTATTCCTACTATCTATAGGGCTATATATAAGGCTAGCTAGTTACGTAAGGCAGTAAAGAAGCGACTACGTTAATAAAACGATAAGCTCCGTATATACTAGCGTAACAAACGTAAGAGCTAGCTAATTAATCGCATCTACTATATAGATAAGAGCGTATAGAACGAACGATACGGTTAGCGCAAGTACGGTTAGTCTAAGAAGGGCACTAACTACGTAGATTAATAACTATAGGACCGTAGTAAGAGATAGAGTATCTTACTAGTAATAATAATAGATAGTTATCTCGAAGGAACCGAGATCTACTAAGGCAGCATTACCGGCGATGTCCTATATAACTAGCTTAAGGACACGGTTGTTCCTTAATTATCTATAGGATAGCTAATTGTCCTTAATAATGCGTCTACGTACTATAATATCCGTATTAGACGCCTCTACGCTAAGGCTAGTATCGAACTCTAGTTCCTACCTCCTTACTCGCCGGATTATAACTCTATTAAATAGTCCTTCTTAGTTCTAAAAGCGTTTATTCGACGCTATATTAAGGAAGCTAATATATTCGACAGCTATCTACACTTCCTTTAGTAGGCYATTAGCGAATATTATATAGATGCGGATATTACCGTAGCGTAGTTTCGATATAGTAGATTTCGCTAAGTTAAGTCGATTGCCGCTATTAGAGCCGGCTCCTTATTAATTGCCCTTATTTATCCTTATCGCTCTAGCCTATAGCTCCTTATTAGAACTTGTCTCTAATCCTAGATCTATRTCTATCGCCGTTACCGTTACCGTTGCTATTACTATAGGCTAGTCGTATTATATATATGTAGGAAGCTCTACATCTTTAAGTATAGATATCCGTTTATTAAGTCTATCTATTCGTATAGATATCGATCCTATCGTCCTTATTACCTACTCTAAAGTCTCTTAAATTGCCGCAAGCTATTTGTCCTTAAAGATAACCGCGAGTTCTTCGTAGGTTAGTAGGGTAGGGAACGGTAAGGACGTAGTAATTAGTAGTAAGGACGGTAGAGCGCGTAGTAATAATATATCGACCTGTCGAATTCGAGTTATTAATGTTTCCTAAAGGTTAGACTTAGGGGCTTACTACGGTCGATAAGTCGTAATAGATGTTATCTAAATTACTTATATATATAGCTAAAAAGGGACGTGCGCGACGTAGGCAATTGTTTAGAAAGATTAGTAGCGCTTATGTAGTCGCGCGTTAGGCGAAGTTAAAGCTAAATCCTCGAAAGTTCCCCGCGGGGATGCTAAGAATACTAATCTACTAGCGTTAAACCCGCGTACTATGCTATTGCGCAATATCCGTATAGTTTAAATTCACTAAATAATTACTTAAAATTCGAGCTCGTTAAGAGCTACAATTTAAGATGCTGTTAACTAGATTTAGTAGCGTAGTTATAACATAGTAATTTATAGACTATATTAGGTTAGTTAGCTAGCTTTATAGCTTTACGAGTCTCTATATAGGCTTTAAAAAGTATGGATTTTGCCTACCCTACTATAATAACATTATTTTATAACATATAGTATGCAACGTAATACATGTTCTTAGAGAGCTCGATCCGCTAAAGAAGCTCGAAGAAAAATCGCATAAATCGGACCGCTACGTAAAAAGCTATAGGACGTTAGAATCTACACTACCTAAGGCGATCCTATCGATAACTCCCTACTATTATAGTTCCTTTATCTTTATCTATACACGTACTAAGTTCCTTAGATATTACCGCTATCCTTCCTTAAAGCCGTTATTAATCTACTACTCTCGAGTTACATCTATTAAGGCCTTAAGACTAAGATCCTTCTATATAAAGTAATCCTATATATTATATAGGTCGTCCTAACGGTTGTGTTTAGTCTAATAATCCTACACTAAGATAAAGTTAATATAGTCGACAAGCTAGTTAAGTGGATTAACTAAGGGCTAGCGAACTTGGCTTAATAGTAGCTCTGTAATTATAATAGGATGTAGCCGCGGCGGTAAGTTCTCTTTATCGCTCTAAGGWACACTACTAACGTAAACATACGTTATATTGCTACTACTATCGTTCTAGCTCTTCTTACGCTTCGAATTGCCGTTATAATTAACGCCCTTACGAGCCGCGTAAGTAAGCTTCTATATAATAATAGCTAGTAGCTCGAATTTATTAACTATTCGAATGCTCGGATCCGGCTTATTAAGAGCCTAGTTTAAAAGGCTAATTTTAATTGCCTTAGCCTACTTAAGAGCGGTGTTCGTTATAAGTAGATAATGTTCTTTAACGTGTTCTTCGCTATGTTTAATACTACGAGGGAACTAATAGCTATTGCCTTAGTTTAGACACTTGTCTTGCTTATATATCTATATCTCGTAAAGGCGGAGTTTATAGTTACCGTTCTACTCTAGACGAACACGCTCTAAACGTATAGCCGCGAGTTAGTTATTAGTAGCAGTTTTGCGAGGACGCTATATACTTAGAGCTGCTATTTAACCGGTTAGAGCTAGTATTACCGAAACACTACTCTTAATACTAGTAGCTATTAGTGTCTATATATAAGAGATAAACATCTATAGGTCTCGGTAGCTTAGGGAGTTCTAGATACTTAACTGCTTTATTACGTAATGCTTATAGTCGTAGTTAAGTGCATCTAACTAAGAGGGCTATATATTCTTTGCTAGTTTAGCGTAGCAAATAGTTAAGAGCGGCTTATATGTTATATTATCGTATAACGGTTCCCTTCTTATTATATCCTTATTAACTAACTCGTTATGCTACTTCTCGAAGTCCTTTATTATATCTAGATCCTTCGTAGACCTATAGGCCGGATTAAGCTTTATAGCGACTCGCTCCTTGCCGTAATAGATAGTCTATAAGACGCTATATATAAACGGCTAGTTCGTGTCGATAATAGGACGCCTTCGCTATATACTTAGTAGCGGTAGTTCTTCCTTAACATTATTATCTTTATTCTTATTCTTATTCTTACTAACGAATAGCGCCTTATCCGCGACATCTACCTCTTAAATTAGCTCCTTACTAATATTAACTTCTATAGGTCTAGCTCCGGCTCTATTAACTCTATTAACACGGCCGGTCGAACGGCGCTTCCTTAGACGTTACTCTATCGCGACCGCGGCGCGCTTCTTTAACGATTACGACTTCTTTACGCTCTAAGTAGCCTTACTCTTACCTTTAGATAGACTAGCCTTCGGTGTTCGCGGAGTAGTAGTAGCAGTAGTAGTAGTAGCATCTTAAGCCTTCTTAGATAGACGCGCTCTACGTAGCGTATTACTACGAGAAGTACGCGCTAGAGCCGCCGGCGGCGTACTATACACTAAATTTTCGGCTATTTCGACAATATCGTCCTTTTTAATTACTACTAGGAAAAAAACACGAGATTAAGAAGGTTGTTATAGTTAGAACATTGGTTATAGGCCAAATTTTAGTGTAAAGCTATGTTTGGCGGATAAAGCCGGTTGTGGGGACCCTGATGGGGCAAGCTACCTGATAAAGAGTGTATTCGGAGGGTTAGGGGTTTATTCGGAGATATACTTTGCTGGGAGGAAGCCATGTCTACCTACTGTACCGTAGGTACGACATGACATTTATTGTAAGAGACCTACCTACTGGAGAGCGTACAGTATGGCTAGATTGATGATATTCGCATCTCCTACACAATGGAAGAAATTTGAAAGAATCGATTACAATCACCATGGATCCAATTCTACATAATCACCTCCCATGAACCTCGCACATACATGTCCCAACGAAAAACGCCCAAAGATCCAATCCAATCCAGACTTTCTCTCAATTCTCCTCAAAAACTAATAAGAGCCCGCAGTAATAGCCAGAACAGTGGTTCTCTTCTCACAAATCTTTGGACAAGGCACACACGTACCTCCAACCAACCCACTCGTAGTCGTCGCACAGCTTCCAATCGTTGTACTAGTGGCCCCAATAGCCAATGTACTAGCGCAGCCCGCACTATAAGGCAGATCAAATACACCATACTGCTGGCAGAGATTCTGTGCGAACCTCACCACTTCTGCCTCTCCTGCTCCGTCGCAAGAAGTGCTGACGCAGCAGGATAGTTCGTTCAAGAGGGGTTTGTTGCTGCAGATGCAGGTTACATCCAATGGAGAGCAACCGCCATAGCAGGATGAAGAGGCGTAGGAGGCGATGCAGGGTTGAGCGCATGGAGGGAGGCCGGTTGGGGTTGCAGTTGCGGATGTTATGAGTGCTGTTGAGGAGCAGCCGGGAATGGTCGAGGAGGGGATGGCGAGACCGTTGGAGGGAGTCGTTGTTGGAGCGCAGGAAGCGGATTCCGGGAGACTGTAGACTCCATATTGTGCGCAGAGGGCATCGGCGAAATTGCTGACGGCTGTTGTGACGTGTTAGTAAGATGTCTTTACCAGATTTGGGAAGACTGGGGATGTGTTACCTTCTTGTCCAGCTTCATCRCATGTCTGAGCGACACAGCACGAGAGGCTATCTACYAGAACAGTGTTGCTGCAGATGCATGCCACGTCTAGCGGGCTACAGCCTCCGAAACAGCTAGTCTGTTCGTACGTCGCAATGCAAGGCTTGGCGCATGGAGGTAATGCGCTGGTGGGAATAGGCGTAGCAGTGATTGACGCAGTGGTAGATGCGGGCACGCTAGGTGGAGCAGTAACCGTGCTGGATGTAGACGAGGGTCTGGGGATCTGATCCGTGATGCTCTCCAGGATGTTGCCACATGTGCTGGCCGTGGGCGTCACAAAGTTGGTGGAAGTAGTAGTGGGAGATTGGTCGATGAGTGTTGCACTTGGGGTCGCACTATACGCAGGTGCGGTACAGCCAGCGCTTGTCGGAAGACCGAAGTACCCGTAGCAAGCACAGAGTGCACGTCCAATCGCCATGATTGCCATGAGCTCCATGTTAGAGCTGCAGCTCAATGCCAAACAGCAGGAGTAGTCGGCAATGAGATCGTTGTTGCGACAGATGCAAGAGACATCCATCGGATCACATCCCTGAAGATCGCTCTCCGCGAGACAGTTCCTGGCGCACTCGGGAACTCTGATTGGAAAGGTGTTTGTTGGCGCAACAGAGCTGATAGTGGTGGTCGCTACTTGAACCGCAGAGCTGGTCGAGCTGGATACTGGAGGTACATAGCTGGGTGGAATTGAAGCTTGGATCGAGCTGGACAGGAAGGTGGAAGACGAACTCGAGGAAACAGGGTAGCAGTCTCCATACTCGATTTGGCATCCGGGTCCGCAGAAATCGTCGGTACTACCACATTGATTGTTTGCGCTGCAGCAGTTGCCGAAACCACTTCCATAACAGCTTTGACCGCCGTAGACGGGACCACACACTGCGCGATTCACAATTCCGATAGAAGTTGAGAATGTCGCAGTGCTTGAAGAAGACGAGCTGGAGCTTGGGCTAGATGATATTGAGCTGATCAAGGTACTGCTGGTGGTTGTCGTCGTAGTCGTTGGGAATGGCGTTGTTGTGGTGGTGGTGGTTGTAGTAGGGAAAGGGGTTGTCGTAGTAGTTGTAGTACCCGGAAACAGTGTGGTGGTCGTGGTTGTAGTAGGGATTGGAGTAGTTGTAGTTGTGGTCGTGGTCGGAATGGGAGTTGTCGTGGTCGTAGGAAACGGCGTAGTTGTAGTAGTGGTCGTGTCCGGGAGAGACGTTGTTGTAGTAGTAGTTGTCGTGTCAGGGAAAGATGTTGTAGTTGTAGTTGTTGTCGAAATGGGAGTYGTCGTGGTCGTTGGAAACGGCGTGGTTGTTGTAGTGGTTGTGTCCGGAAAGGACGTAGTTGTAGTGGTCGTCGTATCTGGCAAAGATGTAGTCGTGGTGGTTGTTGTATCCGGAAATGAAGTGGTCGTTGTGGTAGTAGTCGGAAATGGCGTAGTCGTCGTTGTGGTAGTCGTATCAGGGATTGAAGATGAACTCTCAGTCGTGCTAAATACCTCTGACGAGGAGCTCGAGCTGGAGGACGTAGACGAGATCTCAGAGCTTGAGGATGAAGAGCTCACTGGGCAGGCTGGAAGGGGAGTATCGCAAAGACCGTACGTAGATTTACAGTCAGCGCCACAGTACGCATCGCCAATTCCACAAGATCCCTAGGGAAAGTTAGTATTTGCTGGACCACCAGCTCGGGACGACTCACGTATTGACTGCAACAAGGCCCGAAATCTCCGCCACAAATGTAATCGTTATTGTCCGGACCACAATATCCATTCGGTGTGAGTCCTCCGCTTTGAGTTGCAGTAGGTGCAGCGGCTGTCGAAGTCTCCGCTCCACTAGGGTACTGGGGAGGAACCGAACTTGGTATGTATGTAGGAGGCGTGGCATTGTCGCAACGTCCATATGTGGGGTCACATCCAGTGCCGCAGTACGCAGTGTCATTACCGCATGAACCATATTGACTGCAGCAATCACCAAAGACCGACCCACATGTCCATCTGCAGGAGAAGGTTGGTTAGTACATTCATCGACCGCAACGTTACAACGTATCGCCTCGACATACCCGTTGTTCGTAGCTCCGCAGTATCCGTTTGGCGTTGGGGAACCGTCACAGCGCCCATATGCGGGATCACACCCTAACACGAGATGTCAGCCAATATTGAAGATATTCACGGCATGCATTGTCATACCGAGTCCACAATAATCGGTGGTATTTCCACAGGCTCCATATTGTGAACAACAGTCTCCAAAGTTACTGCCACAAATTGCGTTATTGCCTGTCACGCCACAGAAACCATTCGTCGTGGTGCCGCCTGCAGTAGCACAACGTCCAAAGCCAGGATCGCATTCGCTGGGGGCACAGTAATCGCTCGTACTTCCACCTAGAGAGTACAAGAGTTAGCACAGGTGCCATGTCTTCCAAAGTTCGCGCAAACTCACAAAAGCCGTAGATGCTGCAGCACTCCCCAAACCCATTGCCACAGTTCAGGCCGTTATTGATACCGCAGACGCCATTGGTAGTCGTAGTGGTGTCGCTTGCAACAGGCGGGGTGGTGGCAGTAGTGCACGTCAATTGCTCGCTACTTGACACAGACTGTTTCCCGTCAGCACTTGCGTTACTCTTTAGACAGGCTGAAACATACCAGAGTAGGAGAAGGAGTAGGCGTGGTTGTCGTCGTTGTTGTTGTAGGGATCGGTGTCGTGGTCGTAGTTGTAGTTGTAGTTGTAGTGACAACACCTTTGACGCCCAGGTTCGAACCATCGGTCACGGGGAATCTCGTGTTTCCAGGGTTTGAGACGGGCTTGATATAACAGGTGCCGTCACGATAAACCACGGCGCCGCACTGAAGGCTGTTCTCGCAAAACACGAGGCACTGGTCGAACTGTAAAGTTGGAGTGTAAGTCATTGAAAGCTTTCTCGTAGTACAATTGTGGGTTGATTTACCGAAGTGGCAGTACGATTGAACGTACCGCCTCCGATATCGTAATTGCAATAGATAGTATACACACTGGCTCTCTGGTCTCCATTGACAGTGACAGCGGTCCCATCCGCCGCGTCTGGACATGTAGCGGMTGTTCCGGATCCGTAGGGTGGTGCGTTCTGTGCGAAAATGAGGGTAGAGAAGAGGGAGAGGGAGAGCAAGACCTTGCCTAGGCTTGGCCTTCCTGAGAAGCGCGTGGTTGCAGCCATGTTCTTTGGGCGACAACAGCGAGCTGGTAGAAGAGAAGAGAAGTGCAACAGAGATGAACGTGTCGAAGCGCATACCAGGTGCCTACTCTACTAGCAACCGATGGAGGCGTTGTATCCCTCGTTCGCAATCCAGCGACGCGACTGAGGAATGTGACAACATCCCTTGACGGATCGCTTTTGGATCGAATCTTCCCAGACTTATCATTGGTAGTTTTGAGAGAGTTTGAAATATAATTCCAGCCTATTGTAGGTGGCAATGGAATGGGCATTCGCGGACGTCGCTGGTGCTGTAGAAGCATGTTGAAGGGCCTCGACATCCACCTCATAGTGCACTCCCAAGTACGTCCAAAGCGTCAAATGCGGTTTGCAAACATGGCCTGGAATTTCAGAGCAGTGATATAGAGCGCAAGTAACGAAGAGCATGAGTCTGCTTGTTAGTGGGAAAACGGGCGTTGAAGACATATAATGGTCGGTGGCGAGGTGAAGATGCAGGTGCCCAGGTGATGGTGATGAAGACGGGACGGGGAGCTCAGAGATGGTCCAAGCTCGTCGACTTCGCATCACTGTCCATCAACATCCCTCGATGCTCTATTCTCCCACACAACACAACCTTTCATCATGCTGCTAAGACAATCCGGAGCCTTGCTGGTAGCTGCCACTGCGGCGAATGCCCTTCGTAACGCCAGCCCTTTCTTCCTCCTCTCCACCGAAGCGTAAGAAGTTGCTGCCCTTCCCCCATCTGCCCACCAGCTCACCCATATCTGCAGTATCAAGTCCGACTCCCCCCTGCAGACCTCTCAACTCTCCACCGCCGCACATGTAGAGGAGAGTCTATTATCAGCCCTCGACGACTGTGCCGCCTCCCTCTACATCCTCGTCGAGCAAGCCGGCGCACACGCCTCCGATCTGCGCGATGGCAGCGTCATGCCTGCGATGCAGAGACGAATGGCCAGTGGGGACTATCGCAGCGTTGTACAGGTGCCAGAAGTGATGGGAGAGATGGACACGATCAGAATCGCAGACTCGATCAGCAGAAAATGCAATCTGGAGCGGACCAACGTGCAGGAGTACCACAGCGCTGGCCGCAAAGGCCACTCAGCAGTGCTGGGTCCTCTCCAACTCCCCGTGTTGAAGAGCGACGTCGTGTTAGATGTAAGGAGGGAGATATTGAGCCAGGCGGATCTGAAGCTCGATGGACAGCTTGACTCTGTCCTGGCGAACCACACCTCTCATGTCATCATCTACGTATCCAGGTCTGCAGCGGAGGGCGAGAGGGCGCATTACGAGATGGATGAGCCTCCATACCATGCTATCATGCACACTGATCTCAAGAGAGATGTGGGCGAGGAGGGTGTTGAGGCTGCCAAAGAGACCAAGGAGGCAAACCCGCAGGATGGGTTGCCGCTTTTTGAAAAGTACCAGTTCCTCTCACCAGGTCAGTCGGATGCATCTAAATTTACGACGCTTGGAATGCTAACCTGGACCTTGCAGGCATCTTCATGGGCCTCACCATTAGCCTGCTCCTTGGCTCCATTCTTTACGTGGGAGTCTCTGCCATCGCTGGACTTGAAGTCTCATACATGGCGTTTAGCAAGGAGAACGGTCCTTCGGCGCAGAAGAAGCAGTAGTAGAGCGATTGTGCGTGTGTATTGAGATGTGTATTACAGAGACATGTACAACTGAAAGCATATTCCAGAATTCTTAGACGTAGAAAGAGGTACCCCCGGAGCTGTGCCTCTTTCGTGAAAGTATTAAGAAGCAAGCGGTTGCTGCATAAGGTACATACTCTGTGATCTCTCGCCTAATTTCCCATACTCCTAACCAGTGAACTCAGCAAACCAGGCCCAGAATGAACACATCAGACAATGCACAGCGTGAGTGCTGCATATGCGGCGGGTATCACGATCATTATGCGGACCAGGTTGTTGCACCCTGACTTCCGCTGCGATTGTAATATATGCCGAGTGAGTGAGTCGCTAGAATGTGGAGGGTCTTGCACTAGAAGTCGATTGCATGATGGCCAATGAATTGCTCATTGTGCTATCTCAGCCAGGAGATCATGCGAGGAGTCAGTGAGTTGATACGGAGTACAAAGGATGGCATAGCACGAAGATGCAAATAGCAGGGAGAGTCAAGAGCATGCCAAGCATTGTCATGACAGAACTACTTCAGGGGGCGTACGGAGTACCTCCTAGAGCAGTCTTCAATATGATGTTGTAGCTCAGTATAATCGGCATCACTATTTCGACTATCGGTGTTGCACTATTTATCTCAGCACCGCATCTGTTGACAGCTACTTGGATTGCATTGCTCACTCAGACGATCCAACGACATAAACTGCGATCTCCATAGAGACCGTGAGTTTTGACAAGGGTGTGAAACATATATAGGTCCGTGCGCCAGTACCCTTTCCTACCAACGACTCAGTGAATCGCTCTTGCTAAATAACATTTCATTGATGACGAAGATTGACGAAGATTGAGCATACTCAACTTTGTTTGCTACTTTATTCCGGAGTTCTCTCCCGAAGCAACATCGTTTACTGCGACGATGCCCACCAAACATCGCGACTTCTCGAGAACTACTAAATCGATGCCATCCTGAAGCCGCTTTGATGGAAAAGCAAACATTGACAGCTCTACCCACCGAGCACACGCCAATTTTGGAATCAGTGCGGACCTCGGGAGCTGGAAGTTTCATTCGTCGTCACCGCAAAATCGTGATTCCCGCTGCAATCATGGTTCTATTACTCCCATTGCTTGGTTTGATTGCCCTGAAGAATCGAGGTGCGAGAGCTGTCTATGTTTCTGCGGGCGTGTTTCCTTCACGTAAGTTCTGCGGGCCATTAGTCTCTGCCAGCATCAATGTAATTTCAAAATACTAATTGCGAACAGCTCAAGGCTATGGCGCGGGAAATTGGTCCGATGCATATGACAAAGCGAAGGTGATGGTTGGAAAGATGACACCTGAGGAGATGAACAATCTTACCATTGGATTCAGCACCGAGCATACAGGCTGCGTTGGTCTTTCTGGCTCTGCTCCACGCGTTGGCTTTCCTGGATTCTGCTTGCATGATGCGGGGAATGGTGTACGTGACACTGACGGCGTCAACGCTTATGCTTCTGGACTGCACATTGGAGCTTCTTGGAACGCGTCGCTTGCCTTTGAGCGTGCAGTATACATGGGAGCGGAGTTTAAGAAGAAGGGTGTCAATGTGGCACTCGGTCCGGTCGTTGGTCTGTCAATCTCTCCTCTGTTGATCTGCACAGCACACTGACTTCTATGCACAGGTCCCATCGGCCGCATTGCAGAAGGCGGCCGGAATTGGGAAGGGTTTGCAGCAGACGCCTATATGGACGGTATCATGGGAGCACAGTCTGTGCTGGGCTTGCAGCAGAATGTCATCGCGAGTGTAAAGCATTGGGTGGCCAACGAGCAGGAGACCAATCGCAACCCGATAACGGTCGACGACAAAACCACACCGAGCAGCAGCTCAAACGTGGACGATCGAACAATGCACGAGACGTACATGTGGCCCTTCCAGGATGCAGTACATGCTGGTATCAAAACTTTGTCATTACTTCCTTCAGCAGTACACTGACTCTTTACCAGGCGTCGGATCAGTAATGGGATCTTACAATCGCATCAATGGAACCTATGCATGCGAAAATAGCAAGACCTTGAATGGCCTCTTGAAAGGCGAATTGAATTTCCAAGGCTTTGTTGTATCCGACTGGTCCGCGCAGCACAGCAGTCTCGAATCYGCAAATGGTGGTCTCGACATGGCCATGCCCACATCTTCCTTCTGGGACAAGGATCAACTCTCGGAAGCTGTCAAGAGTGAGACTCTGAACGAAACCCGGCTGACTGACATGGCGATGCGAATCGTGGCGACGTGGTACCAGTTTGGACAAGACGACCCTGCTTTTCCCACCACAGGTGTAGGGCTCGCGCCAGATCTACTTGTGCCACACGAGTATGTCGATGCGAAGGATCACATGTCCAAGGACTCTTTACTGCAGCAAGCCATCGAAGGTCACGTCTTGGTGAAGAACACCAAATCTGCTTTGCCGCTCGGAAAGCTGCGCTTCATGTCCATCTTTGGCTACGATGCGGTTGCTCCCTCGACGTTCAACCCAACGCAGTCCATATTCGCTCAGAATTGGGAAAACATTGGACTAAATTCGAGTGGCCAGCAAGAGATCGCCATGAATGAGCCAGTCAGCGAGGCTCCTCAAAAGGCCATGGGGATACTGATATCTGGTGGAGGTAGCGGGAGCAATTCCCCTGCATACATCAACTCCCCTTACGATGCTCTCCAAGCACGAGCTTACGACGATGATACGTCAATCTACTACGACTTTGAATCGCTATCGCCAGCAGTGGTGTCCGGTTCCGATGCTTGTCTTGTGTTCATCAACGAGTACGCCTCCGAGGCCTGGGATCGGCCGGGTCTAGCGGACGAAGAGTCCGACGATCTGGTCAAGAGTGTTGCTTCGCAGTGCAATAACACCATCGTCGTTATCCACAACGCGGGCATTCGACTGGTTGATGCCTGGATCGACAATGACAATGTCACAGCCGTCATCTTCGCTCACCTACCAGGACAAGACGCTGGCCGCTCGCTCGTCCAACTGTTGTATGGTGATGTTAGTCCCTCTGGACGTCTTCCATACACTGTAGCGAAAAAACCTTCGGACTACGGCAATCTCCAGAGCTCGTGCGAGGATACCTCGGACGATCCGCAGTGTGACTTCTCCGAGGGAGTCAACATCGACTACCGCAGCTTCATAGCCCGAGATGTGAAACCACGATATGAGTTTGGCTATGGCCTCACATTCACCAGCTTTGAGTACTCCGGTCTTGACGTCGATATGAATGCCACATCTACGGCAAACGCCCCAAGTACAGCTCCCTACTACGTCAACGGGACGACCAACCAGAACGTTGACAGAGAAAGTGTCGGTGTTGGTGGTCTGAAAGCTCTCTTCAAGAAAGTTGGCACCATTACCGCCACCATTCAAAATACAGGCATGGTAGCAGCATCTGAAGTCGCGCAGTTGTATCTTCAAATCCCCATCCCAAAGGACGATCTTGGAAAGAACTCCAACACTCCGGTGTTGCGAGGGTTTCAGAAGGTGCACATCGAGCCAGGAGAGTCCGCGGAGGTCAAGTTCAGTCTGCGGATGAAGKATTGCGCATATTGGAATGTGCGTAACCAGACTTGGATTGTGCCTGATGGGGAATATGACGTTTATGTGGGGAGGAGCGTGTTGGATGTTCCGCTTGTTGGAAGCTTTACTTTGGAATGAAATTACTGTATAGTCTTTGAAGGAGAGGTTGGCGTCGTGGAGTTTGATAGTTCCGCCAGAAGAGCTGAATTTGACGAAATATTCCCATTACTGCAGATGCTGGTCTTTTAAGAATGATGACCRGAGAGTCGAATTGTCGGTGTTCTCGTTTGTAGGCTTAGTCTGTCAGAATGTTATATTCGAGGATCCTGGTAGCGATGAAGCGTCTACTGACGAAGGCTTCGGAGATAGTACCTTGGCCATGTAGTCGGTCGGAGTGACACTTCATAACGGCCATAACGCCACCTCGGCGAACTTGCCCGGTCGTGTTTCTCTCATTCGTCGGGCCAGTAGATGAAAAACGTCCAGCAAAGTTGTGGGCGTCCATTATTAGCTCGAGGGCTCCACCTGAGTCGCAGATGTTATTGGCCGAGATGGATGATCGTGCTCGAGAGGGCCCAGAAAATGTTGGGCTTCTGCCAATTCTCCCTGGAGAAAATAGCCATCAGGACCGAAGAACTACTCGCGACTCTTCAGCTTGGGTTCCTCGGTTACATCCTCCACCTTCTTCTCCTTTTTCTCATTCTCAACCCTCAATCTTGCGTTTTCCAGCATGAGTGCTTTCTCGCTCGGCTCCATGTAAAAAAGCCTGTACTCGACGCTGGCCCACGTTCTGTTAAGCTGTTGCGCGATGTGCATGGAATCGTGACCCGAAGCTTGCAGCGTCACCGCGCGTTCCAATTCTTCGCTTGTCCATAGTCGCCGGGCGCGCGACTCGTTGGCCAAGTCTCGAGCAGCAGAAATTTTACTTGTGCGCAACAAGTGTTTTTGCTGCACGACTGCCGGCATAGTTCTTCCAACAGCGCGTGCTATGTCGCTATTTTGCACCCCATGCGCTGTCAGACGCAGGACTTTCGCGGTCTCTGCCTCYGTCCAGGCGCCAATTTTCGGGACACTGGGAGAAGTGGTGATGCTTGTGCGAAGCTTTCGATATCGCCCTACCAAAGAATATTCGCTCCGCCCAGGTAGGGCTCTCATCACTGCGGTCCATGGCACTCTCGGCGCCTCCCTCAGTCTGAGAAGTTGCTCGTCTTCAGAGAGAGTCCACGGAGCCCCAGAAGAAGAAGAAGGCGATGCGACTCGGGAATTACGGTGGCGGTGCCAATTTCTGGTTAGAGTCATGATCGGTATGTGAGGAAAATAGGTTTCCTGAATGTGTTTCCACGACGGTCGATGTTTCTTTGTCGACCTTTGTCAGCTGAGAGGTTCAGGTGAAACGGCACTGAGGTCTCACGTTTTCTTTTGCCTCCGTTATACGATGGTAATCTGCATCATCCAATTGCTTCCCGGGCTGTGGGGTTCGCTGGATAAGCTCCGGACTCCTTGCCATAAGTTTGCCTATCTGGATCCCCGTAGCATGAAATGTGCGATGTGGTAGGCATGCTGAAATTTCCCGAACAGGAGCTCCATCGCCGCGCATTTTTATGATCAACTCATTTTCCTCTTGACTCCATCGGTGCAATTGACGCAATTGAATTGACAGTGATGGGTGGAATGTTCGAGACCACCGCGCTGTCCATTCTTTCGGACCATTCCAGCAATTGTTTAGTCTGAAACGTGGCATTGCATTGGATGAAATGCCACACAGTACCATTCTCCTGTCAGATATTGTACACCGGAAGTGTTGTTATCATCCTGCTGTGGGGTAGTGTGGAGATGATTGAGGCATGATGTTCAGGATGAGAAGCACGCGTCGCTGTTTTGGTCCGTGCGAACCGCGAGAGAACCTCAAAGTGTCCCACGACGAATCTCGCGGTGATGACTAAGGTACAATGTGAATGTAGGTATTGCTGTAGCGGCGGACACACAAATTTAGCATCTGATGGGCCGCAAAGCAGACCTGGGATACTTCAATAGGTACGATCATCACCAGACTTGCTGTAAATAAGAATCGTTCACATCGTTACTTTTATCCTATTCTAAGCAGAACTGCTCTTCTCGTAAGCTCCATGACGGCCTGCCGGGACTCCTGAGGCCCGACGAGCAGAGTGGGCCTGCACCCAGATGTAACAGCCACCCAAGATACAAGCGACGAGGAAGGCCTTCATAAGCATGCTCAAACCCTGGGCAGATGCAGTGATTACTGGAACAGAAGCAGCAACCTTGGCGATTTCAGTGACAGCAGCCTTCACAGGGCTGTCATCCTCATCGTCACCATCGACTAAAAACAAATTAAGTCAGCTCATCGTCAATCTCGACCAGCAGGATCGCACGTCTAATTGAGCAAGCCACTCCACAAAGTCAGACTGCCGGATGGATGGCTTCCAATACAAGGACACGCTCAGTGCACCGCTTTCGTCTGGACTCTGTGGAGAAGCAAGATGGGGAAGACGTACGCACACTGGCCTGCTCTACAACTCGGCGCGTTCACCTTCTGGAGCCACTTCGATCTCGCCCGACTTGGCAATTTTCATGGTCTCTTTTGGCTTATCCCCAGAACCCTTGGGGCAGTTCTCGATCTTCTCGACGATATCATAACCCTCGAGTACCTCGCCGAATACGACGTGCTTGCCGTCCAACCAGGAGGTGATGACGGTGGTGATGAAGAATTGAGAGCCATTCTGCGTGGAGTCAGCGATTGAAATGCTCACAATCGAACGGTGTACCCACGGTATCCTTGCCCGAGTTGGCCATGGACAATAGTCCCTTCTTGGTGTGCTTCAACTTGAAGTTCTCGTCTTGGAACTTGTTGCCGTAGATGCTCTTTCCGCCCGTGCCATCGCCCTTGGTGAAGTCACCTCCCTGGATCATGAAGTTCTTGATAACACGGTGGAAAGCCGAGCCCTCGTATCCAAAGCCCTTTTCGCCAGTGGCCAGAGCACGGAAGTTCTCGGCGGTCTAAGTTGGTCCACCAGGTCAGTAATTTGATCAAGTGTGGGGATAGGATTCCAATGTGTACCTTTGGCACAGTCTTGCCGTACAATCCAATGACGATGCGCCCGAGGGGCTCCTCTCCATGCTCGATATCGAAGTAGACCTTGTGGGTGATCTTTGGGCCTTTTTGAGCTTCAACGGTCTGAGCAAAGTAAACAAAGGCGAAGGTGAGAACCACCAAAAAGGTGGCGAGGTACCGCTGTAGGTTGGCCATCTTGCTTGACTGTGGGTGGGATGTGAAGAAAGGAAGGAAGAAGCAGTCCAATGCGACAGACGAGAGAGGACACCARTGCAGCTTTCGGGGTTCCTTGCGGGGGATCTCGGCACGGGCCAGGTTCGCGATCCACGCCTCTGGACTTCACTTTCACATTTGTACTCCGGCCCCAGACATTGTACATCACCCATCTCGTTCTTGAAGAGCCCGCCACAATGGTAGATATTCCAGAGCCATGCCATGAATTTACTTTCTGACTCGATCTAGGTTTTCATCTTCGGCGTCAACTTCAACGAGTCGCATCTCGTCTCGCGCTCCCTACAGAAATTCTACGGCATCGGTCCTCAAGTCTGCACGAAACTCATGGCGCGTTTCTCTATCCACAAAACGGCCAAGATCGGATCTTTACGAGATAAACAAATCAACGATCTCGCGGCGGAGCTTAGTACGATGACATTGGAGAATGACTTGCGGAGGCAGTTGGTGGACAACATCAAGAGATTGAGGGACATGGGAAGTTATCGCGGCAGGAGACATGCTATGAGTTTGCCGGTGAGAGGGCAGCGGACGAGAAGTCAGGTAAGCTTGAAAGGTGACGGATGTGTGGATTGATGGCTAACACTGTCACAGATTATGACGGCTCGAAAGCTCAATCGCGTGGACCGGAGGAATTGAGCAGGTTGTATGGATTTGTGAAATGTTGCATAGCGATGGCGTACTTGTCGATAAAACGATTCTGTGGGGATACAATGTACCAACACGGTGTACAAAACAGGACGAAACTTGGTGTATGAGAGAGAAAGTAGGAGATGTCCAAAACACACCCGCAATGAAATATCTCCATGCGACACGTGTGCATGTGTTCGAACAGCRAACAGCAAAACGTCGAGATATGACGCGCTTCTAGAGAAGGACTGGTTTTCGGCCGAACCACGCCAGCGCCACCCCATCTCCTCCTCCTCCTACTCTACCAAAACAGCAAAAACAGGAGTAGGCGCGGCAAGGAGATGGAGAGACGCGGGACGCTCTGATCGCCTGGGGAGTGGAAGCAGATCTGCAATTGTCACCTGGTGGTGTCGAGTGGTGACGCATCCACCCACCTTGATTACGCTGATGCTGCCAATGAGATCAAGGGACTGGTCTTTCATGCTCCGACCATGTGCGACTGATCCTTTAAAACGCTCCTCGATCTTGGCAGCAGAGAAGCCACATGACGGGCAGCAGACATGTAGACGATGAGAGGACAACGCGAGGCGGAGTATAGAAATGCACTCGACAGCAAACCATAGTCGTATTGACACCAATGGACAATCTACCCTATGCTGATATCCACAATCTTGATGTCTTCCACAGGCTTCTCCTTCCACACCTTGGTGTTCTCGATCTGATGCACCACGTCCATTCCCTTCACACACCGGCCAAATATGGTATGCTTGTCATCCAGCCACGGTGTGCGCTCAGTCGTGATGAAGAACTGACTGGCATTCGTACCAGGTCCAGCATTCGCCATGCTGACGGTATATGGCTTGTCATGCCTCAGGTCTGGACTGAATTCATCCTCGAATTCCTTTCCCCAGATCGACTCGCCTCCTGTTCCGTCGCCAAGCGGATCTCCAGTCTGGATCATGAATTTTCGGATAATACGGTGGAAGATTAGATTGTTGTAATATCCGTTCCTGGCGTGTACAGTAAAGTTTTCCACAGCTTTGGGTGCTTGTGCGGGGAAGAGGCGGATTTGAATATCGCCCATGGTGGTGTGGATRGTAGCGGAGAGTCCCATTCGTGCCTCCTTCGCTTCCTCCGCTGCAGTCTTGGTATTGCCGAGCATTCGCGGCTTTTCATTATGAATATCACGATCCGACTTGGAGACGTTGTCTTCATTGGTGAACATGTAAAATCGCACCTTGCCACTGCCCGTGGTCACAAGCATTGCATCTCGTGCTTCCGCTTCGGCCAGCAGAGGGTTTTCTGAAGCTGCCATCTGCACTGTGACCACGTTCTTCTTGTCGGGCGCTCCTTGGTATAATGTGAGATTGAGAGGTCGGAAGGATTCATCACGACCATAAAGCTTCACCATGCGATTCGAGAGGGTGTTGATGACCTTTGTGCCCAGTATGCTGCCGTACAAAATGAAGTGGCCGCTTTCGTCAAAGGTGATGTTGATGCGAGACCGGACAGCAGGGTTCTCCAACTCTCGCTCCACTGCTATACGACGTCCGAATTCGATGGCTTCCAGAGGTTCTTTACTTAGCGTCCCAGCTTGCTGCATGTCTGTTATCGTGGCAATGCTCTCGTCGTAGGTACGATAGAGCTTTGCTGTGGGGAAATCAAAGACGCGGACTTTCCGATCCGGGAAGGAGAAGGTCGCGAATTGATGGCCGGTGGGAGATATGTTGAGACAGCATGGAACTGACTTGGCCTTTTTAAACTCAAACAACGATGTGCTGCTTTTCATCTCAAAAACTGTATCAGGTTTCTCGTAAGATCCAGATGGTTGCCAGTATTCGATCATTCCACTTCCATCCGCCGAAACAACACAGTCATAGGCATTGCTGTATGCCATTAGATGGACCGGCTTCCGGTGTATCGACACCACATGCWGCGGCTTCTGATTCTCGCCACGCCCGTCGTAGATTGTGATACGGCCATCTCTCTCGTTTGATACGGCCAGTACGGGATACGATGACCCATGACCGTGCACATAGGCAATGCACTTCGGTGGGGAATCTGCCTCTGGCTCGAGCAATGCCAATAGATCGAATGTGGATACGTCGAAGATCTTGATTGTATTGTCCACACCTGCAGTCGCATAGCTTGTCCCATCCGCGCTGACCGTCACACTTTTAATCTCTCCTTCATGAGCCTTGAACTCCTTGACAAACTCAATGCCTCCATGTGTCTTTTTCCAGAACTTGACATATCCATCGATCGAACTGGTGATGAGGAAGTCGGTGTGTGGCGTGAATGTGCAGTAGGATAATTGCTCCTTGTGCATGAGCGATTTCGAATACTTCGCCGCGGATGGCAGAGCAGCGACATATTGTCGTTCATATGGCAGCCGTTTCCGCTTTTTCTTTGGAGCTTCCGCGGAGGGCAGAGCTGGGCCCATGTCGTCGCCCGAGTCGCTCTCACTATCATCGTGTGGTCGTTTCGTGCCCTGAGGCGGTTCCTCGCCCTCTGCTGCCATGATCGTTCAGTCTTGAAATGGGTGTTGGGAAGATGTCTGCCCTGGCTTTCTAAGGTATGCCTGCCATCTCGCTTTCATGCGCCGGGCACTAAATGCGCGCCTATTACCAATCAATTTGCTAGCTTCACGAAAACGGATCTTCCATCTTTACGCCACATACAAACTACAAACGGGACTCCAAGGTTGAGTCACTCGCTCTCACCTGCTGCGCCTCGGGTCTGCTGATTTTAATTGTTTCGCTGGCCGCATTTTGAAGCCGTCAGCATTTCCTATTTACTTTACTTCAGAACAGAGACAGCGACATCACCCAGTACCCAGTACCCGGAATCTTTAACTTACAGCCACAACGTCACCACTATCATCAAACGAAACTTTTCACAGTCCATCAATCATGGAGGTTGCTCCACCTACGCAAGGAAACCCGGAGGCTACCAGAGGTCGACGCAGACCGAACCGCGGCAGGAGAGGAGGCCGTGGAAATGCTGTTCCTGGTGGCGAGACTTCATCGTTGACCTTTCGCCCTGCCAGTCTTGCTCCGGAACCTTCATCTACATCAGAAACCMGCCATACGGATGGTCGACAACGAGGACGTGGTGGAAGGCGGGGAAGAGGGCCGAGGCAGGCTCCAGAGGGTCGTGCGACTGTCAATGGCCGTGCATTCGGCGGTAGATTGACGCAGGATGTTGCAAACGTTCCTGATCCGGCATCTCTGCAAGGGAATGCACCGACTTTCGTCCCTGGACAGCAACAGGTCCAAAACGCCACGAAAGTAGCTCCAAGGCAACAACGGCAACCTCGCCAGCCGCGGAAGGCTGTGCCGAAATCGCAAGCACCGGATATTGCCACCCGGACGCACGAAGACATTGATCATGGCCACTATGAATGCCCAATTTGCACAAGCGACGTTCAGCGAAATTCCAAAGTTTGGTCATGTCATACTTGTTGRACGGTCTTCCATCTCACGTGTGTCAAGAAATGGTCTTCCAATGAGGGATCTTCTGCAAGTCGTCAACATGCAGAGAATGGAGATGTTCAGCCTCGACAATGGCGCTGTCCTGGATGCAACCTTCCCAAAGATGACTACCCCACATCCTATACTTGTTGGTGTGAGAAGGAGACTGAGCCGCGTCCACTAGCTGGACTACCGCCCCATTCATGCGGTCAAACTTGTGGAAAGGAGAGGGCGAGGCAGTGTCCACACCACTGTGCCCTGACTTGTCACGCGGGTCCATGTCCGCCTTGTACGCACATGGGACCGACACAAACATGCTTCTGCGGTAAGCACGAATCTACTAAGCGGTGCGCGGAGACGGAATACGTGTCTGGATGGGGTTGTGGTGAGATTTGCGGAGCTTTAATGTCTTGCGGCACGCATCGCTGTGTTCGTGCTTGTCATGAAGGTGATTGCGGACCGTGCGAGGTGCGCCTACCTGGAAGATGCTATTGTGGGCAGATGGAAAAGGATGTCATGTGCAGTGATCAAGGGGAGATCAAGGAGAGTTTGCGTAATCATCATCCCAAAGGTGGGGAGATGATCCTGGAGAACTGGACTGGAGTTTTTGATTGTGGGAATGCGTGCGATCGAGCTTTGGATTGCGGTGTTCACCACTGCGAGAAGAAGTGCCACGCTCAGGATGCAGATGCCGGTCACTGCCCTCGATCACCAGATGTTGTTACCCACTGCCCTTGTGGGAAGACATCGCTCGACGATATGAAGATGTTCACGCGCATGACTTGCGAGGATCCCATACCGAGCTGCACAAAACCTTGTGGTAATCCGTTATCTTGCGGGCACCCTTGTCCGGAGATTTGCCATTCCGGAGATTGTCCTTCGTGTTTGAAGAACGTCACCATCAACTGCCGTTGTGGTAGGACAACATCGCCTACGATCTGCCATCAGGGTCATGAAGAACAGCCGCAGTGTCGGCGAATATGCCGGGCAAATCTCAACTGCGGAAGACATGCGTGTGAAGAACGCTGCTGCTCGGGTGAGCGCAAGGCAATCGAGCGTCAGACTTCCAAAAAGAAGAAGCAGCCACTGCATTCTGCTGCTCGCCCTATTGACGACGGCATCGAAGCAGAGCACATCTGCACACGTCAATGTGGAAGACCTCTCAAGTGCGGGAACCATGTTTGCGAGGAGCTCTGCCATAAAGGTCCTTGTGGATCCTGCAGGGAAGCAATTTTTGAGGATATCAGCTGCCACTGTGGTCGGACAGTTCTCCAGCCTCCTCTTCCTTGCGGCACGATTCCTCCACCTTGTAGATATGCTTGCGAGCGACCAAAAGCTTGCGGACATCCTCAAGTCGCCCACAATTGCCACCAAAACGACGATCCATGCCCGAAATGTCCATTCCTGTGCGAGAAGCGCTGCATGTGTGGGAAGAAGGCGTTGAAGAATCAGCCATGTTGGCTGAGAGATGTTGGATGTGGAGACGTTTGCGGGAAGAAACTCAAGTGTGGCTCCCATTTTTGTCGGAAACCCTGCCATCGAGCTGGAGAGTGCGAGGATTCCAACGGCGCCGATTGTACGCAACCTTGTGGGAAAGAGAAGAAGGTCTGTGGTCACCCAGATGAGGCTCCATGCCATGCTCCTTTCCCCTGCAAAGAAGAAAAGCCGTGCGGAAGCAAGATGTTCATCACTTGTGCTTGCCAAGCGCAGAAGCAGGAGATGAAGTGTGGAGCTTCCAAGTCGAGTGAGGGCAACAATGGCAAGACGCTTTCTTGTAATGAAGAATGTGCTCGGCTAGAGCGGAACAGGAAACTGGCGCTAGCTTTGAACATCGACCAAAGCTCGCATGTCGATGGAGGAGATCACATCCCTTACTCGACCGACACGCTCAATGTCTTCGCTAAGCAAAGCAAGTGGGCGCAAACACAAGAGCGAGAGTTTCGCGTTTTCGCAGATGACCCAGACGAGAAGCGACTGCGCTTCAAACCCATGCAAGCTTCCCAACGAGCTTTCATTCATCTTCTCGCGGCGGACTTTGGTTTTGACACTGAGAGCACGGATCCAGAGCCTCATCGCCATGTACTGGTTTGGAAGACACCGCGATTTGTATCTGCGCCCAATAAGACGCTCGAGCAGGCGCATCGCATACGGCAGCAAGCAATGCGCTCTGTCGGCGGAAGTGCCAATGCTTCTGACAACGAAGGATCGGCGCCTGCTGCAAAGGTCAAGGTCGTCAATCAAGTCCAACCGTTCAACGGGTTTGTCAWCAGCAAGCCTAGATTCGGTCTGACGATTGATGAGGTGCGGAACGAAGTCAATGCCGTTCTGCACTCTCACTCTCCTTTCACTTTCGACATTGAATTCCTGCCCAGCGAAGAGGTCGTTCTCAAAGCAATATCTCAGACTCTACCAGCAGCAGACCTTGAGCGGGCATTGCAACAACTTCGAAATCCGCTGGCGACAGCAATTGCAGGCAAGGCATTGGGCAGCTTGCAGCTGTGCAATACTGACAGCTCGCTCAACATTGTAAGATTGGAGAGTGACAACACAGGCGGAGATGGATGGTCGAGAGTTGCAGCTAAGAAGGCTGCGCCGCGGGCTGCGATGAGTAGTGGCGGGTTCGGCTTGGCAAGGAATGCCTTTGCTGCGCTTGATGGCAATGGAGGAGGTAGCAGCGCAGCTGGGAAGGTCACATTCGCGAAGAAGGCGCCAATCAAGAAGAAAGTGGAGAAGATTGTGCCTGTGGTGGACGATTGGGAGGCTGCTGAGACTGCTGAGGAAGCCAAGGAGGGTGAAGAGAGTGATGGAGGGGTGAAGACGGTCGTCGCTGAGGAACAGCCGAAGGACGACAACATTGATGCCACAGATACAGGCTCTGCTGAGCCYGTTGAAGCCAAGGATTTTGCTGCGGTCATTGGACCGGCGGACGCCGCTGAGGATGTTGAAGAGGCGAAGGAGGGTGGCCAAAGCGATGGCAGCGTGCAAGCGGGGAGCAATCCTCCAGCTTCAGAGGCCATCATTGACGCCTCGTCTTCTGCCCCGGGGGATGAAGCGGTCGCTTCCGTCATTGTTGGCGARGCACCTGCTATTCAACCCATCACTGTTACGGTTGATAAGACTTCTACGAGTCCAGAGAAGCTTGACTGGGCTGGCGAAGCTGAAGAAGCTGCGCATGAAGAGTCGTAGTGGACATGATAGAAGTCCCGATACTTAGCTGAGGCCGAAGCTCTAGCTTTGAAGGATGTTCAATATGGACAGAAGTCGCACGCCCTTGTCAATTCCTTTCTGATTGCTTCATGGCGCAACAGTCGTTTATGGAATGACTTCCCACGACACTCACTCGTTGTGATGAACATCTTACATAGAGTTCGGGTCGCAAGGATGAGTTTGCTGGCGAAGCCACTCGCTCACCGACGGAGATGACGAGATGCTAAACTCCCATTGTAGCTCTCTCCGCCTTTCCCCCTTTCCCGTATGCCTCCCGTCGCTCGAATTCTGCCTGATCCCAACTACCGCTCACAGGGGTCCTCCCTTGCCATTTGAACTCCGTCCGCGTCGAAAGCTTCTTCAAAACCGCTGGACCGGCCTCCCAGAGTTTCCTATACAGTTCCTCGCGCTTCCCACCAGGAGTGTCCTCCCAAAGCTCACCGCACATACACACCTGATCCTTTGGATGACAAACCGGCTCTCCTCTCCACTTGCAAGCATGCTCGCACTCCTGGTCATTCAGGCAGCCTCCTCCCACAGTCCACAACTTATCCTCGAAACACCACCATAACGCCATGGGATCGAAGTAACTCTCCACAGGGGGTTTCCATCCCTCTAGGTGTGTCCATCTATGCTCCGCTATGGTGCGCTCTTCGAATCGTGCGATCTTGACGGCGTTCGTACTGGCGGCGAATTGGGGCTGAGAGACCTCGTGGATCTTCATTGTTGATAAGTTGCGAAGGGTGTCCAGAAGTTCTGAATTCCACGAGTTTCCAGTGGGTATGAAAACCACCCCGTCTTCTGTGTTGGATTTGCTCGCGGTAGCCTTCAATAGCCCCAAGATCTTCTGCCGTACGCTCTCCGACCAGACTCCTGTCTTGTCGGTTGGTGGAGGCTTCAGCTCTGGCCAGGTATTCCAACGAACAGAATCAAGCTGGCAATCGTTGATGCCTTCGGCCCAGAGCGAGAGTCCTGTCTCCTGAAGATCTGCAACCACAGCAACGCTCCCTGGGTATGAACATGGCGTTATGCCGTGCTCATGGAACAGATCGGTTCCCTCATATTTCAAAAAGCATTTTCCGACTTCTGCTGTGCAGATTGCGTGTGTAGCTGCCGGATACACAAACTCGTATAGGTCGTACGATGGATTTTGGTCCCTGGGATCATTGAGCCATGGAATGGAGCACCGATGAAAGCCTGCTTGTACCACGGCCTGCGCGGGCGTCAAGTCAGCGGGAGTTTGATTGCATCTGGACTTCGAGTTGAAGTGCTTACCTCAGAGAAGCGAGTGACCATGACATTCAACCATGCTTTTGCCACCATTTGGGTTGCCATGTCCGGAAAAGCCTCTGGCTCATGTGTGCGGAACATCCAAAGAGCGAGTGGATGTCTGGCAGTAATTGGCTTCATTGTAGTGAAGATGAAATTTGGAGCAACGGCAAGAGCGTGCAAGGTAGCCCTGGGGTTGATATACGTCACCCCATACTTCTCCGATAGGATGGCAACGCTTGCATTCTTTGCTGCAGTGACAGCTTCACCCAGCGCATCCACGGACTCGCCGACCCAGCGCGATGGGAACCCCGAACTCCAACGCCACGGCGCACCTGCCGAACGCCATTCTTGTGCGGTGGGTGGCAGGATTCCAGTGCGCGCAACTTCTTCGCAGATGGAGTACAATCGAGACATTTCTGCGCGGTAGGCTGCACTTCCCGGGGTGAAGCCAACTGGTACGTTTGTGCCATTCGGGAGTCCTGCTGATGTCACGATACCGGTCATCGTGAACTCGAAGCCGAAGACCACTGGCCAGGGTTTCCAGATCGTTGCTGGATACTGTGTTGGTGTGTATGTGGTGACTGCTGCTGCAAGCTGGAGCAAGAACGTCATGATGGCGAGGACCCACATCTTGGCGGACATGAGATGGTTGAAGTTTGAGTGCTCCTTCCCTGGTGCGCGGATGATGCTTCTTGAAGGAGAAGTTGTTTGTTGCCCGAAACCTTGTGTTGCGACGTGGTCACAAGATGCGGAAGGGACGCTAACGTTGCTCTGAGCGGGGAGGCGGCGTCTCAATGCTGTCGAAGTGACTCTCAGGTTTTCGTCACCACTCGACTCATCTCGACATGAGAGCACCTCAGAGACACCTCTATTATACAGGCAGGTCTCTCCATGGGCTTTTTTGTCGTCCTTCCTGAGATGTCACCCACTACACGGTGATCAATGAGTTGGCTGGAAGTCATTCACTTCGCTTGATTCGTGCTAGTGCGCACTTAGAGCGCCAAGATCAAGACGAACAACATCAAACGACTACACAGACGATTTCTTGATGAATATCGCTCCTAAAGAGCAAGTTGTCCAGTGTGCTTTCATCAAATCCTTGCGACCGATAGAAAAAGCTGGTTTCGAAGAGAGGTTATACTCGAGCCCGGCGACGATTATATCCGATAAGAATGGCCAAATCTCAACTCCCAGCGAGAGTTAGGTAATCAGAGTGACTTGAATCTATGAGATCTGCAATTGAGGAGTGAATAGGTATCGACGGCGCGCGGGCCTGCATAATATTCACTCTTCTCGCGCTAGTCGGATGATATTCACTCTTCTCGCGCGAGTCGGATGCGCTATGACCACCACTCTCGAGTGTATAAAACCACTCGACCTCAACCTCCATTTCTCAAGACCTAACAACATCTTCCAGTAAGAATTGTTATCCAACCATGCTCTTCACAATGGCGCCTGTCTGGCTCCTCATCCTCGGCCTCGCCGCCCTTTGCAGTGCTCTACCTACCTTCTCTGAAGACCTCCCTCCCGTACTCGACAACTTCAGCATCTCATCCATTCCCACCAACGCCACGCCCGGATTCTCTGTTCCATGGCAGAAGACCAAGTTCCAATTCTTCGGCCAGACTGAGGCTTGCTACTGGAAGTTCTCGTCCCAAGTCAACGCGGCCCTCACTGACGCCATCGCCATTGCGTCTAGCATTGATGTTAACTTTGCGCAYGATCACCCCATCATCGAGGACTATTTCAAGCTCGAACCGTCGAGGAAGAGCCTGGGAGTTGACTCTAACAAGGTTCGCGAGCAGATCAAGGCAAACTTCGTTCGTCTCCAGGACACATTCAAAAACCAGGCGACTGATGACTGGTTTGCGCGGTAAGTCTAGATGCGGCACTGGCGCGCACATGCGCGCGCACATAACACAGATACTGATTCTTATTCACAGCGCGGTCCTCATCACCTGCGGCGACACGGATGACATCAAGATTCCAGGAACCGACGGATGTAACAGTCCAAACGTCAAGGCCCATGTCGTACTCCCTGCAAATTCCCACTACGACTTCCCTATCATCTCTCTCTGCAACGCTTTTTTCGGCATGGACAGTCTCGCAATAGTCAATGGCAGAATTGCTCAATTTCCCTACCTTGCCTTTGATGCGACCAACTACATCTCACAGGGTATATATGCCCCCCCAAAAACGAGGAGCACTCTTGAACCATCGAACTAACAACCTCAAAACAGGCACCGCTATGCTCCACGAAATGCTTCATCTCCCATGGCCAGGTGTCGTCGCAGGCATCTCGAACCCCACAGCAGTCGACAAGATAATCTACGGCCTCCAACGCGACAAAAAACTCGGTGTCGTGATGTACGGCCCAGCAAACGCCAAGCAGCTCGCGAAGGCCTCCACAGGCGGCGCGGACGTTGCCGTAAGAAACGTCGACAATTTCGTCTATGCCGCCGTTGCCAGCTATGGCGGCAAGAAGTACAATGTCAAAGTCGACCAACCCGCCGCGGCCTGGACATTCGTTCCCAAGCTGGAAATCACTGACGAGGATGCCGCTGGGAAGTTCGTTGGAGATGGTGCGGATGTCCAGGACGAGTTTACTCTCGAGCGGAGCGGCGTGAGGGATCTTCCGGAGTCGTACTATCGCGTTGAACCCGAACAATTGCTCTCACAGGCTCAGATCGATGAGATTTTTGGTTAGGGAAAGCTGGGACTACGTGTTTGGTCGGACTTTTTGCTGCGGCGTTGATTGGTTTTCAATTGGTCGGAGTTTTTGATTTTATGCGAGTATGCGGAGCAGCCTTTATGGTATGCTAGATTGGACTACACAAAATGGCGCACGTTAAATTGTCTGACCTTTCCACCACTCGTATCATATCACCGTACGCGGTGCACGCTTTAGAGAAAAGTAAAGCTGGTAGTCTATCTCCTCGGACTTGTTTGGCTTTTCAATGGGTATGAATTCAAAGTGAGGTCTCTCCAGCCAGCCGCTGGAATGGACAGAGACTATGCCACTCGATATCTTCTCTTGGGTATCATAGAGAACATTGCTCGCGGGACGAGAAGACATGCGTGTGGAAAAGAAAGAGAAGTGTGGCAATAAAAATCTCAGAGAGAACAACAACWACCATTCCAAGGCCCAACGAGAGCTGGAGGCAGTACTCCCGGCGCAATCTCATGTTTCATCTCCCACGGGCCGCACTCATCATTATTGCTCGATTAGAGCGTAGGGGCAAGCAAAAGGATGGAGTCGAGGGGAGTCTTTTTGGATCCACTGCTAATGATGTTGGGTGACGCTTCAGTCGAGTCGTCGAGGTCCATCTCGTTCCGAGCCTTCCGGGTCGGCAGTATTGGAACACGCACAACTTCTGACAGGATGCAAACTTTGCCTCCTCTCCGACGCTTCATCGGGAATGGTAGCTTGTATCATTTCATCGACCAAGTCTCTTTGACTTTACCTTGTGCATATCGAGCATTTACTGTGCCGGGTACACCAACCATTCTAGCGCAACCTCACGGCTTGTCCTCCTCGGCCGGCATGACCATTTCCTTGCCATTACTCTCGGTGACATCCAAGCCTACCAACAACCTACTCACCATATTATACCCGGCCACAACCATGACCAACTCCAACACCTCTCTCTCCCCAAACAACTCCTTGACCTTGCTAAATGTCTCCTCCGACACCTTGACCCCGACAGTACTCTCCCTCGTATACTCGCACACGATCCTCTCCTCGGCACTCAACGCCCCACTCTGAATCTCCTCCCTCAACACGGCCTGCAAAACCTCCCTCCGAACGCCGGCTTTGAGAGCGAGAGGCGCATGCGCGGTCCATTCATACGTGGCGAAATTGAGGACGGCGATGTAGCAGATTGCCAATTCGGCCAGGGATTGTGGCAGGAGTGTGGAGGTGCGCAGGGCGGAGAGCAGGGTGTTGTAGCCGTCTGCTATGGAGGGGTTGTGGAGGAGGGCGAGGTCGAGGGGGATCAGAGGGCGGGGAGCGCGGCGGGTTGCGATGCGTTGGTAGATGGCGTGTGTTTCGGGGGTGGAGTTGGGAGGGGGTGTGGAGGGAGCGTAGGGGATTCTCATGGTGGTTGTGGTGGTATTGGGGAGCTGGATTTGATGGTTATTGAGGGGGAAGGTGGGAATGTGGTGGAGGGGGAAATGATGGAAATGGGTGTTGTTGGCGGGGAGAGCTCTCGGCAGTGGAGCTCGGTGGGAGTGGGGAGCTGCGGGAGGAGCAGTGAGATGCGATGACCTACAATTCTCGTGTCATTCTAATCTTGTCATGTTGTACAGCATCAACGTAGAGATGATACGACATTCCGTGCTGAATGGTCTGATCTGATGATGGGAGATGAAGGTGAAGTGGGCAGACATGCTTGGAATTCATCGTACGAGATCCTCGTCGGGTCAAGCGCCATTGATTGGATGGGAGAACAGGGCAGCTGCGGTGTCGATCCCCGCTTGCCCCTGCCAACCATCCACCCTTCGAGGAATTAATTAATCAATCATTCGACGCGCAATTGTCATATAGAAGTGAATTTCCTCTCTCACTCCTCCCTCCAACCATCCATTCCCAAGATGGGCCTCCTCCAAGATATCGGTGGGCAATACACAACCCACTTTGGCCAGACTGCATCCTGGAAAGTCGGGCTCAGCGCCTTTGTCCTCTTCTTCATCGCCTCCATCCTCATCAACGTCGCCTCGCAACTGCTCACACGCAGGAAATCCACCGATCCTCCCCTCGTTTTCCACTGGATCCCCATCATCGGCTCGACCATCACGTACGGCATCGATCCTTACCCGTTCTTCTTCAATTGTCGCGAGAAATACGGCGATGTCTTTACTTTCATCCTGCTGGGCAAGAAGACGACGGTGTGTTTGGGGACCAAGGGGAATGATTTCATCTTGAATGGCAAACTGAAGGATGTCAACGCCGAGGAGATTTATTCTCCCTTGACGACGCCTGTATTCGGCAGGCATGTCGTCTATGATTGTCCCAATGCCAAATTGATGGAGCAGAAAAAGGTAAGCAAGCAATATCAATATCAATATCCCCGGGGATGGATTCCAAGGACACGGCCTGACATGATGGATAGTTTGTCAAATATGGCCTCACCTCGTCGGCCCTCCAATCCTACGTCACCCTCATCTCGGAAGAGACGCGTCAGTTCTTCGACAAGGCCAACCCACACAAGAAGTTCGCCGCGGACAAGGGAAGCATCAATCTGCCTCCCGCTCTGGCCGAATTGACCATCTACACCGCCTCGCGTTCCCTCCAGGGCAAGGAAGTGCGATCGCGCTTTGACTCCTCCTTTGCCGACCTCTACCACTACCTCGACATGGGCTTCACTCCCATTAACTTCATGCTGCCATGGGCTCCTCTCCCGCAAAACCGCCGGCGAGACTATGCGCAGAAGAAGATGGCCGAGACCTACATGTCCATCATCAAAGAACGTCGCGAGGCCATCAAGAATGGGGCGGATGAAAAGGGTGGGGAGAGAGAAGAGGACATGATCTGGAACTTGATGAACTGCGTCTACAAGTCGGGCGAGACCATCCCTGATGTCGAAATCGCGCACATGATGATTGCCTTGCTCATGGCCGGCCAACACTCGTCCTCCTCAACCTCGTCGTGGATCTTCCTTCGTCTGGCCTCCCGTCCGGATATCCAAGAGGAACTCCTCGAAGAACAGAAGCGCGTGTTGGGAGTCAACCCCGACGGAAGCATCAAACCCCTGTCCTACGAGAGCCTCCCCAAACTCGCTCTCCTCAGCCAAGTCGTCAAGGAGACGCTCCGGATCCACGCGCCCATCCACTCCATCATGCGCAAGGTTAAATCCCCCATGCCAATTGAAAACACCCCCTACATCATCCCCACCTCCCACGTCTTGATGGCCGCTCCTGGTACCACCTCCCGCATGGACGAACACTTCCCCGATTGCCTCTTGTGGGAACCGCATCGCTGGGACGAAACTCCCTCGGAGAAGTATGCCCATCTCGCGCCCACCACCAAGCAGAGTGCTGTGGTGGAAGAAAAGGAGGATTCCGGTYATGGTCTGGTCTCCAAGGGTGCCACTTCTCCCTATCTCCCCTTTGGTGCGGGAAGGCATCGATGTATTGGCGAGCAATTCGCCTATGTGCAGCTGCAGACCATCACGGCCATGGTGGTGAGGGATTTCCGATTTCGAAACCCTGAAGGCGTTGAGGGTGTTGTGGGTACCGATTACAGTAGTTTGTTCAGTCGGCCGTTGAATCCTGCCGTTGTGGAGTGGGAGAGGCGGATAGAGAAGTAGATTGATGAGTGTTGATAGATCAGATGGTATGAGATGAGTATAATGAAGATCGTCTCCGCTGGAAGAGGCCAAGCAAGAAGAGTTGTCGTGGACGTCTTTCTCATGAAATCGCTGCTCTGATGGTGATTTTATGCACTCCGCGATACATCCACTCTATCTCCCCGCAATTCATACATGCCATTCACACTACAATACATCTTCAGCTCTGCGAGACGGTTAGACGATGTGGAAAGCAAGTTGTGCACGACGAAGTCGCTTCATTCGGAACACTAGCGGCGGACCATCCCGTCAATCCGTCTCGCCGGCCCCCGCTCACCTCACTCAACACAGCTCCGGCATTGTGAGGCTAACAACGCAAGCTCCCTCACATCTCCTTCAGCACTCCGCTGTGCCTGCTTGAGATATCTTCCGAGCCAAACCACCACCACCAGGCCCACTGCGCAAACCCTCCGATCACCTCCACCTCCACAAACATCAACATGRCCGCAGCCATCAAAGCCCTCAATGCGAAGATCCGCAGCAACCCCGTCAGCGATTACTTTTGCYCCACACGTGAGTTGTCGTCTGTCCCCAAATAATGGCCTTCACTTTGAGAAGTGGAGCAAGCCAGCAGCTAGAAGATCATACAAACTAACATATCCAATCACCACAAACAGATTTCTGGGGACCAGCCAGTAACTTCGGAATCCCCATCGCAGCAGTAATGGACACCTCCAAAGATCCCGAAATGTAAGCTCCTCCTACCTCCCATCTCCTCCCACCATTCCACCCAAACTAACCAGCGAATTTTTCCCCCCAGCATTTCCGGCCGCATGACCCTCGCCCTCTGCGGCTACAGCGGAGTTTTCATGCGCTATGCCTTCGCCGTCTCTCCCGCCAATTACCTCCTCTTTGGATGCCACTTGGTCAATTTCAGCGCGCAGATGACGCAGGGATATCGATTTGTGAATCATTTCTACATGGGAGGACGGGAGAAGGCGTTGGAGGCCAAGGCTAAGGAGGGGCTTGCACAGGCGGAACATAAGGTTGAGGGGGTTGTTGAGCAGGCGAAGGATTTGGCGGGGCAGGCTAAGGCTAAGGTGGAGAGTGCTACGAGGTGAAAGGGAGGGAGGATATCAACTTTGCTGGAGGTGGTTGGAGGGAGCGTGTTTAGAGGGGCATTGCAATCTTGCGAGGAGGAGATGTGAGATTGACTGTATAGCATAGCATGCAGATGGACAGTGGCATCAAATTTTGTGACATCTTCAATCGGGACGATGATCTATATCAATATCACATCACATCACAGCCAGTACGTGTTTATGGAAGTCGCTCAGTTTGCGTGCGACTCGGGTACGCATCTGAGGATTGGTCTCAGCGGGAAGATGAGATGTTGGGTCATGATAAGAGCAAGCCTGGCATCCAATATCCAGGATCGCTAGGCTAGGCTGGGCTATACGACAGCAAACATCGAGATACCTCACGAGCATGGCTCGCGCAGATGGCAGTCAGTCTTGGGGAGGATCGCACTGAAGACCATGAATTGCACGAATAGATAGGAATGGGTAGGGACAGCGGGCAAGCTTCGCAATGTCGGGCATCTGTCATGTCTCCATCCAAACCTCCGACAAGCAAACACTCTCGACCAGCATGCCAATATACATGCAAATCGCATGCTGGCGTTGTGCCTCGTCGGCGACAGACAATACATTCATCCCATCCTCCCGAGCGAAAAGCACACACAAAAGTCATCCACGAAAAGACCCCCAAGAAGACATTTTTCTTTTCAAAGTCTGTACTCCCTTCTCGGACACCGCAAACTCATCGCCACAATAAAGTGACCCATCGAGAGTGGGCTTCCTATAATCCAGGAGGACGTTCTTCTAGACCCAAACACCCTTCCGGAGAAGAGCTGGCATTGCAACACCTGAAATTTTGCTTCGGAAGCGCGGCAGTTGCAACGTGGCGATGGGGCATCTTTTTGATGCCGGGGAGAAGAGGTTGCAAAGGTGAGGAAATCTTTTATAGCGTGCGCCGTGGGGCGGGAGCGGGAGCGGGAGCGGGAGGGAGGGGAGGGATTGGCTGCTTGGCGTGATGAGATGTTCGCGTGAGGGCGGCTAGAGAAGGGCTGACTAAGGTAGGTACCTACCTACAGCCTATAGGTTTCATTCTTCAATCCGCGTTGAAACGAGACGGTGTTTTGGAATCTCCTTGCTGGAGTGTTCTATTTGCAACACCATCATCAACAGTCTCTCTCTTCCCGTAGGAAAACAACCCAAGGTGAACCACCACCACCCTTATCACCATCTTTCTCGTTCTTATCGCGCCCTCTCTTTTCCACCTCTCGCCTACTCCTCCAATCCGCAGTTCCACGCGACGTTTCATCAATCTTCCACAAATCCCCCGAACTCCAAGAAAAGCCAGGCAGGCACGCGATTCTCACCCCCCTGCTCTTTCCTTCTAGCTCTCCACTAATCTCCGCTACCTTGTCCAGAAGGCTGGGGAAGCGAGAGAAATTACCACCATCGCATCGGTGACGTCGATGGGTGGACGGTTGTTATTGTTATTGTCCACGGAGTATTGCTCCTACACGCTCACCGACTACATGGATAAGAATAATCTATAATACTTCCCTCCCGCGTCCAACGTAAAAGAAATAATCCCCGGGATATCTCTTCCCCCTCCCACAAAAAAAAACCATGGCGGCAACAAATCTCTCCTCCACAGTCCTCAACAGCACAAACACCTACCGCGAAATCCACCGCGTAGACCCTCTAACCTGGAACACGACCCTCGCGGACTTCGCCCAAGAGGCCGCTCAAGCTTGTATTTTCAAACATTCCGTCCGTAGTCCCAAAAAACAATCCTTCCCCCACAACTTGGTTGTTGTTGTTTGATTGAAATATCAGCACCGAGAATTAATTCTACTACAAAAATGGAATCTGATTGGTTGCGTCTTATGAAATTATAGGGCGGTCCTTACGGTGAAAATCTCGCAGGAGGCTATCCCACTCCAACCCTCGCCATCGACGCCTGGGCGAACGAAGAACCTCTCTATTCCTACAAAAAGCAGAAATTCACCGAGAAAAATGGACATTTCACACAGTTGGTGTGGGCGAATACCACGGATGTCGGGTGTGCGAATGTGAATTGTGGTAATGAAGGGGGAGGAGAAGGAGAATTACAGGGAGATTTTTTGATTTGTGAGTATTGGCCGAGGGGTAATGTGCAGGGACAATTTGGGGATAATGTGTTGAAGCCGGTGGGGAGTGGGGCGTGGAGAGGGAGGGGGAGTATGGGGTGGTGGGCGTGGTGGGGGGTTGCGGTTATGGTTTTGGGCATGCTATAGAAGTAGTCCGCTGCAAAGATGCTTCTACTTCAGTGCGTGGTTACATTCTGGTACATGGGAAACCCCGTCGAGAAAGAGAGTGGATTGGGTTTTTTGCACCTGTCTGCAACGATCACGATCACTTCCTCGCAGCGGCATGTGTCAATCGAACTTCCCGAATCTCGTCCCATCGAGTGGAACCGCCGAAGAGCAGCCACGCAAGTCGCGAGGTATATAAGCGGCATAAATTGGTTTGCAAGCGATGGCGCTCATCACATACAACACTGCAGTAGCCGAATATGACGATGAGATGGATGGACATGGCCCACGACAAGACATGACCCTGTACGAGGCGAGTGAGACCGACTGCTGCCCAAGCAATGCACAACTGAGATGATTGCCGCACTCTTGTCTATGCTGCTGAAAACACAGCAAGTGTTTGCGATGCRTTACATACATGTCATGACAGTGCAGTCATCCCGCCCTCAACGACAGCCTCACACATCGACATGGCTGCATAGGTAGCAGTTGAACAATCGAGCTTCATTTCATCGTAGTATGCTGCCATACTGATATCACATCATTCATAGAAATCTCCCATCTACCTCACCCCTCGACCCCTACTTCCATCCCCCTCAACACCCCTCCTCACCAACAAAGCAAGCTCTTTGAAAGTAACCCTCTCCCCACTACCATACCCCCCAATATTATGCCTCTTACTCATATTCGCCGCCAAACCCTGGTACTGTCCTCCCAGATTTCTCAAAAACAAAAAACAAAGCATCTCCTCCGAAAACGTCCCATCACCACCCTCCCTCCTCTTGGATATCTCAATGGAACTCTGGTTCAATTGCGCCGGAGCTCGCCTCGCTTCATGACATGCAGCCATTTCATTAAACTCCTCCCACTTCCTCCTCATATCAAACACATAGGTTTCGAAATCTCGACTGCCCTCCAAGGTGATTTCCTGCAGAGCAGAGAACCGTGCAAAAGCTTCATCACTGCCTCTCGGTCGACATAAATCTTCAATGGCGCTCCACATCTCCCTTGCAGCTTCCAACCTCGATATTCTCGCCCACAAGACTTTCGTCGTGCTCTCGCGTAAAGCTGCTTTGAGCATATCATCCCTCCTCTTGTAAATGGCCAACTGCTTGACATATTCATTCCATTCCTCAACACTCACCTCTTCACCTTCTTCTACCGTTGGTTTACTCGGCTCCCGTTTCACCCCAATCAGAACATCTCTCGTATTCTCTTTCATGGCAGCAGACAAGAAAGCCTCTTTGAAACTTGCGTAGTCGTCTCCAAACCCAAAAGTTCTCGTCCCGAGGGCGTTCCTATAACTCTCCCCATTACCACACGTGGAAGCTGCGAGAATTTCCACAGCAGAGCTCTCAAGAGTGAGTCGTGTAGGTCGGATATGTTCTTGTTGGAAGGAATTTAATGCAGCGAGAACACGTTCGGCATGCAGGGCATTCAGACCAGGTCCACTCTGCGAAGAAGCTGTAGTGTCAAGATTCTGGCTCAGAGTTGTCATATCTCCGTCTCTCGGTTCTTCCAATCCTGGATCTGCTGGAGTATCATAATGGCAAGGGGTATCGGAACTCGCACAGACATCGCAAATCGGCCGCGCGTTGTTGCACTTGGTCTTCTTTACTCGACATGCACTGCAAGTGGTAGAACTCGCGCCTGGGATGGATCTTGCACCTTGTGGCTGCTCATCGCTACCTTGCGCACAAGTGCCAAACTTTTTGAACTTGAGCTTCATATTCGCCACATCCGTTCTTTTGAACAATCCATCCGGATTCGTCTTTTGCAGGAATTTCAGCACGTCTCCCACGTTCGTCCCAATAGCGAACAGTCCATCCACTGCTGCCTCCACCGCTGGATTTCTTGCTCGGCGACGATGACCAGCGAGATGGACGACATCCACCGCGGGATGGTTATGATATGTCTTGCGATGTCGTATCTGCCAGTTTCCAGACGGATCATGAGGATCCACCGCAACGGCAGCCAGAGACATGGGACAATTCATTCTATTGCTCGTCCTGTTTATTCTTTTTCTGTCCTCTTTACGCACGGCTTTGTGAGAGACTTTGCCATGTTTGGAGCAGTGGAAGTATCTTTTATACAACTGTTTCGCAGCATTCCTCTTACTGGCTCTGCGTACCAGCTCGTAGCCATGCTCCAGTGACCAGGCGTGCATGGCGTTCTCCAATTCAATCTCATTGGGGTAGACAGCCTCTGGCGGGGGTGGGAGTTGGTAGACAGGCTCGTCTATGTCATCATTCATCTGTTCGTCCTCGTCGTCATCATCGTCTTCGTGGACATTACCGCCGGCGTTTCCATTGTTCACAGTGTTGCTGCTCGCTCCAGCGTCATTCTCCCGACGGAGTGCATCCATGAGTGCTTCCTCGTAGTTGACTCCGGGCGGGGAGTTGTGCTCGGGTGGTGGTGCACCGGGGCCATGGCCGGGTGTCGGTGGGATGGAGCGATTGCCATTTTGAAGATTGCCTGGGATGTGTTGTTGCTGTCGACGTGTTGGAGTCGCAATCTGTCGTGATGTACCTTGAGGAAGGCTCTGAAAGAAATGTGGAGGTGGTTGCTGTTGCTGCTGTTGGAGATGGTGCTGCTGTTGTTGTTGCGCTGGATTCTGTGGGAGCTGTGTCGGATATGGGTAGGGAGGCTGCGTCGGTGCGTATGTTACCGCAGAAGGCGGATAGCCGTATTGCTGCGTATAAGCTGGGTCTGAACCCAATCAGTGGTGCCGTTCTGCTGCATCGATATCATTTCATTCCATTCCACTCACACGGCGGCGCATCATTGTGGTTCATCGTTCAAAGCCCGCTAACGGCATCGCGTGGATGTGGTATGTCGTTATCGGCTGGGGAGCTTCTTGATATCGTCCCACACTGCCCTGCACGCCGCAGCGGGCCAGCCCGAATCTTGGCGCATACAGCGGCAAAGTCAAGACGATGTGATGTAGATTGTACAATATTTGCTTCGAGGCAAATTGATATTGATGTTGATACTGCATTGAGGAAATGGCTAGACTCTGAATTGTCGACTCGATCATCAAGCATTGATTGTCTCAAAGATCTATATTCGACGAAGGCATCAATCTCACCCATTCCGTCTCTACTCGGAAATACACCCACACCCAACGTCTCAACAGCTCAAGAACCTCCAACAAGAACACACCTCCTTCCAGTCCGTCCAGATTGACCAAATGCAGCGACAGTTTCATCGACCATGCGAACCGCAATGCAATATCAAACGCAATGACAAGATAGTACAACATTGGGGTTCGGAAAACTCGCTGCTGGCGTAGTCCATAAGGCGACTTGTGGCGATATCGCGAAAGAAATGTGAGATCCCAGTCCATGGAAACATCCCACCAAAAACTGTAGAGGGAATTGGTGATGGCGGCCAATCGCCTGAAAGGTCATCAGCATGAGTTTTGTACTTCATCAACGCATTGACTCACCAAAACACTATCAATGTCGGATTCTTCCTCGTCATCGAACTCAATACAATCACCGGAAAAGCAGTGGCATACTTTGCGGCGTTTGCCCATTGCCCTTCCTTCAAACACTGCCTCAATCGAATGAAAAAAGGCCATGCAATCGACAATGGCACAATGACTTCGTGTCCACAAAGTCGATCTGGTTTGTTCGTAGTCYCCAGTCCTTTCAAGAACATACAAATCGTCACAAACACCTCGGAAATGGGCTTCGAGTACGATGTGAGAGCATCTGCGAGTAGGACATCCCCAAATTTCTCCGGCTTGGGTTTCGCAATCCCTCCAAATGCGATCCTGCGCATTCCTTGGAAGAACCTCGACACACCAGCAGAGTTGGTACTGCCATACGCCGCGCTGATAAATGGGTACCGCGGGAGGAAGAAAGCCGCCAGAATGAGGAAGAACAGACAGTTCGGTATCCAGGAATGGGAAATCACAAGCTCTGCATCTCCCTGGGTCAAAGTCCAAAAGAGGAGAATCGCGCCCAGCCATAGTCCTGTGAGAACCCCGGCAAAGCGATATGTAGACGTGTGAAGTGGCGGCTCATCGTCCGTGGGTCGGATCGGGTATCGTATCAAGGTGAATATGTCAATGTTTAGACGGTGGAAACCATGAAGATTGAGCGCCCAGAGCCAGATTCCAAGGATCAACTCGAATTGGAGACGAAAGGGCAAAGGCAGGACCCGGCTGAAGGTGTCGGGTCCTTCTGCCGGGTTCGCACTCATTCTGGTTGAAAAGAGGGGATGGAGAATGTTGTGACAGGTGTAAAGATGGAATTCTAGGTGGAATCGAGGGCGAGGGTTCGGGGGTGATTTAGGGTTTCGGCAGGGTCGGGTAGCGCGTGCTTTAATCAGCGGACTTCAGCTTGAAATTTTGTGCAGCCAGTGAGATCGGTTCAGATCGAATGTTGCCGCAGTACCTATGTACGTGCTAACTGCTGCAATCACAGACTTCGTCCTTCCTGCGAGCTGGGGCAGCGCAGTTTTAATGGCGTTGTTGAACATGTTTGACAAGACATTGAGCTCTTCGTAACACTGCTTGCATGTTTTGGTGGCAGCAGCTCCCTATCGACGAGCGTGGTGGTTGCCAGCAAGCTTCAATTCCCTCAGCCCTCGTTTTGTTGCGTTTGCTGCATGCTATCCTAAGACTCACATGCATCGAGTCGCAGCCGAGAAGATGCTTCTCAGTCCATACAGAGCGACTCGCTACAATGAACTGTTGCGAAGCATCTATGGTCCAGATCAGTAGAGCTTTACTGTTCGTTGCAAATCCTCCAGTGCAAATTGGTGTGCTTGATAAAGGAGCGTGCAGCGCCTTAAGTTCAATGCCTATACACAAGTTTCACGGTTCTTGGAAGACATTGGAGCCATTCTGCTTGGCTTTGAACCACTGGAAATGAACATTCTAAGCACCATTCAACATGTTTTTGAAGTGTTAGGGGCGAGAGTATTCGCTCTCGTTAATACCGGATCAATGGGTGTAACACGATTGAAGGTTCATACCACACGCCATATTCGTCCTTACAACAAGAGCTACTCCGGAGTACAACAGCACGAGTGGTCTGGGTGCATGGATTACCTCAGCACTGCTGTCTCATTGGGTCGTGTGAGTGGTAGGCGATGCCAAGGCCCGAATTCTGGTAAAGCTCCAGGAGCTCCAAAGAGCTTCCCGCTCCATCCTCGGCCTCTCCATTACTTTACTATATATTTCTTGCACCTCTCGGTCACCACATCAACAAGCATATACTCCGATGTGGTCTAGTGGTTCGTTGACAAACACCTTTAAACCAGCATTAATTCCATACTAACATCGTCTCCAGGTTAGGATTTCTCGCTCTCATGATGTACCGAGGAGGCCGGGKTTCAATTCCCCGCATCGGAACGATAGTACCTGCCTGTGGCAGCGTCCCTTTTGCTTTTTGGTCGTCGCCGGCAAGCTGGCTTCTGTGCCGTTGACAAAATTTCCTTTTTGGGAAGTTGAAGTGAAGGGAAAGTCTGAGAGGACATTTGCACTTACCAAATACAACGGCAGGAATTGACGGCAGCTACGAAATGCGACAGCATGAATCGACGATTGTACACTTGAGCCTTGGTTCAAATTGATTGATTCATTCAAGATAGCATTTTGTACATCGAAAGTAAAAGTTGGGGTTATGTGCTTTTCGCGAGCTTTCAAAGTTTTGTGGGTCTGCAGGCTGCTTCACAGCACACTACATATCAGCATGTCAATAATCTGCTCCCGTGACTCCTTCGACAAAGCTTTCAATGGCTTAGATGTATCTTCAAAGGTGTAGCATGGTTTCTTTCACGAGGAGCTGCTCCCGAGCTCCGGTAAACATGTATTCACAAAGCCTGACCTGGACTGCGAGTTCCCAACGTGCACAACACCGAAAAGACGTTGATATAAGATTCACTCATCTGCCTTTCGACGTCCAGAAAGAAGGAACGATCGACTCTGCGCCAAGGAACGGAGCTCGGAGCTCCAGCCTTCAAGTTTCACTTCACGTCACGTCACGCCACGTCCTCCTCCTCCACCCATCAACAATCAGAACTTCCAGAAAATTAACATCTACTATTGCACGACTGTAGCGATGCTCTGTACCCTCGATATACCACGAATCTCAATAACAGTCAGGCACGATCCGCGGCCTCGGCGGTTAGCAATGTCCATCCACTTTGACCAAAGGCAGGGCATCACAGAGATTGGTCCGATCATCTCGTCTCCTCTGGTCTTCTCTGGACACTCTAGACGATGCGAGGGAAGTATCAAAGAATCAGCTTTCCTTTTATTGAAAGTTTGAAACATCATTGCCAGTCACGTTAAAAGTACACTCCGTTCTCATCAACAGTTACCCTATATCTCCTTTCCCTCCGAGCTACTTGGTATAGAAGAGCAATGCATTCAGAGCTTGGAAACTGGACTCAAGAAGCGATTCATATATTTCCCCATGGATTGGCCTGGTGCCGTGCAAATGGATCCTACTTCATACTCGTGGTGATTTGGCGCCTTACAGCATTATGAAGGACTCCACCAAAGATGCGACGCTTCTCCAAACAACAATCATGCAGTGAGAGCTGTCTCAGAGCTGTGAATCTCTGTTGCTTGCTTTTCCCCACCCCGCATGCAGATTCATTCACTTGGAAATCCGGCACAAACTAGCGTATGCGAACAGTCAGCTCCCGCTTCTTCTGGCACTACCGCGGACCAACAACTTCTTTTCAATTCCATCCGGCAAAGACAGCCTGAAAGTCCTTCTTATCATCACAAACAGCAAGTGTTTCCTGCAAGCCTTTGTCCACCACCACCTTACACTCATACACCTCACAACGATGGCCAACGACACCACTTCAACGTCGAGCTCGAGCCCGCGCGCCGATCCCGAGCACTCCATCAGCCCACCACTCCCCCGCGCAGCCAGATTCACGCCAGTGAACGTCGACGACCGGGGCGAGCCACGCCGGCTAAGGCACGTTACTCGTGCAGCGATGCAGCAGCACTCAAGGGATGGCACTATTGGCGAAGACGACGGTCCCGAGCCTGGATTCCAAGGTCGGCCGCATGGCACAGATTTCGGTACGCCTTATCTACATGGTAGTTAGCCACGACGTCTCCTAAACAGCGCACGCTTCCACTAACTAGTTGTAGACCAAGTAGAGCATCAAGACGATGTTACTGAGAGCGAGAATGAGGAGTACGAAGAGGAAGAGCACGATGAGGATGAGAGGGGGGAGCAAGACGTCGAGGCAGGTGCTCCGGTTGCCAATCCGCCATTCCCCAGATTCTACAACGGCATCAGGCGCACCACGTCCACCTCTGCTGGACCCGACGCCCAAGGTGCCGTTGATACAGGTCCTGCTGTCCGCGCTTCCGGCAGCTCGGCCGCTGGTACCGCTACTGGAGAGACCAAGAGAGGACGGAAACCCGGCGCTACGAAGAAGGAGAATGCCCGCCCGTGGGGTGATGCTGAGTGCATCGCACTTCTCCAAGTAAGTGACCTAGAACTTTGCCATCAGGGCTATCGTTGATTTTCCATACTTCCCATGATCGATCGAGGTTAATGGCTAATGATATGGTAGTTGTATATCGACAACCCAAAGGCGACCCACAAAGCCATCGCCGAAATGCACCACGTCAGATTTTGGCGGGCCGATGCCGCTTGGGAGGGTCGCTCCTTCTCGGCTTGCCAACAGCGCCTGATTGCGCTGAATGACAGGAGTCGCGATCGTGCAAGACTTCCTGGCGTGCTGGCGGAGATGAAGCGTGCTTTCGCGGCAGCCGGCGGGACTGAGACGGAGAATTTTGCAATGGCGGGGCCCGAGGATGAGCGAGATAAAGGGGCAACGGAGGAGCAGGGACGGGTGAGAGGTGTTAATTCCGGTGGAAAAGCGGGCGCTGGGGAGGAGGGGGAAGATATCACCTCAACACCCCGGAGGACAACGTTTACGCAGGCCGAAAATGTCAGGATACCTGCACCTGACGCCGAAGCTGTTAATGCTGCCAGACTGCTGCTTTCACTCTCAGGTAAGCAAATCTGAGCAGAACGGCTGCGGGCTGTGTCCTCAGCTTTTGCAAGCCTGCTGGAGTGGTAACGATCTGAGCTTGATTTTCATGGCGTTTGATATTGAGCTGCGATTTGCTTCATATCTGCAGCTACCCATTTGAAGGTTTTACTTGACCGCAGCGATCATAAAGCCATCAAGAAAGTCTTTTGTCTGTCCGTCTCTCTCATAAGACTGGAAGATCGGAACCAAGGACGCCTCGACCCTCTCATCATCCTTCACGAACTCAACCAAAGCCATATCTTTCTCCCCATCTTGCATGATCTGCCTGACGACATTGTCGACATAGATACATCCACCTTTTCTAGTGAGCTTAACAGCCCAGTCAAAGTATTCGGCCTGCTCTTCCCAATTTGCGTCTATGAAGATCTACACCAGAGTCAGCAGCGGTATTCACAACATCTCTCGTCTTCGACACGGGGAACCTCTTCTAATTACTCACAAAATCAAACACCTTGCCCTGCTGAGCAAGTTTAGGCAAAATATCCAATGCAGCACCWAGCAGAATCTCTACATTATCGCACCCTTTCGTGTTCTCCACCGCGACATCGCGATGATGTGGGTCGATCTCGATGGAGGTGACCTGTACACCTGGCACAGATTCAGCGAACCAAAGCGTGGAGTACCCGCCCAAAGTTCCAATCTCGAGAATGTTTTTGGCATTGGTCATTTTGCAAAGGATGGAGAGAAAGGTCCCCTGAGATGCGTTGATGGATATTTCGGGCAGGCCATTGGCCTTTGAGTTTGACAGAGCATGTTCGAGCTGAGGAGTGTTCTTGGACAGCGACTTCTGAGCGTCCAAAGCTTTTTTCATATCAATGTTAGAGCCGAAGTTCGACATCTTGAATGACTGTGTTTCTTGATGAGATGAGCAAGGGAAATGGAAAGTTGAGCGCACTCTTTATATGTAAAGTACTCGGACAGAGCAGGAAGTAAAGCCAAAGTCAATATCATCCTTCTACATGCAAGTCATGGTTACCTTTACGGGCTGCAGTATGATTACACAGTCACAAGTGAGTCATCCCGTCCGTCGAGCTCTACAAGGACATAATTGTACTCTCGGAGCAAGACTATGTCCAATGAATGTTAGAGACTCTCCTGCATCCTTGCACATACTTCCCTAAGCATCTGCCTGAAATTCCCGCATGCTCGTTACGCTCGAGTACTGGCAGGCTACGCGCAGATCAACCAGGCAGCAATATCCGAAGCATCATCAGATGTGAAGATCCGAAGAAGCTGATGAGTCGGCCGGATGTGGCATGGAGTCTTACGCCGGAACGCTGTCCCTCGTACAATGCATGCTGGCTGGCTGACGATTTCAGTGCAAAGAGCGTGAGTCATAATGTGAGGTAGCACGGCCGCCTCGAGCAGCAAGGAGATGATGAACGTCGTTCGATGACCTGCAGAAGTGCGTATGTTGGCATCCCTGTTCAGAAAGACTGAGCTCCTCGCATGTCGTATCTCACACGTATGCAAGTCGTTTGAAGAATGTCGGCCGAGAAATACTGGTCGTCCAGTCACCAAGACCTCCGGCTCATCGGCATCACATGTGTTCCCGCGAGCGATCGTATCGAGGTCTGTAGTCTGATGGTAGAGTATACCTTGGAGTTCATGATGTTGACGACCGAGGGACGGATTGATGGAAGCTGTCCATCCAACCAGGCGGGGTTCCTTGCAGATCTTGGCGCCTGCAAAATGTTCGTCTTTACCTTCATACACACATTCTTTCGTGATGATTGAGGGCATTGCGAATATCCAAGAAACAAAGACACTTGCCTTGAGTTCATAATCCTCCCCATATCAATCAACATGGCCACCAACTCAGAGACCGCTCCCAAGGACCCAACCTATAACTACACCCCAAACCACAAGCCAAGCCATATCATCAACCACACTTGGCGTACAGCCGAGAATAGTGCAGCCTACCTAATCCCGACTCTGCAGTCTATGGCCTCCCATAACCCATCTCTCAAGCTCCTTGACTGCGGAGCCGGTCCTGGAACTCTGACGGCCTCCTTCTCCAAGTACATGCCACAAGGAACCTTGGTCGCGACAGATCTCTCTCAAGAAGTCATAGACCAAGCCACGGAGCACGCTAGGTCTCAAAAAGTCACAAACATGACCTGTCACACTGCAGATATATACCACCTTGACCAGACTTTTCCAGAGGAATCCTTCGRCGTGGTTCACACGCATCAAACGCTGTGTCATCTATCCCATCCTTTGCTTGCTCTACGCTCTCTCCTCCGAGTATGTAAATCTGGAGGTGTGGTGGCGATCCGCGAGAGTGACATGCGGATGTGGTCTCTTCATCCGTCGTCGTCGGCTTTGGAAAATTTCCAAAAGCTGATGATGCGATGTATGGACTCTCCTACGATAGGATCGAGATTGGTTAGTTTGGCAACGGAAGCTGATGTTCCGCGATCAAACATCACAGCGAGTATGGGGACTTGGTGTTTCAGCACTCCTGAGGAGAGGAAGATGTTCGGTGGTGCCATGGCGGAGCGAGCAAAGAGTGGTAAGATGAGAGAGAGATCTGTGAGGGAGGGTTGGCACACCTATCAGGAATTAGATGAGATGGTCAAATCGTGGGAAGGCTGGATCAGTGCTGAAGATGGGAGTATCGGATGCATGAATGGAGAGGTTCTAATCCGAAAGCCATGACGCCAAACATAGAATGCTGCAATTAGCATGGACCCCGAGGCCTTGCTTGAAGAGCCTTTGGTATCTTCCATTCGTGCGCCAGTATTCCCCGGTGACCTCAAATCTCCACAATGCGATCCAGCATGAAGTCGCAATGGGTATACTGCTGAAAATCAAAGAAGCGTTGTTCGAGCAGCTCCTCGTACTCGGCTGGCCGAAGTCCTGGACGTTTGAAGCAATGAAGTAGCTGCTCCTCGAAACCTAGGGAGTTGCGAACCACACTGAAACGACCGAAGGAGGAAATGTTCTGCCGGACCTCTTCAACGATTTCTTCGGACTGAAAAGACAGCGATACGGGTCTTGCGCTCTGTGACTCTGGTCAGCTTCCAGACCTTCTAAACACTCGTCCGGGACAGACTTGCGATGCGAGTTATGTGCTGATGGAGCAAAGTCATGAGGTCATTGACGACATCTTCTTTCTTCTTCTGCCGAACAACGGCCTGAACCTCCCCTCCCAGCCAAGTAAGACACGAGGCTTCGTCTTGTGGGGTTTCTGTAGAGGTGTATCTCGACATTTTATCGGCCAATCCGAAAGAAGAACTCGCCAAAGAACATGCAAATGGCCGCAGTAGCTTTTCAAAACGTGCCAGTGCCTGACGGCTGTTCTCCTGTTCTTCTGATGCTGCAGCACGCAGTCTGTTTGCAATGCCTGCCACGTCAAAGGAGTTTGGCTGGTAGATAGTGCGTATCCCTTGACTTCGACAGTGTGTTTGGAGATCCGGGTGGTTTTTGACAATCTCTGATATTGATTGGAGAATTTTTTCTCGCATTGCATCGATTGTGTTCGACTTGAGAGGCTGGCCATGCGCAAGGAGGAGCTCAACAATCTTGACCTCGGATGGCTCCCGTAGCATACGGACCTTCGTATTGTTGACAGTCTTCTTGTTGGGGCCTGTTTTGCAGGTATTGGATGTCTGCAATCTCGTTTTATGCGATTGGCCTCGCATTCGATTGCTACTATGGCGATAAACCTCGACTGGGGTGTGCTCATATGGAAGTGTACACCCAGCTTGACGGATATCTTGCGAGTGGTGAACATCCGCTGTCTTGATGATTGTCCAACCAGGCTGTGGCGCTGGAATTACAATCTTCTGACGGTATATTGCCGCCTTGATTCGATATGTGAAAGCTCTGGCAACAGCATTTCCTGTTCCGGTCTGGAACTTTCTGGGCACAGCGAGGTAATGCTCGTTCTGCAGAGCATGAAGTATCTGCTCAGTATGGCCTCTCCACCACTCTCTCGAGTCGTCTGTCAAAGAGTTCCACAACGTTACCAGCTGTGAGCCCCAATCCCTATCGTCCAATGGAGACTCCATACGGCTGCGAAGAACGAATGTGGCATGGTACTCAAACAGGGTGTGTCCGTCCTTCCTGATGAGGCCACTCAGCTTCTCACGACAGCCGGGCCCGCTATTGACGACGGCGAAGGCCAGATCCTTGGCGATGGCCAATAAGATGTCTGCACGCTTGAGTAGACGCTGCACCGATGGGTCATGAGTCTTCTTGAGAGGTATCGCGCGGCCGAACTTGTCTGGGAGATGTTTGTCGGGAATCTGCGGGAGACCTTTGAGCTGTTTGATCACGCCCAGTGTGTCTTCCAGGTTGCTTGATGGTGAAATGAGAGTCCAAGGATTGTGGTTATGGCAGGAGCGCATGGGAGGGAGGCGAGCAGCCTCCCCAGGATTCGCCATTGTCTTTTGACAAGCCAGAAGCGAGCGAGGGTGTGCTGAGAGATGATTCACAGTCAGTAATAGCGCAAAAAGGTCCAGTGCTAGTGTGTGCTGGTGATGAAGTTACGCGAGGTCGGAGACGTACGTTGGCTGTGTGGTTCGGCGACTTGCTCTTCGCGTCTTTAGCATGACGCATACCTTGTTTACTTTACACCTCCTCGAGGACACTTACAATACTACGCCAAGGTGGGTGGCAATGAAATGCACAGTAGAACTATCAAATCCTCTGATCCAAGGCTCCTCAAGAGCCACGAAGAGATACAGTCTCGATGGCATCGCTTCCCGGGTCTTATTCGACAAATCAGCCATGGCGAGCTGGATCTTGTCCATCGGGGGGAAGTCTTACCTACAACATGCCTATCTATAGCATCCTCAGATTCCCGACTACGTAGGCTTTACGTGCAGCAGGAAGCGGGCGCAAGCAGCAACGCCATGAGCGCTCTACAGAGTATCTCTGTGGCCGTTCTCACAACGTTCTGTCCTATTGGAACCGACTGGACTTTCTTAATCGACCATTGAGATCTACCCTCCGGGACCTTGTGGCCTGCTGACTGACCTCTCAATATACACATCTCGGCTCGAAGTCGTCAAGTATCGTGGTAGCGGCTCATGCACGAGGGTACGGGCAGCAGTTGGAAACATCGACCACGTTCGAAGCAATCAGCCTCATGCTGGTATGATTAGGGAACCTGCTACGATCTTTCAGCGCTGAGACGAAGTTCCGAATTTGCATTCTGCAATGCTATTCACCATGATATGAGGAGCCTTGTGCCACCGAGGACAGCATTGCAGCGACCTGGTAGGCGGATTCAAAGAACTACATGTATGCAGGCGGTATGTCGTGACGGGCCATGAGACAGGTGCCAATACAGTACTTTGGTTTTCGCAACACGAAGYTGGGCGAGGACGTTTATAACCAGCTGGCAAGGCAGGAWCTCCCCGATCACACTTGGAAGACGATGCGTCTTTACCACATCAGCCCATGTTTCTGTAATAATAACGTGGCACATACCTCAAGGCTGTCCTGAGATCCAAATTCTCCTTCAAGGCATGAACGAGAATAGCACAGTGGTTGAAACAATCGTTCAATACTTTCCATTACAAGCGCTATGACGCTCTGAATTACTATACGACTCCCATCTTTCCAACAATGCAACGCTGGAAGTCGATTATTAAACATGAATGCTCGCTCGTGCATAACCTCGTGAACCGTCAAGTCTTGAGTCCGGCTAACCCTACGGGCCACCCTTCGTAGACCGCCGTACTGTCTTATCCTCCTGTCGTGAGACACGCCAATGATGTGTATGTGAAGGCACCATCCTCTACAACGCCAGACCGAAGATACCGAGAAGGCCGGCAGCAAAGATGCTGGAGCCGTAGGCTTGAGCAACGTTCAAGGCAGCGGCAGCGCCAGTGTCGGATGGGGTCGAGGAGGATGTTGGGGAGCTCTCAGAGGCGGAGCCAGAGCCACTTGTGGATGAGGGGGTCTGCGAGCTGGCTGGTGCGCTGGAGCTGGAGCTGCTGGAGCCCGCGTCCGCTTCAGATGCGTTCTTCTCACCGCAGGTGATGGATCGGCATTCTTGCTGAGGCGTTCTCTGGTCGGGGTGTGCCATGACRCAGAGGTCGATCCAGCGCTCACAGACATATGATGGGATCATCTCGGCGTAATCAGTGATGTTGGGTGTGCTGCCGTCCGAGCAGGTGCAAGTCCAGTCAAGCGTGGTCTAAGGAGGAGATACTGTCAGTCAATGTTCAAGGATGATGCGCGTGTGTATGAGCACTCACGTCCTCGCATTTGTTGCCACCAGCGGCGACCTGACCACCGCAAACCTTGGGGCAGTTGTTCTGTTGACCAGTGCACCATGCGGAGCGCAGGGAAGAGTCGACCACATTAGGGTCGATCTGGAGCGCGCCATCGTCGCCGTAGAAGTAAGTTGTGTTTCCCGTTGGCTCGACAGTTGTGTTCTGCGCGCTGGCGACAGCGACGAGAGCCGTGACGGCGATGAGGGCGGAGGGGAACATGCTTGCTGTGGTTGGGATGTGAGGTCTTGTGGATGAATCTGCTTCGGTTCTGGTCAGCGTTATGAAGAGAGTTGCAAGATCGGCGGCAAGCCTCCGCTGCGAGTGCTTTTGTTTACCTTTCAATGGCACACGGGATGCAATAGCAATGGGCACTGTTCGTGGTGTGACGGCGCTTCTTGATGACAATGTGTTGATGGAGCGGTGATTGTTGTTGGAGGAGAGGAACAAGGAAGAAGCTGGAAGGTCTGGTCAGGTCAGGAACAGGCGGGCGCAACTTCTTTTTGAAGCACGCCCGGGTCAGGTCGCTGTAACCTGTTGCTAGGGCGAGTGCTAAACTTTAATAACGTCCGGCCCGCTATTGTATCTGGCCGAAAGCTCCGCTGTCCGACGAACGATCTTAAAGGTCGATGGCAACAGGATCGTTCTCCTCCATGTGAGGTATCCCGATCGCGTTTATTTCTTTCGTGAGAAGCTCATTGAGTGCCCTCTGCACCATCTCAAAGTCCGCGGAGTCATGGCAGAACCAAACGCGTGGAGCTCTGAACATGGACTAAACTGGCAAGCGTTCTTTCGGAAGCTGGGCGCACTCCCTGCATGCATGCAGCTTGGCCACACTTCTGGTTGCCATTGGCCCAGACTCCATGGCCGCTACTTCAACATCTTCAACTCCCGCCACTTTGTGCTCCATTCTCAGACGGAGCCCACAATTTCTGCACTGATAATAAGACACCTTCTCCACTCAATGTGCCGCTGTGCCGTAACGCAGTTACTGTATCCTTCACCTCGTGGGGTCAGCCGCAATCTTAGCAAACAATCAAATGTCGCTTGCTGCGTGCGCGGACCGCACGCCGAGGGAACCGTTCCAAAAGATAGTGCCGGCAGTGTCCGCCATGGAGATGAGCCGATCACAGATAAAGGCGTTCATACCCGACCGTTGCGATCGCTGGCCCGCTCCGAAATGAAGATGTGTCTGCTCTCGATACTTTTTGAGAACGGCTTCGATGCCCGCGTGTGAAGTTTACTGTGACTTCACTTCGCAGCCGTCACCCAACAGCCGAGCGTCGCGAACCGCGGTGCTCTGAATTCCCCGAAGTTGATGATGGTACGGAGTACTAGTAGCTCTACGCGTTCCGAAAGCGCAGCAAGGGGAGGCTTGCTGCACCGGCTTAGCATTGCAGAGGTGGGTGATCTTGCCAAAGGTCTAAACGTGGTAGACTCAAGATTGTACACAGTACCAGCTAGAGCCTGGAGGTCAAGACCTGTGTAACAATACTGCTCGTTCGTAATCCTGGTGTCTATCCTGACCTGTGACGCTTCTCGGCCAGGGTACCGTATACCTTTCCTCGACTTCACTTGCTGGCTTCAGTGGAGTGTTCCCAAATCGCCCATATTGAGCTGCTCCGGCCACTTCAACGGGCTGTGATATACGAAGCGCGTAGTAGTAAACGAATCTGCCAGGGCACATGGAGGGGACGATTCATTCTAAAGGCTGCGGAAGACCAGTTGAAGACATTTGATTGGCCAACGAAGCGCAATGCACAGACCACCTCCAGACTACCATTGATTCGACAAACTCACATCTTCAGCAATCAACAACTTTGCGTTGTAACATTTCTTGCAACATTCCTCGCCATGAGTCGGCAATGCATCCTCGCGACTTCACAGCTCAATCAATGGTCGCTCGACTACGATGGCAACCGTGACCGCATCATCGAGGCCGTACAAACCGCCAAGGCCGCTGGCGCGACACTCATACTCACACCAGAGCTAAGTGTTCCTGGATATGGACTGCTTGACCACTACCTGGAGAACGATGTGTACTCGAATTCATGGGACATTACAGCAGAGATCATCTCACATCCGGATTGTCAAGACATCATCATCGACCTAGGTCTACCAGTTCAACACCGCGGATGTCGCTACAACGCACGTGTAATCGCTCTCAATGGCGAAATTCTGGCAGTGCGACCCAAGCTAGACCTCTGTAATGATGGCAACTTTCGCGAGATGCGGTATTTCCAACCTTGGCCCAGACAGCAGGTTGAGGACTACAAGCTCCCGGCAGTCATTCAGAAGCTCTCTCTCGGACAAACGACTTGCAGAATTGGCGAAGTGGCGTTTGAGACTTTCGATGCTTCATTCGCATCGGAGACGTGCGAAGAGCTGTGGACCCCGAACTCGCCCCACACGGTCTATTCTCTTGCTGGGATCGAGATTGTGCTCAACTCAAGTGGCAGTCATCACGAGCTGCGCAAGCTGCACACTCGAATCAACCTCATACTTGAGGCCACTGCGAAGAATGGTGGCGTTTACATGTAAGTTGTGACAGGCGGCAAAGCCTATGATCGTTCGGAATTTCGATTCCTTCCTCAAGAACGACAGTCTCAAGCAYGGCCGGATGTCGCGCGTTTGCAAGATGCTGTCCATCGATATCTYCATCGTCTCTCGCTTCTGGTTACATATTCTGACTTCCAATCCCAGGTACTCAAACCAACGTGGATGCGATGGAGACCGACTGTACTATGACGGATGTGCCCTGATCATGAACTCGGGCAAGGTCCTCGCGCAGGGATCTCAGTTCTCATTGCGGGATGTGGAAGTCAAGACTGCGCTCGTCGATCTGGACGATATTTGGTCTGCTCGCACCTCACCAAGCCGTGGACTGCAGGCAAACAATCCCGAAGTACGCAAGATCGAGCGCATCCAAGTCAAGTTTCACCTATGCAAAGACCCGGACATTGTCGATACCAAAATCCATCTGACCGAAGCGATTGAGCCCCACTACCATCTTCCGGAGCAGGAGATTGCCTACGGACCTGCTTGCTGGATGTGGGATTACCTGCGGCGGTCCAAGGCTGCAGGGTTCCTTGTGCCTCTCAGCGGCGGGATTGATAGCTGTGCCACAGCTACAATCGTCTTCAGCATGTGCCGGCTTGTTGTAGCCGWAATCAAGCAGGGCAACAAGATTGTCATTGAAGATGCACAGAGACTGTGCGGCAAAGATCCAACTGGTCTCACCGCCGAGCAGTTCTGCAGCCATATCTTCAGCACAGTGTTCATGGGTATGAAGGAGCAGTCTTCCAAGGAGACTCGAGGTCGCGCCAAGGAACTGGCGGAAGTAATCGGCGCTCAGCACATCGATACCAATATCGACGATATGGTGAAATCCTTGCATGTCCTCGTCTCAGGCGTCATCGGTATGGAGCCCAAGTTCAAGGTTCACGGCGGTTCTTCAGCGGAAAACCTGGCACTGCAGAACTTCCAGTCGAGATCCCGCATGGTCTTGGCCTATGCTCTGGGTCAGCTTCTTCCGACCTCGCGGGGTAGCACTGGTGGGTTGCTCATCCTGGGGTCGGCGAATGTCGATGAGTGTCTTCGCGGCTATCTTACCAAATACGATTGCTCCTCGGCCGACATCAATCCAATCGGCGGGATCTCCAAGACGGATCTCAAGCGCTTCATCAAGTGGGCAGAGAAGGACTTCAAGCTGCCGATCTTGCGCGAGTTTCTCGACGCCGTACCTACTGCGGAGCTTGAGCCCATTACCGAGACCTATGTTCAAAGCGACGAAGCCGACATGGGATTTACCTACGACGAGCTCTCGACGTTGGGCCGCCTCCGCAAGATATCCAAATTCGGCACCGTCAGCATGTTTCGAAGATTGGTCGTCGACTGGAGCGACCGCATGACCCCACGTGAGGTCTACACCAAAGTGCGCAACTTCATGTACTACTACGCCATCAACCGTCACAAGATGACCACCATGACTCCGGGGCTCTACTTGGAATCCTACACTCCAGATGACAATCGGTTCGATCTGCGGCCGTTCCTCTACCCAAAGTTCATCTTTGAGCACCGCAAGATTGAGAACATTTTGAAGAAGATGGAGGAAGGTGAGGCTGGACCTCGACCTGCTACCTAAGACATGCTTGGATGGTTGAAGCGCGCACAATCCCTCTCCTCCGTGTCGACAAGTTCGGCAAGTTCGGCAAAGGGTAGGGTGTCGCGCCAGTCAGGCCACATCAAATCCAGTAGAGCACGGGACAGAACTTTGCAGATGGACATAGACACGTACACAAATTCCCAATCTCGGTCTCCCGATCGCCTCATGTGTACCTCGACCCTTGCTTAATAAGTGTCAATGCTGACAGTAGACTACAACGGCGAGGCGAGCAGTCCCTGATCAGGTTCCTTGTTGTTCGCGCTCAGTGAACTGTTGGTTGTAGAGATTGCAGGTCGTACAGCCTGAACCCGCAGCCAGAGGTGCGGGTGCACAGACGTGAAATTCAATCTGTGCGAGAGGTACGCAGCAAGGGAGAGCTTTTACCATGGTTCTCGCGGCAGGGCGGAGAGGAGTCCATGGATGGTATCACCATTGGAATCCAATGCAGATTTCCAGGGCGAGAGCCACTGTCAAGTAAATCGGTGAAAAACACCTCACGAGTCGCGTAGCTTTCATGCCGTGCCATGTATAGAATGATAATTTTACGATGGAGCACCCAACGCCGCAGCGCAGCGCCGTGGAGAGGGGTGATATAGTGCGATTGTGCGACGATGTCGAAAGATTCTCAGTCCCGGATCCTTGTCATTGATCTGGAGCACTGTGGAGGAAGCCGGTGCTCCGCGGTATAGGCTATAGCAGCCGATCCTGTTTCCACCGCCGGATCCAGGTTCCCATTGCGAGCGGGTGGTTTCCACTTTTTCTGATACGTTCGAAGCGCCCGCCCAACGTTTCAACTCCCACTTGCTCCGCCAGTTGCGGGCTAAGAGATCCTGCGACAATTCCCCCTCGACGTCCATTGCAAGTGGATTGTTTGTCGTAGGGCGCTTCTTCCTGCCGCAAGCTCCAATCCGGCACAGCGGCGACGATCGGCGGCGATCCCATCCCAGATCCCAGTATACTGCCGGCCAACAAGCCTGTTTCCTCGCATCAACAACAGCTTGACGCGCCCAGCGAACGACCCAACGAATTCCCAACGCCTTTATGGGCGCCGCCACGGATGGAGTCTTCTACATGGGCCAGCGCCGACAGCCTCTCCACCACGCCGCCGCCGCTTGATCCCACGGTCAGCCGGTCGGTGGATCCACGCGACTTCTACTTGACGGGCTACTCGGCGGAACTGGACGATATGTCTACCGGCGAAGGAAAACCCGCGTTCGCCAGCTCGACGGCCCATGCGACACCGCGATCAGTATCAGGTCCAGCTGGTGACCCCAGCCTACGCTCTCCTATGGTACTWCCGTCACGTCCGCATGGGACCGTCAAGGACATGGCAAACCGCTTCGATCGCAGGGTCGCCAGCGGCGATGGCCGCAGTCCGCTCACCGTCGCCACCACCCGAGGAGAGCGCTATACCCGCGTGCCCCAGCGATCTCCCACGAGTACTTCGAGCGCAGACAGCCGACCCAGCACCACGAGACTGCAAAAGAGACGGCCCACGGGGGAAAAATCGCCCAGAAAATCGCCATCGACCTCTTTTGAAACGGCGCATTCTTTCTCGTCTGCGGGGACGGTGTTGACCACGCGCAGCCAGCCATTCGCTGCCTTCTCTCGTCGCCGCTCGCGCTCTCCAGGCAAACAGACACAGCACAGTGGCCCGAGACCGCTATTTGGCGAGATCACTGCGGATGGAAGATGGAATGGAAACTTTGACCTGGGCAACTACGGTCCTCTGCCGACATTTGAGAGGGCACCGCGGCGTGGCAGCGAAGGTAGCCTGGCGCTTGCTCACGGACGCAGCCAGTCTCATCACGATATTTCCAAGCCATTATTACGACCATCCTCCAGGCAGACTCTGGTGCACAAGAGGAGTCGGAGCGAAATGAGCGCAGCACAACCCCAGTTGATGCCGAGCATGCCAAATCTGAGCTCCCACTATCGACCCAACCTCCATCCAACACCACCCGACTCTGGTCACCGTGGAATGCGCCCCCGCAACCATCCGTCAACATCACAAATCCCAGTCAGAACCGGCGGATATTCAGCTCCGCCACCTGCAACTCAATCGCGGCCTGCATCTGCAATGTCAAATCCAACGCAGGGAAGACGTTGGTCAAAGTCGCCAACTCGGCCTATTAAAGGGAAAGAGAACACTACGCCCTCATCACGAAGTCGATATCTCCCGCCCTCCATATCCACATCACCTGCATCAAGTAAGATGGTCTCGGCGAAAATCGTTGCACCCCTTCCCAAGACGTCGCCTCCGCTTCGCTCGTCACGGCCTAGACAGCCGGTGAGCTCGGCCACGACGTCTGCGAGCCGAGCACGCGCAGCAGAACGATATCACAGCCAATATCCACGCCCTCGCGACGGAAGGCGGCCGAGCGAACAGTGGCTCGGAGCGCCATACGACCTGCAGAAGGAGAGGTCGAGGAGGAAGATTCCGGAACTCGACAAGATCGATTTCGAGGCACGACGGGCGCGAATACAACGGGCCATAACGCAAAGTCTGAAGTCAAATGAGGACTACGATGAGCTGAGGAGTTCTAGAAGTCAATCTAGGAGTGTTTCTCGATCAAGGCCTGCCTCGAGGGTCGTGTCTCGCGAGCATGCTGCTGCTGCCAATACGGATTCCACGACGCAATCGGACAGTCACCAAATGATGGACAGCAAAACCCCTGGACCTCACGGGCACACCCGCGGTCTCAGTCTGGACACAACGGGATTGCTGGCGGTGSCCGGTGCAGAGCCTGAACCGTTGACAAGCATGACCGAGCAGACCATGTTCGAAGAGGAGAGTCCCGCTCTCGGCCGGTCCGCTGTGGAACGAGGCACGTCAGGTCCAACAGCAGTGACCGGGTCCCCGGAAGTGCATCAGGAGCCGCCTACACTATTACCGGCTGCGACGTATCAAGAGCCGTCAAAATTCGCGGCCTCTGCCACATCAGCCGCAAGTTTGACGGAGGCAGCAGCCGACTCCGTCGATACGCCAACCCTCCTCAACCACGTTGCGCGTTTGCGAGAACGCAGCAGCTCCCCTGCTAGCCGCGACGGTACTGAATTTGCCGATGATAGCCCAACCGCACAAGAAGGTTCCGGGGATTTGGTTGACCAATGGGGACTTGGCAACGCCCAGGCCGCCGACCAGGGTTCGATCCGGATCATGCTTGATCATGACCCAGACATTGCCCAGGCTGAACCATGGTCCACTGGTGGGGAGCTCCAACATGTCCCTGCAGAGGGCGACGTTTTTACGCACTCGCAGGAGTACAATCAACAAAACTTTGCCGCAAATGGGTATATGGAATCCCCACTTGAGGAATCCGAACATTCCGTACACGACGCTGCGGATGTCACCCCACGCAAGCCTGTCACAAGAGACGACACACTCACGCCTCCTGCACTGCAACTCGGAGATTTACACGCGGCAGACGACGGCACGCTTCGAATTGACGGGAGAGTATCTCGCGTGCTCGAGTATTACCAATCCACAGGAACGCTCACCGCCGAGATGCTCGAGGAGATGCAACACCGCATGCTCGACCTGAACCGCCTCTCCGCTAATGGCGGTTCCGATGCCGACATGATTCAGAACTTGCTGATGAGCATCCAATACAGCCAGCCGATCGAGGACCTCCGGAAACGGAAGCCGTTGCTTCGAGCGGATGCTTACGAGATGCCGAGCGTCACGCCGGACACACCAGAAATGCCTGCTGAATTTGGGCACGTCATCGTGTACGGGAGTGACGTACCTGATGGTGAGGAGGAGGATTTCGAAGCCAAGATTCGCAAGGCCGATGAAGATTGGGAGCGACAACAGCGTGGTGAGGATCCATTTGTGAGTGACCATGCACCGGTGCCTCCGCCGAAAGATTATGGATACACACCCCGTTCGAGCGTTGGGCCGCCCAGTGACCTGGCTCCAGCTGCTAGTAACGACAATGGGCTGAGAATCGGGACATTTGGTCAACTGGACATGGCAGCGATACAGGCAGCTGGAGACCGTGTTTCAGCATCGACGTCTCCACTCCTCAGTCCTAATCCACCTCAGCCATCACACGAGCCGCCTGCACCTCCTCCCAAACCGTATACGCCTTCAGACTCGTCCTTCGCCGCGGCCTATCCTGAGCGGGAACCAAGTGAGGTGTCTCCCAAGTTTGAACGGGCGTGGGCCCCATCGGGCTCATCTCGTCCCTCACTTGACAGCCAGCGTGCACTGCCGACTCTGCCCGGCTCACATTCAATGACCTCATTCACGGATTCGACGAGACAGACTTCAATTGACATTCATGGCGATGGCGGCAGACTCACCAAGGCTCCATCACCTGGGCCCGAGCAGAAGCGCTTGTTGAGGAGGCGTCACATCATCAAGGAATTGCTCGACACCGAGAATTCGTATCATCAAGATTTGAAAATCATCGAGGACATCTACAAGGCCACCTGCACTCCCGATTTGGTACAACCCGAGGACAAGAAAGTACTATTTGGAAATTGTGATGAAGTCGAGCGGTTTGCGTTGCACTTCTATGACGAAATGCGCAAGTCCGTGACTCAGGTTTACGTGCCAGCTAAGCAACAGCGCTGGGCGAACAAGCGAGGTAGTTTCTCGACTACCCAAAGCGAAGGCGCCAGTCAAAACTCTGCAATGGACACTTTGGACGATGAAAAAGACAGGACCTCGACGATTGGCAAAACTTTCCTCGACAACATGTTACGCATGGAGCAGGTCTATGGATCGTACCTGAAGAACCATGACGCCGCGAATCAGCGCTTGTCCGCGATCCAAGGAACGACGACTGTGAAGTGCTGGTTGGACGAATGCCATGCCAATGCCAGCGACATCACTGCAGCCTGGGATCTGGACTCCTTACTGGTGAAGCCGACGCAGCGTGTGGCCAAATACCCAATGCTTCTGCAGCAGCTTTTGGAGGTTACGCCCATTGGCCATCCCGACCATGAGAATATCAAATCCGCGGCCAAAGATTCCGTCACCATGCTCACTCGGATTAACGATGCCAAGCGCCGTGCGGATCTGGTTGATCAGGTCATCAACGGACGTGGTCGCAAGGACTCTGACATTCGCAGCGGCCTCGCCAAAGCCTTTGGTCGTCGCACGGAAAAGCTCAAAGAGCGAGTAGGCATTGCAGAGGCTTTTCAGGATACTGAGTTTGACGAGCTCGCGCACAAGTTTGGTGGCAATTACATTCGCTTGCAGATTTGCATGCGCGACGTCCAGGACTACATCAACCGTACCGAAAAGGCCACTGAGTTGGTCAACAACTATGCGAACGCGTTGGAATTGTTTACTGATGTGGCGCCGAGCACTCTGCCCGAGATTGAGAGCAAATGGCGCAAGTACGGACAGGTGATTCGAGATCTCACTCAAATTGCCTTTGAGGAGCACAAAGCAGCCGTGCAGAAACGCGTCCTCGAGCCTATGCTGCTCTGCATCAAACTGCACGATGGTCCACAAAATGCGATGAACAAGCGAAAGAAGCGTATCGTGGACTACRCCAAGTGCAAGTCTGAGGAGAGGCGAGGCTTGAAGCCGGACAAGAAGACCATTGAAGCGTCAGATTTGTACATCGCGCTGAACGACCAGCTCAAAATTGAGCTGCCCAAGCTCTACTCTCTGACTGCCCAGCTGGTGATAAACTGCCTCAACTGCTTCCTCGACGCACAGATACAATGGCAGAGCACTTGGGAGAGGAAATTGCGGCCACTTCTGGAAGTTGCGGACATCCCGAGCAGCATCCAGCAGATAGAGTCTGCATTCAGTCCCGACTTTACTGAGATCAAAAAGCGATGCGCAACGCTGTCAATCTGCAATGGTTCGCTCGCTCAAGAAGCAGCGAACTTCCTCTCTCCGCACACAACACTGATGGATCCATCATCCGAGGCTTCGAGCAGACGAAGAAGGCCCTCTACTGTAGACAGCTCGGCCAGGACTTTATCCGTTGGAAGCCAATCTTCCACTGCTGTCAATTCGAGACGTCACAGTGGTATATACACACCAGGCTCTGACGTAATGCCAGCCCGTCTCCGGTCCAACTCTTCCCTATCAGCGCGAGCTCGGGCTCAGGGTGGCTCAACAGGTCCAACCGCCATCATCACGTCCGCCCACCGACCCTGGTCGAATACAAGCACGCCCAGCAATTCTTTCACCGGGAACAGGCCCGCCACGGGAATCCAGCCGCCAGCTTCAGCATCAGCACAGGCCACTCATTTCGCACGGCCATCCCCTGATGTACCACGCAGCCCACGGCCCACCTCGGACGCAACGTACTTCACCGCGCGCCAGGATCTACCAGAAACGCACCGGTTCTCCGGTCTCTTCACATCTGCCCTGCCGCCTGATATGGCTTCGGTCCTCCAGCCCAACGAACCAGCAGCACCTCCCGCTGCAGTCCACGACATGACGGTCCTCTTTGTCTGCGCCAGTCTCTTTGAATTCAGCATCGAGCAGACGCGCAAGGAAGGTGGATACCCATACCTGCAATATGTCCAAGGAGAAATCTTCGACGTCGTTGGCCAAAAGGGCGAGCTCTGGTTGGCGAAGAATCAGGACGATTCTACCAATACTTTGGGCTGGATCTGGGAACAACACTTTATCATCGTGGGCCAGGATAACGGCTGAAAGTCGCTCTCTGATCGGCCACTCGACCACCTCACGAATTTGCTTTTGTCACTGTATTTGTTACGAAGTCATGTCTGGAGCACTACAACTCGTTTTTTTGCTACGCGCTTTCAGCGGTGGCGTTCAAAGGCGAAAACAAGCTCGTCGATTGAGCTGAGCCGAATGGGGTTCCGTTTCTTTCTTTTCTGTTTTCTTATTGGATATGAATACGTAGTGTGTTACCTTGTCTGGGACGAGGGAAGCAGGGAAGGAAGATTTTTTTAATCTTCTTCGGGAGAAGGAACCTGGGCTGGGGATGGAAGCTTGGGTCAGTCTTCTGAAGATCGGAGCGGTGAAAGAAGTATGTATTATAGACAATGAGGTGAATCRCCAATGAAAGAAGAGAGCGCATCACATGAACACATTTTGACGATGTGACTGTATTCCTGCTCATGGCAGTTGGGCTTTTGCCTTTACGACCTTCGGCTGCTATCAGTCTTGTTGGACCATGTGAACTTCTTGATGGTGGTCTGCTGCGTAGCAGGGATTGGATATGGTATGCCCGCTCGTGTGTCTGTGATTCTCTAATTTCTTACATCTTGTAGAGTGTAAAGCCATCGTACAGCTGTCTATCTTCCGAAACGCCTTCCATTTTTCAAAAGCGCGAAATATCCCTCCCAAACAACCAATTAATACTCCAATAAATCGGGATCAAGATCCGATTTCTCCAACTCATACTCTTACTCAAATACACCCCTCTCCAAATAAACCACGCCATCAATCCCGAGATATTCCCTCCGGAAGACTGCAAAATCGCATTCTGATTTCCAATATAAGCCATTACTCCAAGGTCCTTGTATTTGAATTCCGTTTTCTGGAGATCCCCTTTATTCAATCTCTTCGCTAGCCAAGATGCTTTTTGCGCCGCGACTTGAGCGGTTGCGGGGTATGAAGTTCCCTCGAGAATCGCACAGTCTCCTAACGCGTAGACGTCTCTCACGGGCGTACCATCCGGGGATTGGATTTGAAGATGTGAATCTGTGAGGATACCGTGGGATTTGGGATGTTGTTTGACTTTGTCTTTCAGACCTGTCTCGACGAATGGATTCATCATTAATCCTGTGGACCAGACGCACATTCCCACTCCTACTTCGCCTTGTTCTTTTAAGTTGAGGGTGTAGCAGGAGAATTTATCTTTGACTCCTGGACGTATGACGGCTCCCGGACGGAGTTCTTGGACGTGGTGGTTTGTTTTGATCTCGATGCCATTTCTAGCAAAGGTCTTCATGGCGTATTTGGAGAGTTTTTCGTCGAACATGCTTAGGATTGTGGGTGCGACGTCGTAGACTGTGATTTTGCAGTGTTGGACTAGCTCCGGGTAGAGGCGTGACATGTCTTCGTGGATGAGATCGTGGAGCTCTGCTGACCATTCGATTCCTGTGGGACCACCACCCACGACTGCGAAGTTRAGGATTTGAGAGCGCATTTCATCCGAGGTGGTTGGGAGTGCGGCGATTTCGAAGCAGGAGAGAAGGCGATTTCGTATTCTTCTGGCATCTCCGACGTCTTTTAGGAAGTAGGCCTGGGAAAGGATAAAGTCAGCATGTGCTTGCTTCATAACAGGACCAGGGATAGACCTACGAATTCTTTCACACCCTTCGTATCGAAGGTCTGGGAGTAGCATCCCACCGCCACAACCAATTTGTCGTACGAGAGATCAAAAAGCTGTCCCTTTTCCGCAAGCATCTCCTTCTCCTCCTTGCGCTCCTCCTTCGTCTTCTGGGCATGGATACTCGAAGCCAATCCTCGACCTTGCAATGGATCCTCAACAGACTCCTCAATCGTCAACGTCTTGGTTTCGAAATCCACCTGGTCGGCCCATCCTTGAAAGTACTCTGCTCCCACACCTCTTCCACGAAAGGATCTTACAGGCTCCAGAGCAGTCCGAAACTCGAGGGTCCCAACTGAGGTCCCGGCGAGCAAGGGCGTAAAAACAAAGTACGATCTTGGACTGACAACCACAATCTGATACTTCTTCGCGTCTAGATCACGACTGAGAGTAAAGCCACCCCATCCACTGCCCAAAACTACCACTCTCTCTCGGTTCTTTCGTTCGGCATCTAGCTGTGCGATGGAGAAGTCCCTCTTATGTGCTGCTGCGATTCTTGTTGTTCGTGAGATGGTTGAGGAGAGAGACTGTGGAGCGAGTCCTCTTAACGATCCATTTCGTAAACACAGCATAGCTGAGCTGGTCTTGAGAGGAGGTAATACTGAATCTCACCTCACCTTCAATGATGTTGGATACTTCACTTTTGATCTTTGCCAATGCTAAGGATTACATCACTCCAGCCTTCCGGCAGTGTCCGGCCGCGGAGCATAACGGCATTCCGACGTTCCTTTTTCACAAGGACGAGTTGTGCAAATCCACTTCCCTCTCCGTTCCGACTGTATTATCATCGTGGGGTCTCCCAAGTCTCTCATCAGATGAACTGTGATCAAGATTGCGGAAGGCATGCTCCAGCTCCAGGATGAAAAGGTCGGCTGAACTTTCACATGCATGTCACCGTCCCCTCAATTGCCGAAGTTCTCGGCGYAAAGCCGAGACACAGCTCGCCCTCGGCCGAGCGACTTCGGGAGGTCCACATAGACGTGCACGATGAGGGGAACGAGATGTTCAAGGAAGGTCCATGGTTACGACTTGCCTGTTGGTATTCAGAATCGTCACTCGGAGAGTCAAGAGGCTGCCCATTTGAGATCCGATCGCTTTTGCCGGACAGTGGTGACGAGGCAGGCGGACATAGTCACAACCGGAGGCATTGATGATCTAAAGTACGATATAAGTGCTTATAAGAATCGCCTTCGCCTTTGTACAATTCTTAGAAACTGCCTGTTGGAAAAAAAAATTGCCACATAGTACGGAACGGCAGAATCTTGAAGATGGCGACCAGAAATGTTCTCGACCTGCACATCTGTATTGCTGGAGCCGGTGAGTATGGCGAGATATTGTGCCTTTTCCAATGATACTGACTTCGACAGGAATGGGCGGTCTAGCAACCGCATTGTCCCTCGCAAAGCGTGGATTCAAAAGGATTGATGTCTATGAGTCGGCGTCGAACCTAGGCTTTGTTGGCGCTGGCATTCAGCTGGCACCAAACATGGCTCGAATCCTCGATAGAATGGGTGTCTGGGCAGACATTGAGAAGGAAGCCGTGGATTTGAAGGGAACCAGCATAAGACGTATGGACCGAGCACTCCAGCAAAGTACACTTTCACTGACAATACTTGATAGAGGGCTCGACCGATAAAGAGCTCGGCAGCGTGGACCTCAACTACATCCGCGCCACGTACAATTACCCTCACATGGTTGGCCACCGCTCCTCTCTCGCCAACTCGATGTATGAAGGCTGTAAGAAAGAGTCCAGCATCAACTTCATCTTCTCCACGACAATCACAGCGGTCCAATCCTTCGGCCCAATTCCCACCTTCACCATCCTCCCACGCAACGGCTCTCCGTCAGACGTGACCTGTGATATCCTCTTGGCCTCCGACGGTATCAAATCTGTCGTTCGCGAGCACCTCCTACGGCACAAATCCATCGACGCCAAGATCATAGACACAGGACAAGCAGCCTACCGCATCATGCTAACCCGCGAACAAATGTCCCACGACCCCGAACTACTTTCCCTAATTGACACAGAAGCCGTAACTCGCTGGATCGGGGAGAAACGACACATCATCGCCTACCCAGTCTCCAACAAACAAATCTACAATCTCTCCACCGTACAGCCCGACACAAACTTCGCAGTGGGTCCCTCAGCTACATACACGACCAAAGGCAGCAAACCGCAAATGATAAATGTCTTTTCCGATTTCTGCCCCAAAGTTCGAAGAATGCTAGATCTCGTCCCGGACGGAGAAGTCTGCGAGTGGAAACTCCGCGTCCACGAACCCCTCCCCACATGGATCGAAGGCTCCACAGCTCTAGTTGGGGATGCATGCCATCCGACTCTCCCGCATCTCGCCCAGGGAGCCGCGCAAGCTATCGAAGACGGAGCTGTTCTTGGAGTGGTTCTGAGTAAACTTCCTGCAACGACCCCGGAAGCTATTCACAAAGCTTTGAAAGTCTACGAGGTGGTGAGGAGGGAAAGAGCGTATGAGCTTGTGGAGCTCGCGGCTGCGAGTGGGAGGGCGTTGCATTTGGGTGACGGGGCTGCCAAGGCTGAGAGGGACAAGCAGTTTGCTGCTTTGAAGGATGGGAAGGGGCCTGTGCCGGACAAGTGGGCGGATGCGGATGTTCAGAAGAGAATTTATGGACTTGATGTTGAGGATGTTGCTGAGAGGGAGTTTGGGGAGATTTATGCCAGGGTCTAACTAGTTGGTATGTGAGTGGAGAGTAGGGTTAGGATTGGGGTAGTGTGACTGTATGGCTACCACTTCTTCAACAGGAAACGTGGACGGCTGGAGGATATCCGGGGATAATATGGTTAGTAGGGTTGAATATATGCAGTATTTGAGTTCGATAATCTGTTGAGTCAAAATGGGTGTGGAAATTTGGTATTCACTTCATCCGAGCCAGTTTGCAAAGCTACGACTGAGCATCTTCCGTAGATTTTCCCTGTTTCCAAAACACCCGCCAGTTAAGTGCTACATTGCAAGGATGAGCCGCACGAAGGGTGCACACCAGAAGACTTACGAGCAAGACTGCATCAGTTTCGTGCCACGATTTTACTACGTCGAACTGCATCCCWTCATTCCTCACCTGAACCCTTTGACCAGACTACACCTAGTCACACGACGTCCGCCAGATTGCCCATCTGAAGTTCAAATACGTGAGATGTGGAAGCCGTTAGAAATAGTCATATACAAGAAAGAGTATGTCTGCCACATTTTCCTCAAAGCTTGCTCCTGCTCTCCCCTAGATAACTCTGCTGTGTCTTCAGAATGTCCACACACTCGGTGACCATTTCCTCCAAGATGACCTTTGCGGGCTGAATCGACTTGATCGCACCAGCGACCTGTCCCATCAAGAAAGGAATATCAACATCCACATCATTGTCCATGTCATGCTGCAACGGCACCACACCTTGATCACAGAGCTTCTTGACCTCCTCTGGTCGATCCACCTCCCAACTCTTGATGTAATCATTGATTCTTACTCTCAGCGGCCTTCCGCTAACGACCAGGGTCCTGCCGGTATCCTCAAATTGAGCGGAAACAACTGCCTCCTTGTGCATCTGACTACACCCGGCCTCCTCACTAGCCACGAACCTCGTTCCGACCCAAGCACCGACAGCTCCATAGCTCAAACTCGCCGCCAAACTCTTTCCATTGTAGATTCCTCCAGCAGCAACAACCATCGCCGGCTTACCAGTCAATGGAGACGTGTACTGCCTCGCAACCTCCACAACACTCGGGATGAGAATGCTCGTAGCAATATCTCCCGTATGTCCACCACCCTCTCCACCCTGCGCACAAACAATATCCACACCCTTATCCAGCGCCTTCTTAGCATGCTTCGGGTGTCCCACCATATTCATAACCAAAATCCCAGCATCATGCAATCTCTTAATAACATGATCCGGAGGAACCCCAACAGCACTAACAAACAGCTTTGCCTTTTCCTCAATCACCACATCAATCAGCTCGTCGAGTTGGCCATGGGTGTAGTCGTGGTTGGTCTTTCGCGCCGAACCACCGACTTGAGGGAGGGCGAGATCTACGCCAAAGGGAAGGTCTGGAGCGGAGAGGTTGGCTTTGATTTCGTGGATGATGGATCGCATTTGGGTTGGTGTGTAGCCTAGTCCGCCGATGACGCCCATTCCTCCTGCGTTGGAGACGGCTGCTGCCAGGGGACCGGAGGATGTGCGGGCCATTCCTGCGAGGATGATGGGATATTCGATTCCGAGGAGCTCACATAGTGGCGTTTTGAGGGTTGGGCGGGCCATGATGGACGATGATGGGGGATGGGGGATGGTTGTTGGTTTTGATTCTTTTTGCTGATGTTGTATGCTCTTCAAGGCGGCTTGTAAGTTTTCGAAGTGGTTTGTGGATCTCCACTGGAGGCAGTGACTAGAAAGACAATGAACATGTTGTAGATGTATATAGCTCCACTGATGCCACGGTCTCGACAACCGTGTCTACCGAAGCCGAGAACGCGGGGATCCCGAGGCCAAAGAAGCGGAAGCGGGATCCATCACATCTTCCGCTCCGCTTGCTCGGGCCACGATAGCAAACATCATCCAACTCCTCGTCTCTCACCTAACAATATCTTCCCTCACACATGTCTGACCTTCTAGCAACCTGTCACTGCGGTCTCATCACAGTCGAGGTCCCACGCAAACCTGACTACATAAACGACTGCCAATGCAGCATCTGCAGGAGATATGCAGCAGCTTGGGCATACTACTCCACTTCTTCGGTCAAAATCATCATCAAAAAAAAAACGTGCAGCGACTAATAAGAAGTACATCTGGGGCGACCGGGAAATCGAATTCCACTTCTGTGATCAATGCGGTTGCGTTGTATACTGGTGGCCTTGTCATGAACAGCCTGACAGCGAGATGGGCGTCAATACGAGAATGATGGAGCCGGACTTGGTGGCGGGGATTGAGAGAAGACAGGAAGAGCCGGGGACCTAGCGCATTTCGCCTCAATCGCCTCAAGCTAACGGAGTTTCGATTGAATTTGGGAATTGTATGGGAGCATGTGGATGCTGGAGGCGAGTATGATGTGTCTCGAGGGTGGCTGGCTACGCACTTCTCTGCAACATCCCTCATCGTCCTTTCGATCTCAGTTCAGACTCACGGCCTCAGAGAGTCWCACTCCATGTCCCGCTAGCGCGACAGTCAGTCACCCAGCCGGCACCGCCATCTGCGAGCCTAAGTCTTTGCTTTTTATCATCGACCATTCAGTGGCCCTCTGAAGCCCTGAATACACGACCACGCCATGAGAAGCTGCTCGAGAGAACGACATGCAAATGCGTTCACAATCATCTCGGATCATCGATCACGATGAATGGCTTTTTTTATTGGACTTCTCCCGAAGTGCAAGCTCAGGCGGATATAAGTGCAAGATTCAATCCGGTATCCCGTATGTCAATCGATCTGAATTCCTTCGGAGAAGAGTAACACTATTCGAGACATGCCAAACAGCAGCAAATCCTGCGGTTTGCAAGAGCGGAGATAAATGCAAAATTCTTGCCCCCGGACTTAAGCTACACCCGTGGACAGCTACAGCGTCCCCTTGCATCGGAACACAAGTTGTTCATTATGACTCGCGGCCCACTTTCGCTACAATCTAGCGAGAATTGGTTCGTTGCTAACTCCGCCGTGCTTGATATGGGTTTGGGAAAGCTCCGATGTAGAGGCGTTGTATGACGAGGTGGTATCCGTCGACACTAACCAATCGCTCCCTTCTCAGCATTGTAAGTCATTACAAAAGCGTTCCCCCAGTTAACCGCCTCTTATTCTGTCCAACCTCAACAAATCCTTCGCGATGTCTTCAAAGCGCGATTCCTCCGGTGCAAACTTCACACCCACAATCCACAGCGACACCTATCCCTTCATTGACCCCACCCAGTTCAACCTCTCCAACACCGCAGTCTTCATAACCGGCGCTTCCAAAGGCTGCGGACGTTCCACAGCTCTTAGCTATGCTCGAGCAGGCTGCTCACACATTGCCCTCGGAGCCCGTTCATCCATGAAAGATCTCGAGCCAGAGCTTCTAGCCGCAGCCAAAGAAGCAGGCAAGGAGCCGCCTCACATTTTGCTGCTCGAACTGGATGTCACCTCCGAAAGCAATGTCGCTGCAGCAGCGAAGGAAATTTCTTCCGAATTCGGCMGGTTGGACATCCTTATCAACAACGCTGGCTACGCCTCTCCATTCGTCTCGGTCATGGAGGAGAACGTGGATAGTTGGTGGCGAACCTGGGAAGTCAACATAAAAGGCCCCTTTCTCCTAACCCAATCGTTCATCCCTCTCCTTCTCTCCACCGCTTCCGGTCTCAAAACTATAATCAACGTCTCCTCCATAGGCGCACATTATTCCGGCCCCGGGTCCGCATACAAACTATCGAAACTTGCACTCTTGAGATTCGGAGAGATGATCGCGGCGGAACATGAAAGGGAAGGTGTGGTGTGCTTTGGAATTCATCCTGGAGCTGTGCCTACTGAATTGGCTTCCAATCTGCCGGAAAACATGCGGCATAAGTTGCAGGATTCGCCAGAATTGACGGGGAATAGTTTGGTGTGGTTGAGTAAGGAGAAGAGAGCGTGGTTGAATGGGAGGTATGTGAGTTGTACATGGGATATGGAGGAGTTGGAGAAGATGAGGGCAGAGATTGAAGATGGTAATTTGTTGAAGGTGAGGATGGATGTTGAATGATCACAAAGTACCTAYATGTACCTAGGTATTGTATTTAGAGCACGAAACATGTCATCGTTTTGACAAGGAAGTCGCTCGGCCCTGGCATGCTGCCCTATCCTAATACTACCTAGCGCGATCGTCTCGGATCTCGGCAAAAAGTTTATTCACAAAGGTTAATCGCGGCGGAACACGTTGCATTAATAAAAACATCCCACTTTGACCTCATCGCCTTGTCACCAATACTGCTACGACGACGTACGTGGCTGAATCTTCATCAACGACACCTCCACGAATCGAAAACGAATGGGCGTATCATGATCAGAGGCGCAGAAGTTGACAACTAAGATTCGGAGCTGGGGAGAAAGCTGAGAAAGCCCTGCAATATATCAACAACCTAGAACAATACCCAACATGGAGAACGCATATGTGCGCTCGACGCAAGATGTGCTCAAGCACTTTGGTGTGTCGGAGCAGAGTGGACTGTCGGAGAGTGGAGTGTCCGCTTCGCGACAGAAGCACGGCAGGAATGGTATGCATAGCATAACAGAAGACGTCAACACAAGACATATCGCGAGGTACTGACACATTGTTGACAGCTATCCCCGAAGACCCGCCCACGCCGCTATGGGAACTCGTGCTCGAACAATTCAAGGATCAGCTGGTCCTCATCCTGCTCGGTTCTGCGGCAATCTCTTTCGTGCTCGCCCTCTTTGAAGACGGCGAGGGCTGGACCGCATTCGTCGACCCCGCCGTCATCCTCACCATCCTCATCCTCAACGCCGTCGTTGGTGTAAGTCAAGAAAGCTCTGCTGAGAAGGCCATTGCTGCTCTGCAGGAGTACAGTGCAAACACCGCCAAAGTCATTCGCGATGGAAAGATCAAGAGCATCAAGGCGGATGAGCTGGTCCCAGGAGATGTGATTGACGTGTCGGTTGGCAACCAGGTTCCAGCCGACTGCAGACTTCTCAGCATCAACAGCAACAGCTTCCGCGTTGATCAGAGTATCTTGACTGGAGAGAGCGAGAGTGTTGGCAAGGAGACGGAAGCAATCAAGGAYAGCCAGGCTGTTAAGCAAGATCAGGTCAATATGCTCTTCTCAGGAACCACCGTCGTGACTGGACACGCCCACGCGGTCGTGGTTCTCACCGGTTCGAGTACCGCTATTGGGGACATCCACGAGAGCATCACGTCGCAGATCTCGCAACCCACACCACTCAAGGAGAAATTGAACGAATTCGGAGATGTGCTGGCCAAGGTCATCTCTGTAATTTGCATTGTGGTCTGGTTGATCAACATTCAACATTTCAACGATCCTTCATTCGGTGGCTCATGGACCAAGGGTGCAATTTACTACCTCAAGATCGCCGTCTCTCTTGGTGTGGCCGCCATTCCGGAAGGTCTCGCCGTGRTCATTACAACATGTCTTGCATTGGGTACCCGCACCATGGCTCGTAAGAACGCCATTGTTCGCAGCTTGCCCTCGGTCGAGACATTGGGCAGCTGCAGTGTGATTTGCTCGGACAAGACTGGTACTCTCACTACCAACCAGATGAGCGTCAACAGAATCGCATTCGTCAATGAATCTCAATCTGGACTTGAAGAGCTGGCGGTTGAGGGAACGAGCTTTGCACCCGAGGGTGCCGTGTCAAGAGGCGGCAAGGTCGTTGAGTGGGCCGCCGAGTCTTATAACACTGTCGCTCAAATGATGGAAGTCGCGGCTATCTGTAATGACGCTGAATTGGCATATGACAGCCAGACGGGCACTTTTCAAAACGTTGGCGAGCCTACCGAGGGCGCGTTGAAGGTTTTGGCGGAGAAAGTCGGCACCCCTGACCGGTCATACAATGCTCAAAAGGCTCGTCTCCAACCGGAGCAGAAGCGCAACCTTGCTAGCAACTACTACCACGGAAAGGCCAGCAAGCTGCGAACATATGAGTTCTCTCGCGACCGCAAGAGCATGTCTGTTCTTGTGTCTGGCGGCAATTCCGAGCGTCTCCTCGTGAAGGGAGCTCCCGAAACCATTCTCGAACGCTGCTCACATTGTCTCGTTGGAACCGACGGCAAGACTGCCGCTTTGTCATCAAAGCTAGTCGCTGCAATTCAAAAGGAGGCAGTTGAGCTCGGCAGACAGGGCCTCCGTGTCATGACACTCGCCAGCGTTAACAACGTCAACTCGTCTTTTGCCAAAACCGCCAAGACCTCCCAGGAGTATCTTCAGCTCGAGCAGAACATGACCTTCCTCGGAGTCGTTGGCATGTTGGATCCACCTCGTCCCGAAGTCCCAGAAGCCATCAAGAAGTGCCGCTCCGCTGGCATCCGCGTGGTGGTCATCACTGGTGATAGTAAGAATACCGCCGAGACCATCTGTCGCCAGATTGGCATCTTTGGTGAACACGAAGACCTTTCAGGAAAGAGCTATACCGGTCGCGAATTCGACAATCTCAGCGAGAGTGAAAAGCTCGAGGCCGCGAAACGAGCATCCCTTTTCTGCCGAACAGAACCATCTCACAAGACAAAACTTGTAGAACTCCTCCAATCCGCCGGCGAAGTCGTCGCAATGACCGGTGACGGTGTCAATGATGCCCCCGCATTGAAGAAGAGTGACATCGGAGTCGCAATGGGCAGTGGTACGGATGTGGCCAGAATGGCCGCCGATATGGTTCTCGCGGACGACAACTTCGCCACTATTGAGACAGCGGTCGAGGAAGGCCGAAGCATCTACAACAACACCCAGCAATTCATCCGATACCTGATTTCTTCCAACATCGGCGAAGTGGTATCCATTTTCCTCACTGCGGCACTCGGCATGCCGGAAGCACTCATCCCCGTGCAATTACTTTGGGTGAACCTTGTCACGGATGGTCTTCCTGCGACGGCATTGAGCTTCAATCCCAAGGACAACGATGTGATGAAGCGCCCACCACGCAAGCGCGACGAGCCTCTTGTGAGCGGCTGGTTGTTCTTCAGGTACATGGTGATTGGAACGTATGTTGGATTGGCGACTGTTGGAGGCTATGCTTGGTACTTTATGTACTTTGAGAGCGGCCCTCAAATCTCCTTCTGGGAGTTGGTAAGTTTGTACAATGCTGATCAGACTGAACGTTGCTAACAATTCTGCTAGTCCCACTTCCACCGTTGTTCCACTGCATTCCCTCTGGTCTCCGGCGGCTGCGCCATCTTTTCMAACTACGTCGCCAAGACCGCCTCGACCATCTCCCTCTCCATTCTCGTGGTGATTGAAATGCTCAACGCCATGAACGCGCTCTCTTCCTCGGAGAGTCTCCTTTCCCTTCCATTGTGGAAGAATATGATTCTCGTCTATGCCATTACTCTATCCATGGCTTTGCATTTCGCTCTCCTTTACACACCAATCCTGCAGGGTGTTTTCGGAATCGTGCCGTTGGGCTGGGAGGAATGGAAGGTTGTACTGGCGTGGAGTGCGCCGATCATCCCGCTTGATGAGGGGTTGAAGTGGATGGAGAGGCAATTCTTCATGGAGACTACGGAGGTCGCCAAGGGGAAGAAGATGGATTAGAGGGCTGGTTTTAGATGTTAGATGAYGTAGGATAGRAAGTGCTCTTCACGGGGCTGGCTGTCTGAGTTGATTTGATGATTGGAATGTAAAAGAACAGAATTGAATTCAACAAAATTGATGTACTCGTGCACTTCTACATGTAGAGTGCAGAGAGCATCTCTCCCTCTTGCCTTCAAAAACGACTATAACCTACTATACATGCCCTCCTTCTGCGGCCGAACATCAATCTCATGAGTCCACGCACTACGCGGTTGCGTGTGCAAGAACCAATACGTCTGCGCCAAATCCTCCGGCTGCATAAGATACGCATCCAAATCCTCCAACTTCTCCTTTGCACTCTCACGCTCCCATTTCCTACGACTCACACCTCCAATAAGTTTCCCATCCACGGGACTATCCACAACGATGAATGCAGCATGAATCCCCTCCGGCTGATACTCTCGAGCGATAATCTGACACAGACTCCTCAATCCAAACTTTCCTGGGGAAAAACTTGAAAGACCGGGTGGACCTCGAAGAGCACCAGTCGCACCTGTGAATAGGATTGTTCCTTTTTGTGCGGCTAACATGCCAGGTAGAACACATTTCGTCGACCAAAACGCTCCGTGGAGGTTAATTTTCGTAAAGTTCTCAAATTCCTCTAATTTTAGAATGTTAGCAATCGGATTCCACGACCTCTTAGGAAGCCAAGGACATTGTAAATTACCTGAAGAAGTATCGAGAATCTTTCTCCCATTAACACGTCGAGCCCCAGCATTATACACAAGAACTTGCACTGGACCGAGCTCCTYGGAAATCTTCTCGAAACTTGCAATGACGGATTCTTCCACTCGCAGGTCTGTGATGTAGTACTGTGCTGTTCCTTGTCCAAAGTCTTTGTTGATTCCTTGGGCCATCGTTTGGAGTTTATCTTCTGTACGAGCGAGGAGAGCTGTGGCGAAGCCTTCGGTTGCGAATCGACGGGCTACTGCTTCGCCGATTCCGGGACCGGCTCCTACGACTGCTATTACGGGCTTTTGGGCTGTGTTGAGGGACATTTTAGTTTTGTTGGAATGGAGGTTTAGATGTATGTGGGTGAATTGACTGTGTGATTTTGAGCAATCGATCGATGTTGTTTGTGGTGATGGTTTCTCTTTTTGGATCTTTATACCAGCGAGGGACGGGGAGCGATCAGTCAACATCCTCGGCGTCCGGGCCGAATATTGATTAGTGATGCCGAAGCCCTTGAATCAATTTCGACGGGCAATTTGAATGAAAGATAATTCCCTGCGATGCGGGAATTGCGAGTTTCCTTTCTCTCCTCTTACACCAAGTAAGCACCACAGACCAACAGCGGACACGGCATCGTACATTCCTCGCAGTCTGCAGCTCTCTCTTTTTGGTGCTTGTTGACCTCCCCGCTCGGATGACAGGACATTGGATGACAAGTCCGCATGCTAATTAGGTACATGTTTGGTCTCTCAGCTTTGCATGCAGCGTAATCATGAGTGAGTCTTGCAGCGCCTTCCTTACTTGATTCTACGCTCTTCAACAAGATGTTTCCAAGAATCAAAACCCGGACGAGCCCATCTTTCCGACTGCACACAGATGGCTACTCAAAACGTCAAGATACCACCTTCTCCCCCACAGCATGCCGTAAGTCGGAATGGTGCTCTCGGGTCTAGGAGAACACCGAAGCTGACAAAGTTGGGGTAATTTTTTTTCTGGAAATATGCTTACGTGCACAGAAGCTGGCTCAGTAAGCTGGACGCATGAGCGGCGACATGTACTTTCTCCATGTGCAATGTAGTACAAAGATACTACGGTAGCGATCAACAGACATATAAAACGTCTGCCTGTAACGTGGTCCATTCGATACCTGTCATCAGTCAACAACAGTAGTGAGACCAATACCTGCTTTCCCCTCCGAAGAAAAACATACACAGATATCGACATTGTCAATCGCCTAATCATCATGGCGCCCAAGAGAGTACTCGTCATTTTCGGCGCTACAGGCAACCAAGGAGGGAGTGTGATCAATACTGTGCCATCACGATCAGAACTGGCCTCGAAATATGTCCTCCGTGGTATCACCCGCGATACCAATATAGCAAGAAAAGCCAGACTTTGACCTCGAGGGGAGTGGACATGATCCAAGCCGATCTCAACGATTCTGCATCCATCAGTGCAGCTGTGAAAGGTTCCTACGGCGTCTTTGCCATGACTGACTATTGGTCGATTCTGGACAAGCAAAAAGAAATCTCACAAGGGAAAGCCATCGTCGATGCTTGCAAGTCCTCACTCAGGAGTCAAGCATCTTGTCTGGTCTAGCCTTCCAAACGTCTCCAAGCTCAGCGGCGGAAAGTATCTGCACGTCGAACACTTTGACGCCAAAGCCACTGTTGCGGAGTATGCGGAGGCAAATAAAGGCGGCATGATGGTATTTATCTTACTTCTTGCCTGCCATGTTCATGGATGCCGTCAAGCAGATTGCACAGAAAGATGAAAGCAGCAAGAATCTATCCATCTCTCTTCCATTCCCTGACCCCCAATTTTGCTTGGCCGTTGATTTCACCAACCAGGGATACGGGCAAGTTCGTCATTGGATTGTTCGAGGCGGGTGAGAAGGCGAACGGAGCTCAAGTCCAAGGTGTCAGTATGTGGACCACACCTAACGAAGTCATCAAGACGCTGCAAAAGAAGACGGGCAACAAGGCGACTTTCAATTCGATCGATGCTAAGACTTATGAGAGTTTCCTGCCGGAGAATATTCGTAATGATCTCAGCGAGATGATGCAGTGGATTGGAGAGTCGGAGTATTACGGCAAGGGAACGGTGAAGAATCAGGCTGAGAGTAACGAGTATTTGGTTAAGGGATCGAAGTTGACATCGTGGGAGGAGTTCGTTGCGGAGGAGTTTTAGTTTGAATCGGGATATTGATTGGACAGACTAGCGCGTGGAGCCTTGTTCAACGGGGAAGTATCAAAAGCAAAGCAGTGATGAATAATAAGGATCGTAGCACTGCGAGGTAGCATTCTATGTCTTCAGTCATTAATAAATGTGGAAGCCTATGCCAATTCTTCCGAACCTTGGCCGATTCGACAAAGCCACAATCGCTAACCCTGATTGGCATCTAGCAGATCCTGAAGGATTCAACGACTAGGTAGTGTCTTGATAGTGGGTCTCCTTAATAACCTCCCTTAATGCTCTCGAATCTTGCTGCCTGAACTCTTGTAGATTAAAATTGAAGGATAGGAAAAAAAATCCTCAAAGTCATCAAAGTTTATTGTCAAAAGTTTCCTCCCACAACACCAGGAACAACCCCTTTTCGAAACATGGTCCATAATTTCAATCTCCGAGACGGAATCGCATGTGCACAAATCATCCTATACAGCCCTGCAATATTCTCCGCATTAGAATTCTGGAGAACCCGGTCGCATCGGATATTTCTGCATAGGAGTTTTCTCCAGCATCAGAATCGTGGGAGCAAGCACCAGATTGGCTTCTATCAACAGCCCTTCCGACTCTCTCAGCACAACGACCTATATCTGCGAATCTCTAGGTATCATTCTATTGATATTCCTCTATCAGGAATTCGTAGAGCGAATGTAAGTAAGCTTACATGTAATGAACATCTCAATCATTGATTCATCGTCCACTAACTCTATTTTCTTCTCTAGAAATAAAGTCCTGCATATCGTTCACACGTACTGTTTCAAGGCTGTGAGCTGTATGATGTTGATTGACCTTGGTCTTGCGATCGGGAGCTGGATCACCATGTCTAAGCGTACGGAGAACGCGCTTCTGCCAACCAAGTGGACGATTGCGAGTAGCGTGGTGATAGCCTGCGTCTTCGTCTACGAAGTCGGTCTCTTTGCGTGGTTCTGGCGGGCTCGATTGAAGAAGACTATGTTTGGGATGGAAGAACAGCGTCTTCTTCTTGCACCGGCGGTTCAGACTATTCCGATGCTTGTTCGGAATATCCATCCGTTGATTTTTGTGGGGACTGGAAGCTTATTCTGGAATCAGGTTGTGGGGAATGGATATATTTATCTATTTATGATTGTGATTCCGGAGGTCGTGATCGTTGCGGTGGCTATTTGGTGTATCAGAGGGACAGCACCATTGTTAAGAGAGGACCAAAGTTGGAAGAGCGAGGGTGGGAGCAGGAGGGATAGATCTGGGTCGGACTCTGAGACGCCCATCCTTGCAAAGCAGAAGTCTGTGAGCGTAGGATGTGTGAATACTAGAATCAGCGAAAATGTCGGATACAGAACCTCTTTCCGATAGAGTGCCTCCTCCTCCTTTCTCGTCGATCGTAGTGTTCCCTGCAATGGCTGTATGGAGCATGTCTATTGCACACTGACATACGCTCAAGAACCCGGCAATCGCAGGGCTTTAGTCGCAATCCAACAAGCCCGGGAGTCATAGGACGCGCTCGTTGCATAAGAATACACCCCAGCTCAGGGACAACTTGCGCAGATCTTGGGTTTCAGACACTCGATTGGTTGTTGTAGTATGAGTGAGACTGACAAGAAGTTGTGGAAGGTGGACATCTTGTTAATAATGCTGACTAACGACTGACTAGAGGGTAAGGGTAGGTAAGTAGAGGACTCAGTCTCAACCGACATTCTCAGCAAACTCTCAGGCGGCCTTCGCAATTCGCAGCCGTGAGTTGAACTCATTCTGTCGATGTAAAAGAGCCCTGTAACATGAATCTCTTGGACGGTTTCGACTTTGACGCCACAGAATACGTTCCTGGCATGTTCGACTACCGGGAAATATTTACATCCAACGCATATATCGCTTCTCCACGATCTCGAAGAAGCATCACGACTGGACTCTTACCTACAGCGTGAGGTGTTTGGGCTTGGCAGTCCACTACATGATGCGGCTGCCACTGGGAATTTGAATGTGCTCCGACTGCTCGTGGATCGTGGTGCAGACGTTCGTTCGCGAGATACGCGCGGCCATCTCCCATATGAAAGAGCGCAAGCCAAGAATCATGAACTCGCTACACAATTCTTGCTTTCACTATCTGCTTGAAAAATGCATAACCGAGAACAACTTGGAAGCGGAACTGTAACAGACACTCGCCAAATGAGAGCGGCTAAGTTCTTGTTACCTTCTCGGTATCTACCATGGCTCAAGATATACTTTGCAATTGACATTCGCTAAGAATTCTTCTGGAAAGGAAAAAATTTAACATTGAGGACATCCCCACACAGCCGCTCACTACTTCCTATGATATTTAATTCCAACTTCCTCCTCCTCCTCCTCCTCTGTCTTCCCACCAAACATCTTTCTTGCAAAAACAAGCTCTTTCAATCACATTCTCATCGACTTCAGGACCCCCCCCCCTTGGAAACTTGCGACATGGAACCCACTCTGTATGGCACGGACAAGCCTTTTGTGATCGCTGTCGCTTATCTCCTCCTCGCCCTGATTATCTTGAAACGAATCGAGCAATATGCCGGAAGGCTCCGGAAGCTACCATTTTACTTGCTATGATCGAGGCAAACTCGTCGAATACAGGGCATTCCACATTCCACTGCCAGTTATGGGTATCAGCGGCGGCATAGAATGGTGTCTCGATCTAGGCGACATACAATACACATCCGAACCTTGCTTCATCAAGTTGGCGGCGAGTCAATAACCTCAACCCTTCACCTCCAAGGCCGTTTGGTATTTCCTTGGCGCTGGCGTGAGCCTTTTCATCTCGACGGGAAAATTGCGAGAGCAGGGAATCTTCTACTCCTCAGAAAATCAAGTCTTGTATCGCAAAAWCGAGCATACTTGCCATGTGATGATTGCGGGCGAAACGGAAACTTTGCCCAACAAAACCCCCGCAACTGGAAATCGTGCAAGACAGGCCGCTGATGATACGCACACCCGCTTCTTCCTCATCGCATCAGTCCTGGCGCCTCATCTAGCGTTTGTCTTTCCTATCCTCTTGGGCATCGGGTGTTCGATCTTATTTCGCCGTCACCGCCAGAAGCTCCGAGCTGCAAAGCGACGATGACAAATTGGTGTACCAAATCGCCACTTGGAAAGAAGAGCTCGCCGGTTTGAAGTACTTCTTGGAGCAGCACAACAGCATCACTACTACTACGCCACGACAGGCTGACGCTGGGGAGCTGAATCTGGTCTCTAGACTAATCAATTATCCTCGAGCCTCTTTAATACGAGATTTTGATCACAGACCTGACGGGCTTGCTGAGGGGAACAAATTGAAAGTCTCTTGACTTCTGCATGGTGGGTAGCCTGGTGGATGATAGATAGTCGAGGCATTTCCTCGAAATACTAGACTTTGTTGACCAAAAACTACTGTACTACAATCATCTGTGTATATGCGTGTGTGCCATTTTGTCGTTATTGTCCACTTCAAATCGACGAATTAGCCCGTCTTCTTTTCTAGACAAATGTGCGAAAAAAGATGGCAGAAGAGCGATGAGTAAGCTATGTCTTTACGAGAAGGCAAGGGCAGCTGGGCTACAAACCCATCTAGTGAGACTAGACCGCTGTGAGAGTTTCTCGTAGATGCGTGTGTACTAGGTGTCGTGTTTAGTGTAGCCTTTCAGCCAGTAAGCGGGTAGTGATGCGATCAACTGCCCTATGGTCCAGGCTAGTTAGCATTGTCTTTATGAAACTTTGCCCTCTGAGTCCTCGACTTTCTTCTGTATAACAGAGTAGGGAGAGAAAACAGATGCGGTCCCTCGACGGCTAGGGACGCACCGTTGTACCTCACACACTGACCGGCCCGGGACCTAGCTTAGGCATCCCACTCTTTTACCCGGGGTTTCGTCAAGCACTGCTCCCCTCGTGACCTCCACGAGGGGCCAGCTAGACTATCAAAGCCGCGGATAGCTGCGGAGCAGATCATCCAACGCTGTGCCTCAATGTGAAGGCGTATTGCTGTCGTCGTATCGAAGCTAGAGGAAGCATCTTACGTCGTTGTCCATATAGCATCTGACCACCTCCGAAGGCGCGTCCCGAAAAAATGCGAGCCGTTTTCCTGGCTATATGTCTAATTGGGAAGACTCGCTGTTCTCACCAATAAATAGGCAAGCCGATGGGCGTCGGGTATGTATATAGCACGACTCATATTGGCGGGAGGGACTTTGGAGGTAATCAGACGGGATGCTGTCCACTATCAGGACCCACATGCGGCACGAAGTGCGGTCATAAGAGACATCCATACAACGAAGAAGGCGCCACGCTACCAGCCGGGGTCCGAACTCAAAATTAGTGCCAAGCCAGAGCTCAGACCTGTTGAGCCTGCCTCGTACCTTACGATTCTAAACGAAATGAATCGAAAGATCATGCACACGTCGTAAAGATTGAGATACTTCGAGGCTAGGAACAGACCAGATACTTTCTCGCTTCGTTCCTGTGATGAATGAGTGCTATTCTGGGGATTGTACTGTCGGCAGACCAGGGCTGGGTGGATGGCAGTCTTCAAGCCTGATTGTTCGATTGGTGGTGGTCGTCACGGAATCCTGGCAATCCCGCCGTTAGTACAGACCTTGACTAAAGCAGGCCTCTCTTCCATCTACGCTTACAGTTGCTTATTGGACGTGGCAGAATCTTGTTGGTATGCGCTGGCGGATCGCCATGTTCGGCACCTACGCCGGCGCCGCGGCGCTTATCTGCGGGGGACCGCGTTTAGTAGCGCTATGCCAAGCTGCCAAGAGGCAGCTAAGAAAAGCTAAACATGAGCGCGGCATGCCACTTTTCCAGGCCAGGACAGCAGTTGGCTACTGTACATATTTGCTTTATGCAGAGGTATACGAGCAGGATCATATTCCATCGTCGATCTGTCGAGAAAGTGTCATTTGACCCCTCGTGAGGCACGGCACCAGAGACGGAGCTTCAACCGTGATGGTACGGAACGATGGCACAGCCTCTATCTGTCCTTTTGAAGCTCAAGTGTGCGGAGAAGCATCACATCCGCACTGGAGGTTGAAATCCGCCATTGAGACCCTGAAAGATAGAGTACATATCGTGTGCGACACGCTACAAGTTATGCGCTCTTTAGTTCGTCCTTGGTGCTGTGGTGTGTCCAGTATGTAAGTGATTCAGAAGGATCATCGCTTGATCGTCGTCCTTTCGCTATAGCAACGTGATTGGACAATCGAAGCGGTGTCGATCCCACCATGAGGTCACGAAGCTCTCTGCGAGTATATGTCGCATCTTGCCGCCTCGCGGTTTAAGCATCTGTCACTTGGAGCCATCATCACACGACAATTTCCTCACGCTCGAGCTTCTACAATGAACTCTCCAACCCTATCTTGCAGTGCTGGAGGTACTCCGACTGTCAACACCACCGCTCCATATTGTGTCATCCCTGGCGGGTAGGTAGTTTGCTGTTTCTAGCATGTGTTATTTTACGTGGGCTAACAGTAGCGCAGTGCCCAGCGGATGGATTACTGCTGCTCTGACAAAGGTAGCGCCGTTGGTCCTGACAATGGCAACGTTGGTCTTGTGCCCGATTGCTACTTTTGGTGCGAACTGGTCTTCAACGGTCAGGGAGACATCGACGACCAGTTTTCAAATGCCAAAAATGCCTTTTCCAACTGCCTCACCACTGGGACCAATGCATCGAAATCTCTGGGCGGAATGTCTTGCAGCAAAGGAGCCTCGAACGGTGACGCCAACGGAGGTTCTGGCGATACACCTCCTGAGGACTCAGGGGTAACCTCGTCGAAGCACAAAAACGTCAAGCTAGCTGGGTTTACGGGAGCTCTGTTGATTGCAGGCATGGCGGTTGGTGTTTTGTGATCGGTCTGGAAGGTTCACTGGTCCAGTGCATATCAAAAGTGTCGATTTACATCAATCAAATCTGGCAACTCAGTCGTCGAAAGTYCGCTGCAGACCAGAGTGATATGAATTGCAGCTACTAATAACGATAACCTTCACTCATCATTGGTCTCATCATAATTCGCGCGTGGAATGGACTTTTCGCTGGTCTACCCAAACGGTCAGTCCGGGCCTTAAAGTCTTCGTTGTACCGCAAGTCCTCTCATCTCAGTGACGCGGGCTGAGCCATGTCAGAATCTTTTATCCGTGATGGGCCMATGTACAATTCTGAGCGTCAACAACTGCTTCAGCGGTATGACCTGCGGAGCACCACTCCCCTCACTCAGTTGTGGAATCAATCAGAAGCTCAAGTGCGAGAATGCTAGGTGCTGCGAAGTGTGGATCAAAGCGTACATCTCTAAGTCTACTTCGGGACGTCCCATCAAAATTCTCGGGAGACTCCATATAATAAGGTATGGCATGAACCAATGGACCTCTCTCAGTTTCTAATGTAGAGCGATAGAAATTGTGGCTCTGCCAGGTGGTCTTGAGGACACGCGATCGATGAGCCTCTGAGTCAAACTGCTTTCAAATCGGCTGGACTGGTTTACATTGTTTTTTGTCGGAATAATTTCTACATCACAAATAACAACACTCAATTCGACAATAGTTCCGTCTTCACTTTGACGACGCTCCGAGCTGCAATAGACAACGTTGGTGTAATCGTACACAGCAGCTCTTGTCACTCCATCTCCACGGTCCCACATACGGAATCGGCACCAGAACCGTCACTCTCTAGAGCCCGCAGCATGGACTTCGACACGAAATTGTGTCCTCTGAAGGCTGAATACCTACCACGAGACTGGTATCCCAGATACTTTGATCGACTGCGTCAAGGGTACGTCGACTATCTCTGGGCAGCCTGGCGACCACTTCACCGCGACTGCATCTGCCAATATAGAACCAACAGAAATTTATTTCACAGCGACAATGACATCCTCGACGGCACATCGCCCACAGAAATGAGTCTTGCGTCGGCGTATCGCTTTTATAACAAGACCGCAATCTTCTATTTCGCCCACGGCGGCAGCCTTGAGAAGTGCTACAAGGAGAACGAGCCGAAATATCCTGTATACTGGGACTCATGGTTAGAAGATGCATACGACAGTTGGGCTCGCGAGTGCGAGCCGCGGGAGAGACTAGATGACCGGTTCATATTCGCTTGGCGGCAATTTTTCCAAGCAGGACGATCAGCGAGTACAGAGATGGATTGGACTAGGAGAGCAATCCGGCAATGATTTCGATCAGGACCAGGACATTGAGCGATTGATTTCCTGGCACATTCAATTCTGTGATAGGATTCAAGCTCGTGCAAAAGCACCCGTCTCTTTGGAAGAGGAATGGAACATCGAGGCCTGGTGGCCGTCTGATGGTATAGCTCGGCGGGCAAAAGCGTACCACTCTGCGCTGGCACCTACGTGTAGAGCCGTGCTAGGTATTGCCAGAAACCCCATGCCTTTAACGCGGCATGTGCTACTTGTGTTGACTGGACACAATCAGGATCTACTGTCGGGCGCGCCTACATTCGATAGTATCCCGCTCGAGGATATTGTAGCCAGACGATCAAATACCATTGTCGAGGTCTCTCTACAGACTGCTGTTCGATACCTCCAACTGTTGGAGAGAAAGGAGGAATCCATAAATGCGGCATTTCGGGCGAAGAAACGACGAACGACGAGAAGCTATTTACGAGGATGTTGGGAGGAGATCGCATCAGGTACTACAGRAAGTACGTGCCGATAGCGGAACACTTGAGGGGCGGAGGAAGAGGCGGGGCCGTCGGCGCCGTAGGCGTCCTGTGTATGTGGCGAACATCAATGTCATTGTGGAGGCGGCTTGGAAGCGTATCGTCGCTAGTGAGTACAACCTCGCTTGTCTTGCAAATACCACCGAGTTGCGGCGTGCTATGCATGAGGAAGACACCAGCACGTGTGATACGAATGAAGCTTGGCGTGGCGGTAGTAAAGGCTGGGGAGAATGGGGAAGAGGTCTGATCTGGAGTATCTTCTTCAGAAATGTCTGAGACTAACCTGGAAGGTAAGTACCTTTGGTAATTTGGACGTTCCGCACCGAGTCTTCTCGTCTGGAAGTACCTAACAGAGACACTTGCATGTTGAGGTAACAGCCTGCCTCCTTCTCAGACGCTTCGTGATTTCCCTATGTAGGTGTGACTTCCGTAGCTGCGGTATTCCCTCCTCCCTGTCAACCGAACAAGATGTTCGAAAACTATGGATCCCTCGACCCGAAGAAGCCGGAAGACTAGTATAGCACCCGCAGCAGACCGAGCGTTTAAAGATTAGCGTCACAGACCGAAGGAACTACAAACTCTACTTCAGCATCAAGCGGTCCACCAAGCTCGCAAGGCTTATGAGCGTCTTCTGCGAGTGCTAGGGCAAGGTCCCGACAAGCGTGCGATTCTGCTTCCACACCCAGCGCGTCAACGACTTTGACACGATGGAAACGGTAGGCACATTTCACATCGTCTGTTTCTATACCTAGACTACCCCGTAAACAATGCAGCTCGGAAGGGTTGACGGTGACACGCTCAAGGCTCATCCGGAACAAATTGGAAGGATGCGCGCGCGTCCTGTTCTTGAACTATAGCGACCCATCCAATTATGGCGGATGTTTTCGCAGCCCTGGAGAAACTGGGAAGAGACCAGGACGACCTGGAGACCAGACCCCACCTGCCTCCGTTGGATGCTGCTAGTGCCTTGCAACTGGGTGACACACTGTGCTATTATAGAACGGTCCCTGTTAGGAGAGCCGGAAGAGCGAATTCAGAAAAAGAAGAATCTGGATTGAGGCGTCGACGCCCTAAGTACCAGACCCCCCTCCCCCGTTCTCCGTTGAATACTGCTAGTGCCTTGCAACTGAGCGACACACTGTGCCATCATAGGACGGTCTCTGTTGAGAGAGAGCTGGAAGTTCGAATTCAAAAAAAAAAAAAAGAAGAATCTGGATTCGAATGTGGAAAAGCCTGTTCATGCAGTGGAAGCATGCAGCAAAGTCGCACAAAGTAACCGGCCTGAAGCAAATCTGGCAATACAGTATCACAAATCTGATAACTGTCGCCATTATTGAGGATTGCCTCGGAGCACAGAAAGGCCGAAAGAAGGACGCGTCGACCTTCTCAAAACGCCACGATGCATTTGCCATGCTGTGTAGAACAGCAAACGGCGAGGGTCTCTCTCGGGCGTAAGCTTACGGACCATGCCCATGAGCTCGGCTTCAAAGGCATCAAACAAGTGRCCGTCCCGGGGAGCGAATACTGCTTCACACGGCACTTGTGCTTCAGTCTGGAAGAGCCGTCTGGATTCGACATGGCAAGACAATCTCAGTGATCTCAGTTTTCAGGAGTTGTGGTGTTGTGGGACCGTCATTATCAGTAGCCGCCTGGGGTGAACGGATGGCGGGTTTCGCAAATATATCAAACTTGACTGGGTGGGAGCACATTTTACCTGCCGCTTGAGGGTATAGTGGAGGGAGGCGAAAATACGACTTCATACCGCCAGGGAGCTGCTCCATCATCATCATCGGGGCAGCGGGTGCGCTCCGGGGAAAGCGATTTGTCGTTCAAGACCTCGTGAGTAGCAACAGGGGAAGCAAGGTAGCGTAGTAGGATTAGTCCTACACTACGTCAAGCACACGGAGCACAAATCGGCATTTTCGTGATAGCGGTCAGCTTCAACCATATTCAGAAGCAGCAAACGATCCTATCGAAACATTGTCACATGCACAAGACAACGACCAATGCGAGGATTACGATTCACCACTTATAAATCACAACTCACAACTCACGATTCAGAATTTACATATCTCTTCACGCATCCAGACATATCCAAAGCCACACATTCGAGACAATAATCGTAATGACAATGCACCGGACATACGAAACCACATCACATCACATCACAGATACAAGACATTCTCCACCTCATGATAGGCGAAGTGGATAAGAAGCCCAGAGCCACATCAACAATAGTAGCGCCCTGGACTGCTCTCTCGATTAATTAATATGCCGCTCTGCGAGTACTAAGGATTCTAGCAGGCCTAAAATTGTCGAGCATGTAGAGAGCAAGGCCTTGTGATATTATAGGGATGAATGAAGATTTCTTGTCCCAATAAATTAATCCTCATATCGACAGCTCTGGCTCAGAAGTCTGCCCTTATGGGATCGATGACCGACATTCATTGCAGTCGCTTTGCAGAGATACGTACACGCAGTAGTTCTTCATTCGTAGTAGCACGTCTGAGAGTGGACCCGCAATCATATGACATGATTGGGAAGGAAAGAAACATGCCCGTGTCATCTGCCCACCCAACGGCATCGCTTGGAGAGGATGGACCTAAGAGCGAATTACATTTGCGAAAAGGATAGCCAATCTCAACCCGCAACGAGATATACCTTAACCTCGCTTCGAGGCCATCGCTGGAAATCTACCCCTAAAGCTACAATGTATTTGGGGAGCCCGAAAAGCAAATCCGACTTCTCAGGAGATCCTCCAATAATACCGCGGAATCTCGGTGTTTGGAGCATCGAGACCGCTCCTCATTACACAGCGCTATCGTATGAGTGGGGAGCAAGGGATGGCTCGCGGCAGCTCATTCGAACCGATGAATACTATCTGTCAGTCACGCCGAGTTGTGTCTTGGCTTTACGGTAGCTTTGGCCTCGTGCCGAGTTTGACTACTTTTGGAGAGCTTCGAGACACATTGCGTCTGCTCGTGAACCAGGACGACGAGCCGGTCGGACTGGTGAGGGTAGATTGCAAACCTGGCGACGTCTTCCTCGAGCTTGCGCCAAGCATGCATCTCGTCGTCCGGGCCTGGAGATCATTGATGTGAACTGGGCGGAGAAGCAGCGGATTCTGGATGCTTGGGAGACGTGTCGGTCTGGTGGTCGGTTGAATGGTTTGATCTTATGCCCAACGTCCCATGCTGACTATGGTGAAGATTCCTAGACCCAGATACCGAAGTCCGGCGGATGAGTCGCTTACATTTCCTTTATTAAGTGCGACTGTCACGAACGGTAAGTGAATGACTTAGGATTCCACGATCCACGTCACACATTCCTTGTTTTCATGCATCTATGGTCAAACGTGCTCATTTCCGATTAATAACGGTATAATATTCCTCCGGCATTACGGCATACTGTTTGTGGTTTGAGTGCGCTGGAAGACTCAGTTGCCCAACTCGATCCACTAACAACTCTTCCAGTTCACGACTGTCTCATTAAACAAATTGGTTCAAGACATGCCAAAAGCAGAGTCCCTCTCAGTCTTGGCCACTTCTCGCCGCTTACAATTTTGACCCGTACTTGGCCGTCTCACGCTCACACCACTTCCAGAGGCCCTCCAAACTCTGCTCATTTGCACCGATATCCGAACGAAGAGTTACAAAGCGGCCCCAAGGCCCAATGTACCGATCTTTGTTCTCCGGCTTGCCAGCGTCAGGACTCCAGCCAGCGAACAGTTCGGTATAGCCGCCGAGTTTGACGGGGTGGCAAAAGAGGGACTCCGTAATCGCACCTTCAATCTTATTCTGGTGCCTTTGCAGCTCTGAAGAGAGGTTTCCCGGGTTCCAGGCGTTTGAGACGATCCCGTCCTTGCCATATCTTTTCTGGAATTCCTTTGCGAGGAGGACATTGCAGCCCTTGCTCTGAGCATAGTCACTCATTTTGCTGTTGTGGACCTTTGGTCCCCCTGTGCTCGGATCAATTGCGACACCGCCTTTTGGACTGCCCATGGTGGCCAACGACGCGGCCTAGGATACGATGTTAGCAAAGTTTCTTGGAGTTGAGAAGACTGGATGCATACCCATGTTACCCGGACAGCGCCAGGGGGTGCCGATGCAGCAGTCTTTTGTAGGATGGGCGTCAGGTAGCTTGTAAATAGCCACGGCCCGAGAACGTTGGTGCCGGTCTGCAATTCATATCCTTGTGCAGTTTTGGAACCAACAGGAGGAGTCATCTGAGATCACACCCTTTGGTCAGCGAGTCCAAAGACGGTATTGGGAAACAGCGAAGAGATACTCACGACACCAGCGTTGTTAGTCAAGACATCAAGACGCTGTTCTTTGGCTAGGAATTCCTCTGCACTCCCCTTGATAGTCTCCAAATCCGCCAAATCGAGCTTCAAAAACTCCAGTCTTCCTTGCGAAGTCACATCTGCCTTGATACTTTCAACCGCGGCATCAAACTTGTCTTTTGAGCGGCCGGCAATGTAGATCGTGCCGTCCTTGGCGTACAACATCTTAGTCAACTCTTTGCCGATGCCAGTGTAGCCTCCAGTCACGATGAAAACTCGACCAGACTGTGAAGGGAGATCATTTTCGGTAAAGGTTGGTTTGGGGAGGAAAAAGCATTGACGGGCAGCGTCAAGATAGACCGACATTTTGTGAGTCGATTGATGGTGGTAGAATGCAATGTAGGAATGAAGTATGAGGGTACAGTAGGTTGGTAATGAGGCAAGAGGCTGGCAATGAGGTCATTTAGGTAACCTTTGTATGCACCTACCTTAGTCAAGTAGCGGGAGTGCCCGTGACTCTAAGCGAGCGGATCAAGTGGGGCCGGCTTACCGAGTACCAGTCTCGTGCAAGGATCCCTTCACCTCCAAGGCTTCTTCACCTTCACCTCCATCCATATACCTTAGTCTCTTCGTGCCGCACTTTCCTGGTATATTACAAGGAACTAGACGTGACACCGCAGGTCAGGGTCAGAAAGGAGTCTTGATCGAACGCAGTATCAGCAAGGCTACTTTGAATGTCTGTCCCGCTCAAACGCAGTATAAAACGTGAGAAGGTACGCGAAAAAGAGTAAGCGAGGAGTGAAATCATGTGTTGGAATGATTATTGAAGCAGGATCTCGAGCATCCCGTTCTTCTTTGTATGTATATGCGGATGTCGCCGACGACGGCAAGCACCAACAATGGTTCGGGAGGTGCTAAGGCATGTAGGAAATCAAGCACTCGCCTAAGCAATGGGATTTCCTTGGCTCACCAACATCAGGACTTGTTGACATGATATCGCAATCGATCCATCCTCTTCAGCATTGTACGTACTCCAGCGACCGAGGGCTGGGGAAATTGAAGCTTGCCGGCTCTCCTTCCATTTGAACAACGACCACGCTCGCGGACAGGGAGTTACGACTACCAAAGCAAGCAATGCTACGGAGAGCTAGATTTCTTGCTAAACAACGTCTCCTAACTTGTGTTGTCCCTCTCGTGGAGTTTCACCGGCCCTTGGACAGGGCATGGGCCCGTCGGACCAATAGTTGCTCCGCGCCGAAGCGTGGTCTTGTCCAAAGACAGAACTAGCTGGAAGCCCAACGAAACCTTCCATCACCCTCGTTTGTCAGCTATACGAGGACCACTCTGAATCACTAATCATTTCTGACGGGTGTATAGTACAAACCATGTAATAACATATTCCTCTCCCACTCGCAATATCTTTTCAACATCACAGCACATCATCACACACCATGGCATCATCTCCGGTCTTCGAGCCATTCCTGCTGCCCAATGGCTCCAAGCTAAAGAATCGCATCATCAAGGCGGCCATGGAGGAAAACATGGCAGATGTCGTCAATGGAAACCAACCCTCGGAATCACTGGTCAAACTCTATAAAACATGGGCAGAAGGCGGCTCCGCTCTGATCCTTAGCGGCCACATCATGATCGATCCTCGCGCTCTTGGTAGTCCCGGCGACGTGGTTCTCGCAGAAGATGGCCATCCCCAAGATCCAGAACGTTGGAAATCCTGGGTCCAAGCTGCCAAATCCAACGACGCGAAATTCTGGCTCCAGATCAACCATCCAGGCAGACAAGTCCAAAAAGGTAGCGGATTGCCAACGTATGGTCCATCGCCAATATCTCTCGAAATGGGGTCGTTGAGCTCCATGTTCGAAACACCTCTCGAAATGAGCGAGGAGAAAATTCAAGATGTCATCTCACGTTTCTGCTGGACGGCTAAAAAGGCCGAGGAGCTGGGCATCGATGGGGTCGAGATACATGCCGCGCATGGCTATCTGATTTCCTCCTTCCTTTCGCCCAAGAGCAATAAACGTACTGATCGCTGGGGTGGCTCGCGCGAAAACCGTGCTCGGCTTTTGTTTGAAGTCATCAAGGCCGTCCGCGGGGCTGTATCGCCTTCGTTTGGTGTGGGGGTCAAGATCAACAGCGCGGATTACCAACGCGGAGGCTTCGACTCTGATGACTTGAAGTGGACTGTGGAGCAGCTGAACGACATGAAATTGGATTTCATCGAATTATCTGGTGGAAATTATGAATCGCCAGCAATGTCAGGTGCGGGAGTAAAGGATCACAAACAATCCGATCGAACGACTGCACGGGAGGCATATTTTCTCGRAGCCGCAGAGGAGCTCAAGACTATTGCCAAAGTACCCTTGGTTGTAACAGGGGGAATCACAAGAAAAGAGACTGCAGATGCAGTTGTTGCCTCCTCTGATAACGTTTTGGCTGGAATGGGAACAGCACTCGGCATGATACCAGACCTTCCCAATCGTTGGGCAGCCGGAGAGAATCCGGTGTTCAAACGTTCGAATTCCTGGCTGTTGCCAGCAGCTTTGCAATCTATCGGTGGTATAGCCGGTGTGCAATGGAATCTCCAAAGCATYGGCAAAGGAAAGGCAACCTGGCCTGAGGTCTGGCCTACTCTTGCCATGGTCTGGACTCTCATTAGTGGAAAGAGACACATGAGTCAGTATAAGAAATGGGTGCGAAACCTGCCGACAAGTGTCGAGAAGGAATAATGCTGGCCAATCTCATGTTGAGGGTCAGAGGGACTGCAGCATTGACGTGCTGGAAGAATAGTCAAACAGCCACCCATGACTTCAATCACCATATTGCGAGGTCTTCGATCTCCGAATGGCAGCCCTGGTAGCTTCATCGATATCACCATTTTCCAGCTCCAAGACGCCACCGAAGGTACCATACCTCGTCTCCGTGTCTCAGACATCATTTGGATAGGACATAAGAGTATACACCTGATCGGCAAAGCGAAACTTATCGTCTTTTTTCATCTGTTGAATTCACTCATGTAGCATTTAGTAGAGCATCGATAGTAGGGACCATTCTTCGAAAGCAGGGTCAGGTATGGTTCGACTCGACGTGCACATCAATTTTCCCTGAGTAGTTTGACAGGTCGGATGGTCGTAACCTAGGTATGTGTGGAACAGAAGAAGGTCGGAAGCTTGGAAAGAAGTCCAAGGATGTTCGTACTTTCTTAGTTCTCACACGAGCCAATCAGAAGGGAGATGGACTCCCTCCCACCGGCTGAAGATCCAAGACAAGTCCGACCTCCCGTCTCCACATCATGACGACTTGTCCAWCAACATTCCATTCCCCATCTCCCCCAGCGCGGACAAATGTCCAAAACAGCCCTAGAATCCGCCTACAAAACCCTCCTCCAAAGAAATTGTCTACGAAAAGATCCCCACCAAGCAGCTCTAGTCTCCAGACTTTCCCTGCTCCAAGATGAACTCTCCAACACGAATACCCCATCCCTGCTAGCCCGTCAAAAACATCAACCCATCAATGGCCTTTACATCCACGGAACGGTTGGAAYGGGAAAGTCACGGCTAGCAGATCTCTTCACGGAAACATTACCCGCATCCATATCATCCCGAAGAGTGCATTTCCATGAATTCATGAATGATATTCATTCGCGTCTGCATATCGCTCGGTCGGCGGCGAATTATTCTGGTGATCCGTTGGTGGCGATTGGGAAGACGATTCATCAAGAATCTCGCGTCTTGTGTTTTGATGAGTTTCAAATCACTGATATTGCGGATGCGATGATTCTAGGGAGGTTGTTTGGGAGTATTTGGAGGGAAGGAGGGGTGATGGTGAGTACGAGTAATCGGCATCCTACTGGACTTTATGAGAATGGGTTGAATCGAGATGTCGTGGTGCCTTTTATTAGGGAATTGCAGCGGAGGTGTGAGGTGTGGGAGATTGGTGGTCGGGAGGACTATCGGATGAGAAGTTCAAATGGTGGGGAAAGAGAGGAGACTTTCTTTACTGATCGGAGATTGTTCGATAAGAAGTTGGCGCATCACATGGAAGGACAGGCATTGGAGAGGGTTTCGCTTCCAGTATACGGACTGAGGAAATTGGAAGTCAATGCCATTCGATCCGATCATGATGAGGAAAGCGGAGGGAGGAGATTGCGACTCATTAGTGGGGACTTTGATGAGTTTTGTCGCGGATATCTTGGTTCGGCAGACTATCACGCCCTCTGCTCCTCAACATCCACAATCTTCCTCTCCGGTCTGAGGAGATTTATGTCAGATGAGAAGGATCTCGTCCGACGCTTCATCACGATGATCGATCTGGCATATGAGAAACAGACCAGGGTGTTTTGCGAATCAACAGTACCTCTAGGAGAAGTGTTTGCCAACATTGMGCCTGTCAACAGCAAGCTACGAAATCAATTGGCTGAAGGGATGAGAGTTAAAGGCGAGGGTGGTGCCAGTTCTAGTATGATGTCGACATTTATTGGAGAGACGGAGTGGTCTGCGACGGGACTGATGGRAGCTTCCCTCGCAACAGGCGGTGCTGGCGAGACAGATGTTGGGTTTGCAGTGGGAAGGGCCATCTCGAGGCTATATGAGATGGGCAACAAGGACTACGGAGTTCGAGATTGAGTTGAGTCATCCAGCCATCTAGGAAGACCATCTAGGAAGAGACAGATTCGAGGACGTATATTGAGAGATACAACCTCGGAAGACCATGGGATAACCAGGTGCATTGTGCAATCTCTTCAGCCCTTCTATTCCGCAGATCTATGTCCATCTATCAATGAGAAAAGCGGACGTACGTGTGTATCATGTATAGAGCGGGAACCATCGACGAAGCATGTCCATACTCAACGACGCTCAACCACCATTCCTCCTTGCACTGAGTGCCTCCAGTCGCCATGTAATCACCAATGCAGCAACCAACACCAAACCACAGTAGAGGTATTCAACAGCAGGAGAAATCCCCTGCCCTCTCTGAGCCAGCCACGAAAAGACCTGACTCCAGCACGCCGTCCCGAGTATATCTCCCACGCTCATAGCCATGGCAATCCCAGTGAATACCACATTCAAATTGGTTGAGGAAGCTCCATTGAGATTCACCGTACTGCTCGCAAAACTCTGCAAGCCAACCCGTACGCCCGCTCCAAGACTGTAAAAACACATAGCTCCAATATACGAAGTCGAGGTCGTCGACATACCAACGGCACAAATCCCCACTGCGCTGATTATCAGWCTAGTCTTGGTCGCCCAGAGATCCACCGGCCGCCGCCGTTCAGTCCCCGGGATTTGTTGTTGGTGGTCATCATGGCCGCGAACTTTTTGCTCCACCCAACGGAAAGCGAGAAGTGCCACAGAAGAAATGGCGAATGATCCCGCTTGCAGACTCGTGCTGTCGGCGACKGACCATGCGTATGCCTGTGATGCCCAAGGTACGAAGATGACTTGTATGGAAACGGACCAACTATTCAAAAACGCAATCAGAACGGTGTTGAACATTAATGCGTCGCCCTTGATGATATCCCAGAATGCCTTGTAGGAATAGACCAGCGCATGCCAGAATGAGTGTGGTTTTGCGGGGTGACCAAGCAGTGGCGTGCTCGTGTCGTAGCATTGGTCTTGCAGTGAGTCTGTGGAATATACTCCGGATGCCCTCGTTCCTGCAATGTCACAGCCTTCTACAGCAGCATCATCGACATATCCATCGATGGTTTCCTTGACGTCTTCGACACTGATTTCCACCCGATCTGGCTTGCTGAGATAAGTCATCGGGATTCCCAGCCCAATGGTCAAGATCCCAATAGTAACCAAAAGCCAGGGACTATATCGTAGCAGCTGCGAAGCAAGCAAGGTGGCTAGAAACCCACACGTCATCTCAAACGCCATGAGTCGAAAGAGTAACGCCGAAAGCTCATCAGGATCCACGTCCTCTGCTAGCGTAGAATATATCAAAGATAGAGACACCATGATGCCCCCACCGAAAATATCAAAGAGCGGTGCGAGAAGAATCCACGAAATCCCAATGACAGAACTCCAGATGACGACGAGACTGAGGAGGATGGCCGCAAGAACCTGGCCGAGCACACCAAGTCGAATGACTGCCCATTTCTTGTCTTTGCTGGTTGTCATTGCGTAGGGAGCGGTCAGAATCAGACCTGGAACTGATGCTAACGCATCGTAGAGTCCGGTCGTTTTTGCGAGTGCTGCTTGGACGTCTGTATCGTTGATACATACTGGTAAAACTCCGTCCGGCCCAAGGGGATGTAGTTGATGGCAGTAGTACTGTTCGATGAAATAGACGCGTGCTGTCCATATTAGTATATATCCCAAATTCGCCAGACCGATGCATGTGAAGATGCGTAGATAGAGTCTCAATCGTGACATTTTGTGAGCCGTATTGGTTGTAAAGGATCCTTGGCTTTGAGAAGATGTGTGGTCTCTAGGGTTGTACTCCTCTGGAGAGCTAGCGAGGAGAGCTGTATTACGTCCATCGCTTCTCGGATTTTTGAGATGCAACTGTTGGTTATCGTCAGATGATCCAGTGATTCTCGGTACACATCTTCTGGGTCAAGCGCTCGTTTATCATGTGCAGAGGTGGAGTGCCAACACCACCGGAGCTCCGCCGGACCCTGTTTTCCTGTTTCTGAAACAGCAAGATAGAGCTCAAAGTATGCATTTCGTAGACAACATACCTTTATGCAGTCTTCTAGCTGTACTAGCGGTGGCATAACAAGTACCCATGACCTTGGTCTTAACCTCTTCTAGGCAATGCCCTTCTTGGGCGCCTAGAGAACCTGAGCTCTCGAGGTGGACTTATCATGTGCGTCAACGCCAGTGGACGCAACTCCGCTACACCGCCAATAGTCATCCTGCCAGCATCCGTTAGTCGACTCACAGCTGTGCTCTCAAAGGCACATTCCCCCAAGCCTGATCAAAACCCGCCATTCTCACCCACGTATCGCCTGGCAATTCCACGGAATCAATCGCCATATGCGCTAGTTGAAGCCAATCACCACCTTTCAGCCTGAAAGCATCATCATCCTCGAATTTCTTGCATACTCTCTCCCCGTGAGCCAAAGCTCTAATCAACTTCGCAGCGTGTCCATCATCACCAAACCTACAAACTCGATCCATCACCTGATCCCATCCAGACGGCGATTTCGGCCTGTACTCTCGGATATCCACAAGACGAATATCAGGCGATCTCGCCGAAGCATACTGAGCCACATCCATGCGAATCTTCCATTCCAGAAGTCGTACTTTGGAAGCCTCACTCAGCCAGTCTTCCCGCAAGAAGGCGGAGAAGAAGATGGAAGAATTGAGATTGTGGATGAAGAAGAAGTCGAATTTGACATGTTTGTCACTCTTCTGTGCTCCGCCTGTGAACAATGCACATGCATTGATCATCTCCGCGGTCTTCCGTTCCAAATCGTGTGCTTCAACGGAAACTTGCGAGGCGTAATGGATCATTCGATCGCCTGCACGTGCTAGAATGCCGTTGAGCAATTTTGAGGTGTCAGCCTGGCGAGGTGCTTGTCTCATCTTCTCGTCTGCATGGATCTCGTCTAAGAGTTGAACAATGGATTTGCCTGGCGCAGAATTCTCTTTGGCAGCCTTCTCTGCCGGCAGGAAGAGAGCCGCTATCTTGTTTTGATGGCAGGCTGCTTGAGCGAGAGCTTCTGCTATGATGACTGGTTGGTGGAATTCAACCCCGAAGCCTAGATGAATTATTGGATGAAGGAGGCCTGTCATGAAAGATTAGGCACCGTGATGAGAAATTGGCGAGATCTCTCGACTTACTGGCATACATGCGAACGAACATATCATCAGCTCGTTCATCTCCGGCAAACACATACTTCTGCAAGACATCCTGCCAGCTTGACTTCTCGATCTCCTGCTTGAAGAAGATGAGAAAATCGGGGAAGTGTGTCTCTGGACCAAGATGTCTCATGAACTTGCCAACATCTTCAAGCTCTGCAATCTTGTTGCTTTGAGGAGTGAATGCCGGCCGCTGGTATGACTGGTTGAGATCGAACGCCCTCTGCAAGTCGATTGGCGATGCCTTCAATGCCCACAAGGTGAGCAAGTGGTGAGCAATATGGTTGTGAAAGCCAGACAAGTTGAAGAAGATATGGTGCCTCTCATGGTTGGCCTGGAGGAGTTCTGATGCTTGCTTGGCAGATTCTGCGGTGATACCTTCGCGATGATAGACCAGCCATTTGCCAACTTTGAGCTGTACAGTGCTTGATGTTGCCATGCTTCTGAATGGTCTACGGGGATGTAAGATGCGTGACACTGGGTCTGGTAGAGCTGGCAGTCGTCTGAACATGTAAGAACAAAGCTGGGTTTGACGAGGAGCAGTATCTCGAGATTGCAGCAGGTTCTTATGTCCTCAGACGGATTGTCGTGGTACCGACGAGATGCTTTGCGGCTGTGCGAACAATGACTGAGTCTTGCAGGATCTCGGAGTCGCTTACCTGTCCGATGTGCGAAGACATCCATGCCGCCCAATTGGACAGCTGGTGGGGTACAAGGTTCCTGTTAGTTTTGATATCTCGGGCTCTCGGCCTCTGCAAATGAGCGGAACCTTCGAAAGTTCTCCTCCCGACTGGAATGAAAGTGCGACAAAGCTGGGTCTTGCATCATGATGTCGAGTACGGAAAAGAGACCGAAGGACGAGGTGGAGCTGAGAGAAAGTCGCCTATTGAACGATCCCTGCTTCGCCGGTAGACCTAGCGTGTCTTAGCGCGTGGTGTACCGCGTTGCACCTTATGCGGAGTACCGACGCGACGATTTGATCATCTTCCGTCGCCTCACCTCCATCATCATCATCATGATCTTTCAACGTCAGCATCATGAAGAGAAAGCGGCCGACCGGGAGAACTCAGATTGCGGTCAAGAAGCCAAAGATTGATGCCGCAGCTGCCACAAAACCTACACATCCACTTCTGCGGAAATATTACGCCGACGTCGTGACTTTGCGAGAGTACCTCGCGTCGCGACTCAAGAAGAAGCGAAGCCGAAGGTTGCAGCAGTACGGAGATGCTGCGGATGATGATGATTCGGTGTGTCAACTACTTGACCAAACTTTCATCGGAACTCATGCACCCGTCCATGCGAAAGATGAGAGTATTGTAGTCGAGGAAGACGTCACACTATTCACTCAGCAACTTTCCAACGCGGGAACCGTATCATCTTTGGCTCCCGGGACGTTTAACCAATCCGAGGTAGGCATTGCTTTCCATACTTTCGCATTTGTCTCTATCTGTTCAGCTCTAGACGAAGTTCTGCCGTACATACTGACTTTCCTAGATTGTTGACTYTGCAATATGGCTTTTATTTCGAAGAAATCAAGGGAACTCGAGACCACGTCATTTACTCTGTCACAACTTTCAGCGGTATCTCAACGCCTACAGCAATGGCAAGGATCCGGAGATTGTGCCTGGCATCCCCGGGATCTACTCGAGCGGACCGAACGAAAACGCTCAAACTTTGAGACTCCATCCATGGGATGCTCTGCCTGATCTCTTAGGCAGTGGCGCAGAGAGGATATTGGGCGATCTGTTGCTAGACTGTGGAATCTTCACCCCTGTCAAAAGCAGCACCAATATGGTTCAGCTCAGTGGGACGCCAATGTGCGATTTGGGTCTTTTGCCCAGCTTATTCAGCAGGAAAGATGGCAACGAAGCGCACATAGTCTTGAAGACCTCGTCAAGTGAACCAACATCGAACAAGAAGCGCGGACTGTCAGATATTCGATTCGCACGACATCGCATGCTCTATGCCAATGCTACTTTCAACGCCAAAGGAAGCGTCAAGTTTGGACTCAACCAATTACACGTACTCAACCGGCTATGTGAATGCAGCGATGTCGAAGAAACGAAGCACATTATGAAATACATCTTTCCGTCGCAGTTCGCACTCCACAATGTCTTCACGTCTGCTGTGGACCCCAAAGACACAGCTCATGTTTTCAAAGACTACACACTTCGGGAGAAGGAGATCTTGCGACGGGAACAAGCTCGAGCCGTGAAGCAGCATGTTGCCGGCAAAGTTATCGACGCAAAGGCCACGTCTTTACCCAAGCGGCWCCGAGGAAAAGCCCTTGACATTGTGCATCGTCTCCGAAAACGACATTCTAGCTGTGCGTACTCAGCTTTGCTGAACCATTATTGTCCCACGATTCACACCCAGGAAGGCGCAGCAGCAAGCTCGCCTCAACTTGCAACCAGCACCACCCAAGTGTCAGCGTTCTGCAGAGCGGCAACATCAAAAGTGTTCCCCAAGGTCTTCTGGGGTCAAGGCGATGTCGCGACTCGAAACCTGCACATTCTCCACCGTAACATCGACCTGTTCGTCCGTATCCGACGATACGAGAGTATCAGTCTCCACGACGTTCTCCAAAACATGACACTCGGTCAGATCGACTGGCTAGTCCCTCAAGGTCTCAACAATGCAAACCGCCTCAGCGCTACAGATGTCGCCAAACGGAAAGAGGTCATGGCAGAGCTCCTCTACTATCTCTTCGACTCCTTTCTTATACCCCTCATCCGGGCCCATTTCCACGTCACAGAGTCCTCCATCCAACGCAATCAGCTCTTTTACTTCCGCCACGACGTCTGGCAAAAGATGTCTAAACCGGCACTTCAATCTCTTAAACAAAACATGCTTGAAGAATGCAACACCGAAGCGGTCAAGAAACACCTCGCAAAACGAACCTTGGGGACCAGCACCGTCCGATTGTTGCCGAAGGAACAAGGTATGCGACCGATCATCAATCTGAGGCGTCGAGTGCAGAAAATGCAACATGGACATGTGGTGTTGGGAAAGAGTATCAACAGCATCCTCAACCCAGCCTTTAGTGTCTTGAACTACGAAAAAGGTGCAAATCCAGATCGTCTAGGATCTGCAATGTTCTCCGTAGATGAGATGTTCCCTCGCCTTCAAGCCTTTCGGGCATCTCTGGAAAAGAAAGGTCTGAGTGGAAAACCCCTCTACTTTGCCAAGGTGGATGTCCAGGCCTGTTTTGATACAATCCCTCAGAAAGGGGTGATGCAACTCATCAAGAACATCATCGGAGCGAACGAATATCAAATCACGAGGTATTCGAGGGCTAAACTTGCTGGATCACTCATGGAAAAGCATGCTTCTGGATTCGGAACCAAACCGATCTGGAGATTCCTCACGAAAGCTACTCCAGGCTCTAAGACCTTTGATTTTGGTCAAGAGGTGGAGATAGATACGGCTGGAGGTCGGACTGGGACGGTCTTTATAAATGGTGCTAATCAACGCTCTCAATCGAGAAGAGCGGTGATTGGATTGTTGGAAGAACATATCCAGTCTAATTTGATCAAGATTGGAAGGACGTTCTACCGGCAGAAGGAAGGGATCCCTCAAGGTTCCATTGTCAGTTCTTTGCTGTGCAGTTACTTCTACGCGCAGATGGAGCGAGAGGTCTTGCATTTTGTGAACGATGGCGAAGGGCAGAGTATGCTGTTGAGACTCATCGATGATTTCCTCGTCATCAGCACCGACAAAGGTGTCGCGGAAAAGTTCATCAAGAGGATGGGAGAAGGTGTCGAGGAATATGGAATCCGGATCAAAGGCGAAAAGAGTCGCGTGAATTTCGACGTGCAGATTCAAGGGAAGAAAGTGCCCAGGGTGGAAGGAGGAGGTTTTGCATTCTGTGGCAAAGTCATTGATATGCGGACGTTGGATTTGGGGAGGGATTTGGAGAGGAGGAAGAGTATGCTTCCCCACTGTTATTCTACTTGTACTGAGGGATGCGGGTTTACTGACAAGACGCGAACAGATCTCTCGGATTCGATTACGGTGGAGTACACCAAGACTCCTGGACAGAGTTTCTATCGAAAAACATTGAAGTGCGTGCCCAATCCTTACTCTTCCCTTCATCAATGGGTATGGTGGCTAACACTTGACGGCGAACAGCATTCTGAAATTACAAATGCACGCCATGCTTCTCTCCACGACATACAATTCACTTCCAACCGTCTTGGATAATTTGTTTCAGGGTTTCTTGGAAGTGGCCCAGAAGGCTTACTATTACATCAAGTCTTTGCCCGTGGGAAAACGGCCGGGTGGGAAGCTAATTATCAGTACGTGGGACTTCCAATTTTGCTGTAGGAACTGTAGAGAGCTGATAAGAAGATTTCAGGGACGGTTGATGATTTGGTCAAACTCTCCACCATTCTAATGCGGCGACGCAGAGGGATGAAGAAGGGAGTGGCATTGCCTCTTGCATGCGATGTTGGGAAGGGGAGTGTTCGGTGGTGAGTCAATCATCTTCTTCTGTTCTTGTGCTGCTTGTTGGCGCTGGTCGTTACTGCGGTCGAGGATTGGCTGGCGGGAGATGTACAGCGCATGCATGCATGCACGCAGCATGTCGTGTCCCTACACCGACTTGTACATCGTACAGATCGCCTTGCCTTGGAATGCGTCTCGGCGCTACTGCACGCAAGCTCTTCGAACCAAGAGTTCTTGCTTGGATTACACAACGTCYGGACACTACTAATTCGATGGAATGAACAGGTTGGCATGCAAGTCTTTCCTCAAAGTCTTTGAGCCCAGACAGACGCAATTTGGGGCTTTGATAGATTGGTTGAAAGATCAGATCAGGTTGGAGAAGATGGCAAGGATCAGTGGGGAGGAGAAGAGGATGTTGGAGAGCTTCGTTCGGAAGATTGAGACATGAAGTTCTGTCAATCAATGTTCTGATCAAATATTCATACCAGAGGCTTCGTTTTGGTGGGAAATGAGAAGGGCCATCGTCGATTGTAGCCGGTGGACCCCATCAACTGTAACCGAACTGTAACTGTCGTCGGAAGTTTCTTGCCTGTTTTTTTAGGGGACTATTCGTTGGAGGTCAACTGGACAGATGAACGGTGTACAAGCGCGATACCACAGAAAGGTAGAACAAGATACAACAGGCACATTCCCAGTAAGCGCGCGCTATCATTCGCTTGCTTGCACGAGCAGCAGAAGGAACCCAGCCATTCTTCCGTCGCCATGCTGTGTATCATGGCACTGGTTCCCAGATCCATGGGAGACTAGTAACCATGAACCGGTTTTGTTCACTTGTCTTTCGCACATGTCATGGATGTGTCAGTTGAAAGTGGTCCTGTCCGGACAATTGCATTGTTTAATGATATCTATCTCTTGCCCGTTCCATCTGCCATGCCCATCGGCCGTCCAAACGATTTTCATCTCATCAAATCAATCGAAGCAATCAAAAGTCCCCCAGGGCTAAATTTAACCCCACCAAACCGCCATCGAACCAATAGAGAACCCCGGATTCGGGTCCTAACGCCTGTCGCAACCCCTGGAGGAAAGTGCAAGTCTCTTGAAACGATCGTGGACAGGGAGTTTGTTGGGATCTTGCAGGCTAGAATCTCGTGTGCATCTTCTTCTTTCCGTGGTGTTGTGTTGTCAAAGTTTCATCATATCATTCTTATTGCACTCGTTTTCTACTGCAGGCAAGAGATACCTTCATCATCATCATCATCATCATCATCATTACACACAAGGACGGTATTATGCAGCAGGATCGACGCAGCGAAGATCCGACGATTACAACAACCCAACTACGACTCCCCTCCCCCTCGTCCCCGGCACATCTCACCCACGAACTCGACCTCGACGACGACGACGACGCGCTGCTGCACGAGATTGTGGGAGGAGTGCACATTATTAATAATCACGGCGAGTATGATTCTTTGCGGCGCGGAGGAGAAGTAATCGAGGGGAAGAAGACGACTTTCAAGGCGATTGGAGCACTGGATTTGGCGGGGGGATTGGAGATTAGTCTGAGTCGGCCGGAGAGTTGTGCTGCACCGCCGAGAAAGGGAGTGCGGTCGCGGAGTATGCCAGTCGTGGAGCGGGTCAAAGTGGTGGAGGGGGCGGGGAATGGAAGTGGGAGGGATAAGGAAACACAGGCACCAACACGAGGAATGTCAACTAGCAATCCCACGCCCATGGACAGCGCTCCCAGCTCCCCACCCGCCCTGTCCTACTCCAAATCCTCCAAATCTTCATCCTCATCCAACAACTCCGATGACGAGCTGTCGGAGATTGGCTTGGCGGAGGCGACGGCGCATTACGAGGATGTGACATTGGAGGACGACAATAATCTTCCCCCCGCGAGTCGACCGACATTGAGGAGACCGGCGCCGAGATCCTTCACTCTCCCACAGAATCATGCGGACTCAGCACGGAARTCCGGGATCTCCCCATCGCCTACATCGCCGCCGGCTCCTCTGCAATTACAAGCCCGAGGGAATGGACTTCCGTCACGCTATCCCAGCCTGTCGGGTGCCGTGGATGGAGCATTGCGCKAACAGACTCTGAGCCTGCCCCGCGGTGGACGACGAGGAGGAATGCAGCGGGCGGCCAGTAGTCCCACGTCGCCCTTCCACCGTCAATATCCACATTCCTCCACCCTTGCCGGATCCCGCTCGCCCTCCCGCTCTCCCTCACCCGGTAGATTCGTGTCCTCGCCCGCCGCACTTCCTAGCAGTGCTTCCACCGAGTCCTTGTCGATACACCCACACCCGCACCTCCAACCCAATCGAAAATCCAACTGGCAGCCAGGTCGCAAGACCATTCACGAGTTGGAGGCGGAATGTAACGATGACGATGATGAGGAGGTTCCGGAAGGAGCGATCCTTGAGAATGTGCCAATTTCTCCCCTGCCCGGCCAACATCTCTCACTGTTGAAATCCCCACGCACGAGCTCCACCTCCCTCCCATCCCTGCGCTCTCCCACCCCCAGCCCACACCGCCGACCTTCATACGCGAATCTCCACTCGGCAAATATCCCCAAACACGCCAAACGTCCTTCCGCTCCGCCGACGAGGAATGGTCCGCTGAGATCACCACGCTCACCACAGAATGGTCGACCGCAGATGATGCCGCATAGTGCAACCACGGGCCAGCTTCCTCCTCGGCACAATCGGCAAATTCGCGCGAAATCTTGGACGGAGGATCTGAATGAGGAGGCAAGACAATTGTCTCATGCGCTATTTGAGTTGGCGGACCAGAATCCCCACGAGAGGAAACATCGCTCAATGCATAACAGTCCTTCCAGCAGCCCACCGCCTTCAGATAGGAGAGAGGACTTGGGCGCCATTGCAGAACTACAACTCCCCACAGTCCCAGATGTGCAAAAAGGCAACATCATGATCGACCCTCTGCCGATATCGAAAGAGAAAGAAGCTGTTTTGACACGCACTCGACCTTCATGGTTGCCTCCGAAAGATCAGAAGGAGGAGAAGAGGCATTTGAAAGAGTTTCAACAAATGATGGCTAGAGCTACGGAGACCGAGCGGAAGAGGGTGTTGAAAGAGCAGGAGAATCGCGAGACAAAGGTGGAAATGCAAGGGAACATCGCCAGGATATGGGAACAACACGTCTTGCCGAACTGGGACCTCGTCGTCAAAGAACCTCGAACTAGGGAACTGTGGTGGAGAGGCGTCACACCAAGGAATCGAGGAGAAGTCTGGTCAAGGGCTGTGGGTAATGAACTCGAACTATCCGAAGCGAGTTTCGAAGCTGCACTTGGGAGGGCGAATGCTTTAGAGAAGAAAATCGCGGATCTCCCGGATGAGGAGAGGAGTTCTTCCAAAGAAGCTGCCTGGTTCGAAGCCATTACACGAGACGTCCCGGCCGTCTTTCCCGAAACGGATTTCTTCGCAGGTCCCTCGGCCGCTCTACATGAAAGTCTCACGCAGGTGCTCAAGGCTTTTGCAATGTATCGCAGTGATGTGGGATATGTTTATGGAACACATCTGGTCGCTGCGGTCTGTTGCACAGTGCTTCCTGCTCCCAAAGCCTTTGTCCTCCTTGCGAATGCGTTGAATCGGCCATTACCGCTCGCTTTCCTGGTACACGATACTGCTGCGATGCGAAAAGCATACGATCTCACCCTTTCGACTCTGGGGTATAAATATCCGCGTCTGCACTCCCATCTGCAAGAAACTCTGGAGCCGGAAGAGTGGTTGGATCCAATGTTTCGATGCTTGTTCGCGTACCACTTGCCGTTGAATTTGGTGAGTAGGATATGGGATGTCTGGGCTTTCGAAGGGGATAAAGCGTTGATCAGAGCTGCTGTGGGGTGTGTGGGGAGACTTGAGGGGAGGTTATATGGTGGGAAAGATGAAGTGTTGGGGGTTTTGGGGTGGGGCAATGAGAAAGGATGGGCGAAAGAGGTGCTTGGCGAGGAGGAAGAATTCGTAGGGAATTTCAGGGAGGCGGGCAAAGTTGATGCTGAGAGGAAGAGCACTTAGGAGGCTTTTGGGGGGTTGTGGTGGTGGTGGTGGTGGTGGTGACTGTGATTGTTGGTTGGTTCTTGTATAGAAGACCCCGGCGTTTTTTCAGGAGTGGCGTTTTGGGAAGGGATGCATCATCATTGGAGAACCTGAGAATAGGGAATAGAATAAACATATTGTTTAGTAGTGCGCATGCACGAGACGTATGAATAAGGAATGGAGCTCTTGTGCAAATATCACAAATATCATGACCTCTTGTTTCACTTTTGCGGTGCGGACTTGGTGTAGGTTTATTTTCCTAGTCAGAGAGGGATTCGTTTCAAAAACTCAAAGGTTGTGTATTTTTCCACATTGATGCAATCGACCTTTCTTTCATGCTCTTGTTACAAAAACAGCAAACCACGCGTCCAGAGGGAAACCACGCTAGAAAAACCACTGTACAAGTCTCTCAACATGACTTTCCTACTCGTTTCTTCCTTGCTCCATTGAAACATGCCTCAAAATCTATCTTCGGAAGACAGAGCCGGGCTGCTTGGCTGGGTTGGCTGGAGGGGAGTATGCGATCTTGCGGGTCTTGATCGTGGACCACTTGTATCTATTTCACGCAATGTCAGTCTTCGTCCTTGTCTCATGGTTCACTGGCAGGACAGGCTTACCTCTTTACCCAAATGCTCAATCCGAACAAAAGAGAACCAATAGCCATGACCTTCCATCCCATACGCTTGCGCTCGTCCATTTCAGGCTCAGCGGCCCAGTTCAAGAACTCGACAACATCCTTGGCCATCTGCGAGGTAGTGGCAGGGGTACCGTCGTCGTATTCCACAAGTCCATCGTAGAGAACACGAGCCATGGCAATTCCAGTTCCGGGGAAGTATGGGTTGAAGTTCAATCCCGACTGCACAACAGCACCAGCCGGTGGCTCCTCGGGGTATCCAGTGAGAAGGGAGAAGATGTAGTTGCAGCCTCCGTGACGAGCCTTGGTGATCAAGCTGAGATCTGGTGGCAGAGCACCGTTGTTCGCAGCACGACCGGCCTCGTCGTTCTTGTATGGCGAAGGGCAGTAGTCGGAGAGCTTTCCGGGACGTTTCTCAATCTCTCCCTCGTCGTTGGGGTCGGTGTCGTATTCATTCTCTTCGGCGAGGGCCTTAGCTTCGTCGACAGTCATGAAGTTGCCGACCATTGTTCGGTAGGGAATTCRGCTGAGGGAGTGGCACGACGCGCACACCTCACGGTACACTTGGAATCCGCGACGGAGGGCACCGTGGTCGAAGGTCTTGGTGAGCTTTTCGTGCTCCCATGGGTATTGAATGGCGTGGAGGCTGGAAAGATGTCCTTGTCAGTGTTGCCGTCCCAATGCCTTGGATTGAGTTGCCGCAAGGGAAAGTCCCTCAGACTGGGGATTGCTTACCCTTCCTCAGCAGGTGTCATAGCCTGCGTGGGGCGGCCGAACTGGTAGTTGTACCATGCCACCGACGCGAAACCCACCGCTGCGGAACCGCCCAGGAGGGTGGTGTTCTTCCAAGACGCAGCGGATTCGGAAGAGCTTTGCGAGGATGCATTGCGCTGGAGTGGCAAGATGTGTCAGCCTGAAATGTCCTGCATGTCCTCCTTCCATCTCCCTGATATGCTGCCCACATCTTCGCAGCCTCAAAGTCTCCTCCTCGGCGAGTGTGGCGGTCTCAACATACCGTGGTGGTCTTGGTGGCAGCGCTCTTTGCGGCGCGCGCCGAGCGGATTGCCGTCCGAGTGAGCATTATGGCAGGCAGCCTCAGCACTTGAGCCTGTCGACGCGAAGGATGCGAGTGTGTGAGCGGAGTGTCGAGGGTCGGTGGCGGTGGTGCTGCCGGAGCGAGGTGTTGCTGTCGTTCTTTCCACCGAAGCTCCTTCCGATCTTGCCAAGGTGGTAATCACTTTTGATTGGTCGGGAGATCTTGCCCTAGTCTCAGTCTTTGACGTTAACATTCAACTTCACTTCATGAAATGAGCGAAGACAAGGCTGAAACATGTTAGAAGGGACGTGTTGATGATGTTGCCACACGACATGTGTGCGTCTCTATGCGGCATGGCAGTCACTAGACGGATACCGATTTGTGGATGGCGAATATGCCTCACACGCCTTCGACACAACTTCGGGAATAAGGCAATGATCTCCAGAGGGAGATACTGCAGGAACGCCACGGCGACTGCACGTGTTCTGGCCACCAAGTACTGTCAACATGACCATGAGGGACTTAAATACGCATGTACTGCTGTACAGCAGAAGGATCAAGCCTCACGAATCCTTCAACACAGCCCTCAAGCCCCTCGGCACAATGTCAGCTTACGCATGACGTAGGTAGGATTCCAGGTAACATGTTATTATGATAAAGGCGAGACAAGCCCCAATCTCCACGTTATACATTCCACTTTATTCTTTCACTCTCGCAATAACCCCCGTAGAGATCACGAATATGTCGAGCGTGAATGCCACGGAGCCTGAAGAACTCCCACCCTATAATCAAGCCACCATCCCAGCCTACACCCCTCAAACACCACTAAGACGTACATCCCGAGAATACTTATTCTATCGCGGCAATGGCCTAACATCAAAAGCCAAAATCTGCTCTTCAGACGGAAATCGCGAACACACCCTCAACGCCGACATCTCCAGCTCACGACCCTCGACCATCTCAATCCACCTCGCCTCCACAAAGTCTMCCGCTCTCGGATCTCTCCTCTTCCCAGCAACCCACAACGACTTCCAAATCCACATCCCACACCCCTCCACATCCCCCCAATCTCAATCCCCAAATCTTCTAGTCCAAGTAAAAGCCCGCATTGGAAACCCTCACCCAACTACCTACCACCTCACCCTCCCCGTTACAACTCCCACTTCTCAAACCAGGAAAGTTGTCTGGACGATTCACAAACCTTCCGCCACTACTACTACTACTACTACTACTACTACTACTACTACTGCGAAACATCAGAATATCAGCTATACTCTCACGGACGAAACGACGAATGAACCACTAGCCTTCTGGACAACGGTTCAAAATTCCAAGCATTCTGCGAAATTACGCTGGACTGTAGTACCGCAGAGTGAGCAAGAGGAGTTGATTATTATGATGTCTTTTGTGGGGTGTATGTCAAGATTAAGGCTGAAAGGGAAGGAGAAATTGGATGGGGGGTCTGGGCTTGTGAGGTGGAATGGATTGTGGTTTGGGGCTGTTTTGGGTACGGCGGCTGTGGCTTGAAGAGAAGCGATTCTAATTGCTAAACATTTTGAGAGCGGCCGGCCTTCCACACTTCGATAACATGTGAGGTCAATAGCAAAAAAAAGAAATTGTATGTGGATGGTGACAGATTCGAACTGCCAGCCTGCACTTAGGCCGATGTGGATCTATCTACGGTGATGAATATGATCCGAGGATGATATTGATGACGGGAGAGAGGGCTCACTGTGGCTGTGCTGTCATACCGTTAGACCAACCATCCAGATGTGATGATGGAATGAGAAGGAATGGAGGTGTATCTATTGCCTATCCAATCAGCTCCAGGGAAAGACATGAGCTACTCCGAGCAGGAAAAGAAGTGGCTTTTTGGAGTTTCCGGGTTGCGCTACACATGAACATCCAAGACGGCCACACAATGAAGTGCTCGCAGCAATGCTAACCAATAATGCTGAAGTGAAATGAGCCGACAGAAGTCAAGAGAATTTCAGCTACCCATCCTTTGCAAATGACATCTAAATGAACACGACCAGCCATCTATTCCTCTAACGCTCGAGAAGTAGAATCCTACTCCACAACCCCAACAAGCCCGCGGCCTTCTCTCACTCCCAACACGTCCATCTTCCTCCGCTCCTCGTCCTCCTTATACCTCTTCATCGGCCCATACCTCGTCGTAAAGTCCAAAATCCTCTTCGCAAAAAGATATATCGGAAGAGCAAAGAGCATGAGTCCCCATTCCAATCCCGCCATGATCCCAAACACAGCCTTCAGCCCATCCCTTTGAATCCACGGAAAGCAATAAATACTGCAAAGCACCGCAATTACATTGCGAGCAATGAAAAGGAAGACCATTGCTTCCCCAGCTACTGGCTTGTAACAGTCAACCGCATACGTGACGACGATATTGCTGACTGCCACGAAACCGAAGGAGTGCATGGCATAGCCAGCAGCGGGTGCAATCCAGTGCTTGTCTTCGGCTAGACAGATACCGTAGATGAGGAGGCCAGTGGGAGCGATTGTGAACGGCAGGATCAGTGCGGTAAGTCTTCTCCAAGGGTGGGTAGTCCTTACGCGGCCCTTGGGATCCCATATCTTCACGAGAGAATCGATCATGATGCCGCCAAAGTAGAGGGATGAGAGGGCGCCGACTAAGCCTGCGAGATGCAGGAGGCCTACTTTGGCCAGACTCCAGGAATAGGGCGGGCTGAGGAACGTCTGGGCAATGGAGACTTGAATGATGATTGTCCAGCCGACAAAGATTCCCACTAGGCTTGATGCAAAGATGATTGGGGGAAAGCTCGCCATTACGAATATATCCTTGAGAGCTTGCCATGCTTTCTGTAGGGGCTGATGACGGGCGAATCCTTTGTGTAAGCTGAGATATGACCAGAAGCTTCTCTGTGGCTCCCACTGTCTTTCGTCAGGTGTGCGGAGATGGTCATACTGCGTCTCGTGGATGAGGAGAACAGCCAGCACGAAGACGAAGCTACTGGCAATGGCAATCCACGCGGGTGACCAACGCCATCCATGCTCTTGCACGACGTAAGCATTAATCAGCGGACCAAGAAATATTCCAGAGGCGAGAGCAGTGTGGAAGTACATCATCTTCGTTCCTCTTCTACGAATATCGAACAAATCGGCCACAGCACTCGGGACCGTGGCGTCAGCTGCCGCGGCTCCAATTCCAGAGATGATGCGAGAAGCCAGAAGACTGGCGTAGGACTTCGCTCTGGCACTCCAGACGTTCGAGAAGATCAGCACCAGAATGGCGAGGAGGTAGACTGGTCGTTTTCCAGTAACGCGCATCAAAGGGATCCAAAACAGGTTCCCCATTCCGAACATGAGGACGTTCAAGGCTGTTAGGTAGACGGCGTGGGTCACATCGATATGGAAGTACTTCCGAAGTGCCATGGTCGCGACGGTGAAGTTTGAGGCGTTGACGTTGGCCATGAAGGAGAAGAGACAGATTGTAAGGTAGGTGGTCATCTTGTGCCATCGAGGCCAATTCTGTGGGTCGTTTGGGTCTTGCGGCCCTTGTGAAGAAGCTTCCGATTCTACCTTGTCTGTGCTTGTCAGTGTCGTGGCCGTCCGTCCATGAGAGACAAGGTCATGCTCACCAGGTGTTTCGGTATCATGAATGTGTTGTGATTCTTCCAAATTAAGGTCTCTTTCCGTTGCCTGACCCGTAGGACCAGGAGTTTGGGTGTCCGTCATGATGTTCACGAAAATGTTTTCCGTGACTATCTTGGTCGGGAAAGTGAGATTGAGAAGACGATGTTATACGACCTCGTTTGCCGATCTCTTTTGTACACGACGGGATCTGGATCTGGATCTGATCGCAGAGCACGAGATTCAGCACCACGCTGGCGATGCGAGATGTGCTGGCATTGGGCGAAGTAAGGTAGTCACCTCATGCACCGTTCGGAGTGGCAGGKGCCGATACTCAAGAAAGAGGAAGGACCGTACCTAACCCATAGATCTGGTGACATTTCTCTGAGTGGTCGCATATCGGTTGGCCCTGGGCATCAATGACACACACCATAGAACAAGTTGAAATTCACGATCAAGTCCGATATTCCAGATCTTCTACGGGTCCTCAGATTCGATCGTGTGTGACCTCAGCCTGTATTTTAAGCGGTGGGTGTTTCACGCAAATCATCATTCGTTTCGATGCTCACAACTAGTACATGAGCACAGCCAAGGTCTTTCCCACGAGTACAGATGATGCGGCTATTTTCATAGAATATTACGCTGAAAGTAATCGTGAAAAGGAAAAGGAAAGCAAGAAGGCGACGTTGATATCTACTCCAAAATTCATCTGTGCGTAGTGAGTGCTTAGGGCTTCGGTTGTGGTATGCCGAATATCACACCACAGTGCGCCTCGCTGAGTCTTATCATCTGCTCCACCGAACCCATCATCAAAGACTTCATCGTGTCGCGCGGTGATCTCATCTTCATCAGCGCGGATAACGAACAAGGGACCACTTGATCTCCTCCCCCAGCCATGTCTTGCAGACCAGACGACGAGGACGCCGCTGCCCCGGTTGCCCGGAGGACAACCTGGAAGTCTCCGCGACGACACCAAGCCACGAATGCCTTCAGGCCTGCCTATCCACGGATGTGACAGGATGATCTGGATTTCCGGGAACTGGAAACTGGAGTCTGGAAGCCTTTGCATCCCGGACTTTCGTGAGATGCGCCGTGCGGTGCGGTGCGGTGCGGCGCGAAGAAAATCGTCAAAGAGCGACCACCAACCAAGCTCTGGAGAACGTCAGTTCGGAATATCATGGACTCGAATCGCGCCCTTGCTGGACGCTTGAAGTGACATGAGGCCATTTCTAGGGCACTTTGAAAGCAACTTCATTGGCTTGCGCGGCCAGTGTGAATGGCGGGATGTGAAGGACAGCGTTGAGCCAGTCCGAGAAATCGTCGTTGGCATTTCGATGAATGCTTCCTCTCATCCTGGCTGTGGTGGCGCAGAAGATGTGATATCTTGACAGATCGTTTTGAGATGCAAGGTTGAGAGGTCCACAGCTGCGCAAATTCGTTGGACGACACGTTGTCGAGATGACAAGGCGAACGACATCATCAACGTGCCCATCATGTCGACACTGTTGAATCAGCGTAAACTATTCATCGATGTGCATGACAACACTCACCCAGCGTTCGCCAAACACTCATTCCTTCAACGGTACGACGTTGAATTCACTTGAACCAGCTCCTTTCAGCCCTCTCACCTCGACAAGCTCCTCGGAAGACATTCTTCTCCAGCACACAACAATCAAGGTTGCGAACTGATGAAAAAGAGACGAGATCGCCATTGGCAGCGAGGAAAATATCGTCAGTGTGTGTCAAAGGAGTGCGATCAGGAACGGACTCACCTCCTTTCCATCATCAGCACCACCGCCTTCGGGAGGGACTTAGCCGCGAACTTCCACACGAGGAAAGAACACGTTGTCACCCGAGCACCACGATGAGGTGCCCTCCCATTGCTCGGGGGTCAGCAATCAAAACCCACTAACGTTGACAAAAGAAAATTATACTGAGCGCATGAAACACCTCGAAACATGGGAGTCCGTCCTCGATGCCATCCACCCCAGTCCGTCGGAAACTGTGCCGCGGTGCACGATGCATTGCTGTGAGCCTCGGTTCGAAGTGCATCTGGCTCGTGTCGGTGGTGTGGTTGTTGTCGTAGCCGAATCGGTCGCTGACGGTGCCGCTGTGCAATGGCTCATCCGCGTTGTCGATAATTTCGGATCGCAGGTCTGTCTCGTCGCTGGGGGGCAACGGGATGCCGCGTTCTCCGTCCACACCGGCTGTGTTCGTAATGTCGATGGGCCTTGGTCAAACGACCGCTCCCGAGAGTCTCATTCTTTTGCCTCCACTGTTTTGTTGCACGCCGGCTTTTTCTATTTTTTTTGGTGTCCACAGCTCTTTCTCGAATCGTCATCCGGGGAATTGCTGTAGAACTGTTGTGGATTTTTCGGCTTTTCCTGCCTCAGTAACGTTAAGAAACTACTCACAAATGCTCTCCAAAGACGGTGCCTGGGCCGCGCCCGCGCCAGGAACGTGAAAGCGAAGCTCCGGTGGCGGAATCTCACTCTCCCACTCCTCATAGGGCACGCCGGCCTTGTACCACCTCTTCCGGTCCCTCTTATTCCCCACCTCCACACTCAGGTCCCATTCCCTCAAAGGGCCGGCCGGTAGCATCCCCCATCCTCCCAACTCTCCCACCTCAGCCTCCGCCTTCGACTGCCGGTGCATATCCAAAAGCCACAGCGCATGCTCCTCGTACAGAAACATCCCTGGCTCTTTCTGACCCCTATTCGTGATGACCCATCGCGTACCATCCGGAGCTGGTGGGCCCCCGCGACGATACTTGATAGCCAACAGTCCTATCGGGTTTATCTTCCAGCTCAGCCCGAGTCCCCCACCCAAGACCATGTCCCGCTGTGGCGGGTACTCACRCCCTAGCTCTTGCGGCTTCGCTGTTTCCGTCTCCTCGGTCGGTCCTTCGGTCGGCAAATACGATTTGCTTTCGTCTGGAGCGTGCGGCTCGACAGGGGTTTCGACTGGTCTCGCAGCCAGAGTCTCGGGTTGGCATACCGACTAGGTATGGCTTGCCAAGGTCTCGGAGCAATCGTCGGGGAGCTCAAGGCGGACGTGCTCGTCAGCAGCGTCGGCGGCTTGAGTGAACGTCTCTGCGGGAGGGGTCGCCGCGAGAGGTTCCGGTGTCGAAATCGAGGTGAGGACGCTACCCACCGTGGTACTGGATTTACCCAGACGCCTGATCACCGAGGGCAATCTGGCGCGCGCCGCCTTCGGAACCTGCTTTGAGCTGAAGTTACCCATTCTCGTTGCGTGCGTGGGAAGAGTACTTGCAACTGAGAGATTGGATGTCAGCATTGTTTCAATCATGGTGTGTGAAGAGGTAGAGCGAGAGGGCGATGGGAATGCATGGTGATGGCATGGTCACGACGAGACGAGGGATGAGGGATGGCAGCGACATGTCCACGACGAGACGAGGGATGAGGGATGGCAGCGACATGTCCACGAGAGAGCAAGGTCCGACATTGCGGGATGGACGAATGAAGATGCCAAGAATGCCGAGCGATGCCGAAGGCACGTGAAAGTGACAGGTGGCACGTGACAAGCGCCCGGTCGCGTCGTCCAGAGAGGACAACCCGGAATTCCAGATCCGCTCGTCGGCGGCAGTGTCAATGGCCAGTCAGAAAAAAAACCGCCGTCGAAGACAGGCTGGCGGCTCCTTGCTGGGTGGTGCTGCTGAGATGCTGTCGCGCTGATTGTGTTGCCGTCCGCGTCACGGAAGCGACGGCGACGGCGACAGGAAGTCACGGATGGGCGGACAGGTGCAAGACATGGTCACGACAATGGGCACAACGATGGGCAGGTGCAGGTGGGGTGAAGGGTGATGGGGGAAGGGCAGGTACTCACTTTGTGTTTTCGGTTTGTGAGGGAAAGGAAGATGGAGGAACAGGGAAAAATTTTGCCCTCTTATGTTTCTTGACGACAACAACCCTAGGTGGCGGTAGGGTTGTGGTCGCCCATGCTACAGCCTGTCCAGGCGGTTCCTGCTATACTGTGACGCCCCCCACGTCCGTATATGGCCAAGCCGCGGCTGGAGGCAGGCCAATGGCGGTATAGGCAATTCGATACCTGCCATCTCCAATGCCCTCGCCAACTGGAAGCAACTTCGGATAGAAATGTGCCCGTTGGAGTGTCAACTGGGTAGATAGGAGGTGGAGGAGATGAATGTTTCGAGCATTGCCCAGCAGCAGCAGTCACTCAAACGATTCACCTGGCAATCGTGCTGTTGTTGATGAGTGTTCGTTACATGTAGGATGCTACAGTCGCAGCGCATGTCCATTTCCGTCTCGCCTTCCTCGTCTCAAAGGCACTTGCGACCAGCCCTGAGACGAGAGCTACGGCTTGTCAACGAGGGCCTCGGTATGCATCCATTGAACGCGACACATGTGAACAAGCGCCGGCGACGACTATGCGACACACGCAAGCCTTTACGCCTCGCGCGCAGCATGCTACTCCATTGCCATCACATATCGACCCAGCACTACGACGTGCCACACATCGACCTAGCACTACGACGCACGTAACTGTTCATCGCAGCACATAACTTCGCTCAGCCCATACCCATCCGACCGCTCATATGCATTCCACCGGCCATACCCAATACATGCTGGAGTAGAAGGGGCACAAAGACGAGCATGCACGGAGTGGAAAGATGGGATAGGGGTGACCGTTCTGTTGCCCGCTCAAGCCTCAAGAGACGCCGACGCTACAGCATCACTGCTCTCTCTTCGACGTTAAAGGGGCGCGGAGACACTGCTACAATACGGCCAAACGTGATTCACATCAGGCCCTTCTTCAATCGCGTCGGCTATTCACTCAAACTCGCTCTGAAAGACAGTCGGTACACAACCAGTGGCCACAGGCGCTGAAGAGCATAGACGCCACGGGTCAGAGGAATGCGTCTCTACAGGCGAAGCGCTAGTCTTTGTCCACCATGCACGTCATGTCAACCAAGAGGCAGAGCTGCGCAATGCCAGCTGTCAGGCGCTGAAGAGCATGGACGACACGGATCAGAGGAATGCATATCTACAGGCGAAGCGCTAGTCTTTGTACACCCTGCACGTCATGTCAACCAAGAGGCAGAGCTGCGCAAAGCCAGCTGTCAGGACTCAGGCGGTGAAGAGCATGGACGACACGGATCAGAGGCATGCATATCTACAGGCGAAGCGCTAGTCTTTGTACACCCTGCGCGTCATGCCAACCAACAGTCAGAGCTGCGCAAAGCCAGCTGTCAGGCCGATAAATCCGCCCGCTTCCTACCGCAACGCAAGGTATTTAAGCGCAAAGAAGCTTGGGATTGCCACCAAGAAAAAGTCAGGGGCTTTGGTCTAGCGGTAGGATTCGCGGGGGCTTTGGAGCTGWTATCTTTCGTTACAGCGACAGAGCGGACAACTGTCCAGTACCACAACTGCGAGAGGCGGGTTCGATTCCCGCAGGCTCCAATGTTTTTTTTATTTGGCTGGCTGGCTCTTTTGATGTCTGGATATCGACTATTCTTTTCTTGCCATTGCGAATATGAGTCGGGTCTCGAACCCTCTTTCATCTGTCAACGGATGGAATTGAGCGTAGATCTACCTACGGCTTCTCTAAGTTGTCTTGCACCCTGACTTTTATTTCTCTGTGTTGCATCTCACTTGGCTTAAGGCGAGTTCGTCACGAAGGTTGCCACAACTGCCAGTCTTTCCAGAACAAAGCTCTCGGAACAATGTCCGCTCAAAGTCTGCCCTTATTTTTCGTGAGTCAACTCTCTCGAACATCTCAACAGGTAGTTCAACGAGTAGCGAAGTCAAGCGTGCCGTGCTTGCAAATCCAACCACCCCAGGTCTACATAGTTCTCCCAGACTCGACCTATTTATACCGTCTTGAATTCTCAACCCGAAAGGTGTGATCTTTCGACCGGTTGTCCAGGCATCCTGGACCTACGTGGCGGAGTACAGCTCAGGCGTCAGGGCATGTGGTAGGTACAGGGATTCATGTTCTCACAAGGAGGCTAATTGGTTGTGCTGAAGGTGGTTAGCTTAGCTGTAGTCGGTCTTTACGTATCATTTGACAAGTCCTTCCCCTCGAAGGTGATGGCATCTCCCTCGTGGATTTCAGTTCAATGGCATTGCCAAACATACTGTCTATCGGCAAAAACTGCTGTCTTCCATCCCACGTGCGCTAAAGCAACGCTAACCTGTTTTGTACCAAAAGCAAGTAAAGCACCCATTCAAGCCAGCAATCGTCCCCAAGCTTCAGCAGATCCTCTTGCCTCCTTAACAGCCCAAGCATCAAAGCTGAAATACACCAACGAATCCACATCTCCACACTTCAACCCACGAAGCAAACAGCCAGATATCTCCATCCAATACAGCCTATCATCAGCCGTCATACCGCTCCAAATCGCCCTCAATTTCGCCATAACCTCCATCTCGTCCTGCTCCTCGCATCTCGGAATGCCATGATACGCAAACATGGTCCAGCCAGTCCCGCCGATGAAAGGCGCCAAACTGCGACAGAGTATCATTGTCCTCTCACCATAACTGACTCGGATATTGTGTAACCTTTTCTGAATCTTCCTCGTTGCTGAAAACTCATCGAATTTCGAGAGTTGTAGCTCACGTTCTGGCACAGGACGTCTCCAATCTTGACTAGCGACGATGTGTCCTTCAGAATCAACACTCGCATCCTCAAGAATCCTCTTCGCTCTTCGAACCATACTAGAGTACCTCTCCTCGTGATCATCGGTCTCTAGATTGCGAAGAGCAAGTTGCCAGAAGTCGAAAGCTAGTGGAAGTTGGAATTTGGAGCTGTGTTTCCGCCAATATGTCTTTTGGCCTGCGGGGAGGCTAAGCCAGAGTTTCTTCATTCTGTGGACGTGATTGTCGCTTTCTAGAAGATGAGAGATGTGGTATTCGAAGAGGGTGCAGCCGTCGATGGAGATGCGTTTTGATAGGGAGGTGATGAGTTCGAGGTTTGTTTGATACTTTTCGACTCCACGGTTGGCTTCGAGGGCGGCCCAGACTTGTCTTATGCCGCATACTGATGCTGTGAGGTTTTGATTGTTCGGGAAAGTGGGCTCGGTTGGCGATTTGATGTCCTTGGAGATCAATGTCTGTTTGTGGGGGACGAGGTTTGGGGCCTCGATTGGAGAACTTGAGCTCGTGCTACTGTTGAACGAGTATCGCGAGTGATGTATGCCATGACTTGACGGTGCCGTGGCACCAAGTGAATGAAGGCTTGAAACATCATTCAAAGCCTTTGGGCAGTGCCGTTCTCCGCCGTCACGGTCTTGACAGGTGTTGATACAGCTTGCGGGATTGTTATCAGACGTTGGTGGTGTCAGAAACCGAGCCATGCCTATGGAACATCAGTCACATGTTTCAAACTTTCACACTGTTATGCTTTATGATACCTGGAAGACGATGTTTCTCAGGGATCTGGCAAAGGCCCTCGAGTTGAGGAAGTCCTTTGAAAGTATGGGAATCATTGCCTGTGCTGCACGAACTTCGAGAAGAGGCGTCTGGGCCTTCTTTGAAACTCTGGTCTGAGGCTTGAACTGAATCCACTGGTGAGGATGACCTCGACTGATTAAAGGAGGTCTCGATATCTGCGGGAAGATAATTAGTAGATTTATCGCTCAAAGCTTGAGAAAGAACTCTTGAGTGCATACTGTTGCCCAGAATCCAAGCTTGCGTGTCTTCTCGTCCACCCCAGATACTAGATTGAGCGTACGTAGGCATTCTGGTATTACTTTAGGTTAGCTTTGGCAGAATTGTGACAACGGAGTTCTTCAGTGCGGTGGAGGTGAGAGTGTTGTCAAGGTCTGGTCGTGGAGCCAGCGAGATCCGCTCAAACAAACACAATGACAATGACGGAGAGTCGGGTTGTCATGGAGATGACACCAAGTGTCCGCTTCACAGATGGAGCTGCACATCGGGCATTCGAGTCTGCAGATCTCATTTCGGCCTCATCTACTTGTGCTATCTACTCCCAACCTCTAAATCCTCGAATACTGTAGTGGTCGTTCAGAGCGTCTACTCGAGTTGTGCAATGGTACTGGCCTGTTTCAGGATACGCTTCGCATCCTCGCGGACCTCATCCGTGATGCGCGCAGCAGACTTGACATTCTTCATCAGTCCGACGCCTGCGCCGGCATACGTGGCCAGTCGAGCCTTTTCGCCCCAACCTTCGTCTCCTTTCTTCATGGCTTCATCGTAGAGTTTCTGGTTCTCCTCAGCACTCATGCCCTTCTCTGCATCGAAGAAGCTCTCGTTCAGCACACCTCGTCCGCCGTATCGCTCCGGCCAGTCTCTTGTACCTCTAAGTGTATCGTAGAGCTTCACACGTTTAGTCCAGACGCCACCATCAGAGGCATGTAAAACAGCGTCTCTGTATCCCTTTGCGATGTTCGCTTCTGGGGCGGCCAGGTAGCGAGTRCCCATTGTAACGCCAGCAGCGCCCAGCGCGATAGCTGCAGCGGCACCGCGACCATCCATGATGCCTCCGCCTGCAATGAGAACTGGCTTGCGAAGGTTCTTCGTAGAGCACAATGCAGAGAGCTCATCATCGACCTCTGGGAGCAATGGCACCAGTCCGGCCGCCTTCTCCAGTCCATGCCCGCCAGCGTCTTGTCCTTGAACGACCAACACATCCGGCTGGCACGTTTGAGTAACTTCGAGAGCCTCTGCTACAGTTCCAATCTGGATCCAGATCTTCGTCTTRCCATCTGTGACTCGCCTCACTTCTTCCGTCCACTGTACAAACTGCTGCGTCTCGCTGGGGGCAAATAGCCATACGGCGGCTGGCTTGTATTTCTCCAGCAAAGGTAAGGCCTCATTCAAGAGCTTCTCACCGGCCCATAGCAAGAATCCCACCCCGACTGGCAGCACGTCCTTTACATCCTTCAAGACCTGAGCAGTGGATTGCATTTGCTTGACTTCAGTCAAGATGGAGTCCAGCGTGGAAACATCACTTCCAGCGCCGACAAAGCCCAATCCGCCTGCTCGTGAGATTTCCGCGGCAAGTGAAGCCAGAGCTATCAGGCGCATGGGGCCGCATGACACGAGCGGGGCCTTGGTCCACGGATAGTCTTTCTTGAGTTGATCCATAGCGAATCTTGCAGTCCTATCACAATAGGCAGAGATTTATGACATACCTTTTCCTCACGTTGTCTACAACATACTCTTGAACCACAACATCAGCATCACCGACCTCGGCACATACATTCCCGCATTACCTTGCAAGACGTGAAAGCTGACGTCGGCAGAAGTGCAGCAGATCCCGACAACGGTCGAACACGGCCGAAGTTCGGCAAACGCACGTGGAAAGCACGACCTACCTAGGGTCTTCACTTCACGTCTTCCTGCACGTCTCCTCCACGCGCATCGCATCACCTCCATCCCATCCAAGAAAAATTGTTTTTCTTACATTCACAACTACACGGGAGCTTGGAGAATTCTGGACACTGCTAATTGCTCCGCTTGGTCTCACCAGAATTCGCGCGTACCTACCAACTCGAGGTGCCTCGTTGCAWTCACACAAGAAAGAACACCCCACCACAAGACGCTCGTGACAACCTGAACCCCCGCGGCCATGAACGCTCCAGAGAGGTCAGTAGATAAGACCCCTCCATCCCAACATCATCAAAAACATCAAAAAGATTGTACAAGCTGCGCATTTCCCCATCATGGCATCCCCACAGAAGACCAGACTGTCCTGGATCACGAACAGAGGCGGCGAAAATCCCATTCCTGGCGCCTCTGGCAGTGATGTTGCCTGGGGAAATGACCAGAAATACACAGGAAACATCGGCACCCAGTGCGACCCAGCKGTTGACCAACCAGACAGATTCGAGTCGTTCCTCCTCGGCGAGGGAGAGCAGAAGGTTGAGGTCGAGCCGGAGACCCGTAAGTCTTGCGCACAGCAGAAGGACTCCACGAGCTACAGCTGATTGTTTCACCACAGGCGTCCCGAATGCCTCCATGTTCACCTTCAACAAGGAGGATCACACCCTCGGCAACCTCCTCCGCGCGAAGCTCGTCAAGTCTGAGCATGTCCTCTTCGCCGGCTACCAGGTCCCTCACCCTCTCTTTGCTGTGTTCAAGCTGCGTGTGCAGACCGACGGCGAGATCTCGCCAAAGGAGGCCGTGGTGGCTGCGTGCAGGGATTTGGTGGCTGAGCTGCAGCAGCTCGACCAGGAGTTCACCAAGGAGTGGGAGCTGAAGAAGATTGCTGGCGCTGGTGCGGACCTTTGAAGCAGACTTTTGAAGGGACGAGCAGCACTGCGGATATGATGGGATGAAGGATGGGATGATTCTACACGATGCATAGCGGCGGCGTTTCACATGGGCTGAGGATAACGGTTCACTAAAAGGCGTGGGTCACGGTTGTTTGGGCGTTTTGAAAGACGACGAGCGCTGCTCCTACGCGAAGATACCCTYAAAGATATTGAGTGAGTTCGCAGAATGATTCTTGTTCTGTATCTCCTGCCTTTTCTTTGGGCCATCTCTGCTCTCGTGCTTGTTCCCACGTTTAAGTTTCGCTCTGCTCGAGTCTTGTCTTCCTCCAGATGAAGCCAATGGAAGCATTCAACAAAAACGACCCCGCTGATGTCCTCGCCGCGTGGCCCCGCCGCATCTTCCACACTTTCGTCGCCCCGCCTTCATGCTTGCAGACCATTGCATTACCTGCGCCAGCGAGAACATGGCGTCCGCACACTTTTCGCCCACGTCTGTCTTAGCGGTCACCAAACCATCAACTGGTCCGCCTGCACTGGAACCAACTTCCACGCCCTTCGCCAGACCAAACAGCCCATGGTCAACAACAATCCTGGACGCCGCAAAGCTCCCACCAGCTTCCAGACAGCGAGAGATTCTCAAACTTGCAAATAACAAGCTCAGCAATGGCTATGCTCTCTTCGTGCACTACGTCCAACCAACACTTGAGCTCCGTCGCAAAGTTCTTTTAGACAGCGGAACCACCAAGAAGAAATTCTACAAATCAGTCGGGAAGCTGTATGAAGACCTACCTACCGGTCAGAAAGCTTTCTGGAATGGCGAAGCAGCACGCCTTCGAGTTTTGGTCAGGGACAAAGTGATTACTCATGAAGAATGTGTTCGTCATGCTGGCTCTCCRGATCAATGGTCAGTGTCACTACAAGGAAGATGGCCGGAATGCCACGCACCGAGTCGCATGAATGAAAGTCGCACGAGACGCTAACTCTTGTCTCAAGGGACACATACATCGAATACGCGGAGACGGCAGTGGCGGAGTATCTTCTCATCCCACTACCGATCAAAGCACCTTCTCTGGAAACGCCCGACTTGATATGCGATGAGCAGACAATCACGCCCATATCCACCATCGCTCCAACAGAGATCGATTCGCCAACGACTTCCCTCCATCAACCACTACTTGATACTCTCCCAGAACCTTTCTCTTTCGAACCACGAATGCTCTACAGCCATTTTGCCAAATACGACCTCGATGAAATTCTCAGCACCCCAACCCGAAAGCGACAACTAGAGAAACTGCATCAGCTCGCAGACCTCTTCGATCGCACGGGTAGAGTGCTCTTCTACTACTACGTCTATCCGAGACTGTGGAGGCGTATGCGTCCTTTGAATGCAGATGAGAGTATTGCGTCTTTTGCACAGGATCTCTGGCGGTTTGCTCAAGGAGCTGTGGTGCAGGAATGGCAGGTCGCTGAGGTTGATGTTAAGAAGATGCTGGGAGATGGGGACGTGAACGGGCTTGCGCTGTTGCGGTTGGGTGGGTTGCATCCAAGGGTTTTGAGATTTCATGAGATGGCTGAGCAGGCTGTCGGTGGGAGATTCGGGGATATAGAGAGATCGATGTGAAGGGCATTGTTCTACAGCAACGCTCTTTCAGTTTGTATTACGGAGGAGAAAGCTGACCGCAACTACAACGCTGGCGCCAAAATCAGTAAAGAAAAGGTCTTTAAGGCCAATCGCACATTGCAAATCGCAAATCAACTTCATTCAGAGCTATATTGTTCAGTCATTCTCGCCAGCCGCTAGCACTCTTGCTCCTCTCCGGAGATCTACAGTGTATTGATAAGACCGCTCTTACCCTCTCGACATTGACTTCAAGTCTAAGCGTTGAACTCCCATGCTTTTCGTAGTAGGCAATGGGGCATCGAGGAGTAAGAATCTTTGATGGCTGGATATGATTCCTGGCCAGTGGGCAACTCCCACAACTGAAGATTTCGCAGCCCGCCGTGTTACGTCCCTAAGATCACTTCCATGATCCTCGATCATCTGAGCTTGCAGTGTCCGATTGATGAGCCACCTTCGTCTCGCTAGCCCCAGAGTTGCAGCTTACTGTCGTCCAATCACGCTACATTTGTCCATTCGCTGGGGCGACCCTGTGGAGCTGATACCTATCGTGAGATACGGCAGAGGTTGCAGAACATCATCTCAACCATCATCTCGCGCAGCTTTCTTCCTGCTCAAACTCGCAACAGCAGACTCGGATTCTCGTATACGCTTCTGTCGCGGACGGACTGGTGCCTTGGGAATAGCTCGAGCTTCTGGTTCAGCTCGAGCAATTTTGATCAAGAGCTCTGTGATTGCGGGTGAAGGTTCTGTGTTGACCAGCTTCGATAAGAACTCAAAATCAGATGATGTTTCCTCAGTCTCAACGTGTCTGGATACGCTCGCGGCTTTTTGTCTGCGACTTTCCGCGAACCTTCCCTCCGATGCAGGGAGAGGTTTCCGCGCCGATTGCGGCGGCACTCCATCTGTCGAGTGAGGTATCATAGTGGAAGATTTGACTTTCTCCGTCGTGCGAAGAGGGGCGCTAGAGTTCGTCTCGGGCCTTGCAAGTTCCTTTGTTCGTACCAATGGGACGGGACTAGCAGGGCGATATTTCTTCATGACGATACCATTCCGCGCAAGATGAGCAATAGTCTCAGATGGAGGAGGCGGAGGCGGCTCCTGGCCCTTCTCATCGGGCTCTCCCGGACACTGTCCACTCCTCAAATGCCGTGTCAACCCAACCAAAGACTTGCAACACGAGTAACAAGTCTGACAGATTCGTTCCGCCTTCGCAGTCGCCACACCATCTTTGAAGTCCAACCCTCTACCCAGTCGACTATCCGGCCCCCACCCTGCTTCCTTCCAAAACTTCGCCTTGTACCCATGTCTGGGAGCGCAAAGTTTGACATGATCATCCAGCGTGCTTTGATTTTTGTAATGTGGCTGCCTTTCGCAGAAACCACATTTCCACAGTCCAGAGAGAACAGTTGGGGGGACATCTGGTCTGGACCTTACACTGAGACATCGGGCCGCGGAAAGGTGCTTCCTGGCTTCCAACGGGTTGGCGAATATTTTTGAACAGTGCTGACAGATACGATTAGGATTCACGACGGGGTGTCCATCTTGGAATGTAAATCCAGCTTCCAATCCCGCTCGTGTCCAGCCGGCTTCACGCCAGAATCTAGCTGCGAAGTTTTGGTCTCGGGAGCAAGTCTGTATGTGTGAATCCAGAGAACTCTGGTGTTTGTATTTGGCTTTCAGGCAGAAACCGCAGTGTAAAGCTGTGTCTGTTTGTGCTGGTGGTGTGCTACTGCTGTTGCCGTTGCTGTCGGGAAGCGAAGCAAATTCGAGAAGGCCGGCGAGGAAGGCATTATCTGGATCACTCATTGCTACATTTGAACGACAAGCCGGCGGTACGGATGTCTTCCATCTGTGATTCTGGTAAGCGTTCAGCTGATGAAGTGAACATGTGGTGATGCGTGTAAGTMGCACGTTCACGGTTTGGTTTGGTTGTTGCTTCATCGACTAGTCGAAGCTTATTTGACGCGCCAAGACTCACTGTCAATGTTGAGTAGGCTACCGCCGGATTCCAAAACGGAAACAATTCAATACTGCGTTTTTCGACCTTTGCTATCTAGTACAGCGTGCAAATTTCGAGAGATTCTCGCGCTTTGTAGGCTCCGCGAGCGTCTCCATTTTGAGGGTTAGAGAGACGAATGTAGTAGCATTGCTACTACCTTATAGAAGATGGAGCAAAAGCGTTATTGCTGTGGTAGAATGGAAAGGTTGAAGTGATCGTGAGATATACCACAGAGTTAGGAGGTCTGAACTTATACATGGCATTTTTCTCCCATCCGCTCGCCTTGAGACGACTGCAGCGTGTCCCTCGTCCAAACTTCACGCCAGCTCGGGACCTGTTCCCTCAAGTCCGGCCCCAACCTTCGACTGACACTTTTAAACTCCCCCGGAATGGCGCTCGTCATTTCATGTCCAATGTTCATCACATTCTGTTGTCTGCGATCAGAGCCTGTCGGTCCAGAAGATATCATCACATCGTTTTTGGCGCTCTTTGAAGCAGTCGATTCAAGACCCATGCAACACTGTAGCAACTTTATGCATCAACCTTGAGCACATTTGCGATCAAAAAGTCCTGAATATACTGGAAGTAGCCCCGTTCGCCGACAGTGTTGTTGTGATCGCCGTTTGGTAGTTCCTTCCATACTACCGTTGATGAGCGACTCAATTTCATCAGTTCTTTCATGTGAGATGGTCTGGCCTCTCGTTAGCTTCGAAAACGAGATTAAAAGATCACGCAACTCACGGGACAATCTCATCCTTGAGTCCACTTAGGAATAGGATCGGGATATCCGTAATCTGGCTTATCATCTCCTCACTCCTCCACTTATCGCGACAGAGTGGAATGAGGTATTTGGCAACAGGGACAGCGTGCGGAATCATCTTTGCAATGCTGAGGAAGGTATTCTCCAGCACGAGTCCTTTGATGTCGCCGGTGCCTTTGTTTCCCTTCACCAGATCGATTGCAACCGCACCACCCAGACYTTGACCATAGACAACTATATTGCTGTCTTTCAGATCCTGTCGGCTGCGAATGTAGTCCAGTCCAGTCTGCGCATCAATCCGCAAACCTTCCTCGTTGGGAGAGCCAGTGGATAGCCCGTAGCCACGATATTCCAGCATCAAGACAGTGCACTGCATATCTTCTGCGAGGACTTTCGCGACTGGCAATCTGTGTCCGATATTGCCTGCATTTCCGTGAAAGCAAAGGATCGTAATGGGTAACGCTTGTGACTTGTTTGGGGGCTTTACTAGAAAGGCACTGAGGGTTTCACCGTCTGGAGTCGGTATTGAGAGCTCCTCACTCTCTTCTATACCAACGTCGGCTGGTCGAGGCACGTCAGTGCGAGTTCCAGGGGGTAAGTTTCGAGGATAAATGATCTCACTAGATATTCAGTATTAGCATTATTCTTTTCGCAACAGCTAGATGCATGCATACTTCTGAAAATAATATAATGTGCCACCTCCCATACTAACGGCGGCTGTGCTCAGGTAGAAGGGAAGTCGAAGCCATGGCCAGAGTGAGGCCATTGTGATGTGCGTTGCGTTAGGAATGGCGTAATATTTTTAGTTGCGAGCGTGGATAATTTAATCAAGGCGCTCGAGTATTCACGACCAGAAATTTCTGGCGTTGATCTGCTTGGTGGGTGTGTTCGAGAAGGATGAACATTGTCAACGTGGAAGTTAGGAAGTGGCGGAGGCAGGTCCGCAGGCAGGAGCTGACGCGCTGCCGCGAGAGCTCCATCCATCACCTCAAACGATCATCAACACTTCCATTCCACATCATCGCCCGACAATTTCTGAACACCACCGAAACCCTCGACTCCATATACTCTCCCCCAAACAGCCTCCTCACATCCAGACGCCATCATGATCAACCAAACTGGAATGCTCGGCGAAGGTATGCACGATGCCACACGAATCCATTGCCTCAGCCATTACATGTTACTAACCCTCCCACAGATGGCATCCACATCGACATGAACCACCTCAAATCCGGTGAGGTCAACCTCGGAACCTCCATCATGGCCATCAACTTCAAGGACGGTGTCATCCTCGGCGCAGACAGCAGAACTACCACCGGCGCATACATCGCAAACAGAGTCACGGACAAGCTCACACAAGTACACGACACCATCTGGTGCTGTCGGTCAGGATCAGCAGCGGACACACAGGCAGTGGCAGACATTGTGCAGTATCACTTGGGCATGTACGGAATCACCAACGACGAGCCACCCACCACACAGACCGCAGCGGCGATCTTTCAGGAGCTATGCTATGACAACAAGGACTCGCTGAGCGCGGGTATCATCATTGCGGGCTGGGACCACAGACATGGCGGGCAGGTCTACTCCATTCCGCTGGGCGGTTCCCTGCACAAGCAGGCGTATGCCATTGGTGGCTCGGGCTCCACATACATCTACGGATACTGCGACGCGAACTGGAAGGAGGGTATGGATGAGGCGGAGGGGATTGCATTCGTCAAGGGTGCACTGCAAGAGGCGATCAAGTGGGATGGAAGCTCGGGCGGTGTCATTCGCATGGTGGTGTTGACTGCGAAGGGTGCAGTCCGACATCTCTACCTTCCCGATAGAGGATACACTGGCCCAGGTACGGACAAGCCGTAGAAAAACATCTCGCGCGCATGTCGCATGCGGGATTGGGCCTGCTTGTACAGCGTCTTATGGCATCGGAGTGGTAAAACCCTACAACCCTAGCAGCCTCGAACAGCGTATGTCGCCAATAGCAATACTCGGAAGCAGTAGGAACCAGGTTTATTAGCTGCCGTCTTCTAGCGTTTTACCACTCCGATACGAAAAGAAGCTGTGGCATGCCAAATTGGCAGTGCTTGCTTTTGTACCACTAGTTGACGTTCGAGGCGGTCTCGGTGAACACGGTCATGTGAAAGGGACGTGTATTCTAAGGCAATTCGGGGTAGCTGCAGCACAGCTCTAGCTTGCAAGTCATCGGCATGGGACGAGAAACCTTCCTAGCCGAACAAAAGGCAGATCAGGCTGAGGTTCAAGTCGAGTCATTTGCCGTCCTGAACAGTCTCTTGATTCTATTGTTTCATCGTATATGGCGTCGTTGTAGCGTGGCAGCTACCTGGTAAAACAGCATGTGTAACCCAATCACCGAGCCACGAGTTAGCGTCGAGTGAACTTCGAAACTCAACCGATAACACCTTGATTACCACAGCGACGCTGATAGTCTCGCTCGACCATCGCGTCTCAGTTCAGAGACCTCGGACCTGGACTCTCATTTTGGATGTCCAGCTCCAACTAACACGTCGCGATCGATGAGCTAATATGGGATCTGTGGTCTTTGATGCGGTGAACTCGCTGATCAGCCATCACGCTCCTCAACACGACCAACACGACGTCTTTCGAGAAGCTCAAGCGCCACGAGCACATAGACCGGACTCACATTCGGAGCACAATCGTGCGTCGTCGCGCATCGAGGCTCATATGGAACCTGAGCAGAGAGCTCCGAGCTCGTCTGCTGCTCCAACATCTTTCACCGCCCAGGACACACCTCGAGAGGTATACGCGACTTCTACCGCTCAAGGCGACGAGGACCGTTCTGCAGCACAGCCGCCCAGCTCTCCCCTCACGGCAAGGCCTGTGCCACCCCCGAGCGATACTCCAACCAGAGATTCGGGCACCCCTGGCCCTACCATCATAGAAGAACGATCGTCGCGTCCACGAAAGATCAAAGTACGAGATCTGGAACACATACAAAGTTTTGCCAATGAGGATATGAGCAGCTTTTCGGAGATTCGCTCCCGCAGCCGCTCGCGCTCTCGAGGTGCCGAGGAGGAAGGTCCGCAATATGAGATCAGCGAGATGAAGGTCGAGCACATAATAGAAATGGTCGCCGGACTTCTCACAAAGATCACCACCACGAATGATCGACAGCACGAACATTTGCACCGCCAACCGCCTTCGGGGGACGCTTCGTCCCACCTCAACCCACAAACCACCAGCGTACTGGCTTTCCACGGAAAGAATGTGCCCAGCATTACCATTCTTAGTTATCTAAGTAGGATCAACAAGTATTGTCCCACGAGCTACGAGGTTTTCCTGAGCTTGCTGGTTTACTTTGACAGAATGACGGAGAGAGTCAATGCTGGTCCAATACAAAGCTTGCGGGAAGCTAATGAGATGTCTGTAAGGAAGCACAGCGCATCTTCGGACTCGATTGGATCAGATGCCATGGCTGGAGTGACGGCAACAACAACAACAACGCCATCAGGGACGCAACAGTTTACACCTCCCCATTCTGGGGGTCTTGAAAGAGAAAAGGCCGCCGCAAGAGGTATCCCTGGAACACCACACAGCAGGCCTAGTGAGCCGGACTCGCCCTCGATGTCCCCTTCAAACATGGACGCCTTCAACATGTCACATTTCTTCGTTGTTGATAGCTTCAACATCCACCGGCTAGTCATCGCGGGTGTGACTTGTGCGAGCAAGTTCTTTTCGGACATCTTCTACACAAACTCACGATATGCCAAGGTTTGTACGAGCACATGCTTATCTTCGCCATATGCTGACTTGCCTACTACAGGTTGGCGGTCTGCCTTTACCAGAACTCAATCACCTTGAGCTTCAGTTCTTATTGCTCAACGACTTCCGACTCTCCGTGCCTGTGGAAGAGATTGAAGCGTACGGTACTATGCTCGTAGAGTTCTACGCCCGTGAAGTCGTCGCTCAAAAGCAGGCGTCCGAAGCGATGCATGCGCGATCTCTCAGCGAGAGCTCCTCCGACAGCACACATACTGTCATCGCTGGCTGAAGATGGTTATCGTCCTCACTCCCAAGCTACAGCGACACACTATACTCCATGAGCAAACCCACAAGACGCCGCCCGACGCAGCGCATTGACGAACGATACGACGGTGCCCTTATGAATCGATAGAATCCCCCCGCCCTTAACCCGCACTTAGAGAACTAAGACGTTCGAACGATAGACTTTCTTCCCCCGGACCCACGACTTGTGTTTGCTCCTTTCGCCTTTTTTTCTTTGGCCCTTCAAGTATACCCCAATTTTTAGCATCCGGCATATTGGCCACCGATAGGGAGCATCTTTGGTTATTGGAAGGATCGTGGTGGCGTGCGTGTCGATTTATTGGCTGAAGCGTTCTGCATGGGAATCTATGACGGCCCCTTTTGATTCTTGTAAGTGTAACATTGGCGGTCCTTGATCGCTTTGAGATGCGTAATCGAGGCGTCAGTACTGCTGGAATCAGAATGGAATAATACACAGAAATCTTCTTATTCTTGGTGCTCATTGCCTTGATGTGTTACCATGTGGAGTGCCATGCTCCAAACGATCATCGCCACCCTACCACGTGCAAGCTTGTGGGAGGTACGCGATATATGTACTATGAACGCGATCCTTGCTTTGGCGGACTGAGCTGCCAGCACATCAAGCGGTGCACATGACGGTGACGCATCTGGAAGTCTATCTTCTACCTCGTTGCAGGTGTTTGGGATCATGAGCGACTCGACCCGAGGTATTGTCCAGCAACATCCTTCATTCCAAGAGTTCATGTCGAGATCTTCAAAAAGCTTACGCAAACATCTTCCCCTGCAGTCCAATCCGGCTTTGTGCGACGAGACCGTGTTGTTGTTTATTAAAATACCAAATGCATTCCAACGGCACTGCTGATTCCTACAAGCTGTATCCTTGAGTAGTACAGGGGTATAGCTGGGTCGTGCCWCGGTCTTCATGGAAAGAAGCTGGCTTCGAACAAAATGCGGTGTGGAGAGTAGGTACTGCATGCAATGTCGGTGTGGTATTTCTTTCAATTATTATTGAATGGTATATTGCTCCGATTACCCGGACAGATCGAATACTGCGGCTTACCTGTGGGGCTCCGCGAGTCTGTCTACAGCAAGGCTGATCGATGATGCAAAGGCATGCTTTGAGAGGTTTGTGACAGCCGTGCTCTGCGAGTTCGTATGCATGCAAGCAAGAACAGGAACAACACTCGGCTTCTGGAGACACGTGTCTAGTCGTTCGGCAGGGATTCTGTGCCTTGATGCCCTGATGCCCTGATGCCGTCCACGGGAAACCACCTAACATCCGCCTGTGCTCGTCTTACTCTGAATGTAGGATTGAAAGAACGTCGCAGACGATGCAACGTGGAGGTTCGGACTTTCGTGGATGTTGTAGAGCATCAACTTGAAACACAAAGCCGTCGCAGTCATCACTGACGGGCGACGTTGATGGGAACAAAAGATATTTGGAGGTGGATAAGGTACCTTATCGTGGGCAACGGGAGTGGCCCGCCGTGGACGGCCCCACTTTGAAATGACCAACTTCACGCTCCTTGACAAACATTGAACAGCAAACGACACTGTGACGTACTGTGCTACAACCACGGAAGAGTCGCGAATCACCTGGAAGCGCGTCAAAAAGTGTGAGTATCGTCGGCACGTAGCCGCAGCAAGTGTCGGGTCTTCTCTCATCTTCTCTCCTGCCTTTACATGCTCTTCTCTCAACCCTGCACCCAAAACCACCTAACCTAAACGAACGCACTTCACACCTTCCAGACTCTTCTCTTCCTTCTGCCCATGAACTTGCAACCTACCTGCGACTTCGAACACTCATACGACTTCGAACACTCACCTTCGCAGACTACTCAACCTTGCATCGCACAAAAGCGAAAATTCACCACGCAATAGCGTAGTCGTCGAAGATGGCGACCACGCTGACGCTCTCACTGTAAGTCGACTTTATCATCTACGCGTGTCTACAACTCTGACAGCTCCAGCTTTCTGCCAAATACCGTGTCTTTTTCCGAACTCCCAGCCAAGGAGGCCCGCCACAACCCGGCATTGCAATTACATAGGCGTGCGACCTCAGACCTGCCCAACAAAGCTCGGACAAGCACAGCTTCCTTATTCGATCAATTACCAGGCGCCGCAAACCTGGGTGAAAAAGAGTTCGCAGATGATGAACTGAAGCGACTATTTGCGAAGCCTGGCGATCCCCGCTCTCTCCTGCGCAGCGACACCCATGCCGAATGGTAAGTACAATGCGATGTGATCAGTCTCTGACGCGATGCTGACAACGACAGGGGACGGCAAGATGTCTTCAACCAGCCGCGGTCGCGAGCTCTGCCGCTGCCATCCGCCTCGATCCAGGACTTTGCGAAAGCGTACGACCAGATCAAGGAGGACAATGATCGTGCACGACAGAAGGTGCCTGGGCGCGTGACTAGGATGTCGCCCTCAGATGAGACTTCTCGGTCGGGCAGCTCCGAGAGAGGTTATGAAGGCAAGACATGGACCGTGCAGCCTGCGTTGCACGGAAATGGCGGCCTTGTGAATGCAATCCGTCAGGTTAGTGACGCAGATGGATCCATTGACTTCACGTGGATTGGCACGCTTGGAATGCCGACCGATGCGCTGCCCACTACCATCAGAGACGAGATTCGCGACCGACTTCTGAACGAATTCAGGAGTGAAGTCGTCTTCGCGAGCGACAAGGATATCGACGGCCACTACGCTCATTACTGCAAGACTATCCTCTGGCCAATCTTCCACTATCAGGTACCGGATCATCCAAAGAGCAAGGCATACGCCGACCACAGCTGGGACTTCTATCGTAACGTGAATCGTGCCTTCGCAGACCAGGCCATCTCCAGCTACAAACGTGGCGATACGATCTGGGTGCACGACTACCATCTGCTTCTCGTCCCTGCTATGATCCGCGAAAAGCTACCCGAGGCCAAGATTGGATTCTTCCTTCACACCGCCTTTCCGTCCTCGGAAGTGTTCCGCTGCTTGTCAACGAGAAAGGAGCTTCTCGAGGGAATGCTCGGCGCCAACTTGATTGGTTTCCAGTGCGATGAGTACTCCTCGCACTTCCTACAGACCTGTAGTCGCCTCTTGGCAGTAGAAACCACGGCCGACGGTGTTCAGCTCGAGGACCACTTCGTCAATGTTAGCAGCATGCCGATCGGTATCAATCCATCATTGTTCGAGGAGATTCGGCAATCTCCAGAAGTCAAGAAGATGATCGATTTGTATGGCGAGAAGTACAAAGACAAGATAGTAAGTCTTCAGCATGTTCTGGAACATGTGCAAAATCTTGGTCTACACGACAAACACTAAACATTCTTGCAGGTAATATGTGCTCGGGACAGACTTGATTTTGTCCACGGCGTCCGTCAGAAGCTTCTTGCCTACGAACTCTTCCTCAACAGACACCCGGAATGGAGAGAAAAGGTTTGCATGATTCAAGTGGCGACCTCAACGAATGATCAGTCCGAGCTACTTGCCCAAGTGTCCGACATTTCCTCCCGCATCGACTCGGTACATGCTACGCTGAATCATCAACCGCTTCTGTTCCTTGCTCAGGACATTCCATTCGCGCAATACCTAGCCATGATCTCGATCGCGGATGTCTTCATGATTTCTGCATTGCGAGACGGAATGAACCTGACGGCACACGAGTACATCTACTGCCAGGACGGTGCGGCCGGTAGCCCGAAGAAGCATGGCCCTCTAATTCTCTCTGAATTCACGGGAAGCGCTGTTGTATTCGAGGACAATCATCTTTCCATCAACCCGTGGGACTACAGCGGCCAGGCAGAGGCCATCAATGATGCTCTCAAAATGAGCAGTGAAGAGAAAGAACGTCGGTGGACTCGACTCCAGGAGATCGTCATGAGCCGGACTGGAACGCACTGGGTGCATGAGCTTAGCAGGCAACTTGACCAGGCGTATGATGAGCACCATCAGCGTGCTTCTGCTGCGGTTCCCCGTCTATCAGTCCCACAGCTATCAGAGAAGTACAAGGAGTCGAATTGTCGACTGTTCATCATCGACTATGAAGGCACCCTCGCGAATCACAAAACCGCATCTGGCATACCTCTGGGATCTCCAGCTCGCATTGTCGAGGCTTTGGACGACTTGATGAATGACCCGCGGAACATCCTCTATGTCATGTCGGGCAGGAAGCCCGAGGAGCTTGAGAACCATTTCCGCATGCTTCCGCGTGCAGGCCTCATCGCCGAGAACGGGTGCTTTGTACGCGAGTTCGGGGGTCAAAGCGATGAGTGGATGCCGTTTGTGGACCTCGAAGAGGTGAACAAGTGGAAGAACGAAGTACGCGGCATTCTGGAGTACTACCAGGAGCGTCTCGAAGGGAGCTACATTGAAGAGCGCAAGTGCAGCCTACTATTTCGCTACGAGAAGTGCCAAGATCAAGAAGCGGCAGTTCGTCAAGCTGGTGAGAGCGCCGATCAGATCAACGGCTCCTGCAAGTCCATGCACATTCACGCAGTCCCTATCAAGGGCTCCGTGTTGATTGAGCAGGAGGATTTCAGCAAGGGTACCGCTGCGAAGCACGTTTATGACATGCTCCGTACGGATTCCAAGGGTATCACCAAACCAGATTTCATGCTGGTCGCTGGCGATGATCGCGAGGACGAGGTCATCTACCAGTGGGCGAACGATCTCGGCGAGAGCGGTGAGGTGAAGGACGTCTTCACTGTGACTGTTGGCAAGCGCAACACTCTAGCACACTCAACTCTCACTCAAGGGAGCACTGGACTGCTGAGTGTGCTCCAGAAACTGGCCAAAATCTCGCTTGAGCAGTCGGCGCCAGACTACTTCAACCTCCCTCGCAGCAGCACTTTCCCAGCTTAAATGGCGTTGCTACGCCAATCACGAAGCACGCACACACATTGGGACAAGGTGTGCGTTATATAGCCTCCGGGCGTAACGAATGGAACGTCGTCGGCGTTCATATTGCACAAGCATGGCATGACAGCATTATACCCGGTAGCTTAGGTTTTCAAGGGATTGAGTTGGTAGAGGTTTCCGTAGCTAATTCGAATGTGGGACATGCAAAGTCTACCATTGCTGCTCTATTCTGAACTTGGTAATCAATGTGTCAGACCGACAGACGCTGCATAATCTCCTCCAAGAGTACCACAAACCTTCGTATACAGGTGCATGTAGCTTTCAAAGAGGAGCTTACCGACGATGCATAATTTCTTAGTCAGCGGTTTCCGAAGTTGAGCGCGTTCCTCACATGCAGTTCCTCACAATGCAGTCTCATGCTACCTGCATTACAACACAATCACTTTCGGTCATTATAGAACCAGACGCCAGCCTTTCTAATCTAGCTCGCGTATGATTCGGTACAACATTATCATCGACACAAAAGCCGCATGGCTTCAATCTACTCATGCGGGTTCTGTGCAAGACCTTACTTCACCGATTTGAAGTTTCTGGAACAACACGTCGAAGCATGTGCCCCCGTTCAAGGATATATAGCACGATATGGAACAGGAATAACTTCAATTGGCCGTCAATTCTTTTGCAACCCTGTCAGCGGGCTTGCTACACTTCGTTCTCAGCATGTCTATTCATGTCCCTGGTGTACCGCCGCTTTTCGATCACCAGAAGAAGAAACACAACATCGTATGGCTTGCACGAGACGAAAGGATTTTCAGGCACGGTTCCAAGCTCCGTAATCATCTCTGGCAGCTCAAGGCACGCCAAATATAGCTCAAGCAGCAACGCGAGGAGGAGATGCGAGGCAGCTGCTTCCCCAGCAGATTGACCATCCGGTGATTCCCGCACACCAACCGTACCAAGTTCAGCATCAAGTATGGAATCAAGTACAGCCTCAATTCTGGCGGCCTCACAGACCTTCCGTTCCTGCGAGCCAACCAGAGCAAAGCACCAGGTCGCCATACTTCTATTCACATGAACATGAGCAGGCTCTCTTAACCCGCATCAACGAGCCTCCCTCTGATGCTGTAACGAGCCTCTTAGTTGATATTGCGCGGAGAAACGAGGATGCGAGAGCCATTCCAGAAGCGCCGGTTGGCGATAGAATACTGCCAATCGTTAGGGTCCATCCGGTGTCTGATCCCGCACAATCGCCTCGTCTGCAACCAGCACCGGCTAAGACATCCCCCAAGCAGTCAGTTCAGCTAGCGATTGAAGCACAGACTATCGCATCACATGCAGGTAAATCCCAAAGAAAGACGCAATCGCAAACTGCCAGATCACCGGCGGTCAAAGCCAAAAAGTCGAAGCGAATTCGGTTCACAATGTGCGAAGGCTGTGATTTCTATTGCAGGCACCCTGGTAAGATCGATACAAACGACCTTGGGTGTCGAAGGCTGATCTCGTCTCGCTTAGGTGCCAGAGAAGACGGCGTCATCTATGAGACATAGAGTTGAGAGAGACATGATGATATCCAACGATGCTCCAGCGAGATCAGGATCTTCGGTACGTGAACACGAGACACATCAACCATTCCACGCTTCAGATACCGGAGCAATACATGGTCATTGCATGAAGTAACCCGATTCCCTTTGTCTTTCATTGATCTTCCGTGGTAACTCCAGCTCTCTTTGTCCTTTAGTCGCGAGAATGCAAGCATGCATTGCCCAGTTCGTCCTCATTGTTCAATGCGGAGAGACATGGCTTTGTGCGTCACGATCTACCAATCCAATGCGGTTGGCTCTAGTTGACTCTTTACGGCTGGATTCCGACTCATTGAAGCTCACACCAAGACAACATGAAGGTCTTAGCCTTCTTCGTGCTCGCTTTGATATCAAGCGTATTCGCCTATACGGAGTATGAAAATGCTGTTGCCTGTGGACGAAAAAGCCCGGCGACGAATCAAGCCATCAGCGCGTTCTGCAATAGGAGGGGTCCTAAAGGAAAGTTGTTGAACAACATCGTGGCGCCTAGCCCATACTCGAGGAACGGCAAGACTGGACAAWCATTCGGCGTTACGATCGTGGCTAGCATCACCGGCACCTGCTCTCCTGCACAATGGGTCCCAATTACCTACTGTAAGTTGATGCGAATCGTATGATGCAGGAACTTGTATCATGGAGAACGAGTCACCCTAGCTTCTTTGCCTTGACATTGCTGACTCTCATGTGTAGGCATCTCACAGTTCCAGAGCATTTGTGCCAACTCGAACATGCCGTTCGGACAGGGGATCAAGCATTATGGGATACGTAAGTGCCAGATGTGGGTTCTTAGAAAAATATGAGATGTTGTACTGGTTTGAGAAGATCATTTTCAATTCGAAGATTTGATATAGCAAAATGTAATGCGGTAGTATGGAGACTAAAAACTTACCTCGCTGTCATGTTCTGAACCCAGTAAAGTTACTTTACCAAAGTGATACTCGCTTGCATTCTCAGACGATCAATACTAGATCTCTCTGTAGAACGCACCATTCTGAACGTCGCCGAGCCCCATGGCAGCGTTCCTGCCGTTAGTTTTCAGGTAAAAGCAGACAGTTTCATAACTTACCTCGAAGCCCGTTTTCTTCCAACGAGCATTGAGCCAGTCGGTCAGGGCATCACTCGATTTGCACCAGTCGTGCTCATCCCAGCACTTCAAGACGATTCTCGCCAACGGAGAAGGCAAGGGTCCGTTATTGATAGAGGCCGAAGATGGAGACCAGACAGGTGGAGGAGGAGTACGTCCTAGCATATTCACTCTTTTGATCCGGTTGTAAAGAGTGAATGAATGCTGAAGGTGTCCTTTTCGCACAGCGAAGAGGATTTTGCCTGGTGGAATGATGGACACTGAGAGCATCATATAAGTGCGAGATGAAGTGCATTGTGGTGGAATGCACAAAGCATTGGTCCGTCAAAGAGGAGGACCATGGTGAATGCAATGCAGACAAACGGTCTTTGTCCCAAAGGAAGCTCTACAACGTGAGAGACACTGTCGGCTTTCTTGTGATGTGCTGAATCAGTATTCATGTCATGAAGTCGCCGTAAGCGTGACTGCGTAGCAGGGGTAGCCCGCCGACCCAATTGCCACGGATATACGAAGACCGATCGTCTTCAAAGGTATTATTGCACTGTACGTGGAGAAGGAGGTCCCGAAATAATCGATGACTCCGAGCATTAATCGTGTCTGCCATCCTTGTTGTTGACGAAGTCGTGGGTGAAGATTTGGAGGGTCTTGCTTGCTGGAGGGATGCGACTTTTTGGGTACATGTTCGGGCAAATTGGTCTACCCCTGACCTATCACGTTGCTGGCACACTTTCGTCACCCATATTAATGGCTCCATCAACTTTTTCGAACGATCCGGGCACAACACATGCCGATACCCCAGGTGCACGAGCCGTCCGATCGTTCGAGTGACAGACCTATTTACAGCGGCATTACCAGGTCTCTTAGGCAGGCATAAAAACGCTTAACACGCCCTAGACGACGGTATACATCGTCGAGCTAGCACAAGTGCAGCACTGTGCAATGGTATAGACTCGGTGTCCAAGATTGGCAGTCGGGGTACGAACGCGGCTGCGAGATTCTCCCGCGAGACTGCCGTTCATCACCAATGTCGAACCAATATTGTTCCTCTCCAGTTTCAGACAACGACTCTGTTGGCCCCTTCTCCTGGAATCTGTTTGCTCTTCATCGTTTTGCCTTACAACAGCTCCACCTGCGACCATCATGTCTCTCTTTGCTGAGAAGACGCAGGGAGCTGGTCCCTCTTCAGCTTCTTCCAGATCATACAATGCGTCGCTTCACCAACAAGACGACCGCTCGGAGAAAGATCACGAAGATCTCACTGATGTGAGCATGACCGATACACCACGAAGGGGCTCTAAAGTCAGCGACACCTCCGAGCAGAAGAAATTTGAGGARATGGAAGAAGATGATGCAGGCGAACCTCATGATTACCCTCAAGGCATCAAACTCGTTCTCATATTTACGGCCCTGACTCTGGCCATCTTCTGTCTGGCTCTCGACAACACCATCATATCGACCGCCATCCCACGTATCACTGATGAGTAAGTGTCTCCAGTATTGGGTAGCCTGTCGGGGTGATTGAGATTTCGTCATGGATGCATTGTTCCCTTGCTGCTTTCCCTCCCTCGACACATGCGTGGCTAAGTTTCTCCAGATTCAACTCAATAGACGATATTGGGTGGTATGGCTCGTCGTATCTTCTTACGGCATGCGCTTTGACTCTTTTCTTCGGCAAGGTGTACACGTTCTTCTCCATCAAGAACGTCTTCCTCACCGCTCTCATCATCTTTGAGATCGGTTCCGCCATCTGCGGTGCTGCCACTTCCTCGACGGCGCTTATCATTGGCCGTGCCATTGCGGGTATCGGGTCCGCTGGTCTTTAGTAAGTAGCATGTGCCTCCGGATCAATGGTCGAAGAGGACCTTGAAAACTATCCGGATGGCATTGATTACCTGGATCGTTGGGGCGATTGCTGACCTGTTTGCCGTCGCCTTCTAGCTCGGGAGCAACACTGATCATAGCAGCTACTGTACCTCTAGAGAGACGTCCTGTGTTCACAGGAAWCACCGGAGGGATCTATGGCATTGCGTCAGTCATTGGTCCATTATTGGGAGGCGGTTCGTACGACTCGACAAAGGCATGCCGTGTGTCCACTGATCAACTGTCGCAGTGTTCACCGACCATCTGTCCTGGCGGTGGTGCTTTTATATCAATCTTCCGATTGGAGCCATCGCACTTCCTTGCGTCTTCTTCTTCTTCAAACCGGCAACTCGACATGTGTCCTATACATGGACGGAAATTGTTGATAGACTCGACGTCCCTGGCAMRTTGGTCTTTCTGCCAACGACTATCTGCCTTCTGCTTGCACTGCAGTGGGGAGGAAGTAAGTACGCGTGGTCCGATGGCCGTATCATTGCACTGTTTGTGCTCTTCGGGGTTCTCCTTGGAGTATTCTCGGTGATCCAGATGTGGAAACAGGAAAATGCCACGGTACCGCCACGGCTATTGAAGCAGCGCAGCGTTGCTGCTGCCTGTCTGTTCATCTTGACCCTGGGAAGCTCCTTCTTCATCTGCACTTACTATCTCCCCATATGGTTTCAGGTATTTCGGTTCTCCACAGACCTCCTGTATAGCATTTCACTGATACTTCCAGGCCATCAAAGGAGTGCAGGCAACGAAGTCGGGGATAATGAATATTCCGCTAGTGTTGGGTCTTGTTATATCGTCAATCCTTGCAGGCGCCGGTATCTCGGTCTTGGGCTATTACACCCCGTTCTGTATCGCGAGCAGCATGTTCGCAGCCATAGCTGTAAGTTGCCGCTCGGAGATGCATGCACCGACATGCCGTCGATTAACAAGTTCACTAACCTCGCGGATGAGCAGTCCGGCCTTCTAACAACCTTCACTCCGACATCTGGCAGTTCGGAATGGATTGGTTACCAGGCGTTTTTCGGCCTCGCTATTGGTATCGGAATGCAGCAAGCCATAATCGCAGTTCAAGCGGTACTTCCGGCCTCCGACATCCCCGTCGGCACTGCAATGGTCATGTTATGCCAGACACTTGGAGGAGCTATTTTCATCAGTGTTGCGCAAAATGTCTTCACAAACAAGTGAGTCACCAACTCCCTTCCTAAATTGGGATGTCAGGATCATCATTGACCACTAGAATTTCACCCTCAGACTACTTTCCGGCCTGAACAGTATTGTCCCAGGTCTCGATCCAAGTATTGTCCTCGAAGGTGGCGCTACCACTTTGGTACAGAAGGTCCCAGCCGAGTTCCTCGTCGGCGTGCGCTTGGCATACAACGATGCTATCACGAACGTCTTCTATGTTGCAACCGCCGTGGCAGTATTATCACTCTTCGGTGCTCTCGCATTGGAGTGGAAGAGCGTGAAGAGCCAAAAGCTTGAGGTGGCCGCAGCGTAGGTGATCCGTTGTGAGCAGTCGATATGTCGGCAATAGCAGTATCATGGATTGAGAAGCTTGCGCGTAAAGCGTTGAGCCGGAACTACTGAAGTTGCTCAAAGGTTACTTGGTCTCATGCGTCTTGGGAATGGTGAGAATGTGCTGAAGACGTATCCCTTCCACCGAGAAGCGTTTCGTGGCTCCATTGTCTTACCGCCCGCTACTCCGTGAACTTGGCTGAAGGTGCAGGGAGGCCGGGGGCGGATGTTGCGCCTACTCTTCCAGGTTGCTGATGTACTGTGATACGCGTTGCCATACGTGGCCATGGTCTTGTCGTGTGCTTCGCTGTAAGATGTAACTTGGTATGCTGCTCCCATCCCACATTTTGTTGAGATGGCTTCCTTAGACAATCAGTATGGTCAAGGTGAAGCCAATGGCGTTTTGAGATAACCTTGCGATAAGAGCTGCCAGGTGCAAAGCTTCAAAAGTTAGCTTTTGTCAGGAACGGCCCTATCGCGGACTAAATCTGATCTCTTGCCAGCTGCCACTTGGCGAGATCGGCTGATTGTTCATAACCAAGGTTGTCGTGTTCTCGAGTTGTTCCGCGCGCGTGCCAGCGTGCTTGAATACCAGGTGATGGGTTGCATGGCCTGGACGAATCGTACTACCGGTGACTGAATACCTGCAGCTTGGCATCTGTGTTGCTTTCCAGCCGGTTCTTATCAGCTGCGGCCTACGTTGTGGTACCGTTGAGTCTACTGCAGCCAGAAGCTTTCAGCTTACTGCTTGCAGGAAGTAGATCTGGATAGCGCGATGCAGAGGCCGTCTCCGAGGAGTCAAGTCTCATTCAAATACGCTCCATCGATCGTGCATTGCTTGCGATGAGCTCACGCCAAGGAGAWTCTGTACTGTTGTGTGGAACGTGCCAGCGGGGCCGCTGGATTTTCCGTCCCGCGCCAACCAGGGGTATCCTGGATGGCAATCAAAGGTGAAAAAAGAACGGACCGACAGAGCTGTGGTTATGTCATTGTCTCCAATGCTGTCGGACGAGAGGTATGAAGAGGACGAGACCACAAGCGGCTGTGTTACCGAGATGGATCACATAGCTGAGGACAGTCTAGCCAGGATTACCCTTAATCAACCATGCATTGGAGTATTCTGGTTCGGATAAGCTCCTCCTTGCGGTGAGTTACAAGGCGGGATGAGCGGACCAAGAGAAGTAGGTTTTTTGTGGCATGGCATTTTACCGAGCTTGTACTTCGTATCTACTGGGAGCTCTGCCCCTCACCACAACAAATCGTCACAACCGTCTTCATCATTGCACTCCCTACGCTCTGACTCTGGCTCTCCAAGCCTCATCCTCGACAGAGCTGCACAGCTCCCTCACCAGCACAGATCTTTCCACCTAAATCCTCATACCAAATACCTAATTAGCAGAGTACTTGCCTTAGCTTGAGCGACAAGACACGTCATACGGCGTCTTGGAGCCATTGACCTGTCCTCATCATGGCCGACGCGAAGCAAAACGAGAAGCACGACTACGGCACTCCACACGCCGACGGTGACACGCACCAGGATGCCAACACAGTGCACACTCGCCTGCGGGCGAACAGCTCCATCATGCAGCTGAACAAAATCCTCGTTGCCAACCGAGGCGAGATCCCCATCCGCATTTTCCGCACCGCCCACGAACTATCTCTCCAGACCGTAGCAGTGTACAGTCATGAGGACCGTCTCTCCATGCACAGGCAAAAGGCCGACGAGGCATATGTCATCGGCAAGCGAGGGCAATACACACCTGTTGGAGCCTACTTGGCTGGCGACGAGATCATCAAGATCGCCTTGGAGCATGGTGAGTTATTTCACAATCATTAGAGCTCGACGCTGGCGCACGGAGACATCATATGGGCTGTTGAGATCTTCCTAGCCATATTCCTGTGTTGGCCACTGCGACCAGAACGTGGCTCATGATTGACTCAATTTTGATCGCATGCTAAAATTTTACAGGTGTCAACATGATCCACCCTGGCTATGGTTTCTTGAGCGAAAACTACGAATTTGCAAAGGCTGTCGAGGAGGCTGGCATCATCTGGGTCGGACCTCGACCTCAGACGATCAACGACCTTGGAGACAAGGTCTCTGCACGCGAGCTTGCCTTCAAGGCCAAAGTCCCTACCGTGCCTGGTACACCGGGTGCCGTAGCGAAGTTCGAAGCTGTCAAGGAGTTCACCGATGAGTACGGCTTCCCCATCATCATCAAGGCGGCCTTTGGTGGTGGCGGCCGTGGTATGCGTGTCGTTTGGAAGCAAGAGGAGCTCAAAGACGCGTTCGAGCGTGCCACGTCAGAGGCCAAGTCTGCTTTTGGAAACGGCACCGTCTTCGTCGAGCGATTCCTCTACAGACCCAAGCACATTGAGGTGCAGCTTCTCGGTGATAACCACGGTAACGTCGTTCACTTGTACGAGCGTGATTGCTCTGTTCAGCGTCGTCATCAAAAGGTTGTCGAGCTTGCTCCAGCCAAGGATCTGCCCCAAGAAACCAGAGATGCCATTCTCGCCGATGCCGTTCGCCTCGCCAAGTCTGCCAACTACCGAAATGCTGGAACTGCCGAGTTCTTGGTCGACCAGGAAAACCGCCACTACTTCATCGAGATCAACCCACGTATTCAGGTCGAGCACACCATCACTGAAGAGATCACTGGTATCGACATTGTAGCAGCTCAGATCCAAATTGCGGCTGGTGCTTCCCTTGAACAACTTGGTCTCACGCAAGACCGCATCTCCATCCGCGGATTTGCCATTCRGTGCCGTATTACAACTGAAGATCCCGCACAAGGATTCAGCCCAGACGTTGGCAAGATTGAGGTCTACCGCTCCGCTGGTGGTAACGGAGTGCGTCTCGATGGTGGCAATGGGTTCTCCGGAGCTGTCATTACTCGTGAGTTGAAACGATCCATCAAGAGATATATTTCATGGCTAACGACACTTGCTCAACAGCCTACTACGACTCGATGCTGGTCAAGTGCACTTGCCACGGATCCACATACGAAATTGCTCGACGAAAGGTCCTACGTGCCTTGGTTGAGTTCCGTATCCGTGGTCTGAAGACCAACATTCCCTTCCTTGCCTCGCTCTTGACACATCAAACTTTCATCGACAGCAAGTGCTGGACCACTTTCATCGATGACACACCCGAGCTTTTCAAGCTCATTGGCAGCCAGAACCGCGCTCAAAAGCTTCTCAGCTACCTCGGAGAAATCATCGTTAACGGACCTCAGGTCGTCGGACAAATCGGCGAGTCGAAGTTCAAAGGCGAAGCAATCATCCCAACACTGCTCGACGGCAGCGGCAAGCAAATCGACACTTCAAAGCCATGCGAAAAGGGCTGGAGGAACATCATCACAGAACAGGGTCCGGAAGCGTTCGCAAAGGCCGTCAGAAAGAACAAGGGCTGCTTGATCATGGATACCACATGGCGTGACGCCCACCAGTCGCTTCTGGCCACCAGAATGCGCACTATTGATCTTCTCAACATCGCCAAGGAGACCAGCCACGCCCTCAGTAATGCCTGGGCTCTGGAGTGCTGGGGTGGAGCCACATTCGATGTGGCCATGCGATTCTTGTACGAGGACCCATGGGACCGCCTGAGGAAGATGAGGAAGCTGGTACCAAACATCCCCTTCCAGATGTTGCTCCGTGGCGCCAATGGTGTTGCGTACTCTTCGCTACCCGATAATGCCATTTTCCACTTCTGTGAGCAGGCGAAGAAGAACGGCATGGACATTTTCCGTGTCTTTGATGCCCTGAACGATATGGAGCAGCTTGAGGTCGGAGTCTCGGCTGTGCTAAAGGCTGGTGGTGTTGCAGAGGGAACCGTCTGTTACTCGGGAGAGTATGAAGTTCCACAACCACCCTCAGACGTCAGAAAACATTGCTAACAATTTCACAGTATGTTGAACCCCGAGAAGAAGTACAACCTTGAGTATTACATGAAGTGCGTTGATCGCATTGTTAAGATGGGCGCCCACATACTCGGAATCAAGGATATGGCTGGTGTGCTCAAGCCAAAGGCGGCCACACTATTGATCGGCACTATCCGCGAGAAGTACCCAGATCTCCCCATCCACGTCCACACCCACGACTCTGCCGGTACTGGTGTTGCATCCATGGTAGCCTGTGCACAGGCTGGGGCTGACGCTGTTGATGCCGCCACCGATAGCATGTCCGGTACCACCTCCCAGCCAAGCAYCGGCGCTCTCGTTGCTTCTTTGGAAGGTAGTGATTTCGAGGCTGGCCTAAACCCTCAGCACTTGCGCGCTCTCGACTCGTACTGGGCCCAGGTCCGTATGGTCTACTCTCCTTTCGAGGCATGGCTCACCGGTCCCGACCCCGAGGTGTACGAGCACGAGATCCCAGGTGGACAGCTCACCAACTTGATCTTCCAAGCCTCGCAGCAGGGTCTCGGCTCGCAGTGGGCTCAGACCAAGAAAGCCTACGAGCAGGCCAATGACATCCTAGGAGACATTGTCAAGGTCACGCCCACCTCCAAGGTCGTGGGTGATCTGGCTCAGTTCATGGTTGCCAACAGCTTGAGCTACGATGATGTTCACACCAAGGCCAAGGAGCTCGACTTCCCATCATCCGTCTTGGAGTTCTTTGAGGGTCTCATGGGCCAACCTTACGGAGGCTTCCCGGAGCCGCTGCGATCTGATGCCCTTCGTGACCGCAGAAAGATGGACAAGAGACCTGGCCACTATCTCAAGGCGATCGACTTCGACGAGGTTCGCGAGAAGCTCAAGGAGGAATACGGCGGTTGCTCCGAGACTGACGTTGCCAGCTACACCATGTACGCCAAGGTCTTCCAGGATTACAAGAAGTTCACGTCCAAGTATGGTGACTTGTCCGTCCTGCCAACGCGCTACTTCCTCAACAAGCCAGAGGTTGGCGAGGAGTTCAGCGTGGAGTTGGAGAAGGGCAAGGTCCTGATCCTCAAGCTTCTAGCGGTTGGCCCRCTCAGCGAGCAGACTGGTGCTCGTGAAGTCTTCTTCGAGACCAACGGCGAGATGAGACAGGTCACAGTGCTAGACCAGCACGCCAGTGTCGAGAACAAGTCCCGCCCCAAGGCCGATTCTGGCGACAGCAGCCAGGTCGGCGCACCCATGAGCGGTATGGTAGTGGAGATCCGCCTGAAGGACGGCCAGGACGTCAGCAAGGGCGATCCCATCGCTATTCTCAGTGCTATGAAGATGGTGAGTCTGTTTGATAATACGATGTATGAGGATTGTGCTAACATTTCGCGCAGGAAATGGTCATCAGTGCACCACACTCCGGCAAGGTCGAGTCCCTCAGCGTCAAGGAAGGTGACTCTGTTGACTCGCAGGATCTCATCTGCAAGATTGCGAAGTAGGTGTACAGGAAGGAGAAGTCATATGGTTTCCCCTGGATGGACGACGCAACGATTGGATACCTGGCGTAGTTTGGAGATGAGATGCCCTGTAAGCTCGGAGTTTGGAAATACTTTGTTTAAGGCAGACAATACGCCCATGTTCACCACTATCGATGTCGCGATCCATATTATCTGTACCTCACTGTGCTTCTGCGTACGAAGAACGTTGTCGGCAAATGTATCTTCCTATTTGAGAAGATGCCCTCCAGGGAGTAAGATTGTACATGGAATTTGCAGGCGATAATCATTACACAAAGCTACGAAATAGGCTGTTATTCAATTTGGTCGCGATATCGATCACAAATGGGCACGACCAGGGCCTCGGCCAGGCGCGGCTGTGGGAGGTTGTCTTCATGGTATCCAGTGCCGAAGTCCTTATTTCCGAAGAGCTCGGGAACGACCAAAGCTAGCTACCTAGGAGTAGCACGCGTTTTCTAGGGTCTTGRGAAGGTTTAACGTTGGAATGGGCTCAGGCACGACTTGTTGCCGGGAGTGAATGCGGACTTTCACATGTGCGAACGGAAGTCTCTTGATAGTCCGCCAACAATATGCAATATATCGCTGTGTCAGAGTAGGTACTTGGCAGGACCCATCATCCTCGAGCTCGTTCGTGGCAATATGTGTGTCGCAGAGCATTGAATATCCGGAATCACACGCGTAAATGTACTGGCTGTGCGAAGGCCGGAAGAAGGTATTGGCTTCCGCTTCCTTTGACTACATGCCAGTCGTGATGGACTACGAAGTATAGCGATGATGGACTATAGCGATGATGAACTATAGCGATGATGCGTTCGTGTTTCAATGTGGTGCATGAGAAGTGGAGACGCCACGAGGTGTCGGCGAGGTCGATCTATTAAAGGAGCCAGCCGGAGTCGAAACCGAAGGAAGCAGCCGTGGACCTCATCATGGTTCATGCGCCTCGACATCTCGATTAACGACTACCCCTCCATCTCGATTGTACAGGACTGCTCGAACGAAGCCGCGTCGTGAAGAGCCATACGCCGCGGCGACCACTGCTCCACATGTCGAGACACACCACGATACCCGCGACGATCGATAGGAGGAAGATCTGACGCGCATAACACACCTATCCACGAGTCCAGAATATGCCACGGCTCAAAACGGACGCAGAGTTGCAGGACCAACGGAACAAGGCATGCGTCACCCTTCTTCCCCTCCTCCCCGATCTATTGCGATGCGCTTGCTGACGCTCATATCTCCCCTTTACAGCTCGCCAACTCATACCAGTCCCTACTAAGCGAATTTTCCTCGCCTGACCTCCACACCGTCGGCAACTACACCCTCGGGCGACTCATCGGCAAGGGCAGCTTCGGTAAGGTCTACTTGGCCTCACACAAACTCACCAATGGCTCCAAAGTCGTGCTCAAGAGCGCCAAAAAGGACGACGCGAACCTCGCCCGCGAGATCCACCACCACCGGCAGTTCCTACATCCACATATCGCGAGGCTGTACGAGGTTATAGTCACGGAGAATCTGGTATGGTTAGTGTTGGAGTACTGCCCGGGAGATGAGCTGTACAATCATATCCTGAACCATGGGCGCATGGCGCCGGAAAAGGTGCAAAAGGTTTTCACACAATTGGTCGGCGCTGTGAACTATGTACATGCCAAGGGCTGTGTACATCGGGATCTCAAGCTGGAGAACATACTCCTGGACAAGCACGGGAATGTCAAACTTGTGGACTTTGGCTTTACGCGGGAGTACAAGGGAGCGACGAGCTATCTACAGACATGGTGTGGAACGGTATGCTACAGCGCGCCGGAAATGCTCAAGGGTGAAAAATATGCGGGAGAAAAGGTGGATGTGTGGAGTTTGGGCATCATTCTGTTCGCGCTGCTATGTGGGGAGTTACCCTTCGACGAGGACGATGATTCCGATACCAAGGTCTTGATATTGAAGGAGGATCCAAAATACCCCGACTACATTCCCGAACCTGCAAAGGAACTGCTCAAGAAGTTGCTTTCCAAGCGTCCGCTCTTGAGACCATCACTGGGAGACATCTTACGAGACCCTTGGCTCTCCGATCACGCGCCGCAACAGCAGGAGATTCTCAAGTTACAGCAACCAGCTCCTTTCACCACTCAAATTGAGAAGGATGTCCTACAACGAATGAAAAGTGCTGGCGTGAACATTGACACGGTCATTGAAAATGTTCTGTCCCAGCGATGTGACTCGCTGGCGGGATGGTGGGCATTACTATCGGAGAAGGAAGTGCGAAAGGAGAAGCGGCGAGAGCGGAAACGCAAGGAGCGAGAGGCGGACTCCAAGTCCGTACGCAGGTTAAGTGCTGCTAGTGGCAGGCTGCTTGCAAATCTCGGCGAGATCAATGAGAGCGAAGAGGCTTTCCTACAGCTCTCGCCTCGATCGCGTGGTAGGCGACTAGAGCGTGCGAACGGATCTTCTCTGCACATGCCAGAGCTGCCGAAAGTCACCGAGACGATCTCGCCCAGTCCGGAAAGTGTAATTCGCGGATCCAACAATTCGGGGCGACATGAGAGTCGCTCTCGAAGCAGGCCACCACCGCCTCCGAAAGACTACAGCAGCGCAGTTGCACGAAATAGGCGGACTGCCTCGCGAGGAAGCCAAAGCATGCTCCGGACTGTCGTTACAAACCCAGACTTGCTCAGTCCGTCATACGTACCGCAGCCGCAGCGAAAAAGACCCAAGTTTTATCCTCAACCCTTGAAGGAACACCTGGCCTGGTTCAAGCATCTCTTCAAAGAGGGCAGTTTAAAACGCGCAAAGTCCCCTTCTGAGGGCGAGAAGAACAAGAAAGGCAGTGGCTCTCAGCAAGGCAGTCCTAGCAAGAAGGCCGGACAGGAAAAAGGCGATTTAAGAGACCTACAGCGTCTTTCGGCAGGACCCCCACCACAGATTCGAAGAACTAGTGTCGGGAACCATCTGGACATGCAGAAGATTAAAGTTCCAGCAGCAAGACCTCGGATTAACACGGCTTCCTCCACTGCAAGTGGAGCAAGTACAAGGGTCAAACGCACGAGTTTGAGCCCACATACTCTCACGCCTCATTCATCTTACCGCCGGGCTTCGGGTCTTCGGGGTCGCAAATCCACATCCTCCTCCGTCTCCTCGATACGTAGTACATATCAGACACGAGATCACGGACATCAGCATTCGCATTCCAAAGCTTCGAGCACTTCTAGCGCCTCTGTTGCATCGCCTTCAGGACTTTCCTCCGCCTCGGGGTCCAGGCTTGGGAGATCTCCGCATAATTCCGTAAAGGTCCTCCCTTCAACACCTGTAGGTGGAAGTTTTCCCTCTGGAATCAGATTCTCGAGACGACCGCCTCCTTCGGATATCGGGTCTCTGCCAAAGTTTGGCGAGGGGAGAAGTGCATGGAATGCGGCCCCTCCTCCGGTTTCTCCAGGTCTACCAGTCTTTGCGAAGAGGAAGAGGTCTGTTTTTAAAGGGCCTATGAGCGGTTCACCTAGCGGGTTTGGCAGGACCAGTAGTGCTCCGACCACCAGCAGATCCGCGAGCATTCCGGGGCGACCTAGTGGGGAGATGATGCCTGGCGTGGAAGAGGAGGACGAAGATGAAGCCTATGAGGAAGTTGATCAATTCGGTCCAGACTTACAGATCGTTGTTGATGGCTTCCCTGGGTTGGGCGAAGGGACTACGGATCCGGGTGAGAATACCGCGCCTGTTAGTCCAATGAGCMCTATGATGGAAGGAGATGCCGAATTGCTTGTCGCTGCTGCTGCTGCTCTTGATGCTGGCGTTAAGAACGGTGGGAGCAAGGTACCGTTGACCGCCGAGGCTTTGGCGCAGATGGAGGAGGAAAACGACGCCGAGGAGGTGAGGAAGGGCAAAGAGAAGGAGAAGTGAACGGATACTCGTTTGTCGACTGTAAATGTAATGTTTTTTGTGTTTTGGGCAAGCGAGCGTGCATATAGCGTTCGTCCTCGGTGTACGATACTGGCGTATGGTGAAAATTCTCGACAGGCGTTACAAGCTTGGCCAATGCGACGTTTGAGCGCTCCTCGCAAATTCAAACTGCGCTGAGAGAGTGAATGTCATTGTGAACTCATCTCATCGCTCATCTCATCTCGTTGTATATCTACTTATTCCAATCCCTCGGATCAGGACCCATCAACAACTGGCTCTTCCTCAATCCAGCCTTTTCCATCATCCCAGTAAAAGTTGTCTGCCGCCACGCCGATTCTCTATTCTGAGACGTTGGAGGAGGCCAGAGACTATCGAGCTTCATCCTGCTCTCATCCCTCACCGCCAAATGATTGCTAGTATTGGCATAATTACTCGGTGTATAAGGACTGTTTAGAGTCGCACCAATATGCGGCACAGCGCTGTTCCTACCAGCACGCGTGGGAGTCTGCGTATCGCGGTAGTTATTGCTGTGGGGAAACTGCATCGTGGGTTCTCCGTCGATTGGGGTATTGTTTGTGCTTTCTACGGCTGTTTGCCAGGATGCGACTGTAGGAAGCGGAGGTAGAGTGGGACGTGTTGAGGTTGATGTGCTGGATGAGGCTTGCTGGGGAGTAGCCATGAGAATCTTGATGGTTTCGGTGCTGTCTGTTCGACTCGTTCCATTCTGACGGGAGGAGCTGCTTCGAGAGGCTGCGCTTGTCATGTGGCGACGGAGGGAGTGCATGCTTCTTTGCTTCTTCAAAGCGCGGACTGGACTGATGTGGAAGGAGAGAGTGCCGCGTTTCATGTGTGATGGGATGGGCGACTGAGTTGGCAAGGGTGATTTGACTTGATTCACAAAGGGAGAGTGGGAGAGCCAGTGTTTTCTTGGTGGTGGTTTGTGCATTTGTGGGGTTGCAGTGTAGCTGTGCGGAGATCCGTTATTCGGGTGGTATGGTGGTGATGAATTCAGAAATTCTGTTCGATGGCCCATTGTCATATCCACGGTTGGCTCAGAGATTGAACGCCCGTGTACTGTGGGCCGGCGGGTGGTGAATGGCCCAAGGTCAGTGAGGGTGTCGCGTCCTGGTGAGCGTAGCTTCTCCTGATTGACATACGAAGAGTCCCTGCGCCGCTGCCTTCGTACACAGGCGAAAATGATGCAAGCGGCTAGGAGAGCGCCCAGGGCTATGCCCGGGATGAAGCCAGCGGCGAAAGACTTTCCAGAGAAGGAGTCTGATGGATCTTTTTCGGAGGATGTCTCTTTCGCGTTTGCCGCTTCAGTCGCACCGGGAGTCGCTGATGTGGTTGGGGAAGAAGAAGAAGAAGTCGCCGCAACAGTCGATGGAGAAGGCTTGCTTGAAGCGGCGTCCGTTGCAGTCTGCGCAACGCATACATTCGCGCCGTTGCAAGTGTAGCCCATCGGACAGCAGGCCTTCCCGCACGTCTCAAGCTTTGCCGTAGGGTTTGAATGCAGCTGGCTCCCAGGATTGCTTGAGGCATCTTGAAGTTCCTGGTCGCAGTTGACGGGATTAATAGTTTGGCAGTCCTGGCCGGCAGGACAGCAAAGCGCCGCGGTGATAGTGGAAGTCGTGTTTAAAGATAGACAATTCGTGCCTGTGGRGCAGCAGAAACCGGAGGGAAAGGAAGCACCGCAACTGTCGAGACCAGCTCCGCAAGTGTCGTCTGCTCTTCGGCGCATCGGTATAAGGTCGTCTGACGCCCAGAACGCGGCGTTGTGCTGTAATTCTTCCGGAATAGAGAAAGCGCGTGCAGAAGCAAGGCCGGGCAGATTGATTGCTGCTATCAATAGCACGCATTGCCACACGCTGGAGAGCATGCTGACACGCAAGAGGAAGAAGATTAGAAAAGAAACGAAGGCCGATCAACGGCTGCAAGAAGAATGCAAGAGAAGAGAGTCGCGAACGCGTTCAGATCAAGACCGGGCGAGAGCTTGACAAAAGAAAGACGGAACAGCTCGACGCGGTCTTACCGTGGTGTTGGAAAAAAAAATGCAGTGGAAGATGGTGCTAGCATCACGTCGAGCCAGGCGGAGACTATTCATGGGTCCTTACGAGCGCATGGACTTCTACAGACTCCCGATATGGAGGTCATCGGTAGCACCAGCGGCAGGTGGRAAGAAATGTCTGGCGAGAGAGATGGAGTGGGCGCTTACGATATGAAACGATGTTTCGAAGCGCGTGGAGTCGAAGATGGATGACTGGACGTGAAGTCTTACGGTTGATCCCGGCGACGCTAGTGTGGATGAACGGGCATCGTCCAGAATCGCAACTCTCTTGATGCATTTGCATCAGCCATAGCCATGGTCACGAGAACGTTACTACGGCGGCCATTGAGCGCTCTCGCCTCCCAAAGATGGACCTGTGCATCATGTGTATGTCCAGTCTTGCCAAGGGCATCACTTGATGAAACCSCTCTCACATATCGCAGACCAAATCCTCGCCATTCCAGCGCAATCAGCAGCGCAACATCCATTACGTACCCACGCTCGCCTACGATGAAAGCTTTCGGGAAAACGGTGTGCCTGGTCTATTCTCAATCCAAGGCTACTCGCTAGCATGGACGCAATATCAAGCAATGATCGTCTCGAAGCTCAACGAGCTGGTAGCAGGGGAAGTGATTGAAAACGCCGACGTCAAAACCCTCACGCACCAGTTCGCACGCGATCCGATGAACGCCAGCATCTTCAACTATGCCAGCATGGCGCACAACAACCACCTCTTCTTCCAGACTCTCTCTTCAGCACCCGCGAATCTCGACAAAGTGCCCCAGTTGAAGGACTCACTCATCAAAGCCTTTGGCAGCATCGATACGCTCAAGATGACCATGGTTGACACTGCGGCCGCCATGTTCGGTCCGGGATTTGTTTGGTTGGTATACGCAAAGGAGCCCAGCGGCGGCATCGGCACCCGACTAGGCGGACGGAGAGGAAGCTGGAAGATCCTCAATACCTACCTCGCGGGAACACCATACCCAGAAGCCGGCTTTCGCCAGCAGGGGCTTGATATGAACAATGCGAATACGGATTCATACCAGGCGTATTTGCAATCGCAACACCTGCAGCCCACAAATAGCGCGGGTTCGTTTGGGCCCTACAGTCAGATTGGACGGGAGCGGGCGAAGTTGCCACCGGGTGGAACGAGCTTGATGCCCGTGCTCTGTGTCAACACGTGGGAGCATGCATACATCTTTGACTATGGGTTATTGGGAAAGAGGAAGTACTTGAGTGATTGGTTCGACTGCGTGGACTGGGGTGTTGTGGAGCAGAACACGCCCCGAGAAGCAAAGCAGCTGGAATTCCAGAAGATGTAAAGGAGCGAAGAACGCTCGGTAGCGTCCCCATACTGGAAGATGTGATGAACGTGCTTCATCCTTTTGCGACTTCGTCTTCAGGGGCGGGCTTGGCCGTGACATGGAGAGACGTCAAAAGTTGACCCATGGTGTAAATATTTGTCTCGCATCGCCACACACCTGTATGATAGCTTTGTATCCATGGAAATCTACGTTCATCAGCTCAATTAGAGCCGTTCAAGCATTGTCATTTCGTCGTTGAGAGGTGGTCTCTCATAATATACATCCGAATCCGCCACTTAGATCTCCTTCATCATGTTCCAAATTCCATCATAAACCTTTCGAAACAAGATTCGTCGCCCCGAACCTGCCAGTCTCGTTCAAACGCCAACAACTGTGTCGAACACATGACTTCATTGTGCTTCCCTTCAACCACGCTCGTCCGTGGCATATTTGATGTTGCCTCCCTCGGCCTTTCTACGTTTCGTTGTTCTCGCAATGCGGCCCGGGGAACCCAATCCATACATACATCCTGTCGAAGTCGACCATAAAATTAGACGCACGACAGTCCCGCAATAATGGTCGCAACATCTCTTTCGCATTCCAGATGCGGATAGTATCAATTTGCAAGTCCTTCAATCTTACTAATCCATGTAGAAGTCGCCTTTGAGGATCCTCTCCTGGAAATGGTCCGGTCGGACTTGTTCTTTGGGCTTCGGCATCTCACGGGCTGGTGGCTCCATCACAGCAACACTCTTGGCGCGGTCACGCTGGTTGGGAGCAAGTCCGAAAGAAGGTTGGGTGCCTCCAGCAATGGAAGCTGTCCGCTCTGCACGGGTGCGGAAGTTCTCAGACCAGTTGAATCCTTCTGGATTGCCTATCAAAGGTGACATGTCAGCATACATATTAAAGATGTGTCTAATCGGCAAGTGATGATGACAAAACAAGAATATGGGATATTCTCAGCAAAGACAAACCTCGACCCTTGGCATCTCGGGAAGAGATTGTCCCGTTTGGTGCTTTTGATTTTACTGTGCCGTTGGAAGAATCGGCGACGACAGTAGATGGTTTACTAGTACCATTCTGTCCAGGACTTGTTCCTCCAGTCCTCACATCCCTCAGCGCCTTGGCGCCGAAACTCATGCGTCTTCCGAAAGGTGTCGTCTGGGACGCACCCGGCTCGTCCTCAATGGCAGACTCGTCGATGGCATCGCTGTTGCCTGAGACATAGCTATCACGGCGGTTGTGGTATGAGCCGAATGGCGAAGTCTGGTTGGGCGAGCCAGACAGTCCGAGTGTCGTCAGCGATAGTCGCCTTCTCTGAGCCTGAGCGGCAGCACTGGTGATGGGACCTGGGTATGGCTGTTGAGGGCTGTTGTTGTTGGCAGCGGCGGGCTGGGAATCGCTGGGGGAACGGGAGACGGAGCCGCGGTGGGTGCCGAACAGGTTGGCAAAGGTCTCGCCTGCAAAAGATGAACGACGAGCGTGGCGCGGTGAGGATGTGCTGGTGGTGTTGGAATCGTCGGCCATTGTGTCGTTGATGTCAGCGGTGAGTGTTGTTCTGCGGCCGCGAGATGGTGTGTATTTCTGGAACTGGAGATGGCACAATAACCCGTGACAGTTCAGCCGGGATGCTCGCAGCTCTTGCACAATAATAATCAGGCGACTTGTAATCCGGTATCGCGTTCCTCAGGGTACGGTAAGCTCTAGAACGCAAGGGAGATTGATTTGCAGGGTCGTCGAGATCGTGATGTCAACGCTCGATCGAGAGCTTATATCGTAATAGCTGTCGGTGGGATGGACTTCGCGTTCGTGGACTGGCGGTGCTAGGTTACAATGAAAGATGGATGATGATGATGATCGTTATCAAGAGCAGGTCGTGGAGTTTACAACTTAGAAAGGCAAGACACGGAAAGGTACCTACCGCTTCTTAAAGGAAACGAAACCTTAAAAGCTCCCGTCATTCACATGCAAGGTTTCCCCGCATTCTCATGTATCACCACCAATCAGCCCGAAGATCTCGCGTAGCTCTTCTTTGTATCCATCTTCATCAAAGAACGCTATCCACTAGAACTAAGGTGCTGATGACATCGCCAATAGGTCACGTATCTGCACATGGGCTGATTGCTGCGATAGGGGTTCGTCCATCACAGCATTGAGAATCCGCAGCATGGGACAAGCATTGGGAGCTGCAGGACGAGAACAGCTTCTCCCGATGCTTACCAGTCAGAAGATAACAAAATGTGGAACTGGAACTGTGGAGAGCTRGACAACCACCCCTGGGGCGAACCGAGCCGGTCCTTTATTTTGACTGCACACCAGCCAATGCATAATCTACCGGATCTGCCAGTCGATCTCCTGATGGTGTGTTATGCAGCAGGGATCAAAAGTTGCCGGACTGGTACCCACTCTGATGCTTTCGAATTCGCATATGCAGATGTCTCGACACTGATAATGCTATCAGGATCCTTAGCACCAAAAGCTGCGAGAGTGGTAGAACACGTCTCGGCCGAATATGGTCACCCCATGAGAAGATCTATCGTGCCACTACGTCTCAATTGTCTGGGCTGAGCGAGTTCTCCACTGCTTGGTAGAGCAGTACGTTTCCGATATACCAATGCACTACGACCCACTGTAGGTTTGGAGCGTCAACATGCCTGTTCCCCGAGAGTGTTACGCAGCCTGCATACGAAGGTCGTGACACGGTCGAAGGTCTTGCGTCATGGCAACATTTCCAGAACATCTAGCTGCTTCCCAGCACCCACACTGAGAGGCAATCAGCGAACGTCATTGTCAGGAGTAAGACCACAGTTGGAGAAGGCGGGAAGGCCATCTCTCCTCCAATTTTCTGCTCTAGCTGCCATAACGTGTATACAGCCCCAGTCGTGCATACGGGAATCTGAGCGGGAAGTCCGATCCAATCCGCGTCAATTTTCGACAGAATTGAGTGCGCATATTGGATGAAAACCTCCCTGTCTCTTTAACGTGATTCCTGTATGCGGGCCACACTCTGTACTATCACCGTCACGGGATATACTTTATGTATGAAGACTGAACGACACTAACGCTGCCAAGGCAAGAGAAACAAAAAGAAACGAAAGTATATGGATATAGATATTTGATCAACCTACGGTATCAACCACGAAAGATGTTCTGCACGCGCATACCTACTCTAGCGAACGGGTTCGGCTCATCCCTGATATCCTGGCGTCTCTGCCGACGACGAGATTCTTCCTCCGAAGCTCTAAAAGCAACGTAGTTGATCAAGCGATTGATATCACCGGATGGAGTCTCAGCTCCTTGATCTTCAACGAAGGTGCTGGAACGCTGTGTTCCAACAGCCCGCAGCAGCCCAAGCCGTACGTCACTGTTGAGCAGCCAAGTCAGAATCATGGCGTCCTCGGATGAACCATTTCTGGCTTCGATAGATCTGTACAAGACGTCAATTACGATTCGCCACTCACCGACTTGCCCGGCGCTGTAAGGCCTGCCAGCAGCGCTGGCGTATGCTCGAATCAAGTTTCCCATGGCGATGATGTCGGTACCCAAGCGACGCTTATTGACGAAAGCTGGTCCGACGACATCATTCTGCTCGTACAACCAGTGATTTGCAGCAGCAGTTGCTCGCTGGATGCTAGAAGTGTCCCAGCTGATGTCATCGCTGAAGATGTCGAACTGGCCTGTCGTCAATCCGGAATTTGCTAATGCCCGAGAGACGGTGAGTGTCTGCGCAGCGGTTAGTGGTTCGCGACGGATAGCCACGGGGCCTCTAGGGCCTGGCACGGTCCGTGTGAAGCATTCCTCTCTGCAAAAGGGGCAGGTGTTTCGAACAGGGAGGCTGAGCCATTCGACGATGCATTCTTTGCAGAAGATGTGCTTGCAGGGAAGTGCCACAGGCTCCTTGAATGGATCAGTACAGATGCTGCAGCCTTCAGCAGGGATGTCAGAGGTATTGGTGACCGGCGCCAGKCCGGTTGCGAGGAACTCAGTGCGGGAAAGCATGTCGCTGAAAATGAAAACTTGTGTGTGAGACTTACCTAGCTACCGGAGCTGGAAAGACGAATGTGGATGGAAAGGAAGGCTTGAGGCCCAGCGGACCATGTGCTGTTATTATAGAGGAAGGTGAYAATGTGCTTTGTGTAAGTTACATTCTTTGTGGCAATGCTATTCTTGGTGAGTTTTAGACAACGACAATGAAAGAGGCAAAGGAAACAAAAAGACAACGTCCTTGTGCTAATTCACGTCAGGTTGTCTTCAAGCTCGATGCATACCTCAAGCGGAGTCGCCAAGTATGCAGCGCTCAAGACATGGCATCCCAACCCCTTTACAATCAGCCGAGATAGAAGCACAAGACATGTAAGACGAGCCAACGCTCTATCAGTCACTCGCCGTTAAAGAGTCCGGCGAAGCTCGAGACTCAGACGAGCGATCCTGCTCCATCCTTTTTCTCTTCCTCGGCGCCATCGGCGTAGCCGCGCGGCTCTGCAGCATCATCACATCGATCGAGAACTCCGAGAACCTCGCAAACACATTCTTCAACCGGTCTTTGCTCAGCGCTGCAAGCTGCTGGGTAGCCAATCCCGCCCAAGCCTCCACCAGCGATCTCTGAAGCTCTATGACCGCTGGCTGCTGATCCTGTCTCTCATACAATATTGGCACGAGATCAAGAAGCTCGCTCATATCTTCTTTGCCAGCAAGAGTGCCGAGGTAGGCATCGAACTTTGCCTTTGCCCTGCCCATCAAGCGAGGAACAATCCACTGCTGAGCCAATCGATACACGCCGATATGGATCTCGGCATCGCTCATCGTGGCATCGGCCGCAGGCGGGTTGGAATACATTTCGCGAGGGCCATAGTCGAATTTATAGACAAAGTCCAAGAAGCGTTCTGCAGCGAAAAGTTCCGTTTGATCCCAGTGTAATCTCTGAAGATTGTCGCCTGTCTTCTGCGGTGGCAGATACTTCCTGAAATAGCCGGAGTGAAGGCGCAGGATGTCCACGGTGGTTTTGGAACTCATCCCTTTGCAATGGACTATCAAATTGTAGTCATCTTCATTCTGAAGTCTGATATCTATTAGATGAGCATAGCGTGCGTTGAGAATACTTGACAGACTTTCGGATGTCCTTCCTGAGCGTGACTCTTTTTGGTACAACGTCAGGGGTCAAACTGCTTGTAGGCTCTGTTGCCGTGTCATTGAAAGAGGCATCGAGATCCTCTGTGGTCTTGTTTTGGTGGAGTTCTAGAGAGGCAGCGTGTTCCTCTGCGGCCTTGTTCAGCTTGGATAGTGCGTCTTGCAGCATAGATATGACTCTTGCGATGGGACGACCTTGTGACTGCGACTGCGTAAGCGGTGGACTGACGATGCCCGTGACATCCATCTCGCCGGCCATGGCTTAATCAAGGATAGAAATGGTCATCTACCAGCCCTAGGCTGCCCAGTACTTRTACTCGCAGCAGCTTCTTCGCGCGGTCACTCGCTATGCCCACCTGTTTCACATCTTTAATTCAGTCCAACAGTTTTCACAGACATATTCTCTGAGACGTCCGCGCAACAATCAGAACGGAGAAGTTCCATTAGTATCTCCAACCATCGCTCTATCGTAATAAAATAGAGGTATGTCTCAGTGCACAKGGGGACCTGTCGTATGTCTCTGTATCCTTTGTGCAAAATAATGCCATATCCGCAAACGCCTCGCTCTTTTCCCTTCATCCACAAACTGATTAAAAGTTCCTCGAGGGCTCCTGACCGTTCGGCCTATAGTTGAGATACGTATCCGCAGCATCCGGTTGTCCACCACCCCCGCTGTATACAGGTCCGCCCATCATATTGCCATTTGCTTGCGTTTGCATAGCCATCTCATCATCCTGCGCTCGAATCTTCGGGACTTCGTGTGGGTGTACGAACCGATCTTCGTAGGAACGAGTCTTGGTCGCAGGTAGAAAGTCGATAATGTAGCTCCAGACGTAGAAGATGTAGACGAGGGAGATGATCCATTCGATGTACGCGGCGGGATTGTACATATCATATAATTGCAGGACTCCAAAGGCAATGACGAGAGCTATCTCGAGGAAGATGAATCCCAGCTTGATCCAGAAGGATATGGCGAGGATGCGGTAGTCGCGGTAGTGGATTCCAAGTCGTTGGTATTCGGCGCAGATGAAGATTGCTGAGATGATATACCCGGCACTATTGGAAGGCATTAGTGATTGATCGACTTCGAGCGATCGGCATGGACTCACATGAACACCACCAGCATTGCCCTATGAGTCTTGGGGTGTCGTCGAGTGTCGAAGATGGTAAGCAGGATCAGACCTGCAGCACCGACAATAGCGAATATTGTTGCAAACACACTCAGAATCTTCTCGGTCCGGTTGTAATTCTTCGTGAGTCGTCCTTTGTGCCGTAGCCAGCGTTCCGAGACAAAGGCCAGATCAAACACCACCACCGCCACAGCACTCCCAGCAATGAACAGCGGCTTACCCCATGATGTAGCTCCAACATCTGAGATGAATGCAACTTGCTGGTTGGGTTCCATTTCGGGGTAATGCGGGCTACCAATAGCCACCTGGAATAAGACGCATCAGTACCGGGAGAAGAGATTTGGGAGGTGTTCATGCGCCGTCACTCACCCATCTTCCAAGCATTGCCAGAAGCGTTCCTGTGCGACACTGTCAGAAGCCAATTTCTCCACATCTCATGCGCATCGCATCGCGACACCGTTTTCACACACCTAACCACGTACATCCTGCAAACAGAGGCAGGAACCAGTAACTGAGCCCAAACATCCTCGCAGTTCCGCTGTTTCGGGGGCCGTTGCTGTTCTTGAAATCTCGAATATGTCCCGAGAAAGAGACCAGCCACCACAGCGCCGCGTCGTAGCAATTAAGAAGTGAATGGGCGCAACGAGAGGACAGTCCTCACGAGCAAACACGGGCGGCAGAGAAGCGAACAAGGGCAGTGGTAAACAGAAACCAACGCCAGATCTGCTGGAGGACGGGTTGGCTCATACCTTAAGGTTTGATTGAAACCTTGAATCCAGATGACGTCCTCATGGGCGATTGCCGCTGTCCTCCGGGCTGCTGATGACAACGACTAATGGAGAAAGAGTGGGCGAACCTGTGTTCTGCTGACGCAACGGTCGTGGCTCATCTCGTTGCTTGCGTCTGTACATTTCTTGGGTGAGATGATGGTGCGACTTCAAGTGAGGAATTGGAGAATGGAAAGCGACTGTTTCTCGTCTCTCGAAAAGCTGGCCTCCGAGTGGACACCGTGCCACCTTTTAATTTCCTTTGCGACCACGCTTGACGATGGAAATCTTGCTTCGCGTCGCGCGACTCCAGAAGCCCTGTAACGTTAATGACTAGAACGAATGCGGGCAGTGTGTAGAGCAAGAAATACAACATGAATGGTAAATAGGAAGGTCCGAAGGAGGAACATGCATTTGTTCCCCCGCTGCAGATCATACTCAGTGCTCGTTTCCCGCCATCAGCATCAGCATTTCTCATTCTCATAGCGCAATTCAGCGCGTGTTCATACTCGTCGCTTCAGCACCTGCTGAAGCCCCAATTAACGCCGCCCGCTATGCCCGAGAACCCAAACCTCATACATCAGTTCCCTCTCGCTGGCTCAATGCTCCTTCGATAAATACAACATTTCCAATTCAAACAAGAATCGCTTTTCCTCAGTATTTTGATCGTCTCCCGCTGCGTTCCTTCCGAGCGCGGTCGTTATGCTCTTCGAACACGCTCTCGTCCTCTTCCGGAAGAGCCTCGGGCAGTGGTGTCTTGCGTTCGCGCTGTCTGTGGCGATGGCGGCGATTGACACTAATCTGGCTGGCACTGTCATCGGGCGCTAGACTGGCGGTATCGCCTAGCCCGTCGTCCTCTTCTTCCTCAAAGTCTGTCATGCCACTCGCAGGCGTGTCTAGTCGCACGCCAACGGGATCTCCGTATCCGCGACGAAGCTGAGCCTGGGCAGATAGACCAGCGGATCGTTCACGGAGCATTTGGCGAACCAACTCTGCTCTTCCATGAAGAATCTCAAATGCATCTTCCAGACGTTCCATGTCCAGGAATAGATTGCGCTCCAACTCAGCAGCGACTGCAATCTCGGTATCCTCATCGAGCTGGACTGGTGCGGGTGGAGCAACACCCATACCATTAGGGCCAGGCGTTGGACCTCGAGTTRGGAACATTGACGGCATTTGTATTGCATCCGGGCTGAAAGGGGTGGTGTTGCGTGAGGGTATGGCACTGAGTCCACTGAATGGCGTCCCATTCCGCGAGTACGGCGTGGCATTCGCTGCTCTGGATGGCACCCGCGACGAAGCTTGCGACGCAAACGCAGAGACAGAGGGAGGGAACRCCGCTTCTGCGCCGGACCACAGGAAGCCATCAAACCTTCCCGAGATGAGTATGTCCCACTCACCCTCATTGACTTCTGCAAGCGTTGCGAGCATGCCGTGTAAATGAGGATTGTTAAGAAGATACATGGCGCTCTCGCAATCTCGTGGTGGTCTATCCAGTCGATACAGCCGTTGAAGAGCATTCTTCGCCCTCCTGAGCGCGTTGGAGGACGTGGAGGRACGTTCAGCGGGTGTCGGCGCCCGGGCCTCCGAGACGAAATTCTGTCCATGCATCAGGGCTATGAAGAGGTTCCGTTGTTGCATTGTCAATTTGGTCATCATGGCGAACATTAGAGTATCCTCGTCAGCCTCCTCTGGTGGACTCTCGGGGACGTCGGGCTGCTGCGACAGCCAGCTTTGCACCGCTCGCTTTGTCTTCTGGTTCTGTCGGATGTRGTGGTCCCGATACTCGTCGGGAACATCAATGTCGAGTTTCTGCATGGGGGCTGATGTGGCGCCCGAAATCCCAAGTCCACTATCATCGGGCTGAATCGAAAAAGGAGGCCACTGTGGTAGCTCACGGCGTCCAGCCACAAACTCCAAAATCTCACCCCAGCTCACACCGCTGTCCTCTTCATCGGAAAGGCTCGGCTGTGGGACCGTCTTACAAACGACACAGTCGCAGCGCTGAGACGAGATGTCGCGAGCAAAGACTTGCGATAGCTTATCGAGCAGTCGACGTGCCACAGACTTGTATCCAGTGGCGACCGCCAGGGACCCATTGTTGCGGATGACCTGCAGATAATCGTCCAATCGTTTGTGAATTCCGCCGAACACCTTTGCATACTCCTCCATGGGTGCAGCCTGACTGAGTGCTGGAGACTGATAGACATTGTACTGCTGAACCGGAACCGAAGGACCAGTCTGCACGAGCCTCTTCGGGACTGGATACGACAACCCGCCGTGCTTGAGGAGGTAGTCAACCCTGGGAGCTTCTTTAGGTCCAGCAATAGGTGGCGGAGGCGGTGGTGGAGGCATGGGCATCTGCTTGGCTGTCAAGGGAGTTGCAAAGGACCTTGCCGTGTGAGTATTGGCCATGCCGACATCAATCACTGGAGTAGCTCTCATGTGAGGTGCAAAATCGGGATCTTGGGTAGGCGTTCTCGGTTGCGAGTGATCTCCATTTGTGGGGAGGTATTCGTTCTTTGTTGCAATGTGATGTGGCCTGCGGCTGGGTTTCCGATCGGGAGCGATCGATGTGGCGTCCGAGTCGGTGGTGTCCTCGGTAAGAGTTGAGGCCGGTTGAGACGCAGTGTGCGAGGTAGTTGATGCTGTACGGCGATAACTGCTGTTCGGTGTTGACTTGCGCTCGTCTTCTGGGAAGGTTCCAGGCATGCCTGAGATCTCTGACCCAACGAACCGTGCCTCCTTGTGAAGACTAGCAGCCGACTTTTCACTCTTTACGCCTTTGCTCCTCGATCCACTGTCTACACTCCTTCGTCCTGTGTCCGCCTTGACCTTTACGTCTGCTTCATCACGCATGCTCCTCCCACTGCCTGAACGGTTGATATCCGGATCCTCGGCGGTGAGCGGTGGACTGGGCGGAGCCCGACTCGGGGCGGCAGCAGCAGCATTGACTGACTGAGAGGAGTTTCTCCTCTTCGTCTCCTCATCCCCTCCCTCTGCTCCATCTGGGCCATGTTCTCTAACAGATTCCCTGCTGTGTGCCTTGCTGAAACTGGGGTATGAAGAGGTCACACGACGGTCCATTTCCGGGAGAGGATATTTGGGGGATAGTCTCTTTTCTTTGGTGGGCGTCCGGGCAGACGCCCTATCCGAGCTCGACACTGGTCGGGGAGAGTCACGGTCGCGGTCCCGCTCCCTGCTGCCTGCCCGCTTAGGCAGAGGAAGCTTGGTGGAGCTCGAAGACTTGTGCGATCGTTGTTTTTCGCGGGGCGTTGTGGTTGAGTCGCGCTCACGGTCGAGGTCCTTTTTGCGACGGCGGGGTTTGTCATCGTCCTTGGGAGAGGGCATATCGGAACATGGAGGAAGAGCTGGATCGTAAGGGTTGGGATAGTCGAGCGACGGCATCGTGCTCTATCTGTCTGTACCCTAGTCTGGCGGCTAGAATCCTTGGACCAATCATCAACGCTGGCAGCAATTCGCCGAGTGGACGCAGCAGTGAGCGGTGGAAGGATAAGTGGGTCGCAGTCCACGCGTGTGAGATCGCATGTGATGTCGCGGGCGACTCGAACAGCGCACGAAATAAAATATCATGACGTGGATTGGTTGGAGGAAGATGTCGAGGCTGTGTTGATGTGAGAGGGTCCGTCCCGCCCAAACTATCCGCTATTCTTGTAGGCAGGTTTACCTAGTATCTTGGGTCCTTAACTTGGAACAGGTAATTTCACTCCAACGCGCAGCTGGTCAGTTTGGACAGAGTCGGTGAGCATGGGAAGGCGGTATGTTATGGRGAAATTCAGCATGGCATATGGTATGGTATATGAATGTGATGGCTCTAACGTCCTACACAAATAGCTCACCTTCGCTCCCTCTTACCACAGAACAACAGCATGACAATACCTTGCGAGTGCTAACCTCCAACTCCGGTAGACATGCTTTGCCCATGCTCAAGCCAGGTAGATTCACATCGTTCGTCAATCCCTTGGGCGACACGCCTCGCGTCGTTGGGCTCCTGGAATGCAACCTTTCCATCTCTTGAAGCATCCCATTCCTTCAGTTTGCACTTCCATTTCCTCGCAAGATGCTGCTACGATGCCAGCCAATCCAAAGACCATCGGTCTCTGTATATTTCTCTTCCTCGCCTCTGCCCTCATAACTCTCTCCTTCAGGAACGCAGGCCACAGCAGCCAATGGCTTCCACGACACCGCAAGGGAAATGGGGGAACCAGCTTACAGAAGCCGCTCAAAACTCACCAAGTCGCCTTTGCAACATTTCTCGCCGGTAGCGTTGGTCGAAAGGAAACAGACGAAGAGTCCGCTGCCATCAACGACTCAGACGATGGCTACTTCCTCGGCACCCGCGTCCTGGCCTATCAACTCCTCCACTCCAAGACGGCCGGCACCAACAACAGCATTCCATTCCTGGTCATCTGTACGAAGGATGTCTCCAAACGTAAGAGGGACCGTCTCAAGGCCGATGGAGCGACAGTCATCCTCATCGAAAGGCTCGATCCTGCATTAATGGTCTCCCACGAACCACGATGGGCGGACGTCATGTCCAAACTGCGTCTCTTCCAATTGATCGAATACAGCAAGATCTGCTTCATCGACGCCGACACTCTTGTCACAGCTCCTCTTGACGGCGTCTTCTTTGACGAAGCAACCCTCACCCAAGCCACCCTCCCTCATCCAGACCAAATCAAAGAAGACGAAGCACCTCTACCACGAACCTACATGTTCACCACCCATGCTGATTACTGGGGCTACGATCACGCCTACCCACCCCCCACAGACATGAACTACCTCAACTGCGGCTTCTTCGTCTTCACTCCGAGCCTCGTCCTCTTCAACTATTACGTCTCCCTCCTCGCCCTCCCCGGCCGCTTCGACCCTCACATGCCGGAACAGAATCTCCTCAACTACGCGCACCGCCGTGAAGGAAACATGCCCTGGAAGCCTCTATGGTACGGATGGAATGTGAATTGGCCGACAGCAAAGGACTGGCGCGGTGGAGCGAGGAGTTTCCACGCAAAGTACTGGGACGGAGACCCTTCTCACGATCCGGTTTTGAAAGCCATCTGGAAGGAACAGAGAGCGGAGATGGAAGGGTACCACAGAGGACGAGAAACAGCTTTGATGTACCCTTCGGGTAGGAATTGAGTGTGCTTCCAATTGGCTAGTCCTTCCGGGATTGCCTGCATTCAAAGGGACATGTCGTTTTTTTTCGCTCGCCGGGTAGCTCTGGAACATGTACCACGATTTAGAAAGAGAATCTCCCGCATCGCAGCATGCCGGGAAATATGTGTCGGACTTTTACCAGACAATGTTGTTTCCAGCCGGGGATGTGTTTATGGTGACGTGGTTTCTCGTGAGTGTGAGGGTTGAATGCCAGCCCGTGGTAAGTCATTGATGCGCGACGTCGTCGTTCTCACTTGGTCGACGATGCGCGTGGATGCATGCTGCTGCGAGGGCTCTCTTCGTCGACGGTCGTTATCGATTGGTAAGAGTACGCACAGGCAAATGGAAGCTGCTCGAAACGAACAACGTTGTCTTTCCGCACGTCCCAATATTGATGAAGAAGCGAAGGAAGGATCAAATATAATGTGCAATCAGCAATGACATTTCGTCTATAATACATAGTTACAATCCGTTCAACCACTAACACTGCTCTTCTCGACCAGCGCTTGAGCCATAATGTGAAGGAGTCGAGATGCAAGAAGCAGCCCTCGTCGAAGCACGAGGCAAGCAAATGCATCATCATCGGTAAAACCCACAATCCGAAAACACCCTCATGCCACATTTCCTCCAATAGAAAGGTATTAATTGTAGACAGCGAAGGTAGAATGGCCACGAAGGGTAGGGCCGTGGTAATCGTGCTGTGTTACCGGCCCGATATGTGAAGTGAAGGGTGGAGGTGGACGATCCTGTTGAAGAGGATGCATCATCCAACCCCATCCCGTTTTTTTGTTTGTGAGGTTTTATCCCCGGCATGACGACGTAAAAGTTCGTATCGAGATGTTCCTCCCGCTATGGTGAAATCATGGTATCATGGACCACCCACGCAAAAGCCGCAGCAGGTAAAGATGGACCGTAAGGAAAGGTAGAGTGCTTTTACTCCTCACGCTTCCTCTTCTTCGCTGGCTTGCGGTCATCGTCGAAGTCATTGTCGGAGTAGCTGGCGTTGCTTGAGCTGGATCCAGACACTTGAGCGGTGACGTCGAAGAGCATGGCACCAAGTTCGCCAGCGTCGGGACTGAGACGGTGTTGCTGTGGCATTTGTTGCGACAACTGGGGCGGGTATGGCTGTGTCTGCGACTGAGGCGGTGGGTATGGCTGCTGCTCTTGCTTGGGACGGAGGATGGTACCTGCCTCACCGCTGTTGACAGATTCGATTGGTGGCGGCATGGCCGCGTCGCCAGGCTGCAAAACACCCATAACCATAGTGCCAGCACCGTGGGTGCGCTGATGCTGAGAGAGATTGTCGGAGCGAGAGAACTTCTTGCCGCAGTCGGTGCACTCGAAGGGCTTGTCGTGCGTGTGAAGGGAGCGGTAGTGACGCTTGAGGTGTTCCTGCCGACGGAAACGACGACTGCATAGGGTGCACACGAAAGTCTTGGAGGGATCGTCAGTCAAGGACTGCTTGCGACCGCGACGCGAGACGGCGCCGCTCGGAGCGGGAGTTGCGGCAGCGGACTCGCTAGCGTCGGCGTCAGCGTCGGAGTTGGAGCTGTGCGCGGTGGATGCCGGCGCGTTCGAGGCGTGTTGCTGTTGGTTGTTGGCTTCCGAGGCGTCGTAGGACAGCTCCCCCTTTTTCGATGAGCCCCTGCGCTTGGATTTGGTCTGCGCGGACTCGGAGGCGTCGGGCCCGGAGAAGTCGGACATGGGAGGCGAGTATCCGCGGGCAGCGGCAACCATTTCGTCCTCGTCGCTGAAACTTTCTTCGCTGAAGAATCCGTCGTCTTCGACAAATCCGTGTTGGAGGTCGAGACGTTGTCGCTTCGCTCCGTTGAAGTGGACTTCAGGAGCTGATGAGTAAGCATTTGGACCCCCGGAAAAATCGTCAACATCGTCCAATTCGAAAAATGGCTCGAATGTGGGGTATCCAACCAATTCAGCAGGCTGAACAATGTGCACATGCGCCTCTTGCTTGACCGGAGCCTTGTGTTCGTRCTGCCCGCTGCAGTGATGTGTGTTGGCGTGGAATTCCGAGCTGCCAATGCTCAGATTGCGGGGATCGCAAACTTCCTGATCAGAAGCGGCGGAGCGGGGCACGGGAGATGGCGATGGCGAAATATGTGTCGAGTTGTGACGAGTGTCAAACCCATATGTGCTATCACTGGCCGCTGAGATGGAGTTATTGTGCAGGAAGACGGGGGTCATTGGAGGTGAACCGGGACGTGTCCAGTCTCCACCAGCAAGAACCTCTTGAAGGACCTCCTCTTCACAGCCCTGCTTCACTGCGGGATACTGGATCATGTGCTGTTTAGGGATGTAAAGTCCACTGGCGGGTGCGTGGAATTCCACGCTCGAAGGTGGCGTCGATGCAGAGCTGAAAGACCCCGAAGCAGAGAGCGTGGGTGTTCCGGGATAGTGCTGATGGAACTCGGTTTCGATTGGCAAGAGTTGCAAATCTTGCTGCTGGGCATAGTAGACCGGCTTAAGCTGTTGGCGAGGGGAGGCATCTGGTGTGAGTATCGCCGGTGGTAATGAATACATGGGCTGTGGCTGCGGGTGGTGGACAAAGTGCGAGCCAGCGGAATGTGGTCTGTATGCGGGGTGTTGGAATTGCATCATATGCTCCGGGCTCGATGCGAGTACAGCCATGGGGAGTCCGTGGGGCTGCTGGTGGGCCATGAACTGTGAGTGGCCGTGCATCTGTCGGTTGTCATGGGCGGGCTCTGGATTATAGTAGAAAAATGGAGATGGCTGCGAAGCGTACTCCATTGTTGCCGTGTGTGTTGGTGCTGAGTGATGGTTAGTGTACTGGAAGCTTGACGAACGGACMGCATCGCAACCATAGGGATGTCGACTGACCAAATATCGATGGATGATTGGGTGATTCAGGTTGTTCGAAACATGCACACAGGTTTCGTCGAGTCAGATTAGATGGCGTTAATGGTGGTGGTAAGGTTGTAGACGCTGTACAGGATCCAGATATAGCCGAGATCGAGAGAGTCCCAAGGAATGACTGTTTGAGACCAGGTGTGTTGTTGTTGGTGGAAGTATGGATGTTTTTCGTGGTGGTATGGTCGTGCAAGCAGTAGTGTAGCAAAGCCGTTCCAAAGGAGTGACGGGGTATCGAAGCCTCTTTTGCACAAAAGCACAGCGTGTGGGAGGAATCGCACCGTAAGGGAACAAACGTAAGGGAAGAAAGATGACGACTGTCAGTGGAGAGACGATGAAAGAGAACGATGCGGTTTAAGATAAACCCTGGATCCAGGCGAACGCACGAATAGGTTGGGGACGAGGCCGATAAAGACAGATCGGCGACGCGGCGGCGAGAGTAGCACGGCTCGAAAGCGTTAGCCAGGCACATAAACTAGTCGTGCGGTAGTGCCAACGCGATTCGAGCTGGCTCATGGGGGACGTCGGGACGGGGATGAGGGACCCATGGCGCTCTGACCGGAGAGTGGTCTCAGGACTCGACCAGTCCCGGTCCACCACGCCTGCAAGCATGCTGTTGCTGCTGCACGCTACTGCTGCGTGAATGGCGCATTCATTGGCTCGTCTGCCCACACACGCGAGAGTGCTCTGCCAGAAGTCGGCGCCGACCGTGTGCTGCGCCTCAGAGCTCGCGTTCGTCCTGCAGCATCGCTGTCCTCGTCCATATCACTGCGCGCAGGTACCGTGGACCGCCCGCTGTGACAGACACACTGCGGCATGATAGCGATCATCCCGGGCAGAAGAAAAATCATCTGCCCGGACACGGCGCGGCTGCACTGCTGCCCTTCCACGACAGCGTCCACCATCGCCACTCTATGTTTGCAGTGCAGTCGGAGTCAGCGGGTTGCAGTGCAAACAACGCTCGCTGGCCCTGTGGTTGGTCGCTCGCGGCCATCCGGCGTTGCGCGCTGCGAATGTGACAGCTCTGCTATTCGATCGCCCGTCTCAGGTCACGGCCACTCTCGTCAACGTGCGTCTCACGCATAGCTGCGTTGGTTCTATTGACTGCATGTTCGTGGCGGACACATCGCGCCGTGCCATGTCACGATGCGGGCCTGTAGTGTTCCTCCGCCGCTGCGTCCTGGCCATTCTCGCTCCGAGGCTCGCTCACCGTGGTTTGAGTGGACAGACGGCAACGCCATCGCGCCGAGCCCAGCGGCCAACGATGCCAATCGATGACCTGTGCCGGAAGTCTATCACTTCCAGCATCGGACCCTCGTTCAGGATTCGCCTGCTACTTGTGCTCACCCCGCGAGATCAGATGGATCACGCTGCTGGGTGTGCTGCACACGGCGCTTGCATGTTGCCGTCGCCGACGACTGGTAGGACACGGCTTGACCGCGTTCCACACACCACCGTAGCTGCGCGAGATGAGCAACGAGCAACAAGTGAAGATCGGTGACCGTGACCGTGGCCCAGCTCCGGTGCTCTACGGCAGAGTCAAAATCGACGCGTTCGACTGGAGATGGGTTGCTTTCTGCCGCGGCATGGCGGCGCTGTGTGATGAAACAGCCTGTCCATGGCCTAACGCAGGTACCGTCCTCTGAAAAGTCCCACTTTCGCGGCCCAACAAGCAGAAGCGGCGGGGACCCACCGGCGATCGAGAGCATCAGATAATGATTGGCTCAATGTCCCGGATGTGCGCCTCTTCCCCACGCCGTGGTTTCACTCTCTGACGCAGCGTCTTCTCGAAGCAAAAGTCCAGCACTCCACCTGCGACCCATCGCCCAGGCGTTGGAACCGATGGACCGCAAGACTGCATCAGCTAGAAGGCGATCGTCTTCGAGAAACGCATACAGTCGGAAACACGATTCTATTCTGATCATTGTGCAACATGAGTGTCACCGCCTTTGTGAGGTCGGCTCCGCAGGCTTTACTTCGGCTGTGACAAGTTTTGGCCATGTCTCGAGGCTCAACCCAGGGACAGGCACGTTCACGAGCTCGTACTTCTTCGACACGCCTCAACGACGTTGACACACAAGTACTAGCGGTACCATCACGTCTAGGTTGTTGCTAATGCTAGTGTTCAGAAAAAGCACAGACGCTTCATCCGAGTCAGTGCAAAATCACTCATCAAATGCGCTCTGCTTTATCCCAAACTACACTACTACTACTACTACTGCAGGTACGGCTGCTCGTCTCCGTATAACGATAGTTCGACCAATGCAGGTTTGCATGTATCTAGTGGGATTTCGTGCAGAGCAGAGCTTTTGGCATGCAACCTACCGATATCACTTGCATGATACATATTTCTGATTCGCAATTGAACATTGCTTTTTGTGACAAGTGCGCGAGAGCCAACTCGAATGGCGTCTTTCTCCACAATAGCTCGCTGTTCCTCATATGCAGCATGGTTGAGWGAAGTTATCACGGGACCACTTGCCTCGGTGGTGAGGAGAACAAGCTCGGCGACGCCTCGTCCTTCCACGAGTCCATCTAGCACCATACACACAGCGTCCAGATGTGCTGTAGTGCGGCACCATTTGCTATCCTGTCTTCACGGTCCGTGGCTCCYGACTCACCGCTRGTGTGCCCTGGTCCCATCACAGTCACACACCAAATGTCCTTCACGTGCTTTGCTTGGAAGCTCATAATTGATCGACCCCACACGAAATTGAGCGACGATCTTGAGTTGGCGACTTCCGGTGACAACTTGCCGGCGGCGGATGGCTTGCACTACTTTGCCGGGGCACTGGATAGTGGCAGACTTACGCCCGATGCCGTCGAGTCCGTCGAACTCTTTTCAGCTCTCTCCACAAGCCCGGGATTTTTGCAATGGCATTCACCACATTTCTGAGATGGGCGGAGATGACAATTTCGATCTTTTCTGGGAAGGGCGAGGCCCGCCAACAAGCTCACGAGGTGATGTGGATCTCTGGACCCCAACACCGTCCAATCTCATCGTGGTTGCTATTCTCCGTCCGCTCGCTCGTGCCCTTCGACCCTGTAAACAGATAGATCGACGTCTGGTCTCGCGGACCCGCCTAAACTTCTTCAAACTCGGCATACCAGGGTTTCGAAGACGAGATTCGATAGCTTGGACGGTCTGGACGACTTGGGTTAGTACAATCACTCGGCACATTACTGGTATGTTGGTTGATATGTTTCATTCTGGAGTAGTTCCAGTCCTGCGGGGCTTCTCTTTGCATCTCAAAAGGCCGGCATCCAGACCCCTCCTTCACAACTGCCAGCTGTGAAGGGTCATCTCTGGCGACGAGAGTCACAAGTGGCGACAGTTGATCCGGGAGTGGACRGGACTCGTCCTTGGCCTCGGACGGTGCCTCGCTGCCGATCAAACGGCCGAAATGGCTTCCATCAATGGGAGGTGGAGTCGTTAGACGGGCTCGAGCCCTCTGAGGCCTCGTGGGTAGTGGATATGCCTCATCAAGGCTGGACTCTCGTCAAACAATTCGATGTCCACAACCCTGATCAACGCCCAGAAATGGTCGGGAGAATCCAGGGCGGACACCATCGACCAGATGGGCGGTGCTGACATGTAGCGGTCCGTCAATGAGAAAGTCAACCTCGACGATAGTCACGCCCTGCCAATTGTTAGAATATTAAACGATGAGGTGGAATGACGATGAATCCGAGCAGTGATGCCGCATTTTTGCTACTACGTATACCCTGCTACAACGTGTGATGGTGGTAGTGGGGCATCTCCTGCACTCCGCAGCATGAAGTAGGAAAGTCCCTCGCCCCGGCGTTGTACCTGCGTCGTACCTGCATGTTTCGTCATCGTATGGCAAAGCCGCATTAGAGGCAGAACTACCAATGGCTACAATTCATTGGTAACCGAAGGTGGAGCGCCGTTGCGATCGTGCCCTGGCGTGAGCTTCCGAAAATTGCAACGTGACTTATGGCTGAGCTATGCAGCCGGTGCTGCTGTCTACTTCTTCTGAATGCGGTCGTTGCGCCTTCGCCACGGAATTGCATGGCTTGCCATGCGATGACTTTATCGCTACTATTTCAAATTCAGGATGGCGGCGTCCAAACGACAAGCTCTGTTGTTCACTTTCGGACCGGTCTGGAGAGTTCCCAACTGCAGCGACGCCACCAACGGCCGAGAATCTGGAGTTCACTGGCGTGCACTTCGTACGGAACGTGCCTCAGACCTGGATTGGTTTTCCTACTAGCATCTAGACAGGTCCCGCTTTCGTGCAGCTGTTTTTGATCATGCGTCGWGCGACTCCCACGGAGTGCATGCATTCGTCTCGTTTTTTGTGAAGCGACAACACGGTCAGACGCACGCAGAGCATATTGATGAAACATCAACAGTCCTCGATTCGTCGATCCGTCGCTCTTGTTGTTGGCCACATTGAGCCTACGACTAGGTACCGCGAYGTAGAGTATGGACCCTCACCTACGACCAACCGATGTCCTATTAGGAGCCGCGAGCTAGGACAATACCATGCCGTGTAGCACTTCCCACTTCACACGCTGCATCGGCCGACGCTGTCAAACGATGAGAAATCTCGATCGCTTCCAGCTTTCCTGGACCATGCATCGACCACTGTTTGGCCATGTTGCAACTTGACACACATGATACGGATGCCTCGCGAAGACTAAAAACACGTTTGGTATGGGTTTGTATGAGTTGAGGTGACGCGGACTGAAACCGACATCGCATGGTACCGCAACGACCAAGTTCTGATATCCTGATTCCTGACCGGCACGTCACATTGACTGATGTCAACAAATTTGACCGTGCTTGCCTGCGCCGCGCGTTGATAGTCGATCGTGCACTTCGTGTTCATTCAAGACCCTGAACGATGGAACGGCTACCATTCTCCATCTCGACGCGACCGAGTTGATGGACAGCAAGGATACGACAATAATCTGCTTGACGGCTTGGTCACTATCCACCACCAATCCTCCTCGGTGGTTATTCCTGTAYAGGAAGCTCGTACGCGACTGATTTCTCGGCTAGCAATGGCATGTCGCTTTAAGATTGTTCTTTGATCTTCGCAGAAGGTGCAAAACTCACGGTCCACAACCATGGATTTGGTAAGGAAAGTCCCTATCAGACTATCGTCAGTACCTTAACTTACCCTTGCGGTTTCTCATGCACGACAAGCAACTGGAAGGTGCTTGTACACTCTGGCCTGTAACGAGCGGTCCAATCAACAACATCATTTCTCCTCCGTCGTAAATCTGTGCCTACACAACGACCCGTTTTCCTTAATCCAGCAGCACTGGACTCGTATCTCGCAGTGAACGCCGGATGCCCTCTATCCTATGAGGAGCCTGTGCCTCCCAACAATGCAACGCCTGGTAAATCGTGCCGACTACACATGGCTGTACATAAGCGAGATGTAACTCGTCGGGCCCCCGTGGTTCGAGTCTTCGTCCAACTATTCATCGCCGCCAAAATGTTCTCCCGATGCTTCAAACCGGCCTGGGCTTTGCAACCCTTCAGACCAAATGTCGTGGAACGAGCACAAACGCTTTGAAGATCGTCGATAGTGCCTTGCAGCATAGATCGTGTCGTGCAGCATGTCCATGCAGGCACACAGATCGACTAAACGTTGATGCAAGATATCCTCCTGCAATATCATGATTCACATATTTGTCAACCAAGCCACCACGCATGGCTGGAGCCGAGTCAAGGTCATGCAAGAAAGCAGTTTGCAAGGCTGGGTTGGCGAAACGCTTTGAATTGCGTGCGTGATGGTGGCGCAATGTTTTGGTGGATGCAGGTGTATGAATCGTGGATGTGCCGTTTTGGTTGGAGGCGACGGCGATTGTGCACTGATGCCCAAACCTACGATTCGGCGCTCGCTTTGGAATTTTGCAATGCAGAATATCATCTATGCGGGTCGGGAGTCATCAATGGCAAGAGATATTCCTGCTTCGCATGAGTTTTCTCGGCCCGTATGTCTCCTTGACTCGGCTTGTGTCAAGCGGCAAGGCACCGGCATGTGAGCTGCACACTCCTCACTCATGCTCATTCCTGTCAAAAGGTACATGCAAGGCGATGTCGACCGGGCTTGGAGAGGAAAGCCTGTTGTGATGCGAGAGTGGAGATGGTAGGTGAATGGACTCTGTGCATGATTYGGTGTGCAAGTGGGGTCGGTTTCGAGTCTCGGCTCACCTGCCCTTGAAATCCTGATGACTGTCATCTGAAGATACCTCACCCTTCACTGTTCCTCAACATCGCACACGATGAGTGCGCCAAAGATCTCCCTCGCTCTGGGAGCGAAGCGGCAGGCCCCTTCGACCACAAATGGGGTCAAACGCCCGCGCGCAGCACTTCAAGAAGATGAAGATGATGGCGTGGAAGTAGGCCGCACAGAATCAGTCTCACATTTCGACAAGACCGCTGGCGGCGCAATTGACTCCAGTCGCAAGCAAGAAACTCAAGGTCCTTTAGTCATCCCCAGGCAGGTGAACCGCAATTGGAAGGAAGCCGCAAATCAGCGAAAGCGACAGAAAAGTGGACTTCCTGAAGGCGCAGGTGGTGGAAGGGAGGGCTTGGATCGCAGGGTCGCGGCAGTTGAAGCGGAACTCGAGGCTGCGAAGCCAAAATTTGGCTTGAACACATATGACAAACCTGTCGTTGGAGATGCCGATGTTGCTAGCGAAGCCATGGGCATTGCACATGAAGCACAACAGCTTCCACCGGAACCAACCCCGGATGCGGAACCACTGCGCAAGCAAACGGACGAGGAGAGAGCTTTGGATGCCTTGATGGGCAAGACTACTACGGACAAGACTTTGGTTATCCAGGCCTCAAATCCGCTCAGTGAGGAAGACGCGTTCAACAATGATATTGCGTCTGCCCCACCCATGCCTTCGATGGACGACTATGCCCGCGTGCCGGTTGAGCAATTCGGAGCAGCTTTGTTACGCGGCATGGGCTGGAAGGATGGGGAGGGTGTTGGCAGCCAGCGGGGCATTAAGCTGAAGAAGGAATCTGTGAAGCCTCCTGCAAAACGCTCGAATCTGCTGGGCATCGGAGCGAAGGAGGATGCAGCGATTGCTGGAGAAATGGGCGCTTGGGGAAGAGGTGCCAAGGGTAAGGAGGTGAAGATTTACAACCCTGTGCTGTTGAAAGACACCAAAACTGGGGAAATGTTCACAGAGGAGGAGCTCAAGGCCAAGGCAGAGCGAGACGAGAAGGCGAAGTATGAGCGTGAGTGGGAGAGGAAGGAGAAGGAGAAGCGAGGTGGTCGGGGCGACCGCAGTGGTGGGGATGATCGAAGGCGAGATCGCGACGGAGACTCGCGCGAGCATCGTCATGAGAAGGACCACGGGGGTGACGACGGACGTCGACGTGACCGTAATCATAGCAGAGACCGCGACCGAAGAAAGTATGATGATAATGGAAGCGATGCAGAGTACCGTCGGAGGAAGGAAAAAGAGAGGCACAGGCGACAAGACCCAGAGAGGGACGCACGCAACGGTGGTGATAAACATCGCAGACGTGGAGATAACGATCGAGACGACGAGCGGCGTCGTCACAGGGATCATGACGATGGTGGCAGGCGGAGAGACGATGATTCTCGGCGTGAGCGCGACAGAGGTCACAGGAGATAGGCAGGCGCTGCCGAGCGAGTAGTGATACCCAGACTGGAAATGGTAACTACTAGGGATCACAAGTCAACTGGAACGACGCCTTCACTCAAGCGATCTGTAGATCTCGTGGGTATCCACGATGCTTGAGAGCCCCGTAATTCGAATCTGTCATGTCATTGTTGTGCAATGCTGTGTGGGCAAAGAGGTGAGGTGAATATTCATTCACTTGCTTCGCCACTTAGTCCCAAGGTTAGGGTTAGGGTTGGGGTAGTGTCGTCGCCGTCGTCGTCGTCTATCAACAGAAGAAGCCACCGTGTTGTCCCAAAAACGGTCTTTAATCTTGAACGTATTGGGAGACAATATGCTAAATGGCAATGTGTTGATTGCTCACGCTACGGGAACCTCATCTACTGATGAGCATCCTGACAACTTCAAAGAGTGTGCCAATTTGACCCAGAATACACTTGGTGCCAAGTGAGCCTATTAAAGCCTACACCAGGTGGTCAAGTAGGAAACGCTGCGGCCTCATGACTGAAATGATCAGCATACACGCTGGTCAGCCTCCAACACATGATCGTTTTAATTCATGACTTTCATGACCGATGATGCTGAAAGCCGTCACACATATCATCCTGATACTCGTTCACTCCACCTGGCGAACGCGTTGCCACGCTCATGCTCAGCCGTAATCAATGCACTGTGACATCCCCCCCTCACAACCCATTTGTAAACCCTCTACTCCCCATGGTCGWCCTTCTCCAGCTTTCCCATAGCTCGCTTCTCTCCGCTCTCGCCGAACAGCCTAACGCGATCAACACGCATCTTCTCCCCATCCCCGTGACCGTCCGCAATGAAGACGGTAAGACTGCTGATGTTCTGAAACTTCACAAATCTCAGCTCCAGCTTCACGGTGTGTGTCTTTGCGTCCCAATCCTTCTCTCCAATCTCCAGCGTCTGCGTTGCCGGCGTATCCTCTGCCTCATCGAAACCTAGTACATGCGAGCGATTGACATACAAATGGACCGTCTTGGGTCGCACAACGTCCTCATCGTCAGCCTGCGGTACTGATGTGATGTGGAGAGTGTGAAGTTTGATGGTGGACTGGAAGGGAATGAAAAGGATAAGCTGCTCGTCCGTATCGCTCTCGATCCAGTCTGACGTGGTCGGTGCCTTGCCYTTGYCCAGGGCGGACGGTTGCTCTGGGGCGAATACTGCCCGCTTGTCGCCCTTGTCGCCATCGAGATTGAGGAAGTCCAGTCCTTTGATCTCCACTTGGTCAGTTACCTCGCCATAACCCCGTGGTGCAGCAGCTCCCGTCCACATTCCGCCACTACTACTGCTGCTTCCTTCTCCCGCGCCTCCATCATCTGCTTTGCCTGCCTCCTCCGCAAGCTGCTTCACCGCAGCATCCAGACCCTTGGGATCGGCACCTCTTACACGCTTGACCTCGCGACCGGCCTTGAAGATGAGGAAAGTGGGCATGGCGGAGATGTTGTACGTTGCAGCGATCTCTTTTTGTTCGTCGGTATTCACTTTGGTGAAGGTTATTTGGCCAGGACGAGAGAGTTGGGTGGAGAGTGCTTCATACACGGGGGCGATAGCCTTGCCTAGCAAATGTCAGTAGAGGCCGGAAAGACTCATGCATTGAGGAGCCATACATGGCCCGCACCATTCTGCCCAGAAATCGGCGACGAGAATGCGTGACGAGGTGAGCAGGGATGAGAAGTGAGCTGGCGATGTGATGGCCACCGTTTTCGACATTGTGAATGATCAATGTGGACCTCGACTGTCGTGGAGTGTTGATGTTTGGTACCTGTATGTTTGGAGAAGTCGAGGATGATGATAAATGTAGCTTTAACCCCACCAAAACAAGGTTCCTGTGTTTGCCCATAGGTATGTCACTGAACTCATCACTAAACATCAACATCCACTTCGACCTTCATAGCGACTGCATAGAATTGGAGCAAGACATGCCCAACGCATCCACGCTGGCTGGTCTACAACTCAACAAGAGCGAACGTTTGGTCCTGCTGTTGCTCAGCTACTTATTCTACGGTCCGGTGCTTTGGAGGACGTCGGCAAGGCTCATCAAYGGATTCGTGACATTTCGCGAAGCCCGCCGTCAAGTACGGCAGGAGGAGGACCAGCAACGTTAGCAGCAAGAGCATCGAGAAGGAAAGGAGTCTGCAGACAGAGATGGCATCATCAACTATATTCGTGCTGGATTCAGCGTTCAAGCGGACACAGGTCAAGGTCACACCAGGCACCCATATGCGCGATGTGCTGGAGGAAGCATGCAAAGCCCGAAAGTGGGATCCCGAGTCTTATGCGCTCAAAACACAAACAAACAAGACAGTGGATCTCTCGCAACCATTTCGCCTCTCTGGTCTGACCGGCGGCGCAAAGCTCACGTTGATCCAAGCGAGCCGCTCGCCGAGTGTCGTAACCGTGGCACTGCAACTACCTGATAGCGAAGGCGGAGGCAGACTGAGTGATAAGTTCCCCAGTACAACAAGTCTATGGCTGGTGCTTCGAAAGTATGAGGATGCTGTGGCGGGTCAGCCACCGCGGAAGCTGAACCTCACCCAGCGTGGCGTGCCACCTTCACAGTCTGCAGGCCCCGGAATTCTAGAATACGAGCAGCCGTGTTTACATGTGATGGGCAGAAATCTGGAGTCCTTTGTTGACTTGCAGAAGACATTAGCACAGCTAGGCTTGAACTCGGGGAATGTGCTGATCCGCTTGAGCTTCAGGAGTGTTGGTCAACCTCTAGAAGAAGCCATGCAGGAGATAGAACAGTATTTCAAAGGAGTGGCCGCTCCTTCCACAGGGAGTAGTGGCTCTGCTGCGCCAGCTGCTCCTGACCTCGGTCGTGATAGCCCTATGCCCGACGCCGACGCTCCGCCTGCTTCCATCGACGAAAGCGAGACTTTCACCGCATCTTCTACAAAGGTATGTCATGACTATCCATTAGTACCCTCGAGAATGGGGGCAACAGTCTCCCAACAAACCTTCAATCAGAGCTTCAAATCTGCCTTCCACAAGAGACCTAAAAAGAACAAGGCTGATTCTTCCGACAAGACCGATGGCAGCGCCAGTGTTAACACAACTCGCGACAACACCACTACCACTTCAAGTCATGCAGACTCAGCCACTCAACCTGTCATCTCAAAAGTTGCCACCCCGGCATCTGTTCAAGACAGCACGATACCTGAGAAGGCTACGAGCTCATTGAATACCGGCGAGACGATCACTACTCTGTACAGCACACCCCAGGACGATGTAGTCACTTCGAACTACGCCAATACAACGTCCGGAATCTCAGTCTTCCGGCCTCCCTCCAACAGCGCACCTGCGGCCTCCCTTTACGAAGAAGACCCGCGGACATTCGAGCCTAGTATTGATCATGCCAAAGCCCATCAGGCAGCCCTCATCCGCTCAACCCAAAACAAACGCCTGCCCTCGGACAAGGAGCTGGCCGAGCAAGCCGAAGCACAGCAGGCCGCCCAGGCAGAGATAAAGACGGTCGTGGTCCGCGTGAAGTATCCCGACGAGAGTATGATCGAAACGAGGATCACCCCAGCCACCACCGCACAAGATCTCTACGCACAAGTCAACGATACACTCGCATCCGTCGATGCGATCGGAAATTTTCATCTGAAGCACAGGGGTGACAAGGGGCACGAAGCGCTGCCAAACGTGCCCAACAAGCGGCTGGTCAAAGACTTTGGCTTCAAAGGGAGAGTGCTTGTGACCATAGTCTGGAATGATGGTGCGACTGCGAAGCTCAAAGAGGGTCCTTCATTGAAGACTGAGCTGAGAAATGTGGCGCAAGACTTGAAGGTCGAGTTGGGCCATCAGAGGAAGGAGGGCGAGGCCAGCCACAAGGCTGCTATGGATAAGAAGCMCACAGGCGCCGCTGATACAAAGGCGAGTGGTAAGAACCCCGCCGCTCTCGAAGCAAAGCTTAAAAAGATGATGGGTTTTGGTAAGAAGTGAGAGGGCTTAGGTATATGATCGACGCATCGCTTTCGTGGCAAACGGCATGGAATGGTGTTGAGGGTATGGATCTTTCACTCACGGTTGAAGCGTATACGTCCAGCGTTCAGCGTTGTTTGGATGCATAAAGGCGTCTACCTACGAGTTATGGATAGAAGCGTGGAGGGTGGGCTGGGCTGGGCTGTACTGGTATGAATGAATGAGTACCTGCATCTCAATGAGACATTCCATGACCACCCAAGGTACGTATCATGGGAATTGATGAAGAAGTGTGAAGCTGGTTACCAGGATGCCTGCCACGCTGGTCGAGAGGTGCATCACAATGTGCCCATTGCCATTATAGTATCTCCTATGGGGACCCCCCATCCGGAGTCGGAGGTTGCTTCCTGGTCCAAACTGGTCTCCAAAAGCATATACCTTGCGGCAACTTGCATGCGGAGATGATGGTGGCAGTGGGTCCGCATTGAAATCGTCAGTGAAATAGGAGACTTGCTTTGCGTTTTATATCGCCAGGGTAAAGAGTGATAGACTGCCGATGTACGCTGTAGCGAATGAGGAGGGATAAGGACATGAATAGAAGGTTTGGAGCAGTCAACTACGAGTGTTCTGGTGGAGTACGAAGTACTGGCTACGTGATCGCTAGACGACTTTGGCCGAGATATTGGGAAGACCAATAGGATATGCTGGTATGGACTTGCAGTTGCGGGTGCATGGCCCTCCAAAGCATTGCAGCTGTCTCACCAAGTCGCTCCCGGTGGGAAGCACTCGAAGTTGACCTGGCATGACAAGGCCATGTGGACACCGTGAGACTAGATAGACGCRCACGAGAACGAGGACGGGGTCATGCACATTCATTGAGCAGTATGAAGCCAACCATTCAGCATATCCTTCGCCTGGCGCGGCACCGGTGGTGTTGGCACAGCATAGCAGTTCGYCGTCTTTTCTTCAAAGCAAACCCTCGCCGTATACGCCTTGCATGTYATGCGCGATGACTACCCATCCATCCTTCGTAGCAGCTCGCTTAGTGACCCGCTCYCCTGCTCTCGGCGATGACCTTGGTCATCTCGTCAACCTTGCGCTTCGCACGGCCGAAAGTTCCGAGTCTCTTCTTCGCGAGCTTGCGTGCACGCTTGTCCTTGCTGTTGCGGAGTAATTCGATAACGCGGCGCTCGTATGGTGCGAGGCTGTGGGTGACAATATGTTAGTATCACATATGAAGTTTGTGGCCACTCGTAGAGTCGGGAAATATCGCTCGAGTGCAGGCCAGATTGGAGGAGTGGACGTACCCAGAGACCTCCTTGACAATGTCCCGAACGAAGGCAGTACGCTTGCTGAGGTGGCCCTTCATGCGCGACACACGAGGCTTCACCGAGCGGGGGGTGACTTTCTGCACGGTTGTTAGCAGGCGCAGGCGCGGGTGTTCAGTGGTGTGAACTTGCGTGACCATGGTTGAGGCCCACGATGAGACCGGTCTTCACTTCCTTGCCGTTGACCATCTTGGATTTTGGCGACGACGTGTCTGAGGAGCGGAATTCTCGCGAGGGCAGTCAAGAGTGGAAGTGTTCGAATTCGAAAAGGCTTGGCCTTCGTCTAGCTGCCTTTACGGCTACACATCGGCTCTTCGCATCGCGCCCCAAGAGCGGGCCGAGCCTAACGGGGTTAGACAAGAGGCAGGCATGATGACGGGTCGCGACTTTTAAGTTTCTTGTAACTTGCTTCTGATGGTCGGACGTCTCCATCCTCCTGGGYGCATCCACCTAAGCATCCTGTCCGCTTCAACAGTGGTGTCAACGAAGAGAATGAGTGTTTAATATGAGTCGACGTGCGGTCGACGTCGGGCGAAGAGCATCACACCTTGCCAACGCGAACAGCCTCAATAAGATCCCGCTGCTCGCAGCGAGCGCGGTCAGACTTGAACTGAAGTCGAATCAAACGATCACTTCCATTGGACCTATAGCACAGTCAAGATGCCGCATCGGCGCGAGATCCTACCACGCTGGATCCCAGCTTACGTTCATTACACGGCCTCGAACTCCAACGGCGGATGAAGGGAAGTCAGGWCTTGGAGTAACCTTCAGGCCTGGATTGCAACACTGGTGGGCTTCGAGGCCACCACCTATATCTTCCCTACAGACACGATGGAAGAGCACACACAATAAATCACCTGATAAGGCTTCTCAACAACCACAACAGTTGCCAAATACAACTCCTCCAACCGAAGAGCGAGCCACGGCTACCCCAGCCAACGGGGGATCGAATAAACATCTGCTGGATCGTTTGCCACATCTACATCGCCCTACCAAGGAAGAGCTCCTAGCTGCGGCAACTGGATTCTGGCATCGTCTGCAGATTCGCTTCAAGTGGTTCTCTATCCGTAGCGTGCGACCGTACACCTCTGATGAGATATTCGCATTTGTCAGCTGGATATTCTGGGCACATCTCCTTTGGTTTATCATTGGAACCACGACGTTTGTCAGTCTCGCCATTTGGGCCATCAATACCGTCTTCGCCCAAGAGACTCTGGCAGGCTGGGTTGGAAGGTCTCTGACGAAGAACACTGGCATTAAGGTTGTCTTCGAGGAAGCTATTGTACCACACTGGGGAGATGGAGTCATTCGCTTGAACAAAGTTTTCGTGAGCCGAAGGCCACAGACTGGCAGTAGCCAGAGATCGGCAGCAGTCTCAAAGGGATCATCGACAACAGCCGCTGCCGTAGCCGCTGCCGAAGCCAAAGCAGAGAGAGAGCGGATACACGGCAAGCAAGCCAGTGATGAGCAGGAAGATGACGGCAACTACACACAGTTCGATGTCACGATTGATACTGTTGAAATCACGCTCTCCTTCGCCAAATGGTTCAATGGAAAGGGATTGCTGCGAGATGTTGAGGTTCGCGGAGTGCGCGGTGTCTTAGACCGCACGTCTGTCCAGCCACGGATCGAGAACGTTGATCCAAAGAGCTACCGGCACGAACACAACACGGGAGACTTCGAAATTGACAATTTCAAAATGGAGGACGTACTCCTGACAGTCTACCAACCGAACAATTTCAGGMCATTCCAAGTCAGTGTTTTCAACTGCGAACTGCCCAGACTACGCAAGCAATGGCTTTTCTACGATTTCATGAGCGCGAACAATATGAGTGGTAGTTTCGACAATTCTCTCTTCACGATCCATCCAAGACAGGTTCACAGCACTACCGGAGTCACACTGGTCCACGGGAGTGAAGGAGAAGCTTCACAATGGAAAAAGCACAGCCGCATCAGACTGGACGGCCTGAAGATTGACCATCTCAATCGTGGTGTTGACGGACCGTTCTCTTGGATATACGAGGGCAATGTCGACATCGTTGCCGACCTCATGATCCCTACTGACGCAGATGGAAGCATTGCGAAAGTCATGAGCGACTTTTACGACCGCATGGAAGCAACCGTAACAGCACAAACCCAGCATGGATTGCATCGTCAGGTCAACCATAGGGAGGAGAGGCCGGCCGCTGCACAAGAGATCAAATCCGCCGCGGAAGAGGAGGAAGAAGACGACAACCGCTTTCTTGTTATGGACATTCAAATCCACCTCAACGATGTGCGCGCCTCGGTCCCCATCTTCACGCGCGATCTCAGCTATGTAAACAACGCAGCCGTGCGTCCCATCGTGGCATACATCAACTCCCACTCCCACCGCTCCAGCAACTTCATTCCCATCAGCTGTCGGATTGTAAAACGTCAAAGCGAATTTGACGGCTCCTGGACCGTCTTCGACTCGGGTTTACTCGACGATTTAAGCAGGGAGACATACGAAGCTTTTGCAAAAGACATAACTGATCGTAAACAAAGGCAGCGGAGGATGAAGAAGGTGGGAATATGGGCTGCACAAGTCGCGGCTCAGGCGCTTTTCATTGGCTTGGCTGGGCAGCTTGCTTGAGAGTGACTCTTTACATTGCTATCCTATTACGGGCCCTTTGAGACCACAGCGAGGCGTTTAAGGCGTTTGAGAGATGTAGAAACATAGAAGGCATGGGAGTTTTGGGCGGGATGCGGTATCTTCTGGTCTGATGGGATGGGCGTATACACGATTACTGGTAATGATAGACGCTTTGAACAGCTGGATGAGTAGCAATACGCTACGCTGCAATTTTTTAGCTGAAGAAGACTTCCAACGCATTGGCACTCTTTCAGCCCGTCCTCGCCCTCCCAGTAAGCTTCTCACCTTACTCTGCAATCGCTCTCAGTCCCTTACCATAGCCTGATCCGTCCTTCGTTTGGCCACAGGGCCTTCATTCAGCTGCTCCAAAGCCATTGTCCAAACACAACAGTCGAGGCGAATCTTTCCAGAACGGCGTCTGCCAGCTGCCCGGTGAATACAAATTCGGCGTTCCTCTTCTCGGCTTTGGTCATGACTCCGAATATGTGAGAACCTCTCATTTCTTCCGACTGGCTGGGAGCTTGATGGCTTCGAGTTAAGGGTTTGTAGGAGGGGAAGTGGTAGATAATCGTTGCTTTTCGATGTTGAGTGGAAGATGAATGTAGTCCTTGCGCCTAGCAAGAGTGCTGTAGGTGAGCGCTGGAAATTGATCCGGCGAGTTGCCATGATGTTGTCGGCGAGAGGGGTAGGGAATAGTGAAGAGCATAGGAGGCTACTTTATGTCCGCAGTCAGGACCTCCACTCCAAGCTCACCGCGATCACCCATTGTGGCGCCATGTAGCACAACTAGACAACTATCCATGAAGGGCGTGGCATTTCAAAGTGCGTTCAATCTCATACTCGCAATCTATCGCACCTTTTTGGGTCTTCCAAACACCAGAACGCCACGCTAAAGTYCACATCATATCCATCGGATCAACGTAAATCATTCCAAGCACCTCTCTTAAAATCTCTCCTTCATACGTCCAGCAACAGTCCTCAAGTTGCCGTAGACCTTGCCAGGTGGGCTTCCCAAGATCAAGCTCACAACGGCCTCTCTTGCAACATGAATATTCTTGAAGCCGCCCAGAATGTGCACTTTCTGATCTGCCAGCACAATTCTTGTGCGACTTGCGTTCTCGATCGCAAACTTGGTCTTTCCGTCCTTTCCCGCTATCCGACCAATGGCTCTGCTGAGATGCTCGCCCTGCAGCGTCTTGACGTCCTTGACCTCGAAGCTCTGAATGTACAGGTCGTCTAATCTCAGCAGAGCAATAGCGTCGTCGAGATCAAAGCCCAAGCAGAAAGCCTGAATGAAATCTGCTCCCTTCTGAATCGCTCCAGTATCGGTGGTGTGAGGTGATGTGCGTAGTTCAACAGCCTTCTTGGCAATATTCATGCGGACTTGTAGCTTGAGATGCTCGACGAGAGGTGGGTAGATCTTTGGCCAGCTGTTTTTGAGAGGGGACRTGCGGTGGGGTGGGACGCGGACTTTGCGCTCCTCGGCACGTTGGGCAGATCGAGAGGGAGCTTCGGGAGCAAAGAGGGTAGTGGAGTCGGCGTCCACTTCCATGTTAGAGGCTTCTTCGAGGGGAGCATCCTCCGCGCCAGTGGTGGTGGTGAGGATCATCTCGTCGTCTACAGCCGTCTGTGGCGCATCGTGGAGGGTCTCCTCTGCGACGGCCTCGGGTGCTCTTTGGAGAGCAGTTGGCGCGGGCATCTTCTTGTGTTCGGATGTTATGGGTGTGCTTATATTTCCAGTAGTCGCGGAGCGGCGGTGTCAAGTCTTTCTGTGAATGCCGAACGCCCAAGATGTACAATGTAATTCAAAAGAATTTCACGAGCGTCGGCGCCGGGCGACTTTTTAGATTGCGGGAACTGCCGTCAGCCGCTGATCGTAGCTTCCCTACCGCGTCGTCGTCGTTGCCTCAAGAAAGACATCACTGACCGACCAAACCAACATCACCTCCTCAGCYGCCGACCTTTAGACAGCTCAACCATCATCGAATTCGATCGATTAAGACCTGCTGCAGCTCCTCCATTTCTCAACACTACCTCTACAGTCACGATGGCGGCCATGTACGACCCAGGACATCTCTCCTCAGAACCGGGCTTCTCATTCGCACAGTCAGCACCACAGTCGCATTCAGCACCGCGGCAGCATGGCTTCTACCCGTGAGAGAATTTGTAGATCATCACTCATCCTCAGACTAACCCAGTCCATCAGATACACCGACAATGGCGGTTCAACACTCGGCATCAGTGGATCCGACTTCACCATCCTCGCAGGCGACACGCGATCGACATCTGGCTACAACATCAACACTCGCTACGCACCGAAGCTCTTCAAGATCGGCGGCGACGGCCCTAACAACGAGGGATCGAAGATTGTGCTTTCCGTCGTTGGTTTCGCGGCAGATGGCAACGCGCTGAAGGAGCGTTTGGATACGGTGGTCAAGATGTACAAGTACCAGCACGGCAAGGACATCAGCGTACACGCTTGCGCTCAGCGACTCTCACACATTCTCTACGGCAAGCGGTTCTTCCCCTTCTACGTGACCGCCATCCTAGGCGGCATCGACGAGGAGGGTAAGGGAGCTCTGTACAGTTACGATCCTGTTGGATCGTATGAGCGCGAGCAATGTCGCGCTGCTGGTGCAGCCAGCTCGCTCATTATGCCATTCCTCGACAACCAGGTCAATTTGAAGAACCAGACAGATCCCTCGGCGCCGCAGGGTCTGTACAAGCCTGCATTGGAGGCCAAGCCGCTTCCACGTGCGCATGTGGAGGAGCTGGTGCGAGATGCATTCACTAGTGCAGTGGAGAGACATATTGAGGTTGGTGACGGGCTGCAGATCATGGTGATCACAAAGGATGGCATTGAGGAGAAGTACTCGCCGCTGAAGGAGGATTGRGCGTGGCTTCGATTGGCGTGGTGATGAGAACAGGAGTGTAAGATATGCAACGACTGCGAATACCGAGTGCTGTGGCGGCACAAGGCAGTACAGGCACAGCAAATGCATGAGTATCACCTTGATTCACATCTTGCATGCGTTGCGGCTCACACAACCTTGCAGGCTTCTTGCAGCAATAATGTTTGCATATCATGACAACCCCTTAACCCTACAGTCCGAACCCTATGTACACTTCTCCGCTCTGAAAGCGTGAATGAGCCAAACGTCTCCATTTCCGTTGCCATTTCCATTTCCATTTCCGTTTCCGTTTTCACATAACCTCCCTTCTAGCCAACAATATCATCTTTCTTCCTGCACCAGACCAAAATTCAAGAGACTCATAATTTATATACCGTACAAGTACTTGAGTGTAGTATAAGGGCTGACTGAAGCGTTATAAGAAGCTATAGGGCTAGAATCCCAAGTGAAATACTAGCAGTTAATAACAGCGAAGGCCGCCGATACTCGCGACCATTTACTACTTAACGCCGCTGATACTTCAAGGGCTAGTGAAATTGAAGGTCGCCGGCTCTCCTTGAGTGAATCGACGACTATGCTCGCTAATAGAAGTATAAGAGGTTGGATATAGGGTATATCAAACGTGAGTACTTGCTCCAGTGAATGGGGAAACATGCGGCGACGTCAGACAGCGGCGCGTTATGACGGAATGCCAAACATTGTCTAGAATCTATGCACTGCCGCCATATCCATCACATGTGTTGCAGCACAACTAATCCAGCTCCAAGATCACCGCACTGCTCCACGGCACACTAACACTCACCAGCCCATTGCCGTCCGCGCAGACTTGTTCTCCTCGCGTAACATTCTGCAGCAGCACTGGCTTGCCCTCGTCCAGCTCAAAGTTATAGCTGTACCCATCGAATGTCACTCCTGAGATGGCATCACTTCCATTGGCATTGAGACGCTGTAGAGAAGCCGTCTTCCCTGCCAGCGCACTCCCAAGTTGGAACGAGTAGTCCACAACCGGCCTTGGAAAGCCGGTGATGAACTCTTTGTTATAATCCGTAGCATTGTAAGCCATCATGTTGATGACAATGATTTTTGCCAGCTTGCCATCAACGTACGACGCATATGCGGCTTCCTTCTCATCCGCCAGGGGAATGTTCACAATGCTTGGGGGCGCTGCTTCAACATCGCCGATGAAGGCTGCAACAGCTACGTTGCCGTAGTACGGTGCTTTGGTGCCAATGGAGTCTTTGTCTGTGGAGATGGGCTGCCAGGATTGATAGCGGTAGTTTGTACCCATGTGCATATGCACACGCCGAATGTTACTTGCAGCACAGTACAGGTTGAAATCGACGCCCCAGAGCGTAGCACCGAATGTGTTGGAGAGACCGGGCCGGCCCTGTCGGTACAACGAATTGTGTTCACCGAGGATAAATGGAAGGTCGGCATTCATCTCCTCGGGAAGATTGGCGAGCTGTCTGGCAATATCAAGCTGCTTGTTGATGGAGACAACGCTGGATGTGTGGTTCATCAGCGTTCCCTGCAGAGTAACGCCCGGCACTGGTGCGCCGCTGACATAGMTGCGAGATCATTAGCTATAGGCTGGCTAGTCGTGCGAAAACTATGAGATCGTACTTGTGAGAGCTCATGAAGGCAATGTCTTTGTCAGAATTTATTCCCAGCTCCCAAACTTTCACGCCATCAAGTCCATTGCTATATCCAGCAAAAGAAGGCGCGTAGTAGGAGATGGGAAGCTCGGGGCACGCCTCTCGCAAGGCACAATCAATTGCACTGGTCCAGTTGCGCCATTCATCGACATATTCCTCGTTACCCCAGGTCGCTGGCCTCTTGGCAAAAGCAGCATTGGTCGAATTGAATAGATCAGGCTCGTTACCGAGCTCCCAATGCAGTAGATTTCCAGTAGAGAGCGCCTTACACGCATATGGAACAGATTCGATCAATGCCTGTCTTTCTGATGTGCTGTTCCCTCCGAGGTTGAAGCCGTGGACGAATTGAACGTCAGGCCATGTATTGTATCTAAGCATGGAAGGTAAGCAGGTGCCTCATATGTCTGGAAGGATGGGGGGCCATATGGAGACTTTGAGACATGCTCTATGTCTTCCACACTTTGTATTGACGTACGACTCGAAGTAGGCCGGTCCGAAGGAGATGGTTGTTGGATAATCCTCCGAGAGGATCGGATTGAAGCTGCCGATAAACGCTTCGGTCTGGGTGGCGTTGAAGACTGCAAAGTCCTGAGTGTTGCCCCCAACGCGGATGATCGGTTTGGTGCCGGCGAAGGAGGCGAGATTGTTGAGAAGATTGTCAGAGAAGGTGTTGGGGTGGGAGATGTTGCCCGCAAAGTCCGGGAATGACGAGAACTCGATCGAGTAGGACATGAAGTGATTGAGAGGAACGGCRGCCGTGGAGGGGGCTTCATCAGCGACACTGATGGTCGACTCGTGCCGGACTGCGATCTGAGGTTGCGGAGCTGCTGCACATAACAGTCCGCTGGCCAGAAGCCCAACGCATTTGAACACTGCCATTGTGCGATGAAGTGCTCAGCGGAATGACGCGAGGATGAGAAGTGGGGAGGCGACTACTTCAACGTGTCGATGTAGGTAGAGAGAGAGAAGTGAAGCTTCGTAGAAAGCGTGACCTTATATATTGAAAGGTCGCGAGAAACATCTCACATGTCGCATTACGTTACCTTGCCATCCGGTGGACGTCCACACTGCACCAGCAATCACCGGCGTTGATGGTGGCCGTGTCTGTCGATCAATATAGAGCTGAGGGGTTATGCGCACGCGGCTTTGCAATCGGGTGTATGATGTCGCGAAATGCCTGGCCGCCTCACTACTAGACTACCACGCACGACGCTACAGCTGCATGTTGGACTTCCCCACGCTGGCGAGACTCCGGCAACAGCCCGGACTGTTGTCCAACGCTGTGATGAAGAGAGGGGTACGGTATCCGCGGGCTCCAATCAGGCTGATGTGCGAGAGAACAACCTAATGATCCAAGCAGAGAAGACCAAGGAAAAGGCCAAGGCGTGAGAGGTCGGTCCATGGGCAGCTGCAGGGATGAACCAGATGGACTCTGGGAAGGTGGAGGTGGAGGTGGAGAGGCAGGCACGTACTGTAGGAACTTGGAAGGCAGGTAACGTTGTGCTCATTTGCCGAGATTAGTCATCGGCGCTAGCGCACCGATTGTCCATCACCTTCTTCCCTTCTCTCCACCACCTCTTCTTCTTCTTTCTCATTGACTTCGGTCAGTGCGGCATGAAGCGGATACAATACACGAGTTTCCAAGTTACTCACTCATCCAATCGGTGATGCAGTGAGCGTCCACCTCTTCATAGATGAAACATTTTGCATACTCGGCTGCCGGCCAATCCGACTGAAAATCTCTTCGAGAGCTCTGTTGGCGCGTTGGCAGTCGTACATACCTTATCCACCATATACACCCTGGCTCGGCGTGCACTGAACGTCATTGATCTTGAGAAACCTCGCAGAGCGGTCAGTGATGACATCCGGCCTTCCCCTTCCAGTACCATCATTGCTGAATCTGCTTGGTGAYGATGTCTYTGTGTGACAAGATTTCAATATTGATGATTCCGAGATACGATTATTACTGCCTGCCCAAGACAGGTCGCTTCGTCACTGTGTTGTCGTGGACCTACGCAGACATTGAACCACATCACCAGTCATGCCATGTCCACGATGTACGCTCGAGCCCTGCCATCTGCAACGGAATGGACATGTATGCTCCTTGGCGGTGGTATGGGAGATGGGATTGACCACGGTCCGCTCCGCCCACTAGCCCAAACTTTGTCTTGAACAGCTTCTCTCACACTTTGCTTCCTGCTCCCCACCACCACGGTCAGACAAGTGTCGGCCGCAATGGCAGCCCTCAATGTGGTCGCCCTGATTTCGGGAGGCAAAGACTCCATCTTCTCCATCTTACACTGCCAAGCGAATGGTCACAACATCGTTGCTCTCGCTAATTTGCATCCCCCCAACGAGCAGAATACTACTGCTGAAGATATGGAGAGCTACATGTATCAGACAATCGGCCATGCAGTAATTCCTCTCTACGAGAAAGTTCTTGGTCTCCCTCTATACCGACAAGCAATYACTGGTACAGCAGTCAATCAGAACAAAAGCTACGGTTTGAGTCAAGCATCATCAGATCAAGTCGAAGATGAAACGGAGTCCATTCTGCCTCTTCTGCTCAAGGTTATCGCTGCACATCCAGAAATCAATGCGGTGAGCACTGGAGCGATTCTGTCAGATTATCAGCGAACGAGAGTTGAATCGATTGCACTACGTCTAGGCCTGTGTCCGTTGTCATATTTATGGCAATGGCCATCACTACCTCCACGATCTCAATGTTCCTTGCTGGAGGACATGGCCAAGGTTGGTCAGGATTCGCGAATCGTCAAAGTTGCATCAGGTGGACTGGACGAGGGATTCCTGTGGCAAAACGTGGCAGATCGGCGGACCATCCATCGCTTAACCAAGGCCGCAGGGAGATTCGGATCCGCTGGAGATGGCGCTGTCCTGGGCGAAGGAGGTGAGTATGAGACTCTGGCAGTCAGCGGACCTGCACCACTATGGAAGGGCCGTATAACAGTGTCCGAAGAAAATGTCCAGACGATGCCCGGCGATGCAGGCAGTGCCTCAGTCTGCCTCAGCCAACCATTTGTGGAATTTTACCAACCCCGCGAACATGTGAGCGATCTGAGGATACCACCACTACTCGATGTCAAGTTCTCCAAAATTCTCGAGTCCGTGTCGACTGGCAGTAGCATCTCTACTTCGAGGGACCTCGCGGGAAACCCGCATGAGTCAGTCAGCRAAGTAGACTTGCCATTCAAAAGCAGTGCTTTCATGGTGCGGGACTTCCAGGGAGCGGGCGCTTCAGCCGAGGAGCAGGCCCGCTCAATCATGGGACAAATGATGACAGAACTTGCTGCCAATGATCACGGTCCCGACGACATCGCATACTCGGTCATCACGCTCCGGGAAATGAATGACTTCGCTGCTGTAAACACAGTCTATGGAAGTTATTTCGTGAATCCTAATCCGCCCGCGAGAGTTACCATTGCCTGTGCCGACGTACTTCCCACAGGCTGTCTGCTGTCTATTGGCATCACGAGTGCAAAAAGTTCCAGAACTGCTCTGCACGTTCAGTCTCGCTCATACTGGGCTCCTGCGAACATTGGTCCGTATTCGCAAGCCATCGGATTTCCGTCTGATGCGGACGACGGACCAACGAATGCTTCTGTCTACATTGCCGGACAGATCCCGCTCGTTCCATCCTCGATGACTTTGCCAGCCCCTTCAGGTTCGTCGGAGAAAGACTTTGCACACCAAGCAGTTCTGGCGCTGCAACATCTTGAACGCATTGGCGACGTCATGAAGGTGAGACGATGGGTCCATGGCATAGCGTTTATAGCCTCATCCACCCCCAGCGACGTCACACTTCCGGCAAGAATAGACTTGATTCGAAAGGTTTGGGAAGCTTTCCATCTTCCCAAGACACAGCCAGAAGACTCCGACGAAGAAGACACTTTTGATGTATGGCATCTCCGACATGGCCCTGGCAGTGCAYCTTGGCGCAACCAAGACCCAGACGACGATGTTGCGAGCAGTAACACCGATGCACCTCCACTTGTTGTGATACGCGTCGACCAGCTTCCGAGAGACTGCGCAATCGAATGGGTTGGACTTGGAAAGACCAGTCAGGGCGCRCAACCACCCAATTTGACCCATCTGCAAAGTCTTCTGCGCATGTTCCGCAATCGCATCGTGTGAACAGGCATGCGGAGCAGTCATGCACAACTTATGCCCTCTCGGAGTCTCGGAAAACAAACCTTGGAAGTAACCTTGGAAGTGAACATGAACAATAGCCGACTGCCCCACCTCACGCTGCCCCACTTCCACATGCCATGGGTTCCAAAAATCGAATATCTCACAAAGGAAGTCGGGCATGTGTGAAGGTAATGAAGAGCAACGACAAGAGCAGGATAGCCATACACTTCAAGTGACTAGCATCCACGCCTGATCCTGCTTGAGCATAGGAGTATGTATGGACCGGTCGTTGCTCCGCGACTCGTGCAACCCAAAGCTTGGCCTGGCCATAGGTAGTTCTCCGCATCTTCTCATCGATCCACTTTCCCGAATCTGTCCAGTTGATGCCATCAGCATTACACTTCGATCCGAGGCTAGCACATAGTGACTGAGGAGCAAGATATGTGGAGAATTGTCGTGTTTGCGCTCGGCAGTCCCTCAACAGTCAAATTCAATTCGACTCTTGTGAAATATACCCATCTCGTACCAAAGATACCATGGCTCCAGATTTGAATGCTGTTACTGGTGGCGAAAGATTCGAMTACTCGAAGCCGGGATCAAGCGGATATGACATCAAGCAGGTACGCGTGGAAAGAATGGATTGGTCTACTTTCACTGACACACGAACAGGATATCACCTGGAGTGTGTCGAATGCCCGTTTCTCATCGATCAATGATTCCTAATACCTTCGTAGATGATCCGAATAACCGGAAACTCCGAGTTCTGACCATAGGTGGAGGTGTATCTGGTATCTTGATGGCCTATTCAATCCAGAAGCTTTGCGAGAACGTTGAGCACGTTGTATACGAGAAGAATGCAGACATTGGAGGAACATGGTGAGTTTGTTTTGGTGATTTCGGGACTCTGTGTGACCATCACTCACCAGGCTATCACTACAGGCTAGAGAATCGTTAGTAAGTCTGTTGCATTGACCGCCATGACAAAGTGCCCGCCGACTTACATTCAAAGCCCGGGATGTGCCTGCGACATCCCAAGCCATGCATACACGGTATGTAGCAATGCATCTAGTGGTCGCGACTCTATGAGGCTGATCGTCACCGTGTCAAGTACTCATGGGCGCTGAACCCGGACTGGCCTCGTTTTTTCAGCTATGCCCCGGACATTTGGAAGTACTTGGACAAAGTCTGCAACACATTTGATCTCAGAAAGTACATGACCTTCAACACCGAGGTTATTGGAGCGTACTGGAACGAAGAGAAGGGGCAGTGGAATGTGAAGCTCAGACAGACTCAACCTGGACAGCAACCAAGAGAATTCGAGGACTATTGCGACCTCTTGCTTCACGGTACCGGCATTCTGAACAACTTCAAGTGGCCTGCGATTCCAGGCCTAAAGGACAAGTTCAAGGGCAAGGTCGTCCATACAGCCAGGTGGCCAAGCGACTATCAGGCAGAACAATGGAAGAACGATGACATTGCAGTCATCGGTTCTGGCGCGTCTTCCATCCAAACTGTACCCGCAATGCAGCCGCACGCGAAACACATTGACGTTTTCGTCAGGACTGGGTGAGATACACTGTGACACTCTGTACTAAACGTAAGCTGATTTTCAAAGGGTCTGGTTCGTCCAGATTGCCAATAACTTTGGTCAAAACAAGGAGTATAGCCAAGAAGAGAGAGACACTTTCCGCAACGATCCCAAGAGTTTGGTGGCTCACGCAAAGGTAGATGACTAGACTGCATTCTAAGCGGATCAATACTGACAGATCTACAGGATATCGAGGATCAAGTCAACGGGCTCTGGGGAACCTTCTACTCCGACACGGCCGAACAAAAGGAAAGCCAAGAGCTCTTCTCAAAGAGAATGGCAGAGTTCATCAAAGATGAACGACTTTTGAAGGGGTTCACCCCTAACTTTGGCATTGGATGTCGTCGTGTCACACCTGGAGATCCGTAAGTATTTCCCCTCCCACTATACATACCACACTCTGACGATCGGGGTGTTTTTTTGCAGATACATGATGGCCATCCAGAATCCCAACATCGACGTTCACTTTACTGCTGTAGCCAGCTGCACCGAGGACGGTGTTGTTGGGGAGGACGGTACGGAGCGTAAGGTGGACACAATAGTGTGCGCTACTGGTTTTGACGTCTCGTACCGCCCACGATTCCCGATTATCGGCAGAAACGGTGTTGACCTGAAGGCTCGTTCTCAATCACGTTCAATAGTTCGCGTTCTACTATACTGACTCTGTAGTAGGATAAGTGGAGCGTCTGTCCGGAGGCATACTTGGGTTTGGCGATCCCCGACTTTCCCAACCTCATAACTTTCATTGGTCCTGCTTGGCCCGTGGAGAATGGAAGCGTTATGGGTCCATTGCAGAATGTCGCAGACTATACCGTCCAAATCATCAAGAAGATGCAGAACGAGAACATCAAAAGCTGGGAGCCAAAGCAGGACATCACCGATCAGTTCAACGCTCACGTACAGGTAATGAGTTCCACATCTGTTTGTTGTGCAAATGGAGAGATGTTGACCTTGCATTAGGAGTGGATCAAGCATACCGTCTGGAAGGAGTCTTGTCGCTCGTGGTACAAAGACAACGATACTGGTCGCGTCAATGGTATGTATATGAGACCGTCCACTGGAGATTCGTGCGTCTGACCCCACATAGCAATCTGGCCGGGCTCATCGCTGCACTATCAACAAGTCATTGCATCACCTCGTTACGAAGATTTCAATATCCAATACTTTGACAAGAATATCTGGGCATCTTTGGGTATGGGTTTTACGATTGAGAATCGTAAGGGAGTGGGAAATGCAGACTGCAGCCCTTATATCAATTTGAACCACATTGATAGGAAGTGGCACGTAGCGAATGGCGGTGACGAAAAGGTTTTGGACCAGCTTGTTGCAGAGCACAATGCGAAGCTGGAGAAGTAGATGTTTGATTGCTGGTTGCATAAGTATCGGGGATGGCTAAGATGAGGCCTTACATATGAAGCACATTAACAGCATAACGTTCGTTCCCTTTTTGCTGAAATGAGATGACAACCCAAGAACATCCGACACAAGGTGAGGAAGACTAATGTCTACCTTATTGTCCGTCCCGTCACAGTGGCAGCGCTTCACGAGCCTGTTGCAGCCTTGGTTCTTTTCTTACATGCATGTACTATAGAAGATAGCTGATGCGAGATGTCGTCGGGCCAAGACCTCGCCAACGGCTCCCACAAGGTTCCCCTGCGCATGACGCGAATAGCTTTTACAGTATACCGCCAGGATGTTGGTTCAATTCTTTCAAGACGCTCCCGGGAGAGGGATCGCCTAATAGGCGAGGTAGGATCGATCTCCTCCATCTCTTCTCGTTCCTGGCCGCAGTCTCAGCGTAACGGTGTTGCAGAAGATCTTGGACGGACTCCGTCCGAGGGGCCCAATTGGCCCACCATGATGCGTTTCATGCTTGCGGGGAACTTCAGCTTGCCATGTCCCGTCCTCCTCGGCAATTGATTGCATCATACTTTCCGGACATGAGCGAGGGACGGTATCATCACATTCGTCGCGGCGCTGATCTCGCGGAGACCGAACTGTCGACATCTGATGAGATAGTGATGATGTCTGGAGATGCTTTGAGCGGTAGGCTGTGCACGTAGCCCAAACTAAAAATTAGACTTGCCAAAAACGATCACCCGTGTGCACGTAATCCTTAGCGTGCTTCAGAAATAGGCTTTTCTTCAACTGCCTATTACGATTTAGTCTATGTCTGCAAGACACATTTCGGGTAAGGCTCGAACGGTTCGTACATGCACTTCACGTGCCCTCATGGGCTCATTGCGAGCCCGTCAACCTCCCCACTTGGCCGTCAAAATCTTTCGGCCGAGATCCTGCTGGTACGGGCCACGCATGAATCTGTTCACAGACATGTGGTGAGTGATGTATGAGTCGTCCATAATCGCCAAGGGTGTAAGACACGCTGCGGCTTGGAGAGGGACAGAATCATCGAACACTTCAATGTTGCCTTCCTCGGATCACCATCAACATGGAGATCGTCATCCTATAAGCTATTTGTCGCATCGAATCATTCTTCAGAAGCTCGAGATTACAGACCGACCCCTCACGGCACACTCGAGCAACTGGCCTCATCGGATCTGCTGTAGCTCACCTCCACGCTRGGTGTAGCCTTGTCGATGTGCAAGCTTGGATTCGGTGCCCGCTCCCCGAAGAAATGCAATCGACAGGGCCTTGACATTTGGTCTAGATCACTCGAATGTCGGAGGGGCCCAAACTGATACCCCAAGTTTGCAGATGAAGCAATAGAAGAACCCCAGGGAAGTGCCCCGAATGATTGGAGTCGATGCGGATGAGTTCGGGTATCTATGCTGATGCTTGCTATGACCGCTGACAAAAATTAACACACTGTATATTACAAAGTAGTTGCAGGCAGTGCCAGCACTGCTGCGGTCCACGGATCGAACCCGGGACATCCCGGCATCCGCGCTTTTGTGAAATCCGTTGATAGACTCTGGTTGGCTGCCAACGAAACAGGAGGTTGACCCTGTTCGTTGGCCAGCCTCATCCGCCGAATCTTACGCTGCAGGCGTTCCATCCTTCGCTCCTCGCGAAGTCGCGTAGCAGGCATATTCAAGTCCACCCGCTGATTGCTATGATGGCCCCATCAGGAATAGTCTTCGATCAGCTCGAGGGTGCCCCCTCGAGCTTGCATAGACATCAGCGGGAAAGTATAGATCGGTAGCTCCAGCGATGGCCGCGGCGTTTGCATCGATCCAGAGCAGCATCCTCTCGAGAAATCCCCCAAGACCCAGTGCCGGTAGCCCTCCACGTAAGCTGACCATTCGTTGCAAGCCGGTCATGTGTGTGTGAAATGTCTCCCTTTGGCCGAACAGAAGTTCGTAGGTAGCCATTTTTGCAACCGCAACGATAACTTGATCGCTCGTTGCACGACGACGCGAGCTGTGCTCCATTAGAGCGTGATTGACTTGTTGGATGGCCATTCCTCGTAGTTGAAGTATGTCAATGTTGTGCGACTGATCCCCTCGCAGCTTAGCTAGATGAGCGGCCGCAACGAGTATCAGGGCATGCAGTGAGGCAGGATCCGAAAAGGCGAGGCTCAAAAAGTGCGTCCGAATGAATTCCCGTGTGCAGCTGTCTGTTTCGGGCAAATCGATGGCCATTGAATTGACATAGTGATCCTACAGGCAAATCAGTACTTATGACTCCAATCAGATAGGCCATTAGACAACGCACCATAACGGGTGCCAACGAGGATTGCCATGCTTCAGGGTACACTTCTCGAGGGTTGATCACCGTAATTGGTGCCGCTGGAGGAGTCGTGGGAGAAGAGGCCTCCGGGCTGCTGGCATCGTTCTCAGACGGTCCCGAAGTGGGAGAGCGTGACGGCCTGGGTGTTGACTTGTTGCTTCGCAGGGCCTGCTCGGCAAGCGCTTTCCTTGCGGCTTTGTGCTGGCCGGTTGTAACATGACTGCGAACACTCTTGCGAGTTTGAGCGTTTTTTGCGTCCGAGGGGTTTGAAAAGTTCAAAAATCGAAAGTCGATGTTGCGTTCCTGTGAAGGAGATTTGCTGCCTGTGACAGCAGCACCACAGTCGTCAGACATGGTCTGTTGGGAAAGAGGAGTAAAGATGGAAGGACGTACTAGAACTAAAGCTTTCGGGGCGGGTGGAAGCCGATGAAGCAGATCCGCTTCCCTCCGAGCGCTTCCTGGACTGCTCGGCAGCACCACGTTGGTTGGTCATCGGGCTGGGATCTACAACAGCAATTCTGTTGAAAGGTGAAGACAGTACCGCGAAGCTGATCTGGATGGGAGTACATCGAGACTAAACAAGGAAAGAAACTTCAGAAGATATAAACCTCAACCTTCAGGGGTGCGTGCGGTTATGTGTTCACCGCATAGCCATCGTAGCTGGACAGGCAAGGCGATGTCGCCAATACGTCCGTGACGGGCATATTATTGGAAGGTCTTGTGTGGCGATCGTGTGGTGCCAATGCAGGCTTGCAAGGCAATGGTGTCTACATGTCCGGATCAAGAGGGTATGCATTAGCAGTCCAAAGGTGGATACAGTGGCACCTGGATGGCGGCTGAAGCTGAACGATTCTGTATGGCCATGGCGGGAAGAAGACGCCTCGCAAGGTCATTGGCCTGGGGAGCCTGCAGACCGCACTCCCCATAGAGCACGCGAGGCACGATACCCGGGTCCCTGAAGAGCGATGGTTTCGGGAAAGGCGTCCTGGGACAACTAACCCCAGGCTTCGGTGCCTTGAATCATCAAAAGGAGCCAGTTGAATGCACCCATCGCCATTGCTTTCTCGCGAATCAGCACTAATCATCTCACAATGCCTACCAAGTGAGCATCCAAGCGTACTGTTTGCATGCGCGTACACGCCGGCTCGAGGTGATTGGCACTGGCACGAATAGGAAAATCTACGCAAACGGCACCTGCTTTGCTGTGCATGCCCCGATTTCCTAACGAATCTCTGCCTGAGTTCGAGCGTCTTTGGTGCGGTGGATCTGCAAAGCCAATATTGACGGGTGGTCTGTATTCTACCAACGTCTAGCCCGATTCGGCCAATACGTACCCAGGTAACGGTCGTTATGTGGTGTGAAATGAGCTCTGAAATGGGTTAGCCTTACGTTGCAGTGGGCAACTAGTCGTTAGTAGATTGTAGGTGGAGCTATATTCCACTAACGTGTCGCTCGTATAGCCTCGTATACGCTAGAGTTAGTAGAGTTAGTAGAGTTCGTGAAATTACTAAGTTAAGTCGATTACCGGTATAAGAGCTACTTTCTTATCTACTACTATAGATTGTTCTTATCGCTGTTTCCTTAGTAAACGTACTACCCTTACTACCTCTAATATTACTACCCTTACTAGCTCTAATATTACTACCCTTAGGTCCTATTACCCTCGCTACCTACCTTTATACTATTCGTATCTAATTACTATCTACTATCTACGCTCTTTTAGTAGTGTTTACACGCCTTCGCGACGCTAGTAGTCTCTTACTAGGTCCTATATAGCGAATTGCCTATTAAATTCGACAACCTCCGGAGGTAGTTTATATAGTAATAGAGTTAGTAACTACTATAGGAGCTAGCTCGGCTACGCGGTGGATTTATCGTTAATATTAGTAACCTATCGAAGGCTCGAGTAGCCGTAGCCGTTTCGAATACGTGTTAGTATTTCGGTAATAAAGTTACGGCTTACTTAAGTAAGAGGGAACTCGTTTATAATTACTACCGTCGAGGGCGTATCGAACTTACTAAGCTCTATGTTAGTGTCTTTATCTATTAAATAAGCAAGCGCATTATCGATAGCTTTACCGAGCGACTCGGTATTATCGCCGCCGCGCTACTCGGACATAGTAAGAGCGCTAATTAAGAGCGCCGCTTCGTAGCTATAGGCGAGGGTGTTAATATATTAATTACGCTCCGCCTTCGTAAGCTCTATAACTATAACGTCCGCTTGTCGATAGAACGTCTCCTTAAACTACTCGATAATTATATACATTAAAGTATAGTAATTACGCTCGAGCGGCTAGTGTTAGTATTAGCGCTGCTTTTAACGGCTCTCGTCGTTAATACGCTCGCTCGTTCCCTCCGCTACTAGTATATCGCTTTCGTTAATCCGCTACTTACGGTAATAATACGTAGTGTTAATGCTAATAAAGCGGTTAACATACGTAGCGGTTTAAATAGTAGTAAGCTCGTTGCCGTCGTAGTAGGCATTAAACTATATATACTTATACGGTATTCGCTACTCGAACTAGAAGTAGTAGTAGTAACGTAAAGGCGTTTCCTTATCGTACGAGGCCTTAAACCGGAACTACTAAGGTATAAGGTTCTTAAAGCGCTTCTTACTATAGCGGTATTACTCCGTAATCTTCTCTTAAACGTATATAGGTAGTAGCTCGAACTAGCGGTAATGTAGACGAGCCTATAGGCTAAGCTTATCGTTCTTTAGAGCCTTATTAGCGGCGTTGTTGTTCTACCGCTTATCCGTTTTAAAGCTCTTAAGTAAGTAACCGGTAATTAAAAAGCTACGCTTAACGAGCATATTACCGCTCTTATAGTTAGAATGCTATCCTTCTACTAGATTAGAGGTGCGTATCTATATTAATAGAGGATTATCCTTACGGAACTTAGTGTACTATATATAAGCGTAGTTAAATAACTATTCGCGGCGTACGTAGCTATATAGCCGGTCGTTTAATCTACCTAGTAGTAAGTTAATAGCTAGCTATAGTTTAGCCTTAATTTTATCGTCCGTTTCGTAATATAGCATTATATGCTATAACGCTTAGTTAGTAGCCTTATATCTACCTTTAATAGGGAACTTAGTACGTATCGTTTAACTAACGTGTCGTTAGTAGAGTAGTAGCTTTACGTTATCGCCGAAGGCTATACGGATAGCGTTCTGTTTACTAGATAAGTCGTTCGTAACGGTCTACTATAATATTAAGCCGCTCTCGTTATTACTAGCCTATAATCGTAACGCGCGGAGTCCTTCTATAATAACTACGCTATACTAGCTCTTAATTACTATATAAGTAACCGGCTAAAACGAACCGTTACCGTTACGTACTACGAGGTTAATAAGGAACTACGGTAGGCCGAGTGCTTAATACGTAGCGTCTATAATTATAAGAGCTCCGTATTACTTCTAAACTATTAAACTATCTAGTGTTATAACGACGATTCTACGCCTTAATCCATCCTTCGTTCTAATAGCGAATAGCTAGTAGTATTATCTAAGGGTACTAGCACGGTTATCCGCCTTAATAAGCTGTATATCTATAGTATCCGCGCCCTTACGGACGTATCGCTTATCTAAGTTATAGTATAGTAATAAACGCCCTTAGTTATAAGCGTATTAGTACGTTAACTGCTTACCGCTAATATTACTATGCTCTTCCTTTAATACGTCTACTATTCGAGAGGCTCGAGGGCTATTATCTATACGCTTACGTATTAGGCCCTTTAGGAGCTTATTCGTACGGCGAGAGTTACACTGTTCGAGGCTATATAAGTGTAGTTCTTTATACTATCTACGTACTAGTTTAATTAAAACTAGCTTATTATTACCGTCTAGTTAGATTACCGCTAAAAAGGTAACCTTATACGGCTTAAGCAACTAACCGAACGACTTCTTATTCCGCGTACCTATATCGTCCTTATCTACTTAATACGTAGAGCGGCGCTTCTTAATGTATTAGTAGTAGAGCTTTTACGTATAATTAGTATCCGTAGGCTCTACCGTCCGTATATAGTTCTATACGTTGCTAAGTAGCTTCTAAGCTAGTTTAAAGTCCTCCGTTATAAGAACAATCTCGCTATCTAGACGAAAGTACCTATCTCGAAGGAGGGCAATTTCGGATGCTATTATACGTAGGTCTTAGTAGTATATATAAGTGTACGTAGGTAGTGTACGTAGGAAGGATACAAATCTTAGTACGGATTGTATTTGTTTAGAAAGATTTGTTTTGGTGTACGGACCACTGTAAACAATCGAGATCGGCAATTTCGGATAATACCCGAGTTGTTCTACATCCGGCTAGACGTTGGTGGAATACAGACCACCTATTGACGCCTTCAGCGCAATGAGTGGGCCGTCGGCGACAGCTCCTGGAAATGATCATCAATCGGAGCGCCCTTGAAGATCGCCATTGCATGCATCTGCTTTCCCAGCCCTCCGGCAGGCGGTGCTCTTGCGGTCCTTGAGCGCTCCTGCACGAAGCCCGGTCGACCACGAGCTGCAACGTGTATCTCAGATCCACGACACATCAGTGCGTTTACTGGGTCATGCAGCCCGCTGTTGCATGCATCGACCCGTCCTTGCTGTGATCTACACAGTACGTGTCTGTGCGTGGTGAAAATAAAAGTTATGCGAATTGTTCATCACGGGTAAAGAAAGGCGGTGCATAAGCCCTACAGACGTCACCCTGAAGGTCCAAGAATAGCTGCAGAGGCGTACAACATCCACGCTATTGTATGCGTGCTGTCACCAAAAGCATCAAAAGCATCGTTACACCAAACAACCATTTGATTCCCACAATGGCAACGGCGAAGACACGGCACGTAGGGTCGCAATATGGACGCAACAGGAAGGATCCCTTCTTGGAACTGTCAGACGACACGCAGCTGCGTGAGCAACCTACATCGAGCAACACCAAGAACCATGAGAACCATGACGCCTCATCGGTGTCACCGTTCCTGGATGTGCGCGCTGCCATGGTCCAAGTAGTCTGCGACAACGCGCTGACGCCTTTGCAGTTTCTGCTCACTCCAATCTATGTCGTCTCATTCATTTTCTCTCTCACCGTAGTGGAGCGTCAGCAGCGCCAATGGCGGCTGTCACAGCATGCACGACAACCGCAAACTGTGTGGGAACGGTGGTTTTCAAGTTCCGAACCGTACCAACAAGCCCCAGGAACGACGTGGGCACCTCATTACTCATGGAGGCGCCGTGGAGTGGCCAAATTGCAAATCAACGACGTTTTCGAGATTCGCGATCGGGTAGCCATATGCACGGCGATATGGACGATCCTCGCTCTGATCGGATCTGCATACGCCACGCGATGGGTGTATTTTTGGTTGTTCAAATGATGGATCATGCGCAACGAAGCACTACGAATTTCTTCTGTACCGGGCAAAGGGCGCAACTGGGGCTCCATGGCCGATGTACCTCGTCTTCGGCGCATGTATGGTAGTGATGTCGCTTAAAGGGACTGGAAACGGAAGTCCCGGTGGCACAATCGAGGTACGATCGAAAGTGGGCTGATCTGAGTTTCACGAAGTGGGATATGTCTTTCTCGGTGCCTGTGGCCATGTCCGCTTCGAGTCTTTGCAATTAGGTCACGGCAGGTCAGGCAGCTAGACGGCCACTGTTTCGAGCTCGTCAATGCCGGGCTGGCGGGTGCGCGGAACTGGCTGCACAGCAGGTGTGTCAGCCTCGTGGTCTGTCAACTCTACTTTGATGTGATCTGTCCCCGCCGTCCAGATTCAGGGCAGACATGAGTCTGAGGTCAGCAGTCCAGAATGCACGATCACAGCCTCAACATGTGACAGGGTAATAATACACGGTCGAAGCGGTGCAGTGGTGCATTGCTTGTGTTTTCGCGACAGCTGACATGGACAAGCGTGAAGGGGAAGCCAGGAGCAGGCCGGTATACAATGGCGAATCCTCACCTAACGTGACACTATGCTTTGAAATGTGATCCGAGGCCCCGAGAAGGCACGGTAATCAGGAAGCCTGGGAATGGCGCATGGGGACACATTTGTCGAGGGGCAGACTGCCGTTCGCTTGATCGATTGGATTGAAGACCGAGGACTGGAGGAGGACCTGTGAACCGCAAATCGTTTTGGTGAAGATCGCTCGTGACTGTGTCACTGCGTTCAAGCCGATGCCATAGCCATAGCCGCAACGCCAGATGTTGCATCCCGCTAAAAGTGTCTTCGTTTCATGACTGCCATTTTCCGACCGTACTGCCTCTCTCCAACTTCCCGCTTATCTCAGTCTCCTGGCCTCACGCTCAGACTCGAGCAAGCACAGAATGTCATCCTCACGCACTACGATGCGATTAGCCAACATCGAAATTGTCCGCCTGCATATTATTCGTCTCACCTGGGCCCTTGACGTTGCGAATGATGCTGCGGGTGGTGTCGTCCATGAATTCGACGCGGACCTGGGTCACACCTCCACGAGAACCTGTACAGCGTTAGAGCCTTCTTCCTTGCTCTTTTGTTCAATTCGTTTTCGCGAGATCGTGCGTACCGGTGCGGCCGAGGACTCTGGTGACCTTGACGAGCTTGACTGGGACCCTGTCGAACTGCCGTTAGCTGCCTATTGCCGTATCTCGTGCGCGCATCAATTCGCACTCACTTGGCGGAATCCATTTTTGCGGTGTCGTGTGTGGGTTGATTGGTTTGGCGGAGAGGTGGTCGTAAATCTTCGTGATGAGATGTCGCTCGGACGTGCCTTCCTCAAATTCGAGTGTCAACGGAGCTACCCGGACTTGGCAAACTCTAAAGATCGCGATTCACTACTGACGGGATGAGGCACAAGGGTTCACGAGCGGGACAGATAGAAAAATTCGGGGCAGCACCTCAGATGGGAAAGCCGTTTAGAGAACCACTAGATGAGCTATTGCAGTCAACGTCTCCAATGTACGATCTGTGTTGAACCTACTTCTTATCTCTATCCTGCCGCTGCTTCTCGCACGTTGTGACGCTCGAAATCCCGTCGTTCGCGGCCAAATCCCAGTCGTAGTCCCAGACAACACCGCACGTGTTGGTTGACTCAACAATCGATCCAAGCAAAAGCACGCCCGCATCCCACGACAGCTCCCCGCCGCTGCTTGCTGAACACCGCCTAGCATTGCCATTACAGTGAAATCGAGGCCATGGATCTTGTAAACCAGTAAGTCTGACATGACTCAATCTTCCACCATGAATGGCAGCGTACCTGGAAGACGGTGGAGTCGTTCTCTGCCACACATGACTGACACGCTCGGTAGCCTTAACGATAGACTTTTGTTTGCCGTGCCAAAGAAGGGCCGCCTCCACCAAGCCTGTTTGGATCTTCTTTCCGGCTCGGACATTCAGTTCCACAGACACAATCGTCTTGATATCGCTCTGGTGAAGAACCTTCCTTTGGCACTAATCTTCCTCCCCGCCGCGGACATTCCAACTTTCGTTGGGGAAGGTCGAGTTGATTTGGGAATTACTGGTCGAGACCAGGTTGCTGAGCACGAAGCCGCCGTACCACCTACGGAAACCACTGGAGTTGAACAGATTCTGGATCTCGAGTTCGGAAAGTGCAAGCTGCAAGTCCAGGTGCCTGAGAATGGCGACATTCAGACCCCCGAACAGCTTGTTGGCAAGAATATCGTGACGAGCTTCACCCACTTGTCAGAGCACTACTTCCGTGACCTGGAATCGAAGGCAAATGGAACCCTGAACGGCGTGGACAGCGCATTGCAGACCAAGATCAAGTTTGTTGGCGGTAGTGTCGAAGCAGCTTGCGCTCTTGGTGTGGCGGACGGTATTGTCGACCTCGTTGGTATGTCGAAACGCTCCTTCCCATCCTAGTATTGCTCGTGTTGACATATCTTTAATAGAATCTGGGGAGACCATGCGAGCAGCGGGCCTCAAAGCCATTGCCACAGTTGTGGAATCCTCCGCAATTCTGATTCGATCCAAGCATCCGTCTGACCCCAAGCTGGTCAACAAGATCTGCAACCGAATTCGGGGTGTCATCACTGCTCAGCGATATGTCCTTTGCACTTACAACGTTGCACGCGACAAGCTTGAGCATGTGAGAAAGATCACTCCAGGGAAACGGGCGCCAACCGTGAACTCCCTGGAAGAAAGTGGCTGGGTTGCTGTGTCGGTGATGGTGGAGCGCAAGAACATTGCGAATGTCATGGACTCGCTGACTGAGGAAGGTGCAACTGACATTCTGGTTACCAAGTTGGAGAACACCAGAACTAGCTGAAGGACAGAGTTAGATATTTGCTTGCTCCGAGAGTCGAATTATCCCGTTGTCGCCGATTCTCCGGCTTCGACTTGCTGGTTGACATAGATCCCATGTGGAACTGCAACGACAATAGAAATATGTGTTCTTTTCTACTCCCACACGACGCACAGCGCGATGCCATTGAAACCTACACGTATGGAAAGCCCCGAGTGTCTGCAACTTGAGACTAGGGAATGATGGGCTCGAACGTAGAAAGGAGACTGTACGCGAAGCAATGCGCGTGATTGAAAGCAAGGGAGGTTTTATTCGATCCACGCTTGACTTGAGATACACGTCGTTCCGATCATCCCGCCCATTAAAGACGCTAACATCAAGTAGAACAGAACATCAAAAGCCCGAAACCAAAATGCAGACGAACAGAAGTGCCACGCTGATTGAGCGGGCATGCGGGTGCAGCAGACGCATCACATGAAATCGTCCCTGTGCGAGGTTAGCGGTGCATTTGTAGGCATTTTCCGGAGATGACTTACTCATCGAGGCCATCATCGTATGCAGCGGTGTCAGCCATCGAGCCCACGTTACGGTTGGCGTTGAGGCTGGTCTTGTTCTTCGCGGCCTTGGTCTTCTTGCCGCCCTTCTCGGCGGCCTTTTCCTCCTTCAGCTTCTCATTGCTCAGAGCCGTCAGTCCGCTTGCGACCTTCTTGATCTGCTCGCTGCTCATCTCCTTCATGATCTGCTTCGCGAATTCGCCCATGAACAGCGCGTATTGAGGCTTCTTGGCGTTGTTATTGAGCAGGGGTACCAGAGTTTCACGGAGTTTGTTAAATGCCAGTGCGGTGTTCGGGTTGAAAAGCTTCATGCTGGAGAGGTCGATGGTGTCGCTCGGGTCCGCGCCCTCCTGCACGGTGATGGCCTTTGGAGCGCCACGGCTCGCTGGGACACCACCAACCCCCCCGAAGAGATCCTCTGCATTCTTGAGGTCGGCCTCCTTCTCAGCAGCTAATGCGCGTGCGCGTCGATCGCTTTCATCCTCAGAATCGTCGCTGTCAGCATCCAGGTCCAAGGCCTTCTGCCTCAGCCGCTCCTCCCGCTTTTCCTCGAGTCGCTGYGACTTAGACTTGTGGTTGGCTTTAGCAAGGGCGTCGGCCTTTGCTTTGGCTTCTGCCGCCTTCTTCTCCTTCTCGCGCTCGACCTCGCTGTCCTCGGCGGCGTCCCATGAGTCAAGGACATCGCCATTATCTTCTTCATCGTCGAACTTGCCGCGGCGCAAGATCACTGCCGGTGCGGAGGGAGAGGTAGGCGGAGTGCTATCGGATTCTTCGTCGTCCCACGCGGAGGGAGCCATGATTGCGGTGTTGTGAGAACGTGCTCAAATTCTTCTTGAGATTGTGATTGTCAGGCCGAACTTGGGGGTGTCGTTTGCGCGCAAATTTCTTTGTGCCTTTAACAGTGCAATGTGCGTTGAGTGGGAAGAATGACGCGTGCAGGTTGCGAAGGTGAAAAGTCGAGCAGAAGTTGTGGTTGTGGTAATGAAATGAAATGAAATGGCACATAAGGCAGGTATAGTGGGGTGATCTCAGGAATCGATTCTGTGGACGACCGTCATCGTGCATCTCCTATACTGATCGCTTGAAGTTACAACCAAAGAGTACCTACCTACCTAACAATATGTACCGCATGAATGAAGATGTATGCTTGATTCGGGGTATATATCAAATCCTTGCACCTGTTGCAATAGTACTTCAAGCGCAACAAAATTGCCCAGAGCCCAGACCTCAAGGACTCTGCCTCGCTTGCAAGATTTGCACGTGAAGAAACCATGCCACTTCGCCTCGATTTCGAAAAAGCGTATATCCAATTGCGAATCGACATTTGCTCTAATACTTTACAGACGGCTATTATGCCACCATTCGACTCCCGCTCACTATCAAAGGCCATGCTTCGACTGGGGGCTCCTTCCCATAGTCCTGTACCACTTTTTCACCTTATCTGAAACCACCAATCATACCAGTAGGCTGCGGCATAATGCCATTCGAATAGGGTGCTGGAGACTGAGCACTCTGCATTGGGCCCTGAGTCAACATCAACCGTGACTGGCCAAGGATTGGACCGGTGTCCTCGGGCTTCCTGTCCGCCGCCTCACGAGCCTTACGCTCGTCATTGTCGTGCTTCAGCTCTGAGATGGTGGCAGCTTGTTGTGACATGTAGTTGATCATGAAGGGCATGGTAAAGTCGTTCAGACCGTGGCGCCATGAAATTTCCATGACCGTGTGGAGTGGGATGAGGTCGTAGCAGGCGTAGAGCATGCCGACGTAGCATTCCTTGCTACCAATGTCGACGAACTGTAGAGAGATTAGCGAAAGGCTATTAAATGAGATGAGGGGATGCTCACATAGCGAAGAAGCTCCTCGACGACCTCGGTCTTGCCCGAGATGGCCGAAGTCTCGATGGCGTCTTTGTAGAGCTTGTCCTGCTTGGAGAGCTGGATGGACTTGTCCCAACGCTTGTTCTTGCGGTAGATGTTCGCCGCGATCTGGCGGAAGAATACGAGGTCATGCTTCTCTAGTCGCTGGGCGAGGGCTACAGCCTCATAGTTGTCGAAGTTCTCCACGCTATCACGAAGCTGCTGGTAGTCTTCCTCCTCAATCAAAAGGTCGTTGATTGCATCGTTGACTGCCCGCTTGTTCTGAGGCTGGACATTGAGCAAGAACGGCTTGATGAGGGGAATATTGTCTGACTTCTCAAACATGCGCACGACACGATTGACATCGATGCGTGGCGTCAGTGCCTGGAGCAGATCGGTGATGAGTGATGGCTGCTCCTGGAGGTAGAAGTTCAGAGCTCGGTAGTAGATCTCCAAGTTGGCCACCTTGACGATAGTCTCCTTGAAGGTATGATGTTCGAACGCGTCGGAGGCACGTTCCATCATGGCGAGAGAGGCGTTATCGAACTCGTCGTAGTGAGTGTAGAGGAAGACAAGCTCGGGCCAGAGGTGAGCGATCTCGCATGCTTTGATCATCTTGGGGATGTTGATTCTCCCCCAGAAGATGCGGAGATGCTCCATGACCCGCTCTGGGTGATACTTGCTGAGGGCGATACCCAACTCAGTGAACATGCCTAAATGGAAAATTAGCAAATGGTCGAGATCATAGAGTCAAATGCTGTCTCCTGTTGCACATGTTGCTTACCCATATGAGCACGCTCAAGCCCTAGACCAGCCTCAAGGAGCGAAATAAGCTCATCAAAGTATCCATTGCRCTCGTACTGCTTGACTAGGTCTGTGAGCTCCTCAGCGTGAACGATCAGGTTGAGACCACAGATCTGTGCAAGGCGGAACTCCTTCTTCTCCACGCATGCCTCGTTGACCTGCTTCCAGACCTTGACGTTGTTGGCCTTGCGGGCACATTCAACGGCAGCCTGGTAATCACCCAAGTGTACGAGAGTGGTAGCAAGCTTGGCCCAGTTGGAGATGGAGGTGAAGAAGATCTTGGCCGCCTCATGGTAGCCTTCAGCGTAAGCCTTGTCACCGGACTCCTCAATGTTCGCGACGTTTGATGAGCGCAGGTACTCCTCAAGCTCGGGCAGCTGATTTGTTCGTGCAAAGCAGAAGGCGAGAGCAGTGTCGATGGGTGGTTCGCGGAGAGTCTTGCGTGCCATCCGGAGGTACTTGATGAGGTCCTCATCCTTGCMGGCGTGTGTTGCAGTCTCGATGACCTCGAGATGGTTGGAGGGATCCTGAGCGCGGATGTAAGACTCAACAGAGTCCGTCACACGGAGACCGTCGAGTTGCGCCTTGGCGACCTTGCTCCAAACTTCGGGAAGATCAACCTCTTCAGCGAATTCGGCGGCTCTGTCAATGGAGACAACGTGATCGACGAGCACATCGGCAGCCCTGGAGTGATTCTTGGCCTTCTTGTGCATGAGGAAAGCCTCCTCGTACATGCCAACCTCGATACATTGATCAGCGATGCTATCGGGATCATACTGATCAAGCTGCTGGATGTAGTTTGCAACACGGCCACGATCAGACTTTGYCGCAGTAAGCATCAGCAGGTTCTGCAGGTTAGCATTGTCTGAGAACACAGTAGGTTCCAGGATGATCTTCTCAAGCAACTCGATCAGCTCGACAGGCATGTCTGCATCGATAAAGGCCTTGACCGCGATGCTGACTTGGTCAGGATCGGTCGAGTTCGGCACTGCGGTGGCGATGACTTGGTCAACCAAAGAGCGGCGGTGAATGTTGTTCTCGGACAAGACGTATGACCAAATCTCTGGATCCGCTCGCTCCAACAGGTACCGACCTTGGGCGCGGAACATGCTGTTCTCATTGGTAATAGCAATGAGCTCGAGGTCATTCTGGCCCTTGGAGTACGCAATGAATGCAAGGTTAGGGTCTCGCTTCTCGCAATACTTTCCAACGGTGAGTGTGTCGTAGAGATCGTTCTGTGAGAGGAAAGCTTCGGGGTTGTTGTTTGAATCAATGTAGATCTTCGCCAGCGCGTTGTAGACGGCCACCTGCTGATTACCAGCGGCCAAGGTCTTCTCGAGGAACGGGAGCAGCAGCTTCAGACGGTTGCGCGACTCGACTTCGGCCACGAGCTCATCAATAGGGATCGAGGATGACTCAACAGAGCTCAACATGTTCTTGATGACGGTCTCATCACAGTCAACGTCCAGGAGTGCGCCGATGACGCCGGGAGTGCGTGCAGGGTTGACGCGCTGGACGTAGACCTCGATCGACTTGAAATGCTGGTTCTTGTACAGGTACATGACCAGATCGTGAACAAAGTTGAAGCGATCGCACACGATGATAAGAGGGAGTTGCTCGTGGAGGTTGGCTTCCTTGAGGAAGTTCTTCACCTTCTCTGGGTCGTAATGGTCTGAAGAAATCAGCGAATGTTCTCAAGAGATGTCGAATGCCCATCGGCAGGGGAAGGGAGATACTTACCGCTCTCACGGCAGATGCGCTCAACCTCTTGGAGCTGACCCATTGTGGTCGCAGCCTCGATGTACTTGAAGGTGACCTCGTTGTCCTGTGTGATGTTGACAATGCCACCGAGGTAGAAGTAGAGGCCTTCAGCGGTGCGGTACTTCTCGAGCAGCGCAATGATCGATGAAGGACCAAATAGATCCGAGTATTTTTTGCTAATGTTGATGACAACTTGTAGATTCTGGCGAATGTTGACTTTGAGCATCTCATCCAAGCACTCCAAAGCCAATTCGACAGTCAAGCGGCCAAAGTAGTTGCTGAGAAACTCCTCACTGATCTTGTCCGTTTGAACGATGCAGCGTTTGATGGAGGCAGGGTCCTCGTAGTGCTCTAGAGCCCTTGTCAGTAGACCGGCGTTCTCACACAGGCCTGCAATCTTTGCTTTGTCGTAGTAAGAAAACATCTCGTTGCCCAAGATTGCATCTGCGACCTGAGGCGCATTGAGAAGATTCATCTCGAGTAGGCGTGTCTGCAAGTGTCCTTGCTCGGGCTGATTTGCTGACAACGCATCGAGGAGGAACGATGTCGCTTGTTGCACCATTCCTTGGGCCTGGAAGACGTCGAGGACGCGATCAATGTCGAGCAGCGACGGATCCTCGCGAGCAATACTCGTGGCGAATTCTGCAGCTTTGTCTGGGTTGACCCGCGTAACATTCTGGACGAGGGCATTGAAGTCTGGCGAGTAGCCAACAGACCGAGAGTACGGCAAGATCTGCTCAAAATTACCAGACTCGGCCATTGCAGCAATGACTTTCTGCGATGCGCCAGCTTCTTGATAGATCTGTTGCGCTAGCGCAACATCGTGAATGCGCACGAGGTCTCCGAGCTGCTCGGAACAACCAAGTTTGCCCTCCTTCATCCACTTCTCGAGCAAGTGCTTGCGGTTCTGAGAGAGCACAGGTCGAGCGAGCTCRAGTGTCTCATGCTGGTTCAACTTGCTCTTGTCCAAGAGCATGCCAAAGTACTGCAAGATGAACGAAAGCTGACCCTGTTGCGCAGGCAAGTTCTTGAACTTCTCAATCGTCTGTGGTGTGCGGAGGAACCCGGCAGGAGAATTTGCGGCTGTCTTCGCGGCCTGCTGGTAGTCTCCTGCGTTGAGAAGCTGATCGAATCGCTGCTGGTATAGCTGATCGGCACCAGGTAATCCCGCTCGAGACGCCAGCTTGTACGCAAGCTCGGCATTCTCGGGGTTTTGCAGAAGGTATGGAATGATCGTGCTCTCGTCCACGCTAACGGCCAGGACTTGGCCCTTCCTGTTTACTCCCACAATTCCTGCGCCTTCGTCATCGCCTGCGGTCGTGAAAATCGTTTCGCTCGAGATGCGGTTCATGAATATGGTCGTGCCAGTTTCGAGATCGTACAGGTGGATGAAGCCGTATTTAGTCACCAAGTAGATGACTTTGTACTTGGATGAAACCTGCATGGCCACGGGGAAGTCGCTGACCGCCTCTGCAGGAAAGTAAATGTCGACAGCCTTCTTTTGGAACACTGGATTTGACGCTTGATGGTCGACCTCGACAATGTGTAGCTTGGCACCAGTCGCTGAGCGGTTCGCAAACGTGAAGAGCTTGGTATCCGAAGATGCGTCCTCCATGCGGAAAGATCCAAACGCAGCAGCGTGTCCTTCGATGGCCTGGCTGATTCCTCGCTCCTTTGAGTACAACTGCATGCTGCCGACGACCCGGCCCTGCTGCTGAGAGATGCCTACCACGACCATCCACGACTCGTCGTCCGCGACGCGGTAGTTGATTATCTGACACCCCGACAAGTTCTGGTTGCGATCGAACATCTTCTGCGGCGTGACTTGTGATGGGTCGAAGATATTCCAGTGGTATATGGAGGTCGGTGTAACCAGGCCCAGTGAAGTCTCGCTGATCCACTTCCAGAAGAGGACCTCCTCTGTCATGGTTGTGCTCTTGATCTTGCTCTTTTGCGCCAAATCGAATATCTGCAATGTCATACCACCCGCCTTGAGCGCAATGATCTCCTTGCTCCAGTGCATGATCGCACTGTCAGCCTTGATCGGCCGCTTCATGACGCTGTTGCCATTCTTGAGGTTGATGATGAGCACCTCAGGCTGGGAGCCCTCGATGACTTGCCGTACGCAGACGAAGTGGTCGGATTCGAGCGTGCATGAGTTGAAGCCTATTGAGGTCGGCTAGGAGGATTAGGCAGTCAGCAGCCAAACGTGTGCGCGGGATCGAATAGCAGCAATACTCACGACGATTCCGACAGATGTGAGGTTCAAAGTCTCAGTGAACTTGATGGGTAGCGGTGCCATGTTGAAGTCTGCTCAAAGAGCTCTAACCATCCAATGTTTCCAATCGCGGAGCCTGACCTGCGCGTGCGCGTGCGCGCGGTGATTCGGGATAGATTCTTGGATCTAGCTTCGTGCGATCCAGATTCTGCTCTCGAATTGGAATGAGCGGATGAGAGACACGAGGGTTGTGGTGAGTGTGGTCGAGCTTGAAAGGGGTGTTGTCGTTTGTGCAGCTGGAGACAACAGTTGGTAGAACCGGCGCTTTACAAAGCTGGGCGCGCTCCTGCCTGCCTTTCGTCATCAAAAGCTGGAGAGAACTCCAACTTCAACCCCAACAATTCACCTCTCAACTCAAGACATGCTTATGTAGACTTCAACGCCAGTCTCAGCGATCATCACAAGCTGAATGAAATGACATGCACTCTCAGGTCTTCACAAGCTGTTCGCAGTAGCCGCATGAGCACACAGAGTCACAGACTGAACATGAAGACGCGCTGTAAACGTGCGTCTGGCGTCGCCCACAAATTGATGATCATCCCAGCTTCAATAATGGCWTCTACAGCTCCAGCAAGCTCATTTCGGACATTTCGCCATACAGTCATCCATCTTGTGGTAGCGACCTGGCGAAGCTGCTTATYCTTCGTACTCGCAGCATCTCCGAGGGCGAGTTGTTAGTACTTTCATGACCATCACCTATGCCAAGACTGCGTCTGCAGCGTTTCCCTACAACAGAGGTTGCTGCGCCTCTCAAATGAATCCAACGGACCAGACAAGAAACAATGTGTTTGTTCAGGAAAATGGTCGGCCCGCAAAGCGGAATCCTCCCTGCGAAATGGACGCTGTATCAGATGAAGCTGCCGCAACCTTAGAGCAACATCGGGAGCGACCAGTAAAGCTCAGCGCGGCCCCCTGTATCGGAGCGCTCTCCCAATTGCTCATGGCGGAGAGTGCTTCGAATCAAAGATGAGGCGGTAGCAAGACCTCTCCTTGGCCGTTGGTGGTCGTGATCGCGGTCGCGGCCGCGCACGTGGAAGCGAGACCACCTCTCGGCATCCGAACAGGCGAAGAACAAACGCCTCTTTGTGCCTCCAAATGGTTCTGAAAGACTGGAACGACCTCGGGAGTCTTCTAGGCTCACAGGGGATAGCTAGCTCAAGCGATATTGATATCGGATAAGTAAGGTATTCTCGTCACCCTCGACATGTTCTTTGTTCGTTCTTCTTCTTCTCAACATCCTAAGATTTACGACGCTCTGTTCCTCGTAGTACTCACGGCCAYCTTGCCTCTTGCCAGCGCAATGAGCACCCTGGCCGAATTTGATGCATCAACCTAATGTCAATCAAGCTCGCGATGCGGCACCGCGCTCCTCATCATGTTACTATGGAATGAGTACGTACCAAGAATATCAGCCACTACAGAACGTAAAGGCCACATGCGATCCAGCAAGATGTGCCACCATATGCCAGAAGAATACCGAATGCAAGAGTAACTCTGTTGGCTTGAGCCAGTGCCGACTGTAAGTACAGCGAATGGCAAAAGGCATCCCACGCAGACATTGAAAGACAATTCCGATGACGAGGCCTCTGCGCATCTGTGACCTGCTAGTATTTCAACTACTTCAACTACCTACTTCAACTACTGTTACTACTTCTCAAGCTACAGTTATGAGCGTCATAGGAAAGTAAAGGCAGTGCAGAGGCCAGGGCCCTGGGGTAGGTACAACGGAGTAGGCGACGATGTACCCCCATTTCGGACGGCTGAAGCTGCAAGTGTACTTTGCCTGATGCTTGCTTGTATTCCGCCACGTCACTCAACTCGACTCCTTCTGAGCGGCTCGCTCGCAATCAAGGAGCATATTGTGATCAAAGATGATGCTGATGTGAGCAAAAATCTAAAAGCATGAACCAAGTACCCTTAAGAAGAAAATAAATAAACATAACGATAAAATACCTTACCTTAAGAAGAACGTTCTACTCTTTAAGATAACTAGTATTATAGGACGACCTAGTAGCTTAACTAAGTACGGCCGGTCCCGTAACTTCCTACGTCTCGACCTCCTACCTAGCGACCTCTTAGTTACCTTACTACGTCAACAATCTCATCGCTTCACCGTCCCCCAACACCTCATATCACCTCGAATATCCCAGATCATTCCGACGAGTCCGCAAAAATGGCCAACGAGGTATGCTTGAATCTTCACTTTCCGGTGCTTGGCCGCACGTGGTGTCTCAACCAATACTCCCAACACCTCTTCACCGCGCTTTAGTGCAGATTGCTGACTTCCGAGTGCTACAGCGCGAGAGGTATGACCGCCAGCGGCATCAAATGCTGCCATTCGCAGCGCAAATACTGACCATGAAGCAGCAAGACTTTCCTCGCACGACTGTGTGAGCAGGCTGAGCGCTACGATGGTACGTCATCACGATAAGGCGATGCTGTGGACAATGGCTAACGTGATCTCCAGAGATGGTCAGCTACATGAAGGTATGGAGTTCGCAGCGGGGAGCAGATTGAAGCAATTCACAACTGACACGCGAAATAGGAAGTCGCAAAGGTACGAACACCCTGATAAGCGCACACGACGGCGCATGTTCCCGAATTTGCCGCATTGAAATCCTACTACAATCGCCGAAAGCGCCGCCAAACTAATACTGCACAGATTGGCGGCGAACTTACCGTTGACGAGCGCAACCTTCTCTCCGTGGCCTACAAGAACGTGGTTGGAACGCGCCGTGCTTCGTGGCGCATCATTTCCAGCATCGAGCAGAAGGAGGAGGCCAAGGGATCGGACAAGCACGTCGACATCATCCGCGACTACCGCCAGAAGATCGAGACTGAGCTGGAGAAGGTCTGCCAAGACGTTCTGGATGTCCTCGATGAGAGCCTCATTCCCAAGGCGGAGACTGGGGAGAGCAAGGTTTTCTACCATAAGATGTATGTTGTTGCTAGGAGCAGTAGATGGTTCATTGAAGCTGACAGCGTTACAGGAAGGGTGACTACCACCGTTACCTGGCCGAGTTCGCGTCTGGTGAGAAGCGTAAGACCGCTGCGACCGCTGCCCACGAGGCGTACAAGGTGAGGTTCATCCAGACCGCTTTTGGTGACAGCGGCTGACCGATCGTGAAGAACGCTACAGACGTTGCCCAGACCGAGCTGACCCCAACCCACCCTATCCGTCTCGGTCTCGCCTTGAACTTCTCCGTCTTCTACTACGAGATCCTAAACTCACCCGACCGTGCATGCCACCTTGCCAAGCAAGCCTTTGACGATGCCATCGCCGAGCTCGACAGCCTTTCGGAGGAGTCCTACCGCGACAGCACGCTCATCATGCAGCTCCTGCGCGACAACCTGACCCTCTGGACCTCTTCAGACGGCGGCGAGTCGGAGGCTGCTGCTGGCGAGACCAAGGCGGAGGAGAAGGCACCTGAGGCTACCGAGGCGCCTGCGGCCGCTGCCTCGGAGGAGCCAAAGGCTGCTGCCTAGATGCAGTGCTGAATTTCATCAAGTCATGAGCGTGGGCTTTCCGGAGTTGGATCGAGTGTGGAAGCGTGTTGTCGTTGTTTCCACTCACTCTCAAAGAATGAGAGATGACAGCGGATGAAGCAATTCGGACGGAGACGGAAGTTTTGCACCCACCTACGAAAACATCCTTCGATCACAGCAAAAGCGGGACCCGACGTCCTTCCTTGTGGCCCTGAACCCGAGGGGAAGTTCGGAAAAATGCAACTTGAACTTTCCTATCGGCCACGCCCCTATGCGTATTGTTTATTAGCGGCTTTGGCGGCACCTCGATCGACACCCCCTCTGCGTGCGTGGTTTGTTTGTGGTTTTACTCTGAAGTTCAGAGTGGAGCGAGGAGTCGAGCTGTTCTTTCGTCTACCCATACCCCCTGCCCATTACCTGCGACACTTATGGAGCAAACGACGGTCTCTACCTACTGAAGCTAGCACCATTGCGGCGATTTCAGAAACAAAAAAAAACGTTCAACAGTAATCTGGGAGTTTCGTGTCTTGTGAGGTGTACATCTATTGCTCGTGTTCCACCTGACCTTCGCCATTGCTCCACCAGCTTGTGCCCGTCTTTACAGCATGGTCACCCAGTTACTTTATGCGAGCGCGAAACCATTTGATTCGGCCTTCATTTCACCTCGACTTCCATCAAAGTTGTATCCTCAAATTCGCTTCCATGTCGTTCTACCCCTGCCGTGATGCCTTTGTCGACATTCTCGAGTGCCCTTTCACGTAATAAATCCCTCATCCGGTTTCGCTGCCAAAACAAGAATCCGAAGACATCAACACCTTTCATGGCGCATGGTGGTTCAACGGGAGTATGTACGGCTGGGGAGGTGATCTCTCATTGCATACGTAGTTTCGTAGGTTCAAAGATTCATTCGATTAGCGTAGCATCTTCAATCTCTTCGAATCTCGCCTGCACACTGCTCTGCTCCCGCCGATGCCTAATTGACGACCCATGCCATTTCCCCCACTCATACCGTTCTACTCCCAACTTCTTCGCCAATGTGCAAACCCCGAAAAACAAGACTACATCCAAAGAAGCGCCCAGCAAGATCCCCAGACCAAGTCTACTCGCATAGGTGCCCAACTCCACCATTCCACCCTGACTTGCAATCCTGGATAGTGGGCCCCCAAAAGGTGCGTAGAGTCTCACTCCTGGTGACCCAAATCTGGAAAGCGAAGGGCCCGGGAAAACATATGCAACAGAACGCAACATCAAGCTCTCAAAAGGCATAAATGCCACTTTCCTAAGTATCGCATCTATTGCATCCGCGAGCAATCGCGCGGGAGCATGTGCAAGAGCTGTGGAGCGATGAAACGACGCCGTCGGAACTAGCTGATTGTTTTCGTCGAGAAGCGCGTCGTTTTCCAAATCACCTTCAGCTGACACCCGCGGATTGAGTTTCACGATACGCCAGCCTGTCCAGTGAAGAAACGTTGTCCGGATCGACCAGGCTTGGTACATTGCCCATCCGATCGGTTCTCTTTTAAGAGATGGTGGTGAGATGAGAGAGGAATCATCTGTAATTTCTGGCCAGCGGAAGTTGGTGAAGAAGCCTAAGATGGGGAAGCCTTCTGCTGATGTTTCGCAGCGAAGGAGACGGTACATGCCGAGGAGGATAGCGGGGCTTGTGAAAAGGGAAGTAGTCCTCCTCCAGCCAAAGGAATGAAACGAGGAGGGATGCGTTGGGGAGAAGAACGTCCAAGGGGGAAACAGTGGAAGAGCGGGTATCAATGAGAGTGCTTGAGCGGTGGTGTAGAAGTCCATGGGTAGAAGAGCAAGGTCTATAAGGATTAGACTGGCTTCGAAGGCTATTGAGATGGCTGTGTACAATCTTGCAGTGGCTTTGCGGCTGAGGCGTCTACTCTGAACGTATGCTTGGACTCTTCCTGTGATCTGCTCTACAGCGATAGTGAGCGGCATGCGAATCAAAGATTGGCRAAGCAGGTCTCCCAGTGCCGGGAAGCGTTTTGCCAGAGAGAGTCTGAAGGGTTGGTTTGGTTGAACGATTGCTTGGGCCTCGGTGGACAAGATGGAGAGAAAGGACAATGAAGGATGGTATGCCCCAATTTGAATCTTTTTGATAAATGCGTCCAACCAGATGTGCGTAAAAAAGGATATAGGCAGCAAAAGGTACTMCAACAATTCGCCCGTATCATGCTCATCGGTCAGAAGGGACAGACGACGGGAGCGAGATGCGGATCTTCGCAGTTCCTCCTGTCTGTCGATTCTGTCCTTCCTTTCAACAACACCCGTCAACAAGAGAGCTTCGTTCTGAGCATCTCGCATGGATTTGTTAAACGCGGATATGGCCGGATTGCAAGGATTTCCTTTGGAATCATACTGCTGAACATGTTGGCCCTCCAGAGCTTCATCTGTGTTTGTTGGCGCTATGGCATTACCTGGCTCGTAGGCTGATCGACCAAGAGCCATGCGATGGAGATAGTACTGGCGGCCCATCGTGATCTTTCCGTCGTTACTCACGGGGAGCGATGATGGTTGACAGTCCGAATGGCGTCAGCAAAAGCCATCACGACCATGACGAGAAGGGAGACCACATGCGCAATCCTCACTACTACTTCGCCACGGACTGATGTGAAGTCGGCGTCGGATGCCCGGAATAGTTCGCGCTAGCTAGAGTTTAATTCCAGTATCTCAAAATTTATCGTAACAGCTCTGGCCATATCCACATCACCAATGTCGTCCTTTTTTACTTTGCCTGCGTCGCAGAAGAAGCGGAAACGTACGGAAAATGCTTCCTCAAAGCCGCATCCTTCCTCAAAATCCCGCAAAACGCGCGACGAATCCATCAGCGGCAGCGAAGATGGCTCCGACGATGAAGTCCCATCCGGTGCAAGAGAAGACGCCTCTATAACCGCTTCCGACACCGAAGACGAGGACTTTCCCGATGAAGACCCTGCCGCAAAGCGTATACGACTGGCATCGCAGTACCTGGCCAACACGCAGAAAGCCATCCTTGCTGAGGAGAACCAAGTCGGCTTCGATGCGAAAGATGTCGACCAAGAAAATTTGCGGCGTCGAATGGGCGACAGGCTGAAAGAAGATACGGCAGAAACAAAAGGAAGACTCTACAGATGGATTGCAGACGACTTTGCTTGGGACAAGGCCAGCAAGGCGCAATTTCGCCATCATCAAAAGGCCGTCACTGGTGTGGCTGTCAGCGGCGAGTGGGCATACACAGCAGGTAAAGACGGGATTGTGGTCAAGTGGCGACTTCCTTCCCCTCTCTCCGAATCAGATGTGAGGAAATCACGGAAACCGCAGCGAGTCCTCATCAGCAGACCCTTCGGCAAGGATAATGATTCAAAGTATGGCAATCACCACTCTGGACCGATCCGCTGCATTGCAGCTTCGCAGGATGGGAAGTTCGTTGCAACAGGTGGGCAGGACAAGAAGCTCATCGTATGKGATACTGCTACTCTCAAGGTTCTTAAGGTGTTCCCACAACACAGAGATGCCGTTGTATCTCTTTCCTTCCGCAGAGGGACGAATCAACTCTTCTCTGCATCCCGAGACCGGACGGTCAAGATCTGGAGTCTGGATGAGCTGGCGTATGTGGAAACGCTGTTTGGTCATCAAGACGAAGTGGTGGATGTTGGGTGTCTAGCGCAGGAGATATGCATCACAGTAGGCGCACGAGACCGAACAGCACGATTGTGGAAAGTTGTTGAAGAAACACAACTTGTATTCAGAGGAGGCGGTGCGCCTAGAAGAGTCAATCCCTACGACAATCGGCCGGTCTCACACGAGGGCAGTCTAGACCGGGTGGCATGCATAGATGACGAACTTTTTGTCACAGGATCCGACAATGGGAGTATAGCGCTCTGGAACATTCACAAGAAGAAAGCCGTGCACGTCTATCCTTTGGCGCATGGCGTAGACGAACCGCCGCCGCTGGAGGATGTCTCGCCCGAGGAAGTTCCCGAGGAGAAGGAAAGGGGGAAACCGATGGCTAGATGGGTCACTGCTTTGCAGGCGATCCCTTTCTCCGACATCTTTGTTAGTGGAAGCTGGGATGGATATGTGCGGATATGGAAGGTTAGCAAGGACAAGAGACGGATCGAGCCTCTAGGACGAGTTGGTTGCAGTGATTTGACAGATGCTGTCATCGGTGCTGAGGATCTCACGATGGAAGATCTCAAAAGAGAGGCGGCAGCAGCAGAGGCTTCGACAAATGGTGATGGCGTGGCAGGAGAGGGTCACATTCATGGCACAATCAACGATCTCGCAATTGTGGACGTTGGTGAACGTGCAAAGCATGGTGTGGTGGTTCTTGCGGCTGTAGGAAAAGATCATCGACTGGGACGGTGGAAGGAGGACAAGCAAGCGAAGAACTCTGCGGTGCTGTTTGAGGTACCGAGAGTGGCACTTGAAAGTGAGGAGGTCGAGGCACCTGTTGAGGAGGAGGACGTGGAAGATGGGGAATTTGCTGGGTTTGATTGATCTGCGCCACTCTTTATGGATACGACAGCAGCAAGCCGTGGGCACATACTTCCGAATATAAGACCAGAAGCCGATCATGCCTTCGAGTACGCCGCAAGCCTTCGATTAACGTGCCCACTCAGACTTTTGGACAGCACACGTTCCATCCGTTACGCAGTCAACACCGTTCCGCACTCAGTCATCCTCTACATCCCATCCGAATCTATCATTATGACAGCATCGAAGGCCACAGCGGTCACACCTCTCACCCACACGTTCCTGGTGAACATCCCACGATTTGTCACCAACGTGTTGAAGAGAATACATTCTCTGCATGGAAACTTCGACCAGCAGGCAAACGTCATCTCCACAGTTCTGATGTGACATCGTTGAAGGTCTACAACGAGCTGAAATTCTCGAGCTCTTTCGAGATCACAAAGTCTATCGTCATTGCTCATTGCCACCCATGAGTCTCAGCGATCATGCCATCGATATAGGTGATCTGCAGGTTTTAATACCCTCGTCCGATAGAACGCCAGCCAGTGAAGGTTCTTGGACTCTTATGATCCCAATGGTATGTCCATTGGATTGCGGCCCTTCCGACAAACCGGCGTTGGGGCGTTAAGAGCTGGTTGGATCGTATCCCGACGATATCAGCACTCCAGCTTCTAGTCTTGCGTGGCTGTATCTGCCACACTCCATCCAAGCACGGATCAGTAAATTTGTCGATCCTGTGGACAGCGAAGCTGATTCTCTCAGACTCTCCAGGGTAGGTAGTCAGGCCCACGAGGATGAAACATGGATCCATCGCGCGGGGAGAATTCAGTCATCAGCACTGAATAAGACTTTCAACCAGAGACTGCAGCCTTTGCACCCTATTATCAGCTCTCCGTACTCGACATTCTTCTCCAGCTCGGTTTCGGTGACCATATATGCGGGTTCGCTTCCACAACGGCAAGGCTTTGTCCATGCCTCAGAAGACTCCTCGAAGTCCAGATCTTCTAGATCTACTGTCTCCATACCAGTATGACGAGTTTCCCTCTTCACCGAAGGCTCATCAGCATCCTCGGCCCGCAATCTCTGGTCGCGGTCATACTCCGCTCGCAGAATAGGGTCTGCAAGAGTCTTGAATGCTTGCGTGATGACATCAACTGTTGCCTCCAAAGCTCCTGGTGATGCCAAGGAAGACGGCTGCTTGTCCGGATGGTGGATGAGTAAAGCACGCTTGTAAGCCTGCTTGAGCTCTGCAGCAGTGATTTCTCGTCCATTTCTTTTGTCACCTAGATCAAGAACTTGATAGAAATCCGCTACAGATACCATGGCCTACCGAGCCTCGTGTATCATCCACGGCTGCCCGTATCAGTCTCAGTAAGGTCGGAAGAAGGGCCAGAGTCGGCGATGTCCTCGCTTCATCAAAGACGCGCAAGACGAGGTGGTGTTGCTAAATTGAGCGTCGTGAAAACTTTGAGCTAGAACTAGAAGTAGAGCTAATCCAGTGCCAAGACATAGAACGTCGCCACGTGCATCATCAACGTCTCAACGTCTCCCACATCATCGACGTCTCGACCTCTCCCATGCATCACTGCCCCGCTGTTCAACGAGAGAGCACTACCATGCTGGATCAACAGACACCGGCGAGCACCAGGTCCAATGGCATAAAGTCTTGGATTGACGGAACGCGRGAAGCGAGAACATCTTCTGAACCACCAGCTAGCCGATGTACAGAGACATCATGCCGATTGCCGACACAAGCCTTCTCAAAGTTTCTCRCCCACCTATTCCTGTCGGACAGCTTGAGCTGATTGGCCGTACAAATATGTTAAAGCTCCATCCCTGCCTATTTAAGAAACTCTTGCCACATGCCATCGAACTGCCCAGCCGGCTGCAGCCTTCCTGTGGAGCTAAGTCTGACCTATCCGTGGTTTTCGTATTCTTTGCAGCTCGCCAATGCTCGGGGCATCGTCATTCAATTCTTGGGTCCCCATGGCAGTGTTGGGTAGGTATATAGAGCGTGTTCCCCGCCATCAACAATCCCTGTTTGCCTTCATTCATCTGCCAATCTCACCATGCATTTCACAACTTTCTTAGCACTCGTCAGCGGTGCCGCTGCTCAATTCCGTGGATTCAACTATGGTTCAAAAGATCTCGATGGCTCCCCACGGACTTTGCAAGACTTCGAGGACCAGTTCAACGCCGCAAAGCGACTGCCTGGTCAGGAGGGCGTTTTCACATCTGCCCGCCTCTTCACAATGATCCAAGATGGAACATCTGGGGATCTCATCAGTGCCATTCAAGCTGCGGTTAACACAGACACCAACTTGCTGCTGGGTCTTTGGGGAAGTGCTGGTCAAGAGGCTTTCAATTTAGAGCTGGCTGCTCTCAGATATGCCATTCAGCAATATCCGGACCTTGGCTCGCGGGTTGCCGGTATCTCTGTCGGTTCTGAGGACCTTTACCGCAACTCTCCCACTGGTATTGAGAACATGAGTGGACGTGGTGCTTCGCCTGAGGAGATCGCCAACTTCATCGGTCAAGTCCGCCAGACCATTGCCGGAACTGGCCTCTCGGGAGTCTCTGTTGGCCACGTCGATACTGTGAGTACTTTCGTGGTATTTTGTCGTTTGAAGGGCGGCGCTGACCTCATTTCAGTGGACCGCCTACGTGAATGCTTCCAACAACGCTGTTATTGAGGCCGCTGATTGGCTTGGTGTCGATGCATACCCCTACTTCCAAACCACCCAGGCAAACGGTATCGAGAACGGCGAAAGCTTGTTTTTCGCTGCATACGAAGCCACTGTGAATGTTGCTCAGGGCAAGCCTGTGTGGATTACAGAGACTGGCTGGCCTGTAGCAGGTCCTCAGTCTGGTGTTGCCACTGCTTCTACGGATAATGCTCGAACCTACTGGCGCGACGTTGCCTGCCGCGTTCTCGGCACCGACACTAACCTGTGGTGGTTCACTCTTGATGTAAGTCAACAAACATCAAAAAGATACGAAGATTCCTAGAGTTCTAGAGATCTTTTCCCAATCTCAACGTCTATCAAACATGCTGACAATGTTGCAAAAGGACGACCAAGCTACGAGCAGTGACGTGTCGTTCAGCTTGGTAAACCCCAGTGATCTCTTCGGCACTCCTTTCTATGACCTTTCTTGTCCGGGTAGTGCCGCACCATCTTCGACTAGCTCTGCCAGCGCTTCCGTCACCTCAAGCGCCGTCAACTCCGCGTCTTCGACCAGCTCTACTAGCGCTACYGCAACCTCGGGCGCCGTTTCGTCTGCGTCTTCTGCAGTTTCAAGCGCAGCCTCTTATGTTTCCTCCGCTTTGTCTAGCGCAGCTCCTTCCACATCGACCGTCGTGTCTGCTTCTGTCTCGGCAATCACACCCTCGACGCTTTCAACAGTTATTGGAACCCCCACAAAGAAGCCAGCATGCCCAAGCCCCACTAAGCCTGCTGAGACACCCTCCGACAAGCATTGCCCTACGAATCTGAGTGGCGCATACGAGTATCCTCATCTCATCGTACCAGTCGACTCAGCCAACCCAACCACCGCCAAGGGCACATCCTACTTCGGCACAGTCTCTCCCACTGTGAGCAGTGTCTTCAACTTCGACATTAAGCCGGAAGATGCAGGCAAGACTTGCTCCATTGTCTTCCTCTTCCCCAAGCAAGAGGACCTGGAGACTTCATCATTCACCTTCAACGGCAAAGGCGGTATGAAGGTAACTTCGCTCGCTGGTCCGGCCACTGAGCAGACCACATACGACACAGTTCCCGCAGCTGGCCAGGTTTATGGTACTGTCTCAAATGTTGCTCCAGGCAACGAATATCATATTGCCAGCATTGCTTGCCCAGCTGGTCAGCGTATTGGTGTGGAAATCTCCTCTACTGATGGTCTCGATCTCCACTATTTCCAGGACTACAACCCAAGCCCGATTGGCGCTTATATTACCGTGTGTTAAACGATGGCGGCTTGTGGGTGTTGACGACCTCTAGTATAATATAATTGAATAAATAAATGAATTTATGACATGACACCATCACCATGAGAGCAATGTCTTCAAGTCCTCGCTACCACGGTATTCTTGAGCAATCTTGCATGTGGATGGCAGCAGTGGGCCACGGGCGGGTCAAGCAGCAGGCTTGGGACACGTTCATCGGAATTAGGGTTAGGGTTGGGGTAGCCTCTTTGTCGATGCAGCAGTCTCAACATGATGTATTTGACCTCAAAGCTCAGCATTGACATTTGTCACATCTTTTAAACTATTTCTAGGCGGACATCTGATGCATTCAGCTGGGTAGTAGCCATGGCGTTGTTCATGTGAGCTTTCGTTTGTATTGCGGTAGCAACACCCCTGGACTGACCATGTAACTGAATACGAATCCGCAACGTGGCCCAGAGGCCGAAGCCTCCACCCCGAGTCAGAGCGGCTGCCCCTCCGGCTTCGCCGAACTTCGCGTCTTATGGCGCTTTTTACATCACCGTTCCATGTTCGTAGCCGAGCCTACGATCGTTGAGTTTGCTGCGCCACGCCAACGTTCAACGCGGGTTTCTGCTGCCATCTAAACTGGAGGTCAAGCCATCGGCGGCAGACTCTGCATGCTTTGGTAGGTATCAACCTGGCCACGAAGGATGTAAAACCGATTTTGGAGCTGCTGGCCACCTGGAATAGAGTTGTTCGATGATGGCCGGCAGTGAGGTTTTACTGGCCACGGTCTGCGATTGCTAGATGCTTGTTTTGGATCTCTTGGACCTGGTTGTGAGTCTCTTGAGTCTTGTGATCGATCTCCTGAGTTTGATCGTGAATTTTTGGAGCCTGTTTGTGGATCTCCTGAGCCTGATTCTGCTCCATTTACGTTTTTGCCAAGAGGTACCCGACCTAGTTTGCTCCTGCGACTTGCTTATTAGATGTTTTTAGCCGCTCTCTGTCAAGTCAACTGCAAGTCAATGTAAACCGAGAACGGTCGTCACGTGGAGCAGAGCTAAACCTGAAATGGCCTTGTCGGACAGTTGCATAGGCCGCTACAACTGTTGTAGCGGCCTATGCAAGGCCATTTCGGGCCTATGCAAGGCCATTTCAGGTTTAGCTCCGGTTCACGTGACGACCGTTCTCGGTTGCCGTTGACTTGCAGTTGACTTGACAGAGAGCGGCTAAAAACCTCTATTTTGAACCCGAGTCAATCTGCCGACAGCATTAACAAAGTCGACTACAATGAGCTTTGGGTCGCAAATGGACTTCGGCATGTCTGCGAAGTTGCACGGCTGCGGGTCAGGCTCGGTAGCCCTCTCCGTACCTCGCCCGGCTCCGTCAAGATGTGGCAGGTAGACAACGTATCTAAAGTAGAATTTGATCAAGGTCCCGTTCCACTATATGGCAGAGGTCCATCATTGATGATCACACTGTCGAACGAGCGAGGCTGCAAGTCCGAACATGGCGTCATTCTCTAAGAATTGTGTCTTGATGCCTGAATTGGACATGTAGTCGTTCTTCATGCATTCGATCTTGAAGACCGGGAAGAAGATGAGGCATTTCTGGCGCTCGAACTGCCCTGACGCTTGGGTTGGAAGCAATGCATCAAGAGAATGCCTCCAGCTTATTTCACGGAGAATATGCTGGAACCCAGGGTTTTTATTAAAGAATAGCGTCTGCTTCGACACGGTCATAAGTAACCATCATCAGCGATCGCTCGCGCCATGTCAGCGAAAATGTTTGCTGCAGCTTGACGATCTCTGCCGAAGTATCGAGAGCAATATGCGTGGTTGCGTATGTCTTACCTCCTCTCTCAAGAAAGGCGGTGGACAGCCTACTGTCTGTGATGTCCATGGGCGAAAGGAACGTTCTTCAAACGGCAAAACCACTGAACAAAAAGCAGAAACTTGCATTGGGTTTGATCTATCAGATGACGTGGATGTCGGGACTCGGAGTACCAGAAAGGGTCGAGAGATGTGTTGACCTTCATCATGGAATGGAATAAAATGTGCGCACGTCTACTTGCCATTAAGGTTTTCGTCTGATCGCTGCCGTTGAACTCTGCAGGTCGCACATTGACATCTCCGTGGAGGGCTGACTTACCAAGGCAAAAGAAAAAGCGTTTGGCGGAGTCCAAAAGTGCGCTTTCGGTTGCAGGGTCCAATGCAGTTACAAATCACTCAACAACGTTTGGATGGCGTATTTGATTTTCAACATGGTCCTTTACGCGCGTTCAATCRTGGCTACTTGGCTTTGAACCTGCATGTGGTTCAATCCTCGGAGCACGTTGCAAAGGCTTGTGAATGCTTGTCAAGAGCTTGGCTTTCTTGATTCTTCGGGCGATCGTTGCAAGGTTGCGGTTGAGTTCGAAATATGCTGCGATCCTCTCACTACTTGCAGGCCTTCAGATTACACGTTGCTCATGTTCACGGAAAGCTCCCGACTTGCAGTGAGGAGCCCCAAATGATTCCGTCATCCTCGGACCACCAAGAAGGCCCGAAACTACCGTCACATCGTTCTTCGTGAGCACCCGAGGACATCTCGCGTTAATCCTTGCCAGCAACGTCGTGTGAATGGCTGGCCGAACGCACAATGGAGCTATCTGACCTGACAGCATGTACAGCAGGCTTCGGAGAGTTGCACCGAGAGTGTCATGGGTGTCATTAATCGCGGAACGGACGGCGAGGCTCGTTGATCATATCCAACAACGTTCCATAGTGTGCAGTCGTCACTTGCTCGACCGTCAACGTTGAACGGGCCCTTTTGGAGCCAGCATTGGGAGAGCTGGGTGCGGATCTTCGTTCTGAAATGCGGGTTGAGTTTAAGCGCATCTCTTCAAAGGTCAAAAGTAGCGATCCCGGAGTGTGGAGCACATCATGTGAACAATGGTTCGACCAGAAACGCCGGGACGTCGAGAGGCAGGGTAGGAGCCTTGCGGAGTGAGCCCAGCACAACCCAGCAAACGCCTGCTGAGTTGCTCATATATGGCGCATACTAGAAAACCGGGGCTCTTGTTCTCGAGGCCGACAAATGATTGCCTCCTTCAGACGTTTCTGATCTCGTGATGTCTTTCTGCGTGGTTTTGTCCGCGTGGCAGGGTCGTCGAAACTTGATCTTCATCTCCATCTCCATCTCCACTGCCCTAGACCCCACAAGTCGCTCTACTGAGCAGCGATGGTCTGACTTTGAGGCATATATGAGCTTGGTCAATCGTGTCCGCCTTGGGAAAGGTGAAGTCCTCCGGATAGCAGCTACCGAGAATCGCTATAGACGGGGCTCCTGAGTAGCCGTGAACTGCTGCGGTGGAACCTTTGCGAGCCACTATCGAGTCTTTGCACCTWGCTCTGGCAAATTAACCCCGTCTTTAGAATGGTGGCCGCTAGGAGTGCATATTCTCCGTGACGCTACGAGCTGCGGCAAGACCGACAAAGCCTCGGACCAGAAAATCGTGCGGTACATTGTCGCAGGGGAAATGGATTCGACGATTTGATTGTACCAGAAAAAGGCGCAACGCGAAGATCCCCAGCAGCGTGACACAGAGGGGCGGCAGCAGCCGCTGATCGATGACATACCTAATTTGCATGCTCAAACACTTTGACCAGACCGACTCTACATTCACGAGCCGCCTTCACCTACTTATATGACCTCGGAAACGTCCTGAAAATACTTTCCTCCTCATAATCGCCAGCTTCGCGGTAAGTCGCCCGCTCTTTCTCGGTTGAGAGGTCGATCACAGCAGTGTGCCGAGCGTCAAATTTTCACACACCGCACACGCCACGACACACCACGACTCTGCCATTGCGACCGGTATCCCGCAAGACACACGCTGACATCCTCACCCTCGACTAGAATACAGCGAAACTGGTCATACACAACCCATAAACCCGCCTTTGGTATCAAAGGCACCTTCGCCACCACGGCTTCGGCCTCCATACAAGATCAAATTGCATCCGCACGACCCTCTAGCGACATCAACAACAGCAAGCCTCCACCAGCGGCTGACCAGCTCTTCGGACTCTCCTGATCTGCTCTTGAAGTTATTTCGACAAACCCCCTTCATCCTCCAAACTCCTCAGCTGCCGCATAAGWGCTATACTAGAGTTCTTCCCTCTCCCGGGGAAGAAGACTCTGGGCCTCGCCACCCAGGCTCCATACTATTGGGCTTCTCGCCTTTCAAACCACCCTAATACCGCCGTGCGCAACCCGAAAACACACTTATAGCCCGCCATCACCTGCAACAAGGCGATGACACCTAGCGCGACCAACATCTACACCCACAACCAGTATCAAGACTTGTTGTCTCTGAAAAGAGGCTCCATTGATACCAATTCCTCCGTCTCCGGCTACGAAAGCGGAGCAGAGAGCTACGATGGCGCAAAATCCGCCAAAGAGATGATTGGCGCTGCTTTGCAGAAGCATATTGAAAATGTGAACCCACACGATTGTGAGGCCGGCGCAGAGGATGCTTTCTTTGTTGCCGACTTGGGCGAGGTCTATCGGCAGCACATGCGCTGGAAGAAGAATCTTCCTCGTGTGACTCCACACTACGCTGTGAAGTGCAACCCAGACCCATCTGTACTGAGCCTGCTTGCCAAACTCGGCGCTGGCTTCGACTGCGCTAGCAAGACTGAGATCGAGCAAGTCCTGGCCATTGGTGTCGAAACCTCTCGCATCATCTACGCTCAGCCATGCAAGACCAAGAGCTACTTGCGGTACACGGCCAAGCAAGGCGTCACGCAGATGACGTTTGACAACACCGACGAGCTGTACAAGATCAAGGAGTTGTTTCCCACAGCTGAGCTGTATCTTCGCATCTTCACCGACGATTCTGCCAGCTTGTGCCGCTTGAGCCAGAAGTTCGGAGCCAGCATGGACAACACCCAGGAGCTTCTCACTCTTGCAAAGGAGTTGGAATTGAACGTTGCTGGAGTAGCGTTTCATGTCGGATCTGGCGCCTCTGATCCGGCGGCTTTCCGCCAGGCTGTCCGCGACGCTCGCACCGTCTTCGACCAGGCCGCCCTTCTTGGCCATGAACTCCACACACTGGACTGTGGCGGCGGCTTCGTCTCTGAGACGTTTGACGAAATGTCGGCAGTCCTTTCCGACGCCTTGGACGAGCATTTCCCTCGGTCTGTCCGCATCATTGCCGAGCCTGGTCGCTACTACACCAGCTCCGCGTTCACGTTGGCATGCAACGTCATTGCTCGCCGCACCGTTGCGGACAAGGAGTCTGGCGGTGACAACAAGTACATGCTGTACATGAATGACGGTGTTTACGGAAACTTTTCCAGCATCATCTTCGACCACCAGAACCCCATCCCTCAGGTGCTCCGCTCGCGTCTCCGCTCGGATGGATTCAATTATACACCGGCATCTTTGCTCGACTCAGGTTACACTTCCGCTGAGGATGAGCACCTCACCGATCTGCCTGGACGCAAGAAGCAAGTCACCTACTCCATCTGGGGACCCACCTGCGATGGCATTGACTGCATCGCCAGCGAGTGGTCTTCCACCGACACTCTGGATGTCGGCGACTGGCTTTACTTTGAGGAAATGGGAGCATACACCAAGTGCTCCGCGACTCGCTTCAACGGCTTCACCGACAAGCATGAGACTATCTACGTCTGCAGTGAGCCCGATGCTTCGGCCTTGGTAGACTTGTAACATACGGGCGAACCGGGTGGAGGTTGAAAAACATGCAGCCGAGCTGTCCTTCTCGTGGCGGTGGGCTAGTTGCGAAAAAATTGCTTTTTTGGTAGTTTGTTAGAATCTGCAGATTCGTATTGTTTGTCAATCTATTCTTGATGCAAGACCTCCTATTGAACAGCTCGCCGTGACACGCGACTTTCAGTTTACTATACGTTCTACCATGCATTCTGTCCATATCTCGCTACACCTTCCTCTCCAAAAATATCACCAACTCGCTTCACTTGCCGCGACGCCGATCAGACACGGCTTTAAGCTTTCGGCATAGGATTCGCGTATCGAACCTCGATCGGTCAACAACAGTTTCAAGTTTCACCTGACCATCGACTTGCACTCTTGGACTCGCACCGCATAAGCCAAGAGCCATGTCGTTCTTCGCGAAACGCGCGAAGCCGAAGCCCGAGTCCTCGGCTCCACCGGCAGATCCTACTCAGAGTCTCTTCAGTCATTCCAGCTCCTTTTTAGCGCAACAGAAAGAGAGAATTGAGCGTGAAAAGCGGCAGGCCGAGAAAGATAAGGAGCGCGAACAACGAAAGAAGGAGAAAAAGGAACGGAAAGACTTAGGCAAGCGCGGAAGTCCCTCTGGAGACAGCACAGAGCGGAAAATCGATCTCAAGAKGCGGCGCCTATCTTCCAAAGAGAGCGCGAAGCTCCTTGCCAATGCTGGACTTCCCTCTGGACCAATCGAACTTGAAAGTAGCGCCGACGAGGCTGGTGAGTCTTCGCTGGCATCACCCGTTCGCAGATCACCGAGACGTACTCGAACCACTACAAATGACCATGGCCTGGCAAAGTCCCGCAGCAGGCTCGATCAAGCCACGACTATTCCATTCGAGATCTTGGATGACGATTCCACGGTGACGGGCAATGCAGCTGTGCCAGCGCCATCCTCTTCCGGCGGTGAGGAGGAGTTCTCAGACCCGGAGCTCGCGGAAATGTCAAGGAAAGCACGCCGCGCTGCACGAGCCCAGCAACCACGTGTGAAGCAAGCAATGAATGCCTCTAGCGATGCACTTGGAGGAGCAGAAACCGGCTCAGGAATCGGCCAGACAGCTGAACTGCAAGATCCGATTGTAAACATTTTCATCACCTCAGATATACCCGACACTGGATCACTACTCATACGACGGAAGATGTCGCAACCGCTGGGCAAAGTTCGCACTGCATGGTGTGACAGGTACAAGCTTCCTAGCCATGTGCGAGACGAGGTTTTCCTAGTCTTCTGTGGGCGTCGGCAATATGACAGCACCACCTGCCAACGACTGGGTCTCAAAGTTGATGCTTCTGGAAGGCCCATCCGTGAAGACGGCAATGCCGATGAGCCGAATGATCAAGTCCACGTGGAGGCATTCACAGAGGCACTTTTTGCGGAAAGAAAGGCAGAGAAGGCTCGCCAGGCCAAGGCTGGCAACAGTGGTAAGTACGATATCGAGGAAGAGGATTTGCAGGAATCACAGCCGGAGCCTGCGGAAATAAAGGTTGTCATCAAAGCAAAGGACAAGGAGCCTTTCAAGATCAGGGTCGCGCCAGTAAGCCCATTCCATGCTGTTGACTCGTGAGAGCAAGCTAATACGACCCCAGCACCATTCATTTGCAAAGATTATAAAGGTCGCCAAGAAGCATTTTGGCTTCAGCAGCGAGCAAGCTGTTCGAATAGAATTCGATGGCGAGCCCATAAACCCCGAGCACTTGGTCCGCGACACCGAGATCGAAGACATGGACAACATGGACATGTATCTTGAAAGCTGAGGCCTCGCATTAGCTCGTCTCTGCTAGACACGGCCGGTTGCGTTGCCGTGCCTCATTGGCCGTCACGAACGGACGTCCGCATTGTTCTCGGGGTGTAGAACTTCGACCCAGAAGTCGAGCTTCTCATGCCGCTCGATACCAGGGAGTGAGTGGTCTCACCTCTCAGCAGTACCTGCATCGGCTCGTGTGGCGGGGGTCTCATCTGGTTTGCTGCTACCGATTTTCCACACCGCCTCTTCATCTCTGCACTTCCCTGTCATGATTTTCAGTACACGAATTTTACGATACCCAACGACTAGAAGGCGATGTTTGCCACACTTGGTGCTGCTGATGCATCGTCACTACTAGCACTGTTCTACACAGTCTTCAACAAAGGACGCCAGTAGKATAATTTCACTTTCTACCTAAAATCTATCATCAACCTGCAATGATCCTTCGATGCTCCATGACTCTTTCATCAGTCGCCGATAGCGACATGCGAGGCGGCTGACATAATCGCCCAAGGTGGGCGCCAAATAATGGAACGCGTTTTGCAAGTTTCACTTGGGCCCCAAGATATCAAGCCGGACCGGCCCAGCACATGGCAGTTGCATGCGCCAGCCACTCGCCATGCCTTTTCAGAATATTTGCTCCAATTGTGACGAAGCAAAACGTGCAGCTCGTTGGATGTGAGAGTGGTCTGGYTTTTTAGCGTACTGACGTGTCGCAGCTTGCTGCCCAAACTACCCGACACAGCGGGTTCCCACCTTGCCTCTCTCGCTGTTGCTCTCCGTGACCGGTGGAGGCGCACCTGGCCACGCCCATTTAGGAATGTAGCAAGTCAAAGACTGTCGTCGGTCTCTTCGGCGTGGCTCGGAGAAGGAGTCATCGCCGCTTGATATCGAGTCCATGCAGGGGTGATACGGCCGGGGTGATCCATGATTGAAGCCCAAGCCGACACAGCGTCATACGGAGTATGCCTTGCAAGAATGATTTGCCTATAACARGCACGTGCGTTGCGGAGGAGGGGCATGCTGTATACATCTGTGCCGGCCGTGCGACTCCAAGACTCCGGGTCTTCTTCTAGTCGCTGGTAACACAGCGCCAACTCGCTTGCGCACCTCTGTCGTTGCACGCTGCCACGGCGCACAAGAGCAAAAATCTTCCTCACTCTGCTTGTGTGATTTTGCCCTTGCTCCCCCTCGCACAACAACCACAACAGCCCGACCCGCTTGCAAACAGCCCCGCTGTTCAATGTTTCTACGCATTATTGCCTTGGCTTATATCCCGCTACGAATTCGAGACAGATCAGGCGGGTGAGACGCACGCAAGGAGCTATTCACGGGCTTGYTGCAGCTGCAGCGTCGTTGGGTGGAATAGCGAATCCAATCGACGAGCATCTGGACCTTTTGCCTCTTCATCGTGTTTCAGGTTCACCTGGTCAACGATTGCACTTGCCCACTGTCCCATTGTCCGTGAAGACTTGGAGTCATCCGACCGCACACACCGCAGACCGACTGCACAAAGATCTTGGTGAGCACACTTTTCCTCCATCCGCGACCCACCTGGTGCAGGCTCCCGCAAGGCTTGGCTAGTTCTACTGCACGACTGCAGGCTGCAGAAACGCCGTCGTCGGCTGAGGGATTCTTCAATCCGAGAGGGCCTGCCACCCGGAATTTTTCTTGACAGCGTCCCGACTTAAGCAACAGAGATTGTTTCGATTGAGGGAGGCAGACTGTACTAATCGCGAAGTCAGAAGCCTTTGAAGCTTTGAGCCCAAACACGGCCTGGACCGAGCAGATCGCCGCCCATCACGCAGCCCCTCGAATCGCACCGCGACGCCATCATCACCGTCCCAGAAGCGATCGATCAGCTGCAGCCCGCTCAAGCAGGGCGTCATCTTGCAGTCTTAGTGCTCGATCAAAGGTTGCGCATTAGCACTTCAAGAACTGCTTGGAGCGCTCAGGTTGCAGAATTCACCATTCTGCGATCACATTATCTGTGACCTCTCCGTGGGACTGTGTTTCAGATCGGAGGAGGGGCAGAATAGGAAGGCTCAGGCTCAGGCTCAGCGCTTCCGGGTCGTCAACGCTGAAGTCTAGACGCTGCACATTTCCACGTCCTCCACCAATACACGGAGACGCAGGGGCTGACCTCTACCACATTGGCTCTGTGTCCGTGAATGCCAGTTTGGTYAACTTTGTCAAGAAGCCGTTGCCGCCACTCTGGTACTCGGAGGAATTGGTCTTTGGTGCCGCGCTGACCCACTGTTCGCTCATTTCCCTGGTTACCACGCGCGCAAAACCCTCGACACCCCTCACCAGGCCGCTTTATCTTGACCTCGTTGTATACTGCAAGGAGGCCAGGATAGAGTACCAGACCACTTCTCTCCATACTGATGCCGTAAGTCCCACCACTGCCGACCTTGCAAACTTACTTTCACGCCTTCACATCAACAGCAAAGCGCCCCTCAATCCGCAATCTCAGCAATTCCTTCCCTCAATTGCCGCGCTGACTGCTACCAGTGCCACGTTCACAGTGACCTCAGGCTCGGAGAGGATCGTTCACGTATACCCAGACAAGACCGAACGGACATCGTCCGGTAGCGCATCGCGATCGCGCGTCTCCAGTAGCAGCATCACCTCTTCGGAGGAGAGCTGGTCTGAGATCGACGAGGACGACATTGATCCTTCTGACTCGGCATCTCGTGGACACCCTGCGTCTCGACGACACCACACAGAAGCACGTCCTGCGCCAGCTCGCCGAACCTCGTCCCGCCGTCAGCCGCTTCCAGCCGAAAGAGAAAGAGATCGTCAACGAGAGGAACTTCCATCCCGTCSACATTCGTCGCGCCGCCAGCACGCAAGCCGACACGATAGCCACGAGAGCCGCTCGCGCCGTAGTACATCCCGGCGCGTCCCTTCTGACGAGAGCTCGAGCACYGTGGCGAGTTCTGACGACTACCCTCCCCAGCCGCCATATGGCCATCCGGGGTACGTGAACGCAAGTGCTTCGCAGATGAGAATACACTGACAATATATAGAGCAATGCCGCGCAACCAATATCCACCCCAGTCTGGCTACAGACATGTGCCTGCAGGGTATCCCCCAAGCATGACAGCTGGGGGGCCCGCCCCGTATGCTGACCCATACGCTCCGCCGCACCAGGCATTGGTACACATGCGACAAGACCCTTTCGGATATCCTCAGCAACCCAACCCTTTTGGCCCTCATGGACAGCAACAAAATCCCTTTTCTCCTATGAGCAGCCAAGACAGCTCCAGCTACTTCGCTGCGGAAGCAATGGCGCCGCCTCCACGACAGCACAGACCAGACGGACCGCAGCGACCACAGAGCTTCGTCGCACCACCATCTCACTACGGGTCCGAGATGATGGCACCATACCACCCACAGCCATACGGTCCATACGGTGGCATGCCATATGCTCCTCCATACGGGCCGATGCATGGCTGGTCTCCWCCACCCGCTGCGGCGTCCCCGCCTCCAGCTCCAGCTCCAGCTGCAGCTCCAGCACCACCACCTCCTCCTCCGGTCAATCCTGACATCGAGGCGCTGAAGGATCTGCTGAAAATACGCATCGAAACGGACGATGTTGGCAAAAAGGCAAAGCACGACGAAATCGAGATGCTCCGGGACATGATCAGTCAGCAAGAGGCGAAGCTCGCAAAGCGTGAAAAGGAATGGGTCGCGGAGAGAGAGGCAGAGGCAGCTGCCCGTGCTGCGGAGAAGGCGAGGATTGAAGAGGAGAAGAAGAGGCAGGCCGAATTGGCGGACGCCCGCAAGAAAGCCAAGGAAGATGCAGAGTCAAAAGCGGCAGAGGCAGCTAAGAAGGCCAAGGAGGAGCACGAGGCGGCAGTCAAGAAGGCCAAAGAGGAACATGATGCGAAGTTGGCTGAAGCTGTAAAGGCCAAGGGAGAATTGGAGGAAGCCAAGAAAGCTCTCGAGGCGGACATTGCCAAGAACAAGCCTACCGATGACTCTCTCAAAGCACCGATCAAGTTCAAAGATGCGGTTGGCCGGAAATTCAGTTTTCCGTGGCAAATCTGCAAGACATGGAAGGGCATGGAGACTCTCATCAAGCAGGCCTTTCTTCACGTCGACACGATTGGCGACCACGTCCATCAAGGCCACTACGATCTCACTGGACCGGACGGCGAGATCATCCTTCCGCAAGTCTGGGAATCGATGGTGCAGCCAGACTGGGAAATCACCATGCATCTTTGGCCAATGGAGGAGGACAAATCTCCTCCACCCGATCCTCTCATGGACTTCGGCCACCTCAACATGAACGACTTCATGGACCCCAAGAAGAAGCCCTCGAAGAAGGACGGCAAGAAACCTAAGAAGGCGAGCAGTCCCGAGCCCATAATGGTCCCTCCGATGCACAACAGCCCGCCACAAGGCTTTGGCGACCCGTTTGCCGGCATGATCTTCCCTCCAGGCATTTCCCCCGTCATGGATGGCGGAGAGAAGAAGAAAGCCCGGCCCAAATCCAAGTCCATGAAGGGCAAAGAGATCTCTGGCTTGGCCGCTTGGTTCGCTGGAGGGAGCATCCCAGCCCCGAAGCCGTCAAAAAAAGATGATGAAAAACAGGAGATCGTTCGAGTCAAGGCTCATCCGAGCAGTCGCAACGGCGCACCACAGACAGTGCATGATCAGGCCCAATGCTTGATCATGTAAATGCCCGTGAGTGCCTTTGATTGTGACTGTCAAGGTGGCTTCGAGCTGGAACGGTTCTCTGAGAGTGTATGGTTTTCCTCCCGTGACCGCGGGTCTTTCATACCTCACCCTTTTCGTATTTCCCTGGCGCAATGTGGTGCTGGAGCGATCGAGAGTGGATGATTTTGAGAATGTTGATGTTGATGTTTGATGTCTTGTGTTGATGCCCGGCGTTTAAGCGTTGCTGTCATCTTGAGATACCRCTTTTCCAGTTTGTTCGTTTCTTGAGGGGGTTTGGCTTGGAAAAAGTGTCGCTGGTGCTGGGTGCTGGCTGTGGAAACGGGTAGGGTGTTGAGAGCTTCTGCATCTTTGCCTGCTTGCGTGCTCTGGATTGGAATTTGCACTGCAGCGTTGGACTTGGCACACAGGCATTTCTTGCGGAGAGAAGAAGAAGGTCGCTCGCGCGATTTGGCGCAAGCTAGAAGAGCAGGAGAAGATGGGTAGTGGATGTTGTGGTAGCTTTATTTGATGAAATTGAATGCTAGGCGGTGGTTTGTCGTTGATTGTGCTTGCTGCGTCTCTGGACTTCTTGTTGACCTAGTATCGTCTACTGTCTATCATTCAACACCATCTACCGTCCGTGATGCTGTTGTGCCGGTTGGGGTGGACTGCCCGAGAGAGGCGCGTGCAGACGGGATGCTGGGCTGTCGCGTTGAAACATCGGAGTTCGGCAAGCTGAGCTCTCCATCTTCAATCGGCAGGCACCAGACTTCTTCACTTCTCCTCACCTCACACGAAGCGCCAACCTCGTCGCGACCGCTTGCACTTTTCGCACGCGCGCTAATCGATGAACTACTAGTGGATCATCGTAACACATCGATATTGGAGCTCTGTGCGCGACAAATAAACAATGGCCGACTTCAGCTACACTGAAGATCCCGAGCTACATAAGCTAAACGACCAGGCTGTAAGCACGCCTGCCAGTTACTTACGTATGAAATGCTTGTCCCCAATACTGACTCGGCCACACAGCTGGCTCAGCCCGAGGAGTTTGAGAACTGGGAGAAGCTCGTCCGCGCCGCAGAATCACAAGAAGGAGGCCTCAATCGCAATTCTTCGCCACAAGCCATCGCCGCGACTCGAGACACATACGACCGCTTCCTTGCACGCTTTCCGCTGTTCTTTGGCTACTGGAAGAAATATGCCGACCTGGAATTCGCAATTGGTGGAACGGAGGCGGCAGAGATGGTACGGAAAGACGCGAGGTCAACAATGTATGGCTGGATGCTGATGTGCTGCGTTAGGTCTACGAGCGTGGTGTGGCCAGCATCGGTGTCTCTGTCGACATCTGGGCACACTACTGCGCCTTCAAGGTCGAGACCAGTCATGACGCGGATGTGATCAGAGAGTAAGTTGTTTGGGCAATTCTTCCCCAACCCTTGCCCGTAACTGCMTTCAGCACCTTTCGGAGACCGATCGGCCATGTGGGAATTCGTGCCTTGCGCGTCATTTGGTGAGAATCCTATCCCACAGGCTGGCCGCGACCAGAGTCTTACGTCTATTCATCAGACCTATCATCCTCCCGCGTTGCGCACATATCACTGCGAGTGCTGTTCYACGAGGCTCCTTATCTTTCCCTCGTTGTGGAGGTCATTCCGCTGCCAAATGAGCTTTCGAGCCTGGCAATCAAGATGTTCGCGCCCACCCCCCCTTGTTTGCACCCAGTCTCCTCCACTCTCTATGGCTTCCAAAACTGACACCTTTTGATAGTTTGTTTGAACGCGCTGCAGCGAGCGTCGGATTGGACTTCTTGGCTCATCCTTTTTGGGACAAGTTTATCGAGTTTGAGGAGCGCCTTGAGTCGCACGACAACATCTTTGCCATCCTTGGCCGAATCATCCATCTTCCACTCCACCAGTATGCTCGCTACTTTGAGCGCTATCGCACAATGGCAGCGCAAAGACCGATCAATCAGCTTGCACCAGCAGAGACTGTCACGCAGTTCAGCGACGATATCGCCCGCGAGACAGGTCAAAAGCAGAAGACTCCAGCTGATCTAGAGCGCGATTTGCGTGCCCGAGTCGATGCGTACCACCTGGAGATCTTTCAGCGCACTCAAACCGAGACGACCAAGCGCTGGACGTACGAGCAGGAGATCAAACGTCCCTACTACCACGTGACTGAGCTGGACGAGCCACAACTGGTGAATTGGCGCAAGTACCTCGACTTTGAGGAAGCGGAAGGCGACTATGCCCGCACCAAATTCTTGTACGAGCGATGCATGGTGACTGCAGCAAATTACGAGGAGTTCTGGTACCGATATGCCAGATGGACTTTGGGCCAGGAGAGCAGACCTGAGATGGTTCGCAATGAGGAGGTTCGCAACATTTACCAGCGCGCGAGCTGCACGTACATCTTCCAGAACGCGCCCGAAATTCGGCTCTACTACGCCAGATTTGAGGAATCACTTGGCAAGGCTGATACTGCGATTGCGATCCACGAGGCCATTCTTTTGACAATTCCCGGACATCTTGAGACGATAATCTCCCTCGTCAACACGCACAGGCGGCAGTATGGCGTTGACGCCGCCATTCAAGAAATCAACAAGCACATCATGAGCCAAGGATACAATTCACACACTCGCGGCGCGCTTGTGTCCGAGTTGGCTCGGCTGACCTGGAAAATCAAGGGAGACCCAGAAGGAGCACGCGCAGTCTTCTCGTCTAACGCACAGTGGTTCCAGGATTGCAAGAAGTTCTGGGTCGACTGGCTGCTATTTGAGCGGGATCAACCGACTTCGGAGAGTGAGGAACCACCGCGCTATGAGCGCGTCAAGTCTGTTTACAGCGACGCACGGCAGAAGGCTACGCTCAATGCAGAAATGGTCAAGGACTTGTCTGCGTACTACTTGGAGTACTTGGAGCAGCGCGGTGGCAAGGAGACCATGTCTGAGTACATGCAAATCGACAAGGAGATCAATGGCCCCACGAGCGTTGCTGGCTCTTCTCCTGCTGCCATTTCCACTCACACCAAGGAGAATGGGCCGCAGAGCGTCTAGTCGGCGTTCCGAAACCTCTCGCAAAGGTCCAAGGTTGCCACAAGTACGACAAGTCTGCAGTGTAAGATACCCACCAACCACTACCCAAAAATTATCGAGGCGCGATAGCTAGCTTCTTGTGAATTAGGTTGAGATTCGAATAGATGTGCTGAATTATGAGATTTCTGAAGCCATTCAAGGCGGTTTGTGTCATTTGCAGGATTGCAGACACCGTTCACTTTGCCTGTCATGTGCACAATGAGCAGAGCAGAGCAGAGCAGTAGCAGTCCGAATATTGCTTCTGGCTGGCTTTCTGGCATCCATTGACTTCACCTCAGATTTATCTCCATCAGTTGAAACATCAGCTGAAATAAATGTCAGGAAAATGTGCGCAGCACCAGCCAACACAACCTCTTTCTTTTGTCTATCAAAATGACCCTCTCTTTCTCTTCCACTGTACATACACAACACCAACCTCCATCGGGTCCTCGATCGAACAACAACGGTTGAGTCACCTCACATCATCTTTAACACACGACAAGAAGTGATCGCCTTGACAGCCACCTCCGAGTCAGAAGACCATCAGCAGTTTCGTCTCGTGCGAGTACGTGCAGCGTCATACAAGAGGTCTTGTTCTCGGCTAAAGAAACAGACAACAACAACATCAACTACCCCTTCTTCGTCCACTTGGGGGGTTTACCAGGCTGGCTGCATCCTCAACGAACACTGATCTGGTCATCTGCAACACCGGCTGCATCTTCACAAGCCACCGACGTGCTAATCGCACTAGATTGGTGATTCATCCACTGATAAACCCTGGCCGTCCAACAAAACACTCCCTCAGCACCAACATCCATCTCAATCACAACATCACCCTTCCAGATTACCCCGACACCAGTCATCTTCACCAAATCATCTACAATGGCACGTCTTGCTTTCAGCTCGCAATGCTGGTTCATCACCATCATGGTCGTCCTGACTGTGTTCGCCGCATTCATCGGCTTCTCCTTCAAGCCCGATGCGAGCAATTCCGCCAAGTTCCGCTTGAGTCGGGATGCTGAGGCTGCGAGCAGTGCTGCTCTCTTGGACGACGACTCGTTCGAACACTCGAGCAATGTCAGCYATGGACTTACGAAGCGTGGGATGGCTCCTCGATGCAGCGTCGATACGGCGTTTGTATCGGTGGAGCGAGGCAGCAAGTTGACAGATTGGATGCTTCTTACTCACCAAAGCTTCTTCGCTCAGTTTGGCGCCGCTGGAGTCGGAAAACTAACATTTCCCGACGCTATTGGAGGCAGTTCAGGCTGGAAGAAAGTAACGGAAGACTCCAACTTCAATCCACGACCATACTCGGATCCACTGTTGGGCCTTGACAATGTTGAATATTTCCAGACCAATGTCAGGGTCTCGCTGGTAGGCCAGCCTTGGGTTCGCTCCACGTACGACCAATCCAAGCCCTACATAAGAGTGATAAACGGCGTCGACACGATGCACCCCCCAACACATGCCAGACACGTGCAGATATCGAGCGTTTGGAAAGATACAGGGGTTCTCATCGCACTGGAATCATACGATGCAGCACTCATGAGCTCGCTCGCTACTGGACAGCCGTTACCTGCTGATGACCTCCCTGAGGTCAATCTATGGTCTAGTCTGGCCTTCATCGAGTACGGCAGAGCCGGCAAATTCCGTTCATGGGCGCCTGTCGACTCGACTCCAGCCGGCCGCGTAGAGGATTCGGGATCGAGAAAAAGACAGCCCCCGAGGTGGATCTACATCCCTCAACTTAGAGGTCCGATTGCATCTCTGGAGCTGGTATCTCACTGCGTCTTCTCCTGGGGTCTTTGGGACTTGCCCAATTTTGCGAATCGAATCACCTTTCCCATTGGCTCATTTTGCTTCGAGGCTATTCTGGGTCTACCACAGGGTACAGCGCTTGCCTTTTTCCTGATCGATCACAAATTCCGGTTCGGCGCAAAGACACTGGCATCTGTCACCATCTGGGGCTCTGGCGTAATCGGCCAGGATGGTTATGAGCTACCGAGCATGCTATGGTGGACCGCTGATCATAGATTGAAGACGACGCACTGGGCAATCCGGGTAATCTCCATCCCGGAGATTCGGAGCGAGAACGCTGCTTACACATTGGAAGCCGGCTGGCATCCGACTACTATGCCTTTCATGCTGAGGCCTAGGTATTGATTCAAGATGATTCCCCTTCAGATGAGGATGCAGAGCTTGGGCGTCGGCTGAACTTGGGCAGGCTAATGTGTTGCAGCTGGGCTTGAGTGTACTCGGTTGGTATTGGCCGGGAAGTGTTGAGCGACCTTGTAACGAGTGGTAATTGCACGGGAAGCAGCGGAGCCAAGGTATGCTCACGGCCGCGCGCGGCATTGGGTTTTCTTTATGGCACCCGACCACTTTTTCATATTCTTGAATTTCATTTGGCTTTCTGACTCCTTCCTCTCGCCACTTCAAAAATCCTGCAGATATGACACAGCTCGCCATGTATTCACATACTTTTCCATTACATCCATCTCCGCACTGCGCAAGGACAAGAAAATAGCTCCACAGCCACCAACAATGACGAGCTCACCAAAGCCACTCTCCCTCTTTGAGAGTCTGCCGGCGGAACTACATGATCAGATTTTCGAATACCTAGTGGGGATGACCGAAGGCTCACATGAGTTCTCCTTTTCCAGCCTCTCGGTCAGTAAGACGTACTTCGTCCGCGCAAAGCACTCGTACWACCGGCATGCGTCTGTCCCGATGTCAGGCACACGTGCTGGACTAGCCCATCTCAAGAGAATCCCCACAATTTTCAAGAGACGCATCCGGCGTATAACTTTCACCGGCGGAGACATTGAACTTGAGGTCCTGCGGGCTGTAGTTGCACAGTGTCCGAATCTCAACCATCTCGAATTAAAAGAATTGAAGTCGGAATTCGCAAAAAATGGCTGGGAGGATCTCTCGATTGATATTACAGTCTCCGCCAGCTTGGAAGAGTTGTGGAAGATTATGTCGCACCTACCATGTTTGACGGTGTCGAAGGCTCACTCTCGTTTACGGTTTTACATACAGATCAGAGTTGCTCTTCGTCAACACCCGAAATGGAATATCTATCAGTGGGGCAAGATCGGGCATGAGGTTGGCTTGTGGGATGGATTATCGGGCGTGGAAGACCCGGACGCGTGGTTGCCGTGCTTTGAGGTCATGAGGTTGCTCAGCGAAGACGCTCTGGCAATGGAAGGAGACGGGGTACGTAACATAAATTTGTGGCTGTTGGAAAGACACGCTCAGGATATCGTGAGGGCTGCTAAGATAGATATTCAGCAAGACGGGGAAATGAAGCCGAAGGAGGATTGGTCGGAGGAAGATATGATCGGTTATTGCTCTGCCGTTGGCAAACTACTGTGTGGCGATTACGGCGCCCTGGCGGAATATGGGGGTATTAAGGTCGACGGACAGTGGACTTTCCCTTGATCATCGAGCCCTCAAGAGAACATATAAGTGCGATGAAGCGATCGGATATCCTATGATGCTTTTGTAACTCCGGCGAGATTCAGTTCGAGAGTGATACGCTACTGCTGCTCAAACGAGAGCGCTCTCCACCACTAGTCGTATATTACAGTTTAACCTTGCGAGGAGGTCCCAGGCACGTTGTAGGCGCATTCCCCAGCTTTCCGTACTTTTGCCTCGATGTACTCAAAGATGTCATGAGAACCATGACTTGGCTTCTTTTCTCTTCTGCTCTTTCATCTCATCCATCTGTCGAATGTCAGCTTCATATACCCAACATGACGACAAGAAGATCCAACTCACCCATGACTTCTTACATGCCTTGTACGCACTGAACGAAAGACAGTCGTTAATTCTCCAAAATCTCATAATTTCACCCTCTTGAGGCCGACTCACTGGAAGTAATCATGACACATGGCGCGATCTCCTCCATTCCTCCGCATGCATTTCAGACTTCTATTCGCTGCATCCTGGCATGGATCAAAGTACTCGCTGTACTGCTTACTATTGAATTATTAGAATGTATCTAATTCGTGGATGGATGAGTGGCGAACATACTTGTTGAACCGGGCGGAACTCTTATTCCACGTGGTCTTTTCTTCTGTTTCTGGCTTTTCTTCCGACATGAAGTGCAAGTGTTGGGTTGAGAAGTTGTTAAGATCGATGCAAGAGAGATGTCGTGCAGCGCCACAAGAGATGTGGAGATTAGCGCCGGGCGTAGCCGCTTTGGAGATGGTGATGGCAAAGGCTGTCTCCCAAAGTAAGTTATTGTTGATATAAGACGGCTCAGACTATCACCAGCATGTCTGGAATCAGCCAGTGAGTGATGTACTTTCAGGTGATCCAGCTCGGGAGACTTTATTCGTTTCTACAGCTCCCTCATCACGCAACTTTGCCTTGTCATGCCTCTGCGCCCCATCTCCTACTCCCTCCCCTCGAACTTGAACCCGACATCCTCCAGCGTCCTGGCCTGATGTCGCCCTTCCCCAAGCTCTGCAAATGCTTTTTTGATATTTGGAAACCTCTCCCGCACCCACCATTGCTCTTCGCCCCACAGCACGGGTGCCTTTCCGCCCTCTCCATCAGCACTCATCGCCCAGTCATGCATCATGTTGATGGAAGCTGCATCTTTCGGAAATTTCAACACATGGAATGCAGTCCCGGTTCCCATCTCTGCCACGAGGCTGTCCTCCCAACGCTTCATCTCATCTTCGTCAGGCAGTGCCAAGCGTCCCGAGAAGACCCTCGCGATCACCGCAGCCTGCGCTTCTGCCCAAGGAAAAGGAATGACTTTCTGGTTCAAAGCCAAGAAAGCCAGACTCGGATTAGGACGGTAAAAGATGTGCTGGTATGTATTCTCAACTCTCTCTCCAGTTGTTATGACTGGTGGGTTCAACTCGTCCAGGAAAGGGAAGGAATAGAAGTATCCCGTACAATAGACTATAGCATCCACATCGCTTTCAATACTACCATCTGCGAAGCGTACGCTGCGGTTTGTGAGGATGTATTCGACTATCTCCGGCTTCTCGACGATAGATGGGGAGGACTCTCCGACTTTCAGGTATGATTCGGATTTCTGGGATTGAAGAAGTGGCAGGGCGCAGACTGTCGCTATTTGAGAGCCGATGTCGATCCCTGAGGCGGAATTCCCCACTATGATGACCTTCTTGCCAGTGTATGTTTCGGGGACGCGGTAGAACTTCGAATGGGTTATCACACCGGGAAAAGCGGTGTTGAAGGCTTCGATACCGGGGACATCAGGTAGCTTTGGAACATCGTAGTGACCGTTTCCAATCACTACTGCGTCGAATGTCTCTTCCTCGGGTGGAGATGGAGAAATTTTTGATATTCTTTTGGTAGTCACGGTCCAATTTCCCGTGGAGGTCTGGCGGACTGATTGCACTTGAGTGTTAAAATGGATGAGATGTTGGACTTGTTGGCTATGTTTCTGAAGGTAGGAGAGGACTTGGGTATGTTTGGGGAAGAGCTGGGTGTCTTCGGGCCAAGACTGGTCCGAAAAGGCCATCAGACCTCGAGGGATGTTCGTTTCTAATCTGTCGTAGACGGGCGATATGAAAGTTGGATTTTCTGCAGCTTCATCTGCCCATATTGGCTTCTGCAAACCGGCGTGCGGGCTTGTCTGCGGGATGGTGATCTCTCCAGAAGCATCCTCACATGGGGAATGAATCCACAGCCCTCCAACAGTAGGACGTTGTTCGAAGATCACAATACGAGAGAACGCATTCTCAGCCAGGAGATACCTACATGTTCGTCAATTGATGACTGGTCTAGGGCATCTTCAGGAGAGTCTCCTACTTCGCCGCTGCGATGCCACTTGAGCCAGCTCCGAGGATGGCAACAGAGGCGGCTTTGAAACGCCTCGATGGTGGGAGAGAGCCCATGCTGTAGTGATGATGCGTGGATCCTATAGCGTGTCGAAGATTCCGCAGAGATTTATACATGTAGCACCGGGACGCCAGCATCCACAGCCTTGCCTCGCCTATCACGGAAGCTCGTTGAAGTCGAGGTGATATCGCCGCCGGTTAAACGTCGGAGAAAGCCGGGGCGACAGAGCATTGGAGCAAGAGCACTGCACCTCAAGAACTTCATCATCGGTGGATCAACTTTCAGCATGCAGCCCGGCATGTCGTCTTCGATGTGTCTGCGGTGTCTGCGCCGCTCCTTGGGCCAGATTGAATCGTCGCAGCCCGCCAATGCCACCGCTGTCTCCCGCGCCGCCTTTTCAACCTCCTCCTCTCTCTCTGCGCAGCCCGTCAAGAAGAAGGCGGTCGCTGGCAGACCCGCAGCCAGCGCGGGCAAGACTCTTCGGCTGACCAAGAACAAGCGAGCGGCCACGACGCGTCCACCAGCGATAGGCGAGCGCAGGGAGCTGCGGAAGAGGGTGGTGCTCAGCAACACGAATGCGCTCGAGGTCAAGCTACAGGATCTCAAAACGGCAACGACTAGGAGTTCGCAGCTTCACGAGCTACAAGGAAAGGTTCTGGGRGTGGGAAAGGAGACGGTCGATGCATTGAGTGCGCTGGAAGTGTTCAAGCCTACACAAGGATGGTCATTGTTTCATCGCCCAGCGACGCTTGTAAGGAAGGAAACGGTGGAGATTTCTGGTGATATCGAATGGATCGCTGAAGCACTGTCGAAACCCGACATCCCATCGCGTACCGTGCGAAAAGTGCTGTTCGGCGAGCGCGGCAGCGGCAAGAGTGTGCTTCAGCTGCAGGCACTGGCCATGGCATCACTGCGCAAATGGGTAGTGGTGCACATTCCCGAGGCCAAGGATCTCACAAACGCCCACACCTCTTACCAGCCTATTACGACGCCTGACGGGACGATATACATCCAGCCGCACTATACCGCAAAGCTGCTAGGGAACATCGCCAAAGCAAACCAGGAGGTCCTCGCGAAGCTCAAAATGACCAAGGACCATAAGCTTCCAATGCAGCTACCGCCAAAGACAACTCTCGCTCGTCTTGCAGAGTTAGGCGCAAACGACCCAGAAGTAGCGTGGCCCGTCTGGGAAGCGCTCTGGAGTGAGCTACTCGCTAAAGACAATGGTCAGCAGCTCCCACCAGTGGTTTTCTGTCTCGACGGCGTTGACCACGTTATGCGCCTCTCGGCCTACCTCAACCCCGAAGCCGAACCTATTCACGCCCACGAGCTTGCACTAGTCCGCCATTTCGTCGGCATACTGTCCGGCAAGACTGCTCTGCCAAACGGCGGTATGGTTCTCGCTGCGACTTCGGAATCTAACCGCGCCGCAGCTCACACTCTGGACCACTGTCTCCAGCGTAACTTGGCGATACAGGAAGAGAAAGAGCCGCCGATCTGGGATCCGTACACCGCTCACGATAAATGGGTTCAAGAGGCCATGGAGACGGTACGCGCTCAGAAAGTGTTGGGCTTGAGCAAAGCCGAGGCAAGAGGGATCATGGAGTACTATGCCCACTCGGGGATGATGAGGCAGACGGTCACGGATGGATTGGTCAGTGAGAAGTGGACACTGGCTGGCGGCGGCATCATTGGGCAGGTTGAGAACGGAAGTGTACGTGCGAGATTCTGAGCAGGATATGTGTATAACATGTACGAAAATTTGTGTTGTACAAAGATTTGGGTACAGAAGAATGAACGACGGGCATGCGTGCAGTTGCAGCAATTTGAGTTCGACTAGTGCGATGGATGAAAGGACCTCACTCCTCGATTGTTCTCACGTGCAAACTACACGCCGTCGATGCGTGTTCAGCCCCTTGCAAGCTCAATCGAAGATTACATGCGGCTCTGCAGCCCTGCTGGCAGCCTCCCACTAGTGTTCGGGAACCTGTAGCGAACGAATGCTCAGTATTTGCTGGTGTGAAGAGGTTGCCAGATCACCGATGTTGTGCGACAGGACCTCCATTAGCTGCCGGAAATTTAATGCGAGTGGAAAGCGTAGGAGCTTGCTCCGATGAGGCGACTTTTGGAGCAGCAGGGCGACAGGGGTATACGGGAGGATTCTGTGGGGACGGGAGGAGGGAAGACTCTGCGGTTGCGTTGGGACTTGATCCAATGCATCGAGAATTGTGACATACGATGAGAGAAATGTGGTCTCTATTGGCTTTTGGTGCCTTTGTACTGCAGTCTGCTGCTACGACTCTCCAACCTTCTGTGAGGCTGACGCAGGGAGTCGTAAGTGGAAAGTATGATGCGAGCAACAACTCGGTATTTCTGGGCATCCCCTACGCAGCTACTACTGCGGGCGAGAACAGGTCAGTCGTCTTCGTCGGAGCTTGCACCGGGATTTGAGACTAATGCTGTGTCTAGATGGAAAGCACCGCAGCCCCTGTCACTTTCCAAGTATTCTGCGTTGAACGCGACGGCGTATGGTCCAACTTGTCCACAAGCTGTTACCAACGCCTACTATAGTCGCCAGGATGAGGATTGTCTTAACCTCAATATCTGGACCCCTGCTCGGGGCGAGAACAAGAAGCTTCCAGTCAGTGAACGCATCGTTTTATCCATTGGCGAGATACTAATGGGCGACAAAGGTATTCGTCTACACGTATGGCGGTGCAATGGTCACTGGCTCGAATAGCGATCCTCAACATCAAGGTTTCAATTTCGCAAGAAAAGGTGTCGTCTATGTCAACCTCAACACAAGGGAGAGTCTTTGGGCTTCTCCAAATTCGGCCGATTTACCAGGAAGCCAGAACTTTGGCATCTTGGATGTAGACATGGCAATGGAGTGGATTCACACAAATATCGCTCGTGAGACAACGCAACTACTAACCAATCAAAGGGTAACATGGCTAACCTCGACCAATAGACTTCGGCGGGGATCCCAACCACATCGTATTTGGTGGACACTCCTCAGGCGCCGTACACGTCGATCACTACCTCTGGAATCATCCAAGCACATGGCTCAAAGGCGCCGTACAAATGAGCGCTAACGCCCTCTCCGGACCGGCCTTTGCTCCGAAAAATGTAGCGCTAGATGTCGTAGCCGCGGAGGTCGGCTGTGGAACAGTTCAACAGGGCGGACAACTCGAATGTCTACGCTCAGTCGAAATTGCAGACTTACAGACTGCGTTCTTCAACCAGACTTCGAACACTTGGTTCACTCCTATCATCGATGACATTACGAGGTTTTCGGACTATCCAGCCAGATTGAAAGCTGGAAAGTATGCTTCGCACGTACCACTTCTGACGGGAAATTCGGCTGGTGAAGGAACGATCTTCTCGCTTGTGTATGGTGCGGAGAACGCGAACTTCAGCAGTTGGATTGAGACGTTCAATGCTGATAGCAAGCACATCCCGAGTGAGGTGTTGCTTTCCGCATATGCTCACAACTCTACGAGCGACTCCTCGATCAGTGGGATGCAGTACGGTGAAGCGCGCTTCGATTGTCCCGTGGACTATATGATCGATCTCCGAAGTGAATGCCAAAGCACATGGGAATATCGCTTCTTCGGAGCGTACGATAATGTTGTTGGTGTCCCGGGAACAGCTCCTACCCACGGAACAGAAGTACCGTTCTTTCTGGGAGGCAACGAATGCTTTGAAAAATTGGAGAATGTCACAGCAGCACAGCAAGCTTTGGCCGATTCAATACATGATTGGTTCGTAGCCTGGATCAAGAACCCCGGAGCTGGACCAGGTTGGGAACGAGCGAGAGCGGTAGATGGGCCCATTGCATACCTCGGATTCCCTGGAGATGAGCTCTCACAAATTGAGGCTTCGTCGGGGCTGCACAATGGGCGCTGTCAGGAGGTCTACAAGCCGTATTTCGGAGACTACCCTGTTGTGCAGACCACGTCGTGAGTTACACGTGCCAAGAACGGCGATGTGCAGCAGCTAGAAAGCCGTTGAGACTGGGATAGATGTACTCAGTTGAGAAAAGCTCCATTCTGTGTGGTCGGCCACTGCAGTAGACTAGCCATTGGCCGCATAGAATCAGCAACTTCCTATTCGGGCGTCGACGTCTTCGAGTTAACATGGCGTGCAAAAGTTGCCTGAAGCCCATACTTGTACTATGATCGACCGTCTCATGACCAGCGGCCAACTCATATAGCTGTTCCTCAAATTGTTGTCGAAGAGTCGCACTGCTGCTGATTTCCTCATCCATGTCCAGCAATTGTAAGTCAGATCATCGGGAGCACGAGCACGAAGATCGCTAGTCAGCGAGTTTGGCGGGAACCAGCAGAGGGTCCTGCAAGCATCCGCTGGTTGTCCTACGCATCAGAGCGTGCTCAACTCGGTTCTGGCGACACGCATCTGCTGAACGAACCACCCAGTAACCGTCGTGGCAGGTCGCACTGTGCAAGCTTTATCGAGTCAATACCAGTGAGCACCCGTTAGCTTCGAATTGATGGTCCAGAAAGGCCATCCATCAGTAGCTAAGATGGGTGAGATGGTCCCGCAAGCAAGCTACCGGCAATGCACACTTGCCGTAACGAGAATGTAGACTCCCGTTAGCGTTTTGACCGTGCCCTACGAAGAGAACGCCGCTGACGGTACCGATACGAGTGCAGAGGTAGCCTTGCATGCTGCAGTGCGAGGACCGCACCACCCACGTCTTTCTTCAGCATGCGGACAAACGCTAGCGCTGCCCCAGTGGTCTTCCTCGTTGATGCGTGGTACGGAGCTGTGCCCGAGAATCTGCTCACGGGCCGGATTCGGGCACACTCCTTACAGGCTTCATGTGCCGCGCACGGCGATTCCCACACTACCAGTATCGAAGAGCTCAATTAATCCACTCCCGACACACTCGGCAAGGACCCACGCGAATTCCAGTCCGTAAAAGTCTCTCCACCGCTTAGTCTTGCCAGGGAGAACACCAGACCATTCACCGCGCGAGCGCTTCGCGTTACTGATCGCGTCATTTGGGACGTTGCCGTCCCATTTCTCGCGAAGCAGATCAAGGGTAGCTTCTCTATGCCGCGGACTGAGTTGCTTTAGGAGGAACAGCAAGTGGGCGCGGGATTCAGTCAAAAGCTTCAGATAGGATCCAGTAGATGGAAGTGAAAGTGTCATCGTGTTTCTGAGATCGCTCAGCGAAGAGCGCGGTTGTGCGGCCGCAGAAAGTGCGCTCCCGCCGCCACCGCTATCATTGATTGCACCATAGCCACCGACAGCTGCTAGAGTACCTGAAGGTGCCAATGATCCTGCCACGGAGATCGCTGCGAGCGAAATGCCTGTGGAGCGCGAGGAGAGATCGCTGCCACTGGATAGAGCAGCCGGATTCGTGAGGAAACCCGTGGTGACGAGCATTCGTACTTCCTCGCGAGTGAGAGATGCGATCGAGACGGTGGGAGACGTAGGATTGGAGGTCATAAGAGTGATGTACTTCTCCCTCAACTCCTCCGGCAAGGCGGTTTCTTKATTCACCCGATCCTTCCAGTCATCGACCACCACGACGCCCTCTCCAATCGCACTGCCACCTTTCCCTCTGCCTGGGATTGTAATCTTACGGTATTTACCCATAGCTACGCCTCTTGCCAGCGCACGCTCTGTTTCGGTGGGCGACCTACTCAACGCAAGCAAGTGTGCAATGCTCACGATCGGAGGAAGTTGTTTGCGAAAGCGAAGCACTTCTGAGATACGCTCACTTTTCATACCTGCCGCACGATCTGGAACATCCTCGAACGAGGATTGCGCATATCGAATCAACGAGATGAGCTCTTGTGGTATATTTCGCGGAGCCAGGGACGGGACAAGGCCGCCATTATCTTCTAAAGGTTGCTCTTTTTCGGCAAAGCTATTGGTCCGAGAGCCTGGCTTGGTGCGCTGAGCACTGGAGAAGGGCGATTTCGACTGCGAGGATGTCCGGCGCAGGAGAGGATTTACCGACTTGGGCATGGCGATGCGTGAGGTTTCGTGGTTGAAGAGTTCTGTATTCCTCTTCCCGTTGAATGTTTCAGCCTTGGCCTACTGGAATGGTCGCTGTAGTGTCAAAACTCATCACTTTGGGGGAATGAGGTAGTTCGACGAGACTTGGGCGTATCAAACGTTGAATGCTCCCGTCCTGTCGTTGGCATGTCTGGAGGTTTGGTAACCGAGAACGAGATAGCCCCACATGTACGCCAAGAATTTGGGAGTCAGTTCAGCCTTCAGCCTTTTGGTGCAGTCCTCTCCTCAACTACATTTACTCTCATGCTGCGATCATGGGATCTCAGACACCAGAAGGAGAACGCCGCGGTCCGGATGGTATGTGGATTTGATGATCAATCTGTGACTCGATACTGACAGCAGACAGAATCGTCCGGCCAGGCGGCAATCGCCAACATCAACCCTCAGCGACCAGCTGCCGCAAGCGGATTACTTCACGGCGCACTTGAAGGGCAGGATGAAGACGGAGATGATGGTGATGAAGATACCGCCGTGAAGACTGGCGACCAACCTAGTAAGCAGAGTTACATATTGTGGATATTTTTAAAGCTAACTTCACCAGACAAGAAGAAGACCAAAAAGAGTAAGAAGAAGAAAAAGAAGACCCCCGGTGGGCAACAGACGACCCCACCGAGAGTTGCAGTCGCCGACATCTTCGCCGGCAAGCCATATCCCTCTGGAGAAATTCTCGAATACGCCGTTAAGAACGACAATCTCCAGCGTACCACTGCCGAAGAGACACGGCACCTGGCTGTGCTTGACAACATGAACGAACACTTCCTGAARGACTATCGCGAAGCAGCCGAAGTTCATCGCCAGGTCCGCCATCATGTGCAAAGCATCGCCAAGCCTGGAATATCCATGCATGACCTCGCTGGGGAGATTGAGGACGGCGTTCGCGCACTGGTTGGCCATCCCGGTATTGAGCCCGGAGATGCTTTGAAAGGCGGACTTGCCTTCCCCACCGGGCTTTGCTTGAACAACATTRCGGCTCATTGGACTCCCAATCCGGGAGGCAGAGAGATTGTCCTTCAGCACGACGATGTGCTGAAGGTGGACTTTGGAGTTCATATCAATGGCCGGATTGTAGACAGCGCTTTCACGGTTGCTGCCAATCCAATCTATGACGACTTGCTGGCGGCTGTAAAGGCGGCTACCAATACTGGCTTGAAGGTGAGTTGATCGGCATTTTAAGTAACTTCAGAAACTAATCGTCTGCAGGAAGCTGGTATCGATGCTCGTATGGACCACATCAGTGGGGAGATTCAGGAAGTGATGGAGTCCTACGAAGTCGACTTGAACGGCAAAACCATCCCGGTTAAAGCCATGCGAAGCTTGACAGGCCACAACATTCTACGCTACAAGATTCACGGCGATAAACAAGTCCCCTTTGTCAAGACTCGCACCTCTCAACGTATGGAAGAAGGCGACATTTTCGCCATTGAGACTTTCGGTACGACTGGCAGTGGACGCACTCGAGACGATATTGGCGTATATGGATACGGGCGCAAGGATGATGTCAGCATTGCTGGTCTACACCAGAAGTCTGCGAAGATGCTGTTGAAGACGATCGATGAGCACTTCGGTACTCTGGTCTTCTCGAAGCGGTACCTTGAACACATCGGCGTGAAGAACTATCATCTCGGGATGAAAGCTCTTATTGCCAATGACATTATCGAGTCCTACGGACCGTTGGTGGATATTGCTGGGTCGTATGTTGCGCAGTTTGAACATGTAAGAAATCTCCTTGTTATCGTCGGTTGTGGCAGCTAATGTGAAGACAGACTGTCCTGCTGCGGCCAAACTGCAAGGAGGTCGTCTCTCGCGGTGATGATTATTGAGTGGACGAGAAACATCCCGCTATGTGCAAGCATAGCGGGAGCTTGCAGAGACGATTTGGGTTGATTTGATTTCATTTTGATGAAGGCAGTTCTTCATCGCCACGCTCGTTACACTGTTCTTTGACTTCAACAGTCACGCAACCACGACGCGAAAGTGCTTCAACGCGATTCGTCCGTCACCAAGCATCTGGATATTGCAGGCGCGAATCAATGGATTGCTTCCCACTCGCTTTACCTAACATGGTCCCTCTGGTGGCTTGCCTACATTGAACGCTCATGTTTCGGATGGCATCTATGTTTCAGCCTCCCCAAAATCAATCTGGTCACCAGAGCGGTTGAATTTCACAACAGGCACGAAAACTTCTACAATACCTTATGGTCATGATCAAGCGCGAATTTGTCCTGTCATCTCGTCGTGTATCCTCAAAAATGCGGAGAGCCGTGTTCAGCATGTGACAGGGCACGGACCCCCCAGCAAACGCGGGCCGCTCCTCCAATGATGACGGTGGCAGCCCAGCAAGTCGYTTCGCAAGAAAAGGCAAAGGCAAACCAGGCAGGGAAGCTCAACCTTCTCTCCAGCTCCTCACACTTATCGCGTCGCGGATAGTCATGCTCAACGTCTGCAAAAGTGAGCGCTGATCGTACGCCTATATCGACGCCGCCTCGAATCGCCTGCGAAGCTACTCCACATCGGCCTCCACACCCATGTCGTTGAGCAACGATCCAGCCGACCCGGCTGAGCGTGCTGAGCTCCACCTTCCTCCAAAGAGCTACCTAGRGGCTGTCGAAGAAGCATTGGAAACTGAAGTGCCGCCGATAGACGAAGATACCAGTATGTTTTTAGCGTCTGACAGCGTGAACTCCTGTTCGCAGCGGGGAACAAAGAATCTCACACTGACCCGTGGTGCCTCTACTTCTTAGTCAAGGAATCACCTCCGCGTAGCCATTCACGCGGATCCAGCGAACCGCGACCACTAGGAGAGGTAATCGACGAGCCCGCGCCTGGATCACCTGCTTTGAGGCATCCTAAGGGGAGGCTCGAATCAACGTCCAGTCGCGAGAGCTACGCTGGTGCGGTCAAGGATCATCCGCCGTCCCCGAACGGACTTCCCAACGGCGACGGAATGGGAATGCCCGTCAAGAGCAATGGTGGGGGCCTTCGCCATGTTAGTAATGGAGGCGAGAGACTGGATTCCAATGGAGGCGCCAGTACCAATGGCCACAGCAATGGAGGTTCGAATGAGGATGGTAGCAGGACACCAGAAATGTTCGACGGAGTAGGTGAGGACGAAGAGCCGCGATCGCCCATAAGAAAAGTCCACAAGCGTGGCTCGTCACGTCAAATGAGCGGCAACGAAAAGGATGGCCACAAGCAAACTGCAGGACCGCCAACAAATGGAAATGTCATAGGCATAGACGGCACATCGGAAGAGAAGCTAGAGCCTGGTGCTCTCGTCTATGAGAACCTCCGGAACAAGTCTGGCGAGAACCTGGCATCGATCAAGCCGTTTGAAGCCTACGACACAAGTCTCGCACAGAAGGAAAACAAAAAGTCATCAAATCAGCACTCCAAACAAATGAACAGGAAAGACGGCGATAGTGATCTTGTATCCGGCCGTCGTGTTGGCGAAGGCTGGGGTAGGAGCGCAATCCGATGGGCACCGCTGAATGTGCCACTGCAACGACGTCTTCAAACACTACTCGTGCTCCTCCACACGCTGAGTATCGCAGGTGGCTTGGCCTTGTTTCTCTTCCTGTGCGCCATACCTATTCTCTGGCCGATTGTGATTCCATACCTTCTGTACACCACGCTTTCAAGAGCGTCCGTTGATGGCCGCCTCGCGCAGCGTTCCGAGTGGTGTCGGGGATCAAAGATTTGGTCTTTGTTCGGCTCTTACTTTCCTGCTCGTCTCCATCGCAGCCAGGAGTTGGAGCCCACAAGAAAGTACATATTCGGGTACCACCCTCATGGTATCATTTCTCATGGTGCTTTCGCGGCCTTCGCAACGGRGGCGCTGGGTTTCAAGCAACTCTTCCCGGGCATCACCAACACTCTACTCACACTTGATGCAAACTTCAGGATACCGCTATATCGCGAATATGCACTCCGCATGGGCTTAGCGTCTGTCTCTCGGGAGTCATGTGAGAACCTCCTTTCCCACGGCGGAACCAATGGTGAGGGTATGGGTCGTGCTATCACCATTGTTGTTGGCGGAGCACGCGAGAGTCTTGACGCGCTTCCCTACACTCTGCGTTTAGTACTCAAGCGTAGGAAGGGCTTTGTCAAGCTTGGAATCCGACAAGGAGCCGATCTCGTCCCTGTGCTGGCATTTGGCGAGAACGACATTTACGACCAATTCGATACTGAGGCACATCCGTGGATTCACAAGGGTCAAATGCTTGTAAAGAAGCTGATGGGGTTCACGGTGAGTGTTGACTTGATTGCCCGTTTTCGTTCGATTGCATTTGCTGATGATTCCAATTAGGTACCCCTCTTCCATGCWCGTGGCGTCTTCAACTATGATGTCGGCATGATGCCCTATCGCCGCCCAATCAACATTGTTGTCGGCAGACCCATTCGTGTGCTGCAGAACAAGAACCCCGATCAAGCATACATCGACGAGATTCATAGTAAATATGTCGATGAATTGCTCAGGACATGGGAGGAGTGGAAGGATACTTTCGCGATCAATCGTGCCCGCGAGCTGGAGATCATCGAGTAATTTCACGGACTTTGTGTATAATTTACAGACGACATATGGACTGGTGTGTGTATTTCAAGCGTAACGGCCGACTAGCATCAAGGTACAATAAAACAGGAACAGAACCAGCGGAAGATGCGTCCAACCCCTTGTTGCATTGCCATCCTCTTCCAAAGTGATCGGCACGCTGACTAACAACGCGGTTCGTCCGCCAATCTCATCTCTGCTTCTTGCAACAACAATACAATGTGAGTGGTCCTGACAACGACCATGAAGCTTCTTAATGAACTCTTTCCTATTCAATCGCCAATTAGGGGCCATCAGCTCGCAAGCTCTCGCTAAGGCTCAGAACAATCGCTTGCTCAAAGCTTTACAGGCCACGGATGTGAGATTTGCTCTTGATCATCAAGATGGGACGAGACCAGTGATTGCCACAGCAGGTGGAAGTACGATTCGAACGAGAGATGTTGCTCATGCAGCGGGAGTAAGCAGTATAGCCATTGATCGTTTCGAAGGCAGATAGTAAGTTTGTCATCTTCCAGTGCATTTCTGCGATGGCTGATTTCTCATTCATCAAGCTTAATATCAGCGGGCGCCGACTCTTCTCTCGCAGTCTGGGATCTAGAATCGGCGGAAGCATCTTCGGGTGAAGTACATACTCATGTGCCTCTCGAAGTCACTGCTAGGACTTCCACAACTGCTAGTCTGGGAATCACTCACATCTCTTTCTACCCTTTCGACTCTCTGGCGCTTTTGACTTCAGGCTACGACCACACTCTCAAACTGTTTTCATCAGAAACACTCAAGAGTTCTGCTAGTTTCGACCTCGGCTCTGTCATCTACTCTCATGCCACTTCTAACATCGCATCACATCTCCTTGTAGCCTGTGCATCCCAGCATCCGGCTGTCAGACTCGTGGATCTTCGAAGTGGCGCAAGCACACATTCTCTTCCTGGACATCATGGATCTGTTCTCTCCGTGGCGTGGCATCCCAGAGACGAGCATGTTTTGGCCAGCAGTGCCACAGACGGTGTTGTGCGGCTATGGGATATTCGAAGAAGCGCTAGTTCGCTTGGAGTGCTAGATTTGGAGGACAGTATTGGTGTCGCTGGCTATGATGGAAAGGGAACCGGTGCTCGAGGACGCGAACGTGGGAAGTCGCATATCGGAGCTGCTAATGGTATCGTTTGGACCGAGGATGGAAGATACCTACTATCTAACGGCCACGACGAGAGAATGAGGATATGGGATGTGCAAACTGGAGCGAACACTCTAGCAAACTTCGGCCCTGGCTTGAAGAACTCATCCACGACTGCTGTTCTACCGCTCATTGTCCCAAGCCATTTGAGCGAGCTTGGAAAAGAAACCATCTTCTATCCGAATCCCAAGGAAATCCTGGGATTTGACATGCATTCTGGGACGTTACAAAGTCGACTGAGGGTCAAGGGTTTGCCGGGCTCTGATTCGAATGCCAGGAGTATGAAGTCGAGAACGACGGCTTTAGCGTGGAGGGCACATTCAATAGAGATGTATTCTGCACATGGGGACGGAACGATCAGGTGTTGGAGACCGAGGACTATGGAGGATGTCGTTGCGGAACAGGAACAGGCTGTTGAGAGGGATGGACTGGAAGGCGATGGAGCGGAGAGGAAGAGGAAGAGGGAGGAGTTTGAGCGGGTTGTGCAGGATCTCACGAAGAAGAAGATTCTGTTCTCCTGAATGATGACAAACATTGCTGAAGGGGATATTGTGGTGCCTCTGCATAGTGCTTGACCAAGGAATTGTTCTCGTTGAGAATAGCAGTCGGTTTGAGAAGATTTAAGCGCTTGTTCATGTTCGTTTTTGCAACCGAGGGCCACCAGGCGAGTATTACGGCATCCAGAGCTATCGAACATAACAACCGAATGACTGTGCGACTGATAGACTCCGCTCTTCCGCTGCCAGATGGGCGTCGTGCAGGAATTGACATGCTCCCGTCACTACCTTACCACAACCCTATCACAACCCTAAGGTAACTAACTCTCCATCAAAGCCCGTGAAATTTTGATTCACCCTCTTCTCATCACGAACTCGACGTGACTTGAGAATCATCAACATGACACGAACATGTCTCTGTCATCAGCCTCAAACGGTTCGCAATTTGCGGGAGATTTACCTGAAATAGAAGCAGAATCGAAAGACGTGCCATTTCTGGGCGGCCTTCCACACGCGCGACCCAGTAGTTCAGACAGAATGCCTGGCGACACACCACCCATCAACGTGTCTTTGCCAGCTGTAGACGAAAAGCACAGCGCGCTCAGAAACGACGGGGAACTGTCGGTGGTACAATCGAATGATCGAGTAGCCCAACGGAGCAAGAAATCGAAAACTCCAGCCGACTTCAAACCTGTAAAAACCACACCATTTCGGAAAATTGACACTGCTGCCAATGAGAAGCCACAAGCTGGCGCTCTGGATGCCGTGGACGAGAAATTCTCCGACATCGATAATCTCGGCGAAGACTCCGAGCAGGATAGCGACGACCCTTTCACCATCTACGATGCAGTAGCAGGACGACTTGGTTACGATGGACTTGTCAAGGAGAATCAGCAGCCGGTCGCTGCCGCCGACTATTTATTTCGCTACAAGCAAGATCCTGCGCAAGATGCAAGCTACGAGCAGTTCTCGGCGCATCGATATCTTCAACATCGTCTACCAGACTCGGATCTGCTGAAAGCCATACATGCCCATGCGTCCGACTTTTATGGCGCGCACCCAGATGCTCAAGATTCATTCGAGAGCATGGATGAGACTGCACTGATCGCGATGGGCATTCTCCTCGAGGAAGCCGCTGCTGAACGTCTCGGTAAGACTGGAGATCTAGCCTTTGTTGAGGCAGCTCGTCCGGGTGAGGTGGACTCTCCGAAGCGTGCTGGTCGCAGGAACAAGCGGCAAAAAACCAGGCATGGAGGTGGCGTGAAGGAAGAACGAGCTTTCAAGGCAGACTCGGGGTCTTTGGACGATCAAAGCTCGTTGAGTGATCCAGGCCAGTCGTCCCGCCGGAAGCGACGTAGAGGAGGCGGAACGAGCGAATCGGATATCGCCACCGAGAACGAGGAGGATCACACCGATGAAGATCCAAGCCATAACAGCGAAGTTGAGTCCTGGATTTCGCAAACTCTTTTGGACGCTCATGGCGAACCCAACGGCGAATATGGCACGGCTGCCGACTTACCCATCAGATGAAGGATGTGCTTAAAATACCGGACTTTTGCAGGGTCGTAATACCAGCGTGATTGCGTCTGGAGAACCCGCATGTACCGCGTCAAGGCCTAATTACATTGGATCCCAGTAAGTGCAAGCAGCCGGACATGGCATACGCACCTTGGAGTCTCCATTCAGCCGCCAACTTGCCTCAATAGGAGGCGTCAATGAAGGATCATGATTCATACATAGCCCATGTCGGGTGATCGGTCCACCGCCCCGACTCTGGAATCATGAGCACGAGGTGTACCATCTTACCCGGATGCTCGACACAGTAAATTAGGTAAAGTGAACATTCGCGGTCCGTGAACCTGATCATTCTCATGACTCCTCGCATGCTGCGATGTCTCATCTTCTCAGGCTGTCATCTCGCAGGATCTGGATTGTAGGCCGCAACTCTGACATATTCGATAGACCGGTAGACCTTGATCCCTGCGGACTGCATCTCTGGGCCTACTGGATCCGAGTCTGCACCACTTAAAAGCTCTCCTGGCATCCCGACTTTAGTCTGCGCGATCTGATCTATCCCACGTGGCTCACAAAGCTTCAATTTGGGTCCAAAAGATCGCCATGTGTCGTGTAGATTGACAATCCAGAAACACGGCTTCTATTCACCCGCGCTTCTTACTTTGTTCTTCCGTCTGCCTGGAATTGTCATCTAACCAGGGAGCAACGGCGGCGAAATCTCCCAGACAGAAGTGGCCAATCGAGATATCCATACGAAGGCATTCGCCAGGGCAGCATATTACTCGGATCCAGGGATGCTGTACGCACAGGCACATGTGGCATTGCGAGCTGTAGAAGAGAGCAGATCTGGACCATCGCTTGGCTTGGATAAATTCACTTGCATTTAGCCGGCAAGGCTGCTCTACTCCGCTCTTGTCTTCCACAAATTCAGTGGATCTCAAATCTGGAGAAGCGAGACATGCAGGCATTCTCCGGACCCCTGCTGGTCTAGTCCGCCGTGGAGTGCAGTAGTCAATGTCTTGTGCGCTGAGGGCTGTTCGTTTGGCGAATCAGACGAGTGCAATCCACTGGGTCTATACCGTGCCCAGACATCTTTCCTATATTGCTGTTGGCGACGCTGTGGCGCTACCGCGTGCCCAACCGACATCACACCCGACATGAGACGCCCAGCTTTGGGTGACTCGGCCGCGGTATACTGACCGGGTATTCTGGATGAATGCGATGCTATGAGTGAGCTCCCATAAAGGCTTCCTGTGGACCCATACCACGTCCTTGAAACTTCACATTCTACTACCATTGCATCTCATCGCCTCGATACTGAGATTGCACCGCGAACATGGACCGCCCAAGCAAGGGAACCTTCCGCTATGTGGAGCGCGAATTCGCTGAAGTGACCTGGTACAAAGATCCCGGTTTGAGGAAGACGTACATCGTCCTGATGTTCGTCGTTCTTACATCGGCATCCAATGGCTTCGATGGTAGTATGGTGAATGGACTGCAGTCTCTGGAGCCATGGCGAGTCCGTAAGGCTGAAATCCCCCCACAAGCAATACATAGATCTTTGACTGATATGGCCTTGTAGACTTCGACTTCCCGGAAGGCTCGCTTCTCGGTCTGTTCTCGTCGATCATGGCAGTCGGTGGTATCGTGGCACTTCCCATCACTCCTTACATTGCGGATGGCTGGGGCAGACGTTGGGGAATCATTATTGGTTGTCTCATCGGCCTTGTTGGTGTGGCGCTACAGGGAATCTCGATCAACTTTCGAATGTTCATCGCTGCGAGGTTTGTTCAACAGTTTGTTGTTTGCATCGATCGTACTAAGGCATTCAAGATTCTTCATCGGATTCGGCACATCAATTGCTCAAGTAAGTATTGATCCACAGCTAAAATGCATCTATCATTCTAACCTGGATTCAGGGAGCATCTCCCTTGCTTATCACGGAACTCGCTCATCCACAGCACCGTGCAATCTTCACGACCATCTACAACACGACCTGGTATGTTGGCGCTATCATCGCAGCATGGGCGACCTATGGCACCAATCAAATAAACAAGTGAGTACTATGCAAACTTCACTCGCACATGCCCTTCTAACCTGGAACAGCAACTGGTCTTGGAGAATCCCCTCGCTTCTCCAAGGATTTGCACCCATTCTGCAACTGGTCTTCGTTTGGTTCGTACCCGAGAGCCCGCGTTTCTTGTTCGCCAAAGGCAAAACAGAGAGGGCGCACCACGTTCTTGCTAAAACGCACGCAAATGGAGATCTCAACGACGAATTGGTCATGCTTGAAGTGCAAGAGATCAAGGAAACCATTGCACTTGAGAAGGAATTCGAGGGAAACGGCTGGCTTGTGTTCTTCAAGACGGTTGGCAACCGCCGCAGGCTCCTCATTCTACTCACCCTGGGTCTCTTCTCTCAATGGTCTGGGAACGGTATCGCTTCGTACTATCTGAACATCGTCCTCGATGATGTCGGCGTCACCAACGACAACACAAAACTGCTCATCAACGGCGGGCTCCAGATCATGAACATGGCCGTCGCCCTCGGCCAATGCTTCATCGTTGATTACGTTGGCAGACGCACCCTGTTCCTGGTCTCCACCTCCGGCATGTTTGGCACATTCTGCATCTGGACGGCTTGTGCCGCAACATACACGAAGTCGGGCGTCGCATCTGCAGGTCATGCGGTCATCGCCATGGTATTCATCTACTATATTTTCTATAACCTGGCATGGTCTGGACTCCTTGTGGGATATGGATGCGAAATCTTGCCCTACAACCTCCGWGCCAAGGGTCTGACTCTGATGTTCTTGATGGTGAATGTCGCCCTGTTCTTCAACCAGTACGTCAATCCGATCGCGCTGAGGGACATCAAATGGAAGTACTACATTGTGTACTGCGTGTGGCTTGCTGTAAGTTTTTCCATCTTGAAATACTCCAAGCACAGCACTGACTTTTATAGATTGAACTCGCTGTGGTCTACTTTTACTACATCGAGACCCGTTATACTCCGCTCGAAGAGATTGCCAAGTACTTTGATGGTCAGGATGCGCTTGTCGGTGGCGCTGTTGCCACCGAGAAAGGCAAGATTCTCTCGGCGGAGATGGGTGGTGTGGACCATGACATGGATAGGAAGAATCCTGAGGTGGAGCATCGCGAGTTGTAAGAATGAGATATATCGTCAACGAAGTATGAAGTTCACGTTTTGCATGGTTCCTCCCTGATCTGTGGTAACTATTCCGCTCCTGCCTCACGGACGCATCAAAGTGGGTCTCCGTCAAGCATCAATAGTTGTTCTGCTTTCCTCCTCACCTGCCATACAAATACAGCCGACAAGTATTCACCCAAAGCTTCAAAGATCTGCGCTATGGTAAGCACAGCGTTGCTGACAGCCCTTCCGCCACTGACAGGACTCGCAGGCACCCAAGGTCAACTGCAACCCGCTCAAGCTGGCAAAATGCCATGCCTACTTCCAGAGATCAGGCACAGCACACAACTCCAAAGAGCTGGAGAAGCAGCTAGTGGCAGCCTCCGGGATCAGTGGCATGCAAGTCAAAGGTGTRCCAATCCAATCCATGACCTGCCATGTTATCTTGCTGACGATCATGTCTCTTGCAGACTATCTTCAGACTCTCGTGGATGAGAATAAAGTCAGATGTGAGAAGATTGGCTCCGGAAACTGGTACTGGTCGTTTCCATCTGCAAATAAGATTTCCAAGCAGAAGCTCCTGGATGAAGCACAGTCCCTCCACAACAAAGTCGACGTCCTTGTGCAAGACCTCAGGAGCAAGATCATCGAGAAAGCCACCCAGCTTGAAGAGGAAGAGGAAATGCTCGACAACCCAGGAGAGTCTCGTGCAGAAGTGGTGGCTGCCAAAGCCGAACTTGAAAAAGAGCTCAAAGATCTGCAAAAGGAGCTGGCTACTTACAGCGAGAGTGATCCCACCGAGGTGGAGCGCAAGAAAGTGGAGGCGAAAGTGTGGTACAAGGAGGCGGATGAGTGCTCTGATCAGATCAACTCCATAGAGGACTGGTACAAGAAGCAGGGCCACCACGACATGGTGAAGGAGTTGCAGAAGGGACTTTATGGCGATGAGTATGATGAAGAAGAGGGCGGACTGCGAGACCTTGTTTTCACTATCTGAGGCACTGGTGGGATCGCAGGACAATCTGTAGGTTGCTGATGCGCCACTCTTCTGCAATGGCCACGAAACAATGCAAATCTTAGCCCTTGATATCTGGGTAATCAACAAAGAGATGTCGCCCAATGTTGCTCGAGCGATGGTTCAACCACAATCGAAGTTACAATAACAAACCAGAAGGAGCTAGGAGCTAATCAGCAACGATAAGTTGCTTCAAGAAAATGATCAACGACCAACCACCACCAGTCACGCAATGTTCCAATTTCAACTTTCTCAGCGTAACGCAAGAACCCGAGCGACGTTCACACAAAGATTCCAAACGGAGAATTGGGCCCAAGTGGCACAATCGTCGTGTGACCAGAATGACGTTACATCTGGTATTCGTGCTTGCCGACATGGGGGTCATCTATAGGGCTGCAGCTGCATGATCTATAGATAAGTACATACCTTGCTTCGTTCGATTGATACCGCACAATCTCCATACAACACCGTGCAAACATCACAATGCATCATCAGACCGCCGTGATGAAAATCATCACGCTTTTCTTCACATGCATCTCCCTTTCTTCCGCAGCCCTCAATACCACCCGCATGTACTATCTCAAGACGCAGCTCAAACCCGATAGTGACCATGGCAAAGCCGAATACGGCGACCTTTGGCTGTATGGTTCTCTCCCTCCTCTAAATCATCAGCCAACTCACACAATACCAGCTCGTCTTACCATACTGGTGCGGGCACGTCTGATGTCACCTTCTTGCATGACCACAACGCCTCTACCGATCATATGAAAGGCTATCTCGGCGCCATCAATGTCACTGCCAAYGACATGCAGTACTACAACGCGTAAGGATCCATTTCTTCCGCCCAGATGATGCTCACTGACACGCTGCGAAAGCCTCTTCGACTTCGGCAGCGATTACCCCTGGGGACTGGTCATGGTTCCCGCGGTGAGCTTCTACTCCGCCTGGCAGCCAGTGCGTGTCAACATCGGTGTCAGCGGTCCTGATTTTACAATCTCTGGCTTCTTCATGAACGATACGGGACTGCAGTGGACTAGCAATGTACAAGCTCCCGGTTCGCCCAATGATATGTTCGGAGGATGGCTGGGTGAGTTTTATGCAAGAGCGACACCATAGATCCGAGTGAATGCTGACTCGACGACAGTTTGCGATTGGTGGCATGGTGATCCTCAGCTCTTTTTCCGCATCAGTTACTATAGCACTCCGGCTCCCGGTAGCTGTGCGGATGTGTACTTGAAGCCAGTCTACATCTAGGGAGGCCAAAGAAGAGGAAGAGAGTAGAAGACGGTGTCTCCGTGGCCAGAGAGAGCGGGTGTGCGTGAGGTGATGCCAATGAGGTGATCAGGGTGTYACAAGCATGCTACAAACACTAGAATCGGAAGCACTATATCGCAGTGCATTCACCMAATGGAAGTGGTTGCCTTCAAGTCCCAGTCCTGTACTCGGTCAGCGAATCGCTTGCCCACCGAGAAACATAATCCATACTTGCCTGCCTTGATACAAGGTCGATCATGGACTTGAGCTTGCTTTGGGTCGAACACGCATCACCTCCCCTCCCCTCATTTCGGCTATGTCGAGCGACTTGCATTGTATGTCTTATTGCCTGTGTCCCTCGTCGCGTTACATCACATCCATCTTGACGTAATCCGTAGTGTCTCGGAGAACTACTCCGCGGCCTTTGAAGTAGCTGCACGCCCGAACCGATTTCAAAGCGGATATCGCCAAAGTACGACACCCACTGAAAGTGAACCAGAACAAGAGTGGTTGCATCTCGTATTGCGGCAGATCAAGTAATGAGAAACACCACAGAAAGCTCCTTGAAGATTTCACTAAACTCGCGGAGCTTAGATGAAAGCCAAAGAGATTCGATACGAGAAGAATGATGACCCTCTGCGAAGCGGCCAGTCGTTGCGATTCAAAGTCTTAGCCTGAGTCTGAGAGATCTGTGTTGCGTAGTACTCAAAGGTACAGTAGCTGACTGTTATTTCTCTCGCAAAAAGAGATGTTGGAGATTCTCAAGGCCATGGGCAGGATCGTCATCGAAGGGAAATTCATTTCCAGGGAGTCTTCATGATGGCGAGCATTGCATACCGCTTTGGCCACACCTGTCCGCTTTTCGCAGCTGCCTTCTGCCATCTTTCGCAGGCTTTTCCAAGGTCAATCATGGTGCCAAACTCTGGGATCTTGGTCTAGGGAAAACTTCAGGGGCTTTGGTGTAGTGGTGACATAGCAGTCGGATGAGAATATCACTTTCGTTGATTACCTTCATTGTTCGACCGTTCGTTCGTGTTGTTAACCTTCGGCTGCAGAGGACAGTTCTAATCTGTCAGGCTCCAGCATCGTTGGTTTTTCCCTTCCTTTCTGTCGGGGAATGCTTTTTGGAGCTGGAGGGAGATGAGATGGACCGGATTCGAGGTTTGATTGAATGCCATCTGGCTCAATTGATCCTGAGGTGTTGCCTTCTTCTCGGCAGATGTTCGACAGCGGTATCAAATCTGCGATTCAAACACCCACTTCACGTCTTGATGGCATCAGACTTGCGACCTCCATCATTCTCCAAAACCAGTAGAGCACCAGCAAAAGCGACGCCAACACTCGTGGCAGCCATCAACGTCACGCCGGCGACATTCGGCCTGAACACGCCTCGTTGTATCGACCGCAAAACACTGAAATATCTCTGTGTCCCATGTGCAACGCACAAACTCCCACTCCCCACAAGCACGCCCGCAGCGATTCTCGTCCGACCGTCTTCAAGATGTAGCAGAGTCGGGGAAATTGCGGCAAAGGCTTCGACTTTCTCAAGCGCTACGCCCAGGGCGATGAATCCCAATCCCGTTCTCGCCCAGGCTAGGAATGTGCGTTCGGAAGCGAGGAGATCGCGGGCTACGGAGCCCGTGTTCTGCAGTTCTTCCGCGCGGAAGAGTGAGAGGAGACGGCGGGACATTTTAGGATGGATGGGTGGAACTATAGTAGGACAGGGTGTGAAGTTGATGTCGGCTGGCGAAGCATTCAATGACTCGCGGATCGACCGCCAACAACACCACCCGGAGTTATGCCTATCTCATCTTTTCTCCCCACCACGACATCAATAACATTGACGAGATGAATGATATGCATGTCTCTTCTGTAGGCCAGCAAACATGTTTGTTCCCACCTTCTCCTCCCTTTTCGCCCTCTTCGCCTACGTTTCTGCTCATGATACAGCAAAACCCGTCATAATCGATACAGATTTCTTCTCTGATGTCGACGATGTCGGGGCATTGGCAATCGCCAATGTCTTGCACAATTGTGGCCTCTGTGACCTTCAAGCTGTGATGATCAACACGCCTTCAAAGTATGGAGCTTTGGCAGCAAGCGTTTGTCTCCCTGATCAACACCAACAAGCATCCAAACTGACCAATTCCTCCAGGTAGTCAATACCTACTACGGCAATGGAGATGTCCCCATAGGAGCCCTACGACCCCTCACAAACGAGACATTCTCGGACTCCTACATGTTCACGTAAGTCTCGATTTCGCATCATCTTCAATCACCAATACTAAGGACAACCACCATACAGCCTAGGAGAATACGCCTCCAAAATCTCCCACAACTTCCCCCACAAACTCCAATATGCAAACGACACTTCCACCCCCTTGGACCTCTACACCTCCCTCCTACAATCCGCAGAACCAAACAGCACAACAATAATCTCCATCGGCTTCCTCACCAACCTAGCCTCCCTCCTCTCAACCCCCACGGGCCACTCTCTAATTTCCCAAAAAGTCCAGAAACTAATCATAATGGGCGGCCGCTACCCTTCAGGTTGGGAATTCAATTTCGGCGGCTCAGACCCTTCCTCCACAATCACCACCCTCTCCCTCTGGCCCGCCCACATCCCCATCACCTATTCCGGCGGCGAACTCGGCGAGGCAATCTTCTCCGGCCAATCGCTCCACTATACCGCTCCCTCCACCTCTCCCATCCGCGCCGCTTATGAATGGTATGTAGGACGCTATGCCACCGCCAGGGAATCTTGGGATCCTATTACCGTTCTCTATGGAATTCTCGGCTTGCAGGGGTTCGAGAAGTTGGGAATTCAGAGTCCTTTCAAGTATGTCAATGAATTTGGGTATAATAACATCACGGCGAAGAATGCCAGTAATGCGTGGGTTTTTGATGAGAGAGTTCGGAATCAGCATTGGTTGGGATTGGCGGATGGGGTTGGTAATGAGACGGTGGCGTGGATTTTGAATCAATTCTATGAGAGGGATCCGATCGTCAAGGGGTGTTTTGGATTTGGGTCTGGTTCAGCCGGGCACGGGAGGGCAGAGCTTTGATGGGTGGGCGAGCATTTGAGTGCTGAAGATGATGCTGGCGATTGACTATCACCTTGTGTATTGAGCTACTCGACATGTCATGCTCAGCATCAATCTGAAAAGCACAGCAGAGCTCACCGAAATTTCACAAGCACCAAACTAGTATAAAGTTGAACCGAGAATTAGGCAATGAAATCGATATCGAAATCTCAGATCTAGGAACTTGAAACGTCTCATTAGGTGCTCATCCTTTCCTCCCATCATTAGGTCTCCGTCCCATCCGACTCTATTTTCCCATCCGCTCGAGAGATCTCAGAGGTAGTTTCGACATCACCAATCTGACAATCCCCAAGGCATCGCATCGTAGGTGCGAGAGCGGACACGCCTCAAGACTCCATCGTGATTCGGCTCGCGTCATCGAAGAGGTCTATTATGCACCCGGCAGACCACGCTTGGGTAGGGCACTGCGATCAAAGTTAGCATGAAAAACGGAGTCGTCTTGACAAAAATTGACTCACCGAATCGTGACACATGGAGCCATTCTTGTTGCTCAGCTCAGTCAGACCACGCCAAGGCGAGTCGTGAATCTCTTGACGACACCCCTTGAGACGTTGAGTGACCTGTTGGAATGYCTCCACACGCTCCTCCTTGGTCTGGCGACGCTTCAAGTCGAACTTGAGAAGAGCACGAAGGAAAAATCCCGTCGGCCACAGCCACTCGGGACCTTGGTGGTAGTTGCGTCCTTGGGCTGTCTGGTAGTTGTCAGAGTCATCGCTGTTGATGTAGTCTGGGTGGTACTCCATATCAGCTGGATCCAGGGTAGCCATTCCGGTTGGGCCGCGCAGGTTCTTGTCTGCAATCTCCAGTGCGCCGATAGCGTGAGCGGGATCGAAGAGATCTGGTGCGACGACCATGGCAATGGGGAAGTTGGGGCGCAGCTGGTAATCTCTGTACTCCTTCTTGCAGCGGTGAACGTCCTTGTAGATGCCCTTGCGGTTGACAATCTTCGCGTTGAYATCGTACTCGGCAAATTTGGCTGGGTCGGTAGGAACGTAGTAGTGGTGCTCGAAGCTGTTGCGAATCAAGGCCGCCCAAGCGCCGTAGGTGATGAGGGTGCCATCAGGTTTGGTAATACCATCGTACTTGAACTTGCCCGCAGCCTTGAGGCCATCGACCCAGTGAAGACAGCTGTACAGCAGACCGGTTATCTCCWCTGGCGCGCCGTCACGGGAGGTACCGGGGTGTCCTTTGTTGCCAGCCTTGGCGGAGGAGCCCATCTTGTCCATCCAGGTTCCACAATTCCACTCGTTACCGCCGTAGATGATTCCGTTGGTCCAGTCAACCTCTATGTCGATGTTGAAACCTTCGCTCTTCATCTGGCTGTCGAGGTCCGGTCCGGCATTGTACTCGCGGAAGTGCATGCCAGATGCGTGTCGCTGCAGGCACTCCTGGACAACATCCTCGACGGTGCTGTATTGGGAGTATGCCTTTGGGTCGTCGAATGGGAACCAGTCATCCTTGTATGGTAGGAACCGGCGACGAACGCGCTCCTGGAGGAGAGATTGACCATTCGGTACGAGTGCGACGTAGTCCTGGATGTTTTGAAGGAAGAACCAGACGGAGTCTCTGCTGTTGTATCGAGGAAGCTTGCCAGAATTGACCAAGTTGGGAATCATTCCATGCTTGATCAAGCTGGTGAAGCAGAGAAGATGCTCTTTCGCCTCATCATATCGTCCAGTGCAGGTCAAAAGACCACGCATGGCGATCATAGTGTCACGACCCCAGACACGAGCCCAATCTTGAGTAAAGTGGGGCAGTCCAGCAGCCAAAGAGGGATCGAGCTTGTCGGGCCAGAGGCGAGCATTGTCCATGTATCCTTGGAGCTGGCAAGACACCATAGCCAGTGACTTGAGGAAGTGCTGTCCATGCTGGATGTTTGGGTGCATTTGTTCAATCGCACGCTCAGTGGCCGCTTTCTTGCCAGTACGGATGACCAGGGCAAAGCAGCGCGGAAGAAGGAAGCTTGGAACATTGCGAATGGCATCAAAGCGCTGCTTCAGCCATTCCGCGACCGGCTTGACACCTTTGTAAATGCCGTCGGGACGCTGTGCGAGCTTCTCGAGGCGTTCAACAATATAGTCCAGTGCCCACTGACCTTCACGAAGATGGTCGCAAATGGGGTGGCCGAGATCGTTGTGCTCAACAACATCGCGAAGGACAGACCACCAGCCTTGAAGACCGCAGTACACGAGAGCGCCGGATCCTGGGATCGTGTAAACACCATCAGCTCCCTTTGACATGGCGCGCTCCTCCGAGTCGGCACGGTACATGATCGCGTTGATGTCGTTTAGGCTGCAGTCCTTGAAAGCTGCGCGAGCACCGGTGGTGAGGTACTTGTCAAGACCCTCGCTGTGTTCAGCACCCGGAATCCATGTCTCGAAGACGGCAATGGAGCCTGGCGGGAAGACGCTTGGCACAGTGAGGACAGTATCATCGCCGCGAGCCTCAACTGTAACGCCGCGCAGGTCCTTGGTCTTGCTGGGAATACCACGCAAAATCTTGTCGTTGATGGCCGCCTTCTTGGCCTCCTCACTTTGATCGCACTCCAAGTTCCAGGCGCCGAGGAGCTTCGCCTTGGTCCCAGTAAGCCATTGCGGCCCGRACCCGGCGTTTCCGTTGCCATAACCAGGGAAAGCAGTGTGAGCGATGAGGTAGTAGCCTTTTCGGGACTTGGGGTGAAGACGATGGACGGTTATGTATTCGCCGTCATGATGAACAAAAGATTCGTCATAGCCATCCTTACCCATGATGGTGTGTAGCTGGTTCATGAGACGCTTGATACCACCAATACCCTCAGATGGTCCCACCTTCATGGCCTGACTAGCTTGAAGGCTGCTGTAGGGGGACGAGTACGGACGAGTCTCGTGTACCAGCTCAATCAATTGAGGGTAGCACTCGTCGAAGCCAAAGTTGGATCCGCTCGCGGAGGCGCACATCGCCACAAGGGCCGCGCTGGGCAGGGTGTCACGGCCATCACGGCGTTGAACGGGTGTTTCGTTATCGTGTGTGCAGTCCATGAGAAGGGCGTGGATCTTCGATGGGATGATCTTGTGGACAATCTCGCGACCCTGTGGTGAGCCGTTGCTGCCAGGAGACGCGGGATCCGACAATGGCTTGTCACTCCCGGAGATGTCGTCAACCTCGAAGCTCCCAATAGGACGGCCGCAGTTGATGTGTACGAGTTTCGACATTTCCGCGGTAGACCAACACTGCATCGCCTCGCGGATGAGGAAGCTGATGCCCAACTTTTGACAGTAGAGAAAGTCCATCTTCTCATCACCACTGAACAGCTCAGCGGCAATAACGAGATTGGGCCGAACGTGGCGAGCAGCGTCGAGCATGGCGGATGCGACGTGGAGGGGCGTGGAGTGACAGTTGTCAATGCGGAAGCCGTGGAAATGTTTTGCCATGAGCTGAGTGWACTCAATCATGTATTTCCACAAATATGGACTGTCTTCCGGACCATTGCCATAACGCAGCTTGACGCAGTCTCCCCAGACGATGAGCTCGCGGCGGAGGTAGACCTTCGACTTGGGACCGGCATTGTCGCGCATGACATCTGCAGCCCAGACCCAACCGTTGTTGGCAAGAGCGAGAGAGTCTGGATGATGCTTGGATGTGGTCTCGTTGATTGGCAGGCGAGTAAAGTACGACTCAATCAAAGGGCTCTGAATGGTAATGTCGCCCATCTTGGGTCCGTTGCTGTCAAGGCGCATATACTTTGTACGGTTAAAGACCTGTTCCATGATGGCGGCGACATCTGCGTCGTACTCCTTGTACCAGGCGAGGTTGACTTCATTGAGGAAGCGGTGCAAAGTTCCGTACGCCGTGCGTTCATCCCCGGAGCTGTTGAGCTGCTTGTTGTATTTCCCAAACAGCTTCTGCAAAAGGGCAGCTCCACGTTCAGGGACAATGTGTCTTCGGAATCTCTCACCCATGCGATCCTTACCAGGGCAGCAGTTTTCACGGATCCATTCGGCCTTGTCTTTGAGTTGCCATGCAGCAATGTCATCAGGGATTGCTCCATCAAAGTTGACCCTACCCTCCATCCACGCAGATGTTGCGGCAGCAGCGTCTTTATCGGCGTCGAGAACGTAAAATTCCCAAAGCTTGCAGTTGCCAATTACGTGAATTTTGGCACCATCCATGATGCGGAGGAGATCATCTGTACTGTTGAGACGAGTGGGCAGTCCAAGAGATGACAATCGGGAGGAGAAATCCAGGAAAGCACTGTCGAGCTCGTAAGCTGACTGGAGGTGAGGCGCCGTCTTGATGTTGTAACCACATTCGGGGTGCTCCTCAAGCCACTTGCTGTTGTTGGCAGTGTGGTTCCAGACAACGTCTGTCAGACTAAGAAGACCGAGCTCGTGTTCCATGTGGTGTACCATCTCCGCGACGGAAGCCTCGCCTTTGGGGAAGATGGCTTTGTCGAAAGTGTGCTGGTCGTAAATGGAGTATGGGGAATTGCTGTCACCACGCATCATGAGAGGTGTGAAGTGAACCATGTTGTAGCCTCGCTCGCTGATTCCGTGCAGATGGCGATTGAAGTCCTCGGGGTAGGATCCCATGAACTTGGAAAGGACCGAGATGAGCGAGAGGGAGTCCAATGGAAGAGGCGAATTATCGACGTGTAGCTTTGGCGAGACATCGATGTAATGGCTCTCAGTGCGTGTCGGTTTGGGGGTCTCCGCAAGTTTGCCAGTGGTGAAGACTGGGAGGGGAGTATACGAGCAGTAGAACTCGAAAGCGCCTGCAATGTAGACGGGCACGTCGATCTTGATCGACTCGGTGAAGCTGGGGTGTAGTCTGGAAAGAGGTTAGCATTGAGGATGGACATTGCTGGGGTTGTCCTGAAACTCACTTGTATTCGTAAAACTTCTTGCGATCAAAGTCCGCGCCTTTGGGCGGGATGTTCACCCATAGGCTACCCTCTCGAGTGATGGAGCTAGTGCCTTCGATCTGGAATCGGATGCTGTATGCGGGATGCGTAGGCGGCGTGAGGTAGATGTATGGTGGCTCGCCTGGTAGGTCCGGAGAGCCATCATCCTTAAGAGGAAGGAGGTGGACGGTGTGATTGGAAATCTGTTGCGGAGACATGGTGGTGGTGGTATTCAATGGCTGATCTAGCGTGGTGCAGAAGGATGAGATGTCAAAGAGTTCAAGGCCTCTACCTTATTCCAAAGCGTCTTCGAAGTCGAATCCGAGAATGCTCGCCGGCTGGGACAAGCGAGGTCCAGTCGTCAGTCGTAAAGTCGTGAGTGCAGCAGGAACGAGATGCTCAATGAATGAATTTGGGTGAGCTGCCTCGAAAAGCTGGGGATCTGGCGGGGATTGAGGAGTACAATGCAGATGGAGAATGTGGAAGTGGAGGGGGAGGAGGTGCAGGTGCAGAAGAAGTGGACTGAAGGGATGTTTACGCTCCCCAGACTGCAGCTTCCAGGTTCCCTGCAAGAAAAAGTCTCACCGCAGTGACGGTTGAGAGCTCCACGGATAGTTCAAGCTAGCTTAGCGACCAGCAGGTGGGGTCGTGAGGTCGTGCCTGACTCCCGCCTCCCGCCGGGCTGAGGTCCGTCTCAGATCTCCGATCTCCATCCACGTTATGCAGCTGCTTCTTCACAGATGGAGAGATTGAGTTTATCGTGCGGGCGGTCTGCCGGCTCTGACTTTGTTGCGATTGACCGAGAGCTGCTCACCGTCTTGTCGTCCATCATGAACACGATACGAAGGACCCAGATGCCGCTTTCATCAGCCATTCACAATTGTCCCATCATCATTGTCCCKCGGATTCAAGCGGCGCTACGCCCCGCTAGTCAAAACTTTATCTTTCTCTTGAACAATTTCTCGACGGTCCACAATTGAGAAAACATCCCCACCATGGCACCCGTATCGCCCTTTTTCCACACGCCGGCCACCGCCAATGCCGACTCACTTGCGATTCTGCATCTCAAAAGAGACAGTCTCACTCCAGTGAAGCTCGCGACAACCGCCGACGATGGCTACGTGGAAGGGGCCGTGACAAMCACAAGATTCGGTAGCTTTCCGCACATCACCTTGATCGGTTTAGAATGGGGAAGTCAAGTACGGGCCAGCAAGGTAGATACCGGATCTCGTGGGCGTAAGAAGAAGTCAAAGCATGAAGAGGTCAAGGCGGAGCAGAATGGCGGTAATGTGGTCGGAAGTGACGCGGGAGGGAGGAAGCGGAAACCAGAGGAGAACTCATCAGATGTGCTGGAATCGCCTACAAAGAAATTCAAAGCGGACAAGAACATTGTGGTAGAGCAGCAGCAGGTTGCGAAACCTGTCGAGGCTGGAACCGGCTTTCTTCATATCCTTCAACCCACACCGGAATCATGGACGGCATCGCTGAGTCACCGTACTCAAGTAGTGTACACCCCAGACTACAGCTACATCCTGCAGCGTCTACGAGTGAGACCAGGAAGCACCATCATTGAAGCCGGCGCTGGTAGTGGCAGTTTTACCCATGCCGCTGCACGAGCCATATTCAGCGGGTATCCCGATGTAGCATCCTCAAAACGACAGAAGCTGGGAAGAGTGTGCAGTTACGAATACCACGAGCCTCGCGTTGTGGAACTTCGGCGGGAGCTGTCAGAACATGCCCTGGACAGTATCGTGCAGCTCACGCATCGGGATGTCTGCAATGACGGATTTGCCCTCGCCGACGGCTCGTCGCCCAGAACAAACGCCGTCTTCCTCGATCTTCCAGCACCTTGGCAAGCTATCAAACACCTAAATCGATCCGAGCCGAATTCACCACTCGACCCTCGGACACCAATCCACATCTGCTCTTTCTCACCCTGTATTGAGCAAGTAACAGCCACAGTTGCAGCTCTTCGGAAAGCCGGCTGGACTGACATTGCAATGGTCGAGGTCATGAACAAGCGAATTGACGTTCGGCGGGAAAGGATCGGGTTGAAAGAGGAAGGTCTCCGAGGAGTCAACGCACGAGCAGCAAATGTCATGGAGGCTGTTGACAGACTTCGCGAAGATGTTGCCGAAGAACGCAAACTCCATACGAAGAAGGAGCGTCTTGAGAGATTAAAGCAGGATGCTGAAGTCCGAAAGTTGTACAAAGAAGGAAACCTCGCGCATCGAACAGAGCCAGAAGTTCGAACGCACACGAGTTATCTGGTCTTTGCTGTGCTGACCAGAGATTGGACTGAAGAGGACGAGAAGGCTTGCTTGGAGAAGTATAGTGTTGATGCGATTATGGCTGGAGGGCCAAAGGATGCAAGATCATAGTTTCCACAAACAAGCCTTCCAGGCCGTTCTCACACACGCATAATGGCATTCCTTCCCACGACGTCAATTCTTTCATGAGAAGTTTGGAGTCGTCACACAACAGTACCTCGACACGCGCACAGCGGCTGTCGATACACCCGAGAGTCTGGACCACTGGTCGTTTTTCAGCTCCACACGGTCACAAGCTAGTTGATGTTTGCATTTGCCAAGCGCCAGCACATTTCACTGCAGGTTGGTGGGCGGTAGCCTGACCTGTGAAGGTTGTGTAACATCACAATCACCAGTTCATCCCGCGGCTCAAGCACGAGCACAACTCAACTAGAACATGGAAAGACGAGATAATCCACCCACTCGGAAGAAAAAAAAAGATCAAAATCAACCAAGTCTTTTAACATTTTGACCACATACTCTGAAGATTATATTACGTCCCCCTGGACTCCTCCCTACAACTACTGTGATCAATTCCAACCCAACGCAAATCTCGTCAATTGACTGGACAACAAGATCGCACCGCTAAGAAGCGTTTTGCTGCCTAGGCCTCCAAAAGTCACACCCGCCCACGCACATGACAATTCTTCAACAGCTTGGGAATGGGATTTGTACGTTACCACCAAGCACACGCTAGCGGAAGGCCGCTTGAGATGGCTGAAGAGGCGTCTGTCATGTTACCCAGGGAGTGGGATGTAAGTTTGTGGCATTCAAGTACAACATCCGGTTAATGGATATTTGCTCTTTCTCGAAGCGCTCTGWTAAAGCTATTCTCGGTGCTTTGTTATGTTGATTGTGTTCTTCAATCACGATGATATTACTCGGATGATGGATGATGGGTGGGTGGGAAAGATGTGCGAACAAATCTCGCTAATGTTGATTGCAGAAGCGAGGATGTTGTCCCACGAAGGATGACATGCATTGCATATTATTCTCAACGCATCCTCCTCAGCCACACACACATGTCACGCGGACGGGAAGTTCCCAGTAACTTTACGCCAAGTATGCCATCCTCTTTGGGATGAACGGGCAAGTGAATGTATTGCTACACACTCGAGTGATTATGACTTCTGCAGATTTGATCTGGAAGCTACCGAGGACAGCCATGTACTCTCGCCTCAGCGGATGTCCACAAGACAATTGTATGGATATTTTCAGATCAGCATCCAACATTTCAATCAACTCGAATCAAAGCTGGTCCCATGGCACAGAAGAAGTCACCCAGTCTACTCCAAAAGTCTCTGCGCACACCACAAGAAGATAGCCAAGTGACTGAATCCGAGCCGGATCTAGGCAATGTTGACCAGATCTGCCGCAGCTCGTCAATACGCCTTGCGTCTTACAAAAGTCTCATGCGCGTTGACCGCGAGATTGCTGGTACATTGGTTCTGAGCTGAAGTTTCCCGGGAACCAAAAATTAGGAATACATATCGAGGCACAGCAGCTACTGACCGACTCACTACTCGATGTTGTAATCCAATCCCATTTGTACCGGCCAAGAAAGACGTCAACTGCGCATTCTTGTCATATCGAAACCACCGTCTGCAGGATCACGGGTGCATAGATCTTGCCCAGCACCAATGCGAGAAGACATACACAGTCTACCCACTCAAATCATGATGGATCAATGCGGCATGACACCTGCATAACGACTTCGACCCGCGTTCAGACTGAGAGATGTCCAACGTCCAGGACAAACAAAAATACCACAGTCCCAATTACATCGTATCCGGATCCGATGTAGGCAACAAACTGCGTCAGGCAAGCCACAAGAGATATCCAGTTCCCTGCGGTCTGGAATCGAATTGTACGACTTGGGCTGTCTGACAGAAGATTCTGCCAAAGAAGAAGCCTGCGAAATGATAACGATTGTGGATGAGGAGCAATGTGAGAAGATTGTATGCATGGAGGATAGATGGATGAATGCAAACCACAACAACCGACATACTGATGACAGAACATACCCAAGGAGGATCCATCAACCTCATAGATCGTAAGGAAAAGGTGCATTCCACATCGCAGCAACGCGCGAAATGCAGCTCAGCGCAGTATCATTTCATGCCCGTGAAACACAAGTTGAAAGGCCACCCAAGACATCCTCAACTACACTCTTCGAAAGGCGAAGCAGAAGAGTGGCTATCTTTCAAGAAACAATGGCGTTGAACTCGAGGCACATCTTTTCAGGCATTGTGACAAACCCTTTCACAAAGCATCCGCCAAATATCCTACCCTCTTCTATTCATTCAACACTTATACTGTGTCAGTTACTCCTCCATCAAAGATCAGGATATCTGCCAGAGAAGGGAAATAGAGGCTATACTTTGAAAGGAACAAGCCATGTATGAATGCATGAATCTAAAATGCAATGGAATCTTAACGCAGAGAGAGAAGTCTTTGTTCCAAACCTTCACGATTGCAATCTAGCAAACCATTCCCATACATAGGTAGGTAGGTATGTACGTTTGTCATGTCTGCAACATTTACCACCATCTCCTCCCCATCACTATCCTGCTATCAACAACCGTCCTTCTTTCCACTACCTTTCAAGGTAAGTAAGGCATATCATTTCAATCACCTTACATTTCTCAAGCCCGTTGTCACTACTTGATATTTTCCGAGAAAATGTCAGTCATGTAGAGAGGAACCTGGCTGTTTTGTTTTGTTCTATATCCACTACAGGCAAAACTCAATAACGAGAGTTTTGGTAATCATCCTGCTTGTCCCTCGTGTGGAATCTTCAAGGGGGACAGATCAACGCTTGTACGGCCAGCACATCCCTCTCAGTGTCAATATTCTCAATTGATGCATCAAGAGACCTCCTCCACCATTCTCCCACCCCCATTCCCCTTGAAGACTTCCCCAATAGGCCCAGACATCCACTCTCCGGGAACACCCAATCTACTCCCCTCCTTGTTATGTGACCACCTCGTGAAGAGCGGGTTGACTCTAGGTCTTCCCTCTTCATCCTCACCTTCTTCCTCCTCGGCAGCGGCATTGGCGGCGTTGATTTCCGCCCGAGTTCTCCTCTTGGGAGCTTGTTTTTGCAGGAGTTTGTTGATGGTTTCCATCTGAATCACCACTTCATTAGTATCATAGCAAGCATGAGAAAGGGACGAATCCACAAACCTTCTCCTCCTCATTCCGCTTCTCGCTCAAATTCTTCCTCCGTCGCGCCATTTCCGCTCTTCGTTGAACATGCTCTTCCGCAGTGAGATGCTTCTTCTTCAACGCCTCATTACTCAAAGCCATCAACGCAGGGTCCTCCTCAAAGGCTCCCCGCTGGCGTTTTGTAAGTTTTGTCAAATCCGGAGTGACGCTTCTCGAACCATTATTGCTCTCACTGTCGAGTTCCTCTCCATCTTCATCTTCCCCTTCGTCCATGTCATTCCCCAGTTCATCTCCCGAATCTAGCTCAGACAGCTCCTCGTCTTCATCCTCGTCGTCCATCTCCTTGTCCTCGACAGATTTGAGAGGTCCCTCGTTGGGCACTCGAACGGTGACTTGAGGTTTGCTTCCTCCCGCCGCTCTTTGCTGTTTGATCACAGGTGGAGGAGGATGATCTTCCATGTCTTCGTCCTCCTCGCCTTCAGCATCAGCTTCACTATCCTCTTCCTCCTCCTCCATCATCTCCTCCCCTTCCTCCTCTTCTTCATCCTCATCGGAATCCGGATCGACAACCACCTTTGGGTTCCGAGTCGCGCGGGCAGTTCTTACGGGTGGAGCAGGGGTATCATCGCTTTCACTCTGGTCTGCATATGGGTTGGGAGGAATTGCTGACCCGGAGGTCGCCTGGCGGAGTTTGCTTGGGGGAGCCTTGACGGTCAATCGGAGAGATGTGGAACCTGGTTGAGTGTTGGGTTTGGATACGGAGGCTGTCGGGCGGGGACTGGTTCGGCGGTTAGTATTGTAGGGTTGACTGCTGGCGGTGGAGGCGGTGCGGGTGGAGCGGCGCGCGGGAGGCATGTTGAAGGTGTTATTGTTGGTTGGAGGAAATGTGGGAATGGGATTGATGTTGGGGAGGAATGCTAAGGTAAGGTAAAGCTGGCTGGCGGGCTCTTTCCGTCGTGTTGCATGCCTGGGTGGCACCTGCCGTTCGCTTGGCTTGGAGGGATTGTGAAGGATGGCGCTTGCCGTGTGCAAATACCACGCGACTGCCTGATGATCCACAAGCTTATTCCGTGCAGTGCTTGTCTCATGCTTTCTTCAACATCGTGTTGATTGCTTGCCATGCAACGTACCRATTGGGGTTTGTGATTTGCGGCGGGGGCTGATAGACGGGCAGACTGGCTGCGCCTGTCATGCTGATTGGTGCGCCTGATGCGGATTTCAACCGTTTATTGCTGTCGGAAGAGTCCATTGTGATTTGTAAGGATATTGATGCTTGGATGATGGAGGGACCAATAGATGAGTGCTGTACAACATATCCAATATCGCTGGCGCGAAACAGGAGACGAGAACTCGGAGTTTGGGGTTCGCGAATGCCGATCTCGGAAGACTGAGCCGAGATGTGGGGGCCGAGGCTCAACTTCACATGACAATCGATCGCATGGCGGGAGAGGTGCAGCTTGCCCTGACATTTGAACACCATTTGATCGATATCTACTACATATTGGAAGCATGTCGGACGGTAAGAAGCCATCAATTCCCGCCTGGCAACGCGCCAAACCTGCCTCAACACCCCCGGCAGACGATCCCGTCTACTCCCAGCCCGAAAGCAACGCCATCGAGACGGGCGACAGTCTCAAAGAGGTGGAAATCGAGTCACAACCAACGGAATCGCCATCTGAACAATCCGAACCGGAAATTGTCCCCGCCGACACGACATCACCCACGACGGAGCCACATCCCGCTGCCATTCCCCCCAGATCAGCGACGTTCAGCAAAGATGACTTTTCCACATACCAAGCACAACAATCACAATCACAGCCACGTCAAATAGCACAACAACCCGCGCCTCAACAACGCCCACCACCGATCATCACCTACCCCGAATTCCTCCTGTCGGCCCACAAACCACCTCCCTTGATCACTCCATCCAGGGTCATCACCACCATCTACGCCGCGACTGGCATTTCCGCCCTGTTATACGGCGCAAGCAGATGGCTCGTGACTCCCATGGTCCAATCGCTCTCCGCTTCCCGCCACGAACTCCTCACCCACAGCACCTCCAAAGTCGACGAGTTCAATGAGAAGTTGAGCAAGATTGTCTCCCAAATCCCCGTGCCACCACCCAAAGAGGGAGAAGCGAAAGAAGCAGAAGACGACTCGAGCGTGGACAGCGACCCTACCGAACTCTACCACCGAGACATGGGCACCCAAACCTCCGATCTCCCTACCAATCCTGCTCCACCACAGAAGAGTCCCGCAGACCGGGAAACTTCCATCCTAAACATCATAGAATCTCACTTCGCCGAACTCTCCGATTCCTCCGACCGTGTCGCGGAAGCGAATAAAGATCGACAATTGACCATTAATAAATTCCGACATTTGTTGGATGGAATGGTATATAACATGGATGGATTGCCAACGTGGGAAGCAGGAAGTGATGGAGCCATGATGATGAAAGCTCCTGGGCAAGGAAAAGGGGACATGGTGGAGGAATTGAAGAAAGAAATTCGAGGCGTCAAAGGAGTGTTGTTGAGTGCGAGGAGGTTTCCTTCCACGCCCGGCAGAGTCGCGAGTACTGTGGCATCCTGAGTTGCATGTCCACGACCAGCTCGCATGATAATATTAGGAATGAATATCTTCATGATATCTGTAAGAATAGTCCATTCAAGTAGAGTGTGGAGAGTTTGAGTTTCCCAGGATGCTTCAAATGGAAGGAACCTAGCCTTGGAGCCGATGTTTACGGAACTTCAACATTTCTTGGTTTTCATCCTGCGCCTTAAACGAGGACGGTATGGGCTGTCGAGTCTACAAAGCTGAGGTATTACTTCCTTGAAGAAATCCCATAACGACCTAACGAAAGATATTCCATCTTCATCAATCCACATGTGTATCAAGACCTTGAAGAAGACGAATACCCAGCGAGGAAAACAAACCCTCGCCATTCATCATCGACACTTTTCATAAAAGGCATAAATTTATGTATTTGATAAATCGTATTGTCGTTCGGGCATCTTTCTACAGGGCCTCACCTCAAGCCAGCCTATTTATGGAAGGTGAGTCTAGAAATTAGGATTCCCGACGGAGTAGAATTAGACGGCTTCAAAAACAGAACAGAACGTGAGATTTCGTGATCTACCTTCTCGCGTAATTGCCCAACAGTGACATAGATCTGGAATGATATTCCATGTGTCGTTTAACGCTGGCGTGGAAGTTGATACCAACCGTGGGAACAACATCTACAATGAACAGGACAGGACAGGACAGGAGGCATTAAATCTCCATTACCTGGAATCTATTTGCCAACAAGAATTGTTTTTGATAACGTAGATGCTGTCTATTGCTATCTGTCGCTACTTTTGTAATTGGAAGCAGGAACATTGCAGGCCAGTCCGAACAAAGAGAGCTGCAAACATGGCCATAGGTCATTCTCGACGCAAAGTATAGATATCGTTATGTAATGCTAATGCGAAAGCGCTCGAGGGAGGAGAATATTTAGACCGGAGATGGATTGTTAGACAGGACAAAGAAGTAAAACGACGGAACTCACATGCATGATCAGCCAGCTAGCTTGAGCCAGCGGGTCAGAGGGAGAGATGGCTTCGACGAATTGGCTCGACTAATCATGTGGTATGCGTAAGATTCCTCAAGGTAATGGAAGCTCCAGACACAAAGCGGAGGGGAGTCCGAGAGCTCTCTCCTCCCTTCATGCAGAGGGATCTCGAAAGAGCTTGCTACATTTAATCCCAGAAAAGGGCGTTTGCTTATTGTTCGCGTTTTCCAGGTTGCTTGCCTGTTGAAGATGGCGGGGAAGACAAGCTACAGGGATTGGAAGGTGCAGCATGGATGGTTCATGACGAGAAAATATGTATGTGCTGTGGAGTGATGATGACCTTTGCATGGGAGTCCTCGGTTCCGGAAGTTTGGATCTTCGTGGATTGGGAGTGAAGGTGCTACAAGATTGGTGGCAAGTTCTTGTATCTCCGAAAATATGGATTGTGTTGCGCGTCGTAAGGTAATCCTTCTGGGGTCATGTGTGTTGGAGGGTAGGCGAACCACCCCGGGTGTTGATCACTCCGGGAGGCGTTTCTCGAAATCTTTCGGAAATGCTGGGATGCTGCGATCTTGTGCTTTACCGATACAGGACACAGGGGATAATAAGCAAGATCTGTGTTTGCCTTTTCTGGTTGTTGGCGGGCGAGCGCGTGAGATGACAGGCCTTGTCGTACTAATGAGATGCAGTCAGTCGCATGCATTGCGTTGTATCTGCCAGTGTGGTACAATCTTCGAGGTCCAAAATGTGGAATCCTCGAGGTCTGAATCATTCCTCGAGGAGGAGCCGAACCCTCTCCTCCAGGGCAGCGCTCTGCCGGCAGGAAAGTCTCCGACGAGTAAGTTACCGTTTTGCACATCTGCGACACTTGCTGACTCCGCGGTCAATATTGTGGTGAAACAAAACGAAAGCCAACCTCGGTGCATCTCAATTTCCATGCCCAAATCATCTCGCACAACTCATGCTGTGCGCCTCTTGAATGACTAGGCATTGCAGCGTTTGCCATGCGGGCGGAGGACATGCAGTACTACAACCACGCGGTCTTATTCGCAACATGCCGAGATGTTTAGCCTTGTGACTGGGCTGGCGGTGCAAGGCGAGACCGTCTACGACTCTTGGCTCCGGGATGTGTCTTCTGTGGTGGTGGAAAGAAGAATGCGCTGGCGTGAGGAAGACGAGAACACAGGAAGATACTTTGCGACTTGTGGGTCTGGGCGTCAGCCTTCAGATCTCGCCAYGTGGAGTGGAGGGTTATTTTCTCCTTTGCGTCCGGATTCAGCTGTTGCACGCACGACGCCTCGCCTTGTCTCGTCTCGTCTCGCGGGGTCTCCGATGTTGGCATCACGGGCAGCATTTGATGATGTCGGAAGAGGAAAAAGGAAAAACGTGTTGCCAGCCGTTCACGATGATGCAACTACGCCGACATCATCAACGCAGGGTGTTTGGGTGTAGTGAAGATCTTGCACGAATTGCGAAGTCGCAGTGATGCCCGGGGGYTGGTGCTGATCATGACGACGGGGGTCGCACATCCCTACCAGAAACTGCGAGTCCTTTTCCCCGGCAMCATCGCCGCCGATATGAGCAATTCTGCAACCAGACCCAGACCACAGACCACATTTGGCGTGTGTGAAGAGGCAGGATGCTTGGTGGGAGATATACACCTCATGCCCAATGCGATCCTGCCTAGCATCTCAATTGGGAAGGTGTCCGCCCCATCTCCTTCCCTCCGACCAGCAGAACCCTCCCAAGTCGAAGTTAAGCGGGTCTGAGTCGCGTGGATTCGGTGAGTGGTGCGGCAGGCGGARGAAAGGGTCCTGCAAGATCTACAAGGTTCAAGCCTTCGGCCTGGCCATAACGCCATCCAAAAGTGATACCTCAGGTAGGCATGTACAGCTGACGGACTTTCTTCCCTTCCCCATCAAAAGGTCGATGCTCCGCTCGCGTGTAGAGACGTCGTTTTGTTCCGTTCCAACGGCTTCTCTTCCCCGCAACACCAGTTCTTGTTGTCTTGCACTTTGTTTTGAAAGAGTGTTATCGGAGGAACGGTCTCACAAGATCCACTGTATCCACTTTGTCCGATTGCATCGAGGGCGGAGGCAGTACAAGCCTCCCCGCGTCGGCTTTGGGGATCTGGTGCATACTACCTTACCTTACTACCATCTGCTGTGTCCAGCATGAACCCGACAGCCGTCAGCTGGGTCAGATAACTTCTTACTGAACAAACAAGGGAGCTCCGAGAAAACCAATCCCTCCAGCTTGGGATAGCTCAAGCTCGCTCACCGTTCTCCCGACGACTTATTGCAACGCACGACGTTGGAGGTCGCGACATTCACAATGGCCACCACTCCTCAAATCCCCACTCGTGGTTCCCACAGGCCCTGTCGTTCCACCAAGACCGTGAGGATGTTTGATGGATTGAACAAGACCAAGCGGGCCTGGGATGGGCTTCGAAAGGTATGATATGACCTATCTGTCAGTCGGGAGCGGAGAGCAATGTATTGACGATGAATAAATAGGACGACGAGCTTTGGATGGAGGATGCCGACTGTCTCGTCCATCTCTACGCTCCTGGCTCCTCACGACGAGGTGCAAGCTTCAAGGTCCCACTCCAAAGGTTGCACGACACCGAAAGCCAATACCTGCTGAAGAAGTGTCTGTACAAGCCAAGCTCATCAATCGAGGAAGAAGATCACTCCGATAGTGGGTATGCAGCGTCAGACTCCAGCCACAACTCCATCGAGCGGAATGGACAATGCCATGAGATGTATGTTCCAGCTCCGATGGAGCTGAGCAGGCAAGAAACATTCCTGCATCACATCAACACTCGCAACTACTTTGCGTATATCATGAACAAGCCCATTGTTGGCGAGAGCTTTGGAACCGCCTTGATACATCTCTGGAGCAGAGTCGAGTCATGGCAGTCGAAAAGTGCGACCGGCAATGCTTTCCGAAAATACCTTCAAGAGCAAGGCTACTTGAACTTTTCAGAAAACATAGACTACGCCGCTGCAGCTCTATTTTGGTCTGAGCAGGCTCGCGTCAAGGACGTTTGGATCGATGCTTTCGCTCACTGCGTTGGCATGTACGATCAGTCAGATCGAGACGACAAGCTGAAGATGTTGAGCACATCTACTCGACATCTCCTCCACAAGGCCTCACTCAAAATGCAGTCGAATGTTGCGCGAGCGACAAAGTCACTTGGAACATTCCTCGAAGAGGAGCTAGGACCGGAAAACTTGGGTCTTTCAAAGGCCTCTCGAGATCACCTCGATCGATTCCGGAGTGTGCTCCACTCCTTTTACGTTCACGAATTCGGTTATTTCCCACCTGCATCAAAACAGACTTGGGAAAAGCGTATGTGGATTCGAATCTACAGCGACTTCCACTGTCTGTACAAGTACCTCGCCGATGTCAAGTCTGCGAATGGCATGACCAACAATCACGGATTGAACGGAGGCATCTGCGTGACGCAGAACATCAAGGCTTTTGATGAGCGTCATGGCTTCTCTTCACGGAGACACCCACTTCCCTTACTGCCGGTAACTACCACACGGAGACGCACTATAGATGCACGAATGGGCCTGGGAAGTCTCAAACCAGGAGTACTAGGATCCGCAGACGCAGATCTCTTGATGCAAGCTTCCAACACCAGCAGTCGTCGAGTGACGAGCAATGCACTTGTTCAGGCATACATTCACTTTGAACTTCAAAGGCCTGCGGAGAGGGTGACAGCAGCGGAAGCTCGCAAGGTTCGATGGCTGCTGGTGTATGGTGTGCTGCAGATGTTGATCAGCGTCATCAAGGCGCCGGTGGAGGTGCGCGATTCYAAAACGCCCTCATACCCACTGTGTGTATCGACCGAAGACTTTCCATCATGGGAGGAGGATACGCAAGATCTTGCACAAGTCGATCAGGTTGCTGCACGACTTTCCGCCGAATTGGACGCCGTGAAAACGACCATTGCATCAGACGCCAGAACTCTCATCCAACCTGACTGCGAAGCTCAGAGTGCCGAGGATTATTTCTCCTCCGAAAACTCATCTCGTCGGAACTCTCTGATGAGCGTGAGCATGACGCCACAGCCTCTTCATCCCAATCTCCCTTCTCGCACAAGCTCGATTAGGTCGAATGTGACCTCGCTCCGTCGATCAGTTGTTGGAAGCCTCACCCGTCGAAACAGCGTAACAGCGTCTTCCGGGAAAAACTACTCGACACCCGCCGCACCTTCCCGCATCGCAAGACCCAGCCAATACCGCGAAATCCTCATCGAAGGCTACGGTAATGGCGCCTCTGTCAAGCCCACCTCCGTCAAGCCTACCTCCGTCAACTCCACCCCTGTCAATCCCACCCCCGTCAACTCCACCTCCGCCAACTCCACCTCGATCAACTCTACCTCCGTCAACTCAACCTCCGCCAACTCCACTTCTCGACCAGGGRGAAATGTCTCAGGCCTTCACCTCAACACTCTCGTCGAAAACATCCCTTCCGAACCGACGCAACGGCAACTTAGCTCCGCATTCAGCCAAGTTTCCTCTTCGGGCTGGAGTCGTCGCAGCGCAGGGTCCACTGCTCCTTCAGTGTCCAACTCCATCAGTGAGGGTGCCGAGTCGCCCATGACCGAGTTATCGGAAGAGGACGCTCTGGAACCCAAGACTTTGATCATCGCCCCTCCCAATCCTTCTTCTTCAAACGCGAGCCCTGCAGAGGAGTTTGAAGGGTTTGATTTTGGGTTGGGCAAGGGGAGGAAGAGTGTTGTTGTACCACCTCCGAGGACTAGCAGTAGATTCTTCGGAATCATGCCGTCTCCGCGGACGAGTAGTAGACATGTTGTTGTGAAGCAGAGGAATGCGAGTGAGAGTAGTGTGGCTAGCTCGGTATATCCGGAGAGGAGCGTGCAGGCGGGGGATATTGCGGAGACGGATGTTGGAGGAGGGTTGGGGAGGGGGAGGTATGGACGTGTTTGATTCAATTTCTGAAGAGGTGATGTTTTGTTGAGGGGAAGCGGTTTGGTGTGTGAGAGTTTTTACAGCAGATGATATCCACTAGGTCGATGAGGAGGTTTTTCTCTTTTGTTGAGGTGCTGATGCTTGTCGGCTACTTTTGAATATGCATGTGATTAATGGGGAGAATCAAAATCGTTGGGGTTCAAGTTTCTTCTTGAAATAACGATATCCTGTCAACTATGGATTGGGGAATCATGGTGTTTATTCTAAAGAAATGGATTTGCTCGTCGTGTTATGCTTGTTATCTCTGGTGATCATGCTGTTGGTCTAGCGAGGATGATTGTTTAAGCGATGATCCTCCCCTACCTACACCTCGAGCTACCTTTAGTCTACTTCTCCATATTGCATACCCAATAGGAGGCCTCTCACATGAAAGACTGACGGGGGTCACCACCACGATAGATGCTAGCAATGTTGGTCATCACAGCGTCGCCATCTTGTGATTTTCGATTAAACTTGCATTGTGCATGATGGCGTAGTAGGAACCACCATCAGGAGACCGCAGATCCGTACGTCAACTCGACAGCATCCCTTCAAGCCCTTATTGGCTCTTCCATCATCACCGCATTCCTCGTCGCGTGTCTTGGGACGAACTACTGTTAGCCTTACCTCTCTCTACACATGTCCCTCATCAACAAATTTGCCAACTTCCCGCTTCCATCCTCCACCAGGGCTCGGGAAGATGACGTGGAAACGCTGACGGTCAATAGCCATTCCCAGAAACAGGAGCAGCATCCGCTGGATGTATTGTTTGATCAGGAGGTCTCGTCTCTGCGGCCGGAGTTACAGGATAAAGTGGCGAATTGGAAGGATGCTATACAACCTCATACTGATGAGGGTGGAGATGCTTATCATATCGGGGACGCTTATGAAAATATTGATCCTGACTGTGCGGATGAGTGGCGTTTAGCAAAGTAAGTGGCATTCTTGGGGGGGGGGAATTATCTCAATCTATTCGGCTGATATGGAAAGATAGTCCTGGTCCCTATCTACAATATGTCAAGCGTCTCGCCATGGGAATCCCAAGTCTGGACTATCTTGCCAATTGGATGCAAGTCACGACCAGTCCGCCCAAATGGAAATTTGYCCGCAAGTATCCCGCCAGTCGAGCAGAGCGTGCTCAACGGGTGCGAGCCTGTGTGGTCGACTATGGCGCCGACCAAAGACTGCGGAGAGAGCACTGTGATTCCCCGGAAACCCTGCGAAATGCTCTTCGAGACGACGGGTTTGGACATGGTAGTAGAATGTGCCACCTTCGTGTCATCGTCGTCGAAGATCTTTCCCGCGATCTCATTGAATTGCTCGGTGGATATTACGACGTCGACCCTCGCTTCTTCCGAGAATTCCTCCATGATTTCCTCTTCTACAACACGCGGGACCGATGGGTAGAAATTCCCTCCCTATTACTCGAAGATCAAACGAAATCCTATTCCATCTCCAGTTTTCTCCGCGCAAGATTCTACATGGACGAGCACGACTTCTCCGAAGCAGAACGACAAAGCGGCATGTTCAACGTCCTCCGCAGACTCGACTCGGACCGCAATCGCGTCAAATTAAGCAGTGGAGCACCCAAGAGATCCGGCAGTAGTGCAGCTCTCTGTCGTTCCAAAGTCGCCATCTGGACCAGACCCGCATCCGCCCATCGTCCCGCAATCGCCATCCTCTTGACAGATCCCACCACTCTAGCCGGTAAACCTTTATGGGGAGGTTTCGAAACCGCCCCGGATTTCCTCTCGATGAATTCCCCCGGTACAGGCGGCATAACACATTCCACCTCCTCCAACTCCACCCTCTTCGAACAAGTCGTCCACGCAATCTCCACTTTGGACTCCCGAGCTCTCGCACAAATCGCTCGAGACATTCGATGTGTGGGGACACCCATGTACAGAATTGTACTCAAAGAATGGCTGATTGTAATCCAATTCATGAACACCAAAGCCGGGCTCGTACGCTGGGATATTGAAAAACCTCATTTCGGCGCCGATCCCTCGGAATTAGATGGTCTGTATAAAAAAATCGCTCCCTGGCAGCGTAACATCGAACTCTACGAAAACATGGTCATAGACGCCATGCAACACTTCCTCCCCCGAGAAGCAGGCAACTCCTCCTCCTCCTCCTCCCTCTCCCACCGAAGTCGCGGCGGCGGCGGCGTTAGCGGCGYCAGCAGTTCCGGAGGAGGCGGAGGATCAGGAACCAACGACCTCCTCCGCGAACACCTCCGCCCCGATTTCCTCCGCGTAGCAGCCCGCCTCCAACGCGCCCGAGTCCGAATCGACAAGACCGTCGACGCAGCCGTCTCCGTCATCGCTCTCGAACAAAGCCGCCGAGAAATCGAAGCTGGAAGAAGACAATTACAAGCCATGCAACATTCTCGCGGTCTTACTTTCTTGTCGATTCTTGCGACGATTTTTTTACCGCTGAATTTCGCTACGAGTTTTTTTAGTATGAGTGCGGATTTCTCGACGGAGAGTGATACTTTTGGGTTGTTTTTTGCGTTGGGGATTCCTTTGACGGTTTTTGTGGGGGGGTTGGTGGTTGTGCTGCAGCCTGGGGTTAGGTATTGGGTTAGAAGGAGGTGGATGGGGGAGTCTGAGGGAGGAGGAGGGAAGAATGGGGGGAAGAGGGAGGCGGATATGTGGACTGTGGCTGGGTCGGGGTCGAGATAGGAGGGATGGGAGGGAGGGAGGTATGCTCTTGTGGAGGAGATGTGATGTTTTGAATGTCCTCTTTTTTATGCTTTTTTTTTCTGTTCTTTTTGATGAACATACACATAGCGACGATACATTTCTGATGGAGATTTATTACACGTAGGAGCGAGGTTCGTTTCCAGGTCAGAGACCACAGACAGCTAGGAGGAGAAGAAAAAGAAGTTTATAAATGGCATTGAATGAAAGGCGACCGACCTACCCACTTGACCACTCGGTTGTCTTGATCGGATTATATGTAGTACCGATTGAGTGAATAAGTAGGTACATGTCCAAACTTCCAAGCGAAATGCTACGTTGACTATGCCTTTCAAATGCCCATACTAGCAGTAGGATGAAGTGTCATAAGAGAGAACGGACATGTTCTTTCTTCCCCCGAAGAGCTGCACAAGGACAAGCAGCACCCCTGCACTCCACATCCCTGTCCTGCCGTCCCGCAAGCAAGCCCCAACCTCCCAGCGACGAATCAGCACGCAATCGTTATCTCTCCATCTACTTTATCTTGATCCTCGAAAGTCAATTCATTCACTTGACTTGCTTGATCCCACTTTTAGAAGTGGACATGGCTTATCACCACTCGTCGATTTCTCTATCTCCCATCTTTTTCACCTCTTCAAAAAGACAGGTCGTCGAAGCAGTGCATTCTCCCCTAGGTAACGTAAGGTCGGAATTTCCATTACGTAGTTTTCCCCTCCTCCAAGACACRAGACCGCCTTTCAAGCCCCGAAAGCGTCGCTTGGCACCCGCATTCCTTTCCTGAGCGCATCACATGCACGTGCGGAAAGACGGACGGAAGCAGCGAGCAACAAAACGATGCCATGCCATGGTCACAAGACGGTGTGAGAAAATGAATGAGATTCCCCACCAACGCCACATAATCTGCTCTGGGTGGTAAAGACCTGGAATTCTCCTCAAACCTCTCCACATTTGCACACACCACATCTCCTCCTCCCATCTCCCGCCAACGCCTTCCAATCCCGCTCCCTCCTGCCCCCCCGATCAATCTCCCCTCCCAAATTCCAATGGCAGCAGAAGGGACCGCTCGTCCCAGCGTCACGCAAACCCGCTCGCATGCCGGACGCGGCGGAATGGGCAACGTCTCACTCCAGGGCCGAGAAGTGACGGACGTGAAGGATTTGTCGACGCCGCATATTCGAGCCAATACTTTTACCACGGGTCGCGGGGGTGCAGGTTCGTCCATTTCAACACTAGCTATATTCCAGGATGACTACCTTGGATAGATGATTGATAACATGGTTTCATGCAGGCAACATGTCCAAATCCGACCCCTCCAACCCAGCAGCCACACGAGCAGCACAAGACGTCGATACCCCGGCCCATCATAACAAATCCATGCAAGGCACGTATCATTGGGGACGAGGAGGAGAGGGGAATATGATGAGTGTTGGCGGTGGGGGCGGGGGCGACAAGGCCCAGGATAGTGGCTTAACGAGGGTCAAGAGTCGGGAAGAGAAGAAGAGCAATGAGAGGACATCGAGGAGTGGCAGTTTCAAGGAAGTCATGGATAAAGGGAGGGAAATGTTGGGGTTGGGGGGCAAGAAGGAACGTGCGGCGGCGAGTGAGAGGGCGGGGGAGAATGCTTTTGATTGAGGCGATGTGTGCTTGCATTCATCATGAGTATATGGCGGAAACTTTCCCCGACAGCCAAGTTGTTCGATGTCCCATTTCGTTGTGGATCTCTTTCGTGCATGCCATAGGTATACTCCAATCTCGGGGTACTTACTGAATGTAATCCACAACCGGCCCGGCGATACCTAGATGGAACCTAACCCTCCCTGGAAAGACGAAGCCCGGGATCCTCCTCAACCCCATCTATCTATTTCCCCCTCAATATATTAGGAAAATTGTTCCATGTCATCATCATAGATAGTCGGGGGCTCGTATAAACTGACATACAATGTACTAGGGAGAGCGGTGAGATCGTCGTTCGACCCCCCGATCGAGCGTCCAGAGATGTTTCCTCCACAGCAGAACAATCCAACCAAGTCCCGGTCCACTAACAAACAAGACATCAAGAAGCCGCGTCACCCGCTCGACAATCGGAACTTCGCCCCTGTTTGATCACGATAATCCGTCAGCGAGAGAGATCGAGATCGAGAGAGAGAGAGAGAGAGAGAGAGAGAGAGAGAGGTGACTACCACAACCCTCATTCCAGGTTCCATGCATAAAGTATGGGACACTGACACAGGTAAAAACAAAAAAACATACCGCGGCGCAAAAAAACAGTAGGAATAGCAGATTTGACATTCATCCTCCACACCTCTTTCGCAGCCCCATAAACCAACCTCCTTAACATCCCGTCTCCTTCGCGCCAAAAATTTTCTCCGCATCCCCCACCGYCACCCTTCCCCCAGAAAGCCCGGAGTGCCATTGTCGAGCTAATTCCTGCGTCATGGAGGACAAGGCGGCTTGGGCGTGTAGGAGTTCCATTTCCGCTTCGATGCGATCGCGCTGGGCGGTGTGGTGGAGTGGGGTCCAGTGGAGTTTTTGGAGGAGTTCGGTCATGCGGAGTTGGCGGACTGAGGCGCGGAGGGTGGCGATTTGGGTGATTTTTTGGAATTCTTCTTCGTGGGGAGTTTGGGGGGTGGTTTTTTGCTGCTTTCTGGTTTTGTTTTTGTTGGGGGTCGCTGTGATGGGAGTTTGGGAGAATTTGCGACATGATGAGGGTCTTTTGAATGGGAGGGTGGTTCTGTGGGGGTGGAGGAGGAGCAGGAATGGTTTGTCGGGATTATGGGGGGGGGGATGGGTGAGAGTTTGTATGGCCATTCTCGTTCTGGGAATGCTTTGGAAATGGAAAGTCATGAGGTGTGGTTTGTGTTCTGGACTTTCCAGAAACGAGACGATGAGAAGAAGCAGTAGTCAAAAGAGTACCGTACCTCCTAGGTCAGTATCTTATCGCATGCAAGGGATAACTTTTACTTTAAGCGCCTTGTGTTACGGTAATGTATGTATGACATGCCTGCAATCACATATACAGGGGTATGTACATGTACCTATCAACAGGGATTCATTGTAGAGTGGAGAGTGGAGAATGGACAGAACTTCTCGTGGCGACATGTGTACTTTACCTTTTACAACAGCCAACAGGGAAAAAAAGAAAAAAAAAAAAGTCCTGATGGATTTCTTAGGCCGTCTAATTTGAAAAGACACGGACTTCTATTCGTGTCTACACTTTCTTATGATGGGCGAAGAACAACAAATGGAAGACTACCTATGTGTAGTGGAGTAGTGGATTCCGAAATGTATGCATGCTCGGAGAAAGACTCCGTAATTCAATCGATCGACGCGAGTAATAAATAAATATGGACAACATCTAATCTAGCCTTCTTGACATGCGCTGTATGTACATTATTGATCCATGGTCTCCAAGCTTACGTATCTTGTAATATCAAGCTCTTCAATATTCATTGTGCCTCCCTCGCGGTACAATTCTTCCATTTTACCCCCTCGAGCATGGGTAGGATCGGAAAAGCTCGACATGACGGAACGTTCGTTCTACAGTTCAGTAGTCTGGTGGACATGGTTGATCTCCTTGACGACGCCATGCCATGTGTGCGGGGCGGGTTTGGAATTTGAAGATGGTCTGAGAATCCTGCACTTCTTATTGATCTGGGAGTATTTTCAACCATGTCAATTCGCTGCATCTGTCAAAGACGCAGGCGATGAATGATCATGTCGTAGTTGATACATTCTTACACACCTCACAACCACCCTGCATCCCATCCAGTGCACCCAAGTCTAATTCCACCTCTTCCCCCCCTCACATCAACAACCTCCACACACCCAAAATAATCGCCGCAGTCCCCGTACAAACGCCCATCAACCACTGCAACGTACTAAACTTCACCGCCTCCAACCTCTCCCTCAACGCCGCAGATTCCTGCTCAATCCTCGTCTCAACCTCTTTAATCTTCAACTCCTGACTATTCGCCTCCTCCCTAATCCTCCCCTTTTCCAAATTCAAATCCAACCTCACACTCGACTGCGTCCGCTGCACATCATCCCTCAATCGATTATTCAATTTCGCCAAATCATTCGTCAATCGCTCATGACTAGCACGCGTCAAACTACTCTCCGAAGAATCCGCCGAGAGTAATTCCGAGCGTAGTTTGGCGAAATCGACTTTTTGCGTGTAGGTGGCTTTTTCTTGATCTTCGCGTAGGACCATGGTGCGCGTGAGATTTTGGATGGATTCTTCGATTACGGAGGCTAGAACGCGCATGATGGAGGTGGATTGTTCGCGGGTGAAACCTGAGGATTCGRGACGTTGGACGAATTTTAGGGTGTCGAAGTGGTGGTCTTTGCGGAGGGGGGCTGAGGTGGAGAAGGGGCGGTGGAGAGGGGTGTTGATCGTCTTGTGGTGGGGATTGCTGGTGTTGGGCATGTTGTTGTTGTTTCGCCGGGATGCCCAGGCTGTACGGGCAAAGGCGCTGGTGGCCGTCGTTCGCGGGGCGGGGGAGGAGAGTCTTGCATGTGTGGACATGGCCGTGGCGCTGGCACTGGGGCGCATCGTGGACGCTGTCCAGGAGAGGCGGGGCAGGAGCGATCGGGAGAGTTGTTCCGCCATGATTGTAAAGCGGTTTGACATGTGATGTGGGAGGAGGTGTCGTTGTTGGCCATGTCATTTCTCAAGGGTGGATCCATACCGTCCGCGCTAGTCCTGCTCGGCCCGAGCCGACCCTCAGCCACGTGCTTGCCGACGAACTTCAAGTTCCTCCTTCTCCGATCCACTACACCGCCACCACCTTCCTACCTTGCWTCCAAGGCTGGCTTATGAAGTACGGACCAACATGGAGATGTCAATGGCACACAGTACTTATTTCAATTTCCATCAAATGACTGCATTTCATAATCCTAATCAAAGTTCATTCAACATGCACCATCCAAAGAATGTTCGTCCTTCTTCATCATCACACTCCACCGTGGGCCACGATTGTTAACTAAAAACAAAACTTAAGCCTCCTTCTTGATATCGTCCTTCTCGACGCCTTCCTTCTTCACACCCTCCATCTTGACACCTTCCTTCTTGACATCCTCCTTCTTGACATCCTCCTTCTTGACATCCTCCTTCTTGACATCCTCCTTCTTGACGCCCTCCTCGTTGACATGCTCCTCCTTGACATGCCCCTCCTTGACATGCTCCTCCTTCTTCACATTCTCCTCCTTCTTCAAATTCTGCTCCTCCTTGAAATTCTCCTCCTCCTCGACACCCTCCTCCCCCATATCCTCAATCAGCTTCGCGATCCGCTCCTTCTTGAAAATCCCGTTCTCATAWAACTCCGCTCTGAATTTCCTCTGGTTGGCAATTATGGACTCCAACCCACGCTTGGTGCTCTCCAACACGTCCAAAGCCTCCTCCTTCACAGAGAGCGTCTCCTGGCGGCGGTAGTTCGTACGGTGATCTTTGAGCTCCATGATCGAGCGTTTGACTCCGTTGAGATGGCGCTCGACGAGGAGTGTGAATCTGGGGCAAGCTATTTTGCGGTCGAGGGAAGCTAGGTAGAGGTTCATATCGTCACCGTCACCGTCAGCGGCGGTGTTGGTGGTGTTGGCGCCGTTGAGGTTCGTTTGGGGGGAGGTGTTGGGTGGTGACATTGTTGTTCTTCTTCGGGTTGGGTTGGGCTTTGATGGTTGTTGTTGTTGTTTATTATTGTTGGGTTGGCTCTGTTGGAGGAGAAGAAGATTGATGATGTAGAGTTGAGTTGTATTGATGGAAGTCTTGTAATGAATTCAAGACTTGACAGATCACTACAGAAAGGAAGGTGGGTTGAGCTGGTCCCTTCCTAGCTAATATTCAAGGAAAGTACAAATCATCCCAAACGAGTAGTTTCCCCTTCACATCCACTATCTCCCCACCCTCCACCTTCTCTTTAGCCGCTTCATCCACCGCTTCCTCCACCGCCCTACCCCCATCCACCCTTCCCTCTTCTCCGTCAATTTCCTCTGCTTCACCACACACTTCTCCAACCACCTCTGAAGCTTCCCGAAATCCTTCATCAGATCCTCAAAATACTTCTCCAGCGCCCTCGCTCCCTCCCGGTCTATACTTCTCAGCTCTAAAAGCCTTTCCGGCCACTGCAAATGATTCTCCTCGAGCGCTTTCACTTTTTGGTGGAGGTTTATAAGGTGTTGCTCGGCGAGGGTGGCGGGACCGAGGGGTTTGGTGGGGGATTTGAGGCCGAGGAGTTCGAGGAGTTCGTTGGAGGGTTGTGGTTCTTCGAGGGGCTCTTCTGGGTGGGACTCGGGGTGGTCTTCTTCGGGGTGATCCTCGGGGTGGTCTTCCTGAGGGTTGTTCCGGAGGTTGTACGGGAGGTCTTTTTCCGGGTTCATGGTTGTTTTCCAGGAGTGGGGTTTGAATAATGGTCGTTTTGTTGGATTGTTCTGTGAGATTGTTATGTTGAAATGTTGTGTTGGAATATGTTTATTGCTGAGGAGGAGATTGATCGAGAGGGAAAATTGAATTAATGTGTCTTGTAGATGCGTGACGTTCAAGGAAGGTGCCTTGATTACTATGTCGCTTACCTGCCTGCTTCTGTTGCAGAAGAGGAAGAAAGTACGATTCATCTTAAACGAGTCATTGGTTCTTCATCTTTCGAGAGTAAAGCACGACGATGAGCGAAGTGGAGCACATTCRGAGAATTGTGTCATTGACGTTGTAAATTCAGTGCTAGTACTATGTAACTGGAAGAGGATGGCTTTCTTTCTAGCAATGCCTGGCGAGGAGGAATTCATCATAAGAGTGCTACTAGCTAGCAAGGACTGAAAATTTCATATCACATTGTTATAAGCAGAGAGCAAAAATTGTCGCTCGGGAGAATTTCAGACAACGATTATATATTTCTACTACAGGCCAATCAGAGGCGAGATTTGAGATATGGATCCCAAACACCACACCTCCCAAACTAAGGAGAACGACTGGGATAAAATGGCATAGTGTATCAATGTTCATCATAGACATTGAAGATACACAAACAACGTCGAAGGGAAGCGAACGTACGATCATTTTGACTTTACGGATAAACTCTATTCCGTAATCAATCGCGAGGTGAAACTTTTCGTTTCCAAAACTTTTCCACTTACTGTGATGACGGACGGACCGTGATGATCTCTTTGCCAGAATATTCCAACAGATACGAGAGACGTCACTAGAGAACTGGAAACTGACAAATACATTTCAGGAAGGAAGAAAAAGATGAGAATGAGAACGAGAGAAATTCGAGGCGAAAAGTTATGAGATGACCTCCCGAAGCCGGGGGTCTGATTTTTTTTCTTTTTTTGGTTATATATGTTATTGCATAACTCTGCTATAGCAGAAATCTATCCCCAAGAGGACAGACTCGTGGGAAGAGAGATGGGGAGCCTCTCCCCTTTTTTTTCACCTACCGCTAACCGCGGTAAGCATTGAACCAAACCGAGGCCTTCTCGATGTCGCAAGAGCACTCAGCGAGTGGCTGCTTGCAGGTCGAGCAGACCTCGGAGTTAGTGGGAGGGACAGAGTTTTTGACTGCGCAGGAGCAGTCGCTGATGTTTTGCTTGCAGATTGCGCAAGCATCAGAAGAGATGGTGGAGGAAGTGCTGTTCTTGACGGCGCAAGAGCAATCACTGATATTTTGCTTGCAAATTGAGCAAGTCTCAGAGTTGGTGGGAGTAGTGAGTTTGGCCGGGCAGCGGCAGTCGTTGAACTCCCGCTTGCATTTTGAGCAAGTCGGGGAGTAGGCCGAGTAGGCCGGTGAGATGATGTTGTAGCTGTTTTCAGGGGTGTCCCTAGTGGTTGGACGGTAGGTGGGCCCCGTGGCCCAGGGAGGGGTGCCGTAGGAGCACATGCCATACGCGCTGGAGATGCCGTAGGAGCTAGAGCTGCCATACGAGCTGGTGGTGGAGGTGCCGTGGGCACAGCAGCAACTGCCAATGGACTGGTAGCAGGTGCTACAGATTTCTGACATGATGTCGGAAATTTGGTGGGTGTTTTTGAGGGGTTGAACTGTAGCTGTCGATTTAGGACGCTGCAGTTGCTTGGTTGGAAGACAGAGGAGACTCGCTTGTTGCTGATTTGCAGTTTGCGAGTGGACTGTCAACTGGAACCGGGTTTGGATGAGGAATCGAGATTTCTGCGCTGCTGGAGAKTTGCTTAAATATTCGATGCTGGTTCGTGGATTTGGAATGAGGACAATGCTTTGTTTGGTCTTTGTTCAATATATTAATGTGATTGAGAGCCTGGCGCTTTGTTTTGGGGTGTTTGATAATGATGTTGTTCGATTGTGGCCTCGTGAGAATAGGTTTTTACTTTATAGACTGTTGGATTGTTGCTTTTCATCTTTGATAATGGTATTCATTCGCTGCGGGTTTACTTTGTGGAGAGTTACTCTTCGAGCTTCAAACCACTATAACGCTCGTTTTACGCCATTGTGGAGTCAACAACGATATTTGTCGTGGAAAACTTTCCAACAATACAATTTGCAAACATGGGCGTGCGTGGTTAGTCACCTTTGTGTGCGTAGGTAGCCGTAGCTAACAAAATACCATTCTTCAAGACAAAATACCATTCTTCAAGACAAAATTCCATTCTTCTGGACAAAATACCACTCTACAAGTCAAAATACCATTCTTCAAGACATACAATCCCCAAGGTTAGGCACCCATAGCAACAAAGAACCGCCTGAGAAGCGATGCGTTGTGTAGGCAGCAACAAGTTTCACTGCGGTATGAAAAAGATGCAGGTTTGATTTTGGTAGACWAAGACCTCCCCGTGTGAGATGGTATTCATGAGCCCGGAACGATATCTTGGGGCGTTTCGATCGCCGGTGTCAATCGTGCATCGGGAATGAATGTTGTTGGTGAGAGCTGCAGTGAAGCCCCCTTTTTGCGGTAAAAGTCATAAATTTGGGGGAAAATGCACGTTGACTGTAGGGTATACTATCTATATCATTCCTGCTAAGCATCCTGCTGAACTCTCTACACTAGTATTCTCATTCGTCATATCTCATTGGTAGTCCTCTACGTCCCATATGTCATCAAAAATCTCGTTTCTCATCAGAACAGGTCCCAATCCTCGCGCTATGCCCTAGTATGACAACCTCATAGTGATCGATCTGAGCTCGAGTTGGTCTCTCTTGTTAATATCCACTGAGACATTCGATTCAACTCGTCGTCCAGGAGTCTTGAATCACGCCTGATGTCCCAAGCTCACATTTGGAGCAGTGATTGATCGTAGTGAATCAGTCGTTCCATCTCACAACCTACTGCCTTCAGAAAACATATCCATTGAATGCGACTGCGACATATCCACCACAACGTAATGTTTGAACTCCCTTGTTCTGACCGCACGGCCAAACATGATGTCCAAATCCTCCTATCAAACAATTAGCATGAATGTTTGTGGCTTGCTAGAGCGGTACTGCTTGCAAGAATTCAAGATAAAGAAGTTGTGTAGACTTACATACGTGCGTCCGGCAGTTTCTGGGATGCGAAAGTAGCACCAAACCAAGCCAACCAATGCAAACCCGCCAAAGAAGAATCCAAGCTTTCCACGCGCGTTGAATTCATCCGGATTGATCAGATACGGGATTGCCACCGTCATTCCAACCCCAACAATTGTCTGCGAAGCTGCTGCCAGCGCGACAGTCTTTGTGCGTAGCTTCGTAGCAGAAACCTCGCAAGCTATGACCAGCCCAACAGGCCCAACAGATATACCATAGCAGAAGTTCCATACCATTAGCAACACGCCTTGAGTCCAGACGTAGGCCAGATTGTTATCGTAGTCCGGCAAACAATCGACGATTCCAACGAGGAGAAGGAGTACAACCAGAGCAGACAGACCAGCGTTAAACACCATTCGACGTCCAAAATAAAGCATTGGTATCCACGAAGCAAGCGCCCCAACAAATCCCATGGCAGAAAATCCAATTCCTATGTTGAACGCCGTTTCGGTGGAGAGACCAGCGAGGGTGAAGAGGTAGGTCACATAGTTTGCAAGATAGATTCCCGAAATAATTTGTATCATATATGCACCAATCGCGATTTCCGTGCGACGTCTGCTTGTACCGCGAAGGCAGTCCTTGTAGTTGGTTCCCGCCTCAAGGGCCTGTTCCAACCGATCGGTCTCAACGATTCCGGCGAGCGTGGCTTTGACATCCACCTTGGGACTCGCGAGCCTCCGCAAAGACTTCTCCGCATCGATGTAGCGGCCTTGCCTTACGAGCCACCAGGGAGATTCAGGCGCAAAAGTCAAGCCGATCAGAACAATAGCGGGCCAGAGCCATTGTTCGGCGAAGGGTGCGCTGTAAGCCCAGTGGTTGYCAAGTCGGGCTGTTCTGGCGATGATCCCCGTGGCGATCAATTGGCCTGTGACCCAACAAACTTGTACATAGCTAGTAATCAGGCCGCGGAGAGGAAGAGGACACACCTCGGAGGCGTATGYGGGAGCGATGACTGTGTATACGCCTAGTACGGTGCCACCCAGGAGTTCGCCTATGAATAGAACGGACAATGATCGCGCGAAGAATTGGAAGAGAAGGAGCACGGAGGTCAGGATAACCGCCGCGGCAAGGGTTTTCCTACGCCCGTACCATTCCATGGGATATGTGCCGAGAAACGCACCTAGATTATATGTCAGTCGTGAGACACCTATTTCAAGACTCGAAAGGAAGGGGCGATTATAGGGTTCTACATACCGACGGTTTGTCCGAGAGGACCACACATGGTCAGCGCAGTTTGCCATGAAGCTCGGATAACGAATTTGCCGGGTTGATATTCATATCCGAAATCTCGTTGAAAAGCAGGCGTGGCGAAGAGCGATCCAACAAGCTGCTGGTCGAAAGAGGTCATTATGACCCCGAGCGAGAAGAAGATGCTCCATCCTAGAGCGCTCGAGTACAAGTGAAGGGCTTCCAAGAACGACAGACTTTGTTCTTGTTGACCACTGAATGTACTGTCTAGATTGATCTCATCGATGGATTCGTAATGGTCTCGCTTTTGTGCTTCGATGCTACCTCGGAGAAGAAAAGGCTGCGTCTCGCCTTCCTCCAAGGACGTTTCGCGCATGCTGAAAAAGGGGGAATTTTGCAATGGTGTAGTACAGGGGCTACAAGCAAGCAAAGTAGTTTGTTTGCAGTGTGTTTGATGTTCTTCATATCAATCCATTTATCGAATCTGTCAGCACACAAGTGATTGAGGCCACATGATGGTTCTACTACAACAACCCCACGCATCGGTGTGAGACCTGCTGAGGATGATCTCGCTAAACGCCAGCGCCAAGGAGTCCCTCGCGGGATTCGCGTCCTAGTGCCAAAGAGTCTTGTACGGATCTAACTCCCCGGTCCGTGGAGGCAAAAAATAGAGGATCCTTCCATAGCCATCTCCCCTCTGGTCGTGGGGCGTCCAGATAAGCGAACCTTGGACTCCGAATATGCAGGACAGGGTTGAATGTCGTAGTGGTAGGAAAACAGTGCAACTTCTGAATACATACATTCCAGAGTTGAACTGAGAGGCGGTGACCGGAGCAAGATCTTAGAAGTTAGAATGTTCGTCCTCGGGGACCTTCTCGTGAGGTGGATCGGTGTGCACGCTCCTTTGACTTCCATTTTCAGTCGGCACTACATGCTGCCTCGCAACACAGCAGCAAACGCAATTTTCCGCGGAGTGCTTCCTGGTCAGATCCTCTCATAGACCTTTCAGCGTGTCAAGAGTGTAAAACCCTACCAATCGGCTCTGACGCCCAGTGGCTCATCCCAACGACGAACCTAAACTTTCTCCTCGTTTGCCTCTTACAGCCCCTGGGCCTTGCACGAACTTGAGAATGAAAGACTTCGCATCCCCTTCTCTCCCAAGTGCGTCAAGTCGGTCTAGAACAGCAAGTCAAAAGCTGTACGGAGGAGAGATGGAGGACAACGCAAAGTCAGCTGCCATGGGCCAGAAATGGAGGAGCCACAAGATCTTCATTCTGGCGACCGTTGCCATTGGCCTGTTCACCGACCTGTTTCTCTACGGCCTGATTATCCCCGTTCTGCCATTTTTACTGGAGAAGGATTCGGGAATCCCGCCGTCACAAATCCAGGGCTATACCTCTGCAATGCTGGCAGTGTATGCAGGATCCATTGTGATCTTTTCGCCTCTCTCCGGAATCGTCGCGGACAGATGCTCATCCAAACAAATCCCGTTCCTCTTCGGATTGATCTGTCTGATGGCATCAACGGTCTTGCTTTTCTCAAGCAGATCCATCTCGGTGTTGATTCTTTCCAGAGCGCTGCAAGGAATCAGCTGTGCATTCGTCTGGACTTGCGGCTTGGCGATATGCATGAATACCGTCGGACCGGATCATATGGGCCAGACAATAGGTGCGGTATGTGACCTTGATTCTTGTGATTCTGTTTGATCTTGGCTGATAGAAAAGTCGACAGATATTCTCCGTCACGGCACTTGGTACTCTGTGGGCTCCATTCATCGGAGGATGGCTTTACGAGGCGACTGGAATCCGTGGTGTCATGGCTCTAGCACTCTCCCTGCTAGGAGTTGATCTGGTGATGCGGCTGCTGGTCATTGAAGTCAAGACGGGTCGTGCGAATGTCATTAATGGTCACTCGGATAGCATCGCACAACCCGCCGCTCAAGGGGTTGACTTCCCCAGCCAACGACAAGCTTCTGAAGAGCAACCTCTACTTCACAGTACAAGGGAAGCCGAGGATCTGGAATACAAACTTCCCGAACAGCATTCATGGATTGCAAAAGCAGTCCCCATCGTGCCCTGCCTGGCGAACACCTCTCTATTAACTGCTCTGTCCGTCTCTCTGGTACACGCACTCCTCATGGGCAGTTTCGACGCCACGGTCGCCACACTCTCTCACGAGCTCTTCGGTTTCAATTCCTTCCAGGCCGGCATGCTCTTCCTCCCCATCGGTATCATGAACCTGATATGCGGTCCAATCGTGGGATGGGTCGTGGATCACCGTGGCACCAAAATTGCTTCCGTCTTTGCTTTCGGCATGATGGTCCCCGTGCTTGTGCTACTACGCCTAGTGCACGCCGGTGGAGTCGATCAGATCGTCTTATACGCCGTCCTCCTCTCCTTTGCTGGCATCGGTCTTGCTGCATGTGCGGCGCCCTCGCTTGTGGAGGGTGGTTCTGTCATTGACAAGTATCATCGAGCGAATCCGGACTTTTTTGGCGAAAATGGACCTTATGCCATGGTATATGGATTGAATGGTATGATGTTTAATGCTGGCTTGACTATTGGCCCGGCGATTGCTGGAGGACTGAAGGATACGATTGGGTATGGAAACATGAACCTCGTGTTGGCTGTCATCTCTGCCATCACGGCGTTGCTGTCTTATATGTTTTTGGGAAATAAGCCACGAACGGTAGTTGAGGAGCAGCATTGAAGATAGTCGGGGATGCAGTGAGCCGGAAAAGTTCTTACCTATGATATAACGTAATCCCGGCCTTGCAAGTTGACTATGAATCTTTTCCCGGGGTTGGCTACTTTTGCTCAGAAAATGAGTTGGTGGCACTGCTGATGTTTGGTTGTGATGTTACCACAGCTCTTGGTGATAACATCGATTCGGTTGAAGTGAGTAATTCGAGGCGATATGAAGCACCACAAGGGTGAGAATATCACACTGACCAGTCTGGCTGACCAGAGCTATCAAATTTGTGGATAGTGCGCGAAATATCCCAACAGACTCAAGTCCTATGTTGGGTATTGATGGAATTCCGACTCTATAGCTCCCATCTATCTGGCTACAAGCAGGAAACAGCAGTTCTATCTTCCCGACCGTTCTCTCGTCAGAACACGACGCGCCCTCTCTCGCTCTAGTAGCCACAGTCAGTACTTACACCCAGTGATCATCTGTCGTGGGACAAAGACTTGTACTCACCTTCATTGAATGGAACAAACTCGTGTAAAGCAGTCCCAGGTAGAACAATCGGCAGGATAGGGACCTTTTGATCAACCATCACCTCGAGCAACGCTGGCGTAGAATCCCCAGTCTCAAACAGCAACCAATGCAATTTCTCTCGCAGTTCGGAAATCGTTTCAACTCGGTCCGCTTGTACACCCGCAGCTTCTCCAAACTTGACAAAGTCAACGTTGGTGCCATGGGTGTGAGCATAGCGATCATTGAAAAACATTTGCTGGGAGTGCGTTACCATTCCTGGGAGAGATATTAATCAGCATTTCTGAAAAGGTTGGAATCAGAAAGGGGTTGCTTACCTTGCTCGTTGTTGTTCAGGATCAAAACTTTGACGCCGATGTTGTAGCATTTGGCCGTTGTGAGCTCTGTCATTGTCATACCAAAGCTAGAGTCTCCGTCAACGTCAACAACGAGAGCATCAGGTCGAGCGATTTTAGCACCAATAGCGGCCGGCAAGCCGAAGCCCATCGTCCCTAGGCCGCCGGATGTGATCATAGAGCGAGGAGAGCGCCATCGGTAGTGCTAATTGAAGGTATGATCAGCAATTGAACAACTTTCATTTCAACACAGTGGAAGATAAAGCAGGTGAGGATCTTAAACAGGCCACTTACCTGTGCTGCAAACATCTGATGCGCACCCACACCAGTGGCAATTACAGTATTGTCTTTGACTTCCGCCGTCAACTCATCGAGCATGGCTATGACACTTTGTGGCTTGACGACTCCATCATCTCCCTCTTTCTCATATGCCCAAGGATGCATCTCTTTCCACTCAGCAATCTGTGCCAACCACTCCGGCCTACTGGAAACTTCCTCTGTAAGTTGCACGAATTCAGCAAGATTCTCGACCACATCTCCAGGGATCAGCTCCTTGGCTTTTACAACTTTGTTCATGTTGTGTGGGAAGATCTCAAAGTGAATGATGCCACCCCGGCCTTCAGCAGCAGCTTTGTGTGCTTCCGGAGCGAATCCGTCTAGTTTGCGTGTGATACGATCATCGAACCGCGCACCGAGAGCAATGATGACATCGGCTTCTTGCATGGCTAGATTAGCATAACAGGATCCGTGCATGCCGAGCATATGTAGCGATTTAGGATCATTCTCGTCGTAGGCGCCTAGGCCCAGGAGAGTTGTAGTGACAGGGATTGTGGCTTTTTGGGAGAGTTGGTTAAGTAAGACAGGCCCATCGGGATGAGACATGATGCCTTGCCCCGCGTAGATGACAGGCTTCTTAGCATTGTTGAGCAAAGTTGCAGCTCGCGCTATCGTGGCAGCGAGCTCCTGAGAGTCGAGTAGAGGTTCATCACGAGTAAATGTGGTCTGCTTTGGTGGAGTCAAAGGCAAAGAAGACCCAAGGATTGACGCAGTGACATCCTTTGGCAGATCCACCAGCACCGGACCAGGCCTTCCAGTCGTAGCGGCTTCGAATGCCTCATTGATACAGCGTGGCAAGTCGTCAACGCTTTGGGGTTGTACACACCACTTGGTGCAGGCTCTTGCAAGCCCCATGACATCTGCTTCCTGGAACGAGTCTTTTCCCAAGTCAAAGGTTGGGACTTGGCCGCAAAATGCGATCATTGGCGTTCCGTCCATGAGCGCATCTTGGAGAGGAGTGATGAGATTTGTGGCACCTGGACCAGATGTGACTACGACTATACCTGGTCGTCCAGATGCTCGTGCATAACTGTAGAATTGGCCGTCAGGGATGTGAGGTCATCATAGTATTGACATGGACAGACTCACCCTTCCGCCACTGGTGAAAGTCAGTTGTTGATTTATGGCAGGTAAAGGGGGTAATCTAGAAAGGGATCGGACTTACTATGGCCTGCACCTTGCTCATGCTTGACAAGGAAAAAGTCCATGGCCTACGGGACGGTGTCAGTCATGATATCTGTATGGCTATTATGAGGTGGTAAGAACTCACTGGAGACTCATGTAGAGCATCGAATACCGGCAAAATCTGAAAGTTGAATCAGCATTTCGAAAGAAACGATACAACCAGAAGCCTGATGGGAAAGGACTTCTGTGTGCTTACAGCGCCTCCCGGATATCCAACTACATGAATACTTGGTCAGTACTTTTCTATCGTGGAGTGTAGAAGTGGGTACGTACAGATGTACTTGACGCCATGTTGTAACATCATCTCGTGAAAGATCTGACCTCCCGTCATTCCCACATATGCGTGGCTCAACGGCTTAACCTCGTCTTCTTTATTAACATTCTTAATCTCCTTGGGTCCATTGTATTGGAGAAGGGTGGGAGGATACGCCTTGATGTCGTCGACAACTTGATGATTGATCGTCCTGAGAGGAACAGTGTTGGTGCTTGCCAACGACCGGTGGCATGTTGCGAGTGGGTTGTGAAATCCTGGTCTCTTCCTCCTCATAGCATTTCTACTAGATGAAACAACGGTATTGAGGATTTTCCCGGCCATGGTAAGTGAAACTCCTCGAGGTAGGTGCGTTTTCAATTTTTACGATTTGCACAAGATTCTTATTATTCTACATCGGCAACTTTTCTTACTTTTGGAGAGTACACGAGCATGATTCCCACGAAGGCGGTCTACCTTCTACGTGTGCAGCATGAATCTTTGGAGTCGTACATCATCTGCAAGCATATATGCACGAGGTGCATCATTTGATATGGAAGACGTGCTTCCGCCGGATGAGCCTGTATGCGTCCTGTGCATCCGGGCCCCGATGCACAAGTCCCCACGATCCACCTGCAACTGCTACAAACGAACTAAGTCGTGCATATTGGCTGGCAACGACTGGTGTGTCATGGACATGATACATGTAAGTCACAATGTCGTTCATGGTGCTTACAAGGCTGTGCACGAATCTTCCACCCTAGTACGTCGCCTCCGGTTCGATTGCTGATTCTGAATATGCTCGCTCGCTACCTCTCGCATGCTACACACCGCTTCGATGCCAGGCATCCACTTTCTCCAATTCTAGGCCTTTGATGCGCCGCGATATACCCTACAGGCTACAATGCTGTAATCTCATGAGGGGTGAGGCTACCACTTGACATCAATGWTGTGATCTCGACAAGATCTATCACTTCACCACATTAGCGAATGATCGTTAATCTGATATTTTAGTAAGCTGAATGATTGGAAGAGTGCAGCTTCTTTGGAACTCGCAGGTCCTTTTCCACCTCTATATCGATGTACCGCTGCATATAGATCCTAGAATTTGKCACAGAATGATTGGTCGAGCGACTGATTCGTACTATAAGTGGACAGAAGGAGACTGAAAGTACCACTCGCTCGATACTACCTCGAGACACGTCTCTTTGGAGCGCTCAGTATTTGTAAGAATGACTACTCTTCAACTACTCGTATCATTGAAAGCATCGTGGAAATCCACTGWAGTCTTCCGTATATATCTTGCACTGGTACGGCCTATGCGGCTCTTCCTATGGTGCACCCCTTTACTGTCGGCCCCAATGTCGAAGAAGTCGATGTGAAAGTCGATAATTGCATCAAAGCCGCTGTTGAAAGGCATTTTGTAGCGGCCTCGGCCAGAGAGTTATAGAGAGTCAGAAAGATACCTCGATCAACTCGACGATACGGTGACTCCACCGTATCAAGTGGTAAAGGGGTGGAAGAACGCTATGCGTACACATCGGTCTATCTTCTTGCCAATTCCATGCCATCTAGGTATGAACGGGGCAGTGTAAGACTCTGTATACAGCTTTTGGAGCCAGCACACGATATGAGTCCCACTTACCGATAGATTGGTCGTGCATTCCTATGCAGAGACTTCAGAAGAAAGCCGAGGTAGGCAAGGGACAAACTCCCAGCTGGTATTATAAGGTCCATGTCCCAATCGCTGCTGCATCGAAACGTAGGAACGTCCTCGAGGGCTCGTTCATTCACTCGTCGACACTTTCGACACGAGTCGGAGGTTCTGCGTCGAATGGTATCTGTGGTGGAGTCAACCGTGGCCGTGCAAGATGAAGTCCTGCAACAAAGTAGCTTCGTGTCAATAATATGAGATGCGTTGTGTCGGGAAAAGGTTTGGGCATAGGWGGAGTATGCTGCTGAAGTCATGGATAGCAGGGCTGTGATCAAGTGCGGAGCCAGGGGAGATGGGTAAGTGAGAGGATTACCTGCCGAACAGGATTTCATCCMGAACGATCTGACCACCACCAGGGGGTACGAATGGTCGGTCGAATCATCGATCGTTGGCTCCGAACTTCCTGTAATGCCCTGAAATGGACTCTACACTGATTCTACACTACTGTCGGATTTATGCGGAGTCCTTAGCGTTATCTCAGAAATCATTTAGCGCGTAGGGTCCATTCAGGGCGCATGTACCCCATACAACTATGCTGGGCTATTGATGTCATCGCTAAGGTTTCAACGCATAAACAGCTACTCTCCATTGCGTGTAGAATAGCCAACAGCATGATCATCCCGTCGAGCCCACAAATGAATGTCGTCTATGTGGCTGTCGAGGTGACGTCCTGACTGGACGACAAAACCGCTTGGGGAGTCCCTGTGGATGAGCCGCTCGCGTGGCCGAGATGATCCAGATCCGGGACAGTTTACTCCAGATCACCGTCATGGTTCGTGGAGACCCAGAATGTGGATCAAAGCTCTGGAGGTGAATGTGCCTCACAAAGGGGCACGAGGACACGCGAGGCACGCTCCTCAGGCTAATGTTTATCCGTAAATTCATGTCCACCAGCGGATCCGGGGACTTGGACAATCTTCGACACGGATCCCGGGGTCACAGCACGATGTGATCAAGGGGTGGAAGTCCCCCGGAGTGACCACACTCCACATTATCCGTAGCATCTGGACCCTGTCCGGAAGATGTTTCTTCAATCGTTTGGTAGCGCTTGGATGCCAAGTTGCCGAGAGATTGATCGTAGAAGGGGACTTCCCACGGTGTGTTCGAAAGTAAGAGGCGAGTGAGGTTGGGTACCAGGTTGCCGGAGCTCCGGATTTGGGTCGGGGTCAACGAATTCATATGGGGAGTTCGCTTGTTGCATGGCCGCCCGCTATTTCCGAGATCCCTTCCATGTGTCGGTCGGTCCGTGCCAGGTTGAGTCCCAGCATATCATCGATGCGAGTGGATCTGCTTAGTGCACGAGCGAATTCCATTTGATCATTGTGTACAGCAAATGGCTAGATCTCGTTATTTCATTGCTCATAAAGTGGTTYTGACACAGCGGCCGTGTCGTCGAACTGAATCCTTCTGCACGAATCCTTCGGACTGTAGGGTAGACGGGCTCTGCAAGTCTAAATTTTCAAATATACGTCAGGGTTGAGAAATATGTCTACTTGCGCTATGTGCTTTCGAATTTATTTGCCATTCTGAGCTTTCGACAGTTCTAGCTACCACGAAGAATGGAGATTTCATGTAGACTCTTTAATGGCCACCTTTCTGGATGCAATATTGTCATCGACATTCAGAGCCTTCGCCCTAGCCACTATTCGATCTTTTTGACACTAGTAGCGGCATTCAATGCTGCACTCTCACTCGCCTTTACCCTCTCCCGACGTGCTGCCACCTCTTTGGCAGGCATAGTTGTACCTAGTAGATCATCCTAGATTGCACCCTGTCAGTTTCCCTGTGCATTCACGGTATGATGTATGGGAACAAGAAACGACTCACCCAGATCGTCAGGTAAACCTGCGAAAAGTTATGTTTTGTTCCCCAATTCTGGTGATGAATATCATGAAACTCAGTCGTGTTGGAAGATATGTAGTTGAACGGGTTATAAGGGAAAGCATAACCACTGTGATCGTTGACAGCTTTGATAATCGACACAGTGGCGAACCAGGTGGCTGGTAAGGTAGGCAGTCCGCTTACATAGAGCGTGACCGTCATTCCGATTGTGTCGGCGATGAAAGCTTCCAGGAGAGTGTTGTATAGTGCTCCGTAGGAGTAGGGCACGTAGATGCGGTGGTGCACGGAATGGACGTGCTCTGTTGTCATCTCCTGGTCAGCATGTCTAAATATATTCGAGTAGGGAGGAGAACTTACTATACAGGAATTTGTTGGAGTGGAATATGCGGTGCGAGGCATATTGCCAGAAGTCTGCAACAATGACCGCCACTGCTAGTTGAAATGCGAGCTTCGCGCCCGCGGACGAGAACAMTGCGAGAGTTACCGCTGAGAAGTCGTTTTTCAGACTGCCAGTTGGGAACGGAGTGTGTGGTTGCTGAGTCCATGTTGTTGAATTCTTGGGCGCGAAAGATAATTCGTGGTCCTTGGCTGTATCAAGACCAGGGGAAGGATTTGAGGCGAGTGCTCCGTCAACGAGCAGAGAGAAGACGACCTGAATCACTTGCTGGGATATGACCTGACGAAAGACTTGCCGAAGCGTGGCTCTGTTGCGCGCCGGTCCGGCTTCATATGGATGAATCTTGTAGTCCTGGAACCATCTCTGGCTATCGAACAGGTGGAAGATACTTGCACTCAGCCAGTATGCCGCAATGGGCATAACTGACAAGAGATAGAAGTCTCGGACTCCAGGTATCAATGAGGCTTCGTCTTCCATTGTTGCTAGCGAGAGATTCTGGAGAGCGATATCTCAGCGATAGGTTGAAGTAAGATGGAAGGTCGACAATGTAGCTCCCGCTCTTAAGTCGTTCACAACCTTCACCATCGGAAATCCTATTGCTGGATGATGTGCGAGGACTTGAACATAGAGTTTACATTAGAATGGCGGTCTGTTCGACGATGGTGGACCTGTGCAGGTGGTTCCATCCAGCGCCTGCGGTTTGGAGCGCCTACCACTCATGTCATCATACTAGTTGCAGATAGTCAACTGATTGAGCAACTCCACCGTCGCCACACATGTAGGAAGGAAGAGATGTGTAGGATTTGACTTTCAACGTACCATTGTCCCGTTACGATCTTGCAGGAAAGGCGGTGCACATCTCCCTGCATATGAATCTGTGCGTTATCCGCTCCGGGAACTCGCCCATCATCACCCAAAGAACAGTTTCAGCAGGTAATAGCGGTCTTTGATGTTGCACATTGAAGATTTCGACACGTGCTGATTCGGATCGCCAAATGTAACTACTCAGACACCACAGAATGTCATGTCTCAACCCCACTGCCACCATCTTCTTCCTTCATCACGCGCAACGTGTGAAGAACAATCTGCTCGTAACCCTTCGTTGCGCCAAACAATTCTTCTTCCATGAGCCCCTCATGGTCCGTGTGCGCCACGAATATCGTTCCAGGGCCATAGAGATACCGCTTTTGGTTCGCAACCGTCTTTTTCAGCCATGGGATATCAGTCCCGTAGTTTACCGTCATCACCTCAAAGCCCGGAACATCAGAATTGAGATCTATCGGCGCGTAGCCCGCACCACTGAAATCGAGTTCTACAACATCTGCAGGCTCCATATYGTTGGTGATAAAGGGAGCAACGGCATTGTGTACTGTGGAAGTAATCGCAGCTTGGATCTCTGTCGGTGAGCCAACGGCAATTCGTACTGCGAGACCAGCGCTTGCGCTTTCGGCAACAACGCCTAGAGCTACCCCTCCGTTGAGAAGACCCAGATTGAATGTGGTCTTGCCGTACTTTTCGCTTTGTGGGAGGCTGTCACCAAGCAGACGTAGGTCGGCAGCAGCCGCGACTAACATGTCGGTTGCACTCAGGCCTATCCAAGGGTAGCCTGAGTGTGCGGCACGACCCTTGATATGAATTTTCGCAACGACAATGCCCTTGTGGCCGGCTACTAGCTTGCCTTCAGTTGGTTCACCAAAAATGATGGCCCGTGGTCGTAGTTGGRGCTCGTTAGCAAGCTGCATTCCCAAACCACCGACTTCTTCGCCTATGACGAACAGTAGAGAGACATCCGAAGGGTTGATGCGGGAGCTTGAGACGAGATTGTTGACCGCGAGTACTTGGGCGGCCACACAGCCTTTTGCGTCAACGGAGCCACGGCCGGAGATTCTGCCATCATCGGATCGTTTGTATGGYATAAAGGGCGGAACCTTACACGATCGTTAACTATGTATGTATGTGACAGTGGGAGGAAGAACTTACTGTATCGATGTGGCTACTCAACATCACCTTGGCGTCCCTTTCCTCGCCCGGCCAGGCGAGAACGTTGAAACTGTCCTTTGTAAGGTACTGTTTTTCGACATTGTAGCCCTGAGACTGTAGGCTATTGACAAGCCAGTCACCAACGGGCTTTTCGTTCCCTGAGATGGATTCGATTTCAACGAGTCCCTTGTGAAAGGCGAGGAGGTTGTTGCCAAGACCAAGCTTGCTTCGAGTTGCATAGCTACGGCTAGTGATCCGGTGAGTCGTGGTTGCACACAATCTGGAAGACAATAGTCGAGAGCTCTGGCGGAGGAGCACCGCCATGATATGATCGCTGAGACTCAATGAGAAAGCAGTAAAAAAACCACGACCGCATTGTTACTCTGATCGTTATTGTTTTGACATGAGCGCCAAGAATTACTTGCTTCGGCCCCACGCAAATGCCTCGTAGCCAACCAGCGAGCCCGGCTATGATCTAGAGTTTCGAAGCGTTCAGGGGTATTAGCTGCAGCGGCACATATAATGTACTCCCCGCGCCAAAGTTGAACATGATCGCTTTCTACCATGAAATGCGCCAGCGGCACCACACTACTTCGTACAAACACTGCGAGACTGTTCACCGCCGGGCATCTTTTAATTAATGCATTCGCAGTGTTGTCAGTGCATTTCCATCACGTCGTCAACGATATGGACTTCGTCCGACGGATCCTCCGGCGGGTAGGCGGGCCCAAACCCAACCCCGAGTCTATCTGAGGCTACGACTCAAATCGAGTGCTCGTGTGGGGACTGGAAAGCTCACGGAATGCAGTTCCCAATTCTTGTTTCCTGTCTGAGTTGGAACTCAGCCCCTCTGTTCACTCCTCAACCGTCGCTCCAGCATCATGGAGTATTGTTCGTGTGTCAACCTTAGCAATATTACTCACTGCTCTTTGACTAACCGAAAAACAGTCTAGGCCGTTCAGGACTCAAGGTCTCCCGCATCGTGCTTGGCTGCATGAGCTTCGGATCTCCACAATGGCAGCCCTGGATCCTGGATTCCGCCGCCGCTCTTCCGCTTCTGAAGCATGCCTTTGACCGTGGAATCAACACATGGGACACGGCAGATGTGTACAGCCATGGTGAATCCGAAAGAATCATAGGCAATGCTATCCAGCACTACAAGCTGCCCCGACAAAAGCTGGTTCTCATGACCAAATGTTATTTTCCCGTGTCTGAAGACGGCGAACAGCCTCCGTTCCAGATGCACATCCAGAATGATGGTAGTCATGTCAACAGTATGGGCTTGTCACGTAAGCACATACTGGATGCGGTCGATAGCAGTACAAGCCGACTGCGCACCTACATCGATGTCCTCCAGATCCATCGACTGGACAGGGAAACAGACAAGACGGAGATAATGCGAGCATTGAATGATGTGATCGTATCAGGTAAAGGTACTTTTCATCGCCGCAGTAACATGTTTCGCCGGCTGACTTGTATTCTGAATACTTACAGTTCGGTACATCGGAGCATCATCAATGGCAGCTTGGGAGTTCCAAATGCTACAGAACATCGCCGAGAAGAACGGATGGYACAAATTCATCTCAATGCAAAACTATCACAACCTTGTCTTCCGCGAGGAGGAACGCGAAATGATACCTTTTTGCAAAGCTACAGGCGTAGGTCTGATGCCTTGGTCGCCGATTGCTCGCGGTGCACTGGCGCGGCCGTTCAGTGACACTGCTACATCGAACAGAGAGAAGACCGACCCTCTCGTACAGCAACGAGGACGTTCATCGACTGCGGACGAGGAGATTATCAATCGAGTTGAGCAGCTGGCAAAGAAGTACAATGTGAGCATGGCTTGTGTCGCGACGGCTTGGTGTATCTATCATGGAGACTGTCCGATTGTGGGACTGAACAGTACATCGCGGATTGACGAGATCGTCAAGGGTCTTGCGTTCAAACTGTCTGGTGAGGACGCAAAGTTTCTAGAAGAGCCTTATGCTCCCAAGCCCGTTACTGGGTACTAATTTCATTGTTTTGCATGATWCGTTGCACCGCCGGTCGTTCCATCAGTCTCTTGTGCCATTCACGATAGCGGGGATACTTTTCCAATATTCTTGAAGCTTCTTCCTTACCCATGACTTCCTCTAGGATTCAATRTCAAGTCAGCATGCTGCAAAGMGCTTCTACCAGTGCTCTTCTATAGCTCAAGTCGCTTACCGATCTTATTGTTCCATGGCACAAAAACGAGGTCCGCAAAGGTGCATTTCTCGCCCACCAAGTAGTCTCCTCGACTCTTTTCCAAGTAATGCTCCAGAATACTTGCAATTCTCACCACATCATCTGCGAATCTGTCCATAACGCTGGGTACTTGCTCCTCATGCTGATTCGAAAACCAAGCTTTGAGCGAGAAGAATGGGCTCTGAGCGCCCATTTGGTACGCCAGCCATTGTTGGCACATCCACCAATCCGGCGTGTGAGGAGCGTATTGCAAGTTCGCTTCTTGCTCTTTGTCATATGTGTGCACGAGGTATTCGACGATTGCGAGCGATTCCCATAGCGTTACGTCGTTGTTGGGGTCGTTGAGGATTATCATGCCTGTATTCTTATCCTGGACTGGAGGTGCTCCTCCGTTTGAGGTACTTCCCTGGGTGTCTTTCTGTTGTGATCCTTCATTCTTGATCACAGAGACCGAGAATGGCAGGCTTAACTCTTCGAGTATTATTCCCACCTTTTGTGGGTTTGGGCCCTGATTTAATTAGCCTTGTTGGTGCCGCTTTGACAAGTGCGTTACATATTCTTACCGGGTCTTGAATTTGCAGTACAAGCGTCTGCAGCTTTTGGGGCGACATCGAGGCAGCGGAGGTGGAAAATCGTGCTCTGTTCTCGCTCGCGTGTTGCTTGCCGACTTGTCTGCTCGTGGAAATGTATCTGCGAGGAGCGCGCGTAGTAACAGCAATTTGAGATCGCCAAGTCGTCGAGGATCTTGTGAATATCGAGCCAAACTGGCCTAGAGAGCTGTGGAACTTGGTGAATGGAGTGCAGCTAAGTGGTGCCATAACGATGGAGCGTTTGAACTTGATGAATCACCGGGCAGGCGTYGTAGCCATTGATAAATATGCTTTCCTACTTCATTCTTTGTACTACGACTGAAGTGACCTCGCTTCGATTCAACTAATCAGTGTTTGAGTGTCAGAGTGGGACAACAAGGTGCAGCTACTCCGGAGTATGCAGTGCCTCGAAGCATGGGTACACCGCCGATATGCGGCTGAATACATACATTGGCTCCACACCTTTTCTCCCCAACCGATCTACCAGTAGTAATAATGTTATGTCTACAAGTGGTGACTTTTTAAACGATAACCCGGAACTAGGGCCATCTCATGCAGGGTAAAGTATAGTGATGGAAACCCTGATACACCATGGACGAGGAGGGTCATTGAGACATTGACCGTCGGCTGGCTGCCACAGACACAGTATCTTTTGAAATTCGAACATATAGGTAACCAGAGCTCAGACTTAACCTCATCCCCCGACGTATGCTATCGACACGAGTGTCCTAGATGAAGCCGAAGCCACGGTGCAGTACGCACAGTCAAGCAGAGAAGCCCTCTCGATTCTCAAGCGATACCCTCAAGTCGAGAGAAACTCTTCCCACTACAACGCCTTTGCTCCAATAAAGAGCTTACCAGACTTTGGTCCTCCAACGAAGCCTTCCATATGCTCAATTCCATCGTCATCCACGACGTGCGTCTCAAAGTTTGCATACGTCAGAGCCAGCACGTACTTCATCACTATCATAAATTCGTCAGCAGTACTCTTCACGAGACGGATCGGAGTGAAATTGCAACTTACCAACCATGGCGAGGTTACTCCCAACACACATCCTGCCACCCGAACTGAATGACCAGAACCATCGCATCTTCTGATCATGTCCTGCCGATTCGGTGTCCCCATCTTGTGACAGCCATCTCTCGGGGTACCAAGCGAGCGGATCAGGGAATACATCGGTGTTTTGATGGAGGAATCTGGCGTAAGATTGTACTCTGTAACCGCCAGGAATGTTTTCGTACTGTCCAAGCTTACTCAACTTCCCATATGGCGTTACTCGAGCTTGTCCACCCGCTATCACGGGATGTAGACGTAGCGTCTCCATGAGAATTGCATGGAGTAGTGGCAGTTTATCCACGACTGGTGGGGATGGTAGAGGCTCAGTYGAACTTGCGGAATTGATCGAGGAGCCTAGAGATTGGCATTCGAGGCGGAGACGGGATTGCATATCTGGTCTGCGTGAAAGCTCCCAAAACGCATATGTCAGAGTCGTGGACATTGTCTCGTCCGCAGAGTGGACGTGATCGGCCACCTCAGCGGCTATTTCGAGCTGTTGCTCCGAGCACAAGAGCTGAGAGTACTTCTCCACAAATGGAGTGGCGCTYATACCTTCTTTTTCCAGATTACGTTTGAAATGTTGATATACAGTGGGATATTCCTCCGGCGCTATCTCCTGTGTGCTCGTGTTGTTGAGAGACTTTTCCGCTCGGTCGCCCATGTTTAGACAAAAGTTGTGAAACGTTTCCAGACTTTTGGAACGTCCCTTGTAGAGCAGTCCCGTCCGTTCGAGAAATCGCAGCGTCCCGGGAAGCTCATAAAACCAGAACATGATCTCGTATGGCCAGCCGTTGTGCATTTCGTGCAAAAACTCGGCGTGCTCCTCGAGATTGTTGAGGAAATTCGTGCCGTTCTGCACTCCAAAAGTGTATCCCGTCACAAAGTCAAGTCCCAAGGCAGAAACGAGTTGCATTGTGTTGAAAGGTCGGTCATCTTTGGCGCAGCCAGTAATCAAGCCCAGATATCCCTGTCGAATGACTCGATCTATCAGACCAGCTATTGCAGGCGAGGAATGTACATATGACTTGGAATAGACCTGCGTGATTCGCTTCTTCCGCAGGCCGTGAGGAATCGCATCCAGACTCGAGGACACATTCTTCCTGCCAAAATCCTCGTAGATACTGTAGAAGTTGTGTCGATCGAAGTTTTTGCCATAAATTGTCTTGACTCCATCGTCAATGCAGTTGACGGACAGTTCTTTCGGGCTCAGACGAACGACATCGCCATACTTCTGGTGCGCTTCAAAGACGGTGGCGTTCTCAATGTCCCGATAGCGGATCCAGATCATGTACAGAGAGGTCAGTTTTGCTAGTGGATGGACAGCTGGAATATCTGAAATGGGGCTCAGAAATAAAGGGTGAATGATGCATTGGTACAATGCGGCGGCACCGATTGCAATCGCAGCAAGTACAAAAAAGGCCATTGCTAGAGGAGCTGCTACTGGCTAGTATGTTGTGAATGTCGGAATTATACTCTGTAAGTTGTAGCATTACGTGAGCTGATTAACGGTGAGTGTCAAGACCCGACCTGCCGAGAATCCAACATGCAAAATGGTAGAATGCAGTCGTGTTGCATGTGTTGTGGATACCAACGCTGCTTGCATGTCGTGAGTACGGTGAGCGGCGAAGACATCCTCACCCGACGGCTCTGAGTGGAGAAGTGTTCACTCCGACGGAGAAATGTATGTTGCCTGCAGTAGACTGTCGGAGCGCTCCAGAGTTCAGTGAAGCTGGAGTAGGCTCAACAGCTGCACGAGTACCCGATTTTGAGCCTCTCGAAACCATGTCCATGACGAAATGCACATGCTGGCATCGTACCCCTGTCACATCTGTGAAAGATCTCCCTTTTAGGTGCAATGCCCTGAAGGGGTTAGAGGCGACACCATGCAGCTGTTATCAAGATCCGKCTGTGATCGAGAAATCCGAACTGTGGAGTCGAGTCTCGCGTGGAAAGGCGCCTGGGAGATGTGGCTTCATGCGAGATGTCCACATGGTGTAATGTAGCTCGGAGGTGGAAGATCAAGCAACAAAGCTCACTCACCGACAACAACTTGCAGCTCGCTGCAGCCATTGTTACCAGCGAACTTTGTGCTGCGACACATACAACGAAAAGCGACGGTATCGTGCATTGGTAGTTTGGCTTCTTGTATCGATAGTTGATACACAAATTTCTCAACGGAAAATAGGGTCTGTCTTGCGAATAAACCACAATATGTTAGGGTTCGGATTATGTATGCTGAGAAAARTTGATATCAGAAACAAAGTTCTGCTTTCTTTTCATCTTTGAGACATACTGGACACAACCCTACTTGTGTTGAAGATCAAGTAGATTTCCGATCTCACAGGAGTTGATGTATGTGGATGAGGGAGCCTTGCTGTGAGAAGAATTCGGGGATGTATGTAGGGCCCTGATCACTACAGGGTAATTGCATCGTATATCTGTAGATTTGTTGAAGCTCGACACGTTGCGGTTGACTATTGGCAGCTCATAGTACTGTCTCTGTCAGAGAGAGCGAGGATGGWATCAACAAGACTCGTCGAGTCGGAAGTTCTTACATCAAGCATATGATGGGTGACATCTAGCCTTCAACCATTGCCGCCGCAAAAGTTCGTACGCCTCAGGATCCATTAGATCTTTTCACCGTATGATAGACTGGATTGATCATGCATGCACTACGTTACTGCAACATGTAACAAAAACTAACGTGCTATGAATCCAAGCAAGTATTGTTATCAACAGAGACTTTGTGGTACTCTCTCTATGGGGAATAATTCGTTCGAACCCTATAGGGCTACCCACGACCAATGGCTTTTGCCATCCAGAATGGCGGTGTACTGTATCGAGACCTCCATCACCGCTGATTTAGTTTGACACAGAGCGTTCCATTGCTCAGCAGCTCAGGATTCCAACAATATTAACTGCATTTTATTGAGTTACCAGAGTCCAAACCCATCTACCGWCATCTTAAGCATGGCAACGAACGAGTTGTTGATCTCTTCTTGGAAACGGCTCCCTCTGGATCTTGGTTCTCAAACCCAAAGCGAATCGTTCGAAGACTTCCAGCAACTTTTGCAAACAGCATGGCTGTTGCTTCTATCGACCTACAGCAGGGATAGCTCGTCCAGTTGCTATCTCTCTGGTGCTGGAGAACATGCATCACTTGAACTACTGTCCTTGGCCACGGACAAATCTCTGACACTGAGTKAGCACACGAATCTCATCCGGACTGGTTCACTCAATCTCAGCAGTCGAAACAGTACCCCTAACACGATGCTCTGGTACGGTCCGGATCCACTCGACATGGAAGCTCAAATTCATGCGCTCAATGAAATCTGTACTCTTGAGTTCATCGTTCATATCATCCATTCTCCACATGAACCTGGCGTCGAGGTCTCTGTTGGTTTACTGTACCAGCCGAAGCATGGGAAATTCCAGGAAGATGATGCAATAGGCCGCGTGGAGACTTTCAAAACTATCTTCTCTGCACTTGTACAACACCCGACTAGCGTTCTGGGAGACGTAAATATTCTCAGTGATCACGATCGAAAGCGAATCATCGCTTGGAATCAGCCTGCTCCGGGGAGTGCTTTGGAAATGACCATTCCTTCAGGGTTCGCAGCACATGTCAAGGATCGCCCTGATGCGCCAGCAGTATTCGCTTGGGATGGCGAAATGACATACAAAGAGCTAGATACGGCTTCATCGAGCATTGCAAAGTCATTACATGAGGCTGGAAAATCTGGACCCGATGACATGGTTTTGTTCAACATGAGAAAGTCAAAGTGGGCATTGGTCGCTGCATTGGCAATTCTGAAGTCTGGGAAAGCGATTGTTCCTACAGACATTTCTTGGCCCCAATCTCGTCTTCGCCAGATCGTTGAGATCACCGGAGCTCGTCTCGCTGTTTGTGACGAAGTGACCAAAGGGGCATTCGACGCGGATACAGTCTGTGAGCTTATGGTTCCTTCAGCTCCTCGTCTTCCACAGATCAATGATGACGAGTACTCCCCGGAGACATCATGCGTTCCAGACGATCTAGCTTTCGTCCTCTTCTCCTCGGGTAGTACTGGTGTTCCCAAAGGCATGCTGAGGCAGCATAATACGGCATGCACCGGGTCCTATGCGCACGCCAAAGCAATGCACTTGAACAATACTTCTCGAGTTCTTCAGTTTGCAAATCATGTTTTCGATGTCGCCATGCTTGGTAAGACTGACCAAAAGGGCTACCGCGTGAGAGCATGGGCTGACAATGATCTCAGACCTTTTCACAACCCTTTTGATGGGCGGATGCGTATGTATACCTTCTGAAATTGACCGCAAGAACGATCTGGCAGGCTTCGTCGAGCGATCACAAGCCAATTGGGCACTCTTGACTCCCACTGTAGCAGGCCTGCTGGATCCGATCACAGTTCCAAGTCTCAAATTTGTGACTCTTGGAGGAGAATCGATCAGCAGGGCGACTTTACAAAAGTGGCTAGAGACGTCTCGCGTTGGAATCAATTACGGCTCTGCTGAGGTGGATGTAACACATACACGCGATGTTCTCAATGATGCAGATACATCCAATGTAGGGCAGCGTCTTCCAAGCTGTCAGGCGTACATTGTTGACCCGGATAATCTGAGCGCTATTCTTCCTGTTGGAGCTGTTGGAGAATTGGTCATTTGTGGACCAACAATGGCAAGAGGGTACCTCAACGCTCCTGAAAAGACCGCGACCGTTTTCACGACACCGCCAAAACAATGGTTCTCCCAAGGCATCTTTGCACCAGGTCCAATAACGGAGACTTCTCGTATTTATCGAATGGGTGATTTATGTCGTCAAAAGTCCGACGGCTCTTTGGAGTTTGTTGGTCGTAAAGACTTCCAGGTGAAGGTCAGCGGTAAGTAAACGAAATCGTCATGTTCACATGGCAAGGACTGATCAAGTATACCAGGTCAAAAAGTCGAGCTTGGCGATATTGAGAGCAAGCTAGTGCAGCATTCTGCTGTGAAGCAGTGCGCTGTCATATACCCTTCCCAAGGACCATATGCAAAGCGACTAGTCGCTGTGGTTGAGTCGGTCGATGTACCATTTCAGCTGAGCCGTCATAATCGCGCTGCACTGGCAACGAAACCCACTCCTCTGGGCCTGCGAAGCATCACAGAATTCCTTTCTGCTTCACTACCATCCTTTATGATGCCCACCGTCTTCATTGGGCTGGTAAATATGCCTTATACCGCGACTATGAAGATTGATCGTAATCTTCTCCGAAGCTGGCTCCTGAACGATGACATCTATAACGCGTCTCAGGGAGCAGTACACCAAATATCTACTGCTCTAGAAGGCCCCTTGTTACTCCTCGACGAAAAGAAGGCTGTGGAGTTGTCGACCTTGGTCGCAGATGTTGTTTCCGACAGACATTCAGCGATCTGGAGATCCATCAGCGGACACGACAACAGTCTTGAGGATATCGGCATCAACTCGGCCCAAATGATGAGACTTTCTCACATGATTAACAAGCAATTCGGGGCCAAAGTTCTGGTCGAGATGCTCGGGTCGAAAGATATGACGATTCGAAAACTTGCGGCGCTCTTAAATTGCCGCGAAGTTGAGACCATTTTCCAGAAGTCGTGTTCGGTTGATGGTGCCAAGGTGGCATTTCTACAAGATCGAGTTGCAGAAGCCTCACGGACTGTTCTAGGCGGTCTTTTGGGTCTACAAGATCAAAGCCAACAGCATGTCTTTCTGACTGGGGCCACTGGATACCTGGGTGTGCAAATTCTCGTTCAACTGCTGCAGTCCAAGCACATCGGCTCCGTCGCGGTTCTCGTTCGGAGCGCTGATGAACATCAGGCCATGATGAGAGTGAAGAATACCATTGCAGCGACAGAAGAATCCATCCCAGAAGAAAATCTTTTAAAGATACGTGCCTGGTCTGGAGACTTGTCAAAGACCAATCTCGGACTTTCCGAGATTCACTCAAACGAGTTTTCCGCTTTGGGAAAGCGCGGAAGAGACGGGAATAAAAAGTCGATCGACACCATTATCCACTGCGGTGCTGTGGTTGATTGGAGAAAGACCTATCGCGAGTTGGAGGCGGCAAACGTATCCTCTACCGAACAATTACTGAAACTGGCTTTGAAGTCGTCTGGCGTACGCCGCTTCGTCTTCATCTCCGGTGGACGATATCCCGATCCGACACAAGAATATGGCCAAAATCTGCACCAAATGTACCTCGACACCGCCAAAGGCAGCGGGTATGCACAAACCAAATTCGTGGCGGAGCAACTCGTAGACAATGTTCGGCGGGCAACTCACTACAATACATCCATCGACATTGTCAGTCCTGCATATCTAATTGGGAGCCAGAAGATAGGCCTTGCGAATCAGGATGATTATCTATGGCGCATCGTATGGGCTTCAGTACGTATCGGAGCATTCAACGCAGACGAAAATGACCAGTGGCTATTCGTTGCAGACTCGGCTTCGTTGGCGGAGCGGATCGTGGCACTGGCAGAACAGGACAGTATCGCATCGTCGTTGAAGAATACTACGCTTCAAGTTCACGATGGCTTGGGTATGCAGGAGTTCTGGCGACATGTATGCGATGTGCTTGGGGTATCTTTGGCGCCTGTAACAGGCGAGGAATGGCTGCGGAGAGTGAAAGAAGACATGGAGGGAATGCGTGACCACTTGCTTTGGCCTCTAGCAGAGACCATTGATGCCAGCTATGGCCAGTTAACTCAACAGCGTTGTCTTGCGGTTACTATGGGCTCGGGAATTGCGACKGCTGGTATTGATTTGGCTATCCAGCAGAATATTCAGCGTTTGAAGAAAACTGAGTTCTTCGGGTGAGTCGCTGCGTGCAGAGATGATGATGATTTCAATGAGTTCTATTTTCAGATTTGTGTCTCCATTAAGTATTTGACTACTCCTCGCATGTTCAATGTATCCAAATGGTCAGGTGGCGTCGAAATTACAACAGCGAGGCTCACTTTGATGGTTTTCGTCATCCCATCCCATTGCTGTTCGATCGTCTTGCTTGGTGAAGTCCACATCCTTTCCTTGACGCTCGTCGTTATCCTGAGGAAATAGAGCTTTTCATGACATGATGTTTTCAACTCTCTACAAATCTTTGATCGCTGATGGCTTCGCAGTCGATCGTCAGCCCTGATGTTTGATTGAATGGGATAACAAGTGGGAGCAACATAGCTTTGCAGACATATTGTCGTCTATACAACAGCCATTGTTCGCTGATGGTAATGACTCAAAAGTGACGTTGATCGATGCCAATAAATTCGCTATGGGAGTCTCGCTATAAGAATCGAAGACAACTGGCTCCACCGCATCGACCACATCAGCCTGTGAGGATCTAGTACACCTTGTACTTGACGTCGTCCAACAACAATCCCGTGAGCGTGCTCGTCGCAAGAGCCTGCACAACCGCAATCTCAATCTTGCCCATCTTGCACCAAGTCTTGGGGAAGACAGCTTTGGTCATTTCCGCCCTGAGCAGATTCTCTGGGTTGAATTGTTGGTTGATCGTTTCGTATGAAACCTCCTGGCCCTCCAGATAGGCAGTGAAAGCAACCGTGCACTCGGTTGGAACACCGGTCACGGTCTCGACGCTGTTAACTACACATCCGAAATACAGACTCTCGAGGTCGAGAGCTTTGTTGCCATTGGCGGGGATAAATGCAGGACCGGAGCCAGTGAGAAGATTGTCAGTGAGACCGTTCACGGCGACTTGGTTGCCAGATTTGGGGAGCACGCCGGTGGGGACTTGGCCTAGAAGTCCTGCGACCAGAGTATCGAAAGAACGATATTCCAGACCTTTGTAGACGCCAATGGGGCTGAGCTCGGACAATGCAGGGAGAGCTTTGATGTCGTCGAAGGTAGCTAGCTCATCGGTCCCATCTTTGTGTTCGGGAGTGGCGTGGCTTCTGGTCCCATTTTGGTATCTTGGAATGAGGGTGGTGGTCCCGTTTTGGTATCTTGGATTGATGTTGGTCCCATTTCTGTATCTTGGGATAATAGCGCTGGCTGACGCCAAAGTCAAAAGAGTGGCAATCGGTAAGAAGAGCATGATGAATCGTTGTCGAGGATGGAATGCGAGGGAGGAGGCGGTGGGAGAAGCGAAAGGAACTAAACGAAGGTATACTGGGATGTAGAGTACGCAGGCAGCATGCGACTATATGTCGAATTGAATCGCCCCTGCAGTCCTGTCAAGGTCGCGATCAAAGTCACAATCAAGGTTAGACTACCTGCGATGTGATCGTATAATCATCGTTGCGAGTCACGTCGATGAGCGCAGGTACATGTTATATATCACGATCGACGACGACAAGTCATTGAGGATGCTGCGGGACATGTGTCACGTTTGCGCTGAGTCCACTGCTGATATGTATGGAGTCGTTAAGCTATGCTCAACGTTGGAAATGAGAGTCAGTATAGGCTCAAGCTAGACTCGAATGGATCAGGCAGATGAAGATGGCAGCTGAAGTTTCCTGTATCGGTTAGCTCATATCCTTAACGGGGCGACATGGGAGCCACGTGTGGCCAATGACGATCCCTAGATGAGTGTCCGATGCATTCTTCTAGTGTTATAGAAGTAGACAACTTGGTCTAGCAATCTCCAACAACGTCTACTTTCGTATCATCCTTGATTACACCTATTACTCCTCCCAAAATCGGAAGTTCTCGAGCCATGCCGCCAAGAAAAATATAACGACAGWGTTCCAAGCGAACGTTGGTCTTGCAGCTTTTTATTACCGCCGAACGTCGCCGTTTGTTCTTTGACTCGTGCGGAGTTCACTCCACGATTTCTTGCTTCCAACGGGCGCCACATGTTCGTTTCAGTTGTGGCAAAGTGGCACTCGGTCGGATGCAATGAAATCTTGTGCGCGTAGGTAACACGACCAAGTTTCGTTGTTGACATACTTCATATCTGTGCCGATCATACAGGCCGGAAAAAGAGAAAAATCGTGGCGTACTCGAAGAACCATTGTTTACCGCTCGGACACCGCAGAACGTCTGTGTCATATAAGCGTTGCGATTACCAAGTACAAATCTGTGTACCCATCGTTGCACAAAAACCACTTTACCCCAAGCCTGCAAGAAAAGGAGGCCCGCTCAGGCTGATTGAGGAATCATTGCAATATGAGTTCTTCTCGCCGCTCATTCACGAAATTGTCTTTCTCCGCCCAATGTGAGTGGTGCAGTGTAGTCTTGTTGACTGCGGCTCTCCACATTGAAGCAACCAATCCAAGCTCTTTTACGCAGAGCCGTGCCCAGTATGGTGAGGAGGGCAAATTGAAGGGTATCCCATGGTATCTTTCTGGTTAGTTCATTGCGCAAGTCGATCAAGAATGCTATATTCATCCACGCGTCAAAGCTCCACAACGTCAGTGAGAGATCACGGCAAGCATCCTTCGAGATTATCACAATCTTCAAGCTGAAAGTAGAGCTGGCTTGAACAGCCACACTATGATACAGTCGTCGTGCTGCCAGTCCAAGGAAGTGTGAAGCTGAAAGCGGTAGCTATAGGCACATCTGCAGTAATGGAAAAGCTCGAGAAAAAGGAACTGTCTCTGGTGTGCTTCTAAATGTGCGATCATCCTAGAGCAGACGAGTGCCATTACTTCTCCGTCCGGCAAATCGCACTGACAATACGATCGCCCCACAGGAGCTGTCGACTCCCCTCATCGAAGCTTCATTTGATATGTGCATAGCTGAATTCAAGACATCGCCACCACGATCATCAACAGTCCACCCACCAGCCAGGCCTTCAAACCTCCCTGAACGCCCGAGCTACCAGTATTCGTGAGGGTATCATCAAGAGTAACACAAGCAGGTCCATTGCCTTCTCCCTCATAGTCATAACCATCCTCGATACATTGTTCCAAAGAACTGTTTCCCGCACAAGAAGCAAAACATCCCAGCCCATACGCCTGAAGCGGCGACTCCCCACAACAGTTCCTCAAGACTGCCGTTGCATTAGGCACATTCCGAAGACCGCACACAACATCGCCCGTGGCGTTCACACCCAGTCTTGCTGGTGGTATGGCTGTGATGGAGTCTTGATCTAGAACAGGACAGTCATAAGGGGTCGGCTCATCTTGTCGTTCCTCTCGAGGACGATTGCAAAGGAGTGGTGCTGCTCCCTCTTGAACGAGACAGTCCTGGAAGTTTTGGTAGTCGGAATTTTGAGTGCTGGTCTCGTTGAAATCGGTGCCGTCTGATGAGATGATGCAGGTGAGGTAGATGCCTGAGATGCCGTTGAAAGAGTCTGGGGTTGATTGGTTTGAGGAATAGCGGTTGCAACAGAGAGATAGCGCTGCTGCATTGTTGTCGCAGTCTGGCACGGAACATGCTGCGATTTTGATGGCAGTGCCGACGGAAGCCCAAGTGAGTGGGATATCCGCACGTGCTGGACAGGAGGTCATATTGGACATGATGTCGGAGATTATGTCGAGTTGGGATCTTTGAAGTGAACGTTGGAAGGAGAGCTGGTTGCTCATGAGCAGTTTGCTGGTTCTCTAGCACGAAGTGAGACGACAGCTAGTTGACGACTTTGTTCTTGACTGTCGTGATCGGCGGAGAACACATCACAGAGGTGCAAGGCATCGATGGTTGGCGATGCCGTAGCCCGGGCTCCAAGACCTACAACGTAACTGATATGCAGCTCTGGAAATCAATGGCCTTACTTTGTTTGAAGAGGACCCACGGAAGTACGGAAGGTCAATATGATAGGTGCCAAGGAGCCCCATCCTCCTTGGCTGACCGGAACTGGCATTAGGGTTTCCAACTATTCCTGTACATACTCAACTCCGCGAATCCTACCAGCGGCCAAGAGACTGGCCGAAAGGGCATGAATCCAAGTGGACCGTACCTGCAGCCAATATCGATCAAGTAAAGAGCCATACGCACCGCGGAGGTCGAAAGTAGCTCGCCAATACGGCAGTCCGGGGAGATAGGCCTTGGCGCCACGCTCCGTTTCTGGTAGTGATCGCTGGTCACCGTCACGAGCCGACCAGCTGACGTAGCACATCATCTAGTTCAGGTGAATGACTGTTGGTGATATTGCATGTCATGCACCTCCGTTTCTCATATCCTCATTGTCCACCTTGGCGCATCCTTCGCAGTTTCTGCCCTTCGGAATCACCTTCTCTTTGGCGACCTCGATGCTCAAATATTGCTTGAATCCTTCCGTGTGGCACACGCACGAGTCGAGGCGATCGAAGGCCAAGTGCAGGAGCTCAGCGAGAAATCAGCGAGAAAGAATGCCCATCTCCGAGGGTTGAGGTCTGCATCGGACTGAGAACGGATGCTAGACCAGAGACTGCTGTGACTTCGAGCAGACTAGACTACTCGTCGAGCTGCGAGTCTGTGAATCTGCCTTGATTTGGTCCACGTCACAACTTTGTGTTAGCAAACCAGCTGGGTAACGACCTCATACAATGCGAAAGAAGTCCAGATTGTCCTCGCCTTCGCTTGCCGTGAATACCATTCCGGACAACGCTTGCGGCTGATGCAACAGCTCTCGATGTAACCCGTAGTCCTCGATCGGCATTCGTTGAAGGAATACCAACAGTAACACCTTCCACTTCCAGTCGTATGGCTTTCAAGAAAGCTTGGCCAGCTTCCCGTGCTACCCTTTCGGACCGCTTGGCTGTGAACATGGCTGTTCGTTCTGCACCGCTGTGGCAGTCTTGCTCCTGGATAACCCTAATTGAAGGATTCACTATGCTGTCATAGACCAACACTTCCAGTTCCTCCCACCGTTCTCGCAGCCAGACGTATGATCGAGCCGTGTCACTTGGCAAGTACCTGCCAGATGCAGTGATGGAWCACGATCGAGCACAATGTTGCGCTGTCCGGGCGGCGTCCAGGGGTGGCTCCTGGTTGTATAAAGAGCCGTCAAGTCCGCTGCAGAGTCACCATCATTATCCACCAACCGCTCAACCCTCCCCCGAATATCATTCCACACAATGAAGACCTTCCAGACAGCCGGAGTCCTGGCCGCAATCTCGAGCTTCGTGCTCGCACAGGTGATGACGCTTGCTTCGAAATTTGCAACGGGAATGTACTGACGAAGATCTCAGGACTGGTCATGGCACCAGCCTGCCATGTGTACCGACGGCGGGTGCGGTACCTGTCCCAACCGGCTCATTGACAGCAGCGGCTGGCCTGTCTGCCACTGGTATGACTTGGCCGATAATCCCATCTGGAGCGAGCAATTCAACGCTGCCGAGAACGGGGGCTTGGAAGTCTTCTTCAACATTGCCCAGCCAGATCCCACCTGCGCAGTAGTCATTCGATCGCCTGCGGGTAGCGAATACATCGGTTGCGGCCAGAACATCCTCACCACTTACAATGCTCTATGCACCAAGCTCATCCTTCGTCAGCGTGTCATGCTCCAATTCTGCTGTGGTACTGGAGACTGTGACGCTGCTGGTGGAGGTGTGTCGTCCATATCTCTCACCCCCGAGGACTTTGCAAACACCTCCTCCATTGCTAGTGGAGGAAGTGGCGCCATGCTGTTTATCAACAGCCAAGGCGAGATTATCCAACCCGACTCGGAATCTGACCCACGCGAGCAAGCTTTGCGGAAGCGACTCGTTCAATCCCCTGCGCCGGAGAAACGCCAGGAGGCAAAGCATGGAGGAGCGCTGCTCGCTAACCGCGACCTCTTCAAACGGGATTGTACTTTCACTCAAGTAGGCGACCCTTTCACAGCTCCTGGAAACACCGTAGTGATCGACGGTAAGTACTTCCAGGTCCCTTCAATAATGCAGCACTAACCGCTCGACTGAAGGTCCCGTTACTGGTCCAGCAATGATCGATCGCAGCGTCGAGCAGACAGTCGGCTGGAGTTCGACTTTTGAAGTTGGAATAGCATTCGACATCTTCAGTGCTGGAGCTAGCTTCACGACTTCCGAGTCTATTACCGAATCTGCGAGCATTACGCTTGAGGTGCAAGACTCCGTCACCGGCTTCTGGGTCTGGACTCCCATCTTGACTTGTGCCAATGGCGAATTGTCGGGGGATTGCTCCGGAACTGGTAGAGCGTGCTCGCCTACTAAAAACAGCCAGGGCAATGTTGTCGGCAACACTGCGTTCCAGATTCGCGGATGAAGATGAGTGGAATCGACGGATGATATGCTCTTGTGGCTATGTTCCGGGCGACTATGATGAGGTGGATCCCACGAAGATAGCTTAGGCAAGGCAGTTAGAGGATAATTCAACATGTTGACAGTCTTGACCTCTTTGCTGTAATCAGCAATTTGTTGCATCTATCGTCACCGTCATCGATGCTGCAACCCGTTTGTAAAGGAAGCAAAGCACCTCCTAACCTTGCTACAGCATGGATTTCAACATCTACCACAGGGTTAGTCTTTTTGCTGCGCACCATTCGTTCTTTGCTTACATCTTCATGACTACAAGCTGGAATCTGCTTGCTTTCAGCAAGAAGCAACTCCGAAAGCATTCTTTTCTCCTGTTGGACCTGTAGAACACGCTATATGTTGTGTAAGTGTCACATCCACCCATTGGTTGGAGGTGATTTGTATGACTTACATCCTCCACGGTATTGCGCATGATGTAGCGTATAGTAGTGACCGGCCGAGTCTGGCCCATTCGGTGGACTCTGGCYAAAGCCTGCTGCTCGACCGAGGGATTCCATTGTGGCTCCATGAGATATGCCCTAGAAGCAGCGGTCAAGTCCAGACTAAGCATTGTTAGTCTTGCAAGTCAGTGGCGTCTTCAACACCACATACCCAACAGCACCGCACGATATCGTTAGTAGAGCGACACGGATCGTAGGCTCAGAGTGGAATCTCTCGAGGTCTTTGCTGCGCTTCTTTTGCTCGACAGTTCCGTCAAAGCGAATGCATGATGTGCCTCTTTCCTTGAGTGCTTGCTCAACGACATCTAGTGTTGATGTCCAGAATGAAAGTACAATACTGCACAATGTTAGTGACAATTTTTGCTGATTCAGGAGATGGTCGAACCATTTCTCTTCGTCGACGTGCTGCTTCAAATCTGATAAAAGTGCTTTGATCTTAGTAGGCATTGTGCGTCCTACTATACTCTTGACGACCTCTCTGCCTTTCCGGGACGAGGACAACGTCGAGACCGAATGTGCTACATGCTTTTGGTGTCCAGAGTCTGGGCAATGACATGTTTCGCCATTTTGACAGCTGCCACATACTAGCCAGCCGCAAGGGAATAATAGAGGAGGTGTTAAGTCTGTCCCAGTCGATACCGTGCTGAGATTGCATCGCTTACAGGCCGCCATACCTGATGCCACAAGATAGTTGAAACTTTCTTGGGCGCTCATCGCGTCCCATACTCCAGCAGATCTCTCACTTTCACCAACCATGTGTGCTTGATGTAAGAGTCCCAGGTTACAGACCATCCGTAGGTGCGTGAACATTGTCATCATCGTACAACCCCGGGAGCCAGAGGCYGGATTTAGCGCAAGACTGTCCCAAGCCCGTTGCTTAAGTTGATTGTACCATTCAATCTCTGCCGAATTGAACTCCAGAAAGCGAACGTTGTCTCGACGCTCTGGTAGAGTTATAGTGCTCAAAGATCGTCGAAGCATTACGCAGCGTAAGAATCGCCTAAGCCGAAGTGTCGCATCGCTCTGTCCGTATTGCTTGACTAACAAAGCCACGAATGCTTGAAGCGAAGGTTCTTGGATAGAAAGCTGAATCCTTAGAAACTGAAAGAGGCTGAGCAAGTCGAGTATGCGGTTTTGAATCGGAGTGCCAGTTATTGCCCAACGGCATGTAGCCTCCAAAGCACAAATCGCTTCGCATGTAGCGCTGCGATGATCTCTGATGTCGTGGGCTTTGACCTGATCAGCGTGGAGAGCAATAAGGCTTGTAGGTAACGAACCTTCGTCCAGAATGATACGTCGCCAATGTACACCGTAWAGTAGTGAAGGCGAAGAAAGATGCTTCTTACGCTCGGCAAGGAGCGTGTGGTATGTCGTGACGATAACGTCGACGCTCTCTATGTCAGATATGCAAAGCATTCGGCGACTTCCATGATGGAACCTCCACTTTAAGAGACCACCGTGAACGCGTCTGTTCTCCTGTTAGCTCAGATGATACCATTCAGACATGCTGGTGGCACTTCCAGGTCGAATTGATTCCCCCAGGTCTTGATCACTGCGAAATGCTTGTTAGTGGGTATACAATCGACATGCGGAGTAACGTGGCTCACATGGCGCCTTGACGACCAACAATGTGGTTCCAACGTGCGCCAGCGTGGTGGGATGTGAACTCCGAGGAAGCCCGGCGTCGTCCTTGTCGCTAGCAATGAGGGCGATGGCACTGAGAGACTTTCCTAACCCCATAGTGTCCCCGATGATACCCCCGCGAAAGTCTGCAGGCCGGACGTCTGATATTTCCTCGCTGATGTTGTTGATGTACCTGCTTGGCGTCAGCCGTAGTATTGAAAGAAGCCCACAGAGCGAGATACACCAATGCTCCATCTTGTTGACGTTGACAATGCCAAACATCGGACTCTTGATCGTGGAACGCCCATCCCTTTTCCCTCTTGCGCATGAAGGTCAAGGCTTGCTTTTGATGCCTGCGATGGTCAGAACGATTGGAGTGAAGAGAAGTGAGATGACTGACGGGTGTAAAGGAGTGCGAAGAGACGTCGGAGTAGGTGTTTCTCGAAGATCGCTGCCATTCTCAAGATCTGCTAGGATGTCGCCGGGGCTTTGGTAGGCTTCGAATTGATCCTCGCTTTCCCTCTCCAGCTGAAACGTTGTGATCGGCTTATCACTGATCTGAAAAAGGCTCTGAGCATTGACATATTCCACGTCCCAAGCACAGCGTATGGGATCTTGCAGATACAACTTGCACTCATCCAAGAATTCACCCAAACTTTCACCCAACCTTCGCCGGCCATATAGTATAACATAGACGCACGGGCGGGAGTTCATACGACCCGATCGCTTGGGTGTGTCGGCGGTCACAAAATGGACGAACATTTGCAACGTAACACGCGCTTCAGATTGTAAAGTGTTGATAACGTAGGCATCGCGCTCACTGACCAGGCCAACTTCGCAATCGGTATGCGACAAGCGCACGCTCGTACCAACCGTCTCGATAGGAGCAAACGGTGGTATATGGGCTGGCTTGTGGACATTGAGACCAATATCGGTCAACATACCGAAACACACCTCGATATCACTGTGCTCTTGGCCATCACAGCCCTTGTTCTCTTGCAAGCACTGCGTGCTCTGTCGTCTGCGCGTGTCATCATATGCACCGAGCTCGACCACTGCCGGAGATGGCGCTGTGGAAATAGGAGAAGGAGTATCACAGTCGGTAGTCAAGCGTGCAAAGACAGACGCCGGCGTGCTGACCCTGCTGGGTGGATAACTCGACTCTCGTGATACCGGTGGCCATCCAGTGGGAGTGGAGTTTCGTGGCGGCGGTTGGGGAAGCAGGCGTCGGCGCTTCGCAGCGTTTTCTGCAGCGGCGTCGAGGTGGTGGATGGCGTAGGCAGACCTGTGGTCCCGCTGCTGATACTCTGGTGGCATCGCTCTGATAGCAGATGGGGCCAAGACAGTGTTACAAATGATCTTACCTTTGCACGTCTTCGCGACCCAAGGTCTGAGTCCGCAGCAGTCTTGCCATGGCTTAGTCCGGGGCGCCTGCAGCCTTGCTGCATAAGCACATGGGCGGAGGCGCAGCGAGCTGAAGCTCAGGAGCCATCACCTCTCCGCCATCTCGGTCTTTTTGCGCACCGTCTTGGTCGCCACGAATGACAAAGCATTCACTCGCATTCATTCATCTACCTCAACTCATTCACGCGGTGCTACCTACCCTTGCGAGACATTCCATGGACGGCCCGGCCCACGGCGGGATTCAAAGCCGACGCCAAGCCCTTTTGGACATCGAGCAAGCGTACGAAGACTTCCTCGATTTGGTACAGGAAGAACATAGAACTGTCTTCGTTACCACAAGCCTCGAACATGTCCGGCATGCCACGAAAGCAGTTGAGACAAAGCTGCGTGAGGCAAGAAAGGCTCGAAGTTTATGGCGGCTTCGACCACTGTTCGAAGCCCTGGATGCATACAGCCATGCAGCTAAAGGGCTTTGCGATGGCACAAGCTACCTGAACTGGATATGGGTCAGTAGCCAACATGGTGGTTGATCCTCAAGCAGCTCTGATGGTGATACCGACAGGCCCCGATCAAGTTTTGCCTAGTTGTGAGTACAGTGAGATGAAAGTGGTCCATTTCTGATGGCGTGCAAGATCGCCAGCGATGACATCGACGCCTTCGAGAGCTTGGTCAAAGAGTATGGAGAGATCGCTAAACTGTTGCCATACTTCAACCCCGAAAGCTGCGATGATGATGAATCCAATTCTCGTCCTGCAGGGGTCTACATGGATATGCTTGAGCTGCATCTTGGAACTTATCAAATCTTCGTCCGGAATCGTGAGTGGAAAGCCATGCATAGAGCATTCATAACGCATTCAAGGTCTCATACAACGCAGGGTGGCAAATCTTCTTTCGCAGTTCTTGGAGGCTCTTCGAGATACGACTTGGTGCCATTAAGAAGAGCCTAGGGAAGTTGCAGTCAACACAACGTGCGCAAGAGAGAGCCGCGGCACCTATGGCGCAAGTCACATTCAATCAAGAGGCTCCCAGTACATTTGAACACATTACCGCGAGCGGCGAGGCAAGACAGATGAACGGACACATATTCAATAGTTGCGTGTCGCTGAGGACGATCGAATGTTGACGACACTTGCTGACTCTATCGACAGATACCACAAACACGTTTGTGCATGGCCAGAGTGGCACGGAGTCACGAAGTCAACTGTACGAAGATGCCGCTATTGAACAGAGGGAGCGCTCTGAGACCTTTTCAAAGGCGGCCTTGGCATGGTTTGGGGCTCAAAACGATGCGCAGGAAGACGATCACGATCAACTGATCCAAAATCGGCATGGATCGACGTGCGAATGGCTCCATGGCCATGGAAAGGTAGCTCCGTGGATCAGGAAAGGCCCACAAAGGGCAAAGCTGTGGATACACGGCAAACCAGGCGCAGGTAAGTGGGCGGAAATACATTTAGCGCTTCTTGGGCATTGCTTATACATTCCACCAGGGAAGAGTACTCTCAGCGCATCTCTTGTGGAACACCTACGAGCACAGCGCGACTGTTCGGTAGCACAGTATCGTTTCAGCTTTCGCAACGGATCCCACAACGACTCCAACTCCTTCATTCGAAGTATTGCGGCTCAGCTACTGACCCAAAATCCGGACCTATCATCATATGTGTATGAGGAATACGTCTTGAAGTTTCGGGAGGCATCGCATGCCTCTCTCAAGCAATGCGTAGTGATGATGATGTCGGGCATTGGCGATACTCGTATCGTTATCGACGGTTTGGATGAGATCGATCAAGGAGAACAGAAATCGATCCTCGTTCTAGCTTATACGATACGGGAGGGCGTAAAAATGGGGAGCACTTGCAAACTCTGCATCTTCAGCCGCGATGTCGCCACAATCAGAAAACTTGTGGAAAAATATGGATGCCGCGATCACCTTTCTCTGAGCAACGAACCTGCGATTATCAACCACTCGATCCGGTCGATGGTTCAACACGAATTAAGCCTTATTCGAGAAGGACAGGAGTTGTGGCAGGCTCGCGAACAGACGTTCAAGGACTTGGAGGAACAAATCGTTGTCAAAGCCGACGGTAACCATTGCCCGGTATCATAAGCCATCCGCGACTGACGAAGACAGGCATGTTCTTGTGGGCCCGCCTCGTTCTTGCGAATCTAGAAGAGGTGCACAGTGCGGAAGAGTTACAAAGGGCCGTCAAGCAGTTTCCAAAGGATCTCAACGAGGCGTATGCGATTAGCGATACTCCGTACTTGCATTGACAGACACTGACAGATGTCCCAGGTACCGCCGGACTCTGGACCGTGTCGTTGAACACCTTTCCCCGCACAAACTCGAACAAGCTAAGTGTGTGCTCTCGTGGGTAGCATTCGCGGAGAGACCTATGCGGATGCACGAGATCCTTGACGCCGTCTCGTACGGGACACCGCCGTTTGAACTCACGGGGCATACCAAACTCACTGCAGACTTGCTGAATCTTACGAAGCCGCTGATAGAAGTATCGTCGAGTCGAACGGTTTCATTCGTTCACTCAACCGTCAAAGAGTCAAAAAGCCCGGGACCAACATCAATTAGGCTTCCATGCTAACCACGACCGCAGGTTCCTTTCCAAACAAGAAAGCGGCCCATTGCTTCTGAAGTGCCAATCCCTCAAGGTCATACTTGATGCGTGTGGCCACAGTCTTCGGGATAGCTTGAACATGGTCGACCCGCAGGTCTCCGGAACAAAGCGCATAAATGGCGTGCTCGAAGGCCTCTATGGTCTGAGCAACTACGCCGAAAGTTACTGGACCACTCACCTACAACAGTATCTCGAGCATAGAACATCAAGCTCTGGCTGTATCGGCGATCCAAATCAATCTTCGCCTATTCACATCGTCACGGACAGCCATTTGCGTACGATCTTCACGCAGCTCGGGACCAGACATAACTCGCTTGGTCCACAGTCTGTCCCGTCACAACAGAGACTTCCAGCAGCGTTTGAGAGTACACATGAGGTCTGCGCTAGTCCCGAATTCCTGACATTGTTGAGGCAGAGCATCGACACATCCATTGTCGGTCTGACTACCACCGTCGATCGAACCCCTTTGATACTGGCCAGGCTCGAGATCTCCCACATTGTCGAAACTCTGTTACAGCCGGACGTGCTGATGAGGAACCCACACATCAACGCGGCAGATCTGGATTACTTCCGCTCCCAATACGCCGAAGTATCATTTCTATGCCATGTGACTGGATGTCCATATCGGTCGACAGGTTWTGCTACCAGCGAACTCAGGGATAAACATGTCCTCAGGCACGCTCCGAAGTTTCTTTGTCCGGAGACAGGTTGCGAATCCGCACCACCAGCGGGATTCATTTCTAGAGGGCTTCTCAACAGGCATTACAAACGATACCATGAGACATCAGTGGCGAGGTTGCCAACTTTTAGACCGACCAAAGGTGCGGCTCGCGATTACAACTCCACCAATACAAGCTCCCCCGACCCTGATTGGGAGAAGTTTAAGCCGATGATGGAACAAGCGTCAGACGAACCTTGGTCAGACATATCCTCAAGCCAGCAACAACAACAACAAAACCAAATGCAGGGCGGCGGACAGGTCCAGTTGCCGGCACATTTGTTGCAGCAGCAGATGCAGCTGCAACGGCAGCAGCAGCAAGGACAGTCTAGCGAGTGGGCGAATACGGGATGGCCTGGCCGCCNGCCGGCACATTTGTTGCAGCAGCAGATGCAGCTGCAACGGCAGCAGCAGCAAGGACAGTCTAGCGAGTGGGCGAATACGGGATGGCCTGGCCGCCCCGGCCCTGAGTGGGAGAAGTTTGAGTCGATGATGGAACAAGCGTCAGGCGAACCTTTCTTAGACATATCCTCAAGCCAGCAACAACAACAACAAAACCAAATGCAGGGCGGCGGACAGGTCCAGTGGCCGGCACATTTGTTGCAGCNACCTTTCTTAGACATATCCTCAAGCCAGCAACAACAACAACAAAACCAAATGCAGGGCGGCGGACAGGTCCAGTGGCCGGCACATTTGTTGCAGCTGCATCTGCAGCTGCAACGGCAGCATAGCGAGCGGGCGGATATGAGAGGATATCGCTCACATAAGGACCTACCGTTGAAACAATCATCGAAAATACCCTTGTTGCGCCTGACAGGGCCTCACAGGAATAGGACGCTGAACTCGCTGAACACGCTGAACAAGCTGAATTCGAGTAACGATCACATCTTCAATGATGGACTTGCTTTACCGCAATTCAGGCTGAACGATACACATTCTGGTCACCCCAGTCCCAACCAAAGTACAGAACAGCCGCCACAATTTGCGCCGCAGACTCAAGATTGGCTTTCACCCTTTACTGAGGACGAAAGATTTGCTATCAACGCATATAACAACAACCACGACCAGCCAAGCGATCTCGCCATTTTCCCCGAGACGGACCAGGTACTATTTCCTCCGTTCAATCCACAGGGTTCGAACCTAGGTGCGGCTCAAATGGGCCCACCAGAAACCATCATCGACTATGAGTACGCGCCACCTACGAAGCCAGGAGATGATGGTCGGATCCAATATTTTCCTACGGAGGACAAGTTTGGAACCAACCCTAATCGGAATATGCTCAAAAACAACCAGCCGGGAAGCGATTTTGCTTTATACCCTCTGACGGACCAGAAGTCTTCCCATGGATATAATTTCCTTGATTCGAACATGATTCAGCATCAAATGAGCCCACCGGGAATCACCACCCGCTACGCACCGCGTCCGAAGCGCAAGATGGACTACAAACGCCCTCCCATGCCCGTCATACGGGGTGCGAGCCCACGTGCGTATAAAGTCCAGGATAACAGCACCAGAATACAGCCGTCTGCAAGTAGTCAGTACACCCAAGGTACACCCGTTACCTCCCAGGATCTCCATGCCATGGATGCCGCGTCTTGGACGCATTCTGCTAATGGATCTGTAGACCAGGGTCTGTCGCCTGTTCTGAGCTATGAGAGCCGCACCCTGAACTCCTTCTCCGAGCCAGATGTTAACTATCTGCCACCCGGCTTGGACCTCTCTTTTATTGGTGAGAATAGCTAGCAAACTCCTGCAGCGTATTCAGGATCTAGTTGTGTGCCACAGGACTACCCTTCCAGCATAAGTGCCCCTCCGCAGCACATGCCGTACGCTGCTACCACCGGAGGTCTATATCGACTACACACCACCTAAACAGCCCGGACATCAGGGTTCACTGAGCATAGTTCCACCCTCAGCTACGCAACATGGCTTTGGACTGAACGCTGATCTGAGCATGTTCGACAACAACAACAACAACTAACGGATCGATCTCGCCATGATTCTTGAGACGGACCAGAATACCTTGCCTTTGTTCAATCTCCGTCGTTCGAACTTAGGTACGGATCATGTGGGCCAACTGGAAGTTATGATCAACTTCTCGCCGCCTACGGAAACGGAACCCTGTATTGACCTCGTTTTACACACCAAGTTCGAGCCTAGGTGCATATGACATGAGCCCGTCGGACATCAAGACTAATGATGTACTGCCTACGAGACCCGGGGATGGGAGCAAATTTACAAGGAGGTAGTCAGTTTCCGAGCTTGAACGTGACATTTGCAACCATGAAATGGTGCAATGCAGTGTACCGTCGTCCTCGACAGCGAGACTCTGAACTCGCTGGAGGTGCCGACATTACTTTTAATCCGGATGCAGATGCCAATTCAACTCGCGTTCAAAAATCTGATGTAACTTTCCAGCGAAAATACCTTTCATGTCCCACGCGGCCTGGGCTAGAAGAACGCGTATTCTCAGACTCAGAGCCTTCCCCAAGTGATAGCGGCTCACCATCTCAATAGCAGCTGGGACTTGCGTCTTTTCAAAACGTCTCTGACTTGTATATTCTGTTATATAACCGATCTCACATCCATCCAACGATCACACGGAGAATTCCACACACCCCGGAAGAGCAACCGCAAGTCCACCATATCTCTCCTCCAACCCCCGAGTCACAAGTCTAACCCCCAAACCCAAAGCATCCTCCCACAACATGGTCGCAACAACCCCACTCTCCCCCTCCCCCCTCTCAACATTCACAACCAACATCCCCTCAACCGGATCATATTCAAAAGTACCAATGACCCCGGCATCAAACTCCACAGCCAACCCCATCGAAGCAACATATATCCTCCTCCGCACAGTATCCAACGGCTCAACAACAACCTTCCCATCACTCTTTACCTCCTCCACAACATTCCCCCCAAAAACCACCCAGCCAAAAGCCGCATGATCAACCAGATAAGTCCTCGAAGCAAGAACATGACCCAGAAWACTACATCCATAATCCCCAGAATAAGCATCCCACTTCATCGTCTCGGGAAACGAATGAAAAGCCACGGAACCAAAACCTTCAGAATTGATATTCGTGGTCGCGCCCATCGTTCCTCCATATCCGACGCGCAGATCATGGAAAGCCGCGTGGTCGGATGGGGAAGGGTGGTATTTGTAGGCGTCTAGGAGAGGGATGGCGTTGAGGCCTGAACCGTAGTGGTGTATCATACGTTCGATACGGCCGAGTTTGGCGGCGTAGATGAAGTCCCTGGAAAATCACATCAGTGAGGTGTCTGTCGGGGAGAAGGAAAGAGTTTTTGATCGAAAAAGGAAAAAAGTTTACCAGTATCGTCGAGCATTGCCGTTCCAAGCCCAATGAGCTACTGTAGGCATATACCCACGTATCGAAGCGAGGGTTTTGTTGACGTTGGCTTCATCGCCAAAGTACCTGCAATATCAAGTCAGCACCAGACAGTTTTTTTTTCCTCCTAGAGAAAGATGATGAGAGCCACTCACTTAGACCACGCATAAACCCCCTCCTGACCAGTCGAATCCCAAGCCATTTCACTTCCAAAAGGAGATTCCAAAGAAGCCCAATGCTTCTGCCTCTCCCTCATATAACCCTCCAACCTCCCAGCTTGATCAACCATTTTCTCCTCCTTCAATGCCTTGAGAATAGACAGCCACACCGTCTCCCCCATTAATCCCAAAGTCGCATAGTCCACAATATCCTCCCCTTGAGCATCTTTCCTTTCAGTCGCAAGAATGGTCTCATACGCTTGATGCAAATACCACGTAGAATTCCTCAATTGGAGAATTCCGGGGGAGACTCTTTCGGCATTATATAGAGACCAATAAAGCGCACTGACATGCACATAATCATAAGCTCTATCCACTGCATTTGCTTGCGTTTGATTCCATGAAGGAAAAGGAGGTTTCCACTCGATATCCTTATCGTAGGGGTATTCTGGCAGGGCTTGAGGATCCCAGTAAAATAAACTCTTCTTCACACCATATTTCAAAGTCTCCCCGCTGGTGCAATTCCCGGTGCTATGTTACATGTAACCAACCCCAGACGACACTCTTGACCATCTCTTCCAATTTCTGGACTTCCGAGGGGATGGGATGTGCAGAAGTTTTCAGGGCTGCGGCGAGATAGGATCCTGCTCCTGCTTCATCGGAGAGGCCTGCGAACCAGACGCTTTTGGATTGGAGGAGTTGGGCCTTGGCTTCGTAGTCGTAGGTGATGATTGAAGGGGCTCGATGGAAGACATCGGTGGTATCCGTGTAATATTATTGCTGATTGAAGAGAAATTCCGCGTATTTCGTCGCGGTATTCCGTTGGGTGTCTGTGAGGAAGTAATGTACCGTCTGCTTCCTACCATCCTGGTATGAAATGGTAACTCGCACTCGTCCGAAAACTTCCTCCCCAGGCTTCACATCATAAGCCAACCACGTTTCATCCCTCGCAGTCGTTTGAGAAATAATCAACGCGCCATGAGGCTCCACAGCAATATCCTCCACGCCCACCATCGACTTGAGAAATAACTTCCCCCTCAAATCTCCAGGCAGCACATATCCCGGCAATCCCACAGCAACAGGAACCCCTTTCCCAAACACCCCCTCTTCAATCTCCCAATTCTCCCCCACAACCCCAAACCTCAACCCAACCGTAACCTCCTCCCCAGCCTCCAAAACCATCGAAGTACCTTCATTCCACGGAACAGTAGCATTCCACTCATTCTCAACATAACCCCTACTAACCACTTCCCAAGAATAAAACCCTTCAAAAGTCTGACTCTGATAATTCAACGGCTCTTCACTACTCTCCATTAAAAACCTCCAGGCCTCGAATTTCGAATGTTTCCCATATGGCGTGACGATGAGATTCGGTCCCGTACCTGTTAATCGCGTGACTTGTACATAACCCGCATGGAGACCTATATAAGGATCCACGAGCACGCATTTCGCAGTCGTTTCCTCTGCGGTACGATTGGAGAAGATACTATTGAATTCCAACGGGAACCCTAATCCTCCAATCTCTAAACTTGAAATCCCGGAATTCTTTACTGTGGCTTGGAGTAGCAAATCCCCATCTTCTTCGAGACTCCAGTCGCGAGTGATGTTGATGATCCCGTCTGTAGCGGGGAGGATGTCATTGAAAGTTGAGCGGAGAAGTATACCGGTGATATTCGTCGTTGAGAGCGGTTTTGAGGAATTTCTTGAGGCTGCCGTGGAGATTTCTTTCCATTTCTTGTCTTCTCCTGCTGTTCTGWAGCGCATTGTTAGATCTCCAGTATGATAATTTCCAACATCGTTCCTCTGCGGGAAGAAATCACTGGGGGAGAAATCAAATGTATCTTCTAGAGATGGTTTCAAAGATTGTAGTACTCCAGAGTCTTGATTTAGAATTCCCTTCCAGTTTGCAGAGGAGAATTCATATTGTGCCGCTGTAAAAGGAAGAAAGAGGAGAAGGAGAAAATGAATCGTAAAGAATTCAGGCCGCAACATCTTTGTCGAGCAATCTGGCGTAGATGCTCACTTGTGTGGTTGGAATCGAAGAGATGCGGTTCAGCAGCGGTGAACATCAATGTATATCCGTACCCAAACCTCTCTCTTTCTGTCCATGACTCGCCTTCCCTCCCTCTCCCCACAAGCATCAGCGATCGATCGGATCCCTGCACAAAGAAGGTATGGAATTTCTCCTCCAATCACAAAATCCCAGAAATCATCTCACCTCAGAAAATTCCCAAGCGGATGTCAAGATTAGATTGGCCGCGATACGATAATCATTAAATCATGCATGTCCTTTTTTTTTGAGAGAGAGAGAGAGGGGTAAAGTAAGGTACATTTATTGACCTCCTTGATCATCACCWCAAACCAAACTCAGCTTGGCGATATCCCTACCGGCTAAATTCGCATTGAAGGCACAAGGTACCAGGCACATTTACAAGCAATCCTAGCCTGATCATCAAAGAAAGCAATGCCAATCTCATCACAAGCTTCAAGTCACACACGAGGTTTGCTTGGAWGTCCCTAGTCTGTCACAAACCTTCTCTCACGTTGGTATCTACTATCCATACCATCTATCCCAACCTTCTCACACACAAGAATCCCCATCTACATAATCTCACATCCCTGCCCATACATGGCGGTATCCACATCCCCTTTAACCAAAAACCAATCCGCTCTCCGTTCCGCAAATTCATAAACCTCCTCGGCGGGAAAAATGCCATGATATCTCGTCGAATCCGCCACAATCGTCGCCAATTCCTTGGCTTGCAGGCTTGTATTCGTGACTTTGGACCCGGGGAGCCAACTGCTTCTCTTAGCCTTCTTCTCATCGTCACGGATGCGGTTGGTAGTCGGAGCTGCACCTCCGCGACCAAAATACGACGCCCCGGGAGGTTCGATATACACCAGGTAGATTTGCGACATTTCCCGCAGAGCTTCAAAGTAGGGAGCGAGTTGTYTCTGGCGTAGAGAGGAGATGAAGGCGCTGTAGTGGTTGATGTCGCTGATGAAGCGGAGGGCGCCATCGACGCTGATGCGTTGGCGTTTGAAGTGCTTACACAGCGCACCGAACAATCTCAATCCGACCTCCTGATTGAAGACATCTAGCATGTTCTTATCGGTACTACCGACCAGCATGCCACTATGTCCTCCTACAACCTCAACGACTTGTCTTGCAGTAGCGCTGGGTCCGACGTCGGCAAGCTCCTTTCCAGGGTTGAAGTCCGTGGGGAGTTGGGTTGTGGCGCATATGTATTCGACTTCATCCATGAGGACGTCGATGCCTTTGTTCAAGCCTGCTGCTACGCGCTCGTCGAGCATTTGTTCGAATTTCTTCTTGCTTTTGACGGCAGGATCGAGGAAGTCGTCGCGCTCGGTGAGTTTGGTGGAGACGAGCTCTTGAGCGTAAAAGACATCCACCATTTGCTGGATGAGATCTCCAATATTGACCAGTTCGAGGAAGGTGACGAGTGGTTCGACACCAACTTGAGCATTCGTTGCAGCTGCGGAGGACTCACCCGTCTTGGCCTGTTCTCGGAACTTTCTGACCTCGCGGGGATTGTAGGCACCTAGATGGGCGACTGCCTTGTCGAAGCCGTTCTTAATGTGGCGAGTTCCAAGAATGTCAAGCATGGTGACAAAGATTGCACGGCATTGCTTTTGCGCATCGGCACCTTGCTCGCCTCCCATCTGAACCATCAACGCCGCTCTTTCAATCGATGCTTTGACAAGATGAGTGAGGTTGAGCGCAATCTCAATACTGAACAGGGACTTGATGCCTTCCAATTTGGAGTTCATGATGGCAGCCTTTGCGGCAAGTTCATCGGTGGGAGCTTCTTGTAGAGGTGTTGCGGATCGTGCAGGCATATCTCCAGCCGGAGGTGTGGAACTTCTTGATCCTCCACCAGCGTACGCAGTGTCGACTGTATTCATGTTTGCAGCCGATCGACTGGCAACGCTTGCAGGCTTCGCTCCAAAGGGTGACGAGATTGGGAATGCGTTGACTGGCATCATGACGACCTTTTTGAAAGATGAGAGAAAGTCTCGTTTGGCAGCCTGTCGGTTGACGTTGGACATGAAGTATGATTCAGTGGACGCCTCCTGCTCGGATAGTTCCTTTTCCCACCGACTGACATCCGACTCAGCTTTGCTGCGAAAGAGTTGATACTCCTCAGCGAGATAGAGATCAAAGTGCTTCTCGAAACATTGCACGAGGGCGTGCTTGGACTGCTCAGCAAAGTCTGGTGGTGATGCTTTTGTTGGCTTGAGCGAGGCCAGGAGCCGGAGAGCCTGCCCAAATGTACCTGCCACAGCTTTGACATATGTCTCAGCTCCAGTCGAGTGGGCCTCATCGAAGAGTGTTGTGAGGTATTGCGCGATGGTCTCCTCACACACGCGCGACCATAGCGGCGTTAGCACGTCCACACTTGGGGGAAATGACCTGTCGATGATGTCTGCTTGCTGTGCCATCATATCAGCCACCGCTTCGAAGAAGCGTTGAGATGGATTGAGGTCGACATGACCATACGCGACAGCTTCCAGACAGTCAAGCGGATTGCCTATCTTCTTGGTTCTTGTCAGAAGTGGGTGATTGGAGATCATAGAGTCCATCGCTGCAGCACCGCCATTCAGAGTGACCATGACATGCGCGTACCGATGTACCCTTCCGTCAATGTCGGCCGCAACACAGCCTTGCTCAAACTCCCTCAGCACAGCATTCTCAAACACATTGATCATGCTGTCCAGCCGCTCTTCTCGTTCAATGCAGCCTGATGCAGCATCACACTGCGCGAAGCGTTTCAGATTGGCCAGCATCTGAGCTTGCTGTTCTGGGTCACGATATGTACGAAAGATGAGCGCGTCCGAGTGTCCTTTGACGTGCGACAAATCAAGATATACCGGCCCCAACGCGCCATAGACCTTAGCAAACTCTTTTCTGGCGTGCCCTCTGATAGATCTCACCCGTGTGAAGACTCCAAGAGCGGCCTTTGCATCCCATGTCGATGGTTGGGCAGAGCCATTGACGGCCAATTTGTCGAATCCATCCGCCGTTCGACGTATGGGACTCTCCACCGAAGCACGATGATGTGCTTCCTCCACCCCGGCATCAAACAGCGTGACACTGCCGCCATGTCTCCTGCTATGCCCTCCCCTCCCCGCATCATCCGTGCTAAGTTTCCCCAATTGTGACTCGGTCTTTCTCTTCATCGCATCGTCCGCCCGCCGTCTCGCTTCCGCTTCATCCCAAGCCTTCATGGCCTTTAACTTTTGCACCCATCGCGTGTCATCGTACACCATTTCCTGCAATCTCCGCGACACGCGAGCAAATCGCAGCAAATCCGGCACGGGGAGATAGTCCAAGATGGATGCTAACAATTCCGCCGGCAACAATGGCTTCGACTCGACGAGCTGTGTGGCCCGCAGTGAAGACAGGACATTTTCATGGCTCCTGCTCGGGGCGCCATTGAGCTGTACCTTTTTCAACGCGGCCAGATGGGAAGGGTTTCGTGAATGTCGCTTTTGTTCGTTGGTGAGGGGTGGGGTCGATCGCTGCTCGTTGCTCATCTTGGATGACTGTGCCGCCGCTGCTGCTGCTGCTTAGGTAGCAACCTTGAAGTCCTCATCGACCGTGACAGAGCAGGGCAAGCACGAGGAGGGCCGGGTCGAGCCAGTCGGGAGGAGGATCCAATCGATCGGTAAGGTAGGTAAGGTATTCCTATTTCGTGATCCGGGGTCGGGGTTGAACGGACGGCAGATGCCCTGATGATGATCAAGCCAAGGTGGGATGCGTGTGCTGTACGGTACACACACGGTAAATAAAGTTACTGGCATGTGCAAAAGATCAAATCAGATCAGCTCATCAGCTCATCAGCTCAGCTCAGCACTGTGCAGCTCTCCTCTCGCAAGATCTCATGCCGGCTGACGTCTGCTTTTTCCTTCGATCTGCGATGCCTATTTGACAAGGATTGGCCAAGTTTCCCCATCCTCCCACCTCTGTTTTCTGCCCAAACCCCCGATGGACAACCTACACAGTGCTAGCTCGATTAGAACCCACGCTTCCGGGCTGCATGCGATAGTATATCTGCGTGTCTTGCGCATGCCTACCGACCCGCGATGCCCAGACATGCATCGACCTGATCTCTGCACGCCCGGCATCGTCCACTTCGCATCCCTCAGCGCCCAAAGTTGGTCAAAGCCCGGCTTCAAGACAGGGAAGTGCTTGCTTGCAACAGCTGCCTCGTCTCAGGCCTTGCGCTACCCCATCACGCGGTCAGCCACATTTATTTTTTGTCCAGCGCATTAAACTCTCACACCTCCCCGTCCGTGGTGTGGGACCTTTGGTAAGTGCCTCACCGTACTCTCGCTCCTCTCCTTCCCGTCATCATCCATTCATTCATGAGACTACGATTCCCCGGTTGCCTCGCCCTCTGCATACCACCCTCCCCCACCAACAACGACACTCCACCATCATGTGTTTTGTAAAAGTCAAGGACGATGACTACTACCGGCCAGCACGAGAAACTCGTCGCGTGAGGATCTACTCGGAATCGCCTCCACGTTCAGTGCGGCGAATCTCGCGTACATATATCGATGAACGACCGCCTCCACCGCCGGCCATGACCATGCGCTCTACATACATGCGGACCCTGCCAATGCCTCCTGCTCCACCATCATACGCGCTGCCACCGTCCACAAAGGCAACGACTGTTATTGAAGTGCCTCCCTCCGCTCCAGCATCTGCTGCTCCATCCAAAGCTCCCACTGCAGCTCCTAGTAAAGCTCCCAGTAAAGCCCCATCCGCAGCGCCTAGTAAAGCTCCCAGCAAGGCACCCACCGCAGCACCTAGCAAAGCACCTACTGCAGCTCCCAGCAAAGCTCCCTCTGCGGCTCCCAGCAAGGCGTCCAGCAAGGCACCCACAGCAGTTCCCAGTAAAGCACCAACTCCACCACCTGCCAGCAAAGCTCCCAGTCGAGCACCGAGCAGAGCACCCACTCGTCACTCCCACTACGTCGAAGTCAACGAGGAATCCGACACAGACTCGGACAGTTCTAGCGAAGCGGACGATGTCCGCTCTCACGCCACTCACAAAACATCCAAGACGTCCAAGACAGATAAATCCTCGCATTCGCTCAAGTCATCTCCTCCTCCTCCTCCAGCTTCCAAGGCGGGAGGCGCTCCTTTGTCGGAGTTTTCCTTGCATGAAAGGGAGAAGGAGATTCGAAGATATCGAGGACAATCGCATTCGAGACCGATTGATGAATTCGCCACGTATCAGTATGTTGAAGCACCGATCCGGGCGAGGAGTCGGACGAGCTGGGCGGGGATGTAATGAAGCGTTCCATGCACGTGTCATGTATGATGCCGCATTTATTACCGAACGGCATGGGTAGTTGACCCGCTGCTGTGGTTTGAACAGAAACCTGTCAGCATGAACGATTGATCTACATTGCATGTTGTTTTGGTTGCACGACCGGCGGTTGCGTTGCATCTTGTTAAAAGCGTTGTAGCATTGTAGCGAGCGTTGAAGCACGTCATGTATGCACTTTAAGCATCGTGGTATAGATTGATAGTACATATATGCATATCCCTGTCCAATCTTATGCTGTATACATACATTGTGGTGTCTTTATTGAAAGAGTGAAAGCCGCGTTTGCCTTTGCTGCTGACACGGATTAAATGCTGTGGTTTCGGAGTTTGACTGACATCATCTGGCACTTTGAACTTCCACCTCTTCACTACATACATACACGCGACAACAGCCTCCGCAGCGACACCTAAGTAAGACGCGCCACCACTACATTGCTCGCCTCGCCGCATTTTCCTGTGATTGCAATACACTCCCTACAGCGAACATCATCATCACAACATCCGCGACGCACAGAGATTGAGATTGAGGTTGGAGCACCGCTGGCGACATGCAGTGCAGCCGCAGCCATGCCCATCGAAGTGTTTTTGAGGAAATCTCCCTCGCGAGCAATCGCCTTGGCTACTGACAGCCATCTCCTCATTTTCCGTCACAGCCCATCCGCCGTGGGTGGTAAGCAAGGCTCGTCGTCGTCCGTCAATGAAGGTGGCGCGCCGAAATGCATCGTCGAGTTCTCCCCATGGGAGAGCCAGAACATGCAAGACTACCGCCGACTCTCCTCCACAGTTCATGGAACGCTCGGCTTGGTGACTCTCAATGGAGACGTCTTCCTCTGCGTCGTCAACGGCAGTCGTAAAGTGGCTACCGTGCGGCCGGGCGAGACCATTCAAGTGATATGGTCGGTGGAATTTCACTGCCTCAATCGTTCAGACTATGATCATCTACTACACGATCAAGTCAATCCGTTCCCGACTGACGACCTCGATGCGAATGGATACGGACATGGGGACTACCGGGAGAATCCACTGGAGCACCCATGTCTGGCGTTGAAGAAGCTGCTCAGCGGTGGGAGCTTCTACTACAGCGCCGATTTCGACCTCACCAAACGCGTACAAGACCGATCCGCCGACGCGACCACAATTGCCATTGACAGTCTGGATGGTGGATTTTTGTGGAACGGCTACATGATTCAGCCACTTGTCGACTTTCGTTCCAAGCTGTCCCCGCGGGAAAAGGCAGCTCTGGATCACTCGAGGATCTTGACGTCTGCGATTCGAGGCTATGCTGCTACTGTTACCGTCCCAGCTTCCAAGTCGCCAGCGAGACTGGGCATAACGGGTATGCCCTCGAGCATGACCATGATCTCCAGACTGTCGTGCCGTAGAGCTGGGACTCGGTTCAACGCGCGCGGTATCGACGATGATGGATACGTCGCCAACTTCTCGGAAACGGAAACCATCTTCATCACCGACAACCTGTGCTATTCATACGTGCAGTGCCGTGGCAGCGTACCCTTGTTTTGGGAGCAACAAGTCGGACTACCCGGCCAGCAAAAGATCTCAATCCTGGGATCACCCGAAGCATCGCAATTCGCATTCAACAAGCACTTTCAGAGGCTATCTCTCATATATGGAGACATTGTCGCGGTGAATCTTCTCAGCGATGAAAAAGAGGCAGAGCTGAACTTGACTCGACAATACATGCGCCATATCGACAAGAGCCCTCTCAATCATCCGTCTGATAATGCAGGAGAGTCTGACCACAAACACCTCACTGCTGTGTGCTACGACTTCCACGCTGAAAACAAAGGTCCTGCAGGATATCAAGCTGCAGCCGGCATGAAGAGACACATCTACGACTCCGCCGTCGCATTCGAGTACTTCCTTGCACAAGACATGCGTGAAACCATCACCAAGGATGGTCGAAAGGTTTCCGTCGTAAGCCAGAATGATGTTATCAAGCAGAACGGTGTCTTCCGGACGAATTGCCTCGACTGCTTGGATAGGACAAACGTCGCACAGGAGATGATTTCCAAAATCGTACTCGGCATCTTCCTACAGCAACAAGGTGAGCCACCACCTGCTTCGGATTTCTGGGCGAGACATGGGATGCTCTGGGCGGACAACGGTGACGCGTTGGCTAAGATCTACACCGGCACGGGCGCCTTGAAGACGTCCTTTACTCGCTCAGGCAAGACTTCCTTCGCAGGCGCTCTCGCGGATCTCCGGAAATCTGCCCAACGCTTGTACATCAATACTGTTGAAGACAAGGGTAGGCAGGTCACCATCGACATGCTCCTTGGGCGTCTTATCGGCCAGACGCCTGTTCACCTCTACGACCCTATCAATGAGTATGTCACGGCGGAGCTCAGCAAGAGTTCTGCGGAGTACACCAGCACTGAGAAGATCACCATCTGGGTTGGTACGTTCAATCTGAATGGCAAGACGTCTGGAATTGACGAAGACCTTTCTCCATGGCTGTGTCCGGACGTCGAGAAGGAGTTCAAGGTGCCGGAGATTGTCGCAGTTGCCTTTCAGGAGATTGTCGTTCTGGACGTGCAGCAGATAATGTCGACTGACCCAGATCGGCGGAAGTTGTGGGAGAAGGCGGTACGCAAGACGTTAAATCGCGACGCACAAAAGTATGGTGGAGAAGACTATGTCCTCCTCCGTGGTGGACAGCTCGTCGGGGCATCACTGTCAGTCTTCGTCAGGGCCAGCGCGCTTCCAATGATCAAGAACGTAGAGGGCGCAGTTAAGAAGACTGGCTTGAGCGGAATGGCAGGGAATAAAGGTGCTGTCGCGATTCGAATGGACTACGCCGACACTTCAATATGTCTGGTCACGGCGCATCTTGCCGCCGGCTTTCAAAACTACGATGAACGTAACCAGGACTACCGCACCATCGCGAGTGGTATCCGCTTCCAAACTGGCAGGACGATCGAGGAGCACAAATCCATCCTCTGGTTTGGCGACTTCAACTACCGCATTGGAATGGAGAATGAGAGGGCGAGACAGCTCATCAAKAAAGGTGACTTGGAATTGCTGTACGAGAACGACCAGCTCAACATCCAAATGGTGCATGGGAAATGCTTTCCGCATTATTCTGAAAAGCGGCCGAGATTCTTGCCCACCTACAAGTTCGACCTTCGTACTGATGACTACGACACATCCGACAAGTCACGCATTCCGGCATGGTGCGATCGTATCTTGACTCGGGGTGACAACCTCCGACAGATGTACTACGACTCTGCCCCGCTGAAGTTCTCGGATCATCGCCCTGTATGGGGAATCTTCCAGTGCACAGTGAGTGTCATCGACCAGGCGAAGAAGGATCAGATTAGTAGTGACCTCTACACCAAGCGACGCGCGCTTGTTGGCAGCCACCTTGCCAACAACAAGATCGCTGAGAGCGATGATGAGTCTTTGTATGGATATGATTCGATCGAGCCAGGTCTTCCCCCAGCTAGCTCAGACAAGAGGAAGTGGTGGCTCGACGGCGGCAACCCAGCACGTTCGACCGTGCAACCTCCAGCCCCGGGCGCAGTGCTCAATCCCGCCCGTCCTTCCAACCCATACACTCCCACCAACGAGCCGGATTGGGTCACAGTCGAAGCACCCGACACACCTCCTATGAAGAACGCCTCCCTCTACACCGGCAGTCAGACTGGAGGCGGAGGAGGTTCAGCGAGGAGGCCCTTCCCACCGGCATCCTCATCTTCTACCTCGCAGTCCGGTGATCTCCCCGAATTCAGATCTGTTAGATCCGCTAACACGGGCGGCACAGCAGAGAAGTCCACTCTCCGCAAACCAGCCCCTCCTCCCAAGCCCCGGAACCTTCGCTCCCCGAGCCCGGCGAGCTCAGTTACATCCTCGACCAAATCCGCCCCTCCACCTCCGGAACCTAGACGCTCAAACCACAACACAGCATCGCCGCGACATGCGCTGATGCCGCCTCCTCCATCTCGAAGCACTCCCAACAGCGGAACGACGGTGGAGAGTAAGGCGACTTTGCCACCACCTCCAATTAGAAAGGCGGTTCCAAATGAGAAGGAGAATGACAATGAGAATTCACCGGCGTTGCCGCCTAGAAGAGGTACTGCAGAGAAGGAGAAGGTTCTCATGGATGACGATGACGACGACGTTGGAGGTGGAGCAGGCAACCATTTACATGATTGGAGACCTTTGCAGCCCGGAAAGCAGTAGTGCTGCGAAAACTGCACTTGTTTGAATGAGGAGTATGAATGGCTCGAGGTGGATGACGAGGGGGACACTCTTGGGTTTTCGCTCTATCGTTGAACTTTTGCATGATGTTTCTTGGGTGTTGGGAAGGGTTTGGATGTGATGGGATGGGATGGCATGGGATGATGATTACAACAAGGCGTTTTTGGGTGGTGTTGTTGGGGATACGATGATGATACCTAAGCCTTGGAAAGTTTTTTGGGGAGTGGTAAAGAACTACAGAGCATGGTATATCCAGGCGTTTGGCTTGAGCAGAAGCTGCTTACCTTGGTGAAAGATGGGGCTAAGGTAGAGAGGAGTTTGGGGTTTTACCATGACCTAAGGTACCTGACTCTTTGGTGGGAGTTGCTGGAGAAAATCTGGCTCAGCAGGGATTGATTGATTGGGTTGAGAAGGGTTTTTTGGGTACTTTCTTTGGAAATTCATGCATGCTGCAGTATGTATGTATGTGAGTGGCGGAAGCTGCTCTTCTTAGAAGTCGTATGCATACCTTATCTGATTTGAATGAATGAATGGAAGGTACTGTTAATGAAAAACTCCTGTTGATAAAGCAAGCAAGGTAAGTMCACCGCTCAGGTAAACTACTGAATACATCTCCTCTGCCTCAAGAACATGGAATCATCCACACTCCTCGCCATTAAATTGATCACGATTCTTTCGACGGGGAAGAGGGATTGCTTCGTTCATTCGTTCGTTTCTTTCAACGATTCCTACTACAAATCATGGATAGGTACTTACTATTACAGCCCGCATTGCATTGTATCGTATCATTGATGACCCGCAGGCAGTTTAGCAGATTAATTCCACTACTCATCAAGACCCAGCAGAATTCATTCCCTAGCCTAACTAGCTTTTCTTCTCTTCATCGTGATGATAGTGGATCTATTGATTTCAAATGATGAGTTATGGATTTTCGCTCGTGGAGGGGAGAGTAGTAGGATGGATATACTTACATATATGCTGGCTTCCAAGAAAAAGAAAATTTATTTGAAACGGGCAATGGAAAGTTTTATACATCCATCACGTTTTGGCTGGGGCAGGGTCATTGATTTTTGATACGATTTCATTGATGATCTGAGGCAGATGTAGTTGGAGATGGTTTGAACAGTGAGGTACGCAGTAATTTCCAAGCCACGTAAAGAGCGGAGAAAGAAACTCATCGTTCTCTTTCCGTTACTTGGCTGGTCGAGAGGGTTCGAGCAGCTTCATAATCGGCAACTACGTTGGGAGCGAGGGATTGGAGAGATGGCTTACAAAATTTTGATTATCAGACCTACAATAATCGTCGCGCATGCTATCGTTACATCTCAGCTATGTAGCCATGTCCAGTCATTGCTCCATAATCATTTCCACCATCAATCATCAGTCATCATTCATTGATCAAATCAATCTCACCTCGCGATTCCAAGGCGTCCACTCCATCCTAAGCCTAGTACCAGCACCAAGCACACCCTTGAGCATGGCCATCGTCACCCCCGGCTGAAACCGGAAATCTCCCTGCTTATCCACCGTCCTGCCAATAACGAAGAACTCAGTAGCTTTAGATCCCCAATTAGCAATCCGTACACAACTTCTCACTCGTTGACCTTGAAGCTGCGGTGTGATTTTATCGTGAATCTCCCTAGGGACCTCCACGACGAAGAGCGGAGAATTCTTCACATCCTTCTTCACCAGCAAGAGGGCGTGGGAGACTTTGTAGCCTTGGTATACGGCTTGGTTTCCGAGCATGATGACAAGAGCCTGCAGCACGAGATTTGCTACATGAGCGAGGATAGCCTGCGTGTCGGTTTTGGCTTGTATGGTGGCGAGGATGCGATTTTGGCAGTGGGCGTACCGGCTCAGCTGTGTGAATATTCTGGCCAGGCGTGGGAGAGGCAGGTCGTCGCGCTCGAGTTTTCTAGCCTCATCGAAGAAGAGCCACTTCATGGCCGCAGGTTTCTTTGTGGTGCAGTTGATTGCCATGTGCTCTTTCATTTCGTAGGAGCCGACTGTGAAAATCACATTCATCTGCAAGGTCGTGTGGTTGTGTTCGTCCTCGGTGTTCCACTGCTCGTTTACGTAGTTTGACCCGCTGACGAGATCGGGACATTGGAGGTCCGTGAGCATGTCCTCTTGAATAGCCTGCTTCATCATCAAACGGACAGACTTCCAGATGGGTTGATGTTCATCGTCGTTGAGGGTGATGACTGTCGAGGGAGCTGTCCAACGAAGAACCCAGCCGATGGAGTCATCTGCGAGCAGGAGAAGCTGGCCTGCTTTGTTGAATACGAAAGCTTGGACCTTGACGGAGCGTAATTGGCGCGCGTCGCCGTGGCCTGTCGGTTGTAGACCTGGTGGTGCCGGAACGTTTGGTGCTGGTGGTGCTGCCGAGTAGGACCGTAGGAGATCGTACTGTGAATCGAACACCCAGTTCCTGTGAGCTGCGGCCATTTTGAAGAGTGGATGATATGTTTGAAGTGGCTGCGACAGAAGAAAAGACTATTATTGATGCAGGTGACAATTCTCCATTCACTTCCGGGAAGCCACTAGCGTCGAGCTTCACTTGGATTTTCACGTGGGAATAGCCCGAGAGGTAACATCCGCTTGTCTCGTCATACAGTATGCGCGACGAGATCTTTCTATGGAAGGAACTCGACATACAGAACATGTCTTTAGAGCCGAGATGGAAGAACTTCACTTCCATCATATTCGCCCGGCGTTCCAAAGCTGCTGAACGCCAAGCCTCAGATGACGCTCACAAAACCTCCTCCCAACACCAAGGCCCCAAGTCTCTCAGCGTCCTCGCTAGACAACCACGTGACATTCAGGCATCCGTCCACATCAAAGCTGAGTTCGGGCTTGTCTCGAGGCCGACAACAAAGATGCGTCTCCGCTTCAGTCTCCGGGCTTTTCTTGAAACTGACTCCTCTGAGTGAATATCGCTCATCGGTCTCATAGACAGGGAGATCGGCATCCGTGCACATCTTCAGCAGCACCTCCTCCGAAGTCTCAAACATGTAGAAACCTGTATCGTCTGCCTTGTCTTCCTTTTGCATGATTCCCACATAGAACTCTCGAGCGCTCTTTTTGAACTTCCAGTGTTCGAGAGACATCATCATGAAGCACATCCGCATACGCAAAAAGTTCTTCCATTTTGGGAAGCGAAGGACGAGGTCGTTACTGGAATGATGCTCCAGACGCTCAATGGCCTTGTCCTTGTACTCCGCAAGCGCCGGATTGTTCTTCCCAGCCAACTTCTCGAGCGGCATCACCCGAAAATCCTTCAGATATCGCCAATTTGGCCACGAGCTTAAAGTGACCATGATAGACAAGAACAATACTCGTGGGATCTTGTCATCAGGCTCCAGCAAAGGTTGGTCGAATGCGGGCTCAATGATTCGCGCGCCAAAATGGTCATAGTTTTGGTTGCACAGGGTCCGCCAGCAGACAGCACCGATGGTATCTGCTGCCAGGACATCTCCCACGACGAATCTTGGAACTTTCCATTCTTTCCCGTACGTGAGCAGTAGTACACCACCGTCGTGGATGAGTAGGAATCGAAGTCCTAATTCTGGAAATGGGTTGGTGACGTCCGCGCGCGCGTTGTGGTCGTCAAGAAAGGTCTTGCAGGTCTTGAACATGTAGTGCTTGATGTCCTTTGCGTCGACGTCGTCGTTGGTGTTCATACTTGCGGGTTTGGAAGGTGTGGAGGAGAAGTTGTGAAGGAAATTGTGGCTGCACAGTTGTTGATTTGTGGACGCAGCTCGTCCACTTGCTTCGAGAGTAGGTAGCAGACAAGTGCGTGATGATTGTCCAGATGGCGACGCGGTCGTCAATCTCTGGGAATGCGTGTTGGGCCTCTCCCACCTGATGCTGCTGGAAGTCGCAGATAGAAAGAGTKAAAGAGAAACCAACCAGAGGCTTTGTGTAAACAAGGAACGAGCCGCAAATAAGACGCGAATAATGACGCTAAGATAGAGACTGAAACAGATTTCGCTGCAGCTTAGATCGTTCAATGATACCAACTGTGCTCGTTTCATGAGTGCACACAAACATCACATTCCCCTCACGCCCCAGAAGGAAGTCACGACTGCATGCTCGAAAGATCCAGGCATTATGAAGGCATGGCTCACGAACWAGAGGGTGGACCTTCATACAACGTTGTTGTCTATAACATCCTTCAAGTGCATTGAGTTCGTGGCAAAAGACCTTCTGGATTGGGAGGACGAAACGATGGAAGTCCATCAAGGCAGTCGTGGATGTTCATTTCTCGAGCTTGGATGGGATACGAGAGACATCGCGGGAACGATGCAGTCTACATGCCATTCATAGTACACAACAGTGTCAGAGATATTCATACCAAAGCTGTCTCGAGGATCTAGTCGGACAGTAGCTTACCATCGCATCAAAGCTGACAAACTCCGTATGCCAGAATATCTCGAACGGTGGGCTCATATTCGTATCGAAGAGRACTATGGAATATCAAGCCGACTGAACTCCATCATCGAACCATGACCTTCTATCTCTGCTTCTCCAGCATGTTCGATAGCGGTGGCAAAGCATCTTCCCTGTCTAGCATGACCTCAATCATCTCCAGGCCCGCCACGTTCTTCCTCGCCTCCATACCGTCAAGCGCCTTCCGCAACTCCCCAATATGCGTCGCAGTCSCCGTATGTACGCTGTACTCACCCTCCATACCAGTGCCCTCCTCAAGTCCGAACAAAGCCGGTGCTTTCAGATACTTCCATCGTGCAACATCATTGTAACCCTGGTCCTTTCCATGGATACATCTCTCAATCGTATACCCGTCATTGTTGAGGAGAATGATTGTCACATTAAGCTTCTCCCGGATGATGGTGCTCAACTCCTGTACCGTCATCTGGAAGCTACCATCCCCAATCAACAGGAGAGCACGTGGTAGGACATCATCTTTCCGGCCTTGCCATTTCCCTGCCTGGTCAAGCTCCCGTTGCGCAAGCGCTGCGCCTTGTGTTGCTGGCAGCATGTATCCAATCGATAGCCATGTTACGGGATTAAAGAATCGCGCATGTTTGGGTAGCTTCAATGCACGAGCGCCATATCCCGCAGTGCCAGTCTCGCCCAAGATGATATCGCCTGGCCTCAGATAGCCTTGCAACACAGAAAATAGGCCCTTCTGTGACAGCTTTTCGGAATCTTGGACACTTTCGGCCAACTTTGCCGTTCCCTCGAAAGGAGCGAGACCAGAAGATACTGTTTGGAGTGACGCAGTGTCGAGCTCAGACAACACCTTGGAAAGAATGAGCTTCGCCGGCGAATCTCGGTGCACATCGTCTCCCACTACAACACTGGTCGCCTTGAAGAAGATCGTTGCCTTTGCTGATGGGATGCTAGAGCCAAAGTATGAGTTGACACCGCTGAAATGTGGCCCGAAGCAGAGCACGAGATCAGCAGAATTGAAGTAGTCCTGGTCTTCTTGTTTAGCGAATGTGCCTTGGTAGACACCTCGAGTGTTTGGTAACGTTTCGTCTACACAGCCTTTACCGAAATTCGACGTCCAGGTCGGCCAGCCAGTCTTTCTGATCAGTTGATCAAGCTCCCCCAAGATATCATACGCCCGACTTTCACCATCGACTAAGATCACGGGCTTCTTGCCTGACGACATACGCTCTGTGATGAGTTTCGCAACGGAGGTATGGTCTTCTCCCTCGATAGCTTGCGGTATCTCSATTGGTGTGCCAAGACTCGCACTCGAAACTTGCTTTGCGACCATGTCCAGAGGCACTTGAATGTACACCGGTCGGCTGTGAAGAAGACACTGAGCCAGTGTAGTGTCAATAAGCTGTGCGGCTACCCGTGGATCGGAAAGATCTGCTTGTGCGACCGTCACATGCTTGTACATGTCGGCAAAGCGACCATACTCTCCATCATTGAGAGTGTGGTGTATCAGCGCTCTTGACTGATTCTGTTGACGTGACGGTGTCCCTACAATGTGGACAACAGGAGCGAGCTCAGCATATGCTCCTGCTATCGCGTTTATGGCTGATAACTCGCCAACACCGAATGTCGTGATTAAAGCTCCAATGCCTTTGATTTTGGCGTAGCCATCAGCGGCATATCCACCATTCAACTCGTTGCAGCTTCCAGTCCAGTGAAGACCCGATGGCTCAACATAGTCCAGCAGCTCGAGGTTATAGTCGCCAGGAACTCCATGAATGGTCTCAACACCTAGCTGTCGCAGCCTTGCGAAGAGGTACTCCGCTAGTGTGAWCGTTTCTGGCATGTTGTGTTGATGGTTGGAGAATGAGTATGATGTCACGGGAATTTTCAGGCCTTCAGGTGTCGAGCTTAAGAAGCGAAGATTTCGAACAAGATCAAGATTGAGAACAACTGTTTGGAATGTCGTCCATCCATAAAGAAAGCAAGGCAAGTAAGATGTCCGGCTAGCCCCGGCTTTTGGCCTCTAGCTCCCGTTCGGCACTACGTAATTAGCTTCCGTTCGGCACTGTGCCGAACATGCCGCATCTCTCCGCTTTCTTCTCCGCTGCCAACTCAATTTTCAACCCTCGAACATTATGCCGATACGCCTGGCGGCCTGCGATCCTTGTCGAGTCGCAAAGCAGTCTTGCGATCATGCCGCTCCATGTGCTCGCTGTAAGGACCGCTCGACAGAGTGTACTTACCGCCAACGACCTTTCAAAAGACGACGAGCAGAACAAGAGACTCCCGGAACCGTGAGACCATCTAATCCCAGACTTCCACACAGCTCACACTCACAAGGCTCCTCAGCCACGACTCCTACCACTACCAATGTGTATCCAAACCCTGGTTATCAAGGTACATCCAGTCACATATCAATATTCGACCAAGTGAAGGCCTCCGGCGCCACTGCAGATGACCCTACCTCCACAACGGCCCTCATACCGACAACTTCGGCAGATGATTTGGGAGATCGTGATGCCGCACAACATGCCAAATTGCTGGACGATATCCAGCAGCTTGATATGCGTGCTTGTGCTGAGCTCATAGCGTGTTGGGCCTCTCAAGGTGTCAATCTYGCATTGGCAGGTCCTCTCCTCGACTCGTGTGTGGAGGCCGTGACTGCGCTATTCAGTCTGAGGTCAGGCGCTGAGCTTGTTACAATGCTATTTCGCAGTACCTGTCATCGACTTACTTCACCCGGCAACATGCCCATTGAGACATTCTGCGAGGCATTCTGCCGTAGCAATCCTGGCTGGGCGACGCTAGGCATGTTTCTCGTCGCCTTGAGTAGGGCTGCTGAAGACACTATGTTCTTCCCACGCTTGTATAGCACGCGATCCGGCCAGCAAAGAATGGAGAAGGTTGCATTACAACATGCAGACCAATGCTTGGAGATCTGTCTATCTCTTGACTGCTTAAATGACATGCAACTGATGCTGCAGTATGAAAATTTCATAGCTCACTCCATGATCGACGGTGACCAAAGTGAGTACTGTCATGGTTGAATGAACCACTCGCTGACCTTCTACACGCAGGCTATCATTCATGGCGACGACTCGGGGATGTGGTCAGCTCTCTCTATGCCTTGGGCTATCATGAGCGCGTTGATTTGACTGCCATTGGCTCAGCTACACTTGGGTCTTTAAGAAGTGAAGCATTCTGTCGAGCATATTCGGCGGACAAGAACGTCTCAATCTTCCTCGGGCGGCCATCAAGAATGCATAGGTCACACAGCTTTCTCGATTTATCATTCAATACTATCGGCAGCGACTCAAGCATTGAGTCTTTCGAGTACGCGCAAGAAACACGCTGGACCGTCGCCTGTGCAATCTTGAAGGAGCGATCTCTCGATCTTGCGCGATTTGTAGACGCAGCAGCTCGAACGCAAGCAATGCAGTGAGTTAAAGCCACCCTGTGTATAACACCACAGCGCTGTCGATTCGATATCTATCCCAGCTCTCCTTGCAGTCGGTGGTTCACTCTGCTGATAGAGATGGTCCTGGCGGCTCTAAGAATACCGTCTGCGTGGAGAGCATCCATCTGGGATACTCTCGAACCGACTCCATGTTAGACATTCGATTCTGACTCTCCACAGCATCATACTACAAGACTGCGTAGCCTTAGAGGCATCGCTCCCGTCAAGATATCAGTTGCCGGGCCATCTCAAAGACTTTCAAGGCACTGCAGTCGAGCGCGACTTCGTCGCCAGTGCTGCGCTGAATATTTTGCATGTTCGCTTCCTCATGCACTCATCACCAATGCAGGGAGCCTCCGAAATAGGCAGCGAACTCATCATCGTATCAGCCGCGATGCTCAAGTTGGTCGGAGAGATTACTATTTTGAAGGCAACGCTAGCCAACTCTGGGACGGGCTTCATCTGGAAGGCAAGTGATGCTGGTCGACCGTCACTTGAAAGTGCTGACTTCTATAGATCATCTTCTATGGATTGCCTGCCGCCGGGATCATCTGTCTTGCGTTAATCAACCGCGGCGCGCAGAATGCAGATACAAGCTTCTCGGTCCCACAAGCGATGCAAGACCTCAGCGTCATTGTAGCTCATGTTGAAGCTGGGGTTCTCCTGTCCCCTGATCAACCAAACTACGCACTACTTCAAGCAGCAACTGTTACTATCAAAAGTGTCCTACACACGCTTAATTCAGGGTCACTAATTCCGACTACTCAGGATGGAGTCTCCACTGAGCAAGCCAGCCGAGCGATTGACCCGTGGATGCCGTGGGCAGGAGACAACGACTTTTTTGACTTTGAGCTTGATTTCTGGACGAATCTGGCCGAACATCCTGCCCTCTACCAGGACGCGGCGTAGCCAGTCACTGGTTTGTTCAAAGGTTTACCGGCACGTAGGACTGTCGACACGAGAGCTGAACACTACGAAGGATTTGCAGTAGATCAGTGTCGAAGATAAGCAAGGCGAAGCTGTCTCACCAATAGCCATGTCTAGACTTGAACATTTGGCTGGAAAACTCCATCTCAACACCTCCGCCGTTCGATGAGCAGGACTATGCCAACGATCTGGGGACCATCGCCGAACACTTTAATGAGCGCACCCAAGAAGACCTCGGGGAACTATTCGAGAGGCTCTGTTTGTCGGGAAAGTCTCGTGTGGACAAGTCTGCCTGGATCTCTCCTTCTTCACTCCCAGTCGCTCGGCGAGCAGGTCTGCGGACGAGCAGAGCTGAAGTGGTTCTTGGAACAAGAATAGCAACACTGAGTCGAGGTCGCATGAGTTGGAGATGGAGGAAACCCCCTGATATCTATGCGTGTTGGACATTCCTGATCCTTTGTCAGCGGCTGTGGTGCTAAAGTGCGCACATGACACATCTGACACGTGCTTCTCCGCGATTTCCGAACACTCCGCGTGGCCTAGGAATGCTGCCATATATATCCGCACCATCCCTCCTTTCAACAACAGCAACCTCAACAACCAATCACAATACACATACAACTTCCACCTCGCCTCGCTTCACGATGCTGTCTCAAAAACTTGCCACATTCGAGCACAACCGCCAAGCACATGGCCCTCTTCCCGTAGGAGTAGCTCCTCAGGTATTCTCACCAATGTATCGATCCCAAGCCAACAAATCCAAACCACTTTCAGAAGACTGGAGTCATCACCTAAGCGAAGAGAGTCGCCATCGACAGGCATCAACGCTCAAGGCGTCAGCGAGTTCACGAAAAATCACTCCCGTCTGCAATCTTGGCGTCGCTCGGCCGGTGGCCTCAACAATACCATGGGGCTCCATGCAAATGGCGCTCAAGCCTGTCATATGCGACAAGGATGCCGTCATGTCATGTGTTGATGGTGAGACCTCGTGGGATCTTGGCTATGCACTCAACTATGGACACTCAGCTGGTTCACCACAACTGCTTCGCTTCATCACCGAACACGTGGAGCTTGTTCACGACCCACCTTACGCTGACTGGGCTACCAGCCTGAGCTGTGGCAATACCAGTGCCCTAGACATCATCTTACGGATGCTGTGTGAGCGTGGAGATTGGCTTTTGTCCGAAGCTTACACGTACCCTGGAACTCTTGAAATGGTCAAGCCGATGGGCATCAAGCTCCTCGGTATAGAAGTGGATGACGAAGGACTCTTACCGGACGTGCTGGACCAACAGCTGTCGAGTTGGGACTCTACACTTGGCCGCAAGCCATCTGTCTTGTATATGATTCCATGCGGACAGAACCCGACCGGAGCCACGCAAAGCCTCGAGAGACGTCTTTCAATATATGAGGTCGCAGAACGACACAATCTTATCATCATCGAAGATGACCCTTACTTCTTCCTTCAGCTTGGCCAGCCAGACACTCCGCTCCCCACATCAGCTGATGGATACCTCTCTGCTCTACCCAAGTCATATCTCTCTTTGGATCGTTCTGGTCGAGTCCTTCGTCTTGACGCAACATCCAAGATCCTCTCCCCAGGCCTCCGAGCTGGCTGGGTGACTGGGAGCGAACAACTCATTAACCAGTTCATCTTTCACACGGAATTCAGCACTACGGCTGTCAGTGGGCCAAGCCAGATACTCATGTATAAGCTTCTTGATGAGACGTGGGGACACCTTGGGTTTATCGAATGGCTACGGGATCTCTCAAAAGGCTACCGCCAATCCCGCGACGCTCTCATCAAGTCGTGCGAGCAATACCTACCACCTTGCTGTGTGTGGAGCGTGCCAACTTGCGGGATGATGGTGTGGATACATTTGGACTGCTCGCAACTCGTCCTATCTTCCAAAGCATCCTATGCATCCATCGAGGCCTCCATCCACTCTATCGCTGTTGCCAAGGGTCTACAGTTCAGCAAAGGCAGCTGGTTCTCTACCAACAAGGATCGAAGTGACGAGGTTGCTTTTCGGCTTACATTCGCTGCAGCACCAAAGGATTCATTCAATGCGGGTATGAAAATCTTTTGTGATGCTGTAAATGCGGCTCTCTCGGAWGCACCGCGGAAAACGAACGGAGACACAGATTTGAATGAAGATCGCAGCGGCCGCAAGGACCGTGCTGTCTTGTGATTTTGGAATTCTGTAAGGACCGTGCTATCTTTGATATGGAGCCATGCAAAGACCGTGTTATCTTGCGGGTTGGAAACGGATGCCAAAATCAGCAGCCGCATCCGCAGCTGCTGCTGACTCTGCAACCCTGTCCGCACTGGTTCTTGTTTGTGTCGCAGTCGCTCCAAACTGAGCAGGTCGACCAGGCTCCAAAGCCGTTGTTGCCCGCTAGCCAGCACCATTCGCCCTTTTTCGTGTCTCCGCAGGCCTTCCAGCAATACCCAGTTTTTCCTGATTTCGTACATCCTGGATGCCACGATCATCATGTCAGCAAATGTGATGATCATTCCAAAGCACCGGGAACTTTCTAAAGCTGCATTGCGCACTTACCATATGGCGCTTGTGTGTAGCATTTGTGGTTGTCACCGCTCTCAAGCCCGGTGGGGTTGGCAGAGCTGCTCACACCGCTGGAGCCCAAAGGATGAGCTTCACAAGTGCGGATATCGGTGGCATTGACGCCTTCGGGGATATTGTCGACCCTCAAGACGCCCAAGTCACCGCATTCGGATGCTGCGGTGTCGACGGCCGCAGAAAGGGCGGCGGCGAATTGGACAGAGATGAGGAAGGCCTGGTAGAGCTTCATGGTGATGTTGGAAGAATGGGTGTTGGCTGAGTGTGTTGGATGAGTTGCTGGATGAGTTGTTGGACATTGCAGGTTTGCTCTGCCATGTTATATACCCTTTGATGGCTCCACGCATCGAATCCTTCCAATATCGCTAGAGAATGCGAGGATATTGTGTGGGTGGGTCTACCAACACAATACCATGCTTGGAAGTGTTGGTTCGCTGTGATWACTTGTTTTCCATGTTGCCTCACATGATGCATATAACCCCAGTCAACAAACGACCTAGACGGCCTCGAGACGATTCGATCACGCTTCCACGATATAGGAACCTCATGTATTCATCAAATGCTAAAGACATCCCGAGATACGATCTCTTCTAGAAGGTAAACATGTTAAGTGGGGTCTGCCTGCCTTGTGATAAGTGTATAGCCTAACCAAAAATATAACCCCGGGAAGTTGTTGGTTGCAGGTCTGGAACGCGTCGACCAGCGCTAAAGGAGGCATATCTAGTCGACATTGTATCCCTCGAAGCTCCACTATTCAGGCCACGGTATTGTCAGTGCGTGTGGTTGTACAGTGTCCTAAAACACTAGGTCGGGATTTAGCTGCATCGTTCTTAACCAAGTCTTGGCAATTGCATACAGTACACTGAGTACAGTACATCCATATCAGGTACAGATTTTTGAACTCATTTTGATTTTTTTTCTCGTACTCGATTTTTCTCGTCCGTCAACGAACAACAAGAAGAAGGATATATCATGCCAATCGAAAACCCTCGCACGCGCCCATGAACGAAGCCATTCATTTGTAGAAAATTTCCCAACTGTTCGTTCGTTCCCCATTCCAAAAAGGAAAATCCCTAAAGGCTTACTCATCGACCCACTTTCTCCCAAGCGAAATACATATCCATATGTATGTATATGCAGGTCGTTTCGGCAAGCATACCTACTGTCAGGGCTCTTCCTCTCCGCATGTTGCCCGGCATAAAAACCACTCCCCACATCGATGGAGGGTCTGTCTCCTCAGGGTCCACATGAGGTGCCCGTGAAGCGAGAAGGATCAGTAGGGCTTCCATGTTACCTATGCTACGGGACAAGTGGTACTATATGATGGAGAAGGGACGTTCCGTGGGAAGTGGTATTGTGAGGTACCATTGTTCGAATTTCCCCTCCTCAGCTGTATTGGCTATCATTCTATGAGCCAGTGGCTGGTCCGTTGAAAGACCCCTTTCCTGGACTTTGAGACGAGGTTAATTGGCGAGGGGCAGCTTGATAGAGAATTTGACAAGGCCTTGATTGTGGCTGTATCGAAATTTGATCAGACTTTGATGCGTCCAGTCAACAAACGCTGAGTGTCATTCAGCCACCGGCTCAGAGGATTTCTGCATGATGGCTAGTCGGTCGTTGAGCTTGGCGTCACCTTACTCCTCCTCAAGGCTTTTGAAGGTTGAGCCGAACGGCTCCTTCCATCTTGAGTAGAATCTCATGCCGATCAATCCTCAAAGTGCTGAAATTCCGATTTCCCAAAAGTTCTCGGGATTTTCACCCGAACAATGTCTTGCTGGCAGCTCACTGCACTTCCATAATTAAATGAATGTTTGGAACAGACACAGTGAAGGTATCAAATCAACTTTCCAAAGTTACAAAGTGTTGAAAAGTTCCGTTCCTTCCTTAACACTTCCTTCCTTCCAAAAAAAATCCGGGGAAATGTGGGGAAGACAAAGTCTCATCAGTCGCCAGCCATGGCAAACGCGGCAAAAAGGAGCTTCCATCCACCACACCACACGTTTTGCTAACTTACCTACCCACTCGAAAGCTCCTCGTGCTGGTGAAGAAACAGCTTTGTTCTGCAAAAGATAATCGCAGACACCTGCAACGAATTGCAATGTTGTCGTGTAGCAAGAATTGTCCCCCAAAAACCAGAATGAATCCGATTTCCTCTCTCTTTACCATCAACCCGTATTTTTGAAGAATCGGGAAAGTCCACTTGATGAATAGACATTTCCCCATCCAACGACGATCTCAACCCCATTCCAGCTCGCCGATCTGTGACTTCGCGCGCGGAGAAATGCAAGCAAGCAGGTCGCGTCCCTCGGGTGCTCAGAATGTATATCTTTGATGAGATGCTGTGCCTCGACTCCATCTTTCCCCTTACCTCCTCCTACTGTTGAACATCCTTTGCTGGAAAATACTACTGTCCTTCGAAAGCGATCAATCATGAGCCACATCGACAAGGACTTTGCCAATGGCAACGATACCAAAGGCATGCCATCCCTCACCCAGGTCAAAACCGAGGGCAGCATTGTCCTGACGCCCGAGATGTTTGAGCGCATGTACCTCGCTCCTCAAACAAAAGTCGATGGAGGTCTTCGAAAAGTGCTGGGAAACCCTACGCCGAGTAAGTAGTTCCAATCCCAAAAAAAAGACGCTGGTTCAATGGTGTGTGTGTGTGGTTCACTGACAATGGTCGCAAAGTTGGCCTCGGGGGATTTCTCATTGCCTACTGTCCCATCATCTTCTCCATTCTCGGCTTCAGGGACTTCACGGGCAACGGCGCCGCCACTATTGGCACCTGCTGGTTTAGCGGTTTGTGCCATCCATCCACATGAAGAGATGTATGTATGATACTCATGGCCCTTCCAGGCGGTCTCCTCGCGATTCTTGCGTGTATCATGGAGTTCATCCTAGGAAATACATTCCCAGCCGTGTTCTTCGGTGTCTTTGGCTCGTACTTTTTGGCATACGGAGCGACACTCACACCTTCATTCAATGCATTCGGAGCATATGCGGATCCCACAGCAGCGAACCCGAACCTCGCTGCTGCAGAGGCTACAATGGTCAGTCTGCCTCGCCGTCATTGGCATGCTCCCAGCTAAGTGGATTGATAGGCACCCGGCTTCCTCAGCGGCCTCGCATTCTGGAACTTGATGATGGCCATCTTCTCATTCTACTGCACCGTCTGTGCGCTGCGGATCAACGTCCTCTTCGTCGCGGCTTTCTTCCTCCTCTCCATCACATTCATCTTGATTTCCTCGAGCTATTGGGTGGTGGTGCAGCCCGGAATGCAAGAGGCTGGCCACAAGCTCATGATTGTAAGCGGACCACCGAGAGTTGATCCCCACGACACTGCTGACCGAGTTGTAGGCTGGTGGCTCCTTTGGATTCGTGGTGATCCCAATCGGTTGGTATCTCCTGCTAGCGCTGATGCTCACCACCGTCGACTTTCCCTTCRATCTGCCTGTTGGTGATTTGAGCTCCGTCGTCCCAAGCGCAACAGAGCTAGCGAAGAGAAGGAAGAGGTCGAGCGATGTCGAGAAGGCGGAGTAGAGTCTGCTGGTTTGGCATGGAAGGTGGCCAGGTAGTCCAAATTATAATAACTGCCCGACAGACGCCGAAGAGGCGACATGAATGATGGCATCACACGTGAAACTGGGTAGTACAGAGAACTTGCACATACATATGTACTGGTAAGGAAAAGTCAAGTTCGAACATTTGCTCGAGTAGAATGCCGGCGTGAAAAGGTCTGACCAGGCTCATAATCCTTGCCTTCTCGGGCTATTCGCCCGATCGTGGGTGCCTCTTCTGTCTGTTCACTTTATTCTGGTTGTGTTTTGCGGGAGTACCTTATCGCGTTTCTCAACATCATGCCACTTGCTGATGATAGAGGAGGGAGATCTACCCAAAAGCTGGGCTATCTCGGTCAACTTCATCTTTCTGGATTTCATTTCACATAATCGCGCAGTGTCTTTGAGAGACCACCGAATACGAGGTGCAGCCTGCCCCAAGTATTGTTCATTTTCCAGCATGAGTCTATTGGTCTTGCTTCGAACACTTTCGAGAGTACGTCCCATCCGGAGGGAAATGCTCTTCAACTTCTCGCCAGCCCTCATACAGCTTCTAAGCTCGTTGATCTCAGCAACGGTCCACGGCTGAGTTTTCCTTGTTGATTCAGTCGGTGCGATTCGTTCAAATCGACGGGCAAGCGAGCCCACGGAACGGGGCATCATCAGTTCGGCAATTTGATGAAACTGCAAACCTTGCCCACGAAGATCAACAAGTTTTTGAGTCTCTTCCACCGACCATTTTTGGCGCTCCGTAGCGGCCGGCCGCACTACAGTGCCCATTCGCCGCAATCGTCGAAACTGGGTAAAAAGCGGGGATGGAGGCCTATTGGGAATCAGGGCGGCACAATCTCGCAAGGATTTGCCGTCATCTTTTGCAGTCTGCAGAATCTCGACTTCAGTCGGGGTGAGAGGCGCCTGTGTAKGGCAATATTTGCGGTCTGTCAGGAGGCCTGCCCGCCTGAGTCTGCGAATGTGGCCTTCGACCCGGCTTGGGGTGCTTTCTAAATGGCCAGCCATGTCCTTGGCAGTTTTGCGTTCTTTGAACATCCGGATGATGGCGTCGCTGTCCTTGGAAGACAGCCGCCGCGGCGTGCATGCATGTGACGAAGTATGGACGTGTCTCGCCTTGGATAGGAGGTGGAAAAGAAGCTTGCTGGAGTGTTGAAAGAGCGACGACATACCGAGCGCTGAGAGTGCGTGATGGTCAGGTCGGAATGGAGGCATTTGCAGCTAGTTTCCGGTATGTCCTGAAGGCCTTTTCGGCTTGCTTCTCTCTCTCTCTCTCTCTCTCTCTCTCTCTCTCCAAGTGTGTACTGCGGACTCCAGTGCGTGTCCTATCAGCATCCCATCCAAGTATTGCGCTTCTACTCGGATTCGGAGTTCCTACCTGACAGAATCTGTGTCAGTGAGGAAGCTCCAAAGCTACGTGGAACGGACCGCACGGGAGGAAGAGCCGAGATTGTTCATGCCGATCACCTGACTCGGTCCCATCGTCTTATCACCACTTATGCACAAGCAATCCAAGACCTCGTCGTCGTACTGGAGGTTACAACGGTGGAGTGCTTGTCAACCCAACGGCCTCATGTTTGGGTGACCTGCACTGACGTAGGTCGGGAACGGTTTCACCACCGCCCGCAAAGCAGAGTCGCCCCGATCATGATGAGAGGCCTCGGGTTTCACCTTGATTCTGGGTCAAGCTCCCGTAGAGTAAGTGACCAACGTAAGTTAGCTGGTTCGGAGCCCAGGTCTCATTAAACGCCTCCCGTCTTCGTGATCGTTCGTTCGTCCGTTCCTTCATCGAATGCACTTGCCATGATGGTGACCTGGCACAGCCTGCAGGGATTCGTGGCCTTTGACCTCATCTTGCCCTGCCCTGCCCTTTTACGTCGACGGTTGCCYCTCCCGTGAGACACAGGGCACACTCGAGCTGACTACCCTATTTTACCTAACCTTACAATGATTCATCATGCATGCCCTGTTCACGGGGGGAAACCCTCAATCAGCAGCAGCTACAGTATCTATCTACCTTCAACATGTGACAATCATGTGTGAAGTCAGACCCAGTTGCCAACTTCTTCATGACGCGTAGAAGTGTGCTGGTTCACCGACCTTGCGGGCTGGCCAAGAAGATTGATTCTTCTCAAGCTCGAACTAGAACATCGCAGCGCCCTCGCACCCATCATCATCAATCAAGCACTACAGTTAAAGGTGGCGACGGCGTGCAACTGGGAGCGTGTGATTGGCCGCGGACTTGTCCCAAAGGGCGCAGGCGTGAGCTATGGGGCGGCACTTTCCAGGATCCAGAAGCCTGACAGGAACAGGCGTGCAATCTACCGAATCGGGCCTCCTCCTGAGACAGATAGACATGGGCATGGCATGCTCCGCGCGGAGTAGGAAGYCCACATCCACAGCTCCRCCAGAGTGCAGCCAAGCTCGACTGCCTCAACCGTGATCAACACCTGCCTCGACTCTCATCGTCTTTCCTTTATCACCATTCCCCAACCTGCCTACCTACCTTGGCCTGTTCAATCCAACAATCGGCCGAAAACCCATCCATTCATCCATCCATCCCACTACCCATCTGTACCCTCCCGTCGGTAGCTCGTCGAAACTTTCACACTTCCCCTGGGTGGGTCGTACGACTTTTTGAACAAGACGCTGGTCTCAATCCTACCGTCACAACGGTCCAGCCTGCCCGGCAATCGCCAGTCCTTTACTCGATTCAACCGTGCTTCTGAATCAACCCAACCTCCATCTCATCAACCTTCCACGCGACTCGACTAGGTCGTCCCTCGCACGTGTGTGTGGCTGCCTCAGGAGGTGCCGCTGCTCGACCGTCATCATGTCCACCAACACCACCTTCGGCGCCACCATTGTGCCCAATCCTCACACAGCGGACCGCGAACGCATTCACGCCCCAAGCACTCTCCTCGACTCGCCTGCKCTCACGCCTGCCGCTTCCCACGACGACATGGTCGACTATCTCGGCGAAAAGCCCATTCCACCGCACTCGCCCTTTTACACACACCCACCCTCGTCCAACGAAGTCGTTCGCATGACCAAGAGCGCCGCCACATCGCGGACACACCTGGAGAAAGATCTCGAAAATGGCCCGGACACGCCTCTCTCACATACCGACGGCTTCGGCCCCTTCTCCAAGAATCTCGCCGTGCAGAGCCAGACAGAATGCACCATGTGGCCTTCGAAGCAGACATTGAAGCAGCAACAGCAGGCCAACAAACTGGGCAAACGCAACAAGCGGGCGTGTGCCCCCGTCCTGAACACGTGGAGCGGCTTCACCAAACGCCAACGCCTCTTCATCAAAATCGCCATTGCACTGTTTGTGCTCGGTGCTGCCGTCGGGTTGGGTGTCGGTATCAGTGTGGCGGTCAAGGGTGCATACTTTACTGGCGATGGAAAGTCGCAACAGGTGGGCGTCATTCCCGACCAAGATTGAGGCGCAAGGACGCATGGATACGACATGGATAAGAAGACGTGGAACGTCATGGAAGGTCATGAAAGTCACTGCGGTGCATGCGTTGCTTTCAACTCCTCACTGGCGCCGCACGCACTCCCACTTTCGCTGCACGATACCCTGGAATACCTCGAGATCCCGTTACTGTACAGGAGTTGGTTGGATAAATGCATGGCGTCTGGGCGTTTGGTATCGGGAGGGACGGCTCGGATTGGTGAGCGCGACATTTGTAGATTTTGCATTGTATGGTATACAGCTGCACCCAATTACGGCCGACTTTGATGCGTGTCCCATCTTTGAAGGCCACGACGATGATACCATGATACAGTGCAGTGGAATGCAGTGCTGGTGAGGGATGACGATTTGCAAGAAATGCTGATAGTGAGGTAGAGATGAGATGAGGCGCAGCATCTTGAGAAAGMTTCTTATCAGAGAAGAATACTCACGGGTCGTCACTGCCATTTCAATCCTTGACAACTTGTCGCGCACACCAGCACCACGATACCTATCAACATCGTCACCCGACGCTCGTATCAGACACTTGCTATCTCTAAAAAGGCATCATCACCTTGCACCACCCCGCAAGAAACTTCACTTGATGGCCACGCCATTCGACACCAAGGACCAGACTGCCTGCGGAAGTGCAACCGCCGCCTCGCGCGTGTTTGGCATACTCGAGCTCGCCGAAGGCATTCTCTTATATCTCCCCATCACAGACCTCATCCACGTCTCTCGCGTRTCGAAGCGATTCCAACACACCGTCGCCGCATCCAAGCCACTTCAGCGTGCTCTCTTCCTGAAACCGCTCGCCGGCAAAACCGTCATCTTGGTCAAGCCGACACCCGGCCGCATGGTCTTCCTCGCCGATGAGACCAGCGACATGTCCGTGGGCGTCTTGGGCAATCCCTTTGTGCAACGCGTCATGCAAGGTCTCAATCATCACGACGACGCCGCGCTCCTCCGCAAAGACGCCACGTGGCGCCGCATGCTGCTCTCGCAGCCACCGATGCGTCGTATTGAAGACAAATACGGCAGGAAGTTTCGCGACGATCAGGGTGTGAAGTTGCTGCAGGCGCTGGTGGCGAGCGAGAAGCGGCCGCAGTGGTGAGTCAATCTAAAGGCAGGTTTGAAGATTTCCAAGACATGGCTGACCCATTTCATCCTTTGCGTTTTAGGTACAGACCCAATCATATCGAAGCGTGGGAGTTTTTCAAGAGGGTCAAGCTTGCTGGTGATGTGAGGCGGATTGAGAAGCCTCTCTCCGAGGACGACAGGAGTCTTCATCATACTTTCCACGGAATGCAACTTGGCTGAGAGTTTGGGTTCAATGTTGAGGAAAACGAGCATTGGGTAGAGGGATGAAGGACGGCAGGAAGCAAGCATTTGGAAGCAGGTTGGTGGTGGAGAGAGAACGACACGGCGAGCTGATGATTGCGTGCTACTCTTGTTGAAAAGCATTGATTATGTTCAGAGGAAGATGAATGAGTGGGTCAGTGGTAATACTAATACGTACGGGTGGGACATRATGGATCATGGATATGCTATAATGGACATGACTGCATTCAATCGTGATCTTGCTCGCCCATCTATCTAAAGCTTCACCTTGCCACTCTTCAGCGAATCCCAGTCATCCCTCGAATATGGAAGATAAGTCGTGGAGCCGGGCGGTAGCCAGTACACCTTATCTTTACTTCCCGACTTCTCAATCAAGTCCAAATCGACACCTTCTCGCTTGGCCTGGCCCTTTTGCACCTTGAAAGTGCCCGTGTAGGATAATTGCGGCGCCACTCGCAGGAAATAAGGCACGGCGTATCTGGGGAGTCGTTCCAGGACAAACTTGCCCAGACCAGCCGCATCCAACGATTCGGGCAGGATTCCTTCTTTCAAGACGATTGTCGCACATCCACATCGGCCGTCAGAATTTGGGACCGCCACTCCGTAGACGTTTGCTTCGGCAATCTGGTCAAAGGTACCAAGTACATCTCCCACTTCGTTCGTGGAGACATTCTCGCTCTTCCATCGGAACGTGTCACCTGAGAAAGTATGGTCAGTAACACTCCTCTCTCTCTCTCTCTCTCTCTCTCTCTCCGCCCATTCCTTACCAAGACGATCGACAAAGTACACCCTTCCATCACCATCCTGGCGATGTACATCCCCACTGCGAAACCACAGATCGCCGTTTTCAAACACATCTCGCAGCCATCTCTTCTCCGTCGCCGAGTCGTTCTTATAGTATCTGGAAACAAGCATCAGCCAAACATAACATCTCCTGCGAACCATGATAGCAGGCAGACCCACCCTTYGAACGTCTGCTCCATGAGCGCAGGATCGACCTTGTGCAGAACCTCTCCAGGTTCATTAATCGCCGCACGAACCACCCAACCACTCTTCCCATCCTTCACAATCTCCTCCGTATCCGGATCGATTCGCGCATGCACCTCCTTATCCCCCATTTTCCATCTCCACAACGCGCCGCGCACTCCAATACAATTCCGACTGAAATCCCCGTGATTCCGCACAAATGTCGCTCCCAGACCATCCGTAGCAGCATACAACTCATGAATCATAGGAATGTTGAATCTCTGACGAAATCGCTCCCACACATCGGCTCGCATACCATTGCCCCATGCTTCCTGCAGCTTATGTTGTCGCTCCATCGGATGTGGGGGAGAATTGACGAGATATCGACACAGTTCCCCGACGTACTGCAGACGATTTGCGCCGCTGGCGGAGACTTCGGGCCAGAAGGTTTTGTGGGAGAATTTGCGGCCTAGAGACATTGAGGCGCCTGCGTACACGACAGGACCGGTGCAGAGACCTTGGGCGGCTCCGTGGTAGAGGGGCAGACAGGTGTAGRATTTGTCGTTTGGGGTGAGTTGGAGGTAGTTTGCCATGCTTCGGGCGGTGTTCTTTACACGGCCTGTGAGCATTATTACGCCTTTGGGTAGGCCTGTGGTTCCTGAGGTGTATCTGTAATTGAGGGAGGAAAAGGTCAGCGGTATCCCAAGAGGTCTTTTCGTGGGCAGGCGTAGACGTCCTCATCATTGATGATGACTCCCGTTGCAATGGATGAGATGTTTCGTTTCCTTCCCTCCACTGTACTTACATCAAACTTTTGACATCCGCGGACGTCTTGCCAGTGGTCACTGTATACGTAGTTAGAACCGTTTACTCTAGGTACGTCCAGCTAYACGACTTACAAGACTTTGGAATGGGCGTATCGTCACGGAAAGTGGCAAAGAGGTCTTCATCATAGTAGATGATTTTAATTCCTGCTTGGGAAAGCTCATCTTTGCATGGCTCTAGTCTTTCTGCTGTCTCTCTATCGGCCACCACAACACGAGGCTCACAGAGCTAGGAATTGTCAGTACTTCTTCAACTCTCTCTCATGCCAAACCAATTCCCTCACCTTGATCGAGTGTGTCAATGCTTTATCCGTGAGATTGTGACTAAAAAATACTGGATCAGTTAAGCTCATATCTTCAACGACAAGAGGACAAACTTGACAAAGCTCTGATTTGCCCCAATACCATCGATTGCAAACCACAGCAGAATATACTCAGCACTATTCGGTCCACTCAAAGCGACCATTTCGTCCCTCCTCACCCCCAAGTCATTTCGCAACCAATTGCCCACTCTCTGCAGATCTTGGTAGAATTGTTTGTACGTCCAGGATCGTCCTTGATATTCCAGAAACAAATGATTGGGAATATCTTGCTTGGCCCAGTTTGCAACATCGTGGTATAATGTCAATTCATTCTCGGCTTCTTTTTGAGCGATGAATTTTTGTGCTTCAATGGCTGCGTTGTCGAGACTTCCTTTGCTGAGGTCAGATCGGATGTGATATTTGGCGTCTAGATATGCTGCTGCTGCTGCTGTGCCGGCAACGGCTGCTGCTGCAATGGTTGCTGGTTTGGTCCGATTAGAAATTGAACTTTGACTGTGATTGATGTTTTTGTGTGACAATACATACCTGCCATTTTGCTTGGGAGCTTACTGCTAATAAGAGGCTCGTCTTCAAACAATGATGAAAGTAAGCACGGGAACTCGAAGGAATACCTCGTGCTTGTCGAGGTCCTCGGCTATAACGGAGCTCATGCATACCCCGTGGGGCAAGCGGTAAATCCGGCAGGTTCTGCCAAGAGAGGAGATGTTGCATGGTACAATGTTCCTGTATCCTGCAGCGGTAACATCTTCAAAGAACCAAGATTTGTTGGTCGCTGCAGATCGGAGTAGCATTGCAATGGTGGTGGATTAGACTTTGGTCGTATCATGGGGTGTTTGCTCACGATTAGGGACTGAGTGCAATCTCCACTCGAAGTTATACGCCCTCATATGAGGAAACACATATTCGCTAGCATTTTGTGTCTTTAAGACCACACTCGTGAGCAGGAGCACTACCACACTCCGCATACTGTAGGTGTATCACCAACGTCTCGCACACTCTTCATGTCAAGTAACAGACATTTCTCTCTACCCCAACCCTAACCCTAAGACGAGATGTGGGATCGATGATGTGGAGTACTGTGGTGTCCCTCGAGTTTCGCCTGATTTGGAAGCAGATCTGTGGGGCGACGGATTGTTAGGATACCTTAGATAGGTTGATTAACGCCTGCGTCCGCAAGAACGATGGTGTAGACGACGAGGAGAGTGAGGATCAAATCATTCTAGGAACCATCGATCACAGCACAGGTCGTACGCTCTTGGTCGTTCGATACGAAGCCTTGAAATCGTCTCGCGATGCTGATACGTCAACAAGGAAGACTTGAATCGGACGTCGATGGGTATTTTTCTCGATCATCTATCGCAACAGTAAACACAAACCATGACCATGGTGGTGATGTTACACATTATCCTCTCTACACAGGTACGCAATGCWCGCCTTTTGTGACTCCACTGGTAGCCCGAATGCATGCAAACCCTCAAAACCCGCTGTTATGGTATTCCTTAAAAAACGCCGTCGCCATGTGTGAAGTAGAACAGCCGTGAGGCCAAAGAGTCTCTGCGCGTCCTTACAAGGCCTGATGTGCTGTTAGCTCTGCTAAAGGATGATTTCATGTGCAGAGAGACTCACCAAAGCAATACCGCCAACGACAAACAATCCGAGGGCAGATGTGGAGAGCTTGCCGGCCGCGTTGTCGATGGGTCCGGTGGATGAAGGGAATGGTGCACCAGTGCCGGTTGCGGAAATGGTGCTATTTGGGGTGCCGTAGGTGGGAGCGACGGTGGTGTTTGTGTAGCTGGAATGAGGTTAGACATCCATTCCGTCTCAAATTTGACCTGCGATACGCGACTTACTGGGTCTCACCGTCGTGAGCGGAGACGGCAGCGATGGCAAAGGCCATGGACATGATGGTGGCGAAGAACTGCATCTTGAGTTTTGGTTGGGTTGATTGCTGAAGCGACGGTGTTGTGTTGCGAGTGTTGAGTGGGATGAAAAGTTTGGGAGTGTTTGTTGCTTTGGTGGTGGACGAGGAATGTTGTAGAAAGTTAGAGAGACAAATAAATGATTGAGACCCCTGCCACGGTTGTTGTTCGGCCGGCATGTGAAGTCTTCCCGTCAACAAAATCAACACATCCCTTGTCGGCCGCGCAAGCCTACCGCCAAGCAGCGCGATACGATGTTACAGAAATAGAGGAGGCGGGAGGCTCTGCTCAGACTTTGATTGTACAAGTCCTGATCTTTGTGTGTAGAGCTAACTTACTACGTTGTCCTCCGTACGTGCTGTGCATCGAGACATTAACCACACCTACAGGGATCCGCGGCATCCGCCCGCCACCTTTCGTCAGCTTCCCAGCCTGGTGATGAAAGCCAGCCACACTCTCTGTCATCAAGATTCTTTCAGACTGCAGGCGGCTGATCAAGTGCGACGCGGACGACGTCTCGCGATGGCACATCACGCAATGAACTTGAACAAGCACAGCCCAAAGGATTATGCATGATCTCGCCCCGGGAGATACACCCGCAGTCCAGTGGACCTGGTAGTGTACTTCAAACGACCTACCTCCGACAGCATGGGTCGCCCGAAATCTTCCTGCTCGTATCACTCTACGCCCAGCTGAGCGCGTCCAACGCCTGGCATCGGATCGCTACAGCGCCGTCCAGGACTTCCCAGCAGTCAGGCAGTCAAAACAGGGGCTATATAGCCAGTGTTGAAGAAAGTGCAGTGCTTTCATGCGCGGGTTGGGAGGGCGACGGGTGTGGGTAGGGTACCAGGAGTTCCTACGGATTGCACGAGCGCACGGCCATGATGAACGGACGTCAAGGGTGACAGGTTCAAGTGTCACCAAAGAGCCAGCCCATCGACAGATCCGGCGGATTTGAGACAGATCCATACTGTAGGTGATACTGACGTCGAGGAGAAGATGCCAGATTCGTCTTGTCAGACTCGGAAACGAAACAGAAAGACCACATTGGTGGCACTCAGCCTAACCTCACATGCTCACGAATTGTGTGAAGCAGAGGGCATTGTCTGAGATGGGATGGATATCTGTGTTCGGTGCAGTGTCGCACGGGGCAGTAGCGTCTCCTGGCGGCGGCTCGTGCCGATGTCGGTTGGTGCTCGCGAGTCGCCATGTGTGATGCGAGGTTTCCGGGACAAGCTTTTTGGCCTTCGGGCCAGAGTCGAGACAAGAAAGAGCCATGGAGTTGAGAATGATGGCGTTTAACAAGAGCATTTCTACCGCAATCATATTCTTACCCTTTCAAGTGTTGTGTTTGTTGACATGCGAATCCTTTGAGAATCCCTTGTGAACGAGAACTACGGGCATGCCATAGTTGGGCATCGTTGCCGCTCCGCCGACGGAGGCACTTCGTCTCAGCACCAGCATCAGCTCTCTCGAAAGGGGGACCTGAGGGCTGTACTTCTGGACTCCACCACATTCCCGAATCCCGCCCACCACGCAGCAACGCAGCACACGACACGCGGACGAGGCCAACCGCACAACACACCTCACACAACACCGTCCCTACCGCCTGTCATCCCGTCCCTTCCCCTCTCAACATGGCGGGCACTATTAGCAAACGCCAGCAGGCCCGTAACGAGCGGGCACTGCAGGACTTGATCAACGGCGTCCCGGGTAACGACCGCTGTGCCGACTGCAGCGCGAAGAACCCGGGTTGGGCCAGCTGGAATCTGGGCATATTCCTGTGCATGCGTTGCGCCGCGCTGCACCGCAAACTGGGAACGCATGTCTCCAAAGTCAAGTCCCTCTCGATGGACAGCTGGAGCACCGACCAGGTCGACAACATGAAGCGGGTGGGAAATGTGGTCAGCAACAAGTTATACAACCCGCAGGGAGTGCGTGCGGACATTCCCGTGGACATTGATGAGGTGGAGGCGGCCATGGAGAAGTATATTCGCCAGAAATACGACCAACGCACGCTGGGAGCATCTTCAAGAAACCCCGCGCCGGCCGCGAGGCAGATGGCGCAGAATACGGGCAGTACAGGCACCGGAGCCGCGTCGTGGAACGACGAGCAACCCGATCTTCCGCCCAAACCCACCAAGCGGTTTGGATTCAGCATGCGTTCAACGAGCTCCACCATTCCGAAGAAGAACAAGCAAGACCGCTTCACGCCACCTTTGTCGCCCGCCTACACAGGCAGTGACCGGGAAAGAGATCACACGCCGCCGCGAAATCTGCAGAAAAAGTCGAGCCAGCTGTTTGGCATGAGGATTACCACCGTGGACAACAACTTTAACGCGAAGCTGGTCTACCTGCAGGACATGGGTTTTCCTGATAACATGAAGAACACGGAGATGCTCAAGAGTATGAATGGGAATGTTGAGAGGACCGTGGAGGCGCTGGCCCGGCTGGGGGAAGGCACAAAGCAACTGACGAGATCCGTCACCCCTGGACCACGAGCATTGACTCCAGTATCTATGGGAAGCTCTGGTGGCGCCAATGGAATATCGTTTGAGAGAAAGGCGGCATCAAACAATAATCCGTGGGAAGTACGCAATGACCCGCCAGTACCAGCACCCCTGCCGCGCGCACAATCAGTTCCTCCAGTCTCCACCACTGCGCCCACCTCGAACTCATGGAACCCTTTCATGAGTCAGGCGCAGCCGCAGCAATCGTTGGAAAGCAGCTTCGAGAGCCTGCAAGTATCACAGCCCGCCGTACAGCAGATGGTTGGCAATCAGCAGGCATATTATCAAAACAACGCTGTCCATCAATCCTCCAACCCGTGGCAGCAACAGATGCAGCAGCAGCCTCAATTTGGTGAGCAATACCAACCGGCTCCCACTGCCCAGACTGGTGGCGCATTTATGAACTCCCAATTTCAACCTCAACCTCAAGTTCAGCCGCAGCCACAGCCGCAGCCCAATGTTCAATATCAACCTCAGCAATTGACTTCGAGCAACCCATGGGCGCAGCAGCCTGCCCTACCACAGGCCAATCCTACACTAGGACAATTAAGCAACCCCTGGGCCACATTAAGCCAGCCAGGGTCCAATCAACAGATGGCAGCGTCACCTGCGCCAGTATATGGTCAGCAAACCGACTTCTTCTCTCAGGCTCAACCTATGCAATCGACTCAGGCCCAGATGCAAACTCAGCCGCAATATGCCTCGCAGCAGCAATTCCAAACTCAGCCGCAACCGCAGCTATCTCAATTCCAGGCACAGCCGGTACAGCAAAGCTCGCAGCCAGCTTTGGCAGGGCAAAATCCCTATCAGCAGCACATGCAGCAACAAGCTCAAAACCAGCCACAGCAGCAGCAGCAACAGTTCCAGCAGTACCCTTCGCAGCAAATGCAGCAATATCCACCGCAGCAGCAGCAGCAACAATACCAACAACAACAACAACAACAACAACAACAACAACAACAACAAACATACGGGCAGCAGCAGTTTGGTCAGCCTCAGACAACGCGGCATGATAAATCATCCATCCTAGCTCTGTACAATTATCCTCAGCTCGCACCGCAAATGCCTTTGCAGACGCTTCCCGAGGACTCGCAGCCGCAACCTGAGAGTGTACCACAGCGGAGCGCAACAATGCCGGTATCGTTCTCCGGAAGCGCGAATCCCTTTGGTCGGCCTGCGCCCACTGCGCAGATTCGGGGACACGCTAGTAATGACAGCGTCGATTTTCAGGGGTTGGGAAGTGGGAGACACAGTCCTGATGCATTCGCGGGCTTGAGCTCACGGTGGTGATGATACGAATGAAAGGGAATAGTGCACAGCGAGGCGTTGGTTCCCAGATCGGGTGGGCATGGAAAATGTTGGGATTCGTGCATGTATTGTTAGCTTGGTAACGCGAAACCGGGACATGATCGGTTGATGTGAAATGAAGATGTCGGTGTTTGCGCGAGGAGACAGCATGCTACCTTACTCCCTACGTCAGAAGTCTTGTGAATTCCTGCGGCTTGAATTTCCGATTCATGAACGTTGTTGGGGCGCTCTCCTTCTCGCTTGATTGTCCTAGCTTGTCATGGCCCGGCGTTGCCCACATCGGCGGCATCGGCAAAGCAGCTAAAACGACCCGTAGTCGAGGCGAGTGGCCAGAACGAACTCGCGGGATCTCGAGTTTGGCACCCCCGTTAGTGTATGCCGCTCGAGCAACCAGTGCTGCAAGGGACATGTTGATGAACGGGCACGAGCGTTACATGAATGTGGGTTTTGTATGCAAGATGGTCGTTTGTGGAAGATGCAATTTGCGGATTGGGAGGGGAATCCGAGTTTGAAACTTCAAAGGTCGATCGAAAGAGATCGAGATCGGTTCTGGTCCTGCAGGGGCTTTATAGACCGAAGTTCAATCGACGCGACTTGTTGAATGGCAGTGGATCGGAGTTAAGTTACGTTGACAGACTTAATACTTTAGTTGGGATGTCGAGCAATAGGATTGATTAATTGAAGGTGCGATGCATTTTCGTTGGATAATTATGTCAAGAAATACATTAACGATAGAAGAGAGGAATTGTGTAAGTGAGATTAATCAATGCAAATGGCAGTCACGGTAGACACAGAACAACGAGGAAGGCACCTCGGCATCATTTCTATCAGACAAACTCTATCAGGGATATAGTAAGTACATATAGGAGCAATGCACCTATAAGGAGGAACAAGGCCCGAGGCTCGTAGGCTAAGGCAAGATAAGGTTCCGGCATGTGAGGTAGTTACCGTATTAGGCCTCGAGAATCGAAGTGAATGTCTGCTCGAGCGCAAGGTAGGCACAGCCATCGCTCTTTCCTAATTGCGTTGTTGTTGCTCGCAGTCTGGGACGCCCGATTGCCCACAGAAATGAACGCCTCGAGATGGACATCTCGACGACTACTCTTCTTTTACACAGTCTAGAGTACCGTCGAACACTGCGGCAGGCTCAGTGCTCCATTGAGAGTATGAACTACCGGCAGTGACCGGGACAAGCCTTGGAATGAGTGAATGCCTTTCTCCTGTTGATGGGGAAGGTACAACCCTCGCTCCTTCCTGGTTGCGCTGCATAATATTTAACCGCCCAATCGCCCTCAAAACACAATCGCCTGAACATGGACATACCAACAACAACATCTCGACCACCGCTCCTATCTTGTACCTTCCAGAGTACCACAGAAGGCTCCGGCAGGCCCATTGCTCCACCGAGTACGTGTGAGTGTTGCCGTGAGAGCACTCTGCGTGTTATCCTCCATTCACTCCCTGGCGGGGTGATGTTTCCAACACAAGTCCCAGTTCGAAGGTGCAGCCTGCCATCCCCATTCACTCCCCAACAATGGAGTCATATGGCCAAAAACTTCACATTGAGGCAGCGTGACTCAGCTCGGAGTGCTGCCTGCAATTCTTCCACCGCTCGCACTTCTCCGCCACCTTTTCTTCCACCTTCTCCACTACCTTCCCCACCACAACACCACCCACCGCGCCACGGCGCAGACGACCACCATGACAGACCAGTACTGGCAGCTGGAGAAGGAGTTCTACACTATCAATGTCCCGTCGGACCTCGTCCTGCGTGTGGTGGAGCACCAGGACATCGCCAGTTCGTATTCCCACCGCAATGTGAGTTACACAGCACACTGACGGTACTATAGCCCGCCAAGGCGACACCATGGTGGTGAAGTCCACCCCAATCAAGATCCACGAGTTCCGTGTCGACAGTGAAACCCTCATGGATGCGTCGGAGTACTTCGGACAGCTCTTGGAGCAGCGCCCCTCCCACTTTGAGATCCATGAAAACGACCCCGGCAACGTGACGGGTCTCACAATGTGGCTGAAGATTGCCCATCACATCGTCCCAGACCACACGTACGAGCTCCACATCTATGAGGTCTGGTATGTCTGCAGCGTCGCCAAGAAGTACGGCTTCGACCSACTCTCACCCAAGGCGATGCAGTGGTTCGACGAGTGGTACAACCACCAACCACACGTCAAGCACTTCAACTTCCGTGATTACGAACAGCTCATCMTCCCCACGATGACTTTCGATAACGCGACAGCCTTCTCTCACACTACCAAGTACCTCGYCTACAGATCTAACGGAGCCATCAGCGAGACCAAGCCAGCGGATTTCCACCCTGACAATGCCGAAGATGTCTTCACGGACCCGGCGATCATCGTGCAGCTCAATTCTGCGCGCAACCGGCTCACCACAGTCCTGCACCGTACTCTGTACGCTCCGWTCAGCGATTTTCTCGGCACTTCCTGCAAATGCGCCATGTATCTCTTGTACTCATACGAGAAGGGCCTCGCAAATACTGGCTGCTGGCCATTACACCCCGCCCTCGAAAAGATGAGTATGGCAACGGTCCTCGAGAACCTCAGCAAATTCCAACACATGCCCGTACAGACTTGCGGAAAGGAGAGATGCAACATTGATCTGTTCAACGTGGTGGAGAAGGCGATCAAAGACATTGAGGGACAGTTTGCGGGACTCTGCCTCGGTGAGTTACCATATTGTGGCGAGCAGTCTTTGTCACGATACTGATTGATGAACAGACTGCATGTACAATTCCAGTACCCAGATCGGCAAGGAGGAATACTGGCGCCACGAGACGTTTGGTGTTCCCTGGGACCAGGGATGCCGCGCTCCGMACACACAGGCAAGAAGCTTTCCATCCTAGTGTGTTTGTGATAGCTAACACACCCTCTCATAGCCGAGCTGGTTCTTCAGCTTCATGGGCAATCGTGCCGAGATGAACGGGTACCTCTCAAACAAGACTCGCGAGCGCGCTAACAGCTACAGCCGTGATCAGCCCAGCAGTTACGGCTATGGCAACAACGCCTTCCCTCGCGGCGGCAACTATAGTCGCGGAAACAGCGACCGTGGACCACGCCAGATGACCCGGAAATCCCAGCGCCCAGGACGTCATGACAGCGGCTTCTCTCAGCAATTCTACCCTGGAGGAGTGCCCGGCCATGCCATTCAGGATATCAACGCCCGGATGACCAACAGCCGCATTTCCGAGGTCCAGGACACGGAGACCAACATTTCAAACGTCTAGGATGCAAAAGATGGCAACTGATGTGAAACGATGCAGATTTGTGTGTTTGATTCGACCATGCGAGCCTCATACGAGCAACTTTTTTCAGGCATTCAAGGAAGGAAAGGATTGATTTGCTGTGAGCAGGAGTTGCATCGGACAGAGCGATGGGAGAGGATGATGGATGATACTTTATGGGAAGTTCGGCAGAGCTTCATACGATGGGATGAGATTTGAGGCTTTKCAAGGAGGTTCACGAGAGTTGTGAGATTGACTCATTGGACTCTGGTGACCGCGAGGTTGCCTTTTGTGCCATTGGCCAGGGAAATGAAAGTACCACTCTCAACCTTCTTTGTCCACTTCGTGCTTTCATACGGTGCTGTGAAGATGGACATGCGCAGTACAGGCGTGCCTGTAGCATGGTTGTTGTCTTCGCTGTGTGCCCATGTCCAGCGTCCGAAAGACCAATTGAGAATATAACGGGAGCGACCAGACGCCCCTTCATTGACCACGTCTCCATCAGAGGTCTTCGGTGATGATCCAGCGTACACCACAGCCTTGATCCGGTAGACTTCATCCTTTGGAGCCGCGTGTAGCAACTGTTCCAGCTTTGCGAGATCCACTCCTGCCTCTTCACTTTCTGATGTGAGCGTCACAGACAGACACTCAACTTCTGAAGAATGATGCTCTGTTTCGCCATGGCCGCAGTCCTTTCCATGAACGTGGCCATCCTCCTTCAGCCAGTCTCTTGCCATTTTCACGTCAAAGCCGAAGAGCAACTCATGGCTGATCCACCCTCTATCGCTCTTCGTTTGAGGCGTGTCCACGTCCAAATCCCCCAACCGGTCGAGGAAGATGTCGAAGTCTCGCTCCGAAAGACTCTCCCATTTGTTGATTACAATCAAATCAGTCTGCTTAGCCTGTAGCTTTGCGGTAAAGCTCGTGCTTGCATAACCCGACCAGTTCTCGGCATCAATCACGCTTACAATCCCATCGAGTTCGTACCGTCCAGTGGCTTTCGCGATTCTGTTGACTTCCAAAACCAGCTTGAGCGGTTCGGCACTTCCTGATGTCTCGATGATGATTCTATCGGGGTGGCTTTCACGATCTAGCAGCTCCAGACTTTCCTCAATCTGGCCGACATTTGTGCAGCAGATGCAATCTCCCAAAAGTTCTTTACTCGCGGTCATCTCGGCTGCAGATGCCAGCTCTGTGTCGACAGCAACATCTCCAATTTCATTCTTGATGAGAGCTAGTTTGTAGCCGGGGTTGTTTGCACGGAGTTGAGGGAGCAATTTGAGGATGAGAGTCGTCTTTCCTGAGCCGGCAAAGCCAGTGATGATTGTGATTGGGATTCGTGAAGATGGAATTGATGCTGTCTCCGCCATTTTGAGAAGATGGGATATTGGTTCAGTCGGGGAATTATTGCTTCAAAGTACGACCCATATCGCACGATGTTGGCCTTTTCCTGATCGAGACTGGCGCGAAATACGCAAGAAGCGGGCAACTCTCTTCACAAGACCGAGAAACTCAAGTTCCACCTCGCTTCCAAGATTTCCCAGGCTCTTTCGTCTTCTCCCCGAAAGCTGCGTACGATTGGCTGTCATATAGTGCAGTGTAATGGGAGCACCAGACATCGAGAGCGTTTCATCAGCTGCGTCATATGCCAAGTGGTGGGGTGATTGTGCCTGCCCTGCTCGCGTGTCCTGTTCACGGACAAGCCATCTAGATAAGTTGCTCAGCTCTTGCTTCATCCTCTTTCACACAAGCATCACAAACCACCAAACAATCAACTCCAAACCACAACATCATGGACTTTCTCAAGAACGCAGTCGGTGGCGACAACAATGCCAACCAGAACCAGAACGACAACCAGCAGGGCGGTTCTGGCGGAGAGAAGAAGGAAGGCGGCGGTGGTTTCTTGAGCGGACTTGGCGACAAGATCAACGGAGCTGCTGGCGGTGGCAAGGAGGTGAGTCTGTTCGCGTTGACATGACTAGGACTCCGTTACTGATCTTTTACCAAGAGTGAGAAGAACGAGGACTACCTGGACAAGGGCATCGACATGGTCCAGGAGAAGTTCATGGGTGCTGGACCTCAAGACAACGAATCTGCAGTTGAGCAGGCCAAGGATGAGCAGATCTCTGACTTCATTCGCGGACAATACAAATCGACGACTGGCAGCGACATGCCGATCAAGGACAAGCCAACCTCTCTCGACCGAAACACCGACTAAATCTTCTGCAAGTTTCTTGTGGATATTACCCTTTCTGTCTATCTGTAGGCACTGAGATGCTGGGAAACGCGGATATGAGACTAGTCAAGGACTTTGTGTAAATCATGAATATGAGAAATGAAGGCATGTTTGAAACTCAACTATTGTTCAGACCTTGCGTGTTGTCAACGTCAAGTCCTTTCATGCCAGGTCGTTATATCAACATGCCCATGCCCTTCAATCATGTCGGCATCTTATCCAATACCAGCATCCGAACCACGTCTGATCCGCAGCACAGCCAGATCATGTGATGGCAGAACCAAGAAAGGGTGCATCTGGATTGTGTCAGACCTAACACGGTTTGCGAGAAGCCATGAAGGAAGGAAGGGAAGTCTGATTTGAAACCTTGAATACAGCGAGCCGGCACGGAGAAGTTGAGTTCATCATCAAATGGAGCTCATAGGACAGAGAGAGGCAAGAAGAGATCGTAGTACACTGCCTTGCTGGACGGGGCATCTCCTACCCGCGTTCGCGGCGCTCTCTTGATAACAGCAGCAGGAGGGGGGAGCCCATTGAGCACGCCCTCCGATTCCGTCTCGTGAAATGTACGCAGCCATCAACGTGCGTGCTCAAGGTCTGCACCGTCCACGGTGCCATCGTCTTTCAACAGCTTGATGGAACGCTCATGACCCTCGAAAAAACCGCAAGTAAGAGAAGCAATCATACCGTAGACATCTACCATAAGTTCCAAAAGCTTTCGGGGACGATGTAGAAGGTCGCACCCGCTCTGAAATCCCGCTGCCATCGAGGTAAATCAGCAATCGCAGAGATAAAGCGGCAATTGGATGAAACTAACCACATCACGCTGGTCGTCGTCTGCGATTTCTTGACCTTGAAATGCCATTTTGAGGCCTAGACGCTTGATACCGTAAAGTTCCTCCAGCAGCTCCCATATTTTCGCAATGGTCCATCCTGGCGCAATCCAGATTTGGCGTGTTTGCCCCCAAAACTCGACAAAGATTGGGTACAGGAAAGGTCCATTGTCGATTTCCTCGAGCAGGAGTACCATTGCTGCTGTGCGATCTTCTTCTTCGGTATCATGGTGCGCGCTTGTAGAGTCCTTGAGCGCGTTGAAGCATTCCACTGGAAGGAAGACTTCGACCTTGATGTGTTGTTGCCTAGCCATGATGAATAGGACAKAAAGAGAGAGTGTGAAGGATTGCCGTTGTGGATGATGGGAATGTTTCGAGTTGGTGCTCTCGAAGCAGAAGYTACCCTCTGAGTCGTGAGGAGTCGCGGTGTTGTAGAAGTGAGTTGCATGTGAAGGCTGGAGAGCTTTGACTTGAGCATGTGATACTCATGTTTGGAAGACAAGCGCAGCAGCTGAGGGTATTTCAAGTGCCAGTGAGCCCAGCAATTCTCTGGCTGGAATATGCATATATTTCCATGTAACGAAAGAATCAGAGAAGCACCCAAGTCCACTTACTGTATGAAGCACAGGAAGACGTTTCAACGCGTACCTTCACCTGCTCACTGGCATATCCATCAGGCCATATGTCAACTCATTTGGATACATTTCCATACGCCACATCCCGTCCCTCTTCCCAGGGAAGACACATGCTGCCCAACGCCTGAAACGCCCTGCGCTCGTCTCGAACACTATGCATCCTATCCATCTACGGAATGCTGACATTGAAGTTGTCTGGGTAATCGACCTCCTTGATGCCTTCCTTTGTCACAACCTTGACCAAAACACCCTTAAAGTCCACCGGCATACGTCTCTTCAGCTCATCTGTGCACATTCGCAACAACTTCATGCCCTGCTCGAAAGAGATATCCGGGTGATGGTGCTTATCGAGTGTGGAGAGACAGTAGTATTGCGCGTATCCATGCGCGGCATATGGAAGAGGCGCACATGACGCCAGGTAATCGATCCAGAAGAGCTGTGGCTTGTCCTTGACAGTGTCGTAGCCGCCGAGGAGGAGATTGACGGTGTAGGGGTTGCGGGAGCGCAAGGATTTTGCGAGTTCCGATCGCACGAATGATGCCGTCTCTGCAGGTGTGAGGTGGTTGGAGTTGCGCATGCTGTAGAGCTGGATGTTGGCCTGGACGTATTCCGCGAATTGGACTACATGATCAGTATATGGGGTGGATTGGGAGTGTTGATTTGGACACACCAGTATCTCCAGCCTCTCCACTGAAAGCCATGAGGGTGTGCTCGTTGAGGGTGCGGGTCTTGTCATCGCTGGCCTTGAGAATGGTTGCGCCTCGCATCGCCGCTTTCGAGGCGGCGATGATGGTAAAGTCCTTGCCGGTGATTCCAAGTAATACCTCCCTGTACATTCATTAGAGATGTTCAATGTTGATTGATGGGTGAGAAGGAACATACATGATGGCGGTGAGGGTGTGGTTGAAAGAGTTGGTTGTTGGATGATGTTTCCAAGCAATGCAATGGAGTTGAATGAGCTCAGGCAGCTCCAGAGGTACGCGGAGCGGATTACCGTGTCATGCCGGGGAAGGTAGGCCGAGATGCCGATCCGAAAAGTATTCCAGAGCGACGACAATTATCCAACACATTGACCACGCTACAGTCCCATCTTCCATTGTCTGTACTCGCGCAACAATTTCACCTTGATCGCCATATCTTTGCGACCCAATTGGTAAAAAGGAAGGTCCTTTGGAGGATTGGAACATGGGAGTTGAGACGAGGAATTGAGCAACCAAAAAAATGGCCTACAAAGCAGATATCCGGACGACTTTTGAACCCAACCGTGTGATCCAACCAATCTACACTGGAGGAAGTGTAGCCATCAGTCAGGATGGACAGACATTGGCTTCCTGCCTGGGCGAAGAGGCACTCCTCACCAACCTCAACAATGGAGCCCATCTGGCACGAATTGAAGGCGTGAGTGTGCTTGATCGTCTGCTCCAACTCGGGACTGACTGTTGACAAGCGTGAATAGGATGGAGAACCGCTCACAAACCTCATAATCACCCCGGATGCCGCACATTTGATCGTTTGCTCACGATCACTTTCCATGCGAGTCTATGCTCTGCAGGCCGGGGACGACGAGATCGAGGCGAAACTGGTGCGGACAGTAAAGCCACACACGACGCCTGTGGTGTCAATCGCCGTGGATTCGACCAGCACACTGCTAGCTACGGGAGGTGCGGATGGGGTAGTCAAAGTCTGGGACATCCGAGGAGGATTCGTCACACACACCTTTCACGGACACAGCGGGCTGATTTCTGCTCTACATTTCTTTCACGTGGACCCACAAAACGAGGTACAACCAGCCAAGAGCAAAAAGAGGAAGAACAAGCAACGGAATGAAGAGGTTGAGGAGGTCCAGGACGAGGCCACTGCAGGATACAGGCTGGCATCGGGTGGAGAGGATGGCAAAGTGCGCATCTGGGATTTACACAAGAGGAAGAGCACTGCGACGCTGGATTCACACGTTTCTGTTGTGAGGAGTCTGGACTATTGCGCGGAGAAGAATCTCTTGCTTTCTGCCAGTCGGGACAAGACTGTCACCTTGTGGGACGTCCGAACTTGGGAGCTGGCCTCGACAGTCGCTGTGTTGGAGACAATCGAGAAAGCTGGGTTTGTGGAGAAGGGTCGCTTCTTCTACACAGGTGGCGACACTGCAAGATTGAGGATATGGGCCACCAATGGTGGAAAGGAGATTACACAGGATCAAGAGGAGGGATCAGAAGTTGATGGGATTGTGGATGTCCTTCACTTTTCGAACCTTTCGTTCCTTTTGACGGTCCATGCGGATCAAACTCTGGTTCTGCGGTCTCTTCAGCCTCTGGCTGGGCTAGAAGCTTCCCAGGAAACACCAGCACTTCCAATCGTGCAACGGATCAGCGGGACCCACGACGAAGTCATCGATCTTGCATACATCGGCCGCGATCGCAACATTCTGGCACTGGCAACAAATCTGGAGGACATTCGCCTGATTTCTCTGGATACACAAGGATCAAAAGGCTCATCTCCATACTTTGGCGCAGACATTGCTCTCCTCAAAGGCCATGACGACATTATCATCACAATCGACACAGACTGGTCCGGCCACTGGCTAGCGACCGGCGCGAAAGATAATACCGCACGACTATGGCGTTTGGATCCTGAGAACAACTCTTACGAATGCTTTGCGACTTTCACTGGACATGCAGAGAGCATCGGCGCTGTGGCTCTACCAAATGCAATCCCTCCAATTGGATCAAAGGAGTATCAGCGACCTCTCGATTTCCCACCCAAATTCATGATTACCGGCAGTCAGGACAAGACCGTCAAGCGATGGGACATCTCTCCTGCGGCAGGGAAGGCGCCTCGAGCGGCATATACAAGAAAGGCTCACGACAAGGACATTAATGCGATTGAGACGAGCTTTTCTTCACCCGCTTTATTCGCTTCGGCTTCACAAGATCGGACTGTGAAGATCTGGGATGTCGAGACTGGTGAAGCGATTGGTGTGCTCCGAGGCCATAAGCGCGGCGTTTGGACTGTTGCTTTTGCACCCATTGGTATGCCCGCGTTAACGACAACAGGCGAGGGTGGTGCAGCAAGTACGGCAAAGGGTATGGTTGTGACTGGTAGTGGAGACAAGACGGTCAGGATATGGAGTTTGACAGACTACTCTTGCTTGCGGACGTTCGAGGGACACGCAAATAGTGTGTTGAAAGTTGTGTGGCTACCGCCACCTGGAAAGAAAGCCAAGAGAGGAGTGCAAGTCGCAAGTGCGGCGGGAGATGGACTGGTGAAGGTTTGGGACGCACAGGGTGGAGAATGCGCAGCCACTTTGGATAATCACATCGACCGTGTCTGGGCGCTTGCAGTAAAGCCACAAATCGAATCAAAGGACACCTCAACCGATGAGGAGGAAGCAGAGGAAGGGAGCGAGGAACAGCTAGAACTCGTCTCGGGATCCGCCGACAGCACACTTACTTTCTGGACCGATACGACCGCCACGACTGCGCTAGCAGCTACCACACACGCCACAGCGCGGATTGAACAAGACCAGCAACTACAAAATCACATCCGGAGTAAGAACTTCCGAGAAGCAATCGTTCTGGCATTGCAGCTCGATCACCCGAAACGCTTGCTAGAGCTGTTCGGCGATATTGTCAGCGGGCCGCAAGAACCTGGCTCTTTTACAGGGCGCTTGGACGTCGATGATGTGTTGAGGAGTTTGAGTGGTGGCCAGCTTTGGAATCTGGTGTGCAGAGTGCGGGACTGGAACGCCAATGGTCGGACAAAAGGCGTGGCGCAAAGAGTGCTCTACGCATTACTCCACTTATTCCCCAAGGAGAGATTGCTGGCGCTTGGGAAAGCGAGGAAAAAGGCTACGAATGACGATGATGCGGAGTTGGTGGTGGCTATGATGGCTGAACTCGACACCAAGGATAAGAGTAAAAGGAGAGAAGGGATGAAGGATGTGGTTGATGGGTTGAAGGCGTATACAGAAAGGCATTATGCCAGGCTRGAGAAGACGGGAGAGGAGAGATTCGTGTTGCGGTGGGCATTKGGACAGATGGATGATGTTGCGGCTGTGAATGGGACCATTGGGAGCAGAGAGGAGGATGTGTTGATGTTGGAGGGTTGATAGTACGGTTGTTTGCAGGCTGTACGATGCAGAACAATGTAATGCTGTGGCCTCGCGGTCTTGTATACTCCGACTCGATCAACGTTTACCCCCACTGTACGTGACGTTCATAGAAGACTCTTTGCAGCCTCCAGAATGAGACCTCCTCACTCATCTTCAATAGTGCATTCTCTCGCACCCCAAACTACAGTCTCAATCAGCAAACCCTCAAACTACCCTTTGCAAAAGAAGTCCTCACCTCAATCAAATTCGTATTCTCCAGCAGCACTCTCCCATGAACCGTCGCAGCGAAACTTGCAATCGATCCATTTATGGTATTCCCAGGCACCAGAGGCCGCTGCTTAGCCGGTTTTGCTACACGTACCACCGTTCACCGCCATCTCCACAAGCCGTTCTGAACCAATGACGCCAAGCTACGAGTAATTAGTAACTGGCATAACACTTCGTGGATAGTTTGATCGACTTACAGAACCCAGAGTCATACCTGCAGGCGGTCTCTGATACCAAGGGGAGCCGCTCCAGAGAACCTTGCCACGGAAGTGCAAGAGTTGATTGGCAAGTGGACATCCAAGCCGATCAGCGGTGAGCTGTGCGAAGCTGTGTATTGTCGTAGAGCGCCGGACGTTGAACCTCTGTTTTAGACTGATCGTTGTCGAAGAACGACAGAGGGATAATGCTGAGCCTGGTTCTGCTCTCTGGACGAGTACTTCCACGTCGATGGCATATTCGGATTCAGGATCCGCTGTTACTGATGGAATGGGCACAGATGGAATGGGTACACCGGTATCCGGTTCGCTTACCAAAACACGCAGCATCGACGGAGAGGGCTCTCTGCTGACGTTTGAAGTATGCTGGTCTTTCGACGGAGTCTCTCTACTTTGATGTCTGGCAGCCTCGAACTCGGTCCCATCATTGCGTTCCTTCTGGAGTCTGATTCGCGTTGCCTGGTCATAGATCACAATCATGTCAAGGAATGGCTTCTTTGTGGGATCCATACCAAGCTGTGAGCGGTCGAAGTCAGTACACGAGTCACAATTTACTTTATTGAGAGACTCACAGTGCCAATCATAGTGTCTGCCGGCAGTGGTCTCAGTCCGCTACATCTCCGCTTGCCCCACAAGAACATGCCGTTGGATATCAGGTCCTGGGCATCCAAAGTGCATTCCATTGCCTTGGCAGTCCGCTCAGCGAGTCCCTGGATTGTTGTGGAGAGGGTAGCGACAATCTCAAACTGCCTACGATACCAAGAAGAGGGTATGCGACATGGCAGTGGTGTATGGCTTGATGGATACCAGGATAGATTGTCGACCCAAGTGACGCCAATGGCAAATTCGCGATCATCGTCTATGGAGAAGGGCACCTTCGGCATGTCGTACGTATCTTCCAGTTTCACGGTATCAGGTGCTGGCGGCGGCTGTACATTGAATGCCTTGGGTGGCAAGTCCTTAACGGCCTTGAAGACCGCGCGCGAGGTGCTCGAGATGAGATCCAAAGCCGATTCGACATTTTCGGTTCCTGTAGTACCCCGAATAGCGAGTGCATGTCGACGTGGGATGTCAATCGTGACGGAGACAAACTCCGGGTCGTCCGTGGAGGGCGTCATGATTTCTTTCTTCTGAATTGCGCGTCTGGAGTTTGGAGTCGGCGAAGTCGAGAAGGAAGTGTATTAGAAATGTTTGCTGCTGAGCGCACTGWTGGCTAGCCAATGAGCTGTCTCAGATCAGGGGCTGTCGAGTGACTGAGGATCTGAGACAGACTGCTTGGTCGGTCCTAGACTTAAGAACCGCAGCCGAGAGCGGAAGGTGACGGCCTTACTCGGTACAATACCGTGCGTCTGTGGTGGTAGACTTCACGGTCAATCATATTGCAGACCTGCATCAACATGCATCCATAGGGAGGAACAACGACACCTTGGCGGTCAGCTAAAAGCTTATGAAGCAAAGGACGCCGACGACATACCGCCATTCGGGACACTTAGTTGCTGCAGGACATTCTTCGTAACAACACGTCGCACGCAGCGATTACTCGTTTCGAAGGTTCGTCGTGGGTGCGGTTGAAGGTGATCCATGCATCTTCATGATCATGGTCATGGTCATGGTCTTGCTCATATTCATACAATCGTGGTATCATATTATCGTTTCTTCATTCCTTCCAGGCACAATCGCTTAGCCAAAGTTGATCTTCCTGGCCACCTTATCACCCCGCTTGCTGTCCTCCACTGGCACCTCACCACCCTTCCTCTTCAGATCCTCACCCATGACCTCCACACCACCTCCCTTTCTTGGCAACTCCTCCAACTTACTCGGCCTCGGCTCACTCGTCCAGAACGGATGCCTCAACACACCCTCCGCGTCCAGCCTCTTCTTCGGGTCAAGTCTCAACATACCCATCAAAAGATCAACGCCAACGTCTCCAATCGCTCTGAAATGACCGAGCCAGTAGTCCTTTGATCTGACCGGGATAACTTCCTCCGGAGTGAGGTATCCCTTCAACTTACTCACTCCCGGCCATACAGCCTCTGTAGGCGTGCCCACTTTCTCACAAATCAACTTGACCATTCCCATCTCGCTCTCCGGCCATGCCCTGAACAACACCTCCCGACTGATCAACTCGGCAAACACGGCACCACAACTCCAAACATCCACCGCACCTCCGTAGAACTGCGCCTGAAAGAACAGCTCCGGTGGGCGGTACCACAACGTAATGGTGTTGAAAGTCATCGGACTGTAGGGATCCGCAAAACTCCTTGCTAGACCAAAATCGGCCAACTTGATCGCTCCATCTGCCGCAATCAACAAGTTGTTGGGCTTGATATCTCGATGCAACACCCAATTCGCATGACAGAATCGTATGGCTCGTGAAAGCATCAGCATCCAAGACTTGATGTCAGCAGGGGTGTAATTGATGCTCGTGTCTTGAATCAACTTCAACAAATCTCCTTGTGGCAACACCTCCAACACCAGATTGAGGTTCTGATTTTTGGTGCTGAAGACGGAGTAGAGGCGAATGATGTTGGGATGGCGGAGCTCTTGGAGGAAGCGGATTTCACGCAGGGAGTCGTAGGATATGCCGAACTCGTCCAGATCTGCGCCGACTTTGATCTTTTTGATGGCGAAGATTTTGGTGGGATCGGTTGCGAGGTGGGCAGAGAAGACATCGGCGTATTGTCCTTCTCCAAGCTTGCGACCTTTGATGTATTTGGATCGTTCTGCTGCATCGAGCTGTTCGGCAAGGTCGGCGGTCATGTTGTTGGATGAAGGAGGTTCCACGGAGGAGAGCTTGAGTCGCTTGAGCGGCGGGGAGAGGACCGCCATGTTGGTGGTGGTGGTGGAAGAGAAGAGGGAGGTGGAACGTGAGGAAAGGTGATGTTGTGTTGTTGATACTTAGGTATTGATGGAGACAATCACTAAATTGGGAAATATTGATTCAGAACTCAATCAAATTGCGGCGAACTTCGGGAGTCTTTTCCACATCTCCAGCAGCAACAACTGATATCATCTCCTGGTCATTCCATCCACAACAGAATCATGGCTCTCCGCAGGCCCATCACACTGGCTCCGCGCTTCCTCACACCTCAAACGACATCTGTATTCACCCGTCAACTCCACCGCCTCAATGCGCCGCCTCAGCGCATTCCCCCTCCCACACCCTTCGTCCCGGACGTCAGCACGTTTCTCACCCTGATCGGCCGCAACATGTCCTCTCACAGTGCCAAAATACCATCTTGGGAAGCTCTATTCACTCTCTCATCGGAGCAGCTCAAATCTGCCGGCATTGAACCCCCACGCGCGAGAAAATACCTACTCTGGTGGCGCGAACGGTTTCGGAATGGAATCACAGGGATTGGCGGACAATTGAAGGATGTCAAGGACGGTGTCGCGGAGTTGAGGATTGWGGAGGTGGAGAGCGAAGGTGCGGGAAAGGCGACGTTGACGAGCGGGGAGGGTGTGAGGAAGGTTGTGATCAACACACCCTTGATGGCGGAGGCGGAGGGAGAGAAGCAAAAGGGAGGCATCTTATCGAGAATGGCGCCGCCGCCGAGGGTGGAGGGGAAGGTGGTGCCGGTGAAAGGCGTAAAGATTGTGGAGGCTACGCGGATATCAGGCACGGGTGTTGAGCCCTTGAAGGGGCATCAGGGTGTGGCGAGGCTGAGAGTGGTGGATGGCCTGTGGGAGCAGAGGAGAGGAAGAAAGGTGGATGGCGGTGAGAGACGAAGAGCAGAAGTCCGAGCAAAGAGGAAGGCTGCTGAGAGGAAGGCGAGGTAGACAGTACGATTGGGATGGGAAGGGAAGTGAAAATTAAGCATGCTGTATGATATTGTACAGGGTATAACAAGCAATTCCACAAGTCGCTTCGAGACTGGTTAAGATCAGGCCACCGCGTACCTGGACTCCTCTCCACCTTCAACCTGGCTGCCGAAGGGCCAAAGCCTCGCAGTCATGGCTGCATATCATGAAGCGTTGAAGTCTTAGCGCACACTGCGCAGGACCTCTAAGGCAGTCATCGGACTCCCAGTCAACACCTTCTGACATTCAGCACCCATCTTACGGCGGGCTTCCCCGTCCCTTAATGCCCCAAATGCTTCGTAGACTTGTTTGGGTGTGAAGTCACCGCGCAGCAGTGTCGGGTGATTTTTGAGCTTCCGGAACCTCAATCCAGTGGGCACGTCTTTGGCCTCTACAACCCCGGCAGCAATAAGAATCTCGAATGCCGCGAAAATTGCCGACGTCCGCTCTCTTTCCTTTTTATCGGCAGCCCGAATTCCTTGCTTGAAGAGAACCTGAGAATGAAGATCTCCATAGGTTTTGTGGACTGGAAGATTGAGACGATCGTAACCGCTGGAAGCCATGATTTCGATATCCATCAGGGTCGTCTCATCCACCCAGTCTGACAAGGAAAACTCGTCGCCGAAGGACGATCCTGCGCGCACAAGAAGTTGCGAAAAAGAGTCCTCACCAGGACCCGCCGTCTTGCCTGTGGCTGAACAGGACACGAAGACTTCCTTGCAGCCCTGCAGCGAAGGCTGAATCRCCGCGCCTGCGTGGTTGCAGTCGAGGAACACCACGGTATCAGTCGACGTGACACCATCGCGATTCCACTGCAGTGCATTCCAGTCGAATGCTTGATACCCCTCAGCTCCAGCCTCGTATCTCGAGGTGGCCATGAGAGTCTTTCGTTCCTGATCGTGGACGCCGTGGCCACGGTAATAAACCAATTGCAATAGCTTCCCTCCAACGGCACCATCCCAATCCTTGTGCGAATCGATACTCGATTGGATGAAATCAATGGCCGTTCCGTCTGAGGTCACTTTCGGTATCTCCACGTGCGTCGGGTCAGTGTCCACGAGGTGGAGCTTCGAAATGAAATCGGAAAAGTTGGCTACCTCCCTCCGAAACTCGAAGTCGTCGCGAAAGCCATGGTCTTTGTAGGTGACAACGAAGGCACGGATTCTGGTGTACTCCACTGTGTTGCTTGTGATACGTTGGCGCTTATCATCCGGCATGGATGTGGTACCGATGGAGTGGTCGGGAGCCTTGCGCTTATCACGTGCCAATGCTCGAGATGCTGCCGTTGACGGCACCGATGTCGATGATGCCACCATGGTCCTTACAGTCTCTCGAGATATGCTGTGCTCGGTTGTGATCAATGCAGCGTGGGCTTTTCGTATCGAGCGATTACTGAATGCTGGCAAATGGAGGCAGGATTCAAGTCGATGCTCGAGATTGTTTGAGAAAAGTTGATGTTGAAGAGAGGATGGTGCAGAGGCTGAACAGGGCAATGAGGCTTACTGTCACACGTTCACTTCGTTTGTGGCATATGACAGGCGAGTGAGGGCAGTCGAGCAACAAGAAAAGAGACCCACACCATTCACACTGATAGTGACTTCATTGACGTTCTGCAGGGAGCACTGCAATGCGCGAAGAGTTGATTTTGACGGGTACATCAAGCAATCTCAATGACTCCAAGCAGGTCATCTTCGAAGAGTCCCAGTTCGCTGCATCAACAGCCGGCAATAGCGAATGAAAGCCTGGCACCACCCAATTCTCGGCCGCACCAGAAAGAGCGATGGAATCAGTCCGCACTCGATCTCACGAATCCATGAACTCACACCGAAAACTCCACTTCTCTTTCATGCCAGATCAGCAGTCCTTGGCCGACAGTACGGGTCAAACCACTGCTGAGCACCTGCTGAATGTACTCGCTTTGTTGATGAAATTTTCCCGCCGTCGCGATGTGACTCAACACTGGACAGTCGCCGGATTCATGAGTCGCCATAATCGACACGTGCTGGTATCAGCTAGATCGTTCGCCTTGACCATCATCAGGATCAGCCAGACCTACTTTCAGCAACAAGACCTCAAGAGTACGATCCCGCATCCTTCGAATCGCTCGATGWAGCTCAATGTGGTTGAATGGTTCAGTTACCTCCTCGTCTGACAGAATCTTCTTAACCTCCACATTGCTCAGGCCAACTTTGCTGGGATGACCAATATGATCCAGTCGTTCTTGCAACTCGCGGATTGCTTGTATCAGTCGGTTCTCTTTCATCTTCGCCGGGGAGAACAGTGGAAGTCGCACCATCAAGCGATATTGGTTGAAGCACATTTGATATTGAGCATCTCCCGCGCTCCAAAGGATAGGCTTCGGGCGTGAATACGCACGAGCCAGGTTCTCGGTGGTGGTCACCCACTCCTGCAAAGAGAACGGTCCTGTGTGACAAAGGCCTGCGCGGATGAACAGGTGCGAGAAGGAATGTTTCCCGGGCCAAGGCGTAGTCTCGTTCGCGGAGCAAGCGGCAAATACCATTTTGCAACCCTGAAAGAGACATCCGATCGCGCCTTGTGCGTCACAGCAATCGAGGATCACCAGGGTGTCATTCTCTCCCGAAAAGACACGGTTCCTCTGCAACGACCGCCACTCGAATGATTGCCCCTTTCCGGAATCCATCTGCATCTCGCGCGGTAGAACTGTCTGACCATGACCTGAATAGTACACCAGGTCTAACGCCTTGCCCGGGCTTTTGTTGGACATGAGTTGAAAATTTTCTATTTGATGGTCCAGCCAAGTCGCGATTCGCTTTCCTTCCAAGCCGCCTGGTATCTCTGCTCTCACGCACTCTTGGACACCCAGATGCTGACGAAAGAAATCGACCACATTCTGAATCTCGGTGGCGAAAGTGGTGACGGGCCAGTCGTGGACTTGCCAGGTGATGATGATCGCGCGGACTGMATTGTATCCCATGCCATGCGGAGTGTTGTATCCTTCAGCGTTGGGCGGGAGCCTCGGAGGAGCCATGTCGGTCTTTTCTTATTGCGTGGAGTTGTGGCGTTTGAACGAGGCTTGAAGGTCGTGGATCTGGACTTTGAGTTGGTGTGGGTCTGAGGAACGAACGTTGTCTGAAGGACATTAATAAGGGGGAGGGGACGCGAAGCGAAAGTAACATGATCGTCTGGCCGACCAGCACCTCCTCTGAACATCATAAACCCCGAAGCCATTCACTGTGCTCACTCGACTGGCATGATGTCTTACAGATCGCCAAGCGCAGGATGGTCAGATTCTCGGGAATTGGAGTAGCTTCCAGGAGCTGCTCGTCCAGAAAGTCAACAAGCAGACGATACGAGCACATGCCTCCATAAAGTCTTGTCTCATTGCTCGATACCTTGCCGTGTTGTTGATGAGTCTCTGATATTCTATCAAAGCCATGATGTCGTGTTTCGTGGTTGCGTTGATGGTGGCGGTTGGGCGAAGGAGGGAGCTTTTCAGGAACGACATCGGCGAAGATTTTCGGATGCGTCGGCAGTGGGTGTGAATGAAATCAGTCGATCTGCAGACTACACATCAGAAGCTCGTCTAACACAGAACGTACGTCCCTTCGTGTACTGGAGAAAATAACGGAATACGTTGGCCTTCATAACAAAAAGGGGCGTGGGCTTGGCGCTCAACAATGATGGTGCTCGGTGAGATGCCGAAGAACCTGCTCATGCAGATCAATCTCCCTAATCGCCATACACAGCGCACGACCGTCCGCTCATCCTCCATGCGAACTCAAAAATCATGGGAGAGTAGCCTCGCTATGGTATTACGTGACTTTTTCCCGGACGCCGGTAATACGTCCATAGCTGTACCGCGGAAGGCAATTCAGCCCAACCTCCCAGCCGATCGTTTCATGTAGTCATATCATTAACTTTTCCATCTCCGTCCGCAGCGGCTCCGGGTATTTGTTCGTAGCACTTCGTTGCAGTCGTTTAGAGCAATTTCATCCCTCGAGTTTCTTCATGTTCCTCCATTTCGCCAATCAGTCCAATTCAACGACATCGCTACCCTGCTTCAGCCATTTTGGATTGATCTTGACGCCGTGCGACTCCTTCTCCGCCTCGGTGGACAAGRGGTCATTGTGAACGCCAGCCAATTTCACCCACAGAAGGATGTACTGCTGCTTCTCACTCTCACTACAGCGACCCTTGTAGCGATTCCCGAAACTTGACTTGAGGCACTTCACGATCTTCTTCCGAACACTCGCGCTGATGTCTTTGAAAGACTCTTGATCCTCGAGGTGACGCTGCATTCTGGCCATGGTGTCGGTGATGTTGCCGTCGTTGGCAGAGCTTGTGTCAATGCCTTCAGAATTCGCGGCAGGTCTGATGGCCTGGGTGTCGAGAAGTCCTGCCGCAGCAGAATCTTCGGCGGCCGTGATAGCCAGCTAAGATACATTAGCTCGTCATCCGAGGATTCTTTGTTCGGGCAAGGGCTTACTTTTTGGCGCTTGAAAAGCTTTGGTGACACGAGTACAGTATTCGTTGGCCGCCTGGGCCGCTTCGCCACCTCCGGAGGATCCGGTGCGGTCAGCTTTGCCCCCTGACTGCGTCTGCCACGATTTCTTGTAACGCGGGTCAAGATGCTTGTCTCGTAGGGATTGTCCTTGGCATCGTCGTCCTCATGCAAGGCGCTCAGCAGATACTGCGCGGCCATTCTGTGACTGAGCGAAAAGAGGGATGTCAAGGTGGAAAGAAATTCGAGATGACCACCCCTTTTGGAGGGGTTGGAATTTGGACCACTCGAGCTTTGGTGAGTGAACAAACTCTGACTCAGCATAGTCTAATAGTCACTCGAGTTATTCTCGGATTCACTTCTCATGTGATGGTCTGAGGAGCGCGCACGAGTGTTGTATTCATGAATTGTGTAGTGGGGTGATGTCGAGGCTCAGGAGATTTTTAGGGGGCTGCCACGACCGGCCATTTTCGGAGCTCGGGCCGCACGTCCCGCTTTTCTCACATAGTGCAAGAGCGTCCATGTCCCATTGCCATCGAATACATCTCGAAGAGAATTTGAGAACAAACAGCAAGAGCTCAGAGCAGGGGATGAGAAAGATCTCGCGGAACATTCCGTGGACTGCAATCGACTCTTGCCATCGCCGGAACAAGCATACGGTTTAGCCACCTGAACAATCGAACAGATGACCAGATGTTGTCGTCTCGGAGAGACGGCCATGTTAAATGCACACCTCAATGTACCCGGAGTCGTTCGAGATAGTAGATCCGGCGAATCCGTCACTTTGCCAGTTACGACCACAGCCCAGGGAAGCTCCTAAGATGGATTAGAGGCAATGGCATTCGTTGAAGCTTGATTATCGAGACTCTTATGAGCAGATACAGTCTTATGAGCGTCTTCAAGCAGAACCACGCCCATAATGGCTCACATGGTTGACACTGTACTTGCGAATTTTCAAGGCCTGTCGGGTTTCTTCAAATCCTGGAGGGCGGCATGCAGCATCTGGTAGCCATTGCCGGATGAACAGCGCAGAATCGAGCTTTCCTCCAAGGCTCTTCTTTCCTTCCTTCAGAAGTAGTAAGAGTAGGATGGAGACCTCCATGAACTTCCAATCTCACATCTATCAACACCACGACTTCAAAGCTCCGACAGCGCTCGCACAGCCATCAATACTCATTCATCGCCTCAACAGATTTCCCTCACTCACTATGTCCAACACGGAGCAGAAGCTCGAAGACCGTGACCCGACTCCAGTCTTGGCTCGCTGGCCCTCAACAGCCGGGCACTGGTATCTCGCCCAGCGCCACCATGACGAGACCATTCAATTCGAGAATCCCGTCGACCCCGTCAATGGAGTAAAGACGACAGTCGCGGAAATTGGAGATGCCAACATCAGAGCATATCCAATAGGTCTCGGCGGCAATCCACTGAAAAGCTCCCCCGGCACACACCCACTTCGGGAAGGAGACAACGTCCTCGCCTACACTCGCTCCGCATGCCCCATGTATTATCCACAGCGACAAAGATACGAGATGGGTGTCGTCGTCACTGTGGTATCAGACGAATTTGTCATAGTGAAGTTTGAAGATGGCGTTGTAAAGGTGAGTTTGGATCCGTTCTTCGCCGTTGGCAGTCTGAAGTACCAAAAACACGTATCGAACACGTTCTGACAAAGTGTATTAGTCAGTGAACTGCAGACGGATACGCCGCATGTATCTGGGAGGGCCGACTCGCCTCGACTACTCGGCTCGCGGCATGTATCCCAGGTGCACCAGCTCCGAGTCAAGACCACACCTCTTCTCATTCTCTGCTCGAGCCGAGCCCGAGTTTTCTGCACACTCTTCGAGTGATTCCACGAGTGCTTCCCCGAGTGCTTCCCCGAGTGCTTCCCCGAGTGCTTCCCGGAGTGCTTTCCCGAGTCAAGCCAACTCAATGGGTGTTGTGGTCAGAAATTTCTTCAACCGTTGGATCGCTATCGTTTGGACGTTTGGACTATAGTGAAAATGATTCTCACCATCTTAAGAGAGACCTTCGCGATCACAGGGACAGGTTCGGAAACTTGCCAGAGCAACTTGAGCACACGCGAGATGGAGATACTTTCGGACACCTGTGGGTCAAGCTCGTAGAGCGACACAAATTGACATGGGCCATCGGTCGAAGTCGAATATGCGGTTATTAGTGATTGATAAGGGCAGGCTTTGGGGTGATTGGAGGAGCGACGGCGTCCATCGTTGTTTGTAAAGAAGGTTGACTAGTTCTATGAATACTCACCTTTGCGCATTCATATCATTTGTTATGGTCAGATCTCGTATCGATGTTAGACACATCAACTTCTACTCAACTGGTTTCCCTCAATAGGAGTGTCTTTTGGAATGAACTCGTAAGGTAGACCTGCCAAAGGACTCCAGTAGATTCACAGAAGCTGCCGCTAGTCAACCCTTGCTGCATTAGCGCTCAGGTCTCCAGCGTTCCTTTGAMCTCAGCACCGACTCGTCCAGACAAACGTCCACAAACCTCTCAAAATTCATCATGTCGGTCAACATCACCGTCGCCGTTCCCCTCGAGGCCATCGCCGCCATCAAGAGCGGCAACTCCGGCTCCACCATGGGCGCCGCTCTGTCCGCCACATCTCGCGCCGTCGTTGCAGCCGTCATGGCACTCCCATACGACATCAAAGCGAGCACTGAAGAAGACCGTCACACCGACAGCGAGGGAGAGAAGTCCGCGGCTTTCGCACTCGCGGCGCAGTCGCATCTCGACGACAGCTTCACCGTCACCGTCCTTCATCGCGCTGATGTCAAGCCCGCTGCTGTGATTCGCGTACATGGCTCCACCAAGGTCGGACAGTTGGCGCAGCTTATTCAGGATGCTACGGAGGTGTCCAAGTATCTGCAGTACCTGGTTTACGACCACAAGTGAGTACTAGGTAGCTGTGATTTGGAGATGATGTGCGCGGAGCTGATTTTTGGATAGGCCGTTCTATGATGGGTCGAGAGGGACTTATGATGAGGATGTGACGTTGSATGAGGTGAGTTTTGATTGCTGTGGCGGATACTGATTTCATATACTGACGGTTGGCAGGTCGGCATCAGCGATGAGAATGCGATGGTGCAGCTTGTGTATCAGCTCTAGTTGGTGTTGTTTGATTCAGACTCACAGAGTGATGGCAAGACGAGGGTTTTCAGCGGGAACAGCTTCATACTGTCTTACTCGCCGAATGAAGACTCACTCATCATCGTCCTCTTCTTCTTCATCATCTTCATCCTCATCGTCATCCTCATCATCTCCGCTTTCCTCATCTTCGCTCTCTCCATCTACAGCCTTAAGATCATAGTCGTCCTCGAAAGCCTCCAGTCCCTTGCATTCCGCTTTCCATCCCTCGGCACTGAACCTCTCARCCATCTTCTCCGCCATATCCTTCGAGCAAGTAATGACCAGATTGCTCGTCTCAGCTTTAAACAACGGCACCAGCCACTTTCCAATCGCCGCACGCACCTCCTCCGCACTGACCATGCCGATATTCTTCAACATCTGCTTGCTGTAATCTTTGGGTACACCATGCAAGACCTGCGCCACGAAGCTCTCATCCGCAGCAGCACCCATCGTTGCACCTTCGTCCGCCATTTCAAAGACAATCTCCCCGACAGCACTCTCAATAGCGAGCTTCTGAAGTGGCTTGCTTCCATCTGCGTATCCGTTAATTTCCTCGCGACCAGCAACAAAAGCTTTGTAGCAATCAGGACTGCGGTCGATGCTGAAATGGATGGTTCCGAGATCGGTTGAGCGGCGCACAGAGGTTCCATATGCTAGACCTGTGCCACGGATTGCGACCCAGAGCGGACCCTCTACGGCGCGCAGGTAGGCGTTTGCTACCATGAGAGCGGGAAGATCCGGATGGGTGTATCTGGGAGAATGAATTAGCGTTATGCAATATGAATATCTCATGACTTGCGATGAGAGAGCAAACTTACGAGTCGGGACCGGGAGCCGTGAAATAGGCAAAGGAGGAATCGATCGCTGGGATTGGGACGACAACCGCGGATGTGCCTGGATAAACAAGTCAGCACACTTCCTTGATCAAGATTGCACAGAGACAGAATCAGAGATCTGTTGCTTGACAGATGGCGTCGAATATACCTGGATTTTTGCCGGTCTCAGAAATCGTCGACTTTAGCTCATCAAGAGGCTCCAATTCCTTGCTCAGATCCGTACCAGCTGGGAAGAGAGCCTTCCACGCATCCACAGGATTCTTCAGCTTCTCCACGTTCGCAGCAACGTATATCCTGAGGTTTTCAGGGCGATGTAGACTCTTGATGACCTTGTCAAGCATCTCAATAACCGTAGCTTCGCCATCATCTTTCTTCAGCAACTTCCGCAGACGCTTCAAATAGACGCCTTTGGTGAGGGTGTTGGTGGCTCGGCGGTTGGACTTTCTCGTAGATTGAATCATCGAGTTCACGGCATAAACCATCGAGCTTCCATCTCTCTTCTCTGATGGAATATCCGCGAGCAGCTTCGTCAATGAAGCGTGTAGACGGACTGGATCATGAATGGCATCGAACAAGACACTTCGAATCTTCGCAATGATAGATTCGTAAGTGTCTGGCTCCGTAACAACACGCAGCGCAAGCATCTGCTGATTGCCATATGAAGAGTCTATCCAGTAGGACGTACTCTCTTTCTCCAGATCAGACACCACATCTTCAAATTCTATCCGTGCGCCGGTCTTGGGGTCGCGAATTGGTGTTGTGAAGAGGTTGGCCAGGTACAGACTCAGCACTGGACGAAGTTCTGTGGGAAGAGATGCAGTGCCGAGGTAGAGCTTGATGTAGACAAAGTTGGAGGGAATGTGTTCGAAGTGGACAAACAGAGGAGATGCGCTCGTGTCGGCTTTGTCGACAATCTGCTGGATGGGATTTGAAAGGGTTCCCATTCTGCGAGCAGCACCAGCGCGCGCGGTTGTAGTTGTGATGAAATTGACAGAAGTTGTGCTGGGAACCGGAAATGCCTCCAAGATGGAATCGGGGATCGGTTTGTGGTTCTCGGCTTTGGCTCTTTCCAGCTTCTCTGACAAGTCCTTGAGACCCGCCTCGCCAAGACGATCTTGTTGCGCCTTCACTCGGACTTTCTCGTCATCTGCAAGTTTGGTGGCGAGTGCCTTGCTGGGCTCTCCCAGGACGCAAACATGGTGGTTGTCTACGAAGACCTTGGAAATTACACGCTTCCAGTCGCTCTCGGTCCAGGACTCGAGTGTGTCGAGCTCTTTAAGGTTCTCGAGATCCTTCAAGGAGCGTCCATCTCTGTTACTGAAGCAATGATCTTCAATAATGGACTGAGTGAAGAAGTCCTCTGCGGTTTCGGCTCGCTCTTTGATCTGTCGGCGCTCACGTTTGAGACAATCTCGCATGTATGACATGTCTAGCGGCTTCTCAATGACTTCTTTCAGGACTGAGATCATGCGTTCATAAGCTTGCTTGAGTCGCTCAGTCTCCACAGCAGTCATGTCAAACCAAATGACGGTATCGGGCCGCGTCTCCAATTCATAGTAGATTCCACTGCAAACCTGCTCCTTCTCCACAAGTGTGTTCTCCAGCACGCTAATCGGGCCGCCACAGAGGTACGACAGCAAGACGGAGACAGCAGCCACACCCAAAGCATCATCACATGAGGGTCCGAGATAGCCCACAGTAACCTCACCCATCGACTCGTCCTCCTCCGGAAACTGTATTGTGTCGATCTTCGTCTCCGCCAGGCGTGGTGTCGGTTTTGAATCAACCCACGGCCTTCGGAATGGCGCCTCCAGAGTAGGGACATCATCCACGATCGTGCTCTCAAAGTCGTCGAGAATCTGCAGTAGCTCATCATGATCYATCTCTCCTGTGACAATCACGCGAAGGTTCTTTGGCTGATACATTTCCTTGTGGTATGCTCGGATACGGTCTGCTGTGAGCACTCGTAACTCCTTGGTCATTCCTCCGGTCTCGGAGCGGAAGCCATTTCCTTCCGGATACATCAGAACTCTGCGGTGCAACTCCATCAAGTCTCCTGAAGAGTTTTCGCGGCCTTGCATCTCGGCATAGACTACACCAGCATCATGGCCAGTGCCGTCGACGTGGTGGACCTCTGTGTAGCATGCGGCATCGGTGAGGGTGGGAACAACGATGTGCTCGAGATACACAGGTAAAATCTGTGCAAAGCCTTCCCATCCAGCGGTTTTCAGTGAGTAGGATGTGTAATCTGTTGCCGTGCCAGCGTTTGTCGTTGAAAATGCGCGGGAAGAGAGTTTATCTAGCAGACCAGTGTATTGATAGCTCTTCGATCCCATGAATACGAGATGTTCCAGCGTATGTGGCGAGCCCGAATTGTCGTTGATCTCGGTGGCGAGAGCAAACTCGCCTTCAACCTTGGGGCCAGGCTTGTCGACTACAGCGATTCGCATTCCAGTTCGAGTAGATTCATACTGCGTGATTTGGACCGGAGCATAGTCCAGTTTCAGTGTCTGCACGGTCTTGAACCGCGGCAGCTCTCTTTTCGAGGCCGGCATGTTGGTCTCTCTCCACGTGTGATTCTGATGCTAACAACTCCAAGACGATCCTCCGTCGTAAGTGTGGGAAAATGAGAGATAAGAGGTCGAGAAGTGGTGTCTGGATTTCTTGTGGAGAAATGTGAAGCTGAAAATGGAAGCTTCAGCGTGAGCTGATGACAACTGCTTCTGGGCTTTTTAACGCAGAATATATCTCACTTGTAGAGCACATACATTTGCTACGGACAGTGTTTGTGGCGTGCTAGACATGTCCATAAAGCTCTGTAAGGAGGAGTTTGTGCTGGCTCTTGGCTTTCCGAAAGAAGTTTTTCGCTGCAGAGTGTCATGATCACAGTCGTGTGGATTCCCGCCCGCCAAATAGAACTACCTTAGAATACCACAAACTCTAAATCTCCGTCGCCATCCTCGCTTTCCCATCCGATCACGACCATCATGGCATATGTTTAACTCCTATTCAAAGCAGATCCAAACAATTCACATGATCCAGAAGATCCGCAGCTGCCAGGATCGTTCCCCTCTTATCGGGATGCATAAAAGTATATGATACCAGCTCGCTTATGCAACGCTTGGGTTTCATCCCCAAACGGGCATACCAATTCCAGTCGGGCTGAGACTTCTCCACGTCGAAAGGGCAAGGGGAGATGCGCTCCAACCCACGCCACGTAAGTTAACTTAGTCGATGCCCGTCATCCGAACCCGTACAGCCTGGCTCTCGTTCCGCCAACATCCCCCTTCCCCATCCCATCGTCCCCCGTTATCGCGCGCAATAGCGTGCATGCCATGATCTCATTCCCACCCGCGCGTTGAGCGTGCATTGCGTGCGCATCGCATCGCATCGGGGCTCTTGTCGTCGTCGCCGTCGCAAGTTGCTGCAGCTATCCGAGCCCATTCAGGGCGACCAGCAAGCCGGGAGCGAACCAGCGCTCAACGCCTCTGTCCTGCCCCGGAGGGTGGGAGCTTCGTTTGCCCATCATGAACATGAGCGCGCTCCTCGCGTCGCCCGAGCCGGAAACGCCGCGACAGCAGCAGCCAGCTCCGCCTCCGCCTCCACCGCCCGCAGACGCCATTCCATCGGAGCACATCACTTCGGCGCCACCAATGCCATCGTTGCGCAGAAACGACGATGACGTCTCGCTCTCGGGAACCGGTGGTGGAACTCCCAAGAACGATGCGGAGGAGCCCATGTATACCTCGACAACTACCAGCATTCGGCGCAATGCGAGTGGACAGACGTCTTCGGTATACTCGGGCAACAAGATACGGCATTTGAAAAAGGAAGATGGTATCCCACTCTGGCGCAAGGATATACAGTACGACTTTCTCAAGCTGGTGTTTGAGGATCAGACGAGATGCTTCACCAAAGCCAGCGACGGAACGAATGGGCACACCTTTGCCGATGTGTACATTGATGCCATGGCGAAGAGCAGCAAATGTAGCAAGATCTTGAAAGAAAAACTGCTGCAGGATCAGGAGGGTGCGATAAGTATGGCTATGGTGTGTCTGCTGGTGAATGTTGGCAGGATGAACACCACCTTGAATTGTGAGTTGTGACAAGCACCAAGGGCAATGTAATGGCACTGACAGAATCTGCACAGTCTTTCCTGAGATGCGCGCGCAATTACGAACATATCATTCCATCCCAGCGCTTCAAGCCCACCAAGATCCCAACGCATACAAGCAGCTACAAGACGCGCYGAGATTGAAATCAATCCTCAAGGGCGCGACAGAAGATGAACCACAGCCGGCGACCATGGACGAGATCAAAGCAGCCTCGATCCCACGTACGAACCCAGTAAACCTCATCTTCGTCATGAGCCAGTACGCACCGAAGATCAGCGAGCTTCACTTTCCCCCTCCAAGAGACTTTTYCGATTTGGTAATGCGACCCAGTCTGGGTAGTGCTAGTCGTGCGAAAGCCTTCTTGTGGTTGATATGGTGGTATCTGGAGAGCAATTTCACCAAAGAGGACAGTCTTCGAAATCCCTTCGGACCGGGAGAGTATGAATCGGAAGATGCAGGTGCTGACGCAGTGCCGCTGCGGGTACCGACACTGAAGAATTTGACTGAGGAGCAGACGGCGGAGGAGAACATTGACACGGAAGACGAGAAGATGTTTGGGGAGATCAAGCGGAAGGAGCGGATATCCATCCTGGCCAGTGAGCCGAGTCCCGCTATGACTGCCCTCAAGCGAGCGAGGAAAGAAAAGGGCTTGACTACTGGGCACGGTGCACATGCCAGTGATGATGAGGGTAGTGAGATGGGCGGTTATCATCGAGGACCGGCTCCTCCGTCCATTAAGAACATCTCAGTGCTACAACAGGAGACTGGGAGTGAGTACACACGATCGCCATCGCCCGCCGCCGGTCGTGGCTTTCAAGCTGTCAACACTCAACAACCCAAGCCTGACATGCGCATCAACAATCTGCTGAATAGCGACCAAATCATGCCCGACCAATCACCACCCCGCAACATCGCTCCCACGCCTTCCGCCATCACCTCTGCGCCGCCGATTAAGAAAGGTCCAGGTCGAGGTAATTGGCGCAGGAATAAAAGACCTGAAGGGCCATCCACAACACCCAGCGGAAGCCGCGCCCAAGAAAACCACCACGTTCCGCTCCTGCCCAATACTGGCCAGATCAACTTTGCCTCGGGAGGTCTTTCCGCGCCTGAATACAACAGCACACCGAGTGGCGGTGGTTCATTCAACGTCTTCGCCAACAAAGGCGCCACACAGGCAATGTCTCCACCTCACCATTCGATCCTTCCTTCATCGTCAACATATCCACTTAACCCTGGTGGTGCCTCACTTGTCGGTGGCGGCATGACCCACATTCCCACACCTTCATACCAAGCACAGAAACGCAATCGCGGGGTTACCCAACATCAAAGTGCAATCATGTCGCATCGAAAGCAGCAGATCGATTACACTCTGGACAGCAGAATCCGTAAAGCACATATCAAATTTCGCCGCATGAGAGAGGGAGAGAGCGCCGTGGTTCGTGCATGGAAACGCATCCGCACGCTCGATGCCGCATACGATTCCGAGGAGGAGGGGATCAAGATTCGGAAGGCTCGCGCTCGTGGGGAGAAGGATGAAGATGATGGAGCTACTCCCGGCTGGGGAAGAGGCAAGGGCAGAACTGGCGAAGCGGATGCCGACGCTTTCCAAGCTGATGTTGATGCTTGGAGACGACCAAGATGTCTGTATGCAGGGTACGTCAGATCGACGGGAGAACCGGTTGATCTTGGTGAGGAGGCTAGGACGTTGGCCAAGAGCTTTAGGAGGCTGAGTCGCAGACTGGAGAGATGGGGTGACAATGCTCTGCCTGCAGCTGCCATGTTGAGAAGGATTGATATGGAAGCTCGTGGCGGTTACGAACTGCAGAGGAAGATGGAAATCGAGCAAGAGGAGTATTATGAGAGAATGGAAGCTGAGGATGAGCCTGCGCCAGTCGTGCGTGCTCCAGCTAAGAGGCAGAGGAAGCGACGGCCGCCTGTTGTTAAGATTGAGCAACCAGGCGGTATTGGTGATGGTCAACAGAGCCACCAGCCTGACTTTGACGCAGACGGACGGGAAGCTGCCGAGCTGGATGAAGAGGATAGAGAGCTACTCGGCGAAGTCGACGCAGATCTCGACGAAAGCGAAGACGAAGATGGAGATGAGCAGGATGATGTCGACATGGACGATTGACGCATCGTTTGCATGGAGAGAGATACCAGATGTACATCTACTGTAAACTGCAGGACCACAAAACAGCCACTCTCTAATGAGCAAGGAATTTGGGAAGACATGGAGGAAAGTCCATTAACAAGTATCGAGAAATCTTATGCTCGAAAAGACAGCTTATTACCACCAATGTACAAGCTTGTTACCGTGCCAGTCTTACACCGACGAGACATGGCCAGACTGATTCTATTACAATGAGTTTACTTGGTCCAGTCTGCAAGAATGGGTGACAGTTGCACCGAAGCTGTCGGCTGCAACAGATGAGATGTCTTCCGATTCATCACCCATTCATCCCATTCGAGATCGATCGGAGTTGGGACTTCAGCTTGAACGCTGTCCAAGAACGTCACGCCACCTTTGATTCTGTCGGCYGCACTATGCCCAATTCTCCTCCTAACGTAATGGATATTGAGATGCCATCAAGCGGCGCTGCTTCGCCTTCTGGATCTTCTCCATCTGGATGGACTTGATCCTCAGAAATTCATCTCCAAATCAACATTTGGCGCTTGAAATAACGTCGTTCTCTCGAACAGACCTTCTCAAGTCTGCAATCAGCTTGTCAAAGCGACCAGCTGGATTTCTTGAAGAAGACAGTCTCCAAGTCGTCATATTTGGTATATTATCCCTTCTCCTTTTCAAGTGCTTACGATCGAGTGAAAAGTTGACATGAAGCGGAGGTCCATCTACAGCAATTACCTCAGGATTGAAAGACGGAAGGGGGTCTGTAGAAGTGGCCTTGTGCTATGTTTAGTTACTGGCGGGCCGTTGATTGAGGAAGAGGGATTGGGAAGACGACGATTTCGATGAGAAGGGTGCTGGGGAAGGTAGATGTGATGTTTTGGTTGGAAGATCTTCTTAGGTTACATTCATTCCTTACTGTCCGTCGCTCTGAAAAACGTCCGTCAAGGTTCTGGTGCAAAGTCTACTGTTTGTCGACTAGGTGAAGTCGTTATACCTTCAGCCAACCCGATTCCCAATCCTTAGGAACTCCTCATCCCTCCATACTCACAGCCCACACACCACACACCACAATCTCATCCCTACAGATTCGCCAACACCCTCCTCAACCGAATATTCTCCGTCCTCCCCACCCTATCCATAACATGTTTCTTAACCCTCGCCTTCCTCCCAACAACCACATCCGTCTTCTTCAGCGATAATGATGATGACGATGATGATGGTGTTCCTCTCGACCGCCCTTTAAAGCCTCGATGTTCTACACTAATCTCATTAGCCAACTCAACACACCCTTTATCAGATAACTTCATAACTTGCCGTTTCCCTTTGCCCCGTAATTTGGCAGCCCCCTCCAACGCCTCCTCCCCATCAACAAGCACACACCACCCCTCATGCCCCACAGTCCCCTCTGCTTCCCCTCCAACCGCGCTCTCAGGCCACTCCCTCCTGGCAAACTCCCACTCCTCCTCCCCAAAACTCCCGGGCTGCAACCACACTCCCTTAACACCCACCTCCTTGGCCTCTCTCAACACCTCCCGCGTAACTTTCGGCGGCGTAACGAAACTTAGACTCGTATTTCGAGGATCTTGCAATTTCTTGGGGCTGGATACTGTGGAGAAGGTTTGGTCCTCGACGACGATGGAGTCGACGGTGGGGTTGAGAGGGATGACGGAGAGGTTTTGCGTCAGGTACCAGGAGAAGATCTTGTAGCCGAATTTCGAGGGCACGGAGGATGCGCCTGCTACTGCGTAGTGCGTGGCTGTGAAGAATTGGGCGGCTGCTTGTTTCATTGGAGTGGCTTTGGAAGCCATGATTGCTGGGTTGTTATTTAGGATAGAGTGGGTTGTTTGGCGTTCGTTTAGGAGAAGGAAGGTGTGTACTTCCTGAAGTCGCGTTGTTGGATGACGTGTTGCGCGTTTGCTTGATTTAAGCCGAGCAGGCGGGGATTGAGTTTTAGCTGCTGATTGCCCCCTGGAGATGCATCTGACTTCAGTACAGCCAGCGTTGTGGAACAGAGTGAGAGGTGACAGCGACCTCTCCCGTCATCAGTACACTGCAACATGCCACAAGCATCACAAGCTCGAATAAACGTCATACCTCTAAGATCATACAGAACCGAACAGACTGCCCAATCCACATTCAAGTATTTACCTCCTCGAGCCCTCCTTTCTCCTCTTCCTAACACTCCCCGACACTCCCCTCTTATCCCTGTCCTTCTCCCTACTATCTTTCTTCTCCTTCTTCCCCTCACTGACATCCTCCTCCACAACAGCATACCCACCACCCTCCTCAACTCTAACTTCCACCCGCACCCCTTGTTCCTCACTCCCCTCACTACTAGCACTACTCTCCCCAGAAGGAAGTCTCTGCATTCGATCCCTGTCCCTCGCCGTCATGGGCGTAGCTGAAGGAGGAGCAGCTCTTCTCAGACCCGCATACCTGACAGACAAGGGAGATTCGCCAAACTCCTGTTGATGATGTTGATGTCGACTGATCGGCCGTTCCCCATACTCATACCCATATGAAGGCATATCGCGATAACGTTGCGCACTGCTCACACTCGCCCTCCGTCCTGGCGAACCATAATAATCATAAGGCGCATCGCCATCGTCTCTCAAACTAGAGGACGAACCCGGTCGATATCTCGTAGACATGGAACTCGGAGGATATTCAGGCATACTCTCCTTCCTCTGAATAGARCCACTCCGACTCCTTGTCGCAATGGGCGAATTCCTCCCCGAATACAACTCAATCGGGGCGTAAACGGGAATTCCATTCGGCCCATTCACCAATCTCATCCCAGGGGGAGCTTGTAGCAGGTCCATGGCAATCGGAGCGTGCAACTCCGATGGCAAACTGATGGATCCCTTGCGTTGGACTTTGGCTTTGGAATTACTCTTCGCCGGGGAGGAAGATATCAATCCAGTACTCTTCCTTCCACTCTTTTTCAGACTGGCGAGACTGGTGGCACTACTCGAGCGACTGCTCGTAGCTTTGACTTTGTCCTTTGTCTTGGAAGAGATTGCTGCTGCTGCAGCGGGAGTTTTGGGTGGTGTAGCGAGAGGGGATGGCTCCGGCAGCTGGATGGTCCTGCGCTCAAGAGCCTGTTGTGGTCCACTCGTTCTTCTTCCCATTCTCCCCCTTTCCAAAGCTTGCATTTCTTCTTGACTGAGATTGACGTTGGTCTTGCCCTTTTCTCTCGCTCGGGCGATTCGTGCGTAGGCGGATTGCATCAGAGCTTCGTCCCTTTCTCTCTCCCGACTGGTGATGGGTGGTGAATAGTGTCGTTCATCCTCGGAATAGTAATCCTCATCATACATTCCCCTCCGTCTAGTGTATTCATCATCATCCTCATTACTCTCCACTTCCTCCACCAAGTATTGTTCATGATCAAGGTCGTCATGCTGATTATAATAGCGATCACGGAGTTCCCATTCTTGTAGTAGCGGCGGGGACGTATGGTTAATGGTACGTCTTCGCCTGTGTATCCCATCCACACTACTGACAACTCCGGGCGGTCTTCCCGGTTCATGATATTTCATCTGTCCAGGCGAAGAGTGTTGCGCGGCCGACCACCTAGACCGCCTCTTCGGAGAAACTGGCTGCAACGTCTTTTTCGAGGAGGCAAGCGTGGCCGAGGATGGTGACGGCAGACGCACCGATGAGCCAGAGAACGGTGCTGATGGGTGRGGAGAAGAAGAAGACGGGCTAGCCCATGCTGGTCAGTATGCCGTGCCGATGGAGGGGGAGAGTATGATTGTACTCACAATGGCAATCACCRCGACGGCCGTGTATAACTGCGAGACGGTGGCCTTTGCAAACCCGACATCCAAATCTCTGCCTTCCAACTTCCCAATTCCCCACATGCTGCCAATGACAAAGATGATGACAAAGAAGAGCCAGAGATTGGTGAGGAGCGAGTAGATGCTGAGCATGAGGAAGACGGCGGCATAGTTGGAGGAGAAGTAGGACAAGTTGTAGTTGATTCGCGCTTGAACCATGGAGAAATCGGCGGGCTTGGAGATGGCCTTGATGTTGAGAAATTCACTGATGGGTCGGAGGTTGGCGAAGCGTGTGCCCAACGATTGCGTGCGGACGGAATCAAAGCGAGCGCCCAGGCTAGAGTTTGCTGTGAGAATTGGGGATGAATGGAGGATGGAGGGATCAATAGACTCACTTCAACCGGCTCGTGAGGGCGTCAATGGGGATGCTGATGCGTGCCATGATGCTATCAGGGGATGGTGATTGATCTGTCCTTGTCAGCTTCAACAATATCAAGACTGTCGCCGTCGCAATCCGACCGGCGGACTCGACAGACGAGGTCAAGAATGTGAGACTCACCAGGGGTGTGCGTGGGTGAAGAGGCAGGTGGTTTTATGTGTATTTTGTGACGGGGATGTGCTGGTGCAGAGTCGTGGGTGTCAAATGTCAAACACGCGTTGGAAGCCAAATCTTGGGAGGATCGATCCGTGGGAATGGTTCAAGGATGATAATCAAGACAGGGGAGGAACGACCGTTGACGGATCTTCCCGACCCTGACATCCCGTCCTTCTATCCCTGGACTGGCATGTTGATGATGATAACGGATGGAATGATATTGGAAGAGAAGATGGGGATGTTCAGATAGATGTAGATATCTGAATGTAGACAGCTATCAAATCCACATCCTTCCAAGCTCCTTCCGAGCTCCTCCAGACCGCCCTGCTCCTGCTGATTTTGACAGAGCTTCGTTCCTTCCTCAAAGATGCCTGCCTGCCTGCCAACCTACGTGTTCCTGCCAGCTCACAATCCCGCCCGGCTCACACCGTTGTCAAGCGAAAGTTTAATTGGTCGCTACGATTCGCGAACRACACGTCTCATCTCATCTCCATCTCCAATAATTTTGATTGAACCCTGAATGAATTCCAACCCAATCCACACTGCACAGCTGCCCGACTCGACGTCGAATCCATTCACACCACCTGAATACTGTCACAAAACATCCCAAGCTGCAGCTGTCCGCAGCATCCACCCATCCATTCATCATGCGTCTCCTCTATCTCGCCGCAACCTTTGCCGCTCTAGCGGCCGCTTGGTCCAAGGAGGTATCTTGACATCCTCCACCATTGCAATATCCCCCTCAATCCCATTTCCATACTGATCAATGCGACAACATAGGACCACGAAATCTTCCGCCTCCGCGATGAGGTGCAAAAATCCGAGGGTCCTAACTCCACCTTCTACACCTTCCTCCAAATCCCCCCTTCCGCCTCGCCTCCCGAAATCAATGCCGCATACCGCAAACTCTCCCGTTCCTTGCATCCCGACAAAGCCCGCAGTGCTTTCATCGCAAACTACAACAAACCTCCCGCCGTCAAAGGGGAGAAGGTGGTTGTGAAGAAGAACAAGAAACCTTCCGAATCCGAATTGAAGAAATTTGGCAAGGAAGCGACGGCGAGATTCGAGAGATTGAGTCTGGTAACGAATGTGCTGAGAGGTCCGGAACGCGCGAGATACGATCACTTCTTGAGAAATGGCTTTCCCGCGTGGAGGGGTACGGGATACTATTATGAGAGATTTCGACCGGGTCTGGGGAGTGTCATGATTGGATTGTTCATCTTCGTTGGAGGAGCTGTCCACTACGCCGCGCTGTTCCTATCCTGGAAGAGACATCGGGAGTTTGTTGCGAGGTACATCAAACATGCTAGAAGAATGGCTTGGGGGGAGGACAGTGCTGTGGGAAACATCCCGGGTCTTGATGATGCTGCTGCTGCTCCTACAAGTGCAAGTGGAAGTGATGCACAGCAAGAGAGCATGCAGTGGAATCGCAAACAGAAGAGGGAAATGGAGAGGCAGAAGAAGAAGGACGGGAAGAATCCTGTCAAGGCTGCCAAAATGGCCGCGGCTGCGGAAAAGGCGAAGTCGGAGGGCGCTTCTACCCCTGTTGAGCCGGATTCTCCTACTCTTGGACCCGTGGGTGCCAAGAAGAGGACCGTGGCGGAGAATGGTAAGGTCTTGATCGTGGATTCCGTGGGAAATGTCTTTCTCGAACAGGAGACGGAAGAGGGTGGCAGGCAGGAGTTTCTACTTGACGTATGTTATCCCCACCCCTACATTGTATAGACATACTAATCCGATGTGTAGCCGGAAGAAGTCCCTCGTCCGACAATCTACGATACCGTTCTGGTGCGCTTACCGCTTTTTATCTGGAATCGCTCCTTGGGACAATTGTTGGGCAAACAGACTTCGGATCATGTCGTAAGCGAGTTGGTCGGGGATGATGAGGAGGGTGGGGAAGAGAGTCTGCAGGCTGCTGTTTCTGCCAATGCGAATGAGGAGGCCAGGAAACGGAAGGGAAGGAAGTAGGTGTTGGGATAGATGCTGTGGACGGAGAAAAGTTTGWGGGTGGAAGGCAGGGTTGGGAGCTCTGCTGTTGGGCATGTATAGTATTTTGCATTGTACCGGAATAGTCACAAAGAATTACAAGCATGCTAGAGTACATGTAAGCATTGAAAACCACTGACTCAGGACTCTTGATGTTTGTTTATGAAAAGCCAAGAAGGAGAATTTGAGAAGATGAGATAATGTTCTTTCCTATTTTGTTCTTTCCTGTTTTGTTCCCCACTCTTTTGATCAGGAGAACTACATGTACCGTACTCATCTAATCAGAAGAACTGTGCACGATTTGCTAAAACCGAGATTAAGGAAGGAACACATGCCGGACAGATCATTTAAGCCATGGAGTGAGCTTGAGCGGAAAGAAGTACGGTAGTTGAAACTTCGACATATTTCTCCCTCACTTTATCTACGCACAGAAGAAACTCGCAGGGGAGGAAATAGATGAAAGCTCGAATCGTCGGGGCATTGAAAAGGTTAACACTGCCCGGGATCCCACCTAGGCAAGGGTGGAAAGAGGTTCGCGCATGTGACAGTACGATATAGTACAGTACAATCAGTGCATTTGAAAAAGTGTCTCATGGCCAGAGAATACTTTACCAATCCTGGACGACGATTTGCTTTTGCCGAGATTATTCTCTCTTCAAGGACCTCGTTTTGGCTTCGACGGAGGCACTGCTTCTGCTCAAGACCTCGCAGATTGCCTTGCACAGGACGTTTCTCAAGTCGCATCTGGAGAAGGATCGCTTCTTCGTCTGCGGTTCAGGGCTTGGCTGTTCTAGTCGGTCTTTTCTATTATTACAGAGTGTGGCCCGCATGCAGGAATCACGCTAAAGAGVCAGGGAGGTTTTCATCCAATATGCGCACCCCATTCTGTCGACAATTGACGCGGATTGGACAGGGCTTCCCGCTCAGATTCCCGTATGCACGACTGGGGGTGTATTCACAGTAGCTGCTATGTTGTCACACTTCTTAAGTAAGGTACATGTAAGGTACGTGTAATTGGAAGGCGGCTTTGAGTATAATAACATTGGGGTTAGGGTTGTTTGGTCAGATGAGTTCGATTTCTCTATTAGTTCCTCTCGAGAGCCAACACCACCATCCACTCCGAGCCACTTCACTTTTCGCCGCCTACGCTCTCTTCTAGCCCTTTCGATCGCCTTAATGCCTGGCGGATAGAGTCTAGCGTTCTGCCCATCTTCTTCCCAATCTCACGATGCGTTTTCCCTTCCGCCAAAAGCGACTTTAACAATTCATAATCGTCCCTGGTCCACTTCCTCCCATTTCGACTAGAGCTCGAACTACAAGATAGTCTATAAATCTTGCCGTTTATACTTCCCATCGACTTTTCCATGATTTGGCTCATTTCCGTTCTCGACTTCCCCATGTCAATCAAGCTTCGAAGTTCTTGTTCCTCACTTTCGCTCCAGATATGTCCCGACCAATGCTTGCTGTTCGCAGCGAGACCCCTCTGCACGAGCATCCGAAATCGCCTTGCGATGCTCATCGGACTGCGCTTACCCCCCATCATCTCTGCCATTTGCTTGTAAGTGATGGGCTGCGCGGTAAGGTCTCTGATTTGCTCATCTTCCTGAAGCGTAAAGGCAGCGGGAGTTGCCCTGTTTAGAGTTGCATGGCGTGCTCGAAGATGACCGATTGTATGTAGGGGCATGTCTTCCTGTAGTTGTTGCCAGCTAAGGCCTTCTTTTTGGGCGTTGCGGAGCTTTTCATCCAAGTTCGTATCGTAGATGAGCCTCTTCCGCTTACCCTTGATGGAGTATTTACTCTTGCGTAATACTGCGCTCATTTCCAGCGCCGAGCGTCCTTCACGGTGTAGTTGCAAGAGAAGTCCTTCATCGGCAGCTGACCACCTTTTCTTTTTTCCACGGGTCAGGTCATTCGGATTGTTCTGATCGGGCGTCTCCGACTTGGAGGTGGCGTCTACGTCTACATCTTCTCCGGAGGAACGTCTCTGTGAGGTGTGGAAGTTTTGCGGCCATATTGATGGAACTTTGGTCCAAGAACCGAGACGCCGCCATATTGTGTGGTGGGTCGTCCATTTACAAGCAGCAGAGARAAAACTCATCATCAGCTCCCGAGAATCTTTGAGGTGTCGGGCCCTGTTCCTTTTCCTGGAAATGTTTGGTTGTCGGCCGTGTCAAATAATGTTAAGCGCGTCCATCTGAATGGAGAAGGTGCCGACGTGCTCTTCGTCACTGCCTGCGAATTTCCGGTCACAAAAAAACAACATTTCCAACGACCTCCCAGCCACTTTGGGTTGTATACCACACAATGCAATGCTTGAAAACATTGTTCGCGGCTGATGCTCTCGACCACTCCACTCCAATCGCCCTTTGGACTCCAACATGTAACCGCCTTAGGACAGCAGCTCGAACAATAACATTGATGATGCATCATCTAGATCAAGTGTCTTACATACTAGGTATCCTCACTCAAGCTCCGACGCAATTTCGGCGAAGACAAACCCATGCGAGGATACCTTACTGTAAGCTGTCCCGCCAGATCAAAAGTATGCTTGGACGGAATCCATCTGCTGGACAGAGATCGTAAAGTCTGATCCACACCGCTCAAGCTCTACTTGACGTGACGTGTTTGTAGATCTTGCATCTCTACATGCCACATGATCTAATCAGCTTTGTCCACCTCACATCGTTCATAATTACGTCTTGCATTCATACGAAACACACGAGAACTCCCAAGAACCCAACAAGGAAGGTTGTGACAAAGCCATGTTTTTCCAAGAAATCCAAGCCGAGCACGCCATCGAATTGCTACACTAACTTTGCTTTGGGTTAGCAAAAATCCTGCTCACGTCGGCATAGCACGTATAACACAACACACCTATAACCAGGAAATTTCCTCAAATCAGACAGCCTTGCTACAACCAACTTGGCGAATCACGAGCCACCATGGCGAATTCCAAAGACGACGTCGAAGTGGCGACAGTCAAGAACAATACATACGAGGAGCAAAAGAACTTTAATGAAAGTCTTCATGATGACGCTCCACCTCCCCGCCCGACGGATGATACTCTGGCGAGGAAGCTTTCAGCAAGGCAAGTGCAGATGATTGCTATTGGTGGTGAGTGTTGTTTGATCTCAAGCTTAAACAACGACTTATCATTCTCCAGGTACCATCGGAACGGGACTTTTCCTTGGCACTGGAACATCACTMAGTAGAGGTGGACCAGGCTCTATGCTGCTGTCGTATGCCATTGTGGGTGTGATTGTGTTTATAACAATGTTGTCGCTTGGCGAGATGGCAGCTTTTGCACCCGTTGCTGGTTCTTTTTGCACTTTTGCCGGGTATGTGGATTGACTAGTCGAAGAGGACTACGCCTAACATCTTGCAGACGATATGTAGACGACAGCTTCGGATTTGCGATGACCTGGAACTACTGGTTTAACAATGCAGTCTCCGTGGCAAGCAATTTGATTGCTCTACAACTCCTCCTCGACTACTGGACGGACAACTTCCCCGGTTGGGCTATTAGTTTGATCTTCTTCTTCGTGCTGATCGCTCTCAACATTGTGACGGTCAAGCTATATGGTRAGATTGAATACTGGCTCAGTCTACTCAAAGTTGCAACCATCATCATTTTTATCATTCTTGGAATTGCCGTCAACTGCGGCGGCAACACCGAAAAGGAATACATTGGCACGAGATACTGGTACAAAGGCGACGCACCGTTTGTCAACGGTATCGGTGGCTTCGCCTCTACATTCGTTACAGCAGCATTCGCCTACGGAGGAACAGAGAGTATCGCCATCACAGCTGGAGAAACAAAGGAACCTGCTCGTACTCTCCCTCGCGTTGTTCGCAACGTCTTCTGGCGGATTCTCATCTTCTACATCCTCTCCATCCTCATCATCGGTCTGAATGTTCCATACGACACTCCCAACCTTGCCACGCGCAACAGTCAAACATCTCCATTCACCATCGTCTTCGAATCTGCTGGAAGCGCAGTCGCAGGATCCTTCATCAATGCAGTCATCATGACCTCTGTCATCTCTGCAGGAAACCACTCACTCTTCGCTGGCTCCAGACTCCTCTACTCTCTCGCGGTAAATCGACACGCACCCAAGTTCTTTGGAACACTCAACCGCAACGCCGTGCCTTGGATTGCGGTCCTATCGACCATGATCATTAGTGGGTTGTGTTTTGGAGCGAGCTACATCGGAGCAGGTCAACTTTGGACCTGGCTGCAGAACATCGTCGGAGTATCAAACCAGCTCTCCTGGATAGCAATCGGTTTCGCATCCCTTCGCTTCCGCATGGCGATCCGAAAGCAGGGACTTGAACATCTTCTTCCTTTCAAAAACTGGGCGTATCCCTGGGGACCAATTTTCTCGGTCGTGATGAATAGCGTACTAGTGCTGGTACAGGGATGGAGTTCTTTTGCAGGAGGTTTCAAGGCGGTGGATTTCGTCAGCTACTACCTGCAATTACCTGTTATGGCGATTATGATCATCGGGTGGAAGCTTCTGAAGAGGACGAGGTTCGTGRGGTTGGAGGAAATGGATCTGGAGACTGATCGGTTCGATACGGGTTTGACAACGGAAGAGAGGAATGTCAAATTGAGTGATGCGAAAATGGGGACGTTCGCCAAGGGCCAGGGATGGAAGTTGAGGCTCAAGGCCATCTCTCAATGGTTGTTCTTTTAGATGAGATATGCACGAGATGTGAATGATGATGAGTGTGTTGACGTCGCTGTGAACTCGCTCAGGGGTATGCCAAGATTGAATGGAACTATGTCTAATAAGGCAGCGAATGCTTCATCCCTCTATATGGACAGAGCAGAAGCTTGATAGTGACGACGGGAGGAGACATTTTAGTAGGATATGCGAAGGCTTTGGGAATAAAAGGGGCATCCCGAATCTTTCACCGAGCCTGCTATACACTTTGATGCGCCAGAGCATTGATCAAAGTGCTAACGTATGAACAAAAGCAGGTCATTAGAGGATTCAAGATCCCTAGCAAAGTAGTAGGACGAGTTCTGGCGTCTGAGTGGTCGTCAGGGGTACAAAAGTTGATCTCTTGCCCACATGGATAAAACATCACACCCTATTGTTGCCAATGGGTTGAACTGATTTGCAATTGCTGGGCGAACTTGGGAAAGGCAAAAAGAAACATCTATCGACGTTGGCAGGACTCGAACTGGGGTGATGTTAGTCAAGATTCAGCTGGAGAATTCCATGCTACCCGCTTACCCTACGCCCCCGAAGGGAATTGATTTCTAGTCAATCGCTGCAAAGGAGGTTAGTCAAGGTTCAGAGGAGCTAGGTCGAAGACTCGACGAACCAGTAACCACTTTGCTACAACGCCTTTTATGCTTATGTAATGACATTGCCAAGTAGAAAGTATTATATCCATTCAATAGGGCATCAGCAGGGCTTCACATTCTCCACAACGATGACACAAGCTATGCTTTGGCTCATCACAGCAGCGGTCTACTAGAAGCATCTCAGATACCCCATCCTCAGCTGACTAAACTGTAAACTGTCTCTGTTCTTGAGAACACATGAAACGTGCTTGATATAGCTCGAAGCTCGCAACCAATCAAGACCCGGCTGTCCTTAGCGCCGAGAGTAATTCGAGACAGCAGATTCTCCAACGCAGACTTCACTCCGACAATCCACTCTTCATCTTCGAACGACAGCGAAGCGCTCGGCGTCAAAAGCGAGAACGTGGTAAGCTGCTGTTATCGTGCGACCAGTCTCCGCGAGAAGCAGACCTTTCGTTGGCTACCATTAACTGCTACAAGCGAGAGACTCAAACAGTCCTCTTCTTTCACAGTAGCCGGCCTCCACTTTGGCCACAACACTTCGGCTTCTACTTGCCTTGTTGCTTTGTTCTCTCAAAGGAACATTCGAGACTTACCGTTGTCTCTTTCTGACAAGTCGCTTGTTCTGTTTTTGCTTGTCGTTTTCTTTCTTCCTACAGCACCTTTGTTTTACGCTGTATTAATCAAAACATCGCGCTGGACGCTTCCATTTCGTTCCTGGTGTTCGCTCAAAGTCATTTTCTGCGACATTCACCACGACAAGTCTCTCAATTGCTGGCCAATTGAAAACTTCACTCACGACATTCACGACGTCTACGGCTGATATCAAACCCATCGTTCTCGAGCTCTCCATACTCATCTTCACAAAACCATCGAACTCACAAACAATGTCTTTCAAACAAGACTTCGAGCACAACCTCAACAACGACATGCAGGGTGATGGGCAACCGGGTCGTGCACCTACTGAGTTGGAAGACGTGGAATTGGACGACAAGAAGGCCGCCTTCCCTCATGAGGAGATCAACGACAGCAAGGAACAACCACCTCGCTTCTCCACTCTCTATGGCGTCGCTTCCGCTCCCAAGAAACCATCTATGCCATCGCCTCCACCACCACCGCCACCACCACCTGCTCCTGTAGCAACATACGAAGACGACTACCACCGTGAATACTACGGCTCACCACCACGGAGTCGCAAGTCCGGTGTGACAATCCCCATGCCACTCTTCATTGTCCTCGCAATCACCTTTGCCGTCATGAGCACCATCATCTTCGCCTACACCGTCATCGGTCTCTACAACAACGCTCCATCTCGCGTCTTTCCATGGGCGGGTCCTGGCTCGGCGACTGCGGTCTGCAACCCTGTCGGACAACAACCAGCGATCAACTTTTCTCCAAAATTTGTGATGCCTCAGGCTGGTAAAGCGGTGGTACCTGAAGCTTCTTTCGAGACGGTCACTGTGTCAGCCACACCGTCGACGGTTACTATCTCTGCGACGCCGTCTACTTCGACTGTCTCTGCGACGCCATCCACTGTGACGGTTTCCAACAGCTCGACTTCCAGCTCATCCACTGTGGACCCATCAGTCGCTGCATCAGCCATACTCGGTGTTCTCGGCGGCTTGGGTACGACATCTGCGACTGGATCAACCGCCATCGTGACGGTCAAGCCCACGCAAAGCACAGTCACCAGCGTCGCGCTCGTGACCAAAGATCCATCCGGCAACATCATCTCTGACAGCATGGTGACACTCACGTCCACCACTGTCGTTCCGCCTTCAATCACGTCACGGGCTGAAGCATCAACACTGGCTGCGGTCACTTCTGCATCTCCCACTACGGGTTGGTCCGCGGTTTCCTCGGCGTTGGAGAGTGCTGCGTAAGCTAGCGGCTCTTCAACTTAGATTTGTGTGTATACCGTGGGTGGAAAAGTACAATTCTGTATGAAAGACTAGTCAAAGTATAAGAAGTTCGAGCTTCGTTCTCTACTCATCGTGATCGTTCCTCATTCATTGTGAATCCCTTTCTAAGGTCTTACACGCGTAAGTAACCTCAGAACATCTTCTACAGCCATTGTATTCTTCAAGATCCATTCTCTTTCAAACATTGATCCACAGCGCGAGCCAAGGCAATAAGCTCTTCGTCATGATAGTTTCTGGCAACGAGTTGAATTGCCATAGGTGCGCCATGAACTTCTTCAGCCTTGTCTTTCAGGGTGTTAGTCTTTGCCTTGGAGGTATTCAAATTCAACATAACAAAGACTCACAGGTTCGAACCTTGTCAGATCTTGCGAGCTCATCAACATCAACAGCCTTATCGGCTTTACCAGTCGGAATGATTACTGCAGCATACTTTGACCTCAATCTCAGCAACCACGTCCCATAAGCATGCGTATAAAGGAACTCACCTCGAGCAAACTCCACACCGTGGTATAATGAGGTAGACCAAATGTATCATGCGGGACAGCAGTCGTTTGAGCACCCGCACAAAGAACCACATCAACATCATTCTCCACCCATTGTTTGTGCCACGCAGCTTTATACTCTTGAGCTGCAACATTAATGTCCCAAAGATCGTCCAATGTGTAATCTGTTGGCTTTGCCTTCATGATGTCCATGGTACGCAGTAGAGACCGAATTATTGGCTCACCGCTTGCTAAGATATGTTGTAAAGGCATCTTGGAGTTGTCGAGAGAGAAATAGTCGTTCGCAATCTTGAAGCCCGTCATCAAAGAAGGGGTGTTTGATAGCGGAACGAGTTCGAAACCTCCTGCAGTAAGCGTTTTTGCGGCGTTTTCCAACGCTCTGAGAACTGGAGGCTGGAGTGGAAGTTCTGGATCCTCTATGAAATAGCCTATCCGCTTTCTCACTGGTGCTGCGTTTGCAACTTCCGCACGCCAGGGGTATCCGATGCATGTAGGATCGCGATTCCAGGGTTTGGAATTTAGTACGGCTTCCGTGAAGGCGACCAAGTCTTCGAATGTGTTTGCCAATGGACCTGCAATGGCGGAGAAACAAGGAGAACCTTTTCTACCTCCACCCGAGGCTTGTTTGCCTGTTGGGATACGATGAGTGGTAGGCTTGAAACCATATGTCCCATTGCATAGAGCAGGGATTCGGACGGAGCCTGCTATGTCGGTACCCACGCCCAGAACGGAGCCGCGGAGGGCGATGAGAGCTCCTTCGCCGCCTGAACTACCTACAAGATTGTCAGATAATTCTTGATAGGTGTCGATTAAGATGGTATGATACCTCCAGCCCCGAGACTCAGTCGATGAGGGTTCAGTACCTGAGTGTATCAGCATGCTACTACCATGATCAGAGAAAGTTTACACTCACCCTCCCAAAGACATTGTTCTCCGAGTCTGCTGACATCATGGTGACTGGAATGTTCGTCTTGCAATATCTTTGGAATACGTCAGCGTATCCCACAAAACTCATCAGAGCCGGAATGGTATTCCAACATACAAAATGGCCCCAAGATCCAGCAGGATATCCACAAGGAAGCTATTTTCCTCGGCAACAGGCCTATCCAAGAAAGAGACCATCCCAACGCATGAAGGATGATTCTTAACATTAAAGCACTCCTTGAGACTGACTGGTACGCCATGTAGAGGTCCCACAGGTTTTCCAGTCTGCTGATAAATCTGATCGAGCCATTCTCCTCGCTCAATAGCATCATTGAAGAACGTCTCTGTGAGACAACTGGTCAGTTGCTGAGCAATAGCGGCACGCTTACAAAAAGCAGTTGCGACTGATTTCGCTTTGAGAGAGCCAGACTGAACTGCCTTTGCCAAGGTAATTGCGTTGTATTTCTCCGTGATTTCCAGCTCCTCTGAGCTCAGCAAGCCACAGCGGCTCGGGACGTCCAGCACATTATCATCTGAGTCCATTGATCCTGTAAGGTACTCTGATGGAAGACGCCATTCTAAGGGGATCTTTTCGTACAATTCTGCTCGTTTCTTTGCGGCACGCTCTTCCCATGGCTGAGTCATATTTACTGTCAAGCAGGTATGTGATGTGAAGTCGAGAGGATCGCGATATCTTGAGTCCTGGGCGTGAGCGAGCGTGTCCAGTAGTATTGTCAGATGTAGTTCGCATGACCTCGGTTTGCTCTTCGGCTATTGGAACGGCAGAGGATGGAGGATTATGAGCTCTAGCTCCGATGTTTGGTTACCGATCGGCCGACCAAGGTCCCTTGCTGAACTCATGGTCATACTCGGAGTCATCGGCTTCTGGTTTTGGAGAGAAGTCTTGGGACAACACGTTAATGACACGCTACCGAACCTAAAGTCAAGTGAATTGAGCGATGTGAGTCCGCATATGAATCGAAACATCTCCTAGTTCAGAGCACCGCTGCGAACGGCTTTTTGCGGGGCTACGGAATTAATCTGCTGTGGGAGCTAGTGCCTTTTGGTGCATGTAAACCGTCTTCTCATTTTTGCCATTGCGCTTGAGCGCTCAATCATGAAGATCGATCAGAAGCACAAAGAACTGCGGCATCGACGAGTATGTATCTTCTGTCAGGCATCAAGAACGAGTGGGTTGCATCGCTTGCCACATCAAGTGTTGGTTATCGGATCGGGTCAGACTAGACAGGGGTAACATTACCCCTGTTCGTTCGCTACACGGCGCCTTCACGAAGCGGAGCTTCATACCCTATAATCCTGAACGGAAGGATGCAATTTGTGAAAGTATCCGGAAATCAAAGCCGTCCAAACCCCCGGACCGCCAGAAGAAATATATCGCGCTGCTGTAAAGGCAGTATACTATACCATACCGGTGAGGTGAAAAGCATGCCTCATCAATGCAACTTTCAGCCCCTTCGACCATTCATGTGGGCTGTAATGAATCGGTAGTGGATCGGTAGTGTGGTATCACAACGCTAAGAGCCGTCGTGCATGATATCTACACATCAATCTTGTCAAGACTCGTGCGGCTGAGGAACTCCAGCTGGAACCACTTAATTGGACGGACCTCTTTCCTTTCCCTTTCCTCATCGTTTCCGTTGCGCCATGAAGGAGAGGTTTGCTCTCCTCCTGTTCCTAACAGCAGGATTAATTCATCCCGCGTTGACGCAGGAAACGGCGGGAAATGGGGCCAACTCATCCATACCGATCTGGAGTCTGACGACCGAGGTCAATGCTTTCAGCTCAAATCTATGTGGAGCCACATTTGAGGATACGAATGCAGTCAGAAATTCCAGGTACAGCTCTAGCAAATACCTACTTGCTAACGACCTTCCAGACCGGCATCACTTACATAAATCCTAATGTACTGCAAGGTCCTCAGCCAGGGCAGGAGAATACATCCGGCAAGACGCTTCAATCGGGACTGGCCGTCACCATACAAGATTCAAGCGGCTCGAGCAATACGTCCAACTCGACATCTAGTAGCTACGGTCTCTGGTACAACACGAATGGTGCCAACTACTCTGGGAACTTCGCGCTGGGCTATGATGTACGTTGTGTGCATCTCAACAGATTTCAGCAGAGCTTGCTAACGGATCTTCTTGAACCAGGTATGCGCTCTGATAGGATTCTCACTAAACTACAACTCCAAGCTAAGAGGGTATGTTATAGTCATAGCTTATAGTATTCAATCTTCTCGCTGATGTGAAAGTAGACAGGAAGATGATGGAACTTGCTCTTCGGCACTGGATTCAACATGCATATCAGATATAAAAGCCGTGACTCAACAATGGGCTGATTGGCTGACCACACCAAACACAATTGGACCTGGTCAGTTATCTCATAAGTAAAAGCCACATCATTCCCTGACAAGATGGGTAGGGACCAACCTCACCAATTCTACCTTGCCTACACTATGCAACACCTTGGCCGCTAGTGTCAAGGACAACTTTCCAGCATCGTGCTCTTACTTCTTCCAAGACTCGTTCGTCACTATCACTCCTGAAGGGTATGTGCCCTACTGACATGTTGTAGCGGCCTGGATGGACTAGGCTGGGCCCTGACGAGCAATGGGAACAACGACGCCTACGACACAATTCTGGACAACAACTGTACGATCAATGGAACATGGCAGAGAGCCGTGACTTTATACGGCAACAATTCACGGTCGATTTATACCGCTTGGGCTCAAACCATCACTCCCGTCTTATTCGCCTTCATGCCAGGTTAGTTCTCGCGGGATGAGTGAGGGAGGATGTAACTGACTGGGAGCTTCCTAGTCGCGGATTCTTCAGCCACCACACGAATCTCGAGTAGCGTGGCCGAATTGAGTTGTTTGCGCATCAACAACATCAAGGAAGGGAGCTACAAACCTCCCAGTCTCCCCGAACCTACACCTATAGCCTACAACACCACCGAAACCGCACTTCCTCAACCAACAGATTCCGGCCAGGGGTCATCAGAACAAAGTCTTACCGGGGGTGCCATAGCAGGTATAGCAATAGGGGCCGTTGCAGGTGTTGCGGCGATTGCTGGTGGGTTATTCTTCTGGCTGTGGCGAAAGAGAAAGGCTCGGAGAAATATTACGGCTGGTGAAAATGGGACGAGTCAGGAGCAACCAGCTCGCGAAAAGGCAGAACTTCCAGGTGAAAGCCACAGGCATGAGCTGGCGGGACCTGGACCGAGAGAGTTGGAAGGGAGAGATGCAAGGCATCAATTACCTGCGACGGAAGAGGAGGGAGGGAGGGATAATCGGCAGTGGCTGGATGGCTTTGAGATATCAAAGGATAAAACTGAGAATCAAGGGCCTGTAGAATTACCGTAGCAAGTTATGAGAGGTATCATAACTTCGATGCAAGAGGTCGATTTGAATCGTGATGATCATCTATCTTGTGGAGGACGAATACATCCAAGTCTATTATCAGTGATAGCCTTCGCTTGAATCAGGCATAGAAGGACAAAAAGATCAGGGGAAATACTGCCAGGCGTAGGYGTGATGAGCTTCCGTAGCAAATTATGAGAGTTACTACAACATGATGCAGAAGTCCGATTGAATCGCTCTGCTCATTCCGTGAGACTGCATACCCCTATCCTCCCAAGCACCCACCATTCAACCATCAACAGGAATCTCAGCATACCACCTCAATCCATTATAATCACGTTGTCGACGCAACTTCGATCCCACAGCCCGTATCCCCTCATCAAGACAATCACCCATCTTCCCCACCATCCCTCTAACTTTCTCTAAAAGTTCTTCCTCCCCGGGCGGATCATCGCGTGCGGCCTCGAGTAACTTACTCGTAAGATCCGCCCTCAGATCCTCGAGCGTGGAAAAGTCTTCATAATCCACCACTTCATCGAGATCATCACCGAAGATTAAAGCAAGTTTCGTCCATTCATGTGCAGTTCCGTAAATTTTTATAAAGTCCACGAGGGTTTCGTATTTTTTCATGTATGCTCGATTGGATCTGCTCATCTCTGAAAGTAATTCCAGGATTGATGTTGCGAGGAGATTCATGTCGTTGTTGTGGGACTCTTTGGATTGTAGGGTGGGTGTAAGAAGCCATAGTCGCCATTCGAAGGTGTCGGGTAATGTTGCCGGGGAGCGGTTCTTGTCTCGTCGCCATTCAGGCGTGCGGAGCTTTTCAACCTTGTTGAGCATTTCTGTCAGAAGAGGCTTGATGTTCTGATGCCACAAGCCAAGGTTCTTCGACGTCCAAGCGAGTGGCTTCAAATTGTCGACAAAGGAAATCCAGGAAATGTTTTCCGATATGCCACCATTGAAGGGCAGCATGAGATCAAATTGTTGCAGCACCGCTCTCTGGATATGATCGACAGTGAGGCCGTTGGGTCCAGTAGTAGATGGTTCTTTCAGTAGCATTGATATCGGCTTTGATCTGTATGTTAAAATCTGCTGAGCGCTACCTCCCCAAAGGGCCATCCAGTGCGATCCATCGTTCGAGCGTCGCAGATCCGCGTCTTCCGAAACGATCTTGTTCATTGCTGAGATGTCAGAAGGTGGTTGAAGGACGACTGTCAAGATTTGAAGCCAGAGATCAAGCACAGATGCGGGAATGTATTCCGGCCACTTCATCAAGTCGACCAGAAATTGCAAATGCGCGGGTGCAGATGGAAGCGACTCTGGTAGAAGAGTTACTCCATGCTTCTTCATGAACATTTGCWTCCAACGACCATTGACTTCGCAGCTCTTCCAAAACGTGGGCATAAGGATCCGATCAAAGAGCTGTTGTCGGATGCTCTTATCGGCCTGCTCAACAGCCGAGATCATGTATGACAGTATCGGGGGCAGATCACCCCATCGAAGCCCATACAGTTCTGGGAGGTTGTCTGAACTGTAGGACATCCACTCTTCCTCGCTCAATGGTATTCGCTCGTTGATCCCAGACATGACAGGTACCAGATGTGTTTCGAAAGCGGCAACGATTTCATCACAAAGATCCTTGTCTTGACTTTTGGTAAGGATGCCAACAAGGCTTTCCATCACGCAAACCCGAATGTCAATGTGCGATGTGCTGGCCAGGAGACCGATCAAGATCGAGGTTGCAAAAGAGTCGTCAATGAACATCGTGCCAGAGATGAGCTGTGAGAGGAGCTTCACCGTCGTCACCTTGATCCGGGGAGAATTCTGGTCCGAGGTTTTATCTTTGTAGGCGGAAAGTCTTCTCTGCATGGCACCGCTCAAACTTTGAAGGAACTGCTCAGCGATTTGTTTTGGAAGAGCACTTAGCAACCCTCTGTTCAGTATCAAACGTTGCCAAGAGGAATCATCAGGCCGGCCAAGAACGAGTTCCTGAATCATATCAAGGGCCATCTGAGGTCTGTCCCCTTTGATCAATACTCGAAGCAGCTTCAGAGCATGGTCCGGTGACCGATCTTTGCTGGCTGTCGAGGCTTCAATCAACGACCTTGCCAGACGTAAGAGCAGCGTGGGTGGGAAATCTTTTGAAAGACGCATCATGGCACCCCACGCGAAAAGGTGAGTGTGCTTGGGATCCTCCCTCTCAAGAAAGTCCCCATCAAGAAAGAGTGAAGGGAATCTTGTTTCTTCTTTGGATGGAAACTTTGTAGATAGTATTCCTGGGGACAGCTTGTTTGCCTCACTGACATGAAGTATAGCAGCAGCAGCAACAGCTTCCCGTGTTGCAGGTGACATTACTGTTCGTGGATTTCTCCACCTCGACCAGAAATATTGCAGTACATGACAGCGTGTCTCCGAGAAGCTATCTATGAAGGGTCCAGAGTGAATCGTCTTGTCAGCGCTCCGAAACGCATTAAGCATCGCATCGATCCTTGCAGGTTCTAGCCTGCGACTAGATTTGATCTCAAGGTGTTTTGTACTACCCTCCGGACTCCATTCAGTGTGTTGCTCGTCGTCTTCAACTGCAGGTAAGCAAGGAGGAGGGGGTTGAGCTGGTTCTTCCTCCCACGGTCCGTCCACTTTGGCTTCCTCGAGGGAATCTGAAAATATTCTGGACCAGAATACGTGCGCCTCCAGATCAGACATTCGCGTTGCAGATAGAGGTCCTATGGCATATTCCCATGCCGCGAGAGCTGAATCTTGACGGTTCTGGCTCAAGTAGACGTACTTGGTCAGCGCGCCCTGCCAACTCTCCACGAAAGCTCCAATGGCGCYGGCATCATCATCGGAAGACGGCTGGGGTGTCATGGCAATGTCTGCAGGAACAAAGACGACTGCTTTTGCTCGCGAAGTTAGATAAGGAAGATCTGGAGCTGATTTGCATTGGCTGAGATCGACCGGTACGATGCACTCGAGTGGTAGACCTTTGGGGTATGGCTCGTCGAGCGTCATCGTAGCAGGAACATGCTTTCTGCGATATTGTACCCAGAAGTCATTCCGGTCTTTGGCAAGAGTGTCCAAGAAGCGAAGTGTTGCCGGACGCGGATCAACCAGGACCGGCAATACTGAGTTGCTGTTCATCGGAGGACCTCCAAGGGTGTGGAATTCCAGGCTCGCATTATCGTCGTGTAATCCTAATACTTCCAAACTCTTGCACGTCGCGAGGGTGTCTCGCCAAACAGTGTCAAAAACTTCGTCGTCTGACAGCCGCAACGTGTCCTGCAAGACATTGACACTCTCATACCTTTTACCAACAGCGGCACTCATCATTCCAAGAACGATATGCCAATGGTAAGACTTGAAGCCTGGTTCTCGCTGTGCTTGGCATGCCGTTTCAAAGCACTCGGTGATGATGGTGTTTGCTTTCTGCACATCAAAAGCTACCTGATCCCGAGTGAGTAGGGCACAGTCATGCCGCGTATCAGGAAATCCACGTAGTAATCCGAGAGACTCATTCGAAGTCAAGACTGGCCCTTGGAATATCTCCATCGCCGTAAGCGGATCTTTGATATACTTTCTCGTCCACAACAACGTCTGACGGAAGAGCTCAATACATTGCGATGCGGCAGCTATCTCAAGCGCGAGCGATATGTATGAAGCACGACTGGTCTGCTCACGAGCTTGACTGGCTTTCTTCTTGTGCTCTTCCACCCCAGCAGTGGCCAATTCGAGCAAGTTTGGCTCATGTTGGGATAGCCTCACCATCAAGAGAACGCGTTCAGTCTGGCGCCGTTCTGGCTTGTAGTTTTCGTGGAGATTCTCTGCATTGATTGCGAGCAGTCGTCGAAGAATTTGCAGTGCTTCCGGCCGGGGAAGTGCGAGCAGTAATGGTGAGTCCCATTGTATTTGCTTGAGCTCACTGTCGACATTGAGATCGCACCGTGAAGCCATACGAAGAAGTCGAAGACGCAATGCACTCGGCACACATTTGACCAATTTGAGCCATTCACTAGGCAACGTTAGATTCCCCTTTGGTGCAAGACGCAGGAAAATGACCAGCGAATCTTCCAGCAGGTCGGGACTTCGTCCCCAGTGCTTTACCAGGCAGATGCCCGGACAATTAAAGAGWTCTTGCAATGACATGCGTTTGGGTATGTGGCGCTGTGCAAAATTGACGTATGCCAGTGTAGCCCTGACAATTGTCTCCGGCAAACATTTCCGTCGTGACAGTCTCCGAAATAAAGGAGTCGCCAACTCCGAAAGGATGACTTTGGCGTCTCCTTTGAGCTCTTTCCTTCCGGAGAGAAGCTCAAGAGCTTCCAGGGCGAAGAGATTGTTGGCGGTCAGATTGGCATCCCGGGGAGAGGCAGCATCGTTTGAGCAGGTGTCCAATAGAGCACGAACTTTCTCCATGTCTACATCGACCGAAGGATTTTGGAGCTCCAGGAGACATCTCGATCGGAACAGGGCAGTCCGAGCGAAGAAGGCCGATTCTCCATTTTTGACGTCTTCGATCCCAGACTTGCCATCCACTGCCGACAAGATCAGCTCCTGCGAGCAGGCCGAGAAGATGCGATTGTAGATGCTTGATAGTGGCCGTCCATCGGTCTCGAGATTGCCTCGAGAAGCAGCGGTATCGCGGAGTGCATTGTACAGCTCATCCACGAATGCCACTCTGTCGGTGGTATTTACTTTTGCTGTCGCAGAGCGGCGAATCTCATTGCAGAAGCGCTTCACGTCGAGAACCGAGGCCGTCGCGAGATAATCAATGACTCCAGCAGTTCCACCGACGGTACCCCAGATGTCTTTGACTCGTCGAGTGCGGAAGAGCTTTCCAAAACGTGTAATGGAAGCCTGTCTTACAGTCTGTGAGTTCTGGAAAGCAAGGCCTTGAAGAATGGCTTCAACATCTCCGCCGGCGGACAACCAGGCAACATAGACGCGAGGCGGCAAGGACTCGCTGTCAACTCTGGCCAATAGATCCTTGGTCACCGCTTCATTGCCCAACTGTGTAGCTTGAGTTCGGAGGTAGTTTGCAAKGGCTGTTGGGTCGGCGGCGAGAAGGAAGGAATTGTCCATGGTGGGGGAAGTTCCAACGCTCAGATTGAGTCAAGGATAGCAGACTGATGTGGGTTCGTATGTAGAGTACCTTAGACGTTGGCGGTGGAAGCAAACAAGCAGGCAAAGCAAAGCATACCGCCGGTGACTCCATGCAGCTTACCGCAGCCTGCAGGTGGCGAAGAATCCTTTCGGATTCACATCACACGCGCATCGAAAGTGAAAGGATGGCCACTTTTACATCCGAATCTTCTTGAACCTACACGATATGAATAGAGATTGTAACCAGAAGCATCGTATTGTCTGTCTGTTGATGGATGAGGATGGAGTGAGTGGTGGTGGAGTGGCATCCGACGTTGCCAGCCTCATCTCCGACATCGCTTTGGCTTACATAAGTCTAGGGCTGCCTTACCTTAGGTATGGAGGTCGCTGCTTCCAGGTCTCCTCTTCTACCTTACCTACCTACAGTACCTTCCATTCATCCACCAACACCATGCCGTCTCACATTATTGATTGGCAGATGTCGCGTACACACGGCAGTTTCCCATCAAAATGAGCGAGACATCACGTTCCTTGCATGGAGATTCCACCCAACGACAATGCCTGGACTTTCAATACCACTCCATTTGATTAATCCCGGTCGTAATAGTGCACCCACATGCCTGCTCTGGCAAATGCAAACGCCCACTGACCACCAAGTGGCGGATCTTCACATGAATGTGACCGCGTCCACCCATATTCCTCGGGAGTTTCCTCGTGGTGCCTCCAATCATAAAAATCGGTGTCATCCTCCGAAGGACCAGGATATCCATTTTTCCAACCCAAGACCTGCAAAGACCATCCATCCGCTCCAGGAATTGCGATGAAACCATGTCCTCGTCGATTTCCCATCGAGACCCCAAAGAACTGCTCGAGTGCTTGAATGATGTACGACCCATGGGCCCGTTCTCCTCCCCAGATCTTCATCGGGCATACCACAATCGCACGCCCAACGTTTCCAACGAATTTCCCATCCCTGACTTTATGAGAAAGGGACGGTATCTCGCGAAGGTTCTTCAAGATCATCTCCATGAGCTCCTGCGCCTTTGATGCGTCAGGCACAGCCCGCGCTCGGTTGTCCTTCACTCTCTGCTCATGAGTGGGATCCTCGACTGCTCTGACGTCCGCAGCGTGATCAATTGCCGAGATGTGAGCTGCGAAACATGTGCGATTACTCAGCTCGACGAACACGCACACGCAGGTTCGGCATCCTGTCGAACCCAGGGCTGTGATGTTCCTTTCACCATCCACTGTGCCAGGTATTGTGTAATGACCTCCCTGGCTTTGGTCAATGTGCCAATATTCTCTTAGTTCTCGCGGTTCTTGAGGTGAATTGTCAACATGCTTGCTGCCTTCTGTCATTCTTCGTCACTTTCACCGGCTGATGTTGGGCTGTGCAGGTCACGAAACGACAACTCTACTTATGGACAACCTTTCGATTGCTACGTCGAAAACTAATGCTTGTTGGACGTCTTCTGAACGATGGTCTCGCTGCTTCTCGAAGGCAACAGTCGACGCTGCAAACTTCCTGACCCGATCTGGACCCTATGTCCGCGGCCGCTATGAATGAATTGATACAGCCCATTCTGGACGTGTGATCAAGATCTCCTTCGAATCAAAAGCGTTGTGGGACAGGAGTCTCTCCCTCATGCTGCCCATAGATGTGTTGGAGATTCACTGCACGTCTGCGTCTAATTCGCCTTCACCAATTCCCGCAGCCATCAGAAATCGTGCCGTCTTCACGTATACCAGAGTGCCTTCTGCATGGCTTTGTGGGTGGGCGATCATGCATAGATCTACAGGCTCTCTGCGGGGTGTGTACCCTGTAAGATGACGGACGGGGAAACTTGAGCATACAGACCGGCTAAATACAAGTCTGGGGTAGACATGACGGAGCAATATATGGGACGGATATACCGAATAGATTGCTTTCAAATCCAGCAGCTTGCTTCCTGGTATTGACATTTCAACGGTGGTCAGCGATGCATCACAAGATTGGCCTTGCTACCGCTGCGGTGGCCTTCATTTCGTCAAGTTCCGCAACCTTGGACACTGCWGCTTTAGCAACCCGCTACTTTGGAAACGATTCACCATGGTATCGCGACAGGATCCCATACTTTGAGATTTCCGACCCGAGCATTCAAGACGTCTACTATTACCGCTGGGGAGTCTATCGTGCTCATCAACGAGATATCGGACAGAGAGGATACGTCAGCACCGAATTCCTCGACGATGTCGGTTGGCAGCTTGAGCCTTGGGCGACTTTGAACGATGCCACGGGCTTTCACATCGGAGAAGGCCGTTGGTTGCGCGACCGACGCTATACAGACGACTACATTCGACACATGTACAATGGCGGCAACGACAGGCACTTTACAGATTACATGGCCGACTCGGTCTGGCAGAGATATCTGGTCGATGGGGACGTTACTAGTATTACTACGCATCTGCAGGCAATGATTGATCTTTACGAACAGTGGGACGATGCGTTTGATGCTGATAAGGGCCTTTACTGGCGAGAGCCGCTCGCTGATGCCACAGAATACACCATCTCCAGCATCGATGCTTCTGGCGGAGAAGATGGCTTTACTGGTGGCTACGCTTTCAGACCTACCATCAACTCCTACATGTGGGCCAATGCTCTTGCGATTGCCAATGTCGCCGATCTTGTAGGAGAGAGCTCGACGGCGGGCATCTTCAGAGAACGGGCTTCTACGTTGAAGACTAGATTCCAAACCGACATCTGGAATACCAGTGAGTACATGCGTTTTTCTACAAACTTCATCGACGCTGATCAATCAAGCTCTCGAGCACTTCATCGATAGACATCAGCGTAGCAACGAATTTGTTCAATATTATCAGCCTATCCGTGGCAGAGAGCTAGCTGGTCGTGAGTTCTTCTACCTTTCCGTCTACCTGTCTCAATACTAACACAGTCTACGCTATCAAGTCGTTCCTTGGATGTTCGGGATGCCAGACAACAACTCGAAGTATAATGCAGCTTGGAAGCACATTCTTGATACAAGCCAACTCAGGGGCCTCAATGGTATGCGTACTGTCGAGCCATCCTACCAGTACTATATGCGTCAGTATCGATATGAAGGTACCAATCGGGAATGCCAATGGAATGTATGTTGTTCGGCTTTCGACTGCAAAATATGCTTTAAGATGCTGATGATCACTCAGGGACCAGTCTGGCCATATCAAGTGACTCAGGTCCTGTATGTGTTCAACGTCCAGATTACCCGGGATAGTTCACTAACGACTCTCCAGTCTAGGAATGGCAAACCTCCTCAACAACTACAACCAAACCATCATCTCCAAAACCGACTACCTACGCGAACTCCGTTCATACACCAGAATTCATTCCAACAGCGGTAAACTCAACTTAGAGGAAAACTACGAACCCGACAAATCCGGCCCAATTGTAGGTCTCGCTCGATCACCCCATTACTTCCACTCAGGCTACAACGACCTCATCATCACAGGTCTTGTAGGAATCCGACCACGTAGCGATAACACCTTGGAAATCCACCCTATGATTCCTTCAAACTCCAACATCTCCTACTTTCGTCTGCAAGACGTCAGTTATCATGGGAGGAATGTTGCCGTACAATGGGACGCCAGTGGGACTCGCTATGGTCAAGGCGTAGGGTTGAAAGTCGAGATTGATGGGGTAGTGGTGGCTTCTTCTGCAACCCTCTCGAGATTGACGGCTCCCATTGCGAAGAGAGCTGCTCCAGCTATCAATAGAAGTCTTATTGCCAAGTCTGTACAGTTGGGCGATGAATATCCGCGCGGATCAGCTTCTAGCGGACAGGATGCTGGTAAAATAGCCGACGCCATCGATGGGAGAGTTTGGTTCTGTAAGTCTATCCTACATTGATATAGGCGGCGAGAATCACTAACCAGTTCAGACCCCGAGCTTCCAAACGGTTGGGACTCCAATACAACATCCACCGAGTCAACGCAGTGGTATAATGTGGATTTTGGCCAAGCGACTCTGCTCGTTGGATGTGAATTGGCGTTTTTCGTCGATGATGATGGTGGCGATTACGCTCTACCTCTTTCTTACGATATCTTGCGATTTGACGAGAGTGGTGAATGGGTTAAAATTGTCGGTTTCGGGGAATCACGGTTGGTTGCTAATGGTATTACTGACGTTTCTTGGGATGGTGTGATTACGAACCAGCTGAGAGTTTCTTTTCGGCAGCCTGCTGGGAAGAGAGTTCGTCTTGTGGAGATTAAGGCGTTTTGAATAGTCTTCGATGGGTCTTGAATAGTAGTCTAATTCTGATGCTGAGACCAGTTTCGAGGTTAGAAACCCAACATGGACAAAATGTATACTTTTCCCATCTATCATTGTACCAATCTCCCACAAAGAATCCTAATCTCCAACAAAAAGATCTAATTAAAAACAACAGTCTTCTGCCCATTCAAAAACAACCTCTTCTCACTCCACCACTTAACAGCAGCAGCCAAAGTCTGCGTCTCAACACTAGTCCCCTCATCCACCAACTCTTTCGCATTCATACTATGATCCACCCTCGAAATCCGCTGTTCAATAATCGGTCCCTCATCCAAATCCGCCGTAACGAAATGTGCAGTCGCCCCAATAATTTTGACACCCCGATCATAAGCCTGATGATACGGTTTCGCGCCTTTGAAGGAGGGTAGGAAGGAGTGGTGGATGTTGATGATTTTCCCACTCATTGCTTCGCAGAGTTTAGGGGATAGGACTTGCATGTATCGGGCCAGGACGATGAGGTCGATGCGGYGTTCCTTTACGAGGTCTAGAATTTGGGATTCTTGCTGGGTTTTGGTGTCTTTTGTGACGGGAAGATGGTGGAAATCTACATCGTAGCTCTTGGCTAGGGATGCGAATTCCGTGTGGTTGGACACTATCAGGGGGATTTCAATGTTGAGTTGTTGCGTCTTTTGGCGGAAAAGTAGATCATTGAGACAGTGTCCGATTTTGGAGACCATGATTAAAACTCTGGGTTTGTGGGATTTGGCCACAATATTCACATTGTCGAACTGCAAATCTTGTCCGAGTGCTTGGAATGGTTCGTGGAGATGTTCCGTCGACTCGGCGTGCCCGAAATGAACGCGCATGAAGAATTTTTTGCGCTCGAGGTCGGAGAATTGTTGGAGGTCCATGACGTTGAGATTGTGCTCTTTTAAAAGTCCCGTCACTGCGTGGATGATACCGGGTTTGTCCGGGCAGGAGAGGGTGAGGATGTGATCCGTCGAGGACATGTTGGTGGTGGTGGTGGTGGACTTGTTGTTGGGCTTTGTTGCGAAGCGAGATGTTTGTTGGTGGATGATTCTCAATGGCTGGATGCGAGGAATGACAATAGAAGGTGCGACGGAGCGGAGAGTTGAAGATAGCAGTGGAGACCGAGTGAAGATTCCGAGGGATGCCATGGAAATCCTCCTCGATTGGAATGGTCAAGGTTGCACTGAAATCTTGCTTGGTTTGTCTGTCTCTGAGGTGACTGACTGACTGGGCCTTTGTTTGTTTCTCGCCGCGACCGCTGCCAAGCCGTTTGGAAAAGTTTTCGAGACGCCGAGAACGGCGAATCCGGGACAATACCAGTCATGAAAGTTGTAGCTGTTGCATTCGACTTCCATCGCGACCACTCAGACATGAGCAGTGCTATGAACGGTACGGCAGCGTGTGACATGAGCTGGAATCATTCACTCACCACTTGCCTGGCCTGTTTGTTGGCGGCCAGATTAGGCAGGTACTGATGCCTATCTGGCCCGATGCGGTCTAGTGTGAGCAATCGGCGGAGCCGAATGGCGAGCGCCGAACGGCATCAATGCGATAGTGAGGGGGTGGAAGGCATGTCTTCAAAATACCAAAGCGATCGCTGCTTGACCTAACTCACATGGACTTGTTCAGTCTACCAACCAATGGCAACATCAATCACCACAAGCCACGAATTTCAAATACGGCTTTGATGAATGTGTGATGACTTGTCGTCCTCAGCTTCGACCGCCTCGCTGGAGTTTCAACACTTTGCGATCTCTCTAACGGCCTTCACACCCGCAGGTTTTGTGTGATTTACTTGTTTCTCCAAGTTGATTGCGGGAGCATTCCCAGACTCTACCTCGCCAGATACAATTAACGCTGATGGCGGAGACTGGATGCTCATTGTCCTCTACGAATAGATGAGTTTCCAGAATTGGCGGTGTCTGCGAAGAATGACCTTCACTGTGGTCATCCAATGCTGGCAGCTTCCCCATCGGAATGATCGAGGCGTTGGGAAAGGACTCAGATCTGATTGTGGAAGACAAAGCATGTCTTTCCCGGTACACTAACCGTCCTGATGGACCGGGTATCATGAGCTTTAACGTGATCTTCTACAGTGTATGTTTGCTGGTTGGCCAAGCCATCCAAAGGACTCCAAGATTAGTTAGATTCGCGAGCGTGAAGGAACAAGAACATTTTCTAGTAACGTTACGGAAAGATGGATCATGAATAACCCGAACGGAGCAGGTTTTCGCACCAATCCTAGTCGTGCTCTCCCTGGTCTGCCTGTCTTGGGAAATGATCGACTGCATCTTTCGCAGCCTAAATTCGTCTCGGCACTTGGCGAGCTCCGCCATGACATGGGGTACCTACGCAGTACAGCAATCATGCACATCCTGGACACGACTGCCGATGTGGAGATGGTCAACTCTGTCTGATGCAACCCCATGGAGCCGCATGCTGAATCACTCTATATATACTTCCATGTCCGCAACCGTCTCGACTGCTAGTCACTTCCCACAGATCCAACATGCGTTTGAACTCTTTCCTCTGCTCGGCGAGCCTTTTGGCAACGGCATTATCCATACCAACAACAACAACAAGTCCTCGACAGGACTCGGATTCCAAAGTTGGATACCTACTCACAACATTCCCTCTTGAAGATGAGGCGATTTACATGTATCTGTCTCAAGGAAATGACCCTCACTCATGGGATCAGCTCACCACAAACGGAACAGCTCAAGGCGGAGCAATTCTTCGCAGCACAGTCGGCAGTAAAGGAGTACGGGATAGCTTTTTGATTCCTGCAGTCGACGGATCGAAATTCTGGCTCATAGCCACCGATCTGCAAGTCAATGCTTTCAAGGAGGATTTCAATGAGGCTACGCGATTTGGAAGTCGTTCCATTGTTGTCTGGGAGTCCAATGATCTTGTCAACTGGGGTGAACCGACTTTGACACCTCCGATTATCGATGAGACGGCTGGCAATGCTTGGGCTCCGKAAGCTTACTGGGATGATGAGATTCAGGCATACATTGTCGTGTTTGCCTCCCGATTCTGGCCGGTTGAAGACGTAGACCGCGAAGGACCGCAGCCTCCTAATAAGCTCATGTACGTGACGACGAATGACTTTGTGAGCTTTTCCGAGCAGGAGGAGTACTTCTATCCTGGATATCCCGTCATTGATACCACATTTTTAYATGCCCCAGAGGAGGGCGCTCGAGTCTGGTACCGCTGGGTCAAGGATGAAAGAGACTACCTGATCTATCAGGAGAGGTCAGAAACCGGCATCCTAGGAACCTTCAGCAGAGTTGGCGGAGCGCCAGAGGATGAGCGTATTGAGTTTGCGAGTCAATACAACAACAATGAAGGTCCTTTGATCTTTAGAGATAATGTGAGTAATGCCTTCGAGAAATTGGACTTGTATTGACAGGATGAACAGGTCGATGCTGGTCTTTACCACCTTTGGATTGACGAGAACGACATGCAAACATACATTCCTTCGACTGCACGTACTCTGAATGATATGCAAGCCTGGACGGCAGAACCATTGGCAGGCTTCCCTAACAAGATTAAGCACGGCCATGTTTTTGCTGTGAATCAGAAGCAGTACGATGCTATTGCCGCAAAGTACCCTTCTATCCCTGCCTCTGAGCATTAGCCGATAGAATTGAATGAAAAAGAACCTCATTGTCTGACTTGCTGAAAGTGAACTTCGGTTTGCTGCGGGCTAGTCATCAGTACAGCTTCTTTCTTCTCGTTCTATGGATATCAAGTACGAGCGCCTGTATTACTCTGAAAGCCACCATTGTCAATTTGAGCAATGAATCGCACAACTCTGCCCACGAGCTCAGCTACCACGTCCTCGGAGCTGTCATTAAGACTGTGAGAGGCGCCTACAACAGGCTTCGCTCCATTCGACTCATCAACACAGCCTCCCGACGCCTTGACCACATCCATCCACCTCTGGACGAGCTTCTCCTTGTCGATCTTATCTGGCATAGACTCATCCGCGCCGCTACAAAGTATCAACAGCGGAGCGCTAGCGGGGAGTTTCCCAAAAGTAGTCTTGAGCCTCTCCTCGGACAAATCGCTGGAGAAATAGTCATCTGCACCAGTATGATCTGGCCCCGGGCTCGAGACGTCCACCCAGCGCTTCGCAGTGATTCCCATGTGTCCAAAGACTGGTTTCGACAGACGACTCGGCATGCATTCCGCACCGTGTTTCTCTCTACACATTTTCAGTGCGAGCTGATCAGCCTCATCCTTGATGGTCTGTGGAAGTTCATCTTCCAAAGCTTCTCGATCGGAGACAGGCGCTTGTAGAATGATTCCATCAACAGCTGGCCGTGCACTGGCATTCTTGCCCACGAGATATTCCATACAATCCTGACAACCTGTACTGTGACCCATGATGACTACTTTCCCCCCAGGCCGTCTTTCACGCAGATAGGCAACAAATTTGGCCATCTCTTCGGCGTCTTTTGCTATGCTGCTTACACCCCAACTGTGGCCCGCTGAGCTTAGAGAAGCTGTCATGACAGACCATGTTGGACCTAGCGATTGGGCGATGGTGAAGGGATATTGGACGGAATGGAGAGTGTCGAACATGCCACCGACCCATAGCAGCGTGTTGATGTTGAGGGAGCGGACGAGTGGTTTGGTCGGTTCGAAGGCGCTGAGATTGGGTGGGATGTAGTGTAATGTGCCTGGCGTCGATTTCGCTGCTGGCGGGTTATGCGAGTCTGAGGATGAGGAACTCATCTTGTAGACCTGATGTGCGTTGTTCTACGACTCAACTCATGCTCGAGGAGTGGAGTGGTGTCCTGGATGTCTTTCTTTCTTGGAAATCGGCGTGATGACGTCCCAGTCTCCACCATGATGGAGGATCCCCCATCTTTCACCCCTGGTGGAGCCACATCATCCTTCCCCAAGGCATCAACATCAACATCAACATCAACATCAACATCAACAGAGGCATGTGCGGTACTGCACTCGGGGGTGAGTAAGCTGACGCCAACCCTCTCCTATCTGTATAAGGATAAGGTTTTGCTCAAAGTCTAGGAGCTTTTCGGGAGAATTAATTAATGAAACGACCGGAACACGCCGCAAAAGCCTCATCACATCCACGTTTGTCAAACCAGATTATTCTGAAGCGTGGGCGTGTCACACAACAACAATCAAGATTTCCCATCCCAAAAATTGCAAGCCCTTACCCTGTCCTGTCCTGTCCTCCACCCAAACCTGCCCGTCACAATACATGCGCACTGACGAGTCATTATGATTCGGGCCTGTGTGGGAGTGAGTTGTAATGTGGTTGAGTGACGTGCGACGCGTTCTTGTTGGTTTCTTATTAAATAAACCTCACAAGGAACGCACCGGATCCTGCTTATTTCCTTTGCCCGTMCTTCACATGCGTGCATAGATAGCTTTGACGCCCCCCCCTTCCACTGACATCCGAGAGTCTGTTTTGGAAAGTGTACATCTGATCTCATGCTGCCTGCCCCTCTCACGTTTTTATTGATCCCTACCCTCCTCCTCCTCCTCCTCCTCCACAAGCCAAGAAAGAAATGCCTCCAACACTGATCCTAGTCCGACACGCTGAGGCTCTACACAATGCTACCAATAAGTCTCGCGATGCGATCAACAACCTCTTCTAAGAAGAACCCAAAGACTGACTTTGTTCTGTTGATATACAAAACTGGAAACTCCTCGATCCCGAACTCACAGACGCCGGAATCGAACAATGTCAACACCTCCAACACCATCTCCAACGTACCGCCCTCGCCTCGCGAACAGAACTCATCATCACAAGTCCCATGCGTCGAACCCTGCAAACAACCCTCATAAGTCTGAAATGGTTGGTGGAAAGTGGTGTGCCGGTTGCCGTAGATCCCATGTGGCAAGGTCCGTCAATAATAATAATAATCTCGCCGATCCAAATCCTACCCAGACAATCCACGAATGGAGCTAACAAACGACTCTGCCAGAAAACTCCAATGAGAAATGCGACACGGGACTTCCAATCTACAAAACAGCCTCTCTCTTTCCCAGTCTAGACTTTTCATGCGTCGACCCAGCATATTCGGATAAATCCGTCGGATCACCCTACGCATTCAGTGCGCTTGCGAATAAAGCTCGTGGGGAGGCTTGTTTGAAAGCACTTTATGAACGGCCCGAAAAAGTCATTATCGTAGTGAGCCATGCCGGGTTTTTAAGAACGGCGATAACGAAGAGGAAATTTGGGAATGCAGATTATAGAATCTTTACGTTTGGGAGAGGGAAGAGGGGGTATTTGGAACTTTTCGAGGATGAAGCTACAGAGGGGAAAGGTGGGCGGGGGAGGAGTCGGAGAGGGATCTGGAAGGTTAAAGAGGGCGATTTTCCGTTGGAAAGTATTGGAGAGGAGTCTGATGGTGAGTGGTTTGGAGTGAGTTGAGTGAGTACTTGGCAAGGCAGATCATACTGAAGGGCACAGCATGATTGATGACTCGGCGAGTCTTGCAATTTGTCGCTGCTTTCTTTCTGTACGAGCAACGGTCCTTCGATGATGAAATCGGCTCGAAGTGGCTGTTATTATCTTCCAACAGTGAGCAATCTGCTTCAGGCCTCCGACTCGAAGGGCGGTAATGTAATGGATCCATGCCAGTCGGGGACCTTCCCAGGCGATTCCTCGCAGCGGCATGGACGGACGACAAAGACGAAGCTTGGCGATGAACCAGATTCAGCATGCGCTTTCATGGACTCTTAAGCTGGATGTTAGACCTCTCTTTCGAGATGACATCCAAGAGGTACCACGCAGCACTTCTAGCAGGGCGGCTCGATCACTTCCGGGAGGGCCCTTCTTTTGCTTCCCCTCAGGTCCTCTCCGTGTGACATCAAACGTGGGGCAACTGCTACTAGGTACCTTGGACCAACCAGGTGGGGTTCGCTACCGTTCGAAGAGCTCCCATCTCCATTGGCAATTGGACGCGACCGACAAAGCTACCTTGTGCTCCCGCAAAGCCGCTCTACAGAACGGCAATAAAAACAAGCATCCCACCTAGCTTTCCATCAAGGTGTCGCTCCATCACAAACATTCACTCAACAACAACACCAATTAGGAAAACTCTCCTAGCCAATCAATCAATCAATCAACCACTCACACACAACATCAACAATCTTCAACATGACGCCCTCCATCCCCAAAGAAATGAAAGCCATCCAAGTAGTAGAATACAACGCACCCTACCAACTAAACRCCATCCCCGTCCCCTCAGACCTCTCACCAACAGACCTCCTAGTAAAAGTCGCCGTAGCCTCAAACTGCCACACAGACAGCATGGTCTTAGCAGGAAAATTCGCCACCTTACTCCCCTGCACAGCCTCCCACGAAGGCTCCGGAACAATCGTAGCCATAGGATCTGAAGTTCAGAATTTCACTCCCGGCGATCGAGTCATGTGTGGTCTCCCATTGCATCCCTGTGGTGCATGTCCCGATTGTTTAGGACCGGAGCATCAAAGACAATATTGTATGAAGTTGAAAAGTGGACATATTGGTGTTCAGACACATGGCTGTTTTGCAGAGTATGTCAAGTGTGATTCGAGGTCTTCGACGAAGTTACCGGATAAAGTCAGTTTAATGAGTGCGGCTCCCCTGGCGTGTGCGGGAAGGACGGTGTGGAGGAGTGTGATGCAGACGGAACTCAAAGCTGGAGAATGGATTTGTTTTGTGGGGAGTGGAGGGGGATTGGGACATTTGGGAGTGCAGTTCGCCAAGGCGTTGGGGTTGAAGGTTATTGGAATTGATGCTCGGGATGAGGGACTTGCTTTGACGAAGCAATATGGTGCTGATGTTGTCGCTGATGCGAGGAAGGGGAAGAAGGAGGTTGTTAGGGCCGTGCAGGAAGTTACTGGCGGGCAAGGAGCGGATGCTACCGTTTGTTTGTCGGACCATGAGACTGCTGCTGCGACGGCTTGTGCTGTGACCAAGATGCATGGGAGGATGGTGCAGATTGCCCAGCCGGATAATGTTTCTGTTCCGTTTGCGGAATTGATCTTTAGGGATATTCGGATTGTGGGCTCTTTGATTTGTTCGGCGGAGGAATCCAAGGATATGCTGGATGCTATCGCAAAGCATGGCGTCACTGTCAAGACGAACCCTTTCTATGGCTTGGATAAGATTGAGGAGTTGGTGGATATGGTGCATGGAGGTAAGATCCAGGGCAAGGCTGTCATTGTCGTGGATAATGAGCAGTTGGAGCAGGAGAAGAAGATTGGAGCCAAGTTTTAGATGTCGWCCAAGTGAGTAAGTAAGTACTGTACGATCAAAGAGGTCAGCCTTCAGCCGCCTCACACACTATTATGAACTCGCCAAACTATCATACATGCCATTTCATCTTACATCCGTTCTTATACACCCATCTCGTAGATTTGACTATGCGGCCTGCTAGGAGTTTGAACTCTCTTCGGCTCCACGCTCGCCCTCCTCAATTCTGTCGGACTGTGCTCCCACGTGCTCAATTCCGTTTGCGAGCTGACAGGTCTGGAATCAACGTCCGTCAATGCTGCAGCGGTACCCGGTCTCGAGCCATGCGGATGAAAGTAATGACCATCATGCAACACACTCAATCGCCTCGACGCGGGCTCCACAGCTGCTCCCTCGACAGTACCACTGAAAACATGTCGACCAATCACAAAGCAAAACTTCTCCGTCTCCAATGGTTTTGAAACAAGCAAGACTTGACATTTGAGTTGTCCGATTTCGAATACTTCATTATCCTGGAAGCCGGAGTCGAAAGGGGCGGATTGAAAGGCATTTTGTATGCGATATTGCCTTTGAAACATCCTGTGGACTCCTGAGAGGGACTTGCCGGTACATATTCGAGGCATGTGTCCGGTGAGCTGTTGTAGTTGGCCGCGAAGATACCATGCTGAAGTTGGCATTCCATGAGAGTGAGTTTCGAGTATTCGCATGACGGTGTAGCGGTAGTTCATCACGAGATCCAGGATCTTATCCGCCGCTGTGGTTGCAATGCCAATTTGATTTGAGGGTGGCCTGCCATCGAGTACTGGGTCAATGACTACGGCTTCCTTGGTTATGGGACATGCCACGAGCCATTGATATGTGCCTGTTGATCTCTCGAACATGGTGTGAACATTGGCTTCCAGCGGCGCCTGCGGGCTCGCGGCGTCTTTTGAATGGCTCATGTTGGCCGTCAATGGCAGAGTCCCGTCCTGGAGAGCGCGTCGTAATTCGAATATCAACTTGGATGTCGTTGTTCACAGACGTCAGTCTCGATGTGAAGAGAAGGATCCGGGACCGCGAGACTGAAAAGACGAGACGGCTCGTGATTTTTCGAGTCCAGTGGTAACGTCAGCCCTTGTACGTTTACGTGTAACGGTGGAGTAGCAATAGAATATAGACCGGCGACGTGCGTAAGTGTTCTCGTCTTCTGGCAGGGATGGGTCCCCAGTCCGAGTCGGCGACTTCATTGATCGGCGACCTTCCCACGGCGCGCTGGTAATCTTCCTCCTCGTCCTCTGTTTAACCACGCTTATAATTGCTTCCCATGCTTCGCTCTCTTACCGCGCGACCGGCGAGTGGGAACTCTGGAAAAGCGGTTGAGAGCCTAATGAGGTGGTCTCACGGCTAATCCGGCGTTTGTTTACATGTGCATTTTCTCTGATGACACAAAAGCCTGACCAAACTTGAAACGCCCCACAATGCAGAACAGAAAGAAGTGTGTGTAGGAGGGAGCCCCTCGTTCTCATCATCAGCCCTTTCGTATCTCACCAAGGACGGACTGGTCCCCGTGAAGCAATTGCCCGATGATTTCTCGACCATACACGTCATCGTGTCGGGCTTTCCGTCATTTCCTTCCTTGTCACATCTTTTCTTCAACCTGTGGACCAACAAGATCCGTAAGGCTGACATACGAGTTGGAGGCTACTCCCATATCATGGCCATTTGTGGTCGCTAGAAATGGACAAGATGCTGGAGTCTGATATATCTACATCATCATCCACCCACTTCTCCATCATCAAGAGGAAATTCTCACCAACTCTACTACTTCCCTCCCACCTTCCTACCCTTAGCAGCAACAACACAAACCGCAGCCCAAATAAACACAATCCACGCAACCATCACAGAGAAATAATCAACACAGCCTCCTAAGAACTCTCACAACCAGCACCAAAAGCCCACAACGACCACGACYTACTTCCTCCCTCCCCCTCCCAGCAAATCGCCTTTTATCCCCATCCACCTCACCTTGAGAAAAACGTCCCTTCTACATACTCTCCTCAAAACTCTCAAAATCAACCGATTCCTCACGTCTAATCGAGTATGTGAACAACAACTCTTTTCCCTAGACAATCCTTCTTTCGCGATAGAAATTTTTATTTCTCTGATTTGGAAGTCATTTGACGATGAAAGATAGCATTCTAGCACTCTCCGGCATGGTCCACGTTGACTTGATTCGTACGACTCTTCCGTCTACTATATCGTATCGTGACGTCGACTTGGAACATCGCCACAAACTGTACACGCGAGAGCGGTATTGGTGAATGGGAAAAAAGGTCGTTTTAAGCAGTGCTGTATACCTAAAGTATAAAAAGCGAAGGGATATTGCCCGCCTGCACTGCACTGGCAAAGCAGACATCAAACGGCCGTAAGAATCGTAATATGTGCATGCATGTCGCAAAACCCATCCAAATAACATCTTACTACTTGCCGCAAATTCCACTACCAGCCAAAGCAGCAGTAGGATAAAGAACCGAAGGTAACCCCTGCGAGTAAGAAACCACCAAATTTCCATTCCCATCCGCCGTCTTCGCAGAGCAAGTAATAATTTCAGTGACTTGTTGATTAGCCGTGAAACCCGAATTAGAAGCTTGGATGGTGAGGGTTCCGGATCCATTGGCGCCTTTATTGGTATATACGCTGACAATCTGTTTACCGCCGAAACCCTTTCGCATGATGATATTTTGGCCGTCGCTGTAGATTGGGTAGGCTTTGTAACCGCCTGCGTAGTTGCTATCTTGTCGGATCGCCCAAGAGCGGATTTTGTTGAGTTTCTGGATGTGCAGGTATAGGTCGCTGTTTTTGTTGTAGTTGCTGGTCCAGAGTGCTTCACGGTTGCCTGGAGTGTCGGTTCCGGAGAACTTGTGTTCTTGACCTTGGTATATGATGGGAATGCCATCTTGTAAGATGGTAAATGCGATGGCGTTCTTGATCTGAGATTGGTCGGATGTCTTGCTGGGGAAGCGTGGGTTGTCTATGTTGAGAGTTAGCAAATGCTGGTGAAGTTGATGGATAATCCAATCCACGTACCATGGTTCTCGATGAAGCTGCCAAGGAGCGTGGTGTCCTTGCAAGTTTGCTTCATTTGATTGATCCCGTTGGCCAGATTGGCGATACTACCACTAGCACTCTGGAAAGCCTGTGTAATCCAGTAATAGGTGCCGTAATTCAACAGTCCGTATAGGGAATTCTGGTAAGGGCACATGACATCGGGGTTGCCATTGAACACCTCTCCGAGAGTGTGGATACCACCAGCAGCGGACTGGAATCCAGGCCAGAAGCCTTGGTTGACTTGTTGGGCTGTGTCAATACGAAGTCCATCGACTGCGAATATGTTAGCATTGTTTCGAGTGGAAGGACCGGATAGCTTACTGGAGTAGTTGGACACGAGCTGTGATATCCAGGTGTTCCACATCTGCTGGACCTCTTGATCCTCGGTCCTCAAGTCGGGAAGCGGAGCAACGTCGTTGTTGGAAACCCAGCAGTATTTGATGCTGTCGGCATTGTTGTAGTCGATTGAACACGAGTCGTGGTAGAAACGCTTGTTGTTGAAAGGATGTAGTCCACCGTAGTCGATGTTGGCTTTAGTGCTGAGCGATCCCATGTGATTCGGCACAACATCAACCATCAGGTACTGGTCAAGTCAGCAGTTGATTCCAACCGATAATTGGGTGTCATACCATTCCTCGCTGGTGCAACGCTGCAGAAAGACTCTTAAGGTCGTCGGAGGTGCCAAATTTGGGGTTCACTGCGTATGCATCTTGGGCCCAGTAACCTGCATACGTTAGAAGAATCTAGTGAGAACATGTGCACAACCAACCGTGGTAACTGTTTCCATTGGATGTGAGGCCGATAGGGTTCTTCACAACAGGCGAGATCCAGACGGCAGTAAATCCCATGCCCTGAATGTAGTCCAACTTGTTGATGAGCTATACGAAGAACAATACACAACAGTCAGCTACAGTACATCCCACGTGTATATGCATTCCTACATACACCTCTCCACGTTCCGCCACAGTAATCACTGAGATTGCTGCAGCCTGAAGTCGAGCCGTCCGTCCTGGCGAACCGATCGGTCAAGACCTGATAAATGGACTGGGATCTCCATCCCGCCGAGTTGAGACAGTTCCCGAGGCTCCAAAGCGAGAGAAATATGTACACAAAGCTGGAAAGTCGCGCCATGACGAATGAGGGAATCTGTGGAATGTAGATGTCTTTCTCCCAGCAATACGGAGGGTGATGGTGGGGATTCTTATATGTCAAGATCTAGCTTTGTCCTCGGTGGGCCATCCAGATGCAGTTCTCCAACAAATTCTCCCACCAATAGCGTGGGAATTAGCGGCATACCACTGCATGGCACATGAGAGAGAGCGAGAAGAGGGTTGCTTGGGGACATTTCTGATCCAATAACCGAACATGCCCGGCCGAAGGACTCCTGAGCATGCACGCACGGTCTGCCAATTGTACATCGCTATCTTCGGATGGCGCTCGTTACTTTCCATCCCTGGTGACTCGGATCATGTAGGCGGAACCGCAAACGTCAGCACAATCGAGACAGCATACCAGGACATGTCAAGCTTTCTTTGCAAATGATCGACACGCCCCGGCAGAATTGTCGGAGTGTGGCTTTTACTTCCTCCGGGTGTAGCAAGTCATCGTCTCCATAGACATTAGACATGTTCGGGAGTGCAGCCAGATGTAACTTAGGTTCGAGATGCTCGAGCGCGGCGCAGATCCCATGTTACCTTATTTATTACCTACCTAACATCCGTCGGATCCGTGGTGCATGTGGTGCTGCTCCCAGTTCAGTTGCCTTTGACCTGGTTTCGGGAGTGCAGGAGGACCCCAAGCTTTGGACTCCATGTGCATGTCCTGCGACCTGATGAGCCATTTCGTCAGTCAGTGTGGAAGGAGTTTAAATCCGCCCATTGGTGTTTTGGTGGTCAAAGGATGGAATCTCATCATTGTGCTGCGGAATGGTTCCTAGCCAAGCCAAGGGCTTCTCATTGCGACTCCCCCCCCGGACAGCTGGACTAACGCACGCCCGCTCCTTCAACTTTATCCGAGTCGACAGCTTTCAGCATTCAGCAAGGCCAGGGTTACATTCCAGTGAACCGAACTATGTGTGGAAGGTGTTGGGCACCATCGCATCGAATCGAATCATCAAACAATGCATTCTTCGTCTTGGATGGCAAGATCAGTCCGGCGCTACTACTGACTCCTGTCTCGCTCACCTCTCTTGGATTAATGAACTGACCAACGCCAACATCTCGAACATGTTTTGTCTCGGGCGTGTACTGTAGGATTTCGCAGTCATTCATTCCTCGATAAGGTCGCTACACAATAAAATCAACACCGCCTTATTGTTACACCTGCACTACGCAAGACTTCAGCCGATGCCAGCCAAAGCAGACCATGTCCCGAGGGAGGGAACACAGACGTCTCGTGAACAAAAAAAAAAAAAAACTCATGTCGCGTGGACAGATGAAGTGCAAACAAGTGCGGAGGTCGATGCGAGATGGAGAGAGATCGCCACAGGGATGTGCTTGGAAGTGTTGGCACCTCTTACGGCGGGCGCGCATCATCACCACCGTCAAAATCGCCTCTCCCCACGTCTCCGGCATGGTAGGTACCTCCTGGGATCATTTGTTTCTCGGCCCATGACGGAATAGATGGCAAAAGTCATTGCCTTTTACTCGAGCAAACTGGCAAACATTGTGATTCGATGGCAGTGGGTGGTCAGAGTCGTCGGCTGACAGTACTCTTGACACGCACAGCACCCTCACTTGGAGCGGAGAGCGGTCTTGGGGGTATGCTCTGTCGCAGATGTTGGCCTTGCGACCTCGAGAGAATCGCCGATGCTGCTGTATGTCGGTGTGAAGGAAGGATGTAACCACGACGGTTGTATTTCTTGCGCAGGGTTAGGGTTGGGGTGGTGGCGATGTAAAGTTGCTACCACATGCAGTACTCTTTCTGCGTCGTTTACACCGAGATAAATACAGGGAGTCCCTGTCCCTTCAATGAAGTCCCGTCAACTGCTGAATCAATTGAGAGCGCGGTACTCATCTCGGGAAAGCGACTCGATCTGCACAGTAGTCCTTGATGGTCAGCGAAAGGCTTTTCCATCGCTTACATATACTGGAAGTTGAGAGTGTTCGTGAGAGTATCAACTGATATGATATCACCGCCCAGTCTTCTATACAAGCCTACAATTGCCGAAAGATAGACGTCTTCCACTTCGAAACCCTACTCCTCGCCGTCTCAACCTCAACCTCCGAATGATCAAACGTAGACACAGCTCTAGTCGTACCCCCTCTATGCCCATCCCGTACACTATCCTCCCTCAAAGCCACAAGTCCCCGTCCAGATCCCACAGGCAGTGAAGAAGATTGACCTCCCACCCCAAATTCATTCCAGCAGCCACTATCTCGCGAAGACCCCGCCTCGAAATCGAATTCCCCAAGCGAAGTAGGTACCGTGGCGATGGTCCCAGCGATACTACTCTCCCTTCTACTGCGCGTGTTCGTAGTATATATTGAAGACGGTCCAGCAGAGAGCGAAGCGTTTTTGAGCGTGGGACTTCTCGCACTGCTGCGTATAGGACGATTTTGTCTATAAAGCATTCCCCGTTCGAATTCCGCTCGGTTCTGGATTTGTCGATCTCGAACCATGAACCGCAATCGCAATTCATCCAAAAAACGTTGTTTCGCCGATAACGTCTCGAAAGCAAGTTGAAAGAATTCCGTATCTCTCACCAAGACTTTACGGGCATTATCTGTGGGACTTGTAGCTCTCAGGGGGAAAATGTCGAAACTATTGGGATCTGGTTGGCCTGTTCTGTCGGTCCCAGAGAATAGGATTCGGATTGGAAATCTGCTTCGTTTTCGACTTGTGAGAACTAATCTTGAACAGTGGTTGAAGTTTCGATGGCATTTGCATTTCGTAAAGTCGATGCTGATATCTGGACTTAATGCCGCGGACACGGCGGCGAAGCGTTTGCGATCGGCTGTTTGGGAGAAGAATGTGATTGATGGGAGCTTGATACTGTCTCCTTCCCAGCCATCTTGAGTTTGGGTGATGGTGCTTTTGGGCGCCATTGATAGAGTCAGACTATCGTGGCGAGATAGAGATGTTCCTGAAGTTGATCCTTCGCTTTGGGTTGATTCCGCGAGGATGACAGGTTCTTGCCAGAGTTGACAATGTCCCGAGACAAGTTCCCTGAGTTCAACGTCTTTGCTGAAGGAACAAATCATGTTGTGTTCGCTATGAGAGACCTCATACCCCATCAAAGCTGCTTGGAAAGTGCATAGATCCWTGAAGGAGCTGAAGTTGTAGAGCGTCTCCTCGCCACGCGAGAAAATGGCAATCTCCAAGCTCGGCTCTCGAAGGGTGGTGAATGCCCATCGGGGTATCAATTTATCTTCTTGCGCGTGTACTGTCTGTGGTATAACCACCCTATCACCCGGAGTGGAAGCCAGTGATGTTTGTAGCACGATGCGAAATGTCTCTTCGGAGCTCTTGAAAATGGTCACCGAGTCTGCGTCGGTTTGACCCTGCAAGGCTAGTTCGATGTGTGTTATGCGCTCTTCGTTTGCGCGCACCATGAGCGGATGCGGTTGGCTGTACTTGACTGTCTCTGTCGATATCGGAAGGGGCCATATGTGGAAGTGGGAATCTGATAGATCCAACAGGATGGCATCTTCATAGGGGATCAAGTCGCCAGGATTTCGGATCTTCGCAGTGATGGCTTGCTGGATACGATTGACTGCACGCTTGTAATAGGCACCTGGACGAGCTCTTCGAAAACACTCGCTCTGCTGAAGTCTCTGTAGTAGCCAGCGAGTTTTCAGGAATACCAGGTACTTTTCAGGGGTCTGATCAGAAGTAGACTCGTTGCTTTGCTCAAAGTGCATCAGTAAACTGTCGAACCATTGTGGCAGAGTGATTCTTGATTCCATATCTGCAGGCATGTTGATCTTAAGATGCTCTCCGAGTCTCCGTGCGATGCTATCGCTCACGTCGTGACGCTCTTCGGAATCTGTGAGTGTAGGAAGGCTGTTGCCGGCAATGTATCCGAACAACAAGGTGCGTAGTCGATTCAACTCCAGTTGAATCTCCTCTGTGATGAAGAGATTCTTCTCGGTGATGGCGAGTATATCGTCTACCTTCTCATCAATGTCGGTGAGTAGATTGATGGAAAGTCGGTCCAAGACAAATCGAATCTTTTCAGAGTGAAAGTGAAGGCGCTTTCGCAAATCCTCCATTGGTGCCTCYTGCTGCTGTAAATGGAATACAATATTCTCCACGACACTGCTGGACCGCTGCCGAAATTGCTTGTTCTTCTCAAGAAGCTGATCGCACTGCTGCAAGGTAGTGAGGAAATTGCMCACGATAGCTTTCCTTTCAGTCTCTAATTCAGTCGATAATGGGTCGTAGACTTGCGTTCCAAGGATCGGACCACGCTTTTGGTATCGCTGGCTGGCGTTGTCGAGTGCCGTTTCTAGGCGATCTAAGAGGTATCTGAAATTGAGAATGTCGTTACGAAAGTTCCTGTATCGAACATCTGTGTACACTTAAGTTAGCATTTGGTGGATATGTGATCCATTGCAATACACACCTGCTGCATTCTCCTCCACGAACCCAAACTCGTATATCTTGACTGCTAGCTTGATGCCAGCGAGAACATCACTGGCGCCGAAGTTGAGCGCCATTGTTGATCGTAAATTGGTGTCGTCCTGTACGTTGGGAGCTCCCTTGCTTGAGGGCTGCGCTTGTATCCCAGGATCAGAGTAACACGGCCGCTGTGGGAAGGCTGAGCTCAGTATTCACCAGCCCTTCCGACTTCCCCCAGTCCGCTATCTATTCGAATTTTGTATTTGCACCAGAGAACACCAGGCTGTGCAAAGCCCGGAGCCGGTTTGTGTCCCAATAGATGAGTCGTATGTTGTACCAAAGGAAACACCGCAAAGACGGAGCAATGTCGAGGTGTAACGACTAAAGCACCAGTGGTTTGGTAATCGCACGAAGGGAACTGTAGGTGAGATGTTATTCTCCGCCAGGCACCCTTTCCACATGAGAGGGACACGCAAACAGGCGGCCTCCCAAATCCTCTATCAGACAGTGTCTGTTATCGAGGGCGGAGGCAGTGCACTGCCCATTTCAGTAAGTGTGCTATCAGCTGACCGGTGTGGGAGTCGCATGAGCGATGCACTTTAGACGCCTCCTCGCTTTCCGACCAGTCATATCTTGAGTTGGCTTATACTGCAAGGCTGCCAAGACAACATCTGCAGGGTAGCGAACAACACAGCCTGATCAAAGCACTTTCTCAGACTGGGCTGAGCAAGACATAGATGGTATTCTTCTTCCCGGGAGATCCCAGAGATGGTAGTCATTCATCGATACTCCAACTTCCAACTTCGCCGCGATGCCTCTTAACGCTAATGAAGAAGCTCTGTTGGGCATTCTCCCAGCGACAACCGTGGATCTGAATCATCAAAGAGTCGAATATGCACCCAAGGAGCGCAGCAAAATAGGGAAATGGACTGTCGTTGCTCTTGCTCTCAATCGTAAGTAAAGTCAAGGCCAGAATGTGTTGCCGTCTTTCAATGCCCACGAAGGAGCCTCGCGGCATCTATAACATGCTGAGGTCTACGAGAAAGCGCTCCAAAGTCGTTGTCTGCCGTCTTTGATGTCCGAGACTCTGCTGATCTCCTTGTGCTAAACTTCAGGCACCATCGGCTCAGGAATCTTCTTGACACCACACACAATCCTGGCAGGAACCGGATGTGTTGGAGGAGCGTTAATTCTCTGGGTACTAGGAGCGCTGATCTCGACGTGTGGCCTGTATACATGGCTGGAGTGCAGCCTATCCATGCCCCAGCGTCGAGTTCGCGGCGAGGCCGAGCCACGAGGTGTTCCCAGATCAGGTTCGTCTTTTGTGGCAGTTTTCCAAACATTCTGACAAGCTGACAATGTCTCAGGAGGGGAGAAGAACTTCCTAGAGTTCATGTTTCCCAACTCCCGACTACGACTACCACACATCCGGACAACATGTTCGTTTTCCATCATGTTTGTGTTGATGTACAACTTGAGTGGCAATGGTGAGTATCGGTCTGTGCGAGGGCTTTTGTTGTCTCGAGGATTTCCAGCTAACCTCAAGTCCCTCGCTTCACAGCCATCTCGTTCGGCCTGCAAGTCCTGATAGCATCAGGATACTACGACAAGTCCTCAGGGGAAGTGCCAGACCGAGGTATAGTCATCGGGATCGCCGTCGCAGCACTAAGTGCAGTTGTTATGATACACATGGTCTCCAGGAAACTCGGCATCTGGATCAACAACCTCTTTGCAATCCTCAAAGTCGGATTACTCTTGGCAATAATCTGTCTAGGAATCGCCAAAGCAGCAGGAAAGTTTGGTGGGTCCGGAGATGTGCCCCGGAATAACTTTACGCGGGATGTTTGGAAGACGCAGCGATCTGATGCCGCTTCTTGGTCGAACTCGTTGGTGCTCTGTCTCTATGCATTCAGTGGCTTCGAGCAACCGTTTTATGTCCTGGCCGAAACAAAGAGTCCGAGAAGGTATTTCCCGAAATACACAGTTCTGGCGATGATCACAGCCGGAGTACTGTTCTTGCTCGTCAACATCAGCTTTCTTCTAGTTGTAGACAAGGCCGACATCATACCTCAGGGTGCGAGTGATATCCCAGGCACGCTGGATATGGCCACTCGCTTCTTTGATGGTCTCTGGGAGACTGACCCGCAGGGTGCCACGCGAGCCATGGCTGCCATCATCGCGGTCTCGATTTTCGGAAATCTTTGGGTGATGACCTTTACCGCCGCCCGAGTGAAGCAGGAGATAGCCAAGGAGGGTATATTGGGAGGCATTTCCCTCTACATTGCCTCCTCATACCGCACTCCATGGGCTCTCTGCAAGCAGTGGTTCCGAGCATCTACCCAGGGCGACGAGATTGAACAAGCGCCCACGGCAGCCTTTGGACTCCACTGGTTCACTTCGGTCTTTCTGCTGGCCGTCACCGCTGCCATTACCGATCCTCGCAAGACCTACTTTGCGCTCGTCTCGCTCTACTCTTACACCATCATCTTGGTGCTAGGCTTCTGGGTCAGCATAGGCCTGATATTGACCAAGATGCGAAAGGAGAAGTTCCACTGGCAGGAGCGCCGCCGGTATCGTCCATGGCTCTCTCCTGCTCATCCAATCATCTATGGACTCGCAACGGGTTTCATGCTCATCGCAGCATTCATCCCGCCACAGCGAGGATCGCCATTCCACAGCTCCGTCACCGGATTCGCGTGGTATATCATCCCTACCGTTGGCATCACCGCACCGCTCTGGGGAATACTATGGTACTGGGGTTTCTTGGTGTACGAATCCAGAATCAAGCAAAGACAGCTGGTGGTTACGCGAGAGGCGTACTGGGCCAAGGATCCTGATTGTCCTGGCGAGTACGTCCAGCTGGCCGAGATCATTGATCACACGTGGGAGGTGGGAGCTCCGGAAGGACTAGAAGATGATGAGTTTGGTAAGTCGGTGGTGGTTTGACATGAAATGTCATCTTGTTAGCTCTTCGGGATACTGAGAGATGTTGCTTAGGGGGCAATGTAAGGAATTTGGGCTGACTGCGCCACGATGGGCATGGCGACGATTTCATAATCGACAAAACAAGCGTCTCGGTACGCCACTCGACTACGGCCTGACTTGCGTGCCACGATGCAATATCAAACTTTTGTTCGCCACATTGATGAAATGGGTGATGTTCAAAATCACACAATCTGCAGTCGCACAAGAAGCAGCGTGCCTCCCCAGGTGGGTTCCGGTGGATCTCCCGCGGACATTGGTGCTGCTATCCGCTGTCATGATGTCGCGCACGACAGATCCCAATGCATATCGACTTTTGAATTTGACCTTCTAGACGGCACGGCATGAACCATGTGCTGCCCATGCGGCATTTCGCGTGCTACGGACATGCGCTGGCGCGTTTTACAGTATATGTACAGTATATTACAGTGCTTTGCAAGCTAGGAGAGATTTCGGCTCATTCAACGTCATTTGTCGTGGCACTGCTTGCCGCCCGCCTCGCCGCACGTTGGAAGCTAGATCTGGATCTTGATCGTGTGCTCTATCTTACCAGACATATCTTCACAGGCTCACTTGCCCGTGCAAGCGCTAATTGTTGCTGCGCCAGGTTTGCGCCGTCCCACGATTTCGCCTCTTCATTTTCCAATCCGCTTAGCTAGCCACGATGATAATGCAGCCTTACTTCATTATTCAATAGCATATCATCTATCCTCTCCGCGCGAGCATGCCGCATGCATCCACCGCCAACCATGTCCGCGCGAATGAGCATGACCACACGTCGAACGAGGCCGAATGCGCCCAGACGAGCCAAATACCGAGCTGCACGAGCCTTTTACCTGACCTGCTTCCTGGGGACATGTTTCGCGACATATGCCCTGCTGAGCCACACCTACGGACCGACACAATCGCAAGAGCTGCACATCAACAGGAGGAGTCTGAATTACGATGCCCCGCTACACATCTTCGGCGTCGATGACATTGGCCCGCAGGCCAGCGAGGATGACATTTGTCGCCAGGTGCACAAGGCAGAGGACAAATGCGCCTACATCCATGCCCACTGTCCCGAAGACGAGGGTGGATTTACTGCCTATCTGGATCTCTACTACTGCCGGCTGACAGGTCGCCTCCAGCCAGTGGCATTCATGATCCTCATCGCATGGCTGGGTTTGCTGTTTTCCACTATTGGCATTGCAGCAAGTGACTTCTTCTGCATAGACTTGAACACCATTGCCGGCATTCTGGGTATGAGCGAGAGTATGGCAGGTGTCACGTTCTTGGCCTTTGGCAACGGCAGCCCCGACGTCTTCTCCACATTCGCGGCGATGAGCACCAACTCTGGCAGTCTGGCCGTGGGCGAATTGTTCGGTGCTGCCGGCTTTATCACGGCTGTTGTGGCGGGCAGCATGGCTCTGATCCGGCCCTTCCATGTCGCGAAGAAGAGCTTCGTACGAGATGTGGGCTTCTTCATCGTGGCAGCTGCGTTCAGCATGGTATTCCTCTTGGACGGAAGATTGCACTTTTGGGAGTGCATTGCCATGGTTCTCTACTACATTTTCTACGTGGCGTTTGTCGTGGCGTGGCATTGGTGGCTTGGAAGGAGGAGAAGGAGAAGAGAAAAGGACGCGGCAGCGAGAGGGCATTTTCTTCATCCCGCAGATGAACTGGAAGGCGAGAACGAGCCTTACCATGACGATCCAGAAGATGCGCCGTCTCCGCGCCCGAGCTTTTCGCGTGGTGTATCTCGCGAGGATTGGTCCGCATTGGAAAATGGAGCACAGGAACCCTTTGAAGATGCTACCACAAACGAGGACGAAGAAGAGGTAGCTCGAGATCGCTGGATGAGTGAACTGGCGAGCAATATGCGTCTCACGCGGCCTCAGCAATCCAGGTCYAGGAAGAACACGGTTTCGGCTGTACGGCCCTCCCTCGTTGGTGCCTTGGAATTTCAGGCCGTGTTGAAGAGTCTGCACAAGTCTAGGAACATCCAGACGATCCCAATGCACTCACGGCGCTTTTCCGACGACCCTACCTTCACGACCTACCAACAGCAGGACCACATGGCTTCGGAGACCGATCCTGGAGTACGGCCGCCTTATGAGGTTCTCGTCACGGATGAAAGCTCACCCATGCTCGTACGGCCAGAGCTAGAAGGGCAGTCCGCTATTTCCGCTCCCGCTGCGAGAACGAGAGCAGTCAGCGCGAATGATGCTGCGACTTTGGGAGTGAACCGAAAGCTGCAGCGACTGAGTCCCATCCAAACTCAAGGTGACCTCATCGAAGTCGCAAGTGAAGATAGTGGGGAAAGATCTAGGTCGCAGTCACTTCTCGGCGTCCCATCCGCTTCGGGACAGCCAGTGTCACCGACTGTGCGACTAGAACCTGCAACACCGAGAAAGGATGCGCCGATTCAAAGGGAACGCTCGACTTCGAGTGCTCGTCGCAGGAACCAGCCATCCGATCTGTTGGCTCCTCCTGGTGACCTTGACAGCCGGGCAGGCAGAAGCCATCACAGCCGCTCAAGTTCCTCTGACCTTTTAGTTCCACCTGGATTGGTGTCTCCTGGGCCACATCAAGTGGGAGACTATTTCATCTCAAAGCCCCTTTCCCGTCAAGGCACTGATGAGTCGATGAAGGATGCCGCCAGTCCCGTGCCGCGCGCTGGCAGACTGCCAAAGATTCAGATTCCAGACCACGGTCGTTCACCTCCCTCATCTCGTGGCACAAGTCCATTCCCAGCCTATCGGGATTATCCTTCGCCCTCCATGACAGCGAGCACTCGCTCGCCCGTGAGCTATCGAGCGCCTAGCATTCGCCTGCCAGATGCCGAAACAATAGGCTCGCCAGAAACGATTCCGGCAGATCAGAGCGCCGAACAAGAAGTCGTAAGACGGCCGGGTAAGCTCGCAAAGTTCTGGCCGTACAGGTTCTTCCCTCCACCTGGCGTCATCATCAGCACGCTGTTTCCCACCATCTACCACTGGGCGGAGAAGACGTGGTGGGAGAAGTGTCTCGGGATTGTGGCCGCGCCTAGTGTGTTTTGTCTCACAATAACGCTACCTGTGGTGGAGAGCGAAAGGGAGAGCTCCGATGAGATGACAAGAAGGGATCTGTCTTATGACTCTGCCAGGACTGTGCCGTCGAGGAGAGATTTCAGTCTTGAATCCGCAACAAGTGCACAGAGCATTGGTGCGGCACTTAAGGGGATCGATTCGGAGTTCTTCCTGGATGATGCGGCCCATCCGCCCTCCACACCTGGCGGCCCAACTGTTCACCATCCGCACCGCGTCAATTCTGGGGGACTGGCTGGTCATGGCAATTCTGCGAGTGTTGCTGCCGCCACCGAATCCCATCGTAGTGACTGGAGCTCACCAATGATCTCGGCCGAGCCGCAAACTCTCCAGGCCACGGACATGCAAGCAGAACCACAACTCTGGAATCGCTGGCTTACAATCATTCAACTCTTCACGGCGCCCATCTTCATCCTTCTAGCCATCTACATCCAGGCACCCGACGCTCTACCGCCAAGCTGGTTGATCCGTCCATCTCTCATCTGCTTGCTCATCTCTGTCGTTCTCTTGGTCCCTCTATTACTAACGACCACCCCATTCCACCGCCCTCATCCTTACCGCATCATCCTCTCCCTCGTCGGCTTCGTGGTCTCCATAGCATGGATATCCGCCATAGCCTCCCAAGTCGTCGGAGCGCTCAAAGCCCTGGCCGTGATCCTCAACATGTCCCACGCCATCATGGGCCTCACCATTTTCGCCGTTGGCAATTCCCTCGGCGATCTCGTCGCGGATGTCACAGTCGCCAAGCTAGGATATCCCGTCATGGCACTCAGCGCCTGTTTCGGCGGTCCCATGTTGAACATCCTCCTCGGAGTTGGACTGAGTGGAAGCTGGATCATGTTGACCGGAGCGGAAAGACGACAGCATCGCCATCCCAAGAAAGGATTGAAATTCAAGAGTTATCATATTGAAGTCAGTAAGACACTGGTGGTTAGCGGGATCACGTTACTGGTTACTTTGGTGGGGTTGTTAATTGCGGTGCCGTTGAATAAATGGGTGCTTTCCAAGAAGATTGGATGGGCGTTGATTGCGCTGTGGACCATGTCTACCATTTTCAACGTGGTTATAGAGGTCACGGGGGTTTTGGGCGAGGCTGAGGCGTTTATGGGTTGGGCGTGATGGGATTCGCGTTCGTTTTTCTATTTTGGGTTGGCAGATTGGATGATACCTCTTTTTGCTTGGGTGGTTGTGATTTTGTATAGAACAGGACTTTCATATCAGAGGAATGCTAAGAGACCTACGACACTACCAAGCATCGCATTGAATCGCCGTGTTGTTGTCCGCCGAACTTTGGCTTATGGTAGGTAGACTGGTAAGTCGCTTGCTGGCTATGTTATGTGGTCGTCCCAGCAGTATACAAGCGCTGCGGCCGAAATGCCAGCCGTCACACCACAGTCTATACTGTACTGCTCAAGTTGCGGAGGCGATATTAAAAGCTTATCGCACTGAATAGGACCATCAAAAATTGAAGGATGTTAATCATGATCATAATACCCTGCCTCGGCGTCTCATATTGTGTCGGTTCATTCATCTTGAYCCCAATCAGATCGTGAACAGGCAGAGCAGTCATGAGACAGACCGTGCCGAACACCAGTGCAGAACCCTTTCCCTGAAGATTCCCCTTCCGAAATGCATTACAGCAATGTCATTCAACTTCCTGGTTGTGATCTCTCACTTGCTCTAGCGGCCAGTTGGAAGCTTCCTTAGTCTAGGTTATGTTTGTTCGGCTGTCCTTGAGAATAGCGTCGTCTCGTATAGAATGTGTTGGCTGGCATCTTCGTCATTCCAGGCTGCGAGTAGTGTTTGATCCAGGCCGCATTCGGAGGACTGTGTCGAGTGCTGCCTCTTGTTGTAGCCTCACGTCCTTCAGATCATGCACTCTGGCGAGTTGGATGATCGCGTTTGTGTGAATTCCCGAAAGAAGCGTATCAAAGATTAATAGCGGATAACCTTCTGGATTGGCAGAGTTCAAAACGTCAAAGTGAGGCGACTTAATCAGCTGATCAATTACCAGCCACCACCACGGATCGAATCTATGCGTCGCAAAGGATGCGCCTCCGTATTGAATACAAAGTCGTCCAAACTGATGACATCCGGCTCGCTGAAGATCAGATAATAGTATTTGAGCGTCTCGGCCGTCCTGTACACTGTTAGCAAAAGTCTCGTCTGCATGACAGGACCAATTTAAGATTACTCACCAGAAACTCTCCATACTGTCGTCCTTTGGCGCCGTCTTGTTGTACACATCAACAATAGCCGCATGCGCAATATCCGTGCGAGTATGTGCGTAGACACTCCTGAACATCTTCCACGCTGTATCTTGCAATGCCCTATCACCTGTAGTCCTGTACATGATGAAGACGCTCTCAATAGCCTCTGGCCGCAATAGATACTTCGGATCGTTGACCGCAGAGATCCCAGCAGGTAATCTTTGCCTTCTGATCGTCTCAGTGGCGTTGGTGTTCCGATTGTCGAAAGGGAGGTCGTTATACACCGCTTGATGCCATCGAGATTCATCCCATTCACATGGTTGGCCCCGCGCACAGGCCACGACGTTGGACTTCTCCGGCATGATGCCCGTGGGAGAAATTCCATAAGCCCAGACGCAGCCATTCGTCAGCTGGCTGCCAATCTCGACATGGGTGTCGTTGGAAAAGAGCTTGCCAGCAAGCGCGAACATCCCGCCGGCGAAGCAGACTAGATGTTGGAGTTCGGGCTGGACAGTGATCTCACCACCTTCCACTCTCAATGCTCCCGTGATGAGGATGTTTTGGTCCTTCTCTTTCACCATAGGCCTGAAGAGAGAATACTGAATGATGGCATCCATGGCTCCAAAGTACATTTGAGCGTACTGCGTGCTGCCACCGAGCAATGCATACATTTTCGGTAGGTATTCGTACAAGGAATCACTCAGCGCCGCGAGACTGTAGACTTGTCCAGAGTCCTGAGAGAAGAATTCCATGTCTCTGCTGTTTACAATGGTGGGCCACAGCCCTGGAAGTAGAGACTTATACTGCTGGGCCTGGAGAACGTCCATGATACGCGCCACGGCATCATACCATTTGGGATCGTGAGTGATTTGCGACAAACGAGTGAACTCCAAAGTAAGAGATCCGACCTCTGACAGAACTACGTGATCGGATGGAAACTGCTCTTCTCCTCTGATGGCGGCGTGAAAGTCCCAACGGGAGATTGGCATTCGATTCGGCGTATCAAAGGCGGCATACAGCATGTCAGCCAGCTCAAGACTTTTGTCCAGAAGTCGCTTGTCTCCGGAGAGGTCGTATGCTGAGAGAAAGCCTCCCAAGTAGCGGATAGTCGTCTCAAATACGTTGACCGTCTCTTGTGAAGTTGTGGAGAAGTCAATTTGCACAACACTATCAACCGCTTCGGCAAACTCTTTCTTCATGTCCATGACCCAGAGGGTATCCAGAGAATCTACTAGGCTGCAACATGATGTGAGTGACGTCGAAACAGGGCTGGACTGATCAAAACCTACGTAGCAGCCCAACCGCCAAAGTTATTCTTCTTGCCTCCAGTAATTGGCATAACTTCATCAGATAACCATGCATGTTTTCGATATGCCGCCCATGAGCGAGCCATTGTCAACTTCACCTGAGCAAGTCGTTGCTTGCGCTCCCGCTCAGCAGTTCGGGATTCGGTCTTGTTGAAGGCATATTGCACTTGAGGAAGATGCTGCCCCGAGGGTGCAGGCAACGTGGTGAAATGCTGGACCGCATATCGCTGCTCCCGCCGAGCCCAATCGAATTTATTGGGGTCGGTCTTGGGAGGCAATCGGTATATGCTTCCAGCGGGGATCGAAGTGCCAGCAGGTTGGTGCTGTGTTCTGAATGTCCTGAAGTGGAGCAGGACGATGAACAGGATTGTGAAGATGAAAATGCTCGTCCCTATGCGATTGAATGAAAACATCGCGGCCATGGCCGACGCGAAGTCAATAGTTGATGTTGATGATGAAGCGCTTGTCAAGGAGGTTTGACGCGATCCTGGCCGAGGCGATTTCTTGGCTGACTCGGCATACCTTCCCCGGTGGATCAATCTATGGATAGGTATGTAAGGTAGATACGAAAGACWAGACGAACTCATATCTTTGATTCTTCGCACAAGGCTGAGCAGAGAGACCATGTCAAGCGTTGTTACATACTTTACATTTGGACAACAACTATCCCTAATTTAACTCAAGAGCTTCGTAACAGCTCGATAATCTACTTTACCAAACGAGGACACTGGTATCGCGTCGAGACAGCGAATGACTTTTGGGACTTGCTGTGGTGGTAGAGAATCTTCTGCCACAGCTTTGACTTGCTCAGGACTTAGATTGTGCCCACCGGATATCGCGCATCCGAGAACATCTCCAACCACAACAACTACAACCCGTGCGTCCGAGGAAATGGCGTTTTGCAGTCTCGCTTGCACATCGTTGAGGTCGATCCGGAAACCACCTAGCTTGATCTGTCTGTCATTCCGGCCGATGAACGCGATTTGTCCGTCGAGAGTCCAGTAGCCCCAGTCCCCAGTTCTGTACATGCGGCCGCCATCACTTGGCCAGATGGTGTCTGGGACGAAGCGGAGCTTGGTCTCTTCTTCGAGGCCAATGTAGCCTAGCGACACTTGCACCCCGGAGACGTAGATTTCACCAGCAACGAGCGGAGGTACCAATTGTCCCTGCTCGTCGAGTATGTATATTCGAGTGGATGAGAATGGCTTTCCGATGGTGACTGGCTCTCCCGGCTTGATCGTCTGAGCGGTGGACACCAAATGGCACTCAGTCGGGCCGTAAATATTCCTGCATATAGCTTTGCCCGCGGACCACCTATCCGCAGTAGTCTGTGGCAAAACTTCAGCGCCAATGTAGATGTTCTTGAGATGATGATAATCCTCCGGGTTGAGCTCCGCGGCGAGTGAAGGGGTGACGAATAGTGAGTCTACCGTTCGCATATGTGCAAACGGCTCCAATGGATCTTTCAAGACCAATGTACCGCCGAAGCAAAGAGCAGAGAATGTCTCCAGCAGAGCACCATCAAAAGAAGGTGCTAGAGTCTGTGCCACACGGTGGCCTGGCACGACGTTCAGTCGAGCGATAGGGTCGCTGAGAACGCCGACTACTCCGGAATGCACGCACCGTATTGCCTTTGGTTTGCCTGTAGTGCCGGATGAGGAACAGATGTATGCCCCTGCCAGCGGTTTCGTTGGTCTCCGATGTAGCTCATCACGGCTACTCTCCTTTTCTTCTTTGGCGTCCCGCAGAATTGTCTCCACGCATAAGCTCAAGTTGCAGCCGTCGGGAGTCAACGCAGCTGTATCTTTCTGGGGCACCAGGAAGGCTTGAGCATCGGCGATCGCGTAGTACTGCGATCGCAGCTGATGTGGTATGGCTGCGCCCTGAGGCGAGAAGACACACTCTGCCCACAGAACCGCAAACATTGCAACGACCCAATTCACTGAGCCATCTGCATGGAGTAGAACCACGCTTCCAGGCTTCAGCAGCTCTTTGAGCCGACGCCCGACTGTTCGAATWCTCTCCGCGAGGTCTGTGTAGCTGATGAGCTGTTCACGAAACTGCACGGCTACTTCTTCGCCTCGATCTTGGACCTGTTTCTGGAACAATGACACAATATCATCATCTATACCTTCCAGCGWCGTCGTGGTCGCGAAGCAGTTTCCCCATTCAAGTACCTTTTGCCTTTGGGAAACAGGAAGCATATTCCTTAGACACTGTCCAACTCCAGTTGTTCCCATCCCGATAGTGATCAATGCTGTCTTGAAGAGATCTACCATGACTTGCATCTCCATGGGAGTTCGCCATTCGCTATTGTAGCAAAAGCGAAGTCTGCCGTTTGATCCGACATATAGGGTTGGCAGAGTCTCCTTCGGAGACATTACTTCGGTCTGTTTGCCACCAGAATACCATGGACAATGGTCTCGGAGATCGCTGGAAACCACGACAAGTCCTCCCAAGGAGAAGCCGTCTGAAGGATCAGAGTACGACATTTCGTCCAGTTCAAGCACTTTGTTAAAGACTTGTTCTAGCAGGTCATGGGCGGTATCGTTCTCGTTGATATCGATACTCAGAACCATTGATGATGCGAAACTTCCCATGGCCTCCTCAATACCGGGGACCGCCAGTGACCTTCGGGAGCTGACCGACATAAGGGGCACTGTTGATTTGCTTTGCAGCTTTGAGAGGACCAGCCCCATCGCCGCTCGAACAAGAATCTCGAAGGTGAACCCCGTGCGCGATTGGAATTCTCTTAGGTGACCAGGGTAGTGGATCTCGATCGACTTCATACGMACCCGCGACGATACTCGAGTGCCCAGAGCCTGTAACAGCGGGTGATTCCTCGAACCCGAGGGCACATCCCGTGTAGCCCAGAACGCTTTTGCGGCAGCTTCTTGTTGTGTGTGGTAGTCTGCCAGGCCCTTGACCACATCAAAAGTGCAATCGTTGCATTTGATATCTGGTGACGGGTTCCTCATTAATGCATCGACTTGACTCATGAGAATATCCATTGACCTGCCATCCATCAAGGAGAGATGGCAGAACCAATGCACAACACTCAGCTTGCGGCCGGTTGAGGTTTCGCGAGGTGTTACAACGCGGAAAACAGGCTCTGAAGATGCMTCCACACTCCATACACGGAGAGATTCCTCGAGGTCCGCTTCTTCCGGAGATTCGACATGCTGCTCAGTCCAGTTCAGCTCGAATGACTCCTTTAGTGATGTTCTGACCAGTAGAGGGTCGATTTCCACCCTGAATTTGAGTCTGAAAGCCTGGTAGCTTGACATTACTTTCGCAAAGGCTTGCTTGAGCTGAGGCAGAGCATCAGTGTAGCAGTATTGGGTTACATGTTGAACCGCTGCGCCTGGGACGAGATGCGTATAATGGGCGGTAGCCGCTTGAATGAAGGTCGTAGGGAGGCCAATAGTCGGAATCACCTTTGGAAATCGTTGAATGGGGTCGAGCGTCTTGTCGTCGATGTCGTCTTGAGCAGAGGACTTTGCGAGCAGGCCAATAGCCTGGGCTGGCTGAACAGTCGATCCAGTGGTAAGCTCCCTCAACGATCGCCTGTCAAGGAGAGTGCCGAGACACTTTGCTCGTAGAATCGCACCAGCACCCACACGAACGTGCTCCAAAGTCTGGATCAAGTTGCTGAATCGAATGGCCAACAAGGAGTCACCTCCATTGCGAACAAAGGCTTCGTTCAACTTGATGCGATTAGGTTCGAGGTGCAGCAACGCACACAGACCCTCCAACAGATCTTTGTCTATGTTCAGTTCTTGTTCCATGGTAGCTTCAATGAACGATAGGTATGAGATGGAAGAAAGAACTCCTCCCTTGGGTCAAACAGACGATCATATGAACAAATAGCATTGCTCGGATTGAGCCTCCTCGCGGATGAGCGGTGTGTACTCGTAAGTCACCCAGGATTGACCTAGGAGCGAGGCGAGGTCGTAAGTTCCCATCTGCGCATGGTGGTCGTCGACACGCCCGGCCCGCCCGCCACGATACTTCCCCGCCTCTAGACGCCTAGATGCCGAATGAAGCTCGAACAAGCACTACTTAGCGCGAATCGACTCGACTTGGATGCTAGACGTTTTATAGCCTATAGGACGGCCGCCTCCTTATCGTAAGGGGATATCAGACTCTGAAAGGGATGTGCGGGCGGGAAAGGCTCCCCGTTCGATAGGTGAGGTAGGAGTACTCAAGGATGTCCTTTCGGCTGTATACCGTGTGCAGCGTCTCACCGCGTTGCGCGTATCACTCACAGAAGATGGCAGCCAGGGGAACTGAGCCACCCTTGCAAGTCGACGTCAGTGTGGATGTGATGTGAGATTGATGCATGATGGGTGTTGTGAAAGAAGGTAGGAACTAYGACTGGTAGGAGTACCCCTACGAGCACACCAGAGGTCTGGCGGCTAAATTGATTAAGATTTAATTGATTGCTAGGGTTCGGTCCGCGGGGTGGGGAAGTATTGTATGGAGCGTGAGTTGTGACGCGTGACGCACGCAGCGGCGTCGATCCATCCGATTGCTCACGTTTGATATGGGCGGGCCATGGGAGTGTTCCGTACAGTAAGGTACAACCACAATCACCATGGGTAAACCGCGGGTGAGTGTCTGGCAACGTAGGGAGGGAACATCACCGGACATGGACTAATGGAGAGGGGTGCAGTTGATCATTCTCATCCGCCATGCCCAGTCCGAAGGCAACAAGAACAAGGAGATTCACCAAATCGTCCCGGACCACCGCGTGAAGCTCACCGATGAGGGCCATCAGCAGGTGCGTCGAGAATTGCATGCATTGATTTGCACAGCTGCTCATGGCTTCGGTAGTACCAGCATGCCTGACTGACACCATAGGCAGAGGAGGCCGGCCGTCGCCTTCGTTCTCTCCTCCGACCCGACGACACGCTGCAAATCTACACCTCCCCGTATCGACGAACACGAGAGACGACCGAGGGGATTCTGAGGACGTTGACCGCCCGCGATGATCCCGACGACCCCTCGGCGGCTCCCTCGCCCTTCAGCCGGGAGAAGATCAAGGTGTACGAAGAGCCTCGCATCCGGGAGCAAGACTTTGGCAACTTTCAGCCATGTTCGGCGGAGATGGAACGCATGTGGCAGGAAAGGGCAGACTATGGCCATTTCTTCTATCGAATAGCCAACGGGGAGAGCGCGGCCGATGCGTACGATCGAATATCCGGCTTCAATGAGTCGCTTTGGCGCCAGTTCGGAGAGGCGGATTTTCCAAGCGTCTGTGTGCTGGTCACTCATGGCTTGATGACCCGAGTTTTCTTAATGAAATGGTATGTATCCCAGGCCGCTCACCAATGCTCTCCTTCTGACCCTCCAGGTACCACTGGTCGGTGGAATACTTCGAGGACTTGCGTAACATCAACCACTGYGAATTTATCCAGATGAAGAAAGATCCCGAGAGTGCAAAGTACATCCTTCAGAATGACCTCAGAACATGGTCAGAACTTAGACGACAGAAGCGAATACAGGAAGCCAAGGAGAATCCCCGCAGAAAGAACACCCTCTCGAGCTTTCTGTCGGGCTCGCAGGGTAGCCCTGCAATTCCTCCACGCAAGTGGGGAGGTTGTGCAGAAGGCTGCGATCATGATCATGATAGTTATCCGCGGCGACACAGGCAGAACAATTCGCAATCCCAGCCGGAGTTGAAGTTGCCATCGCCGGCACAGAGTCAACCCACGAGTGACGAGAAAGCATCTCATCCCGACACAGATAGCGGTGTAGCGACAGAGCCGAATGAGGTATCCTTAGTAGAGCGGTCTTCCACACAGTTGCTCATGAGACCACCAGTAGCACGTTATCTTCGCACCGGTAGAGATGGCGGCGGGACGGCCTCGGGTGCCAATACGCCACACGAACTCAGCGACGAAGAAAACACCGAGTACTTTGATTCGGCGAGTGCTCACGGTCCTAGATCTGCAATTGGAAAGGCGCCGTCACGAACAGCTACCTCGGACGATATCCAGCGCTGGGCTCATGAGAGTGGGATGGGAAATGGGACCAAGGCCGATGCTCTGGGTGACGAGCCCAACGAATATGAGGCTGAGACCGAAAGTTCAACAGGCGAGGAAGACCTTGCAAAAGCCGAGGAAGATGATAAAGGATTGCGAGGCAGCGTGTATTGATGGTTTAATGAACTTTACTAATGATTACGGAAATGACAATGAAGAGCTAGAGGAAGTGACTACGATAAATGTAGAGTTCAAGGTAGTAGCGAATGGAGCCCAGTAATGAACTCGGCGTCGTTACCTTCATCTTTTCCCATCAATCGATACAACACGTACCAAACGACCCACATATTCATCACAACTAAAGACATCGACATCTGATTCTATTCCACGAATTCAGTCCTTCAAGATCAGCAAATATGGCCTGCGACAAACTCTCACCATCGGACTGTTTAAAACGCATCACCAACTCCCGCTCTCGAGCAGGCCACACGACCCGAGAACATGAGATGCCCACGAACCTCCCCGTCCCGACAAAGTCAACCACCAGTATGAACTATGAATCACCACCTGCGCGCAATTCTTCAAGGAAAACCCCCAGCAGAGACCGCCACGAGGAGCATGCCTCCAACCAGGGTAGCAAATTACCCAGACCAGCCTCTGTTGTGCGTGGCAACACTCCGCCAGAAGACGATTCCATGTCCGGGGATTCAGCCCGCGGCGTCTCCAAAGCCATAGACTCCCCGCAGCGTACCACGACAATGGGAGGCCAAAACTTGGAACGATACCCGTTATCAACTCGAGTGCAGGAGATAACGTGTACGATATGCAAAGTACTCGCTTCTATCTGCGACGGGAATAAACCTTGCGCCGGCTGTCTCTACTCAGGAAGAGGGCGTTGGTGTTCTTATGCCACTGTGCCGCAACCTGTACCGACCACTCGGATCATTGCTCCAACCCCCGGCTCATCGCCAGTCTACGTGGACGATGGAACTTAGGAGGGTACCCGTGCCAGCGTCTTCGGCGATCATTTGCTGGCGCAAATGGATCGGGAGTCATGATTAGTAGGTCGCTCATTCGGGTAGGTGCTTGGAATATTACGAAGAGCTGCCATATCGGGTGCAGGCGATGTACAAGGTGAGAGAAAATGGAACAAGTCTTTGCTTTCGTTACGGGAGGAGCATACATGGTAAGATCAATTCATACACATGGAGATTTCCACCAAAATCACAGACTCTCGCTTGATCATCATCTCGCTCAATGATCATCTCGCTCAATCATTATCTCGCATGCCCGCCCACTTCCCGCTCTCAGAAGATCCCAAACCTCTTCTTCCGTCTCCCAGACCGAGTCTCCTTCCCCGCTGTATCGACCTTGTTCTTCTTATGCTCTCGCCTAGCAACACAGCAAGTAAAGAGCAAAATCGCCATCCCAAGTCCAAGCATCATAAAACTCGCCACAAGCATCCAAATCGCCGAACCGAAATACGCCTCACTATCCGTCGCATCATGATTGACATGATTCCTCACAACACCAAACAACGTAAAATCCGTCGCAAGCACGATAATCGTCAAAATCCACGCCACAAAAGCTGTGAGGGCTCCCGCTAATGATCCAATAATCCCACCTCCCATGGAGAGCAAGAAAGCGATAAATGCCACTCCGCAGGCAATAGGATGCAGAATCATGATCCGAGTAAAAGCGTCCGAAGTTCCGCCTGAGAGAGAATCGAAGCCGGTATTGTCTATTCGCGCCATCAAAGCAGCGGGTTCGTAGCCTATATGACGGCCTGTACAGACATCGTTCCCGTTGGGCCTGGATTTTACGGTTAGCGATTTGGGTCTGAACTGGATTTGTTGGAGACTTACATGGCGTTGAGCGTGCAGTATCCAAATGTCCCGAAGACGAGGTTGAAGTCGTGGGCTTTGGTGCTGTTTCCTAGCTGGATTCGAAGGAGGCCTAGATGGTTGATGATTGGCGCGGAGAGGGTGACGAAGAGGAGTAGAATGGAAGATGTGAAGAGGAGGAAGACTCCTATCCAGTGGATATTGGTGCCTTTCATGATTTTTGTGGTTGGTTGATTGGTTGGTTGGTTAGTCAATCCGAGGTGTTGTTGAAGAGGCAGGTGAATGCGAAAACTAAGAGAGAGAGGTGTTGTCACGAAATGGCAGTGCACATCAAATACCATGAGGATGAGAAACCGCATGTCGTAGGTTCCATATGACGTGGGTCGCGTGAGTGTCTTCGAAAATGATAGGCAAGATCCACGTCTGGCTTGTGTTCGCTGTCTAACGAGTGAATCAAGGTTTCAGGGGTACAAAATGTGACTTCACGTGTGTTTGAGCGACAAGCACGTCAAGCACGGCGACTTCATATTCGACATCACAACAGGGGATTGGGAGGGAGAGATGAGCGGAAAAAATGCACTGGTTCAACGAAGGATAGCTCCAATGTTGCGGAGGCCTCAACATGGATGCTAGTTCGTAGGTAGAAAGAAAGTCACGGGTCAAGATTCCCTTGGAGTCTGACATCCGCTTCCGTCCTCAGACATCCATCATTCCCTTCAAAGTCTCAAGAACCCGAGCGAGTGAAGTACAAGCTCCCTTGCTCATGATCGTAAGTCCATCGAGCTCCGCACCTCCTTGGCTGTTTTCCAGAGCCGCCTCAACGTCCTTGATAGTCACATCAAGAAGTCTCGGACCTTGAGAATCGCGATAGATCCACTTTATGACGTCTTGTAATCCAGCCAGTCCAGGTGTACTCTCAGGCTGTGATAAAGCAGATATCAGAAAGCCTTTCGCTCGGAGGTAGACACGTTCGCTGTACAAAGCGCTTGGTCGTTTGTTCTCTTCCGTCCCCACCAGAGCTTCATACCCAGCCTCGTTGTAATATGGTGAGCGGACTAGTACGAGTCCGAGCAGCGAGACCACGACTTGAAGTAGGGTACTCCGAGAGGCATTCCATTCTTCCACGCTGTTCCCAGACCACGTCCCGAGAAGTGAAAGGCAGACTTTGCCGTCTTCGTAGAGGTTCGGGTTGACACGTCCAGTTCCGCCTATTCGTGCGTGTGCCGGCCAGGAGTGGAAGAAGACTGCTGGTGGCTTGGTGGGAAACTCTGATGGCAAGTAGATATCCAGTACAAAAGGCGCATGTGCGTAGGGTGTCTCTGTTGGGCCGATTATCAGAATACGAAGCAAGTCCATCCGACGCTCCCAAGTCCGAATGTAGACGCCCTCTGGCAGGGCGGCGGATGTTCTCAAAATCTTGTGCTCTTTCATGGTGCGTTTCAAGTGGAGCTGCGTTTCTGTTGGCGGCTCATGTGCGAAATGATGGTCCGCTGGCACGTCTTCTTCGAGAATCAGATACGAAGGCGGCCCTCGTGCCACCTTGAAAGTGGTAGCATGGTGCTTGTCGGACTCATTCCCCGTATCTGTCTTTGAATGAGGTGTGGGCGGTGTCTGCTGCTCTTGAGCATCGAACATTTCTGCATCACCAGCCTCATCGGCTGACTCCCAATCCTCATTCTCCACCTCTTCTTCATCCATCGGGTCACCAAACTCATCCTCGTAGCGGACGTCTGCTTCGCCATCCTCCATCTCCCATTCTTCGTCATTCAAGTCACTTTCTTCTTCGTAATCAAAATCCTCCTCTGCCTCGCTTTCATCCCACTCGTCCAATGGCGCTGTGCCATCTGAGCGGACCGCGACTAAGAGCTGTCCACGATCAAGAGCTACGTCCCTCACATTATGTGAAGCGCCCAGTCGAATGACGAGCAGGCCATTTAGGAGTGTATCCACTATCTCGCCAAGCCAGCTCGCGTCGCGCGTTGATTCCGTATCCACGACCCGAGGATTGAGCAGCATATTGTCAATCATAACGATGTCTCCTCTTCTCACGTTCAACGCCGGTGCCGTTTTGATATCGTAGAGGCTGACCTCTTGCAAGTTCCCAGATGATTCTGGAATGGAATGCGCCACGAGATGGGCATGTCCGCTCTCGTCTTCGCTAGCTGTCGTGTAGTGCACAAACGCATCTGGCGACCATAGAATCGTAGCGAGCCGATCCGTGGAGTTGACGGCCTGTACAACGCCCACGCGCTCGGGCTCTTCATATTGAGGGTCCGGTTCACCTTCAATGGGACGCATACCTAGAGTATGTGCGATTTCGCCAGGCCACGCATCGTGCTCGTCATCTATATTTGTATCGGGGACCACGTCGATACCTTACAATAGGTAAATGTTAGCTAAAGTTGTCATCTTGATTGTCACTTTGAAGACAAAACTCACTTTCTTCTTGGGTAATCTCGAGATTTTGCCACTGAACTGTGACTGAAGTATGAAATGATGTTACATCAAAGACGTTCATGTCGTAGCCGTAGGTTGAGACGCGTTCAATCCAGGGATTGCCAGGATATTTCTGCTGAGCTTTGGAGATGTCCCGGAAACGTACTCGCAAGTTGAGTCGCACATCTGGCTCCGAGTTCGATACAGTTTGATGGGTAGGATTGTCAGACAAAGACGAGCGTGGTGGTCGTCTCGTTCGGTCATACACCTGAAATCGTGAAGATTCCAGCTCTGATACCTCCAAAAGATTCGGCGGCTCTACTTGATCAGAGTAGATCCTATGTTCTAGCCACTCAATATGAGCACCGATAGTGCGCAGGCTGACCACAGTTCCCACTGGCGGCGTGTTGGGATTGTACTTGCCAAAGATCCAGGATCCGAGTCGAAGTGCAGGCTTTTTCGACTTTACGATGTCACCAACAGAGAAGGTCCCCTCAGAGCCKTCGACGTGCTCGCCAGCCGCATCACCGATTTCCACGACGCACTTATCCGCCAATTGCACACGAATGAGATTAGTGATCGATTCAACTCGCCCAACCCAGTCTCCGTAAATCACCAGGTCTTCTTCGGTGGGCATTTCGGCGTAATTGACTTCGGAGGCTGGAACATCAACAAGCGGCGCAGGACTCCCTCCCGGCATGATGCAGAATTGCGCGTCGTGGCTCGGGTCCCAGGTACCAGGTGGCAAAAGTCCTTTGAGAACCCGATTTCCTTGGAATGTAACATCACAAATGGGCTGTAGTGTACATTTTGTGAATGTGTTAAGGATAACGCCGCTCATAGCATCAGATGATTGTCGCTTCACAATATCCCCTATGAGCAACGAGCGATCGATCAACTTGAGCTTCGAGGCTGGGATCAGTTCCACAGTTGGAGTATTTTGCCAGCGCACCAAAACCGATCCTTTTGGAGGCACGCCGTCCTTCATGAACTGTCGGAAGGCCGACTTTGATATGGACCGGTCGTGAACGATTTGGTCGGGCTCTGTCCGAGCGGGATATGCGTTRTGTGATTCTGTGTCTCCATAGGTCCGGTCCACAACGCCCTGCTGTGTATGGTCTGCTGTTTTGACGACAATGTCGTCGCAGTGCAATGGGCGATCCATTCTCGGATCAGTTAGGTGAAGTTGAAAATTCGAGGCCACTTCCTATGTACGAGCCGATCGACTCATTCTAGCCAAGTTTCTGCCGCGGATTTGTTCTGGCGAGCGTGTACTACAAGTACGGCAGAGATATCTGTTCAGGCGATGAATGCGGTTGTCAAATGTCTTGGACATGTACCAAAGAAGAGTGTTGCTCGAAGTTGGGTGTTGCTCAAAGAAGCTTCTACCGGGCTGAAGTCCGGCCCCGCTCCCGTTCCCGTCGTATCACGTGTGAGGGCCTTGGACAAGGAAAGTGAATGACCTGACACGTCAGTCCTCCACCTTCTTTCAGATGATCCTCCATGGCGGATGCGCTGTATGAGCTGCTGGCGCCGTACTTTGACGATGCCTCCAATCCTCCGGCTCCACGAGAGGCGCAGACATATCTTTCCCGTCTGAGCACCCTCTCCTTCCACGACCTCACCACTTCCGAGCCGGCGTCGCTGCTGCAATCCGCTCAATCGCATCTTCGCAGCCTCCAAGCCCTGTCCAAACGCTCCCACAAGGCCGTCATCTCCTCGTCGACACATCTCGCCAATCTTTCCTCCCTCATCCCACGCTTGGCCACCCAAGCAGAGGCATTGGGCCGTGAATTGCCAGCATTGGAGACTGCGGCCGCCGACTTTGCCCAAAAGTACGACCGGAGTACCGAGAATGCGGTCTTGGACAGGAGGAAACGGGCGGCATTGCTGTCACGGAATGTGGATCGAGTGTCGGATGTGTTGGATCTGCCATCTCTACTGTCCAACACGGTGACGGCAGCGCAGGCGGGCAATGCTGCTGCGGCTTCGGGGACAGCGTCGACGACATCCTATTCCTCGGCACTTGATGTTCACGCTCACATCAAGCGATTGAGRGCCTTGTATCCTCAATCAGAGCTGGTGGGAACGATCGCGGAACAGTCAGAAGCAGAGATGCAGAACCTGGCTGCAATTCTAATCACTTCGCTGCAAAGTCCATCTTTAAAGTYGGCAGCAGCCATGCGTACGGTCGGTCTTATACGGCGAGTTGCGCCAGAACTGGCGGGAAATGATCAGCATGTCACGAAACCTAGTCTGCTTTCAACAAAGTCTTCAGTTTTGATTCCCACAGCAAGCAGCAATGAGGGATCATTGCCTTCGTTGTTCCTAGTGTGTAGGCTACACATGCTACACAAGACGTTGGAGGCATTGGATCCATTGCGTGACTTGGCTGATCAAGAGTCCGTCCAGCGGGCAAATCAGAGCAAATCAAGCAGCAAGGCTGCACAACCCTCCGCCTCTAGCACCTCCTCGTCACAAGGCAGCCAGAGCGAGAGGTATCTGAAACGGTACATTGAGATATACCGCGAGCAGAGTTTTGGCATCCTCAGCATGTACAAGAGCATCTTTCCTTCAAATCTGCCAGAGCCTGAACACAAATCCACGAGCAGCACTGTCAAAGACCCTTTGTTACCCCTTCCACCTCCGGTCTCTCCATTCGCGCTACACCTTGTCGACATGCTTGAAGATACACTACGAGAATATCTTCCCAACGTGGTCGACACAGCCACTCGCGAATCCCTGCTCACGCAGGTATTGTATTGCGCAGGTAGCTTGGGTAGGCTCGGAGCCGAGTTTGGGATGATGATAGCTCTGCTGGAGGATGACCTGGCCGAACAGCAATCCAAAGATGAGCAGGAGTTGGAGTGGGTTCAGGTGATGAAGAAGCATCGCGTACAGGCMAGCAGGCTGGAGATACTTGCACGTGGTGTAGGTGGAAACTTGAGGAAAAGCAGTATGGAGGTGACCTCGCCGTCATCTGCTTCTCCTACCTCGACTCCGCTGGTAGCTGGATAGTCGTTGCAAATTGAACACCTGAAATCAGACCGTTACCATTACCGTGCTGGTTGATGCCATGTCGTAAGCATGGTATGTCAAGTTCACAACTTCCTGCTGCGCATCGCATCGGACATGGTCGAAGAGCAAAATCGAGCCGGATCTGATGAGAAGTGGGTATCACTGAAGTTCATGAAACATGATTGTGTAGCATTGACATTCATTAGGACAGAGCCTGGCTACATCGTCACCGTGTCTGCATAATAATCTGAAGTACTTCCCATCCTTGCAAGTGCCTAAAGCCCCCAAAAGAAATTCCCGAATCCATCCTTGATGCGGAGTTGCTCCCTTCTACGGCACTGCCAAGCAGCAGATCTGAAAATCCGTTAATGCCTCGAAAGAAATCAAAGCGTGCGCTTAGTCGACGCCTCGCCATGATATCAAAGCGGCGACATCTCAGCACAGGGAGCAGACATACCACAGATGAGCCTTGTACGACAGAGAGAGGTTGACATGTATCAAGCCGGGCTCGAGATGCCTTCCTCCACAATATCGATGATCTCGATGACCTCTCCGCCGAGAGGGACGACTGGAACTCCAGTATCTCTCTTCTCCAGGGGACCATAGCCCTCGACCACGTTGCTGTCGAGAGGAACGACTGGCACGATTGTATCTCTCTTGGTCTCAGAGCCGGGAAAGTCGATGACACCGATCACGCCGTTGTTGCCAGGCTTGGCGACTGCCACACCAGTAGTACCGGGCTACGAGAAAAAGAACAGCACACGGTCAGCATTCTTCTTGCTGGAAGTTTAGAGAAGGAAAGCCTTACCTTGACGTCGATAGGGGCAGCGAGGGAGATGGTGCAGAAAGCACCAAGGCTGAGGACGATGGTGTTGAACTTCATTTTCGCTGTAAAGTTGAGGGTGGAAAGTAGTTGAGAGGTTCCTCGGAGCTGCTGGGATGTTATTGTTATTGGAAGAGAAGAGAGGCCAAGAGAGAGGGAGAGAGAAACTCATTGTGCGTGACGGCAAAAGGCGGATACGATAGCCATTGGTCATTTTCATCGTTCTCGATTAACATGGTAGTGAAGTTGCTTGATCGATGGTAGCTTTTGGAAGATATGTTATATTTCGCTGCAACCTTGGGTTGAATAACACAGGTTGAATGTCAAGGGAACGATACTTTTCACCACTGGACCGCTCACGCCTCTGGAGATTGTGATGATTTTCATCCCGGCATGCCCGGATGAAACCATATTGCTGGTGAGCCGAAATTCTTTGCGTATGCTCGGGCTCGTTGTGTGGTAATAAATGTAAGGGAAGTGCTGGATCCTGCGAAAAAGTACGGGGCTCACCAGAAAAGAGTTCCGCAGGCTAAGTGTCGACTACGTATCCATGGATAATCTAAAGAGAGCAGGAACGTGGCTTCCCCACGTTTCATTATCAATTGACCCAGCATTCTGTTCTGCTGCCACGTTCAAGTTCCGAGGGAATGCAAGCAAACAGCCAAAGACATGACCATTTGCACACGTGGAATCAAGGTATGATGGATCAAGCGGGTTGTTTCGAAAACTTTCAACTTTCAAGTTTACATAGCTMAAACTAAGCTATGAGTCTCTGAATTTCCTCGTTGCGCCATATGTACAAGCAACAACTCCCATGTCCATCCTAATCGAACAACCACTCACTGGCACGCTTAGTTGTAAGCGGCGCGGGCAGCGTCGAACTCGCCGTTGATCTTGTCGAGGACAGCCTGGCCGGAAGCCTTGGAGCCAGGGGCAGCCTTGGCGATGAGAGCCTTTCCGAAGTCGTTGGTGTCGGTCTAAAAGGGAGGTTAGCAAGTTGGACGTTTGAGGACATAGGACTGCTCATTGAGATTACTGACCTGGAGGCTGGCAATCTCGCTCTTGACAATTCCCTGGACACCGGCGGCGGTGAACTGGGGCTTCTTGGCGACGACAGCCTTGAGGGTGGAGTCGATGTTTGGCTCAAGGGTGTCGGTGATGTAGGCAACGATGGCGGCGGACTCAGACTCGCTGACTGGGGCGCTGGCGTTGGCGTCGGTGGTACCCTTCTCAATAGCCTTGGCGAGGGTCTCGGCCTTCTGCTGGACGGGGWGAGCAGTGAAGAGTCCGCCGTTGTACCCGTTCACGGTGTTGCGGAGGTCAATGACATCGGCGTTGATGGTGTTCAAGTCGCTCTGGACAGTCGCGGCGTCACGGGGAAGGACGGAAGCGCAGACGCTGGTAGCGAAGAAAAGGATCTTGGAGATGGCGACCATATTTGCGGTTGTTGGGGTAGTTGGTTGGTTGGTTGGTTGTTGTTGTGGATGTGGAAGTTGATGCTGCTGGAGATAAATCATCGAGACATTGTGGATGATTTATACCATCTTGCCTACTCCCAGAATGAGTCTCCACCTTGCTGGAGTCCAACATCGCCTCGGCCAAATCTCATGTTGAAGTTTCGCTGGACATCAGAACAGCTCGAAGTCTGTATGATGACCCGCTCGGGATGGCGGCATATCCAAGCAGATCTGATCGGTTTACGGAAAGGCTTACAGATCAACGTCCGATCTAAGCACATGTAAACGCTGCTCACTTGGCATCCCCAAAGTCAAACCCCAGGAAGTTGGCGACGGTTGAGATCGCGGAGAAAAGACTGTTGTGACTCGTAGAATGCGTCGAATCCAACGTAGAAGATGTCAGTGTATAGCATGGTCGAGCAAAGCTCACATACACTCACTCCCTTGACACAAGACAGTCTCCACGCCGACTGAGACAGGCATTGTCTCACTTAACAAATGGGCTGACATAACAGGCCTTTGCTGACTAGCTGGTTCCTGGCCGGCTGCAAATGATCCAGTGATGAGATGATGCCAGAAGTGAGTTCGGTCGCACAGCATCTATGGCCTAGCGGGTCCACATCTGGTTCCCAAATAGGGAGAAAAGGTTGAAGAAATTGGGAAAGTGATCGACTGCGCATGATCGACAGAAAAATTGCAGGGGAAATCCCCAGCGATCTGCACGAGCCGTTGCGCCGTTTAAACCGCTAGCGTGAATGGTATACAGAGAATGCGGGGTTGGGAATCAGTGTTCTCTAACTCCTCGGCTAGTCTCCATTATTTCGGCTCTGCAACAGCGTGCTATGCAGGGGTTTCTTGCGTATACCGCTTTTGTCGTGCATACCATCTGTATAGATCAGCATTGCATCAATGAAATTTCTATCTCGTCATGTGCGCGAGAAGCCCAGACAAGCTGCAACGTGTGTGAACCTCGCCAATGAAATCTGTGCCTCGGAAATGGAACAGGATGTCGACGCTTCCAAGCATCGTGTCGAACCCAATCCACCACATGAATCAGAGATGAGCAGTCGAAGACGAAATGCAAAGTGGATTAGCACTGCAAACTAGCGCAGCAAGACCAAGCAAAGAAGTCCTCTTGCCCACTTGGACCTGTCAGAGAAGTTGATTTCAGCAGCTTGTTGACGCCACAAATCGTTGGAGCAGTGTTCTCCACCATGCACTTATTCTTCGAGGGACGAGCCCACCGCGCAACCCGCGCCAATGCATCCGACAGCGGTTCTGGCAACTTCATGGTAGCAGATTCCGGTCTAAAGCTGCTCGATTCCGGCAACGAGTCTTTCCAGCTCATGGTCTCCACCTCCACGCACGACCGCGCCAACAGAGGCCGCCAAATATGTCATGCGTCTCTGCCTCTCCTCCTCCTCCATCAGCTTACTCTGGCGAGCGGCCTCTTCAATCAGAGACCTGGGTAAACCAGCCAGTCTTGCGACATTCAATCCATAACTCCTGTGCGCCACACCCTCGCCGACTTCGTACAGGAAGGTAATATCCTTACCCTCTTTCACGCTGCCTTCTTGTTCAGYGAAGCGCATGTGCACATTCTTCAATTCTCCGGCAGGCCACATCTTTGTCATTCTCGCCAGACTCTGGTAATGGGTTATGAAGAGAGTGAAGCTCTTCAGCCTCTCCACAACGTCCCACAGTACGGCCTGCGCAATAGCGACTCCATCATGCGTGCTCGTTCCGCGTCCAAGCTCGTCCAGGATGACTAGACTGCGTGGCGTGGCCTGCTTGAGAATGTCGCTGGTTTCACCCAACTCCACCATGAACGTGGACTCGCCCTTCATCATGTTGTCAAAAGCGCCCATTCGTGTGAAGACGGCATCGAGTAAGCCAAGCTCTGCAGCATCTGCGGRAACATACGATCCAATTTGCGCCATGATGGCGATGAGCGCGACAGACCGAACATAGGAGGATTTACCGCCCATGTTCGGACCGGTAATGAGTAATGCTCGGGTGGCGTTGGCGGAGAGGTCCACTGAATTTGGTACAAAGGACTCGAGCAGAAGCTGCTCTACCATCGGGTGACGTCCTGCAGTAATCGATATGCCGGGCTCGTCGGTGAAACTCGGCTTGCAGTAGCCAGGCTGCGAGGCCACCTCTGCCAAGGAGAGGAGGCAATCAAGCAAAGCAAGAGACTGGATGCAGTCGCGAAAGGCCTGGTATTTCGAGCCAATTTCGGCGAGAAGCGCTGCAAACGCTGCATCGCAGGCGTTGGAAAGCGCCTCCTTGTGCTGATCACGCTCGCGTATGAGCTTGACGACCTCTGGAGCATGAAATCGGGCGACCTTCTTCGTGCTACTGATCTTGGTCCAGGATGCCGGTACGTTCTTGAGGAAGCCATTGTCCAGCTCGATCAGATAATCGATCTCCGATACTGTCACATAGCTAACCTGCTTGCGCTTCAACGTCGCTGCGGCCACAGCTCTGAACTCTTCAAGATCGTGCTCTACAGCTACGATACCACATTTGTGATCTGTAATGTCCTCTGTCTCGTGCTCGTCTCTGAAGAAACCGTACTTGTCATCCTTTCGCGCAGCCTCGGCATTCATGCGTTCCAGATATTGCAGAACATCGTCCGAGATGCGTGGCAGCGAAGCGACTGCCTCGTTGAGAATGTTCGATTTGAAACCGGCATTGGCAGGAGAGGTCACGGTGGCATACTCCTGCGCGATCATGTGTAGTGTTTGCAACAACACCAGCAACTCAGAGCGGGAGCACTTCTTGTAGTATATGCGGATCAGTGTCCTCTCCAGATCACTTCGCACCTTGCCGACCATGTGAGTGAGCTTCTCAACAGCAAGTGTTCCTGCTCCGCTTTTAAGCTCCTCCACGGCATCGATTCGCTCGCTCAATTTGGCACGATCAAGCAGAGGTCGACCAACCCAATTTCGGAGCAGCCTCCGGCCAAAACGAGTCCGTGTGTGGTTCAGCGTCCAGAATAGACTTCCACGCTCGGTCTGGTCGGTTCCATTGCGGTAAATCTCCAGGCTGGTCAAGGTGTTCCCATTGAGTAGCATGTGCGCCCTTGCACTGAATGATTGGAAGCATTTGGTGAGGTCGAAGACATGCTGCAGCCCATACGCTGTGAGATGCGTGATCATTGCCGAAAGACATATGGTCGCGTTCTCGGAAAGCTTGTGAACCTTGTCTAGAAGTGTTCCCGTCTCCGTGGAGGACTCGATCTGTGACGCTGCGGGCTCTCCATCCTTGAGCTTGTCGGCGTAGAATTTGGTAATGTGACTGTACGACTGGGCAGCCATAGTCTTGGGCTTGTCGACACGCTCCAAGCGAGCATCATCGCCTCCGGATAGGTGCTGGACGAGCTTCTCCGTTGCCTTTGACACTTCTCCAACGACCAAGAACTCGCAGGGCGAGATGTGCAGGAGTCTGGTTTCCAGCTCGTTCCGCATCCACCCGTCCTCAAAGTCATCGTAAATGACATCTCCAGTTCCTGGCTGCACCGCAATCAGACCAATTTGCACTTTCTCATCAGATCCAGCACCTTTGGGGTAGCTCTCAGTCAGACACAACAAGTGTCCGGTCGCAGGCGCTCCTCCACTCACTCCGTCGAGCGACCCACCAAGTCCTTCCTCGTCGTCGACGTAGGTACCTTTTGTGTAGAGATTGGTCAAGCCGCGTTCGAAGATCTTGCTTTTGTTGCTGCCCGCCGCCTTGAGAGCAGCTGTTTCCAACTGTCTGACTATACCGACCTTGTGCCCTGCAGTGACAAGACGCTTCACATGGACATGCAGTCTGTGTGTTGGAAAGGACGCAGAAGCAAACTTGTCGAGATGGGCCTCAGATGGAAGCTCGTCAATGAGACTGTACTTGCCCGGGATGCACATAATGGCAAGGACTTTGGCAGCCACTCGTGCATCCTCACCAAAAAGCCGATACTTGTACCCAGCCTCGACTATCAGCAGAGCGTCCGGATATTTACGCTTGAGGTCCACCACTTGTCGTTGCAGGGGCGTGAGCTTGTCTTTGCCTTTCCTGGTAGCAGGTGCCTTTTTGCCCTTGCCTCTCGGTGCAGATTCCGCTTCCTCGTCTTCGTCGTCCTCGGCCCCCTCCTGGCCTGCTTGGGTCTCATCGTCTATGAAGCCGTTCTTGCGCTTGAACTCTGCAAGACTGTCTGGTCTTCCCAATTTCTTCACGAATCTCTGATGCAAGCGCTCTTTCGCCCGTCGGACCTCCTCGTCGTCTTCCTCGTTCTCGTCGTTCGCCACGTTTGGCGAGCTTGAGAACGCATATTTGGATGTTCTGGCAGTGATGCTTGGCTTCTTGCTAGGACCGACACTGTTTATAGAAACTTGTCCCAGCGACGGACGCGCTACGATGGACTCGTCGGCACCTTCAGAATCATATCGTTCGCTCTCCTTCCGCCTCTTTGCGCTTGGAGCTACCACGTCGTCCTGTTCCTCTGAAGTACGCTTCACCGCAGAAGATCGTTTACGCATGCCATTTGTAGGGGCATCATCATCACTGACGAGATGTTCGTTTGGTTGGGTCGATGCTTCGTCCTGCTGTGCGGGTGGGTTGGGAGTTTCAGTGGACGCGTTGCCATTGACAGCCTTCAATGCAGGCTTCGCYGTCGCRGATCTAGGCGTGAAGAAACTCGAGATCGACGGCTGTTGCTTCTTCTGGGAAGAGACTGGCGGTGCCATCTTCACATGGCGTGATTCAATGTTTATGCAGCGACGATGTAAAGTATTGTCTGAAGTAGTCCGGAGAGTTGACGGGAAGGAATGGTCAGACGCGTTCAAATGCGAACACGAATGGAACACGAAATTTATAAATCGACAGCACCATCATCATCGTCGTCACCACCGCAATTGCACATGAGAAGAGTGACTGGAGCGACACAAAACCTCATGATAGCATTAATATGATATAAGCGCACACAAATCCGCCCGTAAATGCCATTTCTGCTCCTGTGAACGCAACAATCGGGCAATTATCCCCTGACATGACCCCAATGCGAGAGTGCTCCTTCTTTTATACATCACCGTCGATTATAAACCTTGATTCATGCGCCCATGATTTTCGAAAAGATCATCCAGAACCGCGCTAGGAGCACGTTGCCCGGCCATGTACTCGCCGTTGTTGTGCCCGCCTGTACCAACTGCCAGCGACGAGCTGCTGGGTTCTTGGTACAGAAAGCTGCTGCGCTCATTGCCGTAGCCATCGCGACTAAGTGATGCGTTTCGACCCTCTCGAGAAGGAGCACGGAGGGCGTCGTGTTGCCTCAGTCCGTCCCGAGATCCGAATGCCGATGCAGAACGGGAACCTTGTACTCCGGGGGAGTGGGGAGGTGATGGCGTGTTGACCGTACTGTGTCGAGCATATGGGGCCAGTGAGCCACCAACGAGGGATGCCCTAGACGTTCTACCTCCTGTAGCTCCGTCTGCGGGAGCGGCGTAGTAGCCGGCAGGAAGATAGGTGGAGTTCCGATTGTCGAAGGCTGCAGAGCTTGCTCGGTTGGAAGCCTGGGCGGTTGGAGAGAAAAATAGCCCCTGTGGCGGGGCTGACGACTGCCTCCTGTCATGATCATCCTTGGACGGTTTGATGGGCTTGCCGGCGCTCGTCAACGCATCGAGTGACATGCTACTGCCGTCCTCGTATCTCTTGTTGTAGGCATGCTTTCCGGTGCCACTCTTCCACGCAGGAGCTCCCTTCTTTTCTGGTCCCCAAATTGAAGCCATGGCTGCACGTTTAACAGATCTGTTGATGCTCCACGCGACAAGTCCTCTCCACAATAGCACACAGGCACCCATGAAAGCCAAGACCGCTCCAACGGCGATGAAGACGGTACCTTCAGGCATGGTAGACTTTTGCATGAATGGCGCAGCTGCGGTATAAGGGATTACCAGTGTCGGTATGCCAGCGCCTGCAATGGTTGGAAGTCCGGTGAGGGAGAATAGCGCGCCGCTCGTGGTGGACGTGGTCGCATCCGGGAAAGTGGCAGTCAGATCTGCTGATGTGCCCGAAGCTGTGCTGTCTGCCGCGTCACTCGTCGTCGCCGTCGAGCTCGCCTCTGTGGTACTCGTTTGATCGTCACCTCCAGAAGATGCAGCCGTCGTTTGTGCAGTCGTCGCATCAGAGGTGGCCGACGACTCGGCGGCCGAGGTGGATGTCGCCCCCGTCACAGTTGCTAGGTCTGGTAAATCCAGTGATACGTTGACGTCTACCTGCGCGTGCACCATGGGCACGGCCAGGAGTGCCGCCAGCGCGACCGCACGCATTAATCGAGGCATTCTTGAGAGTAAAGGTATATGGAGGAAGGCTGCGGCCGGTATTAAAGCGATTTTCTGGAGAGGCTGCTCCGCCAACGTCTCTGACAAGGATTATCCGTTGGCCGTTGGCCGTTGCAGCCACGTTTCCAGCCTCCGACGCGCCGTCGGGAGTCGTCGATGGTCTGAGTGAACGCAGGTAAAGTATGGATGCTATTGTAGCGAACGACTGAAGCGACGGATGGAGAAGGTAACACAAGATCTGAATCGCAGGTGGTCGAGCACAAGGTGGAGAGTTGCACAAAACAAACTGAATCCTGCCCTTGCCCTGTCCTGCCAGGCGCAGGGGAAAACGAGCTGTGGTCCATATTTGGACACGGCTCGGCCCCGTCTCCGCTTTCGAGATCGGCCAGAATAATAATTGAGAGACTTCACTTTCATCATCATCGCATTCCCCGCATCCACCACGCGTACACTCATACCATGGGAGTTCAAAAGAGTAAGCGACTCCAACTGTGCAATATCGTCTGCCCGACAAAAGACTGCCTCGCACGCAACGCCTCCCTCGCTCCTGTCCCCGATCGTCTGAAATTCTGCTAACACTTTTACTCACAGAGACGCGCAAGTTCGGCGCTGTGAAGAGGGTTATTGGGCAGCACGATGCTAGGTTGAAAAAGAACATTCTCAAGGAGGAGACCAAGCAAAAGGCGGAAAAGAAGGACGACATTGTGCGAGAAGTGTGAGTTTGGTTGGACTGAGGGCAAACAGGAAGGACACTGCTGATCGGTTCAGGCCTACCGCACCATCCAACATGTTCTTCCAGCACAACACCGCTCTCACCGCACCCTACTCCGTCTTGGTCGATACCAACTTCCTTTCGCATACTGTACATCACAAGCTCCCGCTGCTACCGACCCTGATGGACACCCTCTATGCCACATGCACGCCAATCATCACATCATGCGTCATGGTGAGTTCGAATGCGATGGGATATTATGCTGTGTAAGGAGTCGAATCGCTAACAGCTCGCTTTTTATCAGGCCGAACTCGGTAAGATGCATGCCCATCGCGACTATAGAGATGACAGAGAGTTTCTAACAGTCGGGGACAGAGAAACTCGGACCGAAGTACCGCATCGCTTTGCAGATCGCCYGCGACGAAGTGAGTGACGTGTTGTAGTATTTGAAGCAGAAAAGGGAGGACTAACATCCATTAGCGTTGGGAGCGACTACAATGCGACCACAAGGTAAGCGAATCGAGGAGAACAGCACAACAGCATGCGCTTGACTTCCAAGCCGCGCAATCTTCTTGGATCTTGGCTAATCTTCCTACAGGGCACCTACGCCGACGACTGTATGCAAGCTTGCTAAACGCCCATATTGTCTCGGGCATTGCTAACGCTTGTGCTCACCACCTGCAGGTATCGTTGATCGAGTTATGAAGCAAAGAATCTATCTCGTAAGTCACAACCACTGTGCCATTCGTGCGCCAATCACTAACTCAAACCAGGTCGCCACGAATGATAGAGAACTCAAGTAAGATACTGAAGGACACAAGGCATCCAGGGTAGCTCGAAGGTGTCTCTTGAGCTACGCTTTGTCTTTGTCCACATCGAGAATATCTCAGACATCGCTAACCCTTGTCTCTTTCGCTTTGTAGGCGAAGAGTTCGCAAAATTCCAGGTGTACCGATCCTGAGTGTCGCTAGGGGAAAGTACGTGATAGAAAGGTACGTCTATCCCGCGATGAATCACGTGATCTATACATAAACCTGTGTGGGCTCTACTGACAATGAGCAACAGGTTACCCGATGCGCCTGAAAAGTGAAAGTGCTTTGCGATTGCATGGACTACTATTTGAAATCATGGTTTAGCGAGGCGTTGGGAGGCGTACAATAGATACGGAGTCGAATGCGAGACCATCACGATTTGAGCGGGAAGGATGGATCATGYGAAATGACGACAATTCGCAGCACTAACGACAGGCATTCTTCATTTGTCACTCCTCCATGAAGGATGCGAGGGATTGCTCGTGGTCAGGAGCGGTGGCAGCATGTTCAAAACGACGATCTTGCAGTCCACTCGACATGCTCTCGGGATTTTGGAGACTGCATGAGTCGAATCCAGGTTCAAATTCGTTTGAGTGCACCGATCACAAACCGGTGTATGTGGTTGTTGGACAGAAGTACACGAAACATGTGTTGAGAGGGGACGAAATGGCCCGGCATCGACATTTCGAAACCAACCGAACCGCTGATCGATAGGCAAAAAGTGATGCGGAATATGGAATGATTATTCTCTCTCTGACGAGACTCCATTAATTCTCCTATCAACCAGGCATTAAAAACACGGAATACTGCTGTACACTTGTCTCGCAACGGCAACAAGCATGGAAGTCGGAGAATATTACCCCATCTCAACCCTAAGGCAACCCTAAGGTTCAACCCAGGCCCGCGGAGAAGAGTACAAGAAAGGGGACACGTGACACAGATAGGAGGAGTATGTGCATACATGTCCTTCATCCTCCTACCGTCATACTCGGGATAGAAACTCCAGCCCTAAGTGACCACCACGCGGGATGGATTATGACAAACACCATTGTCTTCGACAAACTGTTGCATATGGTTAGGAGACCTTGTAAAGCTTTCAGATGAAGTTGAAGGTGATACTCACGGCTTCACAGCACCTGGGTGTCCGTTGAGATATTCCGCCACTGCACCTTGCAGAACTTCCAGTGTCCCCAGGGATGATACCTGTTAAAGATAGTAAGCTTCTAAAAAGATATACGCGGGTAGTTGCTATATGCTTACATTCACTGCCTTTAGTAACATCTTTTACGTCGCTTCTAGCAATGCTTAATACTTTGGTTTTGCAGCAATAAGGTTTTGTCGCTACACCCACAATGTCGGGGTCACATTGAAACAGCCTGGCTTTCACTCGTCGCTGAGCCTCTGCTCCACTAAGGGCGAGAAGAGTAAGGGAGATGAGAGGAGCGAAGTGCATTTTGCAACGATGATAACGATAATGATGTTGATGATGATGCTGATGTTGACAAAGCAAAGGCGATTTGTATATCTTATAACTCCCAATGAGCCCCATCGTTCATGGGCCGGCGCGTCGTTTGTCTTATCCGCGTAGTCGTTGACATTCTGAGACCGCTGTCTTGACGACGCGAACATTTCCGTATCGGCAGATGACGCCATAGGCCTTCGATTCTCACTGACGTGGTCGCTATTCCGGAGTTTCCAAAGAGCGATGGAAGTCATGTGCATCTGCAATGTGCATGGGGGATAAGGGTCGCCCCCACAGCACGTTTTCTCGCCGCGTAACGTTTCGACATGCAATTTCCCCACATTCCATTCCTTCCCTCCTTCAACAATCCTCCGACATCCTTCGCTCGTGCCCATCTATCGCATCCCGCCAAAAATGAGATATTCCACCAATCGCTCTGCATTTCCTCGCCACGTCTCCGGATTGCGCAGGCCGCAGCAAATTGCGCGGCAGCACAGCTGACTAGCCGCCAACTATCGTAATGGCAATGACAAGGGTGGCCTCGAAGTAGGCAATCCAACCGCCTACCCCAAACGTGCGCTCCGCGTCACTGATCATCCTCCCTGTGCGTTGTTCCACCACCCCACAACCACTCAGGATCCGGAGGCGTCCAACTAAGAAGTCAGAGCCGGAGGGATGTGCGGGAGCCGCCTTGGCTGGAACTCTTGGTAACATTTTGCCAATCGTTTCGGTCGGTGTCTTGCATAAATTGGCCGAAAGAACTCACGGTGAATCAGAAAGGCTCGGCGTCGCAACGGGTTTGCTGGGCTTGCACCAATTGGCAAGGCTTCCCCAGCTTGATGCCATGATGGGGCTATCGGCTCGACGAAAGCAGTTGAGCTTATGCTTGGCGTTCCAAGAAAGTACCGTGTCATCTCATCATCCCATCATCCCACACGGATCCTGGGAGATCCCGAGTGTTTGTACTCCCTTGCAAACAAGTATATAAAGAGCGAACATTCCCCGTCTTTGTGCTTCTTTTGACCACCACACCTCGCTTCCACATTCACTCATACACAAAGCAAATTGTTCACACAAACTCTCACTCTCTCTATCAATCAACAACAACAACGACTACTAAACGTCCCCAGCTTTCCCCAACACAACAAAATGGCATCCGGACTCTGGCAGGCCGCTCCCGCTAAGGTCGAGACCAACGTCACACCTCAGATGGCCAACAGCATTCCAGGTACTTGGTTGACCCTGACACCAACAACTCTCAACACAACATCACCAACTCTCGAGCCAGAGCAAGCAAGCCCAGTCGAAGCCAAGGACAGCCTCTTTCTCAGCAACGACGCTGCCTCTTCCACCTCTTCTCGCCACTCGTCCTTCAACGATATTCGTCGCCCAATGATGAAGTCTCCTGACTTTGGACCCGACGCTGCTGAGAGGCGTGCATCGAATGTCGCCATGGGCAGGACTGCTGCCTTTTTGTGCAACAACAGCCGCTAAACATGGCGCGACACCATTCTACATGCCCGTAGCAGTTTGGCAGGACTAGAGATATCGATCTAGTCGTCAGACGAATAGCTGGGAGTCATTATCGACTTGTTGGGTCAATACCGGCACAAGCAGAACTCTTTCGATTGTTGATCGCAGGGTTGGCTATGGGATATCGGTCGAGAACCTCTACAGGTTGTCCCGATTGCAATGATTTAATTATCTGTACATTATCACGACACAAGATAGCAAGCAAACGACAGAAATATGATGAAGCGTTCATTCTCGTTTTGAAATTTTCACCTGGTCGCTGTGTAGGAACAACCAAGTTCTCTCCATCATTCATCCAACCATACCACCTGATCCCTTCTCATCATTCTCAGTCTGGACTATGACCGCTCCGCTCCATATTATTAAGTTAAGGTTCATCTCAACTCCTTGGTGCCGATCACTCTTGCCTAGAAAATGCCAATGCTTGGTATGCTTGGTGAAACGCTTTATACATCCGCGCCGAAACCTCCTGCATCGAAAGCCTCCGGGTTCAATAAGACACTCGCGACTCACCGCCAATTGGAAGTTGATGGAGATGGGATGGATCGACGGGGTCAGACTATCGAAACCCGCAACTCTGCCACGAAACCGCTTCCATGCTAAGACTTGTCGTGGAAGAATACCGCCCAATCACTTATCGAATCGTCGTAGTTCCTGCGGAGTGGGGTTGATTTATCTGAGGTGGATCATATGATCGTGCTGGTGATTTATGCCCAGGTGCCTTTTTCTGGGAAACGATACTTTGAACTTGACTAGAAGTCCTGTCGTAAGGCGTCCACCTCGTGCAAGTTRAAGGTTTCTAGAATGAGCATTCACGGGAAGAACATGGGAAATAATGTGTTTCCAACTCCTCGAGCAATAACCAGTGTGACACTACTGGGCGTTAATATTTGCGGCCAAAAAATACCAAAGCCCAGTACTCTCCATTCAATAGGTTACACGGTTTGGGCATCATCACTACCCCAACCCTTACCCTAAGCAACAACGAAGCAGCGTGACAAAACACTCACGAAAGAACCCCATGGCGTAAGAGTCGCTGACCTTTCGCACGTCTGACTTCTGCCGAGTTGGTATTCGATTCGTACTGTAAGCGGTGTAAACATTCTGCTTCGATCACTRCTGGCATCTGGTGTTCGGTAGGGTCGATTGCGGGCAACAATCGTTTTCTCGTTGTTTCAAACCACGATTCAGTGCAGATTTGATCGAAGGACCTTCAACAATGTAGGTAGGGCATCAGATAGTTTCCTGCAACAAATCTTTCCTGCTACGAGTCCAACCCAGCTTCCATTTGGTCAGAGTACCAGTCCAGGCAGCGCCCTTTGCAATTATAAGGGTATGGATTACTGTTTTTTGATATATCTGTCGTCTTTCTAATCCTGTATTGTAAACACCTGCCTGCCCAATGCCGCTGAATTGCATAGAATTTTTTGAAATGTCGTCGTCATCCCTCACTTCCCTTTGTCGCTGCCGTACTGGGACTGATGCCACGCTTTGCCAATGGCGCCCGGATCGCCAACCTTTTGATCCTCATGGTTCTCTTTGAAGGCCTTGGTACCGATACCAGTGTGGCCATTCATTTTTCTCGAGCTTTCGTTGTCGGGATCTCCTGCTTTGCGGGTGGTCAGCAATTGTCTGCGTGTGACGACCTTCGGACCAGAGTTCCCATTCGTGTGCAAGTGTGCGCTTACCTCTCGGAGTGGCCACGCCAGGTAGATGTGTTTTGGTTCCACCTCCTGCGGAATATCGCTCTGCAATGTTTTGAGATCCAAATGTCTCGATTCTGGATGATCGTCAGCATGTTTCTTGGACGCCCATCATGATACATACTTCTTTCCCTCCATCACGCGGGGAACAGCAAACAGCAAGCCGCCAAGGCCAACACCAATGGCCACGTTGCGAGGTGAGAAGAATTGGCTCATGATGACAGTATTGTGGGGGTATTGAAGAGGAAGAGTGCAGTTCGTAATTTCGTCGCAAGGAGACAATGAATGCAACCCAGAACTGTACCTAATGACGATTACAAGATAGGCTCTCGCTTACTCGGACGCTCGACTAGCGTCCGAGACCGGCACTGCGGGATGCTTCGGCAGGGAAAATAAGTGAATGTAGAGGTAAGCACCAACTGCCGCGTTACCTTTACCAAGGCCCGTCAGCCAGCTTTCACGCCGAGTGTGACCAAGATGTCCAGCAGAAACTCGCCAGCGCGTGTGACCGTGCTAATATCAGGATCGGGGTCGAATTTGCAGGCACTCATTGATGCCGCCAACACCGTCAAGCTCCCCAATGTGCAGTTTGTACGGGTAATCTCCGATCGCAAGAATGCATATGGCCTGGAGCGTGCCAAAACTGCCAACATTCCAACCACCTATCACGGGATCGTACCGTACAAGAAACAGTATCCTGACGATTCCCCCGATGCACAATTCTTGGAAGCACGCAATGCCTATGACGCAGATTTGGCAAAGCTCGTCCTCGCCGATGAGCCCACCATTGTTGTCTGCGCTGGCTTCATGAGGATAGTGACGCCATCATTCCTTGAGCCACTACAAGCTGCTCAGATCCCCATCATCAACCTGCATCCGGCGCTCCATGGGGATTTGGTGGGTGCACACTGCATTGAGCGGGCATGGGACGAGTTCAAGGCCGGGAAAAGGACAAAGACTGGAATTATGATTCACTATGTGATTACGGAGGTGGATATGGGCGAGCCGATTGTGCAACAGGAGGTGAGCATCGAGGGCTGCGAGACGGTGGAGGCCTTGCAGGAGAGAATCCACGAGGCGGAACACAAATTGATCGTGGAAGGGACACGAAGGGTTGTAGAGAAGAGGAGATAGCGGAAGCTGAGCCCGCCTGTCTTTGTGGTGAGAGCCATCCTGGCCGCGCCAATGATCACTCGAGGAAGCACTCGTGGCGCTTGCATTCATCCGTCTGCACTGGCGACCGGCAAACCTACCCTCGGAACAAACACACCAGATCGCGAATGCGCCTCTAAGAGATACCTAGTCGATCTTTGAGTTTGATGCCAAGTGCGGACAGTCTTGCTGTTGCAATGCGGAAGACTCATCGCAAGACGCAAAGGGTTGAAACCGGTCATGGCTTGATGTTACGTTGCTGATTGCAGATCTATCTACTTGATGGACGCAGCGTGGCAAGGGTAGTATCAACCCAATCAGATAAGGTAAGAGACCTGTCGGTGTTCCTTGCAAACCGTCCGTCAAGACATATGAATCTTGCTCGGTGTCTAGAGAAGTCTGCGTGTTAGCACAGAAATGGACGGCGCAACTGGAGCCAACCCGCTCCGGAAGTTCACCTTTACTGCTGGAATGCTTGAAGCGAGCTTATTAGCGAAACCTGTCGCCAAGTACGGCGTTGTGAATGTTCAAACAAGCTCTGATTCTTGGGTATACTACTCGAACGCCTCAACAAAACATTCCTTCACACCACAAAATGTCCAATCAGCGTCCCAACAGCAATCTATCGTTGCGATAATACGGTCCTCCACCTGGCAAGCGAGAATATGATCGCTGGAAATCGCCGCAACGAACCAGCTCTGCCAAAAGTAACAGCTCAGTGGTGAGCGCTTTCAGACGAGGAGATCTGTAATGTAGCTCGTTCGCCCTGCAAATGATAAGCCAATGTTGTGGCATTGCACCAGCTGTCCTTACTCACCCGTCTATGTATTTCACAACACCCCGGATTGTTTGAGCGACGCTGTAAGCTGACATCGGGACGCCGCGGAAGAAATCGTGAATGTGATCAAAAGCCTCGCCATAGTCTCGGTACATGCGGGTCATTTCCTGGCGAGGAAGTCAGTTTGTGGTCGATGAAACCTGATCAGTGATACCAACGTAGTTTGGCAATATCCGTTGCCATATATCGCACCAGGCACAAATCAAGTGTTGATGACCTGAGCATCTCATTCAGCGATTGCTTGGTGTTGAGATTGAGCTGTATGCTGCTTGCTTACCGGACTGGTAGTAAGGGACCGTCCCTTGCATTCGTGTAGAGTAGACATCTCGTCTACCGGAAGAAGTGTTCGGACAGCATGGACAAGAGCACCAGCTGAAAGCGTGAGCCATTCCGTCTGAAGGMAGTGTACTTTTTTGAGGCAGGGAAGAAAAAGAGCCAAGTAGCAGCAACACGAATCACTCTGGCCGGGGCAAACGTCTGGATCGATTTGCAGATATGTTGCCTACACTTCCTGACATTATATGGTCGGGTTCAGATTCGATGACGGCAGCGCAGCCTACTTCAAATCCTCTGTTACTGTCTCACAGTCCAGGAGTTGGCCTTCTACCACCACCGACTCCTTCGAACGACAGGATTGAAAGGCAGCGGTCGGGTCGGGGAACGAGCTCCCGGCAAGCGGCAGAGCGTGCTTGCAGGAAAGGATTGGTCCGCAGGTATGTGACACGCATTGCAGGACCATGCTCAGACGTGCTGCTGACATTTAGGAACAGGCGAAGTCATCGCGTGGACGGATTGGRGTCGCACCAGCCGCAGCGTTGCGTGCCGGCTAGGAGCCCAGCGTACTACAGAACTGGTTATACAAAGGTTTTGGAATCAGCTGAGTGGTTGCCTTATGGCCCAGAGTACGGGTCCTGACGGCCAGTGCTACGCTTGGAAGAGCAGGTCTCGTGGTAGACGTGTCCGCGTGCCGTTGTCTAGCCCGAGACGTTCTATGTTGGGTTCTGTCTTGTCGATGAGATGTTCATGGCTCAGCTTTGCTACACAGGAATAAAAGGACAAAATCGAGGTGTCAGTACTGGTGTCAGTGCTAGTGACTTGCTTTACAATGTGTTTTGTGCGAAAGCACAATGTGAATGACAATAAACTCCTGCAGCGCATGCCGAGAGCAATTTTTCAGTGCTCATGGACCTCGGACCTTTCTCCGCACTGCCGTCGGCAGCGGCCTCCTTGTGGCAGACCCAGTGCAGATACTGYATGCCGGTAAGAGAGACGCATGGCAAGGGGCGCGGCACCGGCCTCCTACCTGCATGCTGCACGATGTGGGAAGATCGTAGGCAGACGCAAAGTCGCATGTTGGGTACTTCTTAGGCCTCATTGACTTTCAGAGTGTCCACGTGTTGGAGCGTCTGGCTGAATTGAGTGATGTGGCAGTCTTGCGATACAGCGCGATGTGACCACTCTGCTCGGCATCGCAAACACATGCACGAGCGGACGCTGTGAAGACCGAAGGTTGCAATATTCAATGTCGAATTTGTGATATTCGAGCTCCACCGCGGCGGCGCTCACCTTTAAATACCAATGTGATCGGGCTCGTGGTCCAGAGGTCTAATCCAATTTCGCCGTGTTCCGATTCGCCCCGGACAAGAATGTCGTGCCATCCATGGGTGTTTCGGCACCTCATGGAAGTTCGCTTCGAGCGCTATTTCCATTCTGTGACCAGTGTACGTGTCAGGCTTCTCGCTTAGGATTATTTTGGCGTTTCTAGCACCATACGCTCATCTGCTGCTGTGGCAACTCTCACGAAGAATTCTCGTCTTCCAGACCGCCTTCCAGAAGCAGAAATTCGTGGCGGAAGTCCCGGACTCCATAAGGGGCTATGCAATCGCGACAAAGTGAGTAACTTGATCGCGCAAGATTAGGCAGGAGTTGATATCATCGTTAAACATCATTGTCTGCTGCAACGTCTCTTTTTTCTGATCGCCGGTACTATTTCAGGATGGCCTCAATGACACATACAAGATCCCTTTGTTTCCCACGCGTCTCGATTAGTTCCGCATTGCAAGAAGCGATCCGGCCAGCTGGTGTTTGACAGGACAGGTCCAACGGCCTGGAAACGTGCGAGCGCAGTTCCAAGCTGAACGACGCATCGGCCCATGACCCTTTGTCAGACTGCCTTACACGACTTGCATTTATGCTCGAAGAACGGCGCTTAATAGCCCAACAGCTTTGGTGACCCGGCCAAGTACATGCTGTCGGCATAGAGCAAAGCAGGTACGACMCTGGATCAAGAAGAAAACTCGAGCGGCTTTCACTGTTGCACGAAATTTCCTGCCGATCGCACGTCTCGGAGCATGTCGGGTCCGGTTCTTGTTGCGGCGCTTCCGTGACCTTGAAGGAACTTGCAATGTGGCAAGCGATCGGGAGTTCTTTGTGGCATGCAATTTGTTGCTCGCTGCACTCTAGCATGCTCTCTTTCAGAATTACTCTGCAACAGCAACACGATCTCCTCAAGTCTTGGACGGCGAAATCCAATGTCTAACAAAGCAGTGGTGACAGCGCCTGTCAGCCATGCATAACAACAGCAACGTGCAGAAAGCCGTCCGTATATGCAGCCGCACGTCCAAGCTCATCCATCCGTGCAGCCAAAGGCACTGCCGCTCCATGCAGAACCGGTCGGGCATAGATAGGACTTCGTCGACTGGGAAATATACTGGGCAGGACCTTGTTGAGGGCAGTACCAAGTGTCTGGGGTTGTTTGGTTGGCAAGAGCAATGGTATCAGTGACTGGACTACGCGCAAATGGCCTGGAGTGGTCTCCTCAGGGATAGTGTCGGTGGCTGCACTGTTAGCCGATGTTGGGAGGTATAGCTTGATTGGCACGTGTCGGAGTTCCATGCCAGGTGGATTCAGCAGCTTGTTGTTCACGGAATTGAAAAGAGCGAGATCGTCTGTCTACATTAGCCTACACGACTGGCTTGAGACAGCTGGACGGATGCGTGAACTTACGGTTTTGCACCGCACTCCAGAGGTTATCAGAATCATCTTTACCCAAAGACATGACCGTCCGGGCCGTACCGTTCCTGATGAAATCGGCCTCTTTGACATTGTTGATGAACACGTCTTGCATGGTCTTACCTTTTTCATCGAGCTGTAGTAAATGCTCTAGCGGCAGTTCCGAATAGTGAATTGTCAACTTCCATGGAATCGGTGTCACTCCATTGCTGGGTTCCACCGTGGTCTGCGACGTCGGGTCTTCGATCCCAGGTGATGAGTCCAGATCGAGCGGCTCGGCACCAGAGAAGAGATCGTACAGCAATCCGATAGGATAGTGCCACTTCAGAGGGACGTCTTCGAATGAGAACCAAGCATCGTGAGACGAGACCGCGGGATCAATCAGGCTAGGCGCAAAGAAGGCATGTAGCCGCGGCAGGAGGAAAGCCAGATACGAAAGTCGTGGTCGTTGGACGAGATAGGTCTCTGATTCATCGTAGCTGCGGCAGTCCGGAGCCGCGAGTTTGATCTCCAGAGGTAAAGATCCACTCCATATCTTGGACTGCAGGCTGGTGACGTTTTTGGATGCTATGGGCATCGCCGGAGGCAGACGCAGTGACGAGCGGCTTGGTTGGGGAAATCTTGCAGGTTTGTGAGCATGTTGATGKTTGAGAGAGGTGGTCCGAGTGAAGTGAGGTCGGCAAGTCGTGGCTTGATGTTGAGATCGGAGCTTGGCGGTGTCGATGGAGCTGATGCTTTGGACAACACATCATCACCTTCACACCACGGCATATACATGAGAACAGCGAGTCGATTTGACATCCGAAGCAATGGCGAACTCACTGCTCATGCCACCGAGCAGCTCAGAGCCTCAGAATGCCCTGGCGCTCTCACAGCAAGCACCCAGCTTCTTCAAATCGCAAACCTCCTGGTCCCTGCCGTACCCATTGAGCCTGTTCTCCAACTCCGAGTCGCAAGAGAAGTGGCAAAGCTATGAAAACATTCTCATCGCATGTCTACGGACCGGGGACAATGAGTCCGCATATCTATATCTGGAGGAGCTCACCGACCGCTTCGGAGAAACAAACGAGAGAGTGATCGCGCTTCGGGGTTTATATGCAGAGGCCACGGCGCGGACACCACAGGAACTGGACGATGTGATGGCAAACTACGAGGAGATTTTGAAAGAGGATCCATCCGTCTTTACCATTCGCAAGCGCAGGGCGGCATTACTGCGATCCATGGGCAAAACATCGGAGGCTGTGACTGCTTTGACAAATCTTTTGGACACTTCGCCTACGGATGTTGAGACGTGGGCAGAGTTGGCGGATGTCTATGTTGAGCTTGGCTTGTATGAACAGGCAATCTTCTCTCTGGAAGAAGTGCTGCTCTTTGCGCCCAATGCATGGAATATGCAGGCGAAGCTGGGTGAGGTGCTATACTTGTCGGCGGTCCGCGCAGAAGGTGGAGATCAGTTGAAGACGTTGTCAGAAAGCATGAGGAGATTCTGTCGGAGCATCGAGCTTTGCGATTATTACTTGCGCGGGTACTATGGCCTGAAGCTGGTATGTTGTACGAGGGCATGGTCTGTCTGCATAATATCTAACTTGTGTACAGTCGACTACAAAGCTGCTGGACGTCCTGGCAACATCAAAGAAGTCGCAGCAAGCAGCTGCGGATCCCGTCACAGGCGAGCTGGCCACACCCTCCCTTGCTGCTGTGACCAAACTTAACGAAGTCGCTACGTCGAAGCTGGTCGAAATAGTGCGAAGAAGCGCATCAGGCGAGAAGGACTGGGATGGATACAATGCCGCCGAGGTTATCGCCGCACGCGAACTCATAGAGAAAGATGTGCAGAAGATTCAACGATGAAAAAAAACTGGATTTCATGCAGCTGTCGTGGTATCTAACTCAATATCAAGACCTCCCCCCAACGCCGAGATGCCGTACACCGTCCATCGGATCCAGTCATTCAGCTGATGGCGTGTGCGAAGACTTTCTGCGCCAGCTGGGAAAGCAGGCGCATCTTCTCCGGTTGGTCCAGTTCCTGAAAGACGCTGTATACCGACTTCCCCCGCTTATCCCGAACGGCACCCAGACGGTTGCCGGCAACAGCACCGGCGATCGCACCCGGAAGGTTGGCCACGATGAAACCCATGGCACCTCCACTCGCTCCGCCTACGATCGACCAGAACAGCTTGGTGGGTTTCTTATCGCCATCGGCCATGTCATTATCCCGCATCATCTCCTCAAACACATCGCCGAATTGCTCGTTGCTATACGTATTCGCATCTTCCTCCGTCTTCGCCTTGCCTCCGAATCCGAACGCAGACCACGGGAAGCCTCCCGGCATAGAGCCTCCTGCTTCTGGCATGGGTACATCTTGGCCCGCAGTGGGTCTACCACCGAAGCCGTGGAATTGGTTGCGCGTCACATCGTAGTCTCGTCGTCGGGACTCGTCGGAGAGGGTGTAGTATGCGTCGTTGATCTGCTGAAACTTCTTCGTGCGGCTTTGGCGTTCGGGACTATCGGCTGGCACGCGATCGGGGTGGTGGCGGAGTGCTTGTCTGCAGTGTCTGTGAGCAGGCCATGCTATAGGTGAATCGATGGTAGCTCAACGCACTTCTTATAGGCATCTCTAACTTGTTGCTGTGTCGCTTTGGAGTCGATTTCGAGCGCGGCATCTGTGTGTTTGTTAGGTGGTGCTGCTTGCATGTGATGCTCTTGCGGCGACTCACAGTAGTCAACCGGTGGGGCCGACATCTTGGATGTTTGACTGCTGGTATGTAATTTTTGTGATCCAAGATCAGAACCCAGTGTTATTTGCGGGCGAAGGGTCAAGGCCGTAAGTCGTGTTTGATGTGTGCCGTGGTATAAAAGTAGGTCTGCACTCGCTCGTGAACAGGCAGATGCAGATCGCAGCATTCCAAGTGGGGAGTAGCGTGAGTTACGTCACATCACAATCAAGACTTCGTTCATCTGTTGGTGCCGCGACCTCGATCACATCCTCATTCTGACTCTGTCTCGCCAAGTAACTGCTCCGTCAACCATGAGCATACGGGGAGCTCGAGCGGCAGCACTTACGCACACTGCATCCGCGACTGAATCCGCTGTAGGAGAGGACGCCCTGTCGGTAGACCGGATGCACGATCTGCYCCTGGTTCTTTCATCACAGAATCATCAATGACTCTCGCGGGCGTAGTCTGGTTGCAGACGCGAGCGCGCTTGTTCGAGACATATGCGCACTGCATATCATAGAGCATGTCTCGGCCAGCTCATGCCATATAAGCTCTACACTACCATGCCTGGCAACTAAAAAGGCTATATGTCGCGGATCTACAGCAAGCACGCAATAGAGCTCCAGCTCTAGACCTTTCCACGTCTCATACCAGTCAAATTTCTTCATTCCGATCACGAGCGTTTCATTTGCAACATCTACTCGTCTCAGTCTCTAATCATGGGAAGCACATCCAATGCACCAGTCATCCTTTTTGGATACCCCTTCTCCCCTTACGTTCAAAAGATTTCTTTACTCCTCCACTTGACCGAGGTTCCTTTCGAGTTCCAAGAGGTTGGCCCTCTGATTCCACGCCCGGAGCTCGAGTCCATTGGCATCACCTACCGCCGCGTGCCGATATTGGCGGTGGGAAAGGATATCTATTGCGATAGCAAAGTCCAGCAGAGAGTAATTCTCGAGAAACTCGCGAAGAAGAAGATACCGACATCGATTGCTGTAAGTCGGAGGCGCTTCGCGATAGAAACCGCTTTGACACCGGACAGGACCGAGCATGGGAAGAATGGGGATTTGTTGTGTTTGATCAAACACTTGGTCTTGCGCCAGGAAAAGTCATGACTCCTGAGTTTCAGAAGGATCGCGGGTCGATCTATCCGTTGTTGATCAGACCGGATTTTGATACGCTCCGGGAGTCTGCGATTGCGGACTTGTATAGTCGCCTCGACTACCTCGAGAACACGGTGCTCGAGAAGACGATGTACATTGGCGGAGATGAAATCACACTGGCCACTGTCCACGCGATATGGGGCATTCGATGGGATTTACACGGCATTGAAGATCAACGTAAGCCATCCAAAGGCCTCAACATGGTTGAAGATCATGTAGACTGACGTTTGATCAGCACCGGGGTTGGGAGAAAAGCATCAAGCCGTCGGAAGGGAACGATTCCCCAAAGTCTGGCGCTTGATTGACAGCCTACCCCTTCCGGACTTGCACAAGATCAGCTTCGAGGAGGCCAAGGAGAAGATCTTCCAGTCTGACTACACCTCTGATGTCAAAGGACTTTTGAAGGATGAGCCGACGGAGATACCAATCGGTACTCCTGTTACTGCCGATAATCTGGGTAAGTCTTCCATGGCTAATACGGTCAATTTCTCGAAGCATCCATGCTCTGTCTAATACCCGTAGGCTCGGACCCACGAAAGCACTCCGTACACGGTAAACTTCAAGCGACGGATGGGTATGAGTTTGTCCTTGATGTGCCTACCGGGCTTCGCATCCACTTCCCACGTGAGAGTGTCATTCTTCGCAGGGCGTAAGATTCGTCCCGTTACAGCAGCCATGGATCCATGGTCACAAGCCCAAAATAAAACCAAGAACGCACTGTCATAGAAAATTCATTGCTTCTGGTACCCGGAWTAATTGCCAAGAGTGCCGTGCACATGATTAGTTTGATGACGAGTGCTCTTCCTCACGATGCTTACTATTTATTTAACTTTTGTACGGGGATGAGGGGAGCACATCTAGCTACCTAGAAGAGCGTTTACCCCTCTTCCTGGTAGAGGAGGTGCGCGGGTATAATAAGAAAGTAGGTTGAAGTATTATCATCCATGGAGTGATACTCGGCTCAAAAGAAGTACGATGAATTTATTAAGTATGGACATCACGAAGGAGCTCTGACCCTGCTTGAAGGATGGACGGGAATCGAAATCTCTACATATCTGGACGACCAGGATTATAATCAATAGCCAAACGTGGTGTAAAGATTGTTCTTGGTAGTGGCGAGATGAAGTGTACTAAGTCAGACATTGAATGTCTTTTACTTGGTGGAACATTCCCCAAATTCGTAAGAGGTCCGGAGTCAAGCAGATGAGTTCGAGAGATACACGTAGGTCAAATATGTGAATGTAGACGTGGATGGGTTGAATCTTACATATGTTGTCATACCGGGATGGGTTGAATTTTGCATACGTTGTCATACCGGGATCGTATGAAGATCTTGTAAATTTCGTTCCGCCAGAGCTGACTGGAAAAGCCAAGATATAGAATAGAGCGGTGGTAGGGCAGGCCGTGCGAGGAGAAGTCTCGCGTGTCGAGTGGTCATCCGGCGTACCGATCCCGATTTCCAAAGTCGTCAGATACGGAATCATTGGAAACTTTCAATGGAGTGGACAAGTCTGACATTCTAGAAAGCCGAATAGGAGCAACGAAAGATATAATCGCAGCTGGTGTTGACGGGGGTTGAGACTGTTTCGAAGCCAATTTTGCAAGCTATCAGATGTCCGAACATACCTTTTTCTCTGACATACATGAGTCAGGATCTAGCTTCTAATCGCCCGTTAAAGCACTCCCGCCGAGTATCTACAGATTCGACGGTAGACTAGACGCACATAAGGCGATTAGTCTGAGCTGTAGGAGGTAGGTACTCTGCTCTAGTGGGATTCGAGCTACCTGAAACTAGCATCCCACTTCCCCAACCGTGCTGGGAGGTCCGTCCGTTGAGTTGAGCCATGTCAGACCTTCGACGGGCATCGAGGTCCATCATATCGAACATCATTTGAACAAACACATGCGAGCAGCCGCGGGAGGCCGTTGCGAGTCAAATCTCCTTCGAGAGACCTTCCGGCGTGGTAGGATGTTGTACTTGTGTCGATATACGCAGTCAGGGTCAAGCTGCATAAGCGTCGCCAAGCAGAACAACCACAAAGTGGATGCTACCTCCAGGCGAGAGCTGTTGGTATTAGACAATTGAGTTCATGAGGTCATAACACATGTTCTGTGCTGCGTGGRTCTTGAGGTTGGTGAACTCTTACCGCTCGTGGCAGAATTGCTGTAATCGTACATGATATTTTGGTTCAGACTAATATGCCGCTGTGCTCAGTCCACATCCCGAGGGCAGAATGTTGAGTGGGAGTAGAGTTCGAGGCCATGTCGACAACGAACACATGTTCCGACTACAATCGGTAAAGCAAGGATAGACCTTGTAAAGACTTGCCATAGCTCCCGTGGCCGTCGGTTCGAGCCAACTCGTTAGAAATATTGTCCCGACAACCCAATTGTGCAATGTAGCCAACTCTCAGCTCCATCGAAGTTGGCACATGGACTTTGAAATCCATGAGAATCGGCATCTCTGGCATTATCGCGCCATCGGTATTGTGATTAGCGTAGAAAAGGTGCTGAGTCCGAGACGATGCAACCCCGGTAGGTGGATGCACGTCTGCCGTGCCAACGCACCAATGCACACTCGGCTGGGATGTGTGACGGTGGACACTGACTCGACGAGGGTCTTTCAGACAAAATCTTCGAGCTTGACCGAGCAGAGCTCGCAGTGGACAACTGCAGCAAGCTGTATTTGGACGAATACGGCTGATTTTCTGATCCAGCTCCATGCCTTTGGAGCATCAATCCAGGGGAGCGGTTGGGTACAGTAGATCGATCGCATGTCGTAGCCGAAGCTGTCAGTCGCCAAATTTCAACCCGATCGCGTTCCTGCGGAGATGAGCCCGCAAAAGAGCGTGCTTTTCGTCGCCGACTGCGCTGGCACTGGGCAGACACGGACGGGCGACGCAAGGCAGTTCTCCGTAATAACATTCATCACACAGCGTCGGTTTGGGTGAGGAGAGCAGGAAGCTGGCCGTCGATCCGCGCTCTGCTGGTCGTATCGGATGTCGCTGGCCCAGTTCCGATCCCAGAAGAGTGGCACCCCGCCAGATGGCGGCGATGGCGGCAGGCTTACCGTCGCCTCCTATTCGCTCTCGGGCCATCCGCAGGCCTGTGGGTGGCTGATCGAGGAGGAGGCGAGAGTTTTAGCTGCTGAAAAGTGGTGCCCGGGCCATTCCACATTCACATGGGAATTGATACCTACTAAGCATCTAATGTCTGTTTGCGACCTATTATTACGGTTGGGTTCCCCAGCCCACTTGCAAGGTGTCCTGGACCAAAGCTCGCCGACTGTACCAACCATCATCCCCGCGTGTCCCGGGAGTTGAAAGAGAGCTGTGCCAGCCGGCTGGACACCACCTTGGCTGCCGTACCKCTGGATTCACGTTGATGACATTGATATTATTGACATTCCCGCCTTGCTGTCTACGCGACTACCACGTCACGCTCTCGAGAGTCTTCATGTAAGCACCCGACGACGGATTGCGCTGGCGCCGGCAATTGACTGGTCATCGCAGAAAGTCCTGCAGCCCTTGTGCAACGGCAATATAACGCACCCTCGTGGTATTCTCCGATCGCCCCACTACGACGCAGGACTCGAAACAGACTATACACATACCGAAGAACTTTTGCCAGTACAACCTTACCTTACCTGACCCGTGGGTGTGTGAGCAAGAGCAAGACAACAAGGAAGGAACGCGGTTTGGTTCGATTCTTCCGAGCAGCGACGTACGGTTGCTCTCAACGCAAGCAGCGACATCTGGTTGCTCGTAACTCTGTTCCTCTACACATCCGGCCGCGACCGACAATTTCGCTTTCCGTTCCGCGTACATCCACGAGTACACTTGTCGCTTTTTCTTCACGATGTTGGGTCCTCCGCCGCAACACCAGCAGCAATACTCCCAATACCACGGCCACCCTCCCCCGCAGGCCCAGTATCCCTCGAACGGCGTCCAGCACGACGGCAGACCTCAACATCCACAGCAGGCAAACGGCCATCCCCACAGCGCAGACATGCTTCCATATCAGCAGTACAGCGGAAGCTACGGCCAGCCTCAGCAATATCCCCAACCCCAATCTCAAGCGCAGCACCTGCAGCAACAGCAGCAGCAGCCGCAGCAGCAGCATCAAGCGCCGTACTCTCAACAGCAACAGCAACAGCATCAGTCACAACAGCCACCACAATCACAACCACAACCACAGCAACAGCAACAGCAACAGCAACAGCAACAGCAGCAGCAGCAGCAGCAGCAGCTGCACCAACAGCAGATCCCGCAAGCTCAACGCTCTTACATGCCGAATCAAAATCACAACCAGCTCCCACCGCTCGGCCCCGGCATGATGCCTGCTGTAGCTGAATCACAGAGCTCACAAGCCACCAGCCCTGCCAATGTAACTCAGGCTTCGCCGTACATGCCAGGACCGCCGCAGGGAATGCATCAACAGCAGCCGCTAGCTCCACCGGTGGCGCGCGGAAGCGTGAGCGCTTCGAACAACACGCCAAAGGAGAAGAGAATGAGCTCAAGCTCCGAGAGAGGCCCATACCGGTACTCTCTGGAGGTCGTGCAGCAGCCGCAGCGGGCCCGCATGTGTGGATTTGGCGACAAAGATCGCCGACCCATCACTCCTCCACCTTGCGTTCGTCTAGTCATCAGCGACATCGCAACTGGTCGCGAGGTGCCCATTAGCGATATAGATTCGGACCCTTCGTTCTACCTACTGCAATGCGATCTGTGGGCAGAAAGTGCAGATCGCGAGGCCAACGTCGTTCGCGCCTCGAGCAACTCTCCGGCAGTCAGCATCAGTAGCGCTACGACGACTTCGTATCCGCCACCGCAAGAGCCGGTGCCCCGGCACTTGCACGAACAGCAAGGCGTTTTCATTGACGACCAGGGGCGTCCAGTGTACTCCAACGTAGCAGGCTTCGCCATGGGCGTAGTCACTAGGCCCGGCATGGTTCCACCGTACGGCATGCAAGGCTATCCTGCCAATGGCGGGATGTACTATCCTCCACAAGGTGGACAGCAAATGCCATACATGGCGCCGCAGCAGAACACCGCAATGTATACGCGCAACCTGATTGGCAGTCTTACTGTGAATGCTTCCAAGCTCACAGACGATTCCGGCAAGGCCGGCTACTGGTTTGTCCTGCAGGACCTCAGTGTCCGAACCGAAGGCTTTTTCAGGTGAGTATCCTGGCTATCGACATGTGGTCCTGCAATTGCTGACTTGTTGGTGTAGACTCCGCATGAGCTTTGTCGATATCAGCGGCCCGACGTCCTCCGGCGGTGTTATCAAGGGCGCCACGCCGGTTCTGGCGTGGACCTTTTCTGATAAGTTCCAGGTATACTCGGCGAAGAAATTCCCCGGTGTCATCGAGAGTACCGGCCTGAGCAAGGCATTTGCGAGTCAAGGAATCAAGATCCCAATTCGTAAGGACAACAAGAATGATGCACAAGAAGAGGACGATGGCGATTGAGCACCAGCAGAGCTCGGCCTAGATTCGCCGCAGTTTGCATGTTCGATTGTAGTTAATGTTCTCCCGCAGGCTGCAGCAAACCCACCCAAGTTCCTCGGGCCGCAAAGATCGCGCGACTTCAAGTCGCCTAACGCCTATAATGAAGAGACTGAGGAGGTGGTGCAATGACGAGCCCAAAAAGGCTGATGCGTTTTAGTAAGCTGTTGCTTTCACGCTCGCTCAGTCGAGCTATGAGGGCAAGTGCATACCATATCGCAGGCTACAGGGTGGCAGCGGGAGTCAAAAGTGGCAGAGGTAGTGCATACGACGGTAGTCTTGCAGCCACGTACAGCCGAGTAGAACTAGGATCGCTATGAAATTATTTCAGCATGTGTCTTTTCTCCAACGCTGCTATTCTGCCCTTGTTGTAGAAGCAGTAGGCTGATCCTCATGGTCCAGTCATGTATCAAGGTGATGAGAGCATTGTATTGTACTGTACCTTAGGTACGGTACCTTAGAATACCTAGCAGGTGCCCCGCCAAACTTTGATGGGGGATTCTGGCGGACCGCCCTCCGCGACTTCACTCACCCGCATTGCGCCAGTGACCAGGCCATCTCTCCTTCAACTGTCGCTACATCACCCCAAAGACACCCTTGCGATTCTCACCACCCACGGTCACATACGATGCCCCCGTGCTAAATCAACATGCGAGGCATGAGACTTGACGGCCTGTGCGAAGCGGATCTAGAGACCTTCGCCCGCAGACACCGACACAATGTTCGAGAAGGACATATACCAGCTGATCCGCGGGCTCCGCGCTCGCAAAGGTACGGAGCGTGAATATATCCAAGAATGCATTCGCGAATGCCGGAAAGAGATCAAGAGCCAGGACATGGATCAAAAGGCCACGGCGCTGCTGAAACTCGTCTACCTGGAGATGTTCGGACACGACATGTCTTGGGCATCGTTCAACGTGCTGGAGGTCATGTCTTCGGCCAAATACTTGCAGAAACGTGTTGGATATCTCGCGGCGGTGCAGAGCTTTAGGCCAGACACAGAAGTGTTGATGCTGGCGGAGAATCTGCTGAAGAAGGATCTCAATTCCCCCGACAAGGTCACGATTGGGCTACCCTTGGCAACCATACCACATGTGATCAACACGAGCATGGCAAATTCGCTGCTCACGGATCTGCTGCCCCGACTGTCTCATTCCCTGCCCGCCATAAGAAAGAAGACCATTGTAACGCTGTATCGGCTGGCTTTGGTGTATCCCGAGACCTTGCGGCCAGCATGGCCCAAGATCAAGGAAAGACTGTTGGACGAGAATGAAGACTCAAGCGTTACTGCCGCTATCGTGAACGTGGTATGCGAGCTGGGCTGGCGGAGACCGCACGATTTCCTCCCACTCGCACCCCGACTTTTTGAGCTTCTGACATCGGGAACCAACAATTGGATGGCCATCAAGATTATCAAACTTTTTTCCGTGTTGACGCCGCTGGAGCCACGGCTAGTGAAGAAGTTGCTCCCTCCTTTGACGACCATCATCAAGAACACGCCCGCCATGAGTCTGCTGTACGAGTGTATCAATGGCATTATCCAGGGTGGCATCATGGAGGCAGCCGAGGGAACGACAGAAGGAGATGAGATTGCTCGGCTGTGTGTAAACAAGCTGAGGGCAATGCTGGTAGTGGAGGGGGATCCGAACCTGCGATACGTGGCATTGCTGGCTTTCGTCAAGATCACGAGCTCACACGCCGATCTTGTCTCCCAGCATCAGGATGTCATATTGGAGTGTATTGATGATGCCGACATATCGATTCGAACACGAGCACTGGACTTGGTAGCTGGAATGGTGAACGCGAACAACCTGCAGACTGTCGTCGAGAGATTGCTGCGCCAGCTGAGAAGTGCTGGTAAGGCTTCTGCTGTGGACGAGCAGGAGCATGACCGAGCGGCTCATGATGGCATAATACCCATGGCCGATGATGAAGAAGACTCTCAAGCAACTATCCGTGCGAGGGAGCAAAAATCCAAACAGGCCCCGCCATTACCCGACGACTATCGCACGTCTGTGATTGAGCGAATTGTGGATATGTCCTCGCGCGAAACTTACACCAATCTGAACGACTTTGAGTGGTATGTTGGTGTACTGGTAGAATTGGTCAAGCAGTGCCCATCGTCCTCATCTACAGGGAAGTTTGGCATTCTGTCCAACCCGGTGGAGAAGGATCAGTTGGGAATCGCAGACCTTATTGGCTCGGAACTACTCAACGTGGCAGTGCGAGTGAAGGCTGTGCGCCCTGAAGCCGCTGCAGCCGCACAGTCTCTTCTTATGATTGAGCAGCGAGAAACACTCTTTCCATCAGGAAGTACTGGTGGACAGGGCGTGTTGAGAGCGGCGGCATTCGTCGCTGGAGAGTATGCGAATATGTTGCCCGATACTGAAGCCGTCCTGACGTCTCTGTTGCATTCGTCTTGCGCTCAGCTTCCTGCCACCACGCTGATGAGCTACCTACAAGCAATACCCAAGGTGTTCACGGCTCTGACATCTAGCCAGGAGATCTCATGGAGTTCGACACGAAAAGGCACCATTAACTTACTCATTGCTCGGGTAGTGCACTTTCTGGAGCCCTTGACATTGCATCCCAATTTAGAGGTCCAGGAACGCGCAGTGGAGTATCTAGATTTAATGCGTCTCGCGTCTGAGGCTGCATCCAACCAGGATGTTGATACCGACGGCTACGCCGAGCCTCCACTGTTGCTCACCCAAGCCATACCGGCACTCTTCTCTGGCATGGAGCTCAATCCGGTGGCAGCAACAGCTATCCGTAAAGTCCCACAGCCAGAGGACTTGGACCTCGACACGCCTATCAACAGCGAATTGCACATGATTTTGAGTCAGGCAGACTATGACACCGGGTTCGAGGACAACAACGATGACGTCTATAGATTCTACCACGAGAAGCCCTCTGCGGTCAAGTCCGCTTTTGCAAGACCCGCAGCAGATCTTCTCGAACCACCCACCGCGAGTCGCTCGACGTCTTATCAATCTGGTGATGATGAGAGTGTCGATCGCGAGTCTCTTCTGCGGAAAAAAGCCGAGCGACGCGAGCGCTACAAGGATGATCCTTACTACATTGATTCCGAACGCGGTTCAGGTGCATCGACACCAATGCACAATATCTTGCGGAACGCCAATGGTGAAGACCTTGATGTTGACGACATTCCCGTCATGGAACTGAAGCTCGACCCTGGGGAGACAGCACAGGAGAGACATCGGCCAATTCCTTCACATCCAGTCCGCAAACAAAAGAAGCACTTTGAAATTGCCGCAGACGAGACGCTGGGCGGAGATGATGTTCCTGCCTCGTACTCTTCAAGTCCTTCGAAGGCGTCGGCCAAAGCGAAGAAATCGCTGTTGCAATTGGATAGTAGCGGGCTCTCATCGCTTTCGTTGGATGACACATCGGTAAATCGCTTGCCTGGCGGAAGCAGACTGGATGTCGAGAGGCGACTGGCAGAGGAAGAAGAAATGACGCGAGCTATCAAGGAGGTCGAGAGGCTGAGGTTGGAGATGCAAAGAGCCCAGGAGAGGATCCAGCCTAAAGATATACCTGAAGAAGGCACCGTTGTCAAACGTAAGAAGAAGAAGAAGGAGAGGAAGGTGGACATATTGGGCGATGATGCTGGCGGCGAGGGCGAGGATGGGACCGGCGTGGCCAAGAAAAAGAAAAAGAAAAAGAAGCCAAAGGAAGGTGACTCCGCCCAGAAGGAGGCCGAGCCGGTCGATGAAGATGCTGCACCTGTCAAGGCCAAGCGGAAGAAGAAGCGGCAGGTCACATTTGACGATGATCATGATGAAGCAGGCGCATAGATATGACAAACAAAGCCCAGTGAAGATCATGGTCAGAATTTCTTGCCTCCTCAAAGCGTTCCACATGCGAGGATGATACTACTCAGCTATCCTTGGTCATCGAATGGGCTCAGAAATTGCGCCGCACGCCAGTCGCAACTTGTTGCTTCTTCATGACCCACCCACTCTCTCCACGAATGTCTCCAACTCCCATCCAWATTTGTTCTGCAAACGAGTACCCCACGTTCGTTGCTTGTGAAACTCAATCTTGGGCTCTGGATGGGGACAATGGAAGACAATCGAACCTTTGCCGCCGCGATGCTTGAATGTCACCGCAGATCCGGAACACTTTCCTCCTCGCTTGGCGGTGAGCCCAGCTTCGTCAAGAGCTGCTACGATGGTATCGAAATGGAGCATCTTCTTGTTCTTGGGGTCGGAGGTGAAGAGTCGGGAGAGTGTGTCCCTGCTTGCTGGACTGACTGCGATTCTTTCCTGCGCGGTGTCTCTTGCGGTCTTCGCTTGTTCGACTTCTGGGGCGGAAGGGCTGGGGAGGATAGTGTGGTCTACACTCTGATGTCGGACTTTCACTTTGCCTCGTGGTTTGATGGGAGTGTCGTCTACGCTTCCCCAATACGTCTGATTTGTGTACGCGGCATTTGGTGAGACTTGCTCCAATGTCTTGGGATCGGCAATGTTGGTAGCTGCGAGCGATGTCAGCGTGATCCTTTGTATTTTGAGTCGACGAAGCTCGAGCGAGGCATGACCTCTCCTCACCTTCTTCAAGGCATTTCTGACCTTTACTGGAGACGGCACTCGCAGGAGGAGCTGGCTGCACTACTTGGGCGACATTCGCTGTCTTCTCAGAAGACTCCGACGCATTGTTTGACTTCCCAGAAGACTCCACCGCGTTGCTCGACTTCTCAGAACACTGTTCCACTGCGGTTGGCTTCTCAGACAATCCTGCCAACTTGGACGACTGCTCAGACTTGACAGGCTCGACAGTCTTGACAAGTTCGCCAATTGTGCTTCGAAGTCCACTTGGCTTTCCCGTAGACCGCCACGAGTTCGCTTGTATGGAATGATCTGGCCGGCGCCGCCTCGCCATCGACCTTGAGCCAGACGGCTCATTGCTTTCGGTGATCAACGCAGTAGTCTCGCTGGCTGCCTCATCTGAGAAAGAAGAAGTCAGCCAGATGTTGTGCGCTCGAGCCTTTACTCTGTCGATGTGTCCTGGCTTCAGCTGGCTAAAGAGCTGGTGGACCTTGATTGCAGCATGACTCAAGGACTTCCATGTGGCTTTCGTGATGCCGACAATGGCTCCGAGCCATCTTCGTGCGCATCTCGCAAGCTTTGTTGTACCTTTCTCCAAAATGATCCTGCCGCAACATGAACAGTGGTAATGATCGGCTGGAATAGGAATTCGTGGAAGTCGATAGAGAGCATCGCGTATAACGGGGTCGTGACGAGCTGTCTCCATGATTATGCGTGCAAAGAAGTCGATTTGATTCATTTCTGCGAGGCTCGCCATGATGGGAATTGAGGGAGGGTGGTCTGAGGGAAGGATTGAGGTTGGCCAGAAAGAAAACGCGGTAGGAGTTGGGAATGCTGCGTTTGTAGCCCGACGTAGCCCGTACAGAGAGCTGCATGTCTAGCGTCGGAGAGCTGCGGATGTGTGCATACGACGAGACAGATCGTGTGCTACCTGACAGGACCAAAGATTGCACCTCAAGTCTTCGGCCTTCTGGGCGCTGGTTATATATTATCATCATGGTGAGCTGATATTTCGAGAGAAGCGCTCTCGCTGATGGAGACCGCAGTGCGGTTGTACCTGAAGATTCACTTCGATGACAAAGGATAAACCTTAAACCTAAACCCTGTCAGCGATGGCGGTCTGTCGTGCGACACAATCTTGAAGCGGGGCTGGTGACGAACAGGGTCCATTCATTCGAAATACATAGGCCAGCCCATTCTCCGCCTGCGGTGTTTTATCGCGGCCGTTGGCATCCAATTGCGCCCCTTGAGCCATGGTACTTTTCGAGAGATGGAAAAGATTTTCTCCAGCGCTGTACTATTTATCAAAGCTCTCTTGGGTTAAAGACCACTCTGGTTCATACGCGATTGTCACTCAACCCGGTCTTTGATTGCCAACCGGCGCAAATTGTCTCTCACACAGCATTCCTGTGTACCAAATCATCTTTGCGGTCCCTTGTAGGTAGAGCAATCTGGAGTGAAATCGTGCGCACGATTATAGGGGAATAGGGTTAGAGTCGGGGTAGTGGACCACTGCCATCAAAATTAGCGACGGACCGGAAGAGGGGCAACCCGAGTGAGTGGTATGCTTAAAAAGTAGCTTGTTACGCATTATATCACTTTGTACCCTGAGGTATGATTGCCTATGRCATATCGATCTCACGGCTCATAATGTTACATATTAGATCTGTCCCCAGTAGTCATTTCTCGTAATCTCCATCTCCAACTCCTCCGGCCAGGGGTCCAGAAAATGCTCCAAGTGTTTCCTCCAATTCCTCGCAACTACAGCCGTACACCAGGCCGACGTATACTCCCAATAGCTTGGATACCATCCCGAGAATTCCCAGTCGATGATCCCAACAAGCTTTTCGTTTTGCACAATAATGTTGCAGGAGTGCAAGTCTGCGTGAGTGAAGACCGGAGGCGGCCACGATGCTCGATCCTGACGCTTGATCATCTTTTCGATTGCCAGCTTCTCTTCGTCAGACCAGTGAATATTAGCCAGTGGCGGCTGACACCATCGACGAAGCCATCGATGAAACTCGGGTATGGAATCGAAGGGCCCAAAACGCTTGCCGCGCGTATGAGCGATTCTGAAATCCAAAAGCGAAGCGCCGACGCAGCTCTGCATAGCCATGCTCGGCGGCTCGAGTGCGCGGAGCTCATCCATTGCCGTACGCAGTTGTGAGAATAGAGAGTCTTTGGAAGCCTCGGAAAGCGAAGGTAGGACGACGCTCAACATCTGGCCTCGTATTCTCTCCATGACTATGTATCCTCGACCTTTGCGCTCAAAGGTGCAATAAACTTTGGGGACTGGTAGTGAAGTTTTGGCGGAGACGAATTGCATCGTGGTGGCTTCAGCGAGATGCGAAGATTCTCCATCTTCCTGTCTTTGAATCTTGACAATCTTGTGCCTGGAGATGGGGATGCATGTTCCACTCCTTTTGTATAGCCTGCCTGTTGTCTGTAGCGCTAAGAGGGTTAGCCAGCGGCGGACACGCGTATCTTTGATTGGCTGGAGAGTAGATGTTGGTGACTTCTGTGTTGCGCTCATGCCGTACAGTATGTTTGTGAAGCAGACAGTGGTGGAAGCTACCTGGATGGAAGGGGGACAGAGGGAGTCGCGGGCGGTTCGACGGCACGGAGCGAATCTAGCCAGAAAGGGAATAGCTCGACGATATCATCGTCCGGCTTCGCACGTGCCGCAAAGCTTGAATTGAGACCCTCGGACAGAGATTCAAGAGCAAATACCATTTTCCACAATCTGTCTATATATAACGACGCCGCCATGCGGAGTGTTTCGAGCGGAATGAAAAGGGAGAGACCCGGATCGACAGCACAACCTACAGCTCACAGCTATAGCTGCTCTCAACGGTAGTGTCGCCTTTGCCATCGTAGCGAACCTTTTGAGGGTATGGACAGAGGAAACGGCTGTTCGTCGTTCCATTGGAATCCTTGAAATTGACTGGCAAAGTCTCGGGAACAGTACCATTCTCCACCCAAGCTCGCAAGGCATCAAAAGTGGTTGTCGGCTGGCCGCCATTTCCCCCGAAACAGTGACCAACACCAGGAGCCTCAAACATACGGAAATGGTCGTGAATGTTGGGGATCTCGGAGGTCAGGGCATCGTAGTATTCTAATGTGCCACCGAGTGGAATCAGGGGATCAAGCTTTGGAGATGTTAGCTGTTGATTGGAAAAGTAGTGAGTATAAATCTAAAGCTTACCGTGCCGTGATATCCCAGGATCTTGCCACCACGTCGAAAGTAGGGCATGAGGTTGGTGTCGAACCCGCTGATGTGGGCATATTGGACGAGTGACGATTGAAAGATGCGGTCGTAGTCGCTTTGTGTGAGGTTACGGAAGTCCATGGCGAGGTCTCGCTCAACGAAAACAGAGATCCATTCMGTGAAGAGGGAGTTTGGCACGCCGGTACAGGTGCCATTATCGGAGCAGCTTGTGAGAGCAGTTGCCTGAGCAATACCCTCGAGAACCGTGATGTTGGTCCCGGGTGCCACACCGTGCCACAGAAATTCGCCGTTCGCAGATGTGGCCCCAGTCCAAGTTGCGTTGGATACAATGGCGGCAGCTTCTGATATCTCCATCTTCGAGCCATTGCAGTCGATGGATTTTCCCACGACCGAGAAAGGGTCGAATTTACAGGAGTGAACGTCAGAAACGAGACCATCGATGACACCGTCCAGACCGTCGCAGGCTGCGGTGGCTGCCAAGCCGATCTCGTGCAGTTCGCAGGGCGCCGGATATTCGCCCAACATATTCATGACGAGTTGCGGGTAGAATCCGTTTAAGAAGAACTTGCTCCAGTTGATCGCGGGAGCGGAAGCCGCGATACCGTCGTACGCATCAGGGTAGCGTTGAGCAAGCATCAGCCCCTGACGACCAGCTTGAGAACATCCGCTAAAGTAGGAGTACTCCGGTAGCTTACCATAGAAGCTGTTAATGAGGCTCTTGCTAATGATGGCCTGCTCATTGAGAGAAGTCGTCATCAAGTTCTGTAGCAAGTAGAGGTTGACGTTCCCCGGGCTCACCGTGCCCCACTCGGAGGCAGGTTTTCCTTGTTGTCCAGCATCGGTCGTGGAAGTTGCATATCCTTCGCCAACGGCAGCTTGCATCTGAGCAGTGGAGAGTGCATATCTTCCGGCCACTAGCCCACCACCTCCTACCGCCTGAAGCAGGCCGTTCCACTCGAGGGGAAGCCAGGCTTCGACTGTGACGATGTCATCCTGGACAGGGTGCGTGTATGTAACGGTTATGTTGCAATAATCGACGCTCTCGACCTCGAATGGGCCATGATTGAAGTTGAAGTCCCCTGCAACACTGGTACTGAAGTTTGTGACTGCGGCTGCAGTGATGTTGAGAATGTCGACGCCGAAGATGACAGGGGCAGCCAAATTCCTCGGCCACGCAGAGAGAGGTGCCGTTGTCATAGAGCGCCATGGGGAAGAGGAGATGTACAGAAAGAGCTGCTGGCTATGACTAGGAATACATACATTTATATGTTGTTGTTCTTCACGCTGAGACGCCGGGCAGACGAGCCAGTGTTGTCGGAGATGACCTCGTACATGGCTCGAACTACATGACTTAGCATGGAAATCGCGTTCCGTCGCACCGTGGAGGGTGGATAATAATTAAAGATGGTTGAGACGACACACATAGTGTATACAGCTGTGCGAGCATTGAGATATGTTGTCGTATATCTCGCTTTTAAGCTTCCGAACGACATGCCAAGCCTCGCAAACTCTGCGTATTCGTCGTTCCCCTTCAGGCTAGTCTAGGATTTCTCTACCTTCCCCTGAGGTCGATCGAAAGGAATTGCCCTCGCAAAATCTGCGTACTCGCTCTCCTCGCTCGCATCGCCGAGACTTCCCACGCCTCCTATGCCCCATCCCACCACCTGGATCGTCATGTCGCCCAACGAGGAAACTCTTACTGCACCCAAATCCTTACGTAAAGTGCATCGCAAATCCCGCAAGGGCTGTGCGAATTGCAAGGCTCGTAGGGTCAAGGTACGGTCGACGCGTTGCCCAAACGTATGGGCACTGCGGYACGGATGCCATTGTTTGGTTGTGAGGCTGACTTGCATGTTTTTCTGCAAAGTGTGACGAGTTGAAGCCACAATGTAGCAATTGCACAAGACGGGATCTTCGCTGCAGCTTCTTGCCTTTGCTCTCTAGCCCAGACTCGCAACATCTCATTACCGCAGGCTCACCAGGCCGACCAGAAGTACCGTCACCACGGCCGCCACACGATCCCGCGGAATCGCTTTGTGAACATCCATTAGAAGGATTGGACATTGAAGATTTTTCATTACTCCACCACTACACCATTTCGACATCACATACTCTGGCCACTGTCCCCGGACTTCAAACTTTCATGAGAGTTGATCTCCCGCAAATTGCATTTTCCGACAGGTTCCTACTGCACGGTGTCCTTGCCGTTGCCGCGCTGCATCTATCTCGGTTCAAAAAAGATGCTTCGGAGATCAATTACTACACGACCAAGGCCATGCATCACTATGGCATTGCACTACGCAAAACGGCCCTGCTCATGGCACAGGGCGATACCCGGAGTGGTCCGGCTCTTTACTTGTTTTCGATGCTATGCTTCTCCTATACCTTGGGCTCCGGGCCAAGACCAGGCGATTTCCTCCTCTTTGGAGAACATGGAATATCCGATTGGTTGGTACAGCTCCGTGGCATGAGATCATTGCTCGAAGTCCATCCTGAGATTCTCCACGGTGACACTTTGTCACCTTTGTTCAAAGTTGCTATTCGCAGCGTGGCTCATTCTAGCTCTGGGACTGACCATCTCCCCGAGCTGCGTAAGCAGATTCTAGCAGTTGACCCACCCGATGCAGAGCTCACGGCTTMCTTGGCTGCCTTGGATCAGCTTTCCGAACGCTTCGACGCCATCATGACATCTAGCTCTCAGATCTTCCCGCAGCAGGTCTTTGTTTGGATCTATCAGCTCGAAGACAGTTTCGTGGGTCTTTTACAAGAAGGAAAACCGATTGCGCTTGTCATTCTTTCTCATWTCTGCATTCTGCTCAACCGTCTTTCATCCTTTTGGTGGACACGGGGTTGGATGGAACATTTGCTGTCAGAGATTCATGGCTCCCTCAACCAGGAGTATCGAACTTGGATGCGGCGACCGATGGAGGAAACCGGTTGGATTCCGGGCTGAGACAGCTAGGACTTACATGCTTTGACTTCTAAGATTGTGACAATACACTACGAAGTATAAACCTGACGGAGTAGACAGGACCTAAACCACGGAAGCAGCTCGGATTGTGACCTTCGATCTACAGCGATCTGCCCTGGACACTTCCCACGTCCATGCCTACCTGTTCGATTCACTTCGTACTTGCTCATTTTCCTGCTCATATCTTCACTTCCCATGCGTCTGCCGGGCAGATCAATTCGCCACCACTCATTCATCATATTGTTCGTTAATGTCTCGCCGCAGCAGTCCCCGAGGACACTAACATCCCCCTGAGACCGACGCCGAAGCTCCTCCCCGCGACGAAGAAGAATTGGATACGTCGAATCAATACAAGGGATGTTGTGCCTTAAGAGCTATGAATAAACTGTTCAGTCTCCTGCGACAGCCCTCTACCAGCCTCGCGGTAGTGTTACTACTTCATGACAAACCAATAGGAACTGATTCAGCAACACTCCGCCTGATTCCGGCGCTCAAACAGCCAGCCGAGGATCTATTGTGCGTCTCTTCATTGTGTCTGTGTTCAAAAACCATTACTGGGACCCACCAAACCTGGTCGCTTGCTAGAGGTGTCCTGCTCTTGGTCAAAGCTGCCAAAATGCGTGACCCATTCGTTGGGTAAATATACACGGAATGTCGGTACATGGAAGGAAATAAGTGTCTGAATGGAGGCAGATATTCTTCGTTGTATCCGAGGACTCGCTCCGCGGTTCAATCTCCACCTTCCATCACATTTTGTTACACGCGGCAGATTCTTCCACGGACTTTTTGCTGTCGTACCGCACAAATGAAGGAATGGGCGCACCAGCGGCTCTGCAAGCCTTCTCCCAAGCGGCACGAGATTCGTTCTCGGCAGACCTCTTGTGAGATATCGAACACGACTTGTTACAGGTCCTGCCTCCGACTGCGGCGCAAGCCTTACTGGTCATCTCGCCRTCAACCATAATGGGACCATCTATAGCTTGATCGGGAGAAACTCCTTCAGGGAGTTTCCTTCCGTAATGCCTTCGACACGCCGTGAGGTAGTACTGAGTGGGATCCGGCGTGTTGAGGTCGCAGGCTAAAATGTCGGCACCATCCTCGTGCAAGATAACCCATTTGGCATCCAAGCATTTCATATTGCACTCTACGTTTGAGTGGCAGGCAGTCCCAGGGGCATATTTGGCTGCCAAAGCTGAGCTTGCGAAGAGGGCGATGATGGCGAGGAACTGCATGGTGATCTGAAAAAAGGATCTGTCAGAGAAAGCACTTTTGCTGCACTCTCATGACCGGGAGTTGCTTACTATGATGTGATGGGTTGACTGGTTTGGATTGTATGGGGGCAGGAGCTCTTTGATTTCTGAGTATGTTGCTGAATGACTACAACTCGTGAGGTCAAGAGTTGGTTTATATACAGACATACATACCCCTACATTCTCAGTGCTTTGATTCTTTCTGTTCATGGCTCTCAAAGTGTAAATTCCGAATTCGGGCAGAGGACGATAGATCGAAAGCCGCTCAGCTGTCGATGCAGGAAACGTTTATCAACTCGCCAAGACCAGAAATGTTTGGCAGCAATTGAGCATAAAGCGGATATCGGTCCGGGAAGGCTTCCAACGTGCTCATCTCTGGTACGTCTAAGAAAATTGGTAGACGCACAGACCGCATCTCCCGGTCGCTATCTTTGACATTACATCCTACAAGAATGGCATAAATTTGCTGTGAAACTAGAGCGTATCGAGCGTGGATGGCCGTTAGTGACCGGGTTGTAATGACATTAGATCAACAACAGCTGGTTTATCTTGCGTGTAAAACGACAGCATGCTCAATGTACTTTACAACTGTAGGATGATTTGTGCCGTCAATTGTGAAGGTTCCGTAAATTGCTGAAATGGGACGCAAGATCTGTACCATCGATTTTTTCTCCGAGAGATACAACTGGAACCATAACGATGAGAGTGGCTGGCCACCAATGCGTTCCATAACGATGAGGCTTTGTTGGCTATAGTAAATCTCCAAGGTGTAGGATCGAGGGAGCCACACCTTGGTCTGATGGTGAATTGATGGTACCTCGTGGCCGATGCAACAGTTTCGCGGCATGTTGACTGAGCTGGGAAAAGTGGAGCGCGAAATCAGAGTTCTGGCTTCGATTTTACGGGAAGTGCGACCACAGCACCAGAGACCCAAGTCATCACGTCAAACGTGACCTGTTCAAACGTTCAATCGCTAGATTACTACTCAAGTCGGTAACGATTAGGGAATTCCTAGAGTTGTATGTTTTGCAATTCGCGCTTTTTTTTTTCCCTTGCTCCCGGTGGCTCAAAACAGACAAGAAAGGAACAGGGATGATAAAAAGGGAGAGAATCAAGAGAATTTCGATATCCTTTCCACGATCAGAAGCMGCTGGCATCAGATCAGGTTAGATCTGCGAAGGATTACCCGCAAGCTCGTATGCAACTCTGCGCCGAAGCATTCATCGACTGCCGAATGAAGAATCAAAGTGGGAGCTGTATAACAGCGGCAAAGACTTCAGATGTCAGCCGGCCAACATCCACAAGGAAAGGCTAAGGCTTATGAAAATGACTTGATCAATCCTGCTCTTTGTTTTCCCCTTTATTCTACTCTCATGAGTTTATTGCTTTGAAATGCTGTGTACTGACCGTGATATAACTTAACAACTCATTTCAGGTACCCGCCCTTCTGTTCTGACCGGTCACCATTCCAGAATAGAATAGTCTAATTCCCTATCTGATCATCCTCTTGGACGGCTTGTAGAAAGTCGGAGCGCCCTACCATTTAGTCGACCATGATCAAAAGTTAATTTAATCCTCATCAGAGCCCGACGTGTACAAGTAGTCCAGTGTTGGGTAGATTCGGGAACATTCACTTGCATAGATTCACTCACTTGGATTTGTAATCAGAGCTCTGGATGAAAGTTTCTAGCACGTAATTCACAGGGGGTTCAAGAAAGGCCATTCGCAGCGTCGTTTCTCGAGGCTCTGCGAGCCCCATTGTCCCTTATCACACCTGACGAAACAACTACTCGTAGGCCTGCGGAACGAGCCTTTTCATCGGCTCGTCCGCCCAATTCGGTATGGCCTGTTCACTCAACTAGGTCACACGTGGCCTTTGGCTTTCATCGCACGCTATGTGATGTTTATAAACGAGGAAACAAACCGTTGATAATGTTGGCGACTTACAGATGTATACAATCTTCTCCTTGAGTCCTACAATTTCTTCTCATTTCGAGCCTTGAACTCAAGAACTCCGCACAGTTGCTCGACATGACGACTTCCACAATCATAAAGTCTCTCTCCTGGAACCATCCGGATGCTACTACTCTCCGCAAAGCACAGCAGCAGGAAATCGTGGGCTGGCGTCCGATTGGTCCTGGTGTGTCGGCGACAGCTGCCAACGTTCCCATCTTTCTTGTCGCCTACCAAGGAGACGAGCCAGTGGGATGTGGAGGTCTACGACCACTGTCCGACCAAGGCCTGCCTGGACAAGTAGAGGTCAAAAGAATGTACGTCGTGCCTTCTCGTCGAAGTTCTGGCAAAGATGGAGCGCCTACAGTAGCCCTCTTACTACTAGAGGCTCTCGAACAAGCTGCGAGGGACAACGGGTGGATGACTGTCAAAGTCGAGACGAGCAAAACCATGGCACAAGCTAGGAAATTCTAWGAGAAGCACTCGTACGTGCCGTGTGCTGTTTTTGGAGGGTATCGGGGCTCCGATCACAGTGTCTGCTTCGAGAAACATCTGTGTTGATGTATGTTCCACAGAGAGATTGTGTCAGTCCGCGGCTATAAGACTGCCACAATGGATTATAAAGCTCAATGTAGGGCCATCGAATGTTTTTCAGCTCAGCTTTTGGCACCATCTCAGCGTCTATGTGAGCGACAGAATCAAATTGCATCAATCGGCATCACTGGAACTTCATCGTGACGTCTCGCCAACTGACCAGTCTGATTGGATAGTCTGCAAGAGCATAGGCAGAAGTAGTCAGGTAGGATGCAATGGTAGCTGATCCTTTTCCTTGTTGGTAGGCACTTCTATCATCAAAGCAGAACGGTTTAGACTCACCGCTTGAGCTCGATCATATTCACACATCAGAGTGCCTCCCTGGTCCTTAGCCCCAGAAGAATGGGATACTGAGCCTCTATTTCCCACTCAAGTTTTTGTCGCGATGGATTGTACTTCCATACTTGTCATTGGTGATACGTTGAAGATAGTCACTAATGTTGAACGGGAATGTTTCATCGATGGATTTAGCGTCTAGCCACCAAGGTTGGATTTGATGTCGGACGTTACTTGTGAACTGCAATCCAGAGCAAACTGTCCGGGGATGTCTCAAGACAGTGCTCAATCGTACTACGACTTCTGACTCACACCATACTTCTGACCGGAGAGATTACGGATTCAGACCCTTTTTTGTGCGTGAACACTGACGAGTAGTCACAGAGTGTGCTAGTCTAAGGGCCGTTATGTCTTACATTTGGACCTTAAGATCTACAACAAAATTAGCTTCAAGTACTAGCCTTGTACGACACCGAAGCGGTTCGGCCTTGTCAGGGGTAGGCTGACAATGGGTCAATTCTGGACGACACTCGAGACGGCGGCCTATACGCTCCGCGGTCAGTGCCAAGAATTATGTCGATACCGTCCGCAGCCACGTGCAAAACAACACTGATGGGCATTCTCTAGGCGCATTATCCGAGGTACTATCCGAGCTCGGGAACACAACACACGAAAGCTGGGCCAAGACCTGGCAATCCGGCGGCCTGTCTTCTCCTACACGGCTGAAGGCGGCATCAACGAAGAACGTGGAGTTCCTGGTCAGGGTAGCCGTCTTGCCACCTCCCATAATTCAGATACAGGGGCAATGTGGCGGCGTTGGATCGAAGGCTTCGCTGTCTGCCTTTACACGGTCCAAGGCGTGAGCGCACCGACGAGAGCGCTGATCGATATGAGGTGCCACAAGAGCGGTTGAGGGCGTATGTGTGTTCTGTATTTTGGGAGATAGAGGCTGATAGGTTCCATCCGTAATCTTACAATAAAATGCGAGTCTTTTCTATTGGAACATCCGTGCATATCAAAGTCTTCCTTTGGTGAGACCGATTCGAAGCCCGAAAAAGCGTAGATGGATGTATGTCCGAAGAAGAGAAGCTGGAGAAAATACCTACCTGAATGGCACGAAATACGCTGACTAATCATCATCCCTAGCCGCTGTTCTTAAAGTCTCCACTTGAGAACTAAGCATGTATGCCTGAGGCTTAAGTAGTTACGTAACTTAGGCAGGACTATATAGCCGAGGAATTTTCCCTTAAGTAGATTTAATTAGAGTTTATCTATTTTAGAACATCTAGTAGCTAAGAGCTTAAGTCTAGCTCCTTAGCTAGACCTATAGTCTACCTTGCCTACTTAGGGCTAGTAGGCTAGCTAGTTCGTCCCGTTGCCCTATATAAGACGATTTAGAAAGAAGCCTACTAGCTTAAGAACACGTATCTTAGATATTAACACAGCCCTTAGATTAAAGCGACGAGAACTCTTCCGCTAGACTACCCTAGGAGTTAGCTTAACGCTARCGTTACGCTATATACTTCCGTAGCTAGGTAAAAACTCTAACTTAGACCGTATACCTAAGCTAGAGCCCTCGGAAGCGCTTTATAACCGTCCTCGGAGCCGTAGTAGCTCGCCCTACCTTATCGAGTAAGGGCTATACTAAGAAAGTCGCTAATATAGCGCTTAGATACGCTATATCCCGTAAGAATCCCTCTTAAGTATATACTACTATAGCTAAGCTAGCGCTAATCGCCTTAGCTTAGCTAAGCATCCTAGAAATATAATATACTATATCTTAGATAACTATAATAGGCACTTAATATATTACGCACGGTAACCTATTTCCTTCCGCCCTACTTAAAGGTGTCTTAGTAATTCGCCGCTATAGCGCTTAAGAAAGACTCTACACTTAAACGAA